GATGGGCGGGTTAGGGTGGGTGTGGCACGAATTGGGCAGCGAGGGCGCATGGGTAAGGTAGGGAGAGAGTCTCGAGGGTTGAGGGGTTGTGGCGTGTCATGCGTGGTTGTGTATGTGAGTGTACGGTATGTGAAGTAAGAGTATGGGTCAAGTTTCGTAGGTTTCGTTACACGTCATGTTAGGCGTGTGTAATTGATTGTGGGATCGGCGTTGCAGCATGCCTCCCGCAAACGCTAGCTATGGTGGTAACTTGGTTTATTGCTTGCTCGGGTTGGCTGTTTGTATCTTGTCGTGGCAGGCAGGTAGCGAGACTGTGCGGAAGCAACGCACGGTTGGACGCTTTTGTTTCGGAAGTTGCATGCAACTGATGGGCGTGTGTGTGTGTTTTGCGTTGAGTGTGCCCGTAGGTAGGTAGCAATTCTTGGCTTGGTGCTGCAAAGGTCGTTTTGCTTTCGGTAGAGATCGGTACTGCCATCGCTTGGGTTTGTTAGGCTCGTTACTTGGGTTCGGAACTCGTTATTTGGGTTTGTTGGCTCGTTACTTGGGTTCGGAAATGCATGTGCAGGATTGGCATCTTGTGGCCAAGGGTGCTGTGTCGAAAGCGGTTGATGCTCGGCGTTGCTCGACAGCTTGTGGGCATCACCGCATAGGAGCTCGAGACTGCTGCCGCTCTAGCGACGTACGTTGTACGGCAGAGATGCATGAGCGTTGCATTTGGTAGGCAACATGAAAGTTCAAGGATGCAGATGTATGCGTGTGCATGCGAAGCGGTACGGCGCATGGCACAGAGTGCATGCACGGAGCTTTCCACCAAGAAACACGTCAGGGCACGTGTGTGTAGCGTTTTTTGCGATTTTGGTTTCTAGCTCTTCCTTCCTTGACAGTCATGTTGATTCTAGATTGTCAGTTATTCGTATCTGCCAGAGCGAAACTTCACAACAAGACATGCATGGGTTGTTTGTCGTACTTTGTGTGCCGTATTTGTTACTTGTGGGGCCTTTCATGTCGTTCGATTGCATCTCACAGCAGGCGCAGCAGGCGGTTAGCTGCAAGTTGCGTTTGCTGCTGTTTGGGTCTGTCATGCTTGTTTGATGCCCGGCCAGAACTTCCGGGTGCCATCAGACGCTCCTCTTCTGGTGGTAAGCAGGGGTCACCAGTCCCTTGTTCCTTGGAGATACGACGTACGTGCGTGTCTGTGGTGTGTCTGTGTGTGTGGCGCGGTTCCCTGCAGCGTGCGCATGCATATCATTTGCATGTGCAGGTGTGTCTAGACACGTTGGGGTCAAAACCCTGGGAGATAGGGGTTACAGTGCGCTTGGAAAGGGGTACTGCCTGCCGTTGGAAGGTACACGCTTTTCGGTCGGGATATGGGTGCTTACGTAGTGGCTCTGTGCTTGGTCCTGAAGTCCGTGGAATGCAAGTATGCGAGCCAGGGCTTCGTTGGGAACGTGGCCGCAACTGAAACCACCGTAACTGTAAGTGGAACGCGCAGCGCTTCATCGTACTCTTAAACGTATGACTAATAAATTCCCGGAAAAGACGTCCAGGCCTTTGGCGTTAGCCTTTACTGAGGTAAGCAGACTTTACTTAACGCGTTAACGCTAAAGTAAGCATCAAAGGCTCTGACCCACGGGTCATCAGCCCCGCATTCAGGCGTCGTGGCAGCTTTAACTCTGCACGCCTTTGTATGCTGCCGCCAAGTGGTATACCGGTACCAATTTCACAGCTTAATCACACAAGGGGACAACATGCGTTGAATCTTTTGGTATACCTCTATGAGTAAACGATGACTTCCGTCCAAAGCTCCCCCGTCTGTCGTGGAGCAGGCAGGAGTCCACCCCTTTCTTTTTGGGGCCGTACGCACTGAATGAACCTCTTTGCTCGCTATCAACTGCTGCCCACCATATTGAGCTGTGACTGTCACAAAACTAAACAAAACCAAACCTTCAAGCCTGATAGACCTCTTAGCCTAAACAGCGCAAACACGGCGTTCTCCTTCTTCTAACAGCAGCTCATTTCCAATTCCAAAGACCGGAACCATTTCCCTCCCTCCTCGCCCATCGCACTAACATGACCTTCCTCATGTCACCGTCCTCCCAGCCGCGGCTGCTGCTGCTTCCGCTGCTCTCCTCCTGCCTCCTCCTCCTCCTCCTCCTAGGAGCCCCAGCAGCAACCGCACAGCGACCTCTCACCGCCGGCGCCTCTCCTTCCACCACCACCGCCGCCTCCACTGCCGCTGCTCCTGGTGGTGCTGGTGCTGCGGGCGGCGCCTCGCCCGCTGCCGTCATTTGCGCGGACCCTGACCTGGAGACCCTGTGCCGCGTGCTGCGCGCTGCGGGAAACGGGAAGGGCGCTACTCGGCTGAAGGCAGGTCCTAGATGGGTGCTGAGTGCTAAGAAGTGTTTCCTCAAGGGGCGGATGCGTAACAAGCCGTAGGTTGGCGGTGCGGGGTTATACCGTACGTACGTGTTCAGCTTGAGAGCGGGGAAGAGTAGAAGAAGAAAGGGCATGGACTAGGTAGAGAAGCTCGGGCCTTTGGGGTTTGGGGTTTGGCTGTCACCGCTAAGTCTGCTGCTAACGCTGATTCGGTGCTGTTCCTGCTTCCTGCAGAACGCCAACGCGCAAGACACCGTCTTCGTCCCCACCAACAAGGTGCGTAACAGGCTTCTGCTTTGACACAGATGAGGACACATGCATTACCCTCATGGCATCAGGGTAGACTTCTCTCTGGACGTGACGACATCTACCCTCCCCTCTTCACTTTTGCCTCCCTCTCCCTCCCCTCTTCACTTTTGTTTTATATTTCCCTCCCTCCGCCTCCCTCTCCCTTTCCCTCGTCCCTCCCCCCTCGCCCCTCCCACCAGGGATTCGCCAAGGATGCTAAGAAGGTAGCAGACGAGCTGGAGATCCGCTCCTTCGAAGCCATCTACACCAACCCCAAGGCGGCTGACCGGCTGCTGCAGAACCTCATTATTCCGAACCAGGTGGGGTGTGCCTGTAGGGGTGGGGTGGGGGTGCTGGGGGATTGGCGGTGGGTGCGCGGGCGGGTGGTGGCAGGTTGATGCGGATAGGTTACAGTACGTCACGCGGTGGGTACCGCTGCTTCATCGTGCATGCGTGGCAGATGCGTGGCAGATGCAGGCCGCCCGCCTACTATTTCCTCCGTCCTCCCGCTCGGCTGTCCCCTCGGCTTGCATGCCCGCCCCGGCTGTCACAGGTCATCACCTCGCGCGCCTTCAAGGATGATGCCAAATTCAAATCGCTGCTTGGCCAGCAATTGGAGTTCAAGTCCGCGTGAGTGCATATTCACAGCTTCTGTCAAAGGAGCATCGGACATGTAGCGAGAGAGCCGCAGCTAACCTGTTCTAGGTTACCGCGCCCTGGGTTGCCTGGGTAGGAACCTCCGTTAGGAACCTCCTTACACCTTGACTGTCGTACCGCTGCCGTCTCGCTCATTTCCTCCCCCACCTCCGGCCTCCCCTGCTCTCCTTCCTTCCTTCCCACTCCAGAGTCTTCACCAAGCAGTTCTACATCGAGAGCGAGGAGCTCAAGCCGCTCATCGTCAAGCCGGACATCTCCGCGGGCAAGGTGAGGGGGCCGGGGTGGGAACAGCCGCTTATACTGCTGTATATAGGATCAGTGAACTTGAAGCCCTTCACGTACCACGCGCTGCTGCTGACCGTACCCACCTGCTGACCCCCCGCTGACAGGCTGTCCTACACAAGGTGGATGGCGTTCCGGTGCCAGATGATTTCCTGTGAAGAGATGCGGGGGGTGTGGTGCAGATGGGCGTTTGTCAAGGAAGGTGGTCGCGTGGGAGAGTGTGTTTTGCAGTGGTGCGACCCATGGGTCGGGAAGCTGCATGAAGACTAAAGGGGAGGTGGGACGTATGGTGGTCGTCGAACATGCGGACGAAAGAGGCAAGCAGGGAGAGATGGACAGCTGAGAAGTATTGAGAAGTTGCTAAAAGGAGCTAAGAGCGAAGTTGGTAATGTTGTCATTGCAACGTGTGCTGAGGTGCATGGTATGAAGTGCGTTAATACCTGGCATATTATAGGTGAAATTTACCTATATAGAGTATATATCTTACAAACGGTGGGCATCAAAGACCACTTACTCTTGCCCACCACGCACCTCCAAATGGTGTGTACGGTCCTGTAACTGAAAACTTCCCAACTGCTACTTGCAACACACATCACCCGCTGCAGCCGCCCATGTAACAGTAAGCATCTAACGCCTTCATCCGGGACAACTCGTGCTCAGCAACCGCTGTCTTTCTTCATACTCTTCCTATGACCCGCAAACCATGCGTGACACAGAACGCTTCCCTACCCTAACCGACCCTTTGAGCCCGCAGTTCGGCACAAGAGAAGGCCGGCAAGCATCCCTCTCCCTATCCTGCTTTACCTCGGCGCCACCCTCCGACCGCAAATAGCGGTAACGGCCTTTGAGCGCCTCTTCCCAGTCCGCTTCGGGTCCCCTTTGCTCCTCACACCCCTCCTCATGACACCCCTAGGCACACCCCCTCCCACCTCTAGCACCCCCCCGACACACAACCAACCACGTGAATCGCCAACCGGCCCTCCACACCCACGCACGCATGCGAAATCTCCTCAACCTAAACCAGCTGGCCGCAACTCGTTTCGCCACATCGCTCCGCCGTGTTACCAACAGCAGCCAAAGCAGCGAAAAGGGAGCAGGGAGCAACAAGACAGGTCCCGCTGCTCTCCCATCCCATCCCATCCCATCCCCCTCAGCAACGTCCCTATTGCGCAAAAGGAAGCACGCAGGCGCCACCACAACACCTGCGTGGGGCGTGCAGGTCGTCCTCTCTCCTTACGGCTGGTACGTGAAGGGCTCCGGCGGAGGCGGCTCATCGCCCTCATCAGCACCACCAGCGCCGCTACCGGAGGCGGGTGGGGGCGCCGCAGGCGCCCCTGCCGCCGCCGCAGGCGGCGGCGGCGGCGCAGCCGCCGCCGCGGCGCCGGAGGCGCCGCCTGCTGCACCTCCCGCCGCGGCTCCCGCCACCATCTCCACCGGCTCGCCGGGCTGCGTGTCGCGCATGACCACGATGCCCAGCGGCGTGTCGCGTCTGAGGGGCAGCCAGCGGCCCGAGGCGGGCAGGGCCACGAAGCGCACCTGGCCGGGCACCACGCGTGCGGGGTTTTCCAGGGTGTGGGTGGAGGGCTCGGCAGGCTCCTTCTTGGCAGCGGCGGTTGCGGCAGCGGCGTCGTCGGTATCCATCTTGTCACCTGAGGGGGTGAGAGGTTATGGATGTCGCAGGAGGTGAGAGGAATAGGACGCCGAATGCGACGGTGCTTGATGTTTTGGTGGGTAAGCAAAGCAAAGCAAGAGGAGAGCCATGCCGCCTTTCCGTTCCTACCTCCTTCTGCCGGCTTGCTCTCGGCCGCAGCCTTGCCCGCCTCCGCATCACCCGGGGCAGCCCCGCCAGCCGCCTTCTCCTTCTCCGCCGCCTTCTTGCGCTGCCGCTCCGCCGCCTTGGCGGTGGTGGAGAGGATGGCGGTGGGGACCTTGGACTTCTGCGGGGCGGCGGCGGGAGGAGGCGGAGAAGCGAAGGGAGGGGTGCGGAGGGTGCAGAGCGAAGGAGGGGTTAACGACTAACGGCCAAGGGTGTTACAGCGGGATTTATGTTCATATGGGTCACCTCAGCAACACCTCCCAACCCTTGCGGAAGAAGAAGAAGAAGAAGAACGAACAACAACTACAACCAACAAACAACACAACCACAGCCAGCACTCACCGTCTCCTTGACCTCCGCCGTGAGGGGTGGCGGGTAGGCGAAGGTGGAGGGCTTGCAGTTGCAGGCGAATGTCATCTTGGGCATCTTGAGGTCGGAGTTGAGGGCGATGAGCGCGGAGGGCTGGAAGGCGAGGCTCACAAAGTAGAGCAGCGGGTACCAGTACCTGGGGGGGGGGGGCGGGGGGTGGGAGCAGGGGGGTGAGGTGGGGGAGCAATGAAGAGGGATGCAAAGGACACCCCAATGGGTCCACCGCGGGATCCAGCGGGGGACCTTTTGCTCTAGCGAACACACACCCCTTACCCCATGCCAAGTACCTAACTGCTTTACCCCTACCCCTACCCACCACCACCACCACCACCACCACCACCCCTCACCAGTACTGTGTGAACACCCCCCCCCCTCACCAGTACTGTGTGAACATCGCCAACCCCACCACCCCCCTCACCAGTACTGTGTGAACACCCCCCCCCCTCACCAGTACTGTGTGAACATCGCTAACCCCACCCCCCCCCTCACCAGTACTGTGTGAACACCCCCCCCTCACCAGTACTGTGTGAACATCGCTAACCCCACCACCCCCCTCACCAGTACTGTGTGAACACCCCCCCCCCCCTCACCAGTACTGTGTGAACATCGCTAACCCCACCCCCCCCCTCACCAGTACTGTGTGAACATCGCTAACCCCACCACCCCCCTCACCAGTACTGTGTGAACACCCCCCCCCCTCACCAGTACTGTGTGAACACCCCCCCTCACCAGTACTGTGTGAACATCGCTAACCCCACCACCCCCTCACCGGTACTGTGTGAACATCGCCAACCCCACCACCCCCCTCACCAGTACTGTGTGAACATCGCTAACCCCACCACCCCCTCACCGGTACTGTGTGAACATCGCCAACCCCACCACCCCCCTCACCAGTACTGTGTGAACACCCCCCCCCTCACCAGTACTGTGTGAACATCGCTAACCCCACCCCCCCCCCTCACCAGTACTGTGTGAACACCCCCCCCTCACCAGTACTGTGTGAACATCGCTAACCCCACCACCCCCCTCACCAGTACTGTGTGAACACCCCCCCCCCCCTCACCAGTACTGTGTGAACATCGCTAACCCCACCCCCCCCCTCACCAGTACTGTGTGAACATCGCTAACCCCACCACCCCCCTCACCAGTACTGTGTGAACACCCCCCCCCCCTCACCAGTACTGTGTGAACACCCCCCCTCACCAGTACTGTGTGAACATCGCTAACCCCACCACCCCCTCACCGGTACTGTGTGAACATCGCCAACCCCACCACCCCCCTCACCAGTACTGTGTGAACATCGCTAACCCCACCACCCCCTCACCGGTACTGTGTGAACATCGCCAACCCCACCACCCCCCTCACCAGTACTGTGTGAACACCCCCCCCCTCACCAGTACTGTGTGAACATCGCCAACCCCACCACCCCCCTCACCAGTACTGTGTGAACACCCCCCCCCTCACCAGTACTGTGTGAACATCGCCAACCCCACCCCCCCCCTCACCAGTACTGTGTGAACACCCCCCCCCTCACCAGTACTGTGTGAACATCGCTAACCCCACCCCCCCCCTCACCAGTACTGTGTGAACACCCCCCCCTCACCAGTACTGTGTGAACATCGCTAACCCCACCACCCCCTCACCGGTACTGTGTGAACATCGCCAACCCCACCACCCCCCTCACCAGTACTGTGTGAACATCGCCAGCCCCACCACCCCCCTCACCAGTACTGTGTGAACACCCCCCCCCTCACCAGTACTGTGTGAACATCGCTAACCCCACCCCCCCCCTCACCAGTACTGTGTGAACACCCCCCCCTCACCAGTACTGTGTGAACATCGCTAACCCCACCACCCCCTCACCGGTACTGTGTGAACATCGCCAACCCCACCACCCCCCTCACCAGTACTGTGTGAACATCGCCAGCCCCACCACGCTGGTCCGCCGGAAGTAGCCGCTGCGACTGCGCAGACCCAGTGTGGCGTTGCGGCCGCCCGCGTCCAGCAGCCCCGCGGCGATGATGGCGCCCATCTTGCACATCACCTGCAAGGAGGGGAGGGGGGAGGGGGAGGAGGAAGGGGGAGGAGGGGGAGGAGGGGGAGGGGGAGGTGAAGGAGGCCGGAGAGGATGGTAGAAAAAAACAAGGAACCCTTTGATACTGACATCATCATCAGCAGCAGGAGCAGCAGCAGCAGCGGAACAGCGAACCCTCCCCCCTCCCCACCTCCTCGTGCTTCTCCCCGATGAACTTGTCCAGTCGCTTGCGGAAGGGCGCCACACGCGCCTCGGGCTGCTGCATGAGCACCAGGGCCTGGGGGGTAGTGGGTGGGAAGGGTAGCGGGGTGGGGGTGGGGAGAAGAAGAAGGCCCATGCGTTAATTGGCAATGCGGGTATAGAAGGGAGGTTGGAAGAATACCGGTATACTGGGTGATACAGCTTCCTACACTGCCCCAGTGTACGACACCTCGTCCCCGATCCAACCCCTTACCAGTGCACTGCATGCAACGACCCCTCCCTTTCCCCCCCAAAACCCCTACCCACCCACCCCTCTCTCCCCCATGCCCCCCCCCACCATTGCGATCAACGCCCCCTGCCGTACGAAATCCACCGGGTCGGACAGCATGGGCTCCAGCAGCCCCACCGCCTCACGCAGTCCCGTGCCGCCGCACGCCAGGCCCACTGCCATGGCGGCACCGTAGCTGGGGGGAGCGGGAGGGGAGGGGGGGGGGGAAGGGGGGGAAGAAAAACACACCGTGTGACGGTGTGAGGAGGGGCGGGAAGGGGTTGGGAGTGAATGAGCGAGGGGCGGCAAAGGCAGGTACGGCTGGTCTATGAGAGCATCCTAGGGTGCTCAGCAAGGTGTCAAGCAGGCATGGCCCCTCTCCCCGCCCGTTGTCTCCCCTGCCAAGCTCCCTACCCCCCCTTGCCCCGCCACCCCCGCCCCCCCTCTCACCGCACGTGCGGGTTGAAGCTCTCCGCCAGCAGCGCCACGATGCGCGGGCACTGCTGCGGCACGTTCATCAGCACGAAACCCAAACACAGTACGGCAGCCCGTCGTACGTCGTCGGCCACGTCACTCACGGCGAAGGAGAGGAGCTTTTGTACGGCACCGTTGTTGTCGGTGCCCCTGGGGTTGAAGAGTTGTGGGGGGCGTGAGGGGTGAGGAGGGGTTAGAGGGTGAGGAGGGCGGGGGGTAAAAAGGTATACCAAAACCACAGGTTAGGGCAAAGCAAAGGGGCTACCAAAGCAGCAACTTGTCACCAGCGGGGGGGGGGTTGCCACAGATTGAGACCTAGCTGGAGGACCCCAAGTGAGAGGGAAGGAGGCGGGGTGGCGGGGGTGGGAAGGGTGTGTGTATTGTCGTACAACGACGCATATTGTCGTACCTGTAGGCCATTCCGATGACGTACATTCCCCCGTAGCGGATGATGGGGTCCGCATCCCGCGTCATCTGCTCGATCAGCGGCTCCGCGGCTTCCTCGCGACCGTACTGCATGAGGGCCAAACCCAGGGCGATACCTGGGGGGTTGGGGGGGGGGGAGGGTTTTGGGAGGGACAGGGTGGGAGGGGGTTGGGTAAAGAGGCAGGGGTGCAACTCCCCCCCGGCCTGCAAGGGCCGAGCACAGTGTCCCAACCGCCCCTCCCATCCCTCATCCCGTCCGCCTAGCCCTCCCTGACCCCTCCCTCCCTCCCTTCCCTCCCCCCTCCCCCCACCCTCCCCGTCCCCCTCCATCAGCCCTCCCTCCCTCCCTCCCTCCCTCCCCCTGAACACTCACCCCGGATGATCTTCTCGTGTTGCGTGTCATGCGCATACGCCAGCGCCTCCGCCGTCACCCGCTCGCCCCCACTGCCGCAGCACAGCAGCCCCAGCGCCAGCCCCGCCGCCTCGCCCGCCACCGCGCTGTCGCTGTACAGCACGTTCTTAACGTCCTCCACCGCCTCCTCGTCGTCCGTACCCAGGGCCGCCAGACCTGGGGGCGGGGTGCGGGGGGTAATTTGGAAACAGAATCCGAATTAGGCTGGATAATTCGGGGTGCGGGGGGGGGGAGAGGGAGGGCATGAGAGGCATGTGTATGCAGGGGTTACGTGTGTCTGCACCCGGCCTCCAATCACACTCCCAAATTAAACACACCCATAACCATCTCCTTCGCAAACATCCCCAGACTTCCCCCATGCCCCTCCTCTCTTTCCCCTCGCCTCCCCCCCTCGCTCACCCAGTCCCAGACATGCCCCATGCTGAGTGACCTCGTTGCTGGTGCCCCGCAGGCTCTCCAGCAGGAACGGCCGCACGTCCTGACCGTGGTTGGCGTAGATGAGGCCCAGTGCGTACAGCGCACCGCCCTCACTGAAGGGGGAGCCACCGCCACCGCCGGCTGCTGCTGCTGCTGCGCCGGCGCGGGGGAGGTAGGGGGCCATGAGGGCGCGGCCCTGGGCCAGGTGACCCCTGGGTCGGGGCGGGGAATGGGCGGGAGGGGAGGAGCAGCAGATGTAGTAGGTGAGAAGGTAAGCAGCAGAGCAAGGGGCCATGAAAACAACCACCACTCGCCCCTCATCCGCCCCACCAACTGCTGCCCTTGCATGGCTCCGCAACCCCCCATCGCTCCGCACCCCCCGTGTGCACCCGCCCACCCCCCACCCCCTCACCCCACCCCACCCCCACCCCACCCCCCCACCTATGAATCACCCCCAGCGAGGCGGTCGCTGAAAACTTGGCCCAGTTTGTTGCCTTGGCCAGCCACTCCAGGTTGGAGCGCAGGAAGGAGTCCACTGAGGTGCCCGCGTGCGCCAGCGCGTTGGCGGCGATGGTTGCGGAGTGGCACACCGACACGCGCGCGTCCACGGAGCCCTTGATGCCCTTGAGGACGGCCAGGTCCGCGTGGTTGTGGCTGGGGGGGGGGAGGGGGATAGGGGGGCGAGGGGAAGGGGTTTTGCATGTGTGTCTTAAAGAAACGGCCGCGAAGAGAGGACATACTGTGATTGGGGTGTTAAAATAACTGGCCGCGAGGCGAAACGTACTGTGATTGCCGAAAGGTGAAGTCCGCCCACCGAAAACGCCACAGGTGAAGTCCGTTGGCTATGTTGTAATAGAGCTATCGAGTAGTTTCGGAATCAGTGTAAAGCAGTAATAGCAATGTCGTAACGCGACCGGACCTAAGGACCGGAGTAGTATTGTTGTGTGTGTGTTTTGTTCTTTCTTCTCGCGGGGCTTCCGACTTCACCTCCAACCCCCCCCCGCCTCACCGGTACAGGAAGTCCAGATACAGTGCAATGGGCGTCTTGCCGGACAGGATGTCCTTCAGCTTGGCCAGCCGACCCGCGTAGGGACTGCTGCTGCCGCCTGCTGCTGCTGCCCCTTCCGCACCCACACCCCCCTCCGCCGCCGCTGCCGCTGCTGCCGCTCCTCCCTCGGCCGCAGGAGCCCCCGCAGCCGCCGCATCCGTCTCCATGGCTGCTGCTGTCCCCTCCGCTGCTGCTGCTCCCGCACCTCCCCCCACGTCCAGCCGTGCCGCCACCGCCAGCAGGAAGGACTGCAGCTCGTTCTCCACCAGGTCGAAGGCAACCTGGTAGGCAAGCAGCTCGTCATCCTGGGGGGAGGGCGAGTGGGAGGGGGAGCGGGGTGAAAAATACCTATAATGAGACACTGACGAAGCAACTGACGAGCTGTAAGATAAGGCTTCACGGGGGGGGGCGGGCGGGAATATATGTAAAGCAAAGCAGTGGCAGGGGGTGGGTCATAGTCCCTTAGAAAGTACGAAACCACAAGTGAGGGCAAGACGGAGGAGACAGAAGGCGGCACAGGGTGCCGATACAGGGTGCCGATACCCAGTCTTCACTTCTCAGTCCTCTACACTGAATCCACTCTACACGTGGATTCAACGTTAGGTATCCGGTCTTTCCCGCGCTTCCCCCCGCCCTCCCCCCCGCCCCCCCCCCGGGCCCCCCCGCCCCCCTCACCTCGCTCCCCTGCAGCAGCCGACTGAGGATGCGGGCCACCTCGGGGGCGTCATCCAGGAACATCAGGCACTGGCAGATGTCCACCCAGTCGGGCGAATCAACCGTCTCGTACAACCGAATAACCAACCGGAGAACCTGGCGGTACGGCGATTGGTACGGCGGTTACAAAGCAGTTGGTACGGCGGCTGATTGCTAGTTGGGTAGAAGCACGCGTGTGCGGGAAGAACAGCAGCAATGGAACACAGCAGCAACAATGGGTTGCCGCATGCAGGTAGGTGCCCCCCCTACCCTCTTTGTCCCGCTCCCATCCCTCCCATGCACCCCCCACCCCCACCCCCCCATGCATCCCCCACCCACCCACCCCCCCACCTGCTGCCTGAATTCCCGGTTCACGATCAGCTGCTGGCACACGCGCAGCGCGTATTTGAGCACCCGCACCCGCTCGCCCCCCGCAGGCGCCCGCAGACAGGCGGCCTCCAGCCAGTCCAGTCGGCGGGACTCCAGCGCCACTCCGATGGCCTGCTCATACTGCCCGGAGGACAGACACCTGCATGGGGGGGGGAGATGAGGGGGAGGTGAACACCGCTATTATGCAGCCACCCACTGTTCATTCCCTCGCGCTCCCGCGCGCCCCCCTCCCCCTCATCAGCTTCCTCATTTTTACCCCTCCCGTGTGACTCGAAACGCCCCCACCCCCCCCCTCTCCCGTGTGACTCGAACCCCTCCCCCCCCCACCCCCCGCACCCACTTGTCCAGCATGCGCTCCACAATGGCAGTGAGGCGCGGGTCGATTGGCCCCTCCCCCTCGCCCTTCACTCGGAGCTCAAAGTAGCGATCCAGGCAGCGGGCTGAGGTGTGATGGGGGGGAAAGCCGAGGTGGGGGGAAGGGAGAGAGGGAAGGGGGTGATATTTGGGTCGGTGGGGTGATACTTCAGGTGCAATACCCGCATGGCACATACAATGACACGCGAGGAGGTATGACGCGCGCGTGGCCGCACGCAAGGCAACCAAGGCGGCACCCGCCTCCAAACCTGCCACCCCCATTAAGAGCATACCAAAAGCCCATGCCTCCCTCACTCCCTCACACATGCCTCTTATCTGTTTCCCCCCTCCCGCCCCCCCCCCTCTCACCTACTAGCGTGCCCACATACTCGGACTGCTCCTCCACCTCGAACAGCGGCCCCGCCCCCAGCGCGTAGCTCAGCGCATCATCCAGCTCACCCAGGTGGTAAAACACCTGAGGGGGAGAGGGAGAGGAGGGGGGGAGATAAAGAGGAAACAACTAACTGACCGTGTGATAAGGCATCATCATGGGGTGGGGAAGGGGGTTGGTTCAACTGGGTCGTGGGCATTTGAAGTTAGAGCGCATCTAGCAGAAAGTAAGGGCATGGGCGAAATCGTTCCCTGTGAACAAAACGGCAGCATGGTAAGCCCGGGGCAATGAGTTGGACGCATGAAAGCACCATTTTGCTTCAAACACCAGCTCACCACGACCTCTGCTAAGCCTACCCCTGTTCCACATGAGTACGTTAATGGTTGTAAAACTTCCATAAGGGGTCGTGAAAGCGGATACCCACCTTCGAGGCCACCAGCGCTGCAAGCTCCCGGTGTGGGAAATCGTCATCCTCGTAAAGCGCCTCGACGCTACCAATGGACCCCGAGATTTGGAACCAGTAGTCGTGGACAACCTAATGGAAGAACGTTGTCTTGGATTAGATCTACCGCGCTACAAATGCTGGGCGCGGCTAAATGCACAACGAAATGCGTCCCCGGATACAAAGGCGCCATGCTGGCCAAAAGTCAGATCTGTTTATGCTGCAACTGCATAATTCAGCTGAGGTTGAGCCTTCACCTTGTTCAAGTGGGAGAGCGCATGCTGCTTGAGATCGTCGCTGGGCTCGTCAAGCAGAGCCAAAAGGCCCGCCGCGCTAGACACGGCTGGCATTCCTTGTTTAGAGCGGTAGTAACGGCAATGAGTTGGTGATCTACGTTCAGATAGCGCAAGACAACATGGATCGACACAGCTGAGAACTGTGAAATGGCACTCTAAAAGCAAGGAAACAATAGGGTACCTGTACTATGTAAGGAAGTGTATGCAAAAAAGCCAATACCTTATGCCTCCGATGCCAGTTCTACTGGCCTTGGCATGAGCTCATGCCCATCCAACTCCCATCCCATTTACCTTTCTTCAGGTGGAAATGAACCAAAAAGGATAAAACTAAATTTCTTCTTTAGGAATTGCTCTAAAGCCTAATATAATTGTGTATTCCTGGCAGTGGCAAGGCTACAACCACCCGACCAGAAAGTCGCTCTCCAGAATGCCGCAGCAGAAGACACTAAAGCCTACTGATTCAGCTGGCCGTGATTAGAGGTATGCGTCTGCTTGTAAACGCTGTTGTTAAAATCCATGGATAACGGTACGCATCCGCGCTCGATTATTCAACCTAACCTTTGTACTTACAGCCCAGCACAGTATTACTCACGCGCCGAGAACGCTTAGTATCCAGCCAGGGCGGCCCCCCAGCCCTTGTGGCTGCTGCAGGCTGACTGACCCACGGTTCCTTCCATGCTCAACAGTACTGGTATTCGGTCATATATGAGCCCGACTGGTGAATGCGACGAAACATTGCATGTAGCTGCTATGACTGGACGTCCAAATCACGGCACCCCTGCTTCCTTACACTCGACACCAGGACAGGGCAGCCACCACCCAACGCGACGGGATGGCGTCGAAGAAGAACACGCGCGAGGGTAGTTACAAGCGATCTGGGAGAAGGCTGCCGTACAGTCAGGGAGAAGGCTGCCGTACACTTTAATTTTATTCATTGTTAACTAACCGCCGTGTCATCCTGCCGACATACCATCTTGCCATCCTGCTCCTCCTAAGCCTCCCCAACAACACAGCACCCGCCTTTCCGCATTTACCTGGAGTGGCAAGCAAGTAACAAACCCCAAACAAGCAGCGCATGCCTCGGGCACTGTTCCTTTCAACCATGTTTTTATCGTAATCGACGCTTCAAAAATCCTCACAAGGTGAATTGATTGTCCCCTTCACAGCTCATCTTTGTCGTGCTCCGCTGAAGGAGCAGCATCCGCGGCATCCGCGGCCTTCTCCCTCTCCTCCTCCTTCCCTTGCTGCCCCTGCCCCCCAAACGTCTTCAGGTACTCCAGCGCGATGGACGCATGCAGCGCGGCACCCTTGTGCAGCACCCCCTCGTCCAGCGTGAACCTGAGGGTGATGAGGTGAGGTGGGGGGAGCAGGGGGCGAGCAAAAAGGAGAGGAGGGCAAACCATGATTTGATGAGGGGGCGAGGGACAGAGGAGGTGGTCGTCGCAGCGGGCCATCCAAACGCCATCAACCTCCAGCCCTCACCTGCCCTCGCGCCACACAACCCCTCTCGCGCTCCCCTCTCCCCCATCCCAGCAGTCCACCGCTAATCCCGAACCCCCCCAAAAAAACTCTTCATCCCCCTCATTAATGTTACCCCCCCCTCTCCTGTCAGGCTCACTTGGGGCTGTGCAGCGCGTGCACGGAGCCGACGCTCTCGTTGCGAATACCCAGGAACATCAGCGCGCAGGGAACCTGGGGGGGGGGCAGGCAGGGTCCGGGAGAGGGTTAGTAGGACTATACATCTTCCGCATTAGGCTGGATAAGAGGGTTGCGTATACCCGTAGTCAAACTTGTCGGATAAGGGGGGAGCATGGGGGAGCGGGGCGGGGGCGGGATGCCTGGGTAACGTCGTCGTGGCCGCATGTGGCCTCCAGCGCCCGCCAGTAGCAACAAGTGCTGCGCTGCACTACGAGCAAAGTAACCACCTCCTCCACCCCCCACCCCCCACCATCGCTCCGGCCGTACCTTGCCGCTGGCCCTGCCCCCCCAATAACCCCCCCTGGCCCTGAACCCCCAATCCTGCGGCATACCTTGCGGCAGAAGAACGCAAAGTCCTCCCCAGTCATGAGCGGCTCGGCCAGCTGCACCTGGGCGGGACCCAGCAGCGAGGCGGCGGTCTGGGGGAGGGCGGGGAGCGAAGGGGGGGTGAGGTGGGTGGGAAGGGGCGGGGTTATGGTACATTAGGGCTTTAGGGGAAGGAGAGGTGGAGCAGGCAAGGCCTCCTACCTGCATCGCGAAGTTCGCCATACGCTCGTCGTTGACGGTTGGCGGGTAGTACGGTTGCTCGTCCAACCGCCAGTCAACGGTAGCGTTACAACCGTAACCGCTAGCGACGGCGGGCGCCATCTCCTCCAACCGCCGCTTCATGAACATCAGGTGCTCGTGGGTCAGGCCGCTGGAGGGGAGGAGGGGAAGGATAAGTGGGTGGGTGGGTGGGTGGGTGGGGTTCATACACCGGTATCACGATTCATGTGGAGAGTGAGTTTGTAAACTTGCGAAGGTGTGACACTCTGGTCTGGGTTATATGTAGGCCGCACTGTCCGGATCAGCACTTCCCCACTACAGGCCGCACGTGCCCCTTCCTCTTCCCTTCACCCCCCTCACCCCCCTTCTCCCTACCGAATGGTCCCCCCGAACATGACGGAGTCGGGTATGACGTTGTACGCGTCCCCCGCCCGCAGCATGGTGATGCTCAGCACCCCCGAGCCCAGAGGGGAGGTCTCGCGGCTCACAACCGTCTGAGGGGAGCAGAGGCAGGGGGGGGGCAGGTCAGGTCAGGGCAGGGGTAGGGCAGGGTGTGGCCATGGGTAAGGCCGACCAGGGGTCCATGCCATGCGTACGCGTGACACCTCTCTGTACCTCTTCCCCCTTTCTCCTACCCTAACCCCTACGCCTCCCTCCACTGCTGTGGTTTTGGTAAATCTCCGACCCTCGCCCCCCCCCACTGCCCCCCACCTGCAGCGCCGACATGAGCCCCGCCGCCGCAACCACTGGGTCCACGTTGAGGTGCGGCATGGCTGCATGGCCGCCCCGCCCCGCCACCACCACCCGGAAGGACAGCGCGCCCGCCATGATGGTTCCGGGGCGGGAGTGGAGCGAGCCGGAGGGCAGGTGCGGCATCACGTGCAGCCCGAAGGCGGCGTCCACGTCATCTAGAGCGCCTGGGGGTGGTGTGGGTGTGGGTGTCGGTGTCGGTGTGAGTGTGGGTGGGTGCGGGTGGGTTTGGGAAGGGACCCAGGTTGGCAGGGGGGAAGGGAAGGAAAAGGAAGGAAAGACAGGACGGGGGAACGGGTCTTTGTGAGGCTTGGGGGTGGGTGGCAGGTGGGTGTATACATGGGCGCAGGCGGCATGACAGGGCTGCGTTGGGCGTTGGGGGCGGCATCAGCAGTACGCAGGGCGACAGCACAGCGCAGCACGCCGCATCTCTCACCCTCCTGGATCATGAGGTCGCCCCCCGCGCCGCCCTCCTCCGCCGGTTGGAACACGATGTGTGCGGATCCGGGCGGCAGCTCCCCCGCCTGGTGGGCCTCCCACAGCAGCTTGGCGGCACCCATGGCCATGGTCATGTGGCCGTCGTGGCCGCATGCGTGCATCCAGCCGTCTTTCTGGGGGGGTGGGGGTGTATGTGGCGAGGGGGGGGAGGGAAGGGGGGGTTACTTGGAGATTGGCGAGGTGTTTCGTGCCGTGTGTGTTGTAGCCGAGCAGTACGAGAGAGGCCGTACCTGGCTTTTGAATGGCAGGCCCTCTGGCTCCTGAATGGGCAGGCCGTCCATGTCGGTACGGATAGCCACGACGGGCTTGCCGGAGCCGATTTGGGCTACGATGCCGGTCTTAGCATAGGGGTAGCTGTCGTACGCAAGTGGGAGTGAAAGAGTGGAGGGCGAAGCGGCGGTGAGAACCGTGAGGACAGCAGCCAGCTTGGGGCGGGTTGGGGTTGAAACGAGAGTCCGTACTTGTCCCGACCACCGCCGGGAACCGGCTAAGACGGGAATTAGTTGCATGCGAGTATGCAGGAAGCTGCTTGCCTGTAGGGAATGTTGTGCGCCTCCAGGAAGCGAACGATGCGGCTGTGCGTGCTGAATTCCTGGAAGCCAGGCTCAGGCAGCTTGTGCAGCTCCCGACGCTGCTCAACAAGCCAGCTTTGCAGCGCTTCTCCGCGCGAAAGAAGCTCGGCTGGCGACAGACCATGAACCGTAACTACCGCCGCTAGTGCGGCAGTAGTAATAAGCAGCAGCGCAGCCATGGCTGCTGTCGTGTGTAAGCTATTCAAGGCGTCACAGGGTGCGGAAGGGTAGCTTGTTTCCAGGAAAGCCCTTGTCGTACAAATGCGTTGGCGAAAACGAACTTGATGGATGAAGCCTAAAAGCGAAGATGGGTTAACGTGCGTAAGATTGGTGTTCACGTAGGAATAGCAGGGAATTACTATACGTGGGGCACAGGAAGCCTTTGGCTCATTGTCGATCCAAAGCTGAGAGTGCAAGATTCCCTTTACAGGCGCGTACTTGACACTAGTGGAAGCCTTCATCGTCACCTTAACTACTATAGGCGTTGGGACCCACTTAGGTCTCTTCTTGACAGAATGAAGCTGGTCGGGGTCGGGTTGCTTGTTTACAAGGGCGATGCAACACCACCGACTTTTATTGGTATGGCGACAGACGTCTCTAAATTCGGGTACTTTCAGCGAGGGGCAGTGCGCGAGGGCATTATGTTCATCGCCCGCACCATCGCTCAGCGGACCCAGCCCGGCATGCGACAGACAGTGAAAAACGAGGAGTATCTGTGCCACGTGCACGTAAAGGACAACGGCATTGCGGGCGTTGTTGTAGCTGACGGAGACTACCCGACTACCGCTGCGTTCTCGGTCATCGGGAAGGTGCTGGACGACTTCATGCAGCAGCAGGGACAGGATAACAGCTGGCGTGCACTGGACGCTGACAGCACGCTTGCAAATCCCCTCCTAGAAGCGGCTCTGATTAAGTATCAGGTGCGACTTTGGCCTTTCCCGTGATTGCCCCATCGATTACCAGGTGTACCCCAGGAGAACACCGTACCCACATCTGCCTTTACCCGACCGATACCCCTTTTCCACGCTGCTCCTTATCGTAGGACCACACACAAGCGGATAAGATTGCCAAGATCCAAAAGGACCTTGATGAGACCAAAATCATCCTGCACCAGACCATTGACAGTGTACTCAAACGAGGCGAGAAGCTGGACGCGCTAGTGGACAAGAGCAACGACCTAAGCCTGGCCAGCCAGATGTTTTACAAGCAGGCGCGCAAGACCAACTCCTGCTGCCAGTTCATGTAGTGTACGGCACCGGCGCGGGATTGCACGGATATTAGCTGCGTACGGCGCCATGCCGTGCGGCTTATAATAGAAGATTGGCGAAGAAGATACAAATATTGCAGCTAACGATTGAGCTCTCTTAACGAATGATTTATGCATTTGCGCGGCGGCATTGGTACGGCAGCTATGTACAACATGTTGAGGATTGGCGTTAGGCATTCGTTCATTGGGACCCCAATATGGCGGTACAAGCTAGATGAGATGATATAACCTATGGTACACATGCGCCATGCATTTCTGCTAAGCCGCGACATGCCACGTCCAGTCAACGGACAACAACTACCCATGTAACCCTATTTCTGTGCCACTCCAAAGCCCCTCCTGGTGCCATAGACATCCTCAATCCCCTACACCCAAGCGTCCTGACCCCCAACACAATCCTATCATGGCCTCCATCAGTTTGCAGTCTCCTCGCTATCTCCGTTCGTCGCATTCGTTCTGCAACCTCCTCTGCAGCAGCCTCGCTTTCACCACAGCCTCGCACATGATGGCAGTCCTCCATCCCTCATGCCGCCGCCTGCAGGGAGCGCTTAACCGCAGCTGTCAGTCCATCCCTCCCTCACGCCGCCGCCTGCAGTGTCCGCTGCACGTCCACCAGCAGAGCCATCACGTCCACAGTGGCGCCCTGCTTGCAGCATCGGGGGGCGGGCGGGAGGGGGGGAAGGGAGTAATGGAAAACGGGGGCATAGGGGGTCAGGATACACAAACGATAGGAAACCACGAATGCAGGCAATGGGGGCCGTGGGGGGAAGGGGGAATGAAAAGTGAAGCAATCGGGTCGCAACACCACCCAAAACACCCGCCTCTGCAACCCACCGGTGGCAGCATCTCCGGCACTGCCGGCTCCGTCCGTGCCGCCTCCGCTACCGCCCGCGCCCGCTCCGCCAGCTGCTCCATCCGCTGCCTCTGAGCTCGCAGCTGCTCAAGCAGCTGCTGCTGCCCATGCTGCCCTGCCCCCTGCTGCCCGCCCCGCTGCTGCTGCTGCAGCTCCTCCATGTGGTGGTGCAGCACCAGCTGCTGCTGCAGGCTGGGAGCCAGCGGCCCGGCGCCGGTGCGAAGCCGCTTGAAGGCGAGGGTGTTGGCAAAGGGCGTGCGGGTGGCGGGGTCGGTGTAGCGGGCGGGCAGGGCGGTGATGAAGCAGGTGGGCTTGTCGGGCGGCGGCGGCGCGTGGGAGGGTTGCATCCGAGGAGGAGGGACGTAGGTGTTGACGAGCTCTAGGGTGGTCTGTGGGGAGACAGGAGGTGTGGGGGGAGTTAGGAGGAGGAAGCTAGCCGATAGAGGAGGTAAGGGTATGTGTTGAGATGTGCGAATGACGGCTATGCGTATGTGAGTTTGCGTGGGGTGGTTGCTAGGCGTCAGGCTCCCAGTATCGCCAGTAAAGCCCCCAGGAAAGGAGGTTTTCGGGATCTACTATCAAGCTTTGGTTAGGAATTCAATCACCCGCCTCAGCAAGGACATTACGCGTGTAGACAGGAGATGCATGCAAACTGATCCATGTGAAAGGAGGAATCCATGGCGTCATACCCATATCTTCGCCACGGGTGGGCCGTACGGCACACCTCGGGATCTACTATCAAGCTTATATGGTTTGTGTTCATCATTCGCCAAGGGGACGTGGTGAGTGATACAAGCCATGCTGATATGTGGATATCGTGGCATGCACCGTGACAGGTAAAGAACCGATGCAACATGCAAAGCGCAACAGCCGTGCGACTTGAACGGCTCCAAGGAAACGCGTGTGTTACTGCTGCTTTGCAAAGGCGGCGTCAACCCATTAATATCGCCACAGGAAGCACAGGAAGGCCCCTCGGGATCTACTATCAAGCTTGTTTGGTTGTGTTCATCATTCGCCAGGGGAGAACGTATGATGTGCAACGCAGCGAACGCCGCCCAGATGATGTGCATGGGTGCCATGCGCAACATCATTTACTCACATGCTGCGACTAACAGGTGCAGAACCTTTTCCCTTTTCCAGTAACGGGTGGGACAACGAATGCGGATCCCCGTGCGTTCCTTGTCTGTATGCAACCTTACCCCGGCGGCGTCAACCCCGTACGTATCGCCACAGGCAGCCAAGTAGGCCCGCCTCGGGATCTACTATCAAGCTTGTTAGGTAAATCTCATCATCCGTCGCCGGGTCCCCTTTGCCGTGTGCCCAGGCCCATATGCTATGCTCAAGGTGCACACCCAGACTGCAACCACCCCCCAACTGCCGTACACTATCGTACATCAGCTGCGTACAGCATGCCGCAAAACTTACATGCTCCTCGCCGTCCGCTCCCCGCTTCGTCCGGAACTTGATGCTGGGCCCTGTGTTCTTCTTCTTGACCACCTGCGCCTTGCGCTTCGTCTCCTCCTCCTGAGCCAGCAGCGCTTTCAGGGATCTGTGGGGAGGGCACACGGGCAGGTAGAGTCGTACGGCAGTCTTAGGAGTTGCGGACGGACACACTGTGGAGCAAGAAGGAGGGGACGGGGGGTGCAGCTGGGGGTGTGAGCTGAGAAGAAAGCGTAAACAGGCGGCCACATGGGGAAAGTGAGGACCAGGAGCGTGCAGGCGAAACGTGGCTACTCGTGGCTCCACGAGTTTCAGCAGCCATGCAGCAGCATCACCCGCTCATGGTAGACGGTAGACGGCTGGTTGCCGTCGAGGCGTCAGGGTCGAGTCCGTCACTAACGTTATGTTCTCAGCGAGGCGTCCGCCAAGCCGAGATACATTAAGATTGGAAGGCACATGCACGAGTAACCCACCGTGTGTTCTCAATCTCATTGAGTGCCGCCTCAGCTAGGAGCTCCTGTTGCGTCAGGGGCCGCCAGTTGCTGTTCGAGCTGCCGGGGCCTCGGCGCCTAGGGGTGGACTGCGAGGAGGGTGGGTGGGGGGGTCAAAGACCATACCAAACTTAGGAAACCACAGGTTAGGGCTAAGCAATGGGGATGGGGGGCATTAAAGACCATCAGGGTAGCAGCGGCCATGAAACTAAACTAGAAGGGCAAATCCATCAGCGGCGAGCTGAAACAGCCGTACCTTTTCTTTATACTGTCGCTCTCTTGTCGAATCCGCTACTCGGGCCACGGTTGATCGGCGCAGAGTTGGGGCCACGTAGACTTTAGGCTCGGGCGGAGGTTTGCGAGCCTTCGGGGCTGCTGCTGCTTCCGCCTCCTCTCCCTCTGCTTCTTCTTCCTCTTCCTCCTCCTCTGCGTAGTCGTCATCCTCCTCGACCTTGACTTTCGGTTTGGGCTTTGGCTTTGGTTTGGGCTTCGCCTTATACCCAGGCGGTTTCAAAGCCTTCTTCCTAAAGAGGAGAGGAGGTAAGGCGCGCAGTGGGTGGTTATAGTACGTACTTGCAGCCCTCATACCCGAAACACCCAGGACACGCTCGTCCACCGACAGGTGTACCAGCTGATCGCACTGTCTTCAACTTTTGCTTACCGTGGCTCATCGCGAACCTCCACTTCCTCGTCATCATCGTCGTCCTCCTGCGCAAGGTAGCATCCTGACGCTTGCCCAGCCGCTTCCGCAAAAAAATAATAAGGTTTGCCCGGACAACAAACGTCAAGAGCCGGCCTTAATATAAAAGCAGACCTTTTGATCGAAGTCGCTATCTACTTCGTCCTCTGATTCCGACTCAGTCTTGTAGTCATCATCTACCGCCTCTTCCTTAAAGAACTCTTGATTCCAAAACTGGGCATCTGCCTGCTCTTCCTCCTCGTCTACAGCCGCCTTTAAGCGTTTCCCACGAGTTGAACGCTGCGGCAGCGCTTCTCGACCCATCTCTCCCAGCGGAAAGATATGTGTGTTAGCTGAAAGGAGCGGGACTATTCTGTGACATTATACTTTACTAAAGGATGATTGTGATCAGGGGCCGCCATTTGGTTTCCTTGCCTTCCTTATGCTCCAGAACCGAGTCAAGTACGACCGAGGACCAGGTATCTACCCTATCTAGTATCTACCCTATCTAGAATCCCAGGTATCAGGCCCTTGCGTCTGGGTATGAACGGATCATCTCGATACCAGTAACTGCAACACTTAGATCGACTTCGCGCTGCTTTGCGGGAGAACGGCAGACGGCACCGCCTCAATCGCCTTGCTCCTGCGCACGGCTGCGAACACCCTCAATTCAATTAACCTCTCCCGTTGCTCGTATGCAATCATGCTTGTTCGACGAGCTAAGAAGAGATACCGGTATTGACACCCATACCCCGGCCAGCGGCCACACGTTCGCAAGCCGTGCGGCGCACCCCACCTCCAGGCGAAATATCTCCCAGCACCCGTCCTGCTCTGGACCGTTGCAATTATTAAACTGGTCCCCCATGCTTCCGCTTTACTTGGATATGGTACGGCGGTAAGCATCCGCTTGTTGAGTTTGTTAGAACGTTGTGGTGCAAGCGGCGAAGTTCCAGACAGGGTGTTCATGTGCGTGGGAATTCCCAGAAGCCCATCATTTTGTTAAGTGCCAACCCTTACGAAGGGCTGCGGATTGGCAGTGCTGTTTTGTCTCTGCCATACCAATGGGTCCATGTGACATGTCCATGCCAAACAAGCTATGCGTGGTCGTGAATTATCCAACTAAAGCGTGTATGCCCGGTAAAGCATGTGGACGCTCTTATGGTCATTGTTGCGTTTTCGACTTCCATGCTTTGGTGACCGCTCAACTCCGCGAGCGACGATGAAAAGGCAAGGGTCGTCCGCACGGTTACGTTATAAGCCAAGTGGCTAAACATGTTCCTGGTATATACATAAATATTTCCCTGTTACAAAGAAGTATACCTCTGAAGTTATCATAAACAACACGTAGCCCGACGCATGCATGCATTGACCTTGGGACAGTGACCTTGAATACAGCTCTAACTAAAGTCCCAAGAAATTTACCTTGCACACAGCGCTCGACATGGCTGCTGTAATCAAGCCTCTCCCCTTCGTGGTGAGTTCGGTCTCCCCGGCGGAAGGTGGCGGGGCGCCCCTCCAGCCCAACACATACTAGTGCCATACCGTCCTGGAATAGCAATAGAATACTGTCTGGCTTTAATTTTCTAGGAATACCTATGCCGGCTGCTTGCAGGATATCAAATTCCAGCCTAATGAGGAGGCAATTATTGAGATAAGGCATAAAGGAGTACTGTATCAGGGGACCGATATCAGAGATGTCGTTGAATGGTAGGGTAATATCCAAATGCTCGCGGGACCCATTCACTGCGACTTAAGCTCCACCATGATGCGAGGCTTCTTTCCCATCACTTGCAGCCAAGACACTTCCTGAAACCCTCTTAATGCCTGATGTGTTGCCACCACACCCTTGTGCATCCTTGCCTCAGCCTACCGCTCCCTTACCACGGTCACAGCTGCGCTGAACATCCCAACATGCCATGGTCGCCCAGCACCTCTTGCCCTGTCCTCTGTCACCCTCCCGCGTCCTTGCCTTCTGCCTGCAGGCGCCGCCTCAAGGACCTTCAGTGCTTCATCAGGGCCACGGACGGCAAGGTCAACGTGCGTCTCTTCGAAGGTACGGCAAGCCGCGGCTCTTAAGACCCCTTCCAAGTCTCGCCCTGACCGCTGTCGAGAAGCTGCTGACCACATCACATAACGCTGCGCACCCATGGCGCCCAACCCACTTCAAACCACCCACACGCTTTTCGTGGACTGCCACCCTACCTCCTTCTGCTGCTTACACTTCCTGCTGTACCTTTTGATCTTCTCCCTACTCATGTAGTCGTGTCATGTTCCTCGGGTTACCTATAGCATTCTCTCTTATCCTCTCGCGCTTCCTTCCTGTTCCGTCTCCCCCCCCCTTCCCCCACATTGGGCCGTTCTTCTCCCCCCCTGCCCCTTCAATTCCCCCCCCACCCGACCCAGATGGCGTTCGTACCGCCGACATCAACCAGGGCTCCGTGGGCGACTGCTGGCTGCTGTCCTCGCTGGCTTGCCTGGCCTCGCGACCCGGCGCTGTGGAGAAGGTAACAGCGGCTGCGTGATTCCCGTACGCATGTTCGACGCGGTCCCGCCCAATGTGTTCCCGCCCAATGTGTTCCCGCCCAATGTGTTCCCGCCCAGTGTGTTTCCGCCCATGTTGTGACGCGTGGGGAGGTTGGTAAAAAGCACTCTGCTGGCGTACCCACCGCTGCTCCCGATACTCAGCCTCCGGGTGTGTGCGGTATGGATTGCGGCACTTGAGCCGCGTTACTGCATGTGTACTGAAACCATGGCCGGGACTGACCTCCCCCCGCACCCGAATTGCTGCTGTACAGTTGTTCCTGACGCCCGAGTACAATGAGGAGGGCAGGTGAGGGGCTGCTGCTGCTGCTGGGGCCCGACTGCACCCCATGTGACCCAGATGGGGTTCTCCTTGTAAAGACGAGAGGGCTTGGTGTGGCAACTGGGTCAGGGCATAGGGTGGGCGGTTGCGCGGTCAGGGCATAGGGTGGGCGGTTGCGCGGTTGGGTTTTGCGAGGGATCGCCGACTGTCCTTCGCAAGCCTCCCACCCAATGCGGGCTTTCCGACCCGCTCGCACCATTCCTTGGCTATTACCACGGGTTGCTGTTCTTCGCCAAGACCTTGTCAAGAAATTGGGATTTCATCCCTCACCGCCCCCCACCCGCTTCTCCTCCCCGCCTCCGCCTCCAGGTACCAACTCCGGCTGTGGGACAAGCAGGCTCGCCGCTACAGCGACATCGTCGTGGATGACCAGTGAGCACATGAGCGGGGGGGGGTGGGAGGAGGGAAAAAAGAAATCCCAATGTGTGATGTGATAATGGAGGAGGGGGGAGGATCTCGATTTGGGTCGATCTGGGTCGATCTGGGTCGGAGAGAAACCAAACCAAAAGCATTCGGGGCACGCGTGTGGGGATTTGGGTCGGGTTCATGAGGTACATGAGGTCAGCGTTCCTAGGTCAGCCTTCCCTTCCTGTACTTGTTTTCCTACCTGCTGAAACCCCCTGTGCCTCCCTCGTTCGCTGGCTTGCAGCATCCCCATCTGGCGTCAGGGAGGGCAGCCCTGCTACGCGCGCCCCGCCGGCAATGAGGCCTGGGTGCTGCTGCTGGTAAGAGAGAAAGAGAGGGCGAGCTCTGAGAGCGCTGGCCGTTGTCGAGACACACGCGCGTAATGGTCCTTTGTGCAGCCCCTCCCACCCTTCATGGCTAATTTGTGGTTTGGTCCCTGGCTCCCCCGCCCCTCATCTGCGCTCTGCCCCATGAAAACCCTCTCACCGCCCTCCCTCCCTCCCTCCGCTCCTTCCCCCTGCGCTCACTGCATGAGTCTGGATTTAGAATTTTGGGACTCCGTTGCTGCACTTATCACTTTCCCCCCTGGGCCCCCCCTTGCCCACCCCGCAGGAGAAGGCCATGGCCAAGCATGTGGGCAGCTACGCCTCGCTGTCGGGCGGCATGGCGTCCTGGGCGCTGGAGACGCTGACGGGGCACTACACCTGCGTATTCCTGCTGGAGAGGAAGGTACGGCGTGGGAGGGAGGAAGGGACGGAGGGGTGCTGAGCAGGGAGGGAGGGGCGGGTGCTGAAGAGGGAGGGGTAGGGGTGCTGGAGCGTGGGGGGTGCATGGAGAGCGGCGTCCTTGTTTTGCCCTGCCCATCCCCGAGCCCCTTTCCTCCTCCTTCTCCTCCTCTTAGAACGTGGCCCTCCTCATTTCTAACGTGTTGTTCTCCTTCATGCCATGCTTTGCCCATGCCGTGCTTCACCCACACCATGCCATGCCGTCCTTCGGCTCCCCCCCCGCCGCCCATTGTTTTGCCCTAACTTGTGGTCTCCTATGGTTTGGTATGGTCTTTGACCCCCCCCCCCACGCCGCCTGCCTCGACCCAACAGTTCGGCCCCAACAGCTTCGCCGGACCCGACCCGCGCAACTGGAAATGGCTGCGCGCCGAGCTGGCCACCCGCCCCGCGGACCGTGTGATGGCGTTCGGCGCGCGCTCCTCTCTCATCAGCCGCACCACAATGTACGTGTACGACGAGGACGACGCCAGCAAGTTCTATGCGCATGAGGAGGTGTTCATGGTGAGGAGGTTGGCGGGGGGCGAGGGGTAGGGGGGCAGCAGATACCGGTACCGTCACACCAAAGCTTGGGAATCACACGTTAGCAACCGGTAGCCTGTTGGTGATGGTGACCAAGCCTCCCGTGCCCTGCACCCCCCCCCCCCTCACACACCTCCCCCCTGCATGCAGGCGGTTGTGTACCACCTGGCCATCGGCAACCTGGTTGCAGCAGCCACTGTGGGAACGGATGATGAGCAGGTGCGTTGGAGGGGGGAGGGGCCTGCCTCGCTTGTTCCCCTGCTGGTTTGTTTTTCTCGGCGGACTGCTACCAGCTTGCTGCTGCTCCTGCTCCTACTGCTGCTGCGGCCGTAATTCTGGTGTCAAATATCCCTGATGTGCAACACCGCTGCCGCTACTGGTTAACCGGTACCTCACTGCGCTGCCACCTCGCTGCCTCGTTCCTCATCCGCAGGAGGTGGACGGAGTGGTGCGCGCGCACGCCTACACGGTGGTGGCCGCGCAGCCGGTCAGCAGCAGCGGCCGGGGGCAGCTGCTCATGATCCAGGTGGGTTGTGGAGTTGTTGTGACGTTGTTGTGATGTTGTGTGTTGTGTGTATTCATTGCCCCTTTACCCCTGGATGGGTAACCCCGCTAAGCCTCTCCCCGCCCTGCTCCTTTCGCACGCGTACCTTGCTAAGCCTCCCCCCCATTGTCATTGCTATCCCCATTGTCTTGCCCCAACCTGTGGCTTCCTATGGTTCGGTATGGTCTTTGACACCCCCCCTGCTGCTCCTTCCTCCTGCATGCACCCCCCCCGGCATGCACCCCATGGTGAAGCCTTGTCATACAGCTCGTCAGTTGCTTCGTCAGTGTCTCATTATATATACTTCTTACCCCCCGGCATGCAGGTCCGCAACCCGCACGGCAAGGGCGGCCTGGAGTGGAGCGGTGACTGGAGCGATAGGAGCACTCTGTGGCTCAAGCACCCAGAGGTGGGGAGGAGGTGGTGGAGGTGGAGGGCTGCGCTACGTTTTCAAAAATGCATGTCCACTTAGCCCCTGCGGCGGCGGAGGCGACCCATGGGTCACTAGTCTCACCATTCCTCCTAACCGGCGCTTCCCGTGTCACACACTTGTGCTACCCGCATGTGTGCTTCACTGTATCCCCGTTGCTTTGCCCTAACCTATGGTTCTGATGGTATGTATCTCTGACCCCCCGCCCCCATGCGCTACCCGGGTGGCCCCCCCAGGTGGCTGCGGCGGTGGGCTATGAGCCGCCCGCCTCCGTCACCGCCGCCGCCTCCGCCGCCACGGACGGCTACTTCTGGATGGAGTGGCGCGACTTCGTGATGCATTTCAAGGAGCTCACCTTCTGCTGCGCGTGAGTACCCGTGCTGGCTGGTACCTACTAACCAACTAAGCCACGTTGCGACAGCGTATCCATGTGTATGAAAGGAAGGGAACAAGTGGGGGGTTGTGGGACGGGGAACGGGGCGCACAAAGAGTTAGCGGGCGTTTTGTTGGGGTGGGTGGTGCGTGTCTGCAGCTGGCTGGCGCCTTCACCTTCTCCCGCTGCCTACTGCTGCCTACTGCTGCCTGCTGCTTCCCACTCGCTGCTTCCCACCCGCTGCTGCCCGCTGCAGTAACGGCTTTGACTATGTGGAGGAGGAGACGCCTGCGGGGGGCTGGGTGGAGGTGTTCGAGGTGAGGGGCACGACTACCGGGGTATCACGGGGCAGTAGGAAGGTGTCACGCCTACCAGGCAGGCCTTGGCCACGTTTTTTGTCTTCGTGGAGCTGAACATGGCGCTTCGGGTATACCCCTACCCTACGCAGGGGAGATATTGTACAATGATAAGTTGCCTACCGCGCGCACCCTTCATGCACGCTCGCCTTCTCCCTGTTCCCCCCGGGCTATAATCATTGCCTCCTGCTGTCTCCTCAACATCCTTTTCCCCCTCCCCCCCCAGGACTCCACCTTCCCCCACGACCACCGCTCGCTGGGCGACTACAAGTTTGTGTACAACGGCAACCCCATGACGGGGGCCGAGCTGGACGACATCATCAAGTGGTGGGTGGTGGGTCAGGAAACCGGCCGTGTAGACGTGTGGTGTGGGAGATCCTTGACACGGGCTGCTGCTGTTGGCATGCCGTGAAGACGTCGTCGAGGTCATGCTACAGAGCTTCATGCCATGTGCCTGCCGTGTTTTGTTCCCCTGCGGTTTCCCCTCCGTTTCTCCTCGCAATTTTTTCCAGGACGCGTCTGAAGGACGTTGCGGCGGAGAAGAGACATGCATGAAGCTTACACCAACTAACCGAATTTTGTTCCGACGTTTCCCCTCCGCAGGATGCGTCTGAAGGACGTTGCGGCTCCCGACCAGTTCCGTCGCGGCGTGCGCGGCCTGAAGCTCTTCTCCGGCGGCGGCACCCACCCCGACGACATCGACGGCAGCAGCAACGGCCTCATGGTGGCGGTGGCATGCCTGGCCAACAAGCCGGGAGGCATCGAGGAGGTGAGCGTGGTGCGGCGCGCTTGCTCCCCCGCCTCTTCTTCTTCTAGCTGCTGTTGCTGCTGCAGGTTGCTGCTGCTGCTGCATCGTTCCTTTTGGGAAACCGCCAGGTGTAACCTGGGGCCGCTGGCTCTTCTTCTAGCTGCTGCTGCTGCTGCTGCTGTTGCTGCTGTAGCATTGCTCCTGCTGAGAAATGTCCTCTGGGGCGCTGGAGCCTCATTTTGTTCCATCCAATTGCTCATGCTGGCATCCCCAAAATGCCTTGCTGTGTCCATTCCAGCCCATGCACCACCTGCTGCTGAGAGCTGAACCCCCTCCTCCACATCCTGCGTCCTGCCGCCTACCCTGCCCCCTCCTCCTGTCCTACCCCGCCCCACCCCACCCTGCCCCCGTTCTCCCCCCTGCCCTCCGTATCGACAACAGCTGTTTGTGAGCGGCAAGGAGTACCGACCCGACGGCGCCTACCAGGTCCGCCTGTACGAGCCCACCAGCCGCACCGCATCCATCGCGCCATTCGATGACTGGTGGGTGCCGGGATGTTCGTGCGTGTTCATGCGTGTTCATGCGTGTTCAGGCATGTATGCATGTGCATGCATGCAGTTACCGTATTACTTGTTAGGGTCTTGCTCTTGTCAGGGAGTGACATGCAGGCTTGCGCGTTGTAACGCCTGGTCGCCCGCTGGGCACTGCAGCACCCTCACAGCCTGTACCGGTACCTATAGCTGTCGACTGCGGGAACGGCTCTGCCATGCACGTGTCCGCGTCCTGGGGGTCACCTCCTACAGCAACCCTTCCCCCCTACCCGCCTCCTTAACCCCCCCTCCCCACCGGTCACCCCATCCCTCCCTTCTCCAGGATTCCCTGCTTTAGCGGCAACCCCATCACCAAAACCAAGATCCTGGGCTCCGAGGTGTGGGTGCTGCTGCTGGAGAAGGCGGTGGCGCACTTTGTGGTGAGCGCGGTGTGGGGTGGTGGGTTGATGGAGGTCTTGGAGTGAAGGCCGTGGTGAGGCGGTGCGGAGTTGGAATGAGGGAATGAAGGCCGGGAGCTGCGGTGCGCGGATGGGAGGGGGATCTGCGCCCGCCCTGAGGATCCTTGCAACTGGGCCCTAAATCCCTACGTATATAATCCCTCAATTCCGTGCCCGCCTTTCCTCATTCGGTTTCCTTTCCTTCTCTCCCTCATCTCTTCCTTCCCGTATCTTCCCTCCCTCCCCCAACTACCCCCTCCCTTCCCCTACCCCCCCCCCCAGGAGTCCTACAGCAAGGTGTCCATGTGGGGCGTGCAGGTGTGCTGGGCGCTGGCCTGCCTCACGGGCGAGTACACCTGCCTGCTCATGTGGGAGCCAAACAGAAAGGTACGGCAGGGGACGGCGCAGGGGGCGGAAGGGGGAGGAGGTGCAGAAGCGGAGGAGGCCCGCGTACGGTAGTACACCGTAGGATGGCGGTAAACGGTACTGGACCCATGCATTATGGTTCTGTGACCTCCCACCCCCCACACCCCAACCCCCCCCCCAACCCCATCCGCCCCCCCAGATGTTCCGGCGCCTGGAGCTGCGCTACACGGAGAAGACGCCCGCGCAGTACCGGGCAGAGTACGCGTCGGACGAGCAGTCGCTCATAGCCACGGATGACGTGTTCCGGGTAGGGGTGGGAGATGGCGTGCATGGGTGCGGGCATGGTTTGTTGTCTCCAGGGTAGGTGTTTTTACGTACATGGGTGCGTGCATGGGTGTGTACCGGTATGGTCGTTCTTCCCGTCGTCCTACCCTCACCTACCCTTCCTGCCTTCCACCGCCGCTCCTCCCCCTCCCGCAGACCTTCGCCGCGCAGCTGCTGCTGGGCTGCCTGGTGGCCGCGGAGACGGACCGCGAGGAGGTGGACAGCGACACCACGGGGCTGGCGAGGGCCCGCAACTACAGCGTGTTGGACGCCAGGTGGGGGCGGGGGGGCGGGGGGGGTTGGTAGCACCCACCTGTTTGAAGACTGCTGTTGTTAGGCTAGGTGGTGTGCACAGCTCCGAAGTTGTAGATCTGTGCCCCCCTTGTGATGGCCATGAGGACCGGCGCATGTCATTTGGCTCACTTCTTTTGCTCGGCCTGCCTGTGCCCCCACCCTCCTCTGGGGCTTGAACGCTGGTGTTTTGCTTCGCTCCGCGACTCCGCGTGCGCGCATGCGCTTCCGTTCGGCCGCTCTTATCACAAACGCTAACAACCCATCCGCCTTGACCGCTGCAAACCTGCAACTCCGCAATGTATCATCCTCAACAGGGTTGTCACCCTGGACGGCTCCGCGCCGTCACCAACCGGCCGCAATGTGCGCCTGGTCAAGGTGCGTGCGTGCGTTGGGATCACTACCGGCGGGGGTCAGCCTCCCTTCTTGCAGCGCTCTCTGTGTTGGGGGTCACTACCGAGGTGGTTTATGGCTTGCCGCAGTCACTCTGTACGCGCTCTTTACACCAGTCACTGCCTCATTTGATCACGGGGTTGCACACGGCCCAGTGCTTGTCTGTCTGCCCCTCGAAAGCCCTGCCCTTGCTCCCCGCACTCCTAATAACTAACTGCCCTCCTAGTAAGTGTGGATCTGACGTTTTCTTCCCGCCCCCCACCTTCCCCTTCACGGCCGTCCCCAACCTGGCCGGCCGTGTCGCCCTTCGCTCCACCCCCACAGCTGCGAGACCCTGCGCGACAGGTGGGGCCGGTCAGAGGCCTGGGGTGGCGGGTTGCCGGTAGTGGGCATGTACCGTATGCCAGGACGCATGCGTGGCCTGATAACACATGACTTAGGGACTACCGGTACTCGGCGTAGGATGCACGCCATGCAAAAGTGCTGGACATGCCGGGTAATCAGCTTCCCAGCAGCTCAAGTACCTGTACAGGAAGTGCCATGCGAACCCGCCCACCGCGTAGCAGCACCTCACCCCTCACACCTCCCACCATCTTTGCAAGCCTTCTGCCCTCGCGCTGCGCCCTCCCTCCCGCCCTCCCGTCACTCCTCCCCCTTTTAGAACGAGTGGAAGGGCGACTGGAGCGACAGCAGCAGCCTGTGGGACCAGCACCCAGCGGTGAGGAGGGGAGGCGGGGGGGCAAAGAAGAATACGGTACTCAATGTGTTGAATGAGAATTGCAAACAAGACGACAGGCGGGGAAGTGGGGTGACAGGGAATACAGGTACCGCGCGGGGAGCACCCCTTTCGGACGCCCTTCGTTCCCCACTTTGGACGCCCATGTGAGGATGGGCTGCGGTCTTATGCATCTCAGCAGCCAGTGCCCCCCACATCCGGCATGTCCAATCTCTCTCCCACGGTACCTTGACTTCAATATTGTGTGGTACCCTCCCCCCTCCTCGCCCGCAGGTTGCCCGAACGCTGGATTTCAAGCGCGAGGCCGCCGCGGAGGGCGACGCAGCGTCCGGGTCGGCCCGCCGTGACGGTTCCTTCTGGATGACGTTCGAGGACTTCCTGCGCTACTTCCGAACCATGACGCTGTGCGGCAAGAGGTGCGGAATGAATGAATGAATGGTGTGCATGTGCTTGTTAAGGAGTCCTGGCCGCGAGCTGGAACGTACTGTGATTGCCGGAAGATGATGTACTCAAAGAAACACCAGAGGCAGCGGTGCGGAAGGTTGGCTCCATCTGGCAGCACCTCCTCAATGCTCCTCTCCTTACCCGCCTCCCCTTACCCGCCTCTCCTTACCCGCCTCCCCTTACCCGCCTCCCCTTACCCGCCTCCCCTTACCCGCCTCCCCTTACCCGCCTCCCCTTACCCGCCTCCCCTTACCCGCCTCCCCTTACCCGCCTCCCCTTACCCGCCTCCCCTTACCCGCCTCCCCTTACCCGCCTCCCCTTACCCGCCTCCCCTTACCCGCCTCCCCTTACCCGCCTCCCCTTACCCGCCTCCCCTTACCCGCCTCCCCTTACCCGCCTCCCCTTACCCGCCTCCCCTTACCCGCCTCCCCTTACCCGCCTCCCTTACCCGCCTCCCCTTACCCGCCTCCCCTTACCCGCCTCCCCTTACCCGCCTCCCTTACCCGCCTCCCCTTACCCGCCTCCCCTTACCCGCCTCCCCTTACCCGCCTCCCCTTACCCGCCTCCCCTTACCCGCCTCCCCTTACCCGCCTCCCCTTACCCGCCTCCCCTTACCCGCCTCCCCTTACCCGCCTCCCCTTACCCGCCTCCCCTTACCCGCCTCCCCTTACCCGCCTCCCCTTACCCGCCTCCCCTTACCCGCCTCCCCTTACCCGCCTCCCTTACCCGCCTCCCCTTACCCGCCTCCCCTTACCCGCCTCCCCTTACCCGCCTCCCCTTACCCGCCTCCCCTTACCCGCCTCCCCTTACCCGCCTCCCCTTACCCGCCTCCCCTTACCCGCCTCCCCTTACCCGCCTCCCCTTACCCGCCTCCCCTTACCCGCCTCCCCTTACCCGCCTCCCCTTACCCGCCTCCCCTTACCCGCCTCCCCTTACCCGCCTCCCCTTACCCGCCTCCCCTTACCCGCCTCCCCTTACCCGCCTCCCCTTACCCGCCTCCCTTACCCGCCTCCCTTACCCGCCTCCCCTTACCCGCCTCCCCTTACCCGCCTCCCCTTACCCGCCTCCCCTTACCCGCCTCCCCTTACCCGCCTCCCCTTACCCGCCTCCCCTTACCCGCCTCCCCTTACCCGCCTCCCCTTACCCGCCTCCCCTTACCCGCCTCCCCTTACCCGCCTCCCCTTACCCGCCTCCCCTTACCCGCCTCCCCTTACCCGCCTCCCCTTACCCGCCTCCCCTTACCCGCCTCCCCTTACCCGCCTCCCCTTACCCGCCTCCCCTTACCCGCCTCCCCTTACCCGCCTCCCCTTACCCGCCTCCCCTTACCCGCCTCCCCTTACCCGCCTCCCCTTACCCGCCTCCCCTTACCCGCCTCCCCTTACCCGCCTCCCCTTACCCGCCTCCCCTTACCCGCCTCCCCTTACCCGCCTCCCCTTACCCGCCTCCCCTTACCCGCCTCCCCTTACCCGCCTCCCCTTACCCGCCTCCCCTTACCCGCCTCCCCTTACCCGCCTCCCCTTACCCGCCTCCCCTTACCCGCCTCCCCTTACCCGCCTCCCCTTACCCGCCTCCCCTTACCCGCCTCCCCTTACCCGCCTCCCCTTACCCGCCTCCCCTTACCCGCCTCCCCTTACCCGCCTCCCCTTACCCGCCTCCCCTTACCCGCCTCCCCTTACCCGCCTCCCCTTACCCGCCTCCCCTTACCCGCCTCCCCTTACCCGCCTCCCCTTACCCGCCTCCCCTTACCCGCCTCCCCTTACCCGCCTCCCCTTACCCGCCTCCCCTTACCCGCCTCCCCTTACCCGCCTCCCCTTACCCGCCTCCCCTTACCCGCCTCCCCTTACCCGCCTCCCCTTACCCGCCTCCCCTTACCCGCCTCCCCTTACCCGCCTCCCCTTACCCGCCTCCCCTTACCCGCCTCCCCTTACCCGCCTCCCCTTACCCGCCTCCCCTTACCCGCCTCCCCTTACCCGCCTCCCCTTACCCGCCTCCCCTTACCCGCCTCCCCTTACCCGCCTCCCCTTACCCGCCTCCCCTTACCCGCCTCCCCTTACCCGCCTCCCCTTACCCGCCTCCCCTTACCCGCCTCCCCTTACCCGCCTCCCCTTACCCGCCTCCCCTTACCCGCCTCCCCTTACCCGCCTCCCCTTACCCGCCTCCCCTTACCCGCCTCCCCTTACCCGCCTCCCCTTACCCGCCTCCCCTTACCCGCCTCCCCTTACCCGCCTCCCCTTACCCGCCTCCCCTTACCCGCCTCCCCTTACCCGCCTCCCCTTACCCGCCTCCCCTTACCCGCCTCCCCTTACCCGCCTCCCCTTACCCGCCTCCCCTTACCCGCCTCCCCTTACCCGCCTCCCCTTACCCGCCTCCCCTTACCCGCCTCCCCTTACCCGCCTCCCCTTACCCGCCTCCCCTTACCCGCCTCCCCTTACCCGCCTCCCCTTACCCGCCTCCCCTTACCCGCCTCCCCTTACCCGCCTCCCCTTACCCGCCTCCCCTTACCCGCCTCCCCTTACCCGCCTCCCCTTACCCGCCTCCCCTTACCCGCCTCCCCTTACCCGCCTCCCCTTACCCGCCTCCCCTTACCCGCCTCCCCTTACCCGCCTCCCCTTACCCGCCTCCCCTTACCCGCCTCCCCTTACCCGCCTCCCCTTACCCGCCTCCCCTTACCCGCCTCCCCTTACCCGCCTCCCCTTACCCGCCTCCCCTTACCCGCCTCCCCTTACCCGCCTCCCCTTACCCGCCTCCCCTTACCCGCCTCCCCTTACCCGCCTCCCCTTACCCGCCTCCCCTTACCCGCCTCCCCTTACCCGCCTCCCCTTACCCGCCTCCCCTTACCCGCCTCCCCTTACCCGCCTCCCCTTACCCGCCTCCCCTTACCCGCCTCCCCTTACCCGCCTCCCCTTACCCGCCTCCCCTTACCCGCCTCCCCTTACCCGCCTCCCCTTACCCGCCTCCCCTTACCCGCCTCCCCTTACCCGCCTCCCCTTACCCGCCTCCCCTTACCCGCCTCCCCTTACCCGCCTCCCCTTACCCGCCTCCCCTTACCCGCCTCCCCTTACCCGCCTCCCCTTACCCGCCTCCCCTTACCCGCCTCCCCTTACCCGCCTCCCCTTACCCGCCTCCCCTTACCCGCCTCCCCTTACCCGCCTCCCCTTACCCGCCTCCCCTTACCCGCCTCCCCTTACCCGCCTCCCCTTACCCGCCTCCCCTTACCCGCCTCCCCTTCCCCGCCTCCCCTTACCCGCCTCCCCTTACCCGCCTCCCCTTACCCGCCTCCCCTTACCCGCCTCCCCTTACCCGCCTCCCCTTACCCGCCTCCCCTTACCCGACCACTGCACCCCTGTTCCCCCGCATGCGCACATGCAGCCTGCGCGGCAACACCAAGCCCTGGCTGGTGCGCCAAGACGAGCTGGACGCCGCAGCTCGGCGGCTGGCGGAGGCTCGCCGGCTGCAGCAACTGCGCGCGGAGCAGGAGGCGCTGGAGGACGCGCAGCACCGGGAGCTGCGGCGCCGCGCCGCGGACCGCGCGCACGGCCCCGACGGTCCCGCATCCGGCCAGATCTTCGCCCAGGCGGCCATCGCCGCCGCCGCCGCGGCCCCCAAGCGGCAGCAGCCCCGACAGCAGGCTCCTGCGGCGGCGGCAGCAGGAGGCGGTTCCAGCGCCACACCGATAGCAGTGGTCCCCGCGATGACCCCCGCGGGGCCAACTTCGCCGCGGCCGATGACGCCAACGATGCTGGCGGCGCCTGCGGCGCCGCCGGCTGCGCCGGCAGCAGCAGCGGCGGCGCCTGCGGCGGGTGAGTCGGCGCCTGCGAGCCCGCCCGCGGGAGCGACGGCGACGTTGAATGTGGGGCCGGGAGCAGCAACACCGGCAGCGGGGGCGGATCCGGCGAGCTCGAAGCCGCAGGTGGTGGTTGTGGAGGCGGGGGGTTGCAAGGGCTGTGCGATCATGTGAGCGGTGGTAGGTTTTTTCAGCCGGTGGGAGGTCAGGTGGGGTGTATTTGTTATGCGTGTTTGCGCGCTTGATTATTAACTTGCAAAGTGGATTCCGGTATTGTACAATTACTAGGACGTGATACTGCGACTGTATACCAGGACAAGGGGCGGGCGGAGCAAGGGTCCAGAGCGGCGGTGTTGGACGCAAACAGTGATGAGGTGACATTGCAGCGCGCGTGCATGATTTGCACAATGACGCATACTGTTTTGAGACATATTTATCCCAGGCGCTACGTTTTGGGGGGGGGGGTGATATCAGCAATGCTTTACCACCCGTGAAGGGCTTCACTTACTGCGTGGGGGTTTCGCTGTTGCGCGCGATTTATAGGGTTTTATATATGTTCCCATACCCGGCATGTGCCAAGTGCTGCACATTCTCGTGTGGTTAGTTGCACGGTGACTGGAGTTGGTTGCCTGTATGGCGACGACGCAGTGCAAGGAGGAACTGTATACCGTACGACATGCACATGCGGCCGCTTTTAGCCCCGGTGCACACAACGTTAGAATGTGGGAGACGTGGTATTCCTGCCTTCGATCCCCGCATGCTGTTAGCGGGAGGCAACTGTGTTACATCATTGACGTAAGCAGTTCAGTCCATGACAGTAGTTTACCGCTTAGGCCGGCTAAGTGACGATAATGCACATATGTGTTTACTTTGACATCCGGCTGGGGTATGTACGGGCGTTGCGATTTTGCTGTACTGGCGAGTAATGACCCGTGGGTCATGCCGCATGTGGGCGTGTTCTAACCACATTTTCAAAATTAAGGCCACTATATGGCTAATCACTTCTTGTACAGGTAGCCGTGCGACATGGGCTATCTACATTCCACTTTGTTTGTGGCCCCTAGTCGGAAGAAGACCCACATCGAGGTCTCTTCCCACCAAACAATTTGCAATGCTACATCCTGTACGGAAGGGCTCATCGCCGTACCATGCCGTACCGGCTTGTTGTCGTACCGGCGTATATCCACCCAACATCACCCTCACCAAAATGCGCAACACTCATTGCTGAATGTGCCATCTAATGGTCCTTCCATCACACGCACGGTAGCACCCTCAGCTGCCGGTAACAGCTCATCCAGCCTACAATGCGTGGGATACTTCACTCGACCTCCACGCTAGCAGAGTAGGCCCTACAACACGTGCTCCTGCCCCAGTCCCGGAATGCTGGGGTGTCCCCCTCCTCGACCGCTCGTGTCGTGTGTGTCCCGCATCGCGGTGTAGTGGAACCCAAAACTGATGCCGAAGCACACGCCTCTCCATCTCTCTCTGCATTCGTTGTTCTTTAGTGCATGATGTCTCTACTTCAGCGCATTGAACCGCTACATGGACGTGTGTACGAGGTTGGGCCGTGGCACGCTTCTTCCTTTCTTCACCCCTCTCAACCAAGCCCATGCTACCACCGCACGATCCGCATCCTTCGCGCTCTGACACTCCCCGATCCCTACCCTTCGCGTTCTCCTGTTCTGTTCATCTATACAAACGACCCATGGGCCCCTTGCAAGAGCTAACAATACAACCTCCAACAGTCAGTCAGGCTACATGCAACACCAGCACCCAAGCACGTAAGGTGAAACGCAGCCCCCAAGAAGGGTAGGCCGCTCGTCCGCACTTCCTGCTGGCGATACCCTCTTAACGTCGTCATCTCAACGACGCAGCCTTCTCGGCCTCGGCTGGCGTCTGCGTCACCAGCGACAGAGCGTGCAGCCCATCCGCGAACTCCTGCTCGAGAAGCTGTGATTAAGCAGGCGGAAAGCGGGGCAGCGGGCGGGGTTCAGAGATCAACGTGAGAGCGATGTATAGCGAGGTGAGCAACGCCATCCCGACGTCCCAACGTAGGGAGACTTACGAACCACAACCGTTAACGAACTCCAACCACCCCAAACTGCCAACACACACGACAATCAACAACCGACACGCCACCTCCCGTCCCACCTGGAAGATCAGCCGCTGCCGTTTGACCTGGCTCAGCCCCTCAAACGCCTCCGAAACCACCCGCACGCGGAAATGCGTCTCCCCCGAGGCGCCCGCCTTGCCCGGCCGTGCCACCATGGCACCCGCGTGACCCGCGTGCTGTGCGCTGTCGTTTGCGAACTCCAGGGCAACAGGCCGCAACGCCGCCTCGATCTTTCGTCGCATGCCGTCCTGAATGGGAGTACGACTGGGCGTCGCGTCTGCGGCAGCAGAAGACGTGTGCGCAGATCCAGAAGACTCCGTCGCCGGTGCTTCTGCTGCTGCTGTTGTGGTTGACTCCGGCGCAGCTGCTGGTGAATCCGCGCTGCTGCTGCCATTGCTGCTACCATTGCCGCTAGCGCCATTTCCGTTCGCAGCAGTGGTCGCCGCTGCCGCCTCCTCCGCTGCTCCTGGCGCCTCTGCGGACCCCGCCGCCGCCGCTGCGGAAGAGGAGGAGGAAGCAGACGCCGCCAGCAGTTCCAGCGTCTTCCGCTGCATGAGTCGGAACATGTTGAGGAAACCGTTGTTGCGTGAGGGCGTGAGGCTCTGGCGCAGTCCGAGTGCCTCGATGAAGGCGGGCTGCACTGCTAGGATCTCTGCTGGGGTGCAGCCGCTGAGGCCGGTCACGAGCAGGGCTGCCAGGCCCTAGGGAAGGCGAGGGGCCGGGCGGGGAGGCGGGGTGATGGGTGCTGCTGGTGTGCGGCGGTATTAACGGTAAGCGGTGGAAGGCGGTGGTAGGGGGTGTTAGTACGGTAACCCATAGTACGGGTTGGAAGGACGTGTTGCTGATTACTGGAGTCGCAGTGTGGTGATGATGCCACGTTGAAAACCGGTAGTCTACTTCTCCACGCCGCTCGTACCTTTGTTAGTTGGGAGTCTGAGTCAGCCCGCCAGTATATCCGCCCGTCAGCCCTGAGCTCCGGAACCACCCACACCTGCGAACGGAGCGCGTGCATTTGAACCATCGGATATGGCAAGCAGCGGATAAGCAGCGACGCCGGTGACATCGGGTGGCTTCGGGCAGAAGGGTAGGGCCATACAGCATCAACAGACGAGACCCAGATCATGTAACGATCCTTCACGGACAGCTACCTGAACTGCCATTCCGCCCATTCCATAAACACACGCGAGTCATGCCATGCCAACCCAGCGTGTCAGGCGTGCCATGCGTGTTGGGACGCGTACCTGGGACACGCAGCCCTCTACTTTGTTTGAGGGCAGGTGGTCCGCCGCGGGAAGGGGCGCCAGCTTGGTGGCGTAGAACAGGAGCTGTTTGTATCTGGATTGGGGTCGTCAGCAACGCAGCGGAAGGGCTTACGACGAGGATTAAGCAGATGCGTGCCACAGCGCAAGTGACGCCGGTGAAAGCCGAAGAATGGCTGGCAATGAAACCCTTGCACACGCTGAAAGGATACATGAAGCCCAGCGTGTTCTCACCTAGCCATTGGATCTGGTACCATCTGGAAAGCGACTACAATCTTTTGCAGGCTGCTAGGCAGATCTGAGGTTTTCTGAGCACGGCAGGTGCATAATCCCTGTTCGGAAGCAGCCGTTTCCCACGATTACCGTCAATATAGCCCATAAAGCGAGAAGCGTTCAAATTTTTGACACATGCGAGGCTACTTACACGCGAACGCCGGTTCTGCTGCGTCGGCGCGACGAGCGCAGGGCTTCGCCGAAGACAAGCCAAGCCGCCGCTCTTCATCGCTCCAAGCCGTATCTGGCGATGCATAATCATACTGTTGAAATCCTTTGGATAGGCTTCGTATTCTTCAAGTAAGCGAAACAGGCGTGGTTGACAAACAGCCTGGTAGTAATTGAAACAAAACTGACACAGAAGGGTCGGGCTACTCTATCTAGGCTTGTAGGATTGCAAGTTTAAGTCCAGGTGCAAGTAAGGATGATTTCAGGTGATTCCATGTCGTACGTTTGGAGCAGAAAGAATGGTTCGTGCTTCCCCCCGCCTCGATCGAGACACAACTATTAGGCGACTACACTGTACTTTTAACTACTTTTGCTCCGTGGCATCACTTATCTATCCTTTCGACTTCCGCTTGGACACGGCACGATACAACACCTTCACAATGATTTGTGTGTAATCTAATACTACCGAGGCCAAACGATTGTATCATAATCAACGTTGGGTGCGTTTGCCAGCTGGGCGCATTACTGGAAACGGGCCGGCTTCCACCAAAGAGGTTTCAGCAGCAGCAATCCCAGCCCTGAGGTATGCACCAACACAGTTATAGCTTCTGGAAGCGTCGGGGCATGAGGGTTATGGCTTATGGGCAACTAAGGCGCAGGTGTAGAGTGCTTTGGGTTAGCACCCTGAGCAACCGCAGCCCTCTCTGGCCACTGTAAAACTTTAATCAGATATCACTGCTAGTGCTAGATAGTTTTTTAGTGTCCTTGTACGTCCCTTTCGGGTTCATCTCGCTGTTTGTCGCGTAATGCCGGACTTCCACTTAGCTGCTCGCAAACCTGGCCTCGTATTTACCTCCCCATAGGTTCCTACTTTCATGATTACAACCTGATGAGTTGGTAGTGGTGGGGGCCCCGCGGGCGGGCGCACATCTATCCCCAGCTGCCCGCCCGCGGGCCCTGCTGCTGGGTAGTCAGCCTTAACCAGGCCAGTACAGACAAACCCTGCAGATACATTTGCAGCGCTTGCTTAGCGGCGAAGTCAAACTCCACAGCTGTTAAACATCGCCCGGGGCATCCCATTCGTCGGGTTGCCACCGTCGGCGTACGGCTGGGCGTGTGGCCCTGAGGAGTCCGCCGCAGCATCTTAGAGCAGCACTTCAGGGTTAGCGCTTGGGCCGGCGCGGCCCGCGTCATGTTCGCAAATGAGTACCAGGGCGGGACGCATGTGGAGGTGCTGAGCACGCAGGGCCAGAACCCGCTCGCCCAATGGAAGGTCGTCGGACCGCAAAAGGGACTCCAGAAAGTCTTCGACAAGGTAAGCACAGCCACCCTTCCACCCATGGCTGAGACGAGGAGAGATGCAATACACCCTCCCCAACAGCCACACCGCATGCTGGAGCTCGTGCATCAGTCGTCACTCACATCAGTTGGCTTCTTGGTCCCGGCCCTCGCATTACCGCCGGCTGTGCACCGTATTCACGACCACCGCTCTGGGCTGCCCGTGCACCCTAAACCCTGCCAGAGCACTTCATCCTGCCTTCCCCAAACCCTTCCTTCCCCAAACCCTCCTTCCAACCCCAAACCCTCCTTCCAAATCCTCCTCAGGCGGTGAAGGGCAATGTGTTCGCCAGCAGCGGCGTCTGCCGACTGGCGCTGCCCCGGGACGAGCGCGGCTCGCTGGGCCTCACGCAGCCGCACCTGCTGCTGCAGCTGGCGATCGGAGTGGTAGGGGGGCGGGGAAGGAAGTGAAGACGGGGAAACGGCTGCTGTTCAATCCAGCCTCAGAGAGGGCTCATGAGGGAGAGAGGGACATGGGTTTGGGGCAGCACCATTCGTCGCATTCAAGTCGCCTCAAAGCAACCATCCTTGTCTTCCTCGCCCTCCCTGCCTCCCTCTCCTGCAATCACCTCCCCAGGGTGTTCCCTTCAGCCTGGAGGTGGGCCTGACGGACAGCACCTGCACCCGGCGCCGGGTGATCCTGTCCGCCTCCTTCTCGGAACTCAAGTGCACTCCGCTGCACTGCCAGGTGGGAGAGGGAGGCGCAGGCGGCAACCCTCATGATGCCTGCCTATCAGCGGCTGCCGCTGCTTCCTCACCTCCCGTTTGCATCCCGTGCACGTGGTAGCATGATGCAGTGCACACTCCAGGTGTGCATACCTCATGTTTCGCTTCCACTGTTCCAAACCACACGAAGCGTGTCCCTTGCACCATGCCACCGGTAGTTGTTCTTCCAGTTGTGTAGCTGCTAGCCCCTGTGGTCCCACCCCCAGGGGCTGGGGTCGGCTTGTTTGCCATCCTCTCATTCAACGCATTGGGTGTTCTTGACCCCCCCCCCGCCCCCCGCAGGTTCCCTTCACCTCCCTGCCCCGCGACGTCTGGCTCAACCTAGTCCTGCCGCTACCCGAGCTAGCAGTGGCGCTGTTCCGAAGCAGTCCGGGGAGCAACAGCGGGGGGACAGCTCCGGGAGGAGCGGCGGGAGGGGCAGGTGGTACGGCAGCAGGGGGTGGCGGCAGTACGGCAGGTGGTACGGCAGGCTCAGCGGCGGCGGGGGCGGGGGCGTCGTCGTGGTATCGGTCGCTTGACTGTTTGCAGCTGGCTGGCTCGTGTCGGTTGCGGCGCATCTGCACACTGCGGGACCCGCCGCAGCTGCCACCTGACGAGGCGGTGAGTGGGTTGCACATGGGAGGGAGAGAGAGAGAGCCTAAAGGGCGGGGCTTGGATGGTGGCCTTGGTGGCAAAATGGAAGGGCTTCGGTTCAACTCTCCAACTCTCCAAACAAAATCATCATGCAACGCGGACCGCAAAAGGCTACGAACTGCGTCTTTACCCAGTCCCGTTGTTCTTCCTGTTTGCCCTCAGGGTGTCCCATTCAACCAGCCGTGCCTCCCCAAGTCCCTAGACTTTCCCGCGGGCGTGGACTTCCAAACCCTGCAGCTAGATCCGCGCAGCCTCACATTCGTGCCGTTGGGGTACGGCTACGGCAGTGGCACGGGACCCGGCTCTAGTGCCGGCGGCGCCGGAGCCGCTGGGGGCGCCGCTCTTGGCGTCGTGGGCACCTCGACGGGGTCCACAAGAAGACAAGCAGCCGGGAGTGCAGGCGTTACGCCGCCTGTCGGCGGCGGCGTTGGCGTTACGTCGCTGACACTAACCGCAGCTGCGAACGGTCGAGGGACGCCACTCGGCAACGGCAGGACGGGCGCAATTGGCGGCAATGGTGGTGGTGGGGGTGTCAGTGGTGGCATGGATGAGGACGGAGCCGTTATCAGCCCCACTCGGCATGTTGACGGAATGGGGGGGCTGCGGGCGACTGGGATGCCGTACCTGGCCGGCGGCGGCTGTGACGTGGCAGCAGCGGGGCTGACCCATGGGTCGCCGACAGGGCAGTCGACGCCGACGGCGCGCGGCAGCGGAAACGGCACTGGGAACGGCGGCGGCGGCGGAGGAGTGGGCTATGTGGGGCATTATGGTTCCGGAGGCGCAGCAGGCGGGCACCTGGGGTCTGCTGGGGAGCATGTGGTGCCTAGCAGGTGTGCCCGGGGCTCTGCGGTGTGCGAAATATAGGGTATGGGGCTTGGGGCTGTGGGAATGGATTGATTGGGGCTGCAGGTATGGAGTGAAACCGTTGTGCATGGCATGAACCCTCCTGGACCCTGCGTTTGTTTGACTCTTCCTTCGCAGGCTTGGTCGCTTTGCCGCAGCTTACGGCACCGGCGGCGGCAGCAGCAGCCCAAACGGCGGTCCAAGCACCACCGCAGCAGCAGCAGGTTTCCTACCGCTGCCAGGTTTCGGAGCCCCTGGCGCCCCTGCCGTACATGGACCCCCCACCACGGGCCCGTCCAGTGGACTACCTCCCAGTGGGCGGTTACCCCCGGTCAACGGAGCGGTCGCCATGCCCTCTGGCAATGCTGACAACGGCAACCGCAGCGGCAGCGGCGATAATTCGCCGTTCGGAGGCCGTCGGGCCCTATCTGCGCAAACCATCGTACGGTACGGGCAAACCGTTGACGGCGCCGTGGGAGGTACCGCCGACGGCGCTGGCGGCGTGGCTGCGGCTGCGGCGGTGTTGGCGGGGGGCGGCGGCATGGGGGCGGTTGCGGGCGGCGTGGGCGGCGGCGTGGGGTTTCGAACTCTGTGGCCGCGGTCTGTGATCGGCAAGCGGGCGCAGAGTGGGCCGGCCAGGATTAGCACGGAGGCGTTGACGCAGGTGGGTGGTGGTTGGCGGCAGGGGTTGGCGGCATTGGCTGGCTTGCGCTTCTGTCTAGTGCTAGGTGGGGCTTGTTTGTTTTGAGACCGGTGTACTAATGGATTTGATTTGCAATGAGTTGCCACATGCATTGGCTCCCGGGTACCCAATAAGCCTTCCAAACAATCGTTCAGCCCTTTTATTCACTGTCCTAGACTCGGCTAATCCTGAGCACCGTGTCTCTCCCCCTCGCCGCTGCCCTCCCCCCCAATGCTCCCAACGCCCCTGCCTGCCGCAGGCTGCCACCCAGCCGCCCCGGAAAGGCCCCCCCGACTGGAGCTACGGTGCCGAGGGGCCCTTGAAGGTATCCCACCGAACCTCCTCAACCTCCCATCTCACCATCTCATCGTTGCCCAGCACCCCAAACTAACCCTCCTCCGCCGTCTCCTTACCACTCCATCGCTTCTTGCGGTCGGCAGCTACACACATGACACAATCCTTTATGTTGCCACACCACATAGCACCAATACCTTGCCATGCAGGAGAGTTACCTCCGCTTTGTGTTTCTCACGGTCGGGTTCACCATTTCCTCAGTCACTTCTTCAATCGTTCCTTACATCGCCTTCGCCCTGCTTCTTAACCCCGCCCCGCCTCGCCCCTTCCTACCTCACACCCCCTCTCCAGGGTCTTGGCGACACAGTGGCACCCCCGGATACCCCCACCTCCCCCTCCCTGGCTCCTCGCCACGTCCGTCGCGTCCACAACACCAGCAACCTCCCACCCACCATCATCGAACACGAGGCCATGCCCCCCACCCACACCGCCATGGGCTCGACCCCAGCCGGCTCCACTGCCCGGTCACCCAACCGCAGCCCTTCAAGGTTGAGACACCACCCCATCACTGGCGGCGGCGGCGGTGCCGCCGCAGCAGCCGCACGTGCAGGCGGCGAGCCCGCCACACCCTCCCTGCCGCTGTTGAGGGTAACCCGCGCGGATGTAGCCCCCTCGCGGGAGCCCTCCTCGCCCGCAACGGCAGCTGCAACCGGCGGCAGCAGCTCTCCTCCCTTCACACAGCAGCTCTCATCCGTTCTCACCGTCCGAGGCGGCCTGGACGCCTCCCTAGACTTTGCGTCGCAGCAGCAGCTGATGGAGGGAAGCTGCTGCTCGCCTTCCATTCTGTCGTCCCTCACGCGCGGGGGATCCAATCCGCTGATGCATACCCACCGCTATGGAGGGAGTGCTGCCGGCGGTGGCGGTGGCGGTGGCGCAGTCACCGCTGCTGCTACCGTCCCGGGTACCTCGGGTGACCTTTGGCTGGACTCTGACGACGACGCGGCGGTGGGTTGTGGCGGAGGTATGTCCTCCACTGCGACGGTTAGTGAGCCGTTGCCGGCAAAGGTGGGGAAGGTCCGGACACGGGTGCCAGGCGGCGGAGGCTCGAGTAGCGGGGCAGCAGGGAAAGGTGGTGGTGGTGGAGCGGGAGGAGGCGGGGGTAATACGGCGAATGGCGGCGGAGGCGGCGGCTGGGGTGCAGCAGCGGGTACGGCGGGAGCAACAGCAGCGGCTTCCGCTGCGGGCCGCAGAGTTCCGCTTTCCGCTGCTCTCACACAAGACGCAGACACACCCACACGTGCCACGCGAGCAGCAGCCGCAGCAGCAGGCGCTGCAGGTCCTGCCACGAACCCAGCGGTGGCTGCCATTGCGGCGGCTGCTTCCGCCGGGCAAAACGGCCGGAGCAGTCCCGCGGGGACGCCCTCCCGGACAGCTACACGCTTGACGCCGCCGCACGGCTCTAACGCGGCTCCGGGGTCCAGTCCCTTCGCGCCCGGGCGGCAGCGAGGCAGGGAGGAAAGCAACTCCGGTGCTGCTCGGCCCGCAGCCGCCGCCGCTGCTGCTGCTGCTGCTGGGGGTACCTGTGGTAAGCCGCCGACTGGTGCCGCGTCCCCGGCGCGACAGCGCGCAGCAGCGACGCCGCCGCGCGGCGCAGCCGCGTCGCGCATTCCTCCTCGACCTGGGTTGCCGTACGCGGAAGGCCGCGAGCGGCTGCCTCCGCTAGCTGGCGGCAGCGGCACCGCTGGCGGTCGCGGCGGCGGTGGTGCTGCCGCCGCAACAGCCGGCGGAGGCGGAGGCGCGGGGCGTGGAAAGGGGGGGCCGTCTAAGCGGGGCTCACGCGTTATAAACCGCTCGGTTACCTCCACCACAGCGACGTCGGAGGTTGATGTGGAGGAGTCCATTGCGCTGAATGCGGGCATGTGGGGCGGTTTCGGAGTGGACGAAGATGATGACATGTTGGGCTCGCGACACTTCCGAGCGGGCCCAAGTCAAACCCGGGGTGCTGGCGGCGGAGGTGAGGGCGATGTGAACTCGGGGTCCGATGGGGACATTGGCGTCGTGGACACCCTGTCACCGGATCCTCGGAGAGGCCCCAGCGGAGCCGGCGTGTTTGCTGCCAATGCATGGGCTGGCGCTCGTGGCCTGCCGCCGGTAGGTGCCGGCGGCCCGTCGCCACCGGTGACGGCGGCCGGCGGCGCGCGAGGGGGCGCATGGGCGGCGGGGAGTCATGGAGGCGAGGACTTGCCGTCGCCGCCGCCGCACCGTAACCTGCCGTACAATGCCGGCGCCGTCGGGCCCATGTCACCGCCTATTCGACGCAGTACAGCCCGCGTGGAGATCTCGTCGTCCCGTCAGCCGGATCGCGGGTACGACAGGGAGGACGATGACGAGTACGACATGACGTCACGGGGTGCGACGGGTACGACACGGAATGCATCCATGGCTGGCTTCTTTGGTGTTGGAAGTGGCGTAGGCGCCGGCAGCGGTGGCAACATGCAGCGGGACAGCGATGGTGGCGATTCGTTGTTCAACAACCTTGACCGTTTACTTGACGAGGAGGCGCTGTTGGCTGGATACGGCCATGATTTGGGACGTTACGACGACTGGGTTAGGCCGCTGGACCCCCGGGGACCCTCCGCGCCCGCCGGAGGCTCCAACCATCCTGCCCAACGCGCCTTCACGCCTCCCATCGTGCCAGCTAGTAGAGCTCTTGGCGTGGCGGGGGCCAATGCCGGCAGCGGAGGGGCAATAGCAGCCGCAACCGCAGCAGCAACAGCAGGAGGGCCGCGCAAGTCGACGTCCATGGTGGCAGGGGCAGGGGCAGGAGGGGAGGCGGGCGCGGGCGCGGGGTCAGGGGCGCAGGTTTTGCGAGTGGGCGGTGGAGGTGTGGTTGCGGCTGCGGGCGGTGAGGCCATGTTGGATCTGGTGTACGACCCTGTTCTGAACTGCTACTACGACAGCACCACGGGACAGTACTATGAGCTTAAGACCTAGTTAAGACCTAGTTCAAAGGCTGCTCAGCTGCTGCTGCTGCTGCTGCTGCTGCTGCGGAGGAGGAGGAGGAGGAGGCGTCGAAACACACGTATGGCTTGACATGATCTCGACATCTTGGCATGTCCGCACGGCAACTTCTTTCTGATGTCTGCTGACCCTGAGGATGTTAGAAGACTCTCAGATGCCGGAGGACTCTTGAGGGCAGCGTCGGGAGGTGCGGACGTTGCGTGGAGGCGTCAGGCAGCAATGCAGGCAGTCTGACGGGACACCAGGTGATGGCGGTGACCCATGGGACATCAGGTGATGAAGGTGACCCACGGGACACCTTGAAGGCCCGTTGCTCGGCATCTCGACATGCATGCTTGCGCAGCGCTGCGGCTTTCACATTGTAGGATTATGCGTTCACGACCTAGTTAAACATGTGTATATAGAGAGACAGAGTGCCGCTGACGAACAGGGGGACGGAAGCGGGTGTGTTAAGAAAACTGGCCGCGAGTAGGAACGTGTGTGTACGTGTGTGTGTGTGTGTGAGCATCGGGGGATGCATTCTTTGGAGACAAGGAAGGTGACAAGATGAGTGGGTGAAGGAAGACGGTCTAGAGGGACTGTGAAAACTCCTTGACGGTGAGCGGATGAGCGCGGATGAGCACGCGGCAGTATATGCGTGTGACGTTTCTAGTTCTGCAAACTGTGCAACACCCGTTTGGCACGGCTAACGACCTTTTGTCTTTATGATTGCTACTGTGACAGCTGGTGGCTATGCATGGTGGGTGTTGTACGATGGCGCGTACGACATTCTTGGTGAAGTATCGCCGTTGACCCAGGTATTGCGGTTTGGCATGCGCTTTATATGCAATGGTGTATTTTTGAATTTCGCACACAACTGTGAAGGCTGGGAGCATGAGCTATAATCGGGAATGACAGTGGACAAGTACCTTAACCGCGGCATTCATCTGTGCAATTAATTACGGGCTGAAAGATGCGTTTGGGCTCTCCTCCTTCTAGTCGACTGTTACGACTGTTATGGGTACGACTGTTACGGGTAACCACCTTTGCGAATAAGAAAGCGCACATAGACACTTTGCCATGTCGGGACGTTTCACAACACTCTATTGGTTACTGGGTACAGCACACGTTTGTTGAGCCGTGCCGTACGTTTGGGTTTCTGCGACGGTGGTGCTTGAGGGGGCAAAGGTGCCGTTTTGTACTCACACAGTGATTGTGCGACTGGATTGCACGACACATCGGCTTGCTGCGTTGCATGCAACACTCGTGCATGCGTGCGCGCGCATCGTTTCCATTGTAAAGGGGCGGAATGGTACCAATAAAAGGGCGCCGCCGGTCGTCCCGGGCCGCAAGGTAACTGCAGAAGCACCTGGAGCTACTTGGGCCGATGTGCCTTGTTCCAGGCTGACGCATGCGCCACATGTGCTGACTGCAAGCAGCAGGGGCGTCGGGGGCACGTTTGTTTCGGGACCTCTGTGACTGTTAGGGGGACCCCAGGGTTCATGCGTAAGGGGGGCTAAGGGCATGACCCACGGGTCACGTTTGGCACGAACCGCTGCTGTGTATGATGTGCAGCTCCTTGGGTAGGTATTTACCGCGATGTATGTATTTTTTAGTTACATGAGAAACACGTGAAACACATGGCTTTCAACTCTCCAGCTTTCGCCATAACGCAGCTCACTTACACACTTCCGGCATGCTGCTGCCAGCCACACAATGGGGCTCACGCAAAACTCCCTCCCATGCTGTCCTGTGATGCACCCGAGGCGCTCAAAACACACACCCTAACAGCCCACAAACAACACTTTTACCTTCCCAGCACACGCCCTTCCTCAAACCCACCTCAAAACAAAGCCAGTGCGACTCGGAAATCACTTTCCCCAGCAACAAGCTGCGAACCCAACACAGCAACCCCACCTGTCCCAATCCCTGCATTCCTAACCAACATCCGTTCTTCTTCCCCGTGCCTCCGGCTGCGATGCAGGAGTGCAAGTGTCCCCAACTCTCCATTCCTCCCTGAAGCGACCCTTAATAATTTTAAAGCCCCCACCCCCACCCCCACCCCTCAACCCCGTCAGTTTCCTCTTTTTACCCCCACATGTTCCATCACACATCACATCATCCTACAGCCGCTGCATCCATTGGCACGACATCCCTTAGTCGCGTAAGCCAGACATGCAAACGCCCCATCATCAGCATCAAAACGCCCCATCATCAGCCCGACAAAGCATTCGACACCCTAGGCTGCATGCCGGGCTCCCGAGGCGACTCACGACAACCTCCCAAGTCCTTCTCCCACTCTTCGGCCGTCGTGACGTGGAACGACTGCGCTCTGGCGCCTACAAGGCCTTATTGCTGGCCTTCCTCTTCTGCAGCCTTCACCCGACTCTTCATTCAACTACGGTTACTTTGAAGCTGCTGAGCCCCAAACCCCGAATCATCACCTGTACCTATGTAGTCTAACACCCTGCCACCGCCCAAGAAGCCACCAGTACACAGCACACAGCCCCGACGTAAGCCCTCCCCACCTACATGCATGAAACCATGCCCTGCCCTGCCCACACAACTCAGCGCACGCACGCAGCGTCTAAAAACACACACTCTCCTTGCATCTGCCTCTCTCTCAGCACAACAACAACAGCAACCATCTGCCACAACCGCCATCAAATAACAACGCGGCATGCTCTTTAGCCGCTCCCCCCCCCTCAATCATCGTTCACATTGTTCAACAAGTCAAACACGTTCGAAATCCGAGTGGGCTTCACACTCTGGTGCTCGATCACCTTCTTATACAGCGACTGCGCCTTGGATTCTTGCACCGGCTCCTCCTTCTTCGACTCTTTCTGCGCCGCTGGTGCCGCAGCTGCCGGCGCCGCCGCCGCTCCTCCGTCGCCACGACCCTTACGGAACCCGCCAGCGCCGGCGCCGCCGCCACTCCCGCGGCCGCCCCGGCCTTGCGCTTGCTGCGGCACTGGCGCCGCCGCCGCCGCCGGCGCCTCTGCCGTACTCGCGTCAACCGCCGCCGCTCTGCTGCCCCTGCCGCCGCCGCCGCCTTCGCCACGGCCGCCGCGGCCTCCCTCACCACCACGGCCGCCGCGGCCCCTGCCGCCGCCACCCCTGCCAGGATGTGTCGGCGGACGGCCCTCCGCACCGCCCGAACTCAACGCAGCGGCGGCCGCGGCGCCGTCAGCGGCGGGGGTAGACGCGGGTGTCTCGCCGGCACCAGTCTGTTGTTGTTGTTGCGGTGGTGGTGGAGGCGGCGCCGCCGCTGCGGAGACGTCGTCCGCGAGGTGTACGGCAGCGCCGACGGCAGGGGCGCCGCCAACGTTGCCACCGCGACCGGACCTGCCGCCACGGCCGCCCCGGCCACGTTCGCCTCGCCTTCCGCCGCCGCCACGACGACCCCCATGCTCGTACGGACCACCAGCTGCTGCGAAGGGATGAGCCAAACGTTGGATGTTGTGAGATGCACGAATCCTACCGCGCATGGAGCACTGACTTCAAGTTTCAGCAGCCGAAAGAAAAGAGCAACAGTAGGGTTAGCCAGCCCCATGCCCCCACCTACCGGGGACCTCCGCGCCCGCAGCGCCCTCTGCATGCTGCTGGCTGGTTGCACCCTCAGCTCCCTCATCTTGCGGTGGCGGAAGCTTGGCCGCTACGGCAGGTGTGGAGAAGGGGACCCAGGCAGCACAACACAACATGAACAACAGAAGGGCTACATACATGAAAGGCCATCGTGACTTCGTGCGTTGCCAACCAGTAAACCAAGCTACCCCATGCCGCATGCTCCGTCCCGCATGCCGATGCAATGCCCTGAGACATGGCAGACGGATTCCCCCCTACACTCTCGCACCCAACCCCAGGACTCACCCCGCCAGGACCTCTCCTCCATACCGTCTTGGCTCATGCGACGGGGCGCCGGCACCCAACCCTCGCCCCGGGCGCCCCGCCCGCGGCCCCGACCTCGCCCCCCCTCGCGGCCGCCGCCGCCGCCCTCCCCGCGGCCTCCGCGGGCCCCCCTGTAGCCTCCCCGACCGCGACCCCCGGCAGGCACTCCGCCCGGCCCGACACCGTGCCCGATTCCTAGGCCTGCCGCAGCAGCGGCCGCCGCCGCTGCGGCGGCGGCAGCGGCGGCTGACGCCGCCGCCGCCGCTGCGCCCTCCGGCCCGCCGATACCGTACATCTCGTCCTCTGATAGATGCGAGTGCTCTTGGGCGTCTAGGAACACCTCGTCTTCCTCACCGTACTGCTCCTCCGTTTGTACACTTCCGCCACCGGCGGCACCGCCGACATGAAGAGGTCCGACGGCGGCAGCGCCTGACGGCGGCGCCGGCGGCACCGCTGCAGCCGCCGTCGCCTGTAGCGTCATCGCCGCGACGGCCGTCGCGGCCTTCACCGCCGCCGCCGCAGCGGCGGAAGCCTCCGCCGCTGCGGCGGCGTGCACGGCCGCCTCGTCAGCCTGCCGTCGCGCCGCCACCTGCTCCGCCGCTGCCCGGCGCAGTGCGGCATCGTCTGGGACGGTACCGAATTGCGGTCCGGCCTCAGCACCTGTTTCGGTTTCGGAGACATGACACATATGCGGTGGAATAGGGAATATGGTACAGGGTAGGTTTGCCTTATGCCCAGCACAGCCCCTTCACAGCACAATTCAATTAAATCCCACCTGCACGTCAGCTCGACCCCCACCACTCCAGCCTTGCACCAAGCACCCCAATACCCTACGAGGTAAACCATCCCCCATCCCCTAACCATCCCCCATCCCCCTAACCATCCCCAACTACCCTATATCTGCCAGGCTTACCTGCAACCCCGGCTGCCACCGCCGCTGCCTGCACCCGCTTGCGTCCATCCTCGCTGCCGCGACCCGCATGACCGGACGCGGCCTGGCTCGGCGGAGGCGCAATCGCCTGCATGCCGACGGGCGGGGGACTGGGTGCGTGGTTGGGCGCAGCCCCGGGAACGGGGCTGGGCCCATGCACCGAGCCAATGGAGGCTGGCCCCGCGGCTGCCACCCCATAAGGCCGATCTGGGGCCGGAGGGGCGGCGGCGGCGGCGGTGTCAGCAACGACGCGTGGCCGCTGCAGCAACTGAATGGGCGGATGTAGCGGCACAGAGTACGGAATTGCTGGCGGCGGTTGCTGCTGCACGAGCTGAGGGTGGTGCTGCTGCGGCGGCGGCGGCGGTGGCTGCTGCTGCATGGGAGGTGGTGGTGGCGGGTGTTGCTGCTGCTGCGGCGGCGGCGGCGCCATCAACGATATGCCTGCAGCTGCATGGTGCAGCGGCGGGGGCGGCTGCTGCGGTTGCTGTGGAACTGCCGACGGCGCTGGCGGTGGCGGCGGCTGTTGTCGAGCCGGCGGAGGTGGCGGCGGCGGTTGAGTCGCGTGGTGGTTGGGCACCGACACCAACGGAACCGCGACCGGCATCATTGGCGCCGGCGGCAGCTGCTGTTGCTGCTGCGGTGGCGGCGGCGGCGGCGCTAGACCCGGCGGCGGCGCTGCATGCACCATCTGGTGTGGGTGATCTAACAAGTGCGAGTGCAAGTGCGCGGAGTGCACCGGCGCCACCGGCGGCCGATCGAAGCCGTTGCTACCTCCGACGGCCGCCGCCGCCATCTCCAACCCATACATATGCGGCAACGGCGGCGGCGGCATGCCCAAGGGCAGTGGCAGCGGCGCCGGCGGCGCCATGTGCGGCGGCGGCGGCGGCGCTACCATACCCGGCAGCGGCGGAGGCGGCATGCCTCCCTCCGCTCCCGGCAGGCCCCCAAGCGGAGGCATGCCTGGTAGCGACGGCGGGTGTGACGGTAGCCCGCCACTACCGCGCCCGGCAACCCGATTCTCCTTGAAGTCGACTCCCACGCGTTCTCGAGCCATGCGCTCCTCAATTTCACGCTCGCGCGCAACGGTATCCACCGGACGAGCGGCGCCAAAGGGGTTCGACTTGGGCTTGTTGGCTGCTGCTGCGGCGGCGGCGGCGGCGGAGGCAGCGGCGCTGGTCGCGGCGGAGGCGGCAGCCGTCGGGGCATCTGAACCGCTGCTGGACTCGGCAGCAGGAGCAACAGTCTCGCCAGCGGTGGCAGCGGGCGTGGTTTCGGCGCCGCTGGGAGGCACCGTCGCCTCTCCTGCCACCCCGGCGCCCTCGTCCCCGGGAATTGCCTTGATGCTGGTAGAGCGTGGGTGCAACTTCAAACGCGGCCGGTCACCATCCATGAAGGGCAAGGCTTGGGGCTGCTGCTGGGGTTGCGCCGGCGGCAGCTGTTGTTGTTGTTGCGGCTGCTGTGGTGGCGGCGGCGGGGGCGGAGGCGGCGGTGGGGGAGGGTGGCCCCGGGGGGCTCCCCATGCACCCCTTTCGTCAGCACCAGGCGGCCGCCGTCCTGCACCGAGAGAGAGGGGGATGCAGTACACGTGCAGGTTAGTACGACATGTTGAAAATTCGTACGACAGCGCACGTCAGGTCGGTTTGGGGCCACAAACCCTCTTGAGGATCATGCATGGTTACCAAACAGCTAAGCGAAAGGAGCATCCGCCACCACCCCTACCAGGCAGAGGGTGCTGCCCGAAAGCGTCATCGAACCGGGAATCTGGCGGCGGAGGCGGGAACGATCCACGTACGGGAGGGGCGCCGTACGGGGCGCCACGTGGGCCGCCACCTCCGTACGGCGGGCCACCGAACCGGTCCGAGGGCCCTGCATGCACAGCAGTACGACAGTTTGAATTGCCGGCGAGGAGGAACTGCGGGATACAGCTTGGTACCGATATATCGCAGCTCAGTAACCGCCTCCACCTCTGCTTTCCCATCCGGCCGCCGCAGTATAACGTCCGCAAACATCTCGCAACGGACCCAAATCACCCGTGAAGCACATGCAACCACAGATCGCACAGTAGACTTGTACGACAGGATTGGATCTCCGTACGACACCCCGTACCTCCAGCGGGGGGCCCGCCGCGGTGCCAGTCCTCATCCCGGCTGCTGGGCCGCCGACCCGTGGGTCCTCCGCCGGGTCCGCGAGGGGGGCTGAAGTCGCGTGGGGCGCCGCGGCCGTAGGGGCCCATGTCTGAGGGCCTGCAGATGTGCATGCATGGATGCATGCATGCATTCGGGGCGGGGGGCGGATGAGGGGGGAACACAAGAGGAGCAGGAACCCCCAAGCAAGCTCTCCAAACACGCATGCAAAGGTTGGCCAGATGGGGTAAGGACTACGACCGTACAGCACAGCAACACCGACTCCTTACCTGCCAGGGGGAAAGTCCCGGTGTCCAGGGTACGGCGGGCGATCACCGTACTGCCCACGTCCGGCGCCGTACGGCACCGCTCCGTACGGCCCATTGTCGTACCCGGCGTGCCCTGCTCCGTACTGACCAGGCGGCCCAGGACGACCCCGTCCGTACGAGGAACCGCCGTACCCTGCCGTACAAGGACCCGTACAGTCAGGAGCAACAGTTGTGTAACAGTACAAGACATGGAGGAACAAGCAAAGCGCAACACCTCCAAGCTTGTTCTATATACCAGATGGGAACGACGGGGGACGAGTAGCGAAGGGGCAAGGCAGCGGGCAGTCTATACCCCTGGGACCTACGTCTAGTCTCGAACCCTCGCACCTACCTCCGTAGTTTCGAGGTGCAGGGACGTCCAGAGGCTGAGCCCATACCCGCTTTCCTTGGATCTCAATCTGCATTGTCAACACACGAATTGCATTGCCAACACAGCCAACACAACAAGAATATACAACACAACACAAGCGGGTGCTCACACCGACACAAATCAACGAATCCAATTCGTGGCCGCATGCACCACAACGCATTCCCCTCTCCACCACGGTAGCCCTCTTACCCCGTTCAGTCGGTCGCACACCGCCTCCGCATCCTCCCGACTCGTGACGTCCAGCTCGTAAACCGCCTGCCCAGGCAACCGCCTTCGGTCAACCACCTGCCGTACATCAACACGAAACACAAACCCACAACAAATGAGGTAAACAAAGTAAGTACAGCCGTACAGACACGCTGACAGCGGCAAGCAGAAGAGGATATCAAGACTTGTAAACACTGGCAAAGCGTCTAGAACGAAAAGAAACCCCATGCGCCCAACTCTCCGGGGGCTGCATGCATGCAAGCATGCATGCGTCTAACGCAGAGGTCCCTCTTGCATGCGTTCGTTGGTTCGCTACCGCTACCCGCTCCCCTGACATATCCCCCCGCTGCTATCCGCTACCGGCATCCTGTGGGTTAGGAAGCGAGTATTACACTGGAGGACCAACCAGTAAGGAGTTAGGCCTCCAGCTACCCAGCTCTACATGTACGGCACCCGTACGACGCACCCGTACGGCGGGCAGCAGATCTGCCATCATCCGGTCCACCTCCCATGGCTCGAAGTCGTCCGGCACGCCGCCAAACACGAGGCTGTGGAGCTGCTGCGGCCGGGCGGAGGGCTCCGGCGGGGACTGTGAAGCCGCCTCTGCCTCCCGGCTCTTGTCCACTGGGGTTAGGAAGGGAAGGACGTCGGGTTGGGGTTGTGGAGAGGTGGATTGGGAGGTGGTGTGGCATGGGGGATAGTATGAGCAGAACCCGGCATGCAGATAGTTCGTAAGCTTGGTCAGGGGCAGGTCGGCAGGATATGGTGGGCCCGCTAGTCCCTAGTGTCTGCGACGGATGGCGCTGTGAAGCGAGGTTGCGGATAATGAACCGCGGCATTGTATCCTATTGCATGCCCACCGGCGCCGCGGTTAGGATGCCGTTAGGATGCTTGCAGCAAGGTCATGGAAGGAGCTTGCCGATCGTGGCCTTGCCATACGTGCTTTTATTGGAGCCACTGTGACCTTAACAACTACTACCTTTGACTAGATGCGCGCTTTAACACCCTTTTGCCTGGACCCCACCCAGGATTCCCGCCCGTGCAAACGCTGTGTCGAGCATGGGCGCAGTAAATCTGAATCTATTATACCAGTAGGTATGTGCTGGAGCCACGCTATCAGTGGTAAAGCACCTTTCACCTACTCGGACGAGCACGCCGGGCGATGATCGCGTGAATTTGACCCCGAACTTACACTCATCGACCTCATCGGCCCAGTTCAGGCGCCCCACAGAAGCCAGCTCACTGTCCATTGCGCAGGAAGGTGTGGCGACGACTTATAGAAATGCCTAGGATCGCCGAAAGCACACGTGTGGTCTTCAAACTCCAAAGTCGCTAGCAGCTATGGATCAAGCCTTTTATGCTATCAGCGTTGAGCACAGCCTGGCAGCCGCCAGGCTGCACAAGTTAAAAGAAGGCTGGGACCCAAACTTCAGGAATCGCAAGCCTTGCCAGGCAATTTCATCATAAGCTGTGCGAGATAGTACTTGAGTGTATACATCGATGATCCAGTTAACTTTGCCCATGAGCATGTATGATCGGCTCAAGGCACGACGTCACATCGAGGTCCACAGCAGGTCCAGGTCGTGCGGTCGTCCATCGGTTGCTCCATCATCAAGCAAAGTAAATAAGTGGGGGACTACCATCTTCTACTATAGACCTCTTACAAATCGCATATTTTTGTATGCGGAGCAAGGCTTTTAGTAGCCGAGGGTAACGCAGGAGCCCAGTGCGGGGCCCTGGGCGCCCGGGGTAACCAAGGGCCTCGATCAAGGCGTCCAATAATGGTGGTGTAGTTGGGTGCAGTAATGGTGCGTGTGGGGTATTGTGCTGAGATGCGAAGCATGACCTAGTTGAAGTTGGGCACGGGTTAGTGCCCTAACGGAGCAAAGCTAGGTGAGGTGCAAGGAGCGGCAACCAGAAAGGGCATTCCTGACACGCTAGGGAGGGACAGCGTAGGCTGAGGTCGGGAAACCCAGTATGCCTCCTGCATGTCTGCAGACGAAGCATAAACAGGGAGGCTAGCGGAGAACCATCGCCCAACGATGGTATGGGTAATGCTTGTTGGCCTATGCATGACGTCTTGCAGGGTGTGTGGCCAAGGAAAGCTGGAGAAAAGCCGGGAAGAAGGGGAAATGGCACAGCTTTACGCAAGGGGGGCGAAGCGGCTGGGAAGGGGTACTGGGGCGCCTCCATGGTGCGAAGACCCACGAAATTGTTGGCAAGGCAGTACGATCTATAATATGCGTACCCAGTTTCACCAATTATAAGGGTTGTATTTACCGCGTGACCGGGCACAGTATAAGTACAAGCGACCGTTCGGCTGCTTGGGCAAGGGAATTTAAGTTGGGAACCTTCCAAGTCTGCTGGCCGAGATCCTTCTAGACGTCAGGACTAGCAAGGTAGCGTTGGTAACAAGCCAGGCTTTACAGCTAACAGGCGCTCGAACGCCCCGAAGCCCCAATCCCCCAAACGCCAAACCCCAGTCGACGGGCTCCGAAAGCGCTCCGAATTCAGGCAGCTCAAGCTGGAGACGCCCAATGGCCCAAATTGCATCCTTGCATAAATGTCAGAGTATACCTCACACAACATTTGCACGACTGCTTTTTTACCCCTTTGAGGGCAGCCAGGATACGATAACCTCACTGAGGACTTTAAGGGCATCTCTACAGGTCCTCGAAGAGGCCCTTGCGTTGCCGTCCCTGCTACGATACAGCTTTGCGCTCTGTAAGGGGGGCCAACCGAAGCAATGTCCTACGTAAGTGGGTTGTATGTATCTACAGACAGTTGTTCCTTTTCAGCAGTAGTCCTTGTCCAAAACGTATTCTGATGCTACCTCAAAACATGTGTACTTGCATCACTGCCTTGTAACAGGTTCCGAAGAATGTTCGTGACACCGCGGCTAAGAACGACCACTACGCCAAGCTGGCTAGGGAGCAAGCGGAGGAAACACGATACTCAGTCATAGCGCAATGGGCCGAGCGTGATCTTAAGCGAGACCCAGCGGACTCGCTGAGGGGGGCCACAACCACTCTACATGCAGCGAGTAAAGAGCGCAGCCTTGGAGTGAAGGCCGGAGTGGAAGTGGTGAAGGCCGCACGGCAAGCTCGGCTAAAGGAACTTTACGAGCGGGGTAAGTCGCGTGCTGCAAGCATGGTGTTGACGTGTGTGCAACAGCCATTGACTTTACATGGCAGTGGGCCATGTGTTTCGGACGAATCTGTGCGAGATATCCCCATCCAATCTTCCTAATAGACACTCCTTTGGCCTCCTTCTCATTCCGGCCTCCCTCGTTTCCTCCTCGCAGAAGCCCTGATGTACGAAAAGGAGCTCAACGCCCGGGGGCTAAGCCTTGTTAAACCGCGAGACTAAGGAGCGCGACGTCCACATAATTAGCGGCTTGCACTGCTTCTCCTCTATTGGAAAACGACAACGACAAGCTGCCAGCCAGCCAGATCTCTAGAGACCTGTAGATAGAGTATTAGTCAGAACAGCCAGATTAGCTTGTTATTGGGGCGTTGACCCGCCCTAGACTGCACGACCTAGCACAACCGGACCTAGCAGCAGAAAGCCCCTGGCGACACCAGCTGCTGGCTCCCATGCGCGGACTCCTCACAACTGACAACGCCACGTTTCGCAAACGATCCCTCTCACGTACCCGACCAGCACCTGTTAACAGCTACCTACCAGCCACCACCGCCAGCCACACCTCACCCCAACACCTGCACCCGTGCATGGCTCCTTCCCCAACACCTACACGTGGGCAGAGGACGCTCGGAGCGCACGCCTGTACCAGGTCCAGGCATCTTTCACCGAAACGCCTCACTAGCTTTTACACACCACCAGCAGCAGCCCTGGACCGGCCGCGCACTTTAGGCCGATCGGCTGCTTGCCGCCGCCGCTGCTGCCGCTGCCGCAGCGCCCACCGCCAGCTCCCGCTTCCCGCGGCGGTCCACATGCACCGTGAGCTCCACCTGCTTGTCGCTGGTGAGGCGCAGGTTCAGCGGCACCTGCGGAGGAAGCGGCGGCAGTGAGGAGGAGGAGGAGGTGGAGGAGGAGGTGAAGCAGAGCAGCGGGCGGCAGCCGGCGAGGGGGAGCGTAGCAGCTGATGGTGGCGACACATGGTACATGGGGGATCGCCGTGGTACATGGGGCGGCCGCGTGCAAGGACAGTGCTGAGCAGTTGTGAGCCGTTGGGGCGCGGATGGATATGCGGACATGGTCGTGGTGTAGCTGCCGGCTGCCTCCTGTAGAATAGGCCTGGGCAGCCCTTGCAGACCTTGCGCGTTGGCGCCATGTATGGGTTTTACGGGTCTCAGAAACCCCCGCTTCCTTTATCCTACATGTACCGGTACTTTTCGTGCCGAATGCCGTGAAGCGCGGCACGGCGTGGTGCCGTACCTTGTAAGTGCCGTACGAATCGATCTTTCCGTCCAGCAGCAGGTGGCTGCTGTGCAGGCGGATGCCCAGCTGCCGCTCCACCGCCTCCAGAACCAGTCGGGGCGACACGGCGGGGTCGGCGAAGTGCTCCGAGTCGGCTCCCAGGGGGCGCCGCGTGACGATCTGGTTGGTTGGGGTGCGCAGGGGGCCGGATGCGGGGCGGATTTGCGTGGGTTGCATGGGCACGGGCGTGGATGGGTTAGGGCTAAGGCGAGTGGGTTAGGTATAGGATGCTGAAATGGTTACGTAGGTATTGGATGGTAAAGCGCTGGTGCGGTTGCATGGTGAGACTGTGTGATGCATGGGATGCAGGTTAGGTCCATGTCTTATGGTGTCTTATGGTGGCTGGTTCGCGCCCGCTGGCGGCTGCAGACGGCCGCAGCCGTGCGGTCTGTCACGTTAATACATCACAGCGACGCATGCTCGGGGCTAGCCACCCGGCTACATGTGCGTTGGGTATTGGGTGGCGCCACGCCTCGACCAGCCTTCCTTGTCCCTTGTCCCTCCCTGCAAGGCACCACACAAAGCTCTCGCCCCGGTTCCCAGCCTGCCCTCCCACCACTCACCACCGACTTCCTGTCCAGCGCCTTGAGCAGCTTCTCCAGGGCGCCCTCCTGGTCCTCAGACTGCGACTCCGCCTCCGCCTTCGTCTGCGGGCAACGGTGGCGTGCAACGGCAGCCGCTCTCGGTCCACGTAACCATGCACCAGCACTGTAGCACACAGGTAGGCTCGCGCTCCAAACACACATGCAGAAAAGTAGCGGTACACCCGTGTAGTCAAAGCACCCACCAGAGCGTATTTAGCAATGTTCTCCGGCGTCGCGTACGCGGCTTCCCCCTTGGGGTACAGTTCGTGCCGCATGAGGCCGCGCTTGACGAGCACGACGTCGCCCCGCCGGCCCAGGCTTCGGTTGTCCTGTGGGGTTGCGGCGTAAGGTGCAGGTTCCCGGGTCAGTTTGAAGGAGCCCGACGGCCAAGCAGCCAAGAACACGAGGAGGCATAAAGAGCAGCTGGGCAGTATAGGGCCGACACCAGCGCGCAAGCCAAGCTAAGCCAACAATATCGGGGTGGTGTACGTACGGGGCTAGCCAGCAAGGGTTATATACTTGAGCAACTATGACTGTCAGCTTGCGCGACGACCATTAACCATTTAGCTCACCTTGCGCAAGATTACTTTAATTAAGCCAGGGTCCTGCTCCTCCACCCCAGGGGCTGATTGCCGCTTGCCTGAGCCCTTTTTTGAAGCCGCTGCTGCTGCTGGAGAAGTTGTGCTGATACAACGTCCATGCACCCAGCTCAAGCCTCCGCAGCTGGCTGTCGATTGCCAGTTGCAGCCAGCCGACGTGCCGGATGTGCTCGGAACACCCTCGCTGCGAGCCAGGCTCAAGGAAGCTGCCGCCAATGGATCGGCTACTAAAGGACTAGTCTCTAGTACTGGCATAAGGACGGCCCGCAAGCCATTGCGGGCCAGCGATTGTAGCCTTGATACTTGCATCACAGGTTTCCGATTAGTTAATGATAGTCAAAGTGTTAAGGAGTGGTTAACAAGGCGTACAAAAGCAAGAGCTGCTGTGTTACCTCGTTGCTCCATGCTGCCACTCTTCCGTACGCTTCGAGCGGGAGGCGTGACAGTTTGCAAAAGCAAAAACAACTGGTAGGCACACGCGTTCGCACGATACTTATCACGAGGTACGCCGTAAGAATCCGCGTATACTTGCCTAGCATAGTTGCACATCGCTTCGCCATAGTTGTCTAACTTCTTATAATGATTTTTACTGGTGACTAGTTGCACGTAATCAACCGGATGGCAATACATACAAAAATGTCTCTCAGCGTTGAAACATAGTGCACGAAGCATCCGCTTCTGCAGCAGCTTTTGGGTCGTGAAGATTCTGGAGCTGTAACAAGGATGGCAGAAAGAAAAGGAGTGCACATGCATTTACCGGCAGACTCAGGGGACGGGAGGTCCCAGCCAGCGGAGGACCGCCCGACAACACCGACCCTGGTTCCAGTGTAAGCATGAGCCGAGAATATACCGCGTTATAAGTGTCTGCTCCATCGCTGTTGATGGCATTGACGGGGATGCATTTGTAAGGTCCCGTCGCTGGACATGTGGCCGCGGCTCTCGCATGGGTCGAGGTGTCTCGGTGCTTTGTCGGCTGTATTAGACCATTTCCTTGTGTCGGTGGCCTAAGAAGCCTATCGCCATCGTTAGGAATAAGTTACTCCCCCGTTGTGGCTTGAGCCCGCCAGTTAAAAGCCGATGCGAACCAAGGGACGAATTGACATCGTTACTTACCCTCGCATCATCGCACCCACCCTGCAAGCCACCATGCCACTGCCATGACACGCGTGAGCTCGTCACCCTTTCTGATTGCGTGCCATCATTAGCCTCCCATCCAGTTCCTACTGCTCAGTTCTTCCCACCCCACTCCTGTCGCAGGCTGGCTGTGGGCATGACCTCGGTGCCTGGCGGGGTGTGCCTGCTGCAAAAGGACACGGTGGTGTATCCGATGGGCCGCAGCCTAGCCATGTACTGGTGGGTCGGGGTACGGCAGCGGCGGGGCTACTGAGGCGTTACCCGGTGGGATACGAGGGGAAAAACAACCTGCGTGCGCGTGGCTGCCGGGCGCAGCTAGTAAGACCTGCGAACGGCGCGCTGGCTGACGGGGGCTAGGTGGTGGCCTTGCGGTGGGGCCGTGGGACCCTCAAAGACCGCACCCTGCTGGCAGCATGGCTGAGTGGCCGCCGCGGTCACAAGCGCTGTAGTAGGCGTGGGTAGGGGCGTGCGGGACTGTGGGTGCGGGTGATGCTGCGCTGCTGCCGTACTGTAGCCGGATAGCAAGGCGGCCCTTTCCAGGGCTACTCCTAGCCCTCCAAGACCCACATGCACAGCTAGCCGGTAGCAGGTTGCATACCAGTAGTAAAGCCTCCTAGGTGGCCGGGTTAGGCGGGCTACAGTGGCTCCACTCCCCTATCAGCGATACAACAGTGTGGTGGCGCCGCCAGGGACGGCCTAAGATGCACGCGACGGCACATATGAACGCCTCTCTCTCTCTCTCTCTCCATGTGCAAAACCCGACCCCCTGTCCCCGAATGCCATCCGTATCCTCTCCCCCCCAACCCCCACCCCACCCCGCAGCCCCTCGCAGCTGTCGCTGGTTCGCATGAGCGAGCCGCTGCGTGCGGTCCGCGGCATCAGCGCGCTGGCGGTGTCGCCCAACAAGAAGTACCTGGCAGCGGCGGAGAACATGGCGGAGGGATACGTGCCGCAGGTGGGGGGGCCCGGAGGGATACGTGCCGCAGGTGGGGGGGCCCGGAGGGATACATGCCGCAGGTGGGGGGGCCCGGAGGGATACATGCCGCAGGTGGGGGGGCCCGGAGGGATACATGCCGCAGGTGGGGGGGCCCGGAGGGATACATGCCGCAGGTGGGGGGGCCCGGAGGGATACATGCCGCAGGTGGGGGGGGGCGGAGGGATACATGCCGCAGGTGGGGGGGGGGCGGAGGGATACGTGCCGCAGGTGGGGGGGGGCGGAGGGATACATGCCGCAGGTGGGGCGGGGGCGGAGGGATACATGCCGCAGGTGGGGGGGGGCGGAGGGATACGTGCCGCAGGTGGGGGGGGGGCGGAGGGATACATGCCGCAGGTGGGGGGGGGGGGGGCGGAGGGATACATGCCGCAGGTGGGGGGGCCCGGAGGGATACATGCCGCAGGTGGGGGGGCCCGGAGGGATACATGCCGCAGGTGGGGGGGCCCGGAGGGATACATGCCGCAGGTGGGGGGGGGCGGAGGGATACATGCCGCAGGTGGGGGGGGGGGGCGGAGGGATACGTGCCGCAGGTGGGGGGGGGGGGCGGAGGGATACATGCCGCAGGTGGGGGGGGGCGGAGGGATACATGCCGCAGGTGGGGGGGGGCGGAGGGATACATGCCGCAGGTGGGGGGGGGCGGAGGGATACATGCCGCAGGTGGGGGGGGGCGGAGGGATACATGCCGCAGGTGGGGGGGGCGGAGGGATACAAGGTGGGGGCGGTGTGTGTTTGTACGGCAGTGTGGGGCTGGTTGCAGGGAGCGGGCTGTAGGATTGATGAGGCGGTAGTAGATGGGAGTGGGAAGAGGAGGCGGGAGTAGGAGGTAGGTGGGTCATGTTTACCCCTCCACACGTCCCCGCCTCCTACCCGTGTAACTCAGCCCACCCCCAACCGCTAATCATCCTCGCCAACACAGATCACCCTCTTCGACGCCAACTCCCTGGAGCGCCTCACCTCCGTCACCGGTCCCCACGTCACCGGCGCCTTCACCTACGTCTCCTTCTCAGCCGACGGCGCGCTGCTTCTTGGCTGCGGCGCCGACGAGGGCGGCGCGCCGGGCGCCCCCGGCAGCACCTTCCACCTGTGGGACTGGCAGACCTCGCAGCAGCCCAGGTGCAGCGGCAGCCTGGGGCATGGCGAGGTGGTGCTGCGGGCGGCGCTGGACCCGCGGTTCGAGGCGAATGTGTTGGTGATGTGCGCGAGGAATGTGGGGCTGTGGCGGCAGTCGCCGAACGGGTTCAAGCGGCATGCGGTGGAGGGCGCGGAGTTGCCGGTGGGTGGAAAGGAGGGAGGGGCGGGAGGAAAAAGGGTATTCCAAAGTGTGGTGTGATGATGATACAAGTTGCTGACAATGGCGGGAGGAGGGAGGAAGGCAGAGTATGGCGAGGGGATGGGGCAGGGGTGGGGGTGGTGTGAAGTGGAAGCGGATGGGATGGGGTGGGACAAGGGGTGAGGATGGAGGATGTGGTGTGGCCAAAAGATATACCGTATGCACAGCGCCGTCCTAGGCTTCATGGCAACCGCCCCAGCCGAACCCGCTAACGAGTACAGTCCCCTTCCCTTCCTCATCCACCACCTCCTGCTTTTTGCTTGCCTGCCTGCCTGCCTGCATGTATACAGGCGGGTGCAAGCTTTATGGAGCTGGCCTCGCTGCCCGACGGGCGCTTCCTGGTGGCTACATCCACACGACAGGTGGGAGGCGGGTGGGAGGCGGGTGGGAGGCGGGTGGGAGGCGGGTAGAGTGGAAGCAGCTGTCATGCGGTAGCCGTGTGCCAATGGTGGCGTCCACATGGAGTGGTGGGAAGGGGGTCCCGGGTGCTCTTTTCCACGACAGCGCAGGAGGGGCGGCAGCCCGCCGGCTGGCGGAATACGGTAGGGGCACACCAGCTGGTTCTACACGGCACACAGGGTCTGCTGCGCAAGTCCCCTCACCGCCTCCCTCTCCCCATCCCTTCCTCCTGCCCCTCCACCTGTCCCACACACCTCTCTCCCTCCCGCCCCCGAATGCGCTCACTGCATTCAATCGGGATTCGGGATTGGGACTCCGTTGATGCATTTATCTATATTTTGCCCCCCCCCACTCTCATCCCGCCCCTCCAGGTGTTTGCAGTGGACCGAGCCCACGCGGTGCTCGCCTTCACCACCGACCGACCGCTGGTGTCGATGCTGGGGCTGCCGGACGGCTCGGTGGCGGTGGGCACGGAGCGCGGCTACCTGCAGCTCTACCGCCGGACCAACAAGGACGACCCGGACCACTTTGGTGAGGGGGGGGAGGGGGGCAGTGAGGAAACAACTGACCGACTGAGGGATAAGGCGGGGGGGGGGGGTGGAAGGGGGGAAGGGAAGGGAAGGAAAAAGAAGGAGAGGTAGAGGAGGAAGAACAAACCCAAGGAGCATGCCTCCATGCAACTATGGATAGGCGTGTGTATCGCGGCCCTCCTATACCGGTATGGCATGTGAGAATCTGAAGACCGCCCTAAACCCTCTAAAAATCCCCTAAACCCTAACCCTCATCCCCGCTGCTGCCCGCTGTCAGCCATCTTCTCGGAGACGCGTGTGCCGGAGACCGCCAGCGTGTCTCTGGACCCGCACATCCGGGCCATGTCGGTGGACGCGGCGGGAGACATGCTGGTGTGCACCACGGGTGGGTGGCGGGGGGCGGGGGTGGGGGATTAGGTAATCTGAGCCGCGAGGAACCACTGACCGTGACCATAGGCGGGAGAAGGGGGGAAGGGCGAACAGTAGCGTGCAATACTGGTATGCAAGGCCGGTCTTCGAGCCTTTAACGTGATGTTAAAAGGCAAAAGAGGTCAGAGGCGGTGGGCGGTGGGCGGAGGGGTGCGGGGGGAGTGAGGGCGCTGGGGAAGCAGTGTAGCCATGCGGCAGGTTGGGGCTGCAGGGAAGGGAAGGAGGGGGGGCGTTGGATTGGATGTGGACGTTTTGCACCCTTCTGCACCCAAACCCTCTCATGACTTCATGAGCCATCCGTTCGTCCTTCCTTCCTCCTCCTTCCTCCTTCCCTCATGCAGCCGGATGCGGCCCCACCTACACCTTCAACCTGGCTTACGCAAGGGTGAGTCCCCGCCGTGGTCCGCTTGAGTCCAGTCTGCTCAGTGGCCCCCTTGAAAGTCCAGGTGCCTGAACGCTTGAACCAGGGCCCACAGGGGGGCTACTCGGGGGCTACCAGGGGGCAGGCTTTGCACAGCAGGCTTGATGTGGGGCGTATCTGGAACGTGTCTTGGGGCGTGTGTGTTTTGGGCGTAAGTTGCTGCAGAGTTGCTGTGTCCTACTGCTCTTCCTCCCCAGCCGACCAATCTCTGTTGGGGGATTCCCATGTGTGTGCTACAACCGCTACCCTGCCCCCCACACATGCACCCTGCCCCCCACCCATGCACCCCGCCTCAGACGCTGGCGCTGACTCCGGAGACGGGTTCCGACATGTGGGAGGTGCTGCTGCCCGGCTGCCACGAACAGGTGCGGAGGGGGAGCGGCTGGGGAGGAGGGAGGGGGCGCCGGCGGGAGGGGGAGATACAACTCCTGGCCGGCTTTTGAGCTATAGTCGGATGTGCACATGCCGCCGCGATCTCTCTCTCTCTCTTTCCCTGCACAACATTCCGATTCGCAGCGCCTCCTGCGGCTCGCGCGCCTGCCCCCTCCTCCCGTCAATGCACCCCACCTCACCCCATCCCACCCTGCCGTACCCCTCCCCCCCATCCCACCCTTCCAGGGCATCATCTCCGCCTCCCTCGCCTACAAGCGCGACTTCCTGGCCACCGCCTCCAAGGACCTCACACTGCGCGTCTGGCAGACAGTGCCGCTGCGCCTGGTGCTCACCCACATGTGCCACAACTCGCCCCTCGCGCTGTCCATCGACCCCTACGGCCGCGAGCTGGTGGTGGCCTACGTGGACGGGGTGCGCTGCTACTCCATCGTGGAGGGGCTGCTGGTGGATGGGGAGGAGCTGCTGCACGAGTTCGGACCCGCGGCAGCGGGGCCGGGAGGGGGAGCGGGAGCGGGGGCAGCAGCCGGGGGCGCCGCCTCCGGCGGCGCCCCCGGCGGCGGCGGCTCCGCCGCCGCCGCCGCAGGCGGCGGCAGCACCGGCGGCGAAGCCGCCGGCGCCTCCGGCGCCGGCCGGCGCCGTCTTCCCCAAGGCGCCAAGTCCTCCCTGGACCACTGTTCGTTGGTTCGGTACTCGCCTACGGGGGCGTTGATCGCAGCTGCCGCGGGTCCGGGCGGGCGCCACGTGTACATCTTCTCCACGCTGACCAAGCGGCAGTTGGCGGTGCTGGCGGGGCACTACGAGGCGGTGATGGACCTGGCGTGGAGTGATGACGGGGCGTACCTGGCCACCAGCGGGGAGGGGGCGGTGTTCACGTGGGCTATGGATGGCTTCATGAGGGTGCAGGTGGGGGGTGTATTGGGGGCGGGAACGGGGGGAAGGTTGGACATGGCTGGATTGGGTGCATCGTAACCGTGTGCTGCATGCACGATTGCACAGCTGCTTGCGTGTAGGCACGAGGCTGTCCGCCCGTCTCGTGTGTTGATAGTGACGCATTAAGCCGTTTGTGTACCGTCCCGTTTGGTGAACGCAGGAGAACACCTCCAAGCTCTACCTCAACGACGCCATAGCCTGCACTCCCGAGTTCCGCACGCTGGTGGTGGGCGACACCACTCAGGTACGGCACCGTACGGCAATATACGACACTGTACGGCTCATACTGCAGCAACAGCGCCCAAGCCTGCAGACGTGACATTTTACATCCCTGCATGTGTAGCCCTCGCGTCTGAACCCCTATCGGTACCCCACGTCCCATCCCATCCAACCCCCCTTCCATGCACCTGAAGCCTCTGCTGTTTCCCGCCATCTTCCCAACTTCCCTCACTCCCTCTCCTTGTCCCTTCAGGGTCTCCGCATCATGGAGACGCTGAGAGCCGCCTCTCCAGCCGGGGGCCCCGGCGGCGCCGACGAGGGCTCCCTAGACGGCTCCTCCGAGGGCGGCAACACCGGCGGAGCAGCCGGGCCCGGCATGCAGTCCCCTGCAGGCGCCCTCGGCCCCGGCGGCCGTCTCGGCACCGCCAACAGCACCCTCAACGGCAGCCCGGGCGGCCCTGGCGGCGGCGGCGGCTCCGCCCCTGATACCCCCTCGTTCCGCGTTCCCGGTCGGGCCTCGCTTATGCCTCTAGGCTCCGAGCCCCCCAACGCATCCGTGCACCAACGGGCCAAATCCCAGGCTGCCATGCGGCTTCCCTCCACGATGCGGGGCGGTCAGGCGGACGGCGGCGGTGCCGGCGGCGGCGCAGCCAGCGGGACGCTAGCAGTTTCGGAGCTCAAGCTGCGGAACAGCTACCAGGGCATTATCCAGCCTTCGCGGGGCGGTCTGGCGATCGCCCGGTGTGCTGCTGCTGCGGGGGTGGGCGGCGGGTACACCATGGTACTGGGGACGGGGGTGCTGGGGCGGGTGCGCATGTGCCCGCTGAGGCCCCGCAGCAATGAGGATGTGGACGAGTACTTCCCGCATGCAGCGGATGTGACACAGGTTATAGCGCACCGCGACGGCCGCATCGTAATCACCACAGACGCCAGCGGAGGCTGGATCATGCATGTGCTGCTGCCCCCGGGGCCCACAGCCGCATGGGCTACTGCAGGCGCTGCTGCCGCCGCCGCCGCCGCAGGCGTCGGCGGTAGCAGCGGCACCCTAGCCCTGGCTCCCGCCGCATCCAGTCCCATGCCGGGTATCGTACAATCCACTGGCCCGCTAGCTCCCACCACACGAGCTAGCCCCGTACGAGCATCCACAACAGGCGGGGTTGCGTTGGGCGCTGGCCGGGGATCCTCGAGCGCCGGACAGCCGGGGGGTGCCCTACCTGGCACGCATGTAGACCGTACGACAGCCGCACATCGGATGTTGCGTCAGATCATCGCGTCGTACGATTCTGGATCCGGCGGGAATCTGGACGGCGGCGGCGGCAGCGCTGGAAGCGGTGGGCAGTTGATCGTGAGCGTGCGTGCGGTTGACATGCAGCAGCTGAAGGAGAACGTACGGGAGCTGAAGGACCGGCTGGCGAAGGCGGCGACGGAGGCGGAGTACAAGATGTACGAGCGCGAGCAGGGCGTGCGTCGGGATCTGGAGGGGGAGGTGTCCCGGTTGCGAAGCGTGGAGGCGATGTTGCGCGCGGAGCTGGAGGCAACACGGGCTAATGCAGCGGATGAGTCCAATGCGGCGACACGACTCAAGGTGGGCTGAAGGACAGGGTGTGCTTATCGATGCCATTTAGTTTTTAGCAAAGGAAGGCATGGCAAGGCAACTTGGAGGAAGGGGCCATGACTGTTGGCATGGTTTTCTCTTTGCTGTCGTCGTACCGTATTCCAACCACCGCCAATTACTGATTCTTCCCCCTTGGCTTTCTTCCTTGGCTTCCCTGGTTGCCTGTTCGCCTGATGGGGGCATGCGCTGACAGGAAGCCATGACGCGAGACTTCGAACGGGCGCTGCGCGAGCAGCAAGACATGTTTGAGAAGAAGTAAGAGCGCGCGTCACGTGTGTGCGTGTGTGTGTTAAAAGGGCACTGTCGGGTGTGTCTCGCCCCGCGTCGCTGTCGTGTGTCACTGTAGGGTGGGAAGCTGGGAGCTGTTGGGGTTTGGGAGGTGCCTGGTGACTGTGGGGGTCTCGCGGGTAGGTGTGTTAAAATAACTGGCCCCGCGAGGCGAAACGTGTGTGTGGGTTCTCTTCCTCAGTTATGTGGAACAAGGGAAGGGGGGAGCACGGGGTCCTGGAGAGTTGGGCTACATGGACTGGCACGGACTGGCACGGACTGGCACGGACTGCTCATGACCACACTCCGCTCTCCGCTCTTCCCCTCAACCCTAATCGTGCGTTACCCCCCTCACCCCGCCTCCTCCCTCCTCCCTGGCACCTCACCCCTCGTAACTCGATTCCATTCACCAGGAGCTCGTCGTCTTGTTTGCCATCCTATTCAACACATTGGATATTCTTCTTTTCCGCCCTCGCCCTCCCTAAAGGCTTGCCGCTGAGATCTCCCGCACTGATGCCGCGGAAAAGGAGATGCAGCGGCTGAGGGCCAAATTCGGTCGCAAGCTGTGGCAGCTGGATGAGGAGCAAGACGTGAGTGCCTGGATGCCGCTGCTGCTACCACCGGCCATGACTGCAGCTGCAACATGCAACATTGCATAAGAGAGACGTACCACCGCCGGAAACCCGCTAACCCATCCGTCCTTCAGTACTTTCCTAAATCTCCCTCCCTCCCAATCTCAGCAGCGTGTTTCTCCCAGGCCCAGGCGGGGTCCTGACACCCTGGCGTTTCCTCTGCCTCTAGACAGCTCAACCAGCCGACTCTGTACACGTTTCCTTACAATCTCTCTGGTGCTGCTAAAACTAACCCCCAACTCCCGCCCCTCCTGCTCCAACTGCACGTTCCCCCCTTCTCCCCCCCCCTCTGCCCCCTTCCTGCCCCTCCTAGAAACTCGTGCGGGAGGCGGCGGACGAGAAGTCCAAGCTCGAGGCGGCGGTTGACTCCACCAAGGCGGAGGCACAGAAAGGTGTGCACCTGGCTGCTTTGCACGTGTGTTTGCTGTGACTGCTGCCCCGCATGTGTTTGCGGCCCCGCATGCTTGCGACGTTGTCGTCATCCACATAGACCTGCCGTGTTACCTCATCATCTTCTTTCCTCTACCACTCCGCGTACGGCGCGCTCTCCACGTTAAAACCAAGTTACAAAGCTCCCTTTGCCTCCTACAACACCTTCCTTCCTCTCCCCCTCTCTCCCTCTTCCCCCCTTCCCCCTCCAGCCATTGCGGCGGCGCACCTGCAGACGGAGCAAGAGCTGCGGATAGACGGCGAGCTGAACGAGGAGGAGCTGCAGCGAGCAGCGGATGCGGCGCAGAAGCAGGTGGGGGGTGTGTCGGGGAGGAGGGAAACCTACTGGCCGCGAGAAGAACGTACTGTGTGTGAAAGGGTGAAGCCCCCGTCGAAACAGCAGCAAACTCGAAACAACAACAACAACAACAACAACTCAAAACAACTACTTGAAGCCCCACCGTGGCACCCCTAACCTGCCCCTCCCCCCCACCCATCCACCCCAAACCCTCCCCCCCCGCCCCGCCCTTCAGTTGGAGGAGAAGGACGAGGCCTACCTGAAGCTGCTAGCCAAGCACACGTTGCAGTCGGGCCTCACCACCAAGACCTCGCAGGAGAATGAACGGCTGCGGGCGGAGGCGGAGAGCCTGCGCAAGGAAAACACACGGCTGGCGGAGCAGGTGGGGCGGGGGGGAGGAGGAGGAGGAGGAGCAGGAGGAGGGGGAGGGGGAGGCGGAACGGAGGAGAGGGGCGGGCAGGAGGATTCAGCAGGTGCCGTCCGCCGTGCCTCGCAGCGATGGACCAGGACTGGCTGTATTGCAGCTAGTGGGTCGAACACTGGGTAGGGGCGTTGGGTACCGCTCTGTCTCTTCTTTCTCTCTCTCCCACCTTCCCTCTCCTCCTTCCTTCACATTCCCCCGCGCTCACTGCATGCGTCGGGGTATGGGATTGGGATTCGTTGCTGCACTTATCATTAATTTTTGCCCCCCCTCCACCCCCCCTCCGCCCCCCCTTCCTCAGGTGATGGCGCTCTCCGAGGAGCTGGAGGCCATGCAGGCCGCCTGGGCCGACCGCGACGCGCGGCAGCGTCACCAGGACAGCGAGATGAAGGACATGGCCTTCCAGATGCAGCAGGCGCAGCTGTTCACCTCGCTGGCCACCACTCGCATCAAGGAACTCAACAACGAGCTGGAGCCGGTCCGGAGTGCGCGGGATGATGCGTTGACGCATGTGGCGCAGGTGAGGGCGGTTGTGGTGGGGGAGAACAGGGGGGGTGGGGTGGGGTGGGGCATGCGGTGAGGGGGGGTAAAAGGGATATGTATACTCCGCGTTAGGCTGGGTAGATTTTGGTGGGGGGAAAACTCAAACAAGATACTCAAACAAGAGGACAAGCACGCCTGGTGAATGGAATCAAGCTGGAATGGGGGGTGGGGTGTGATGGCCTGAAGCCTCGTCAAACAGCTCGTCAGTTTCCTCTCACTGACCCTCGCTTCCTCTCCTCTCCCCCCTCCTTCCCTCCCCCCTCTTCCCACTCTCCCAGATGGAGTCGGTTGCCCAGCGGCAGTTGGAGCGGCAAGCCAAGGTGGTGTCGGACAACACCTCCCTGCAGACCCGACTAGATGCGGCGTATGAGGAGCTGAAGAACGTGAGGGGGGGGGCGAGGAGGGCAGAGGCAGCAGCAGCTTGTGATCAGAGCTTAGAATGCAGTTTTGCTCTGAATTCGCCCCTTTCCCTCCCCTCTGTCCCTCACTCCGCTCCTTCCCCTCTACGTCCATCCCCCGTCCTGCCCGGACCCCAACACACAATCCTCTAATCCAGCCTAATGCGGAATGCGCTTCCCTATTACCCCACCCCCCGCCTGCCCTGGCCCCCCCAGGTCAAGGGTGAGATGCAGGAGCGCGAGGCGTACTTCAAGAACTTCACCACCCAGATCTTCCGCACGCTGCAGGACGTGCCGCACCAGCAGTGGCCCAAACTGTTTGGGCGCTTGATCGATGACTATCACAAGGTGGGTAAAGAGGAAACAACGAACTGACTGAGGGATAAGGCGTCAACATGGGTTGCAACATGTGAGCCAGCCCGACCCGCCCAGCCCGAAAGAGCGAAGGTTGGGGAGGGGCGTATGTGACGGGGGAGCGTGTGGGGGGGGGAGAGGGAGAGGGACCCCCCCGTTTGTCATCTTTGCCCCCATTGCATACTGTCTCCGTGTGTCTATCACTGCATGAGTCTCACTGCATGAGTCGGGAATCGGGATATGGGACTCCGTTGCTTCACTCCTCATCTCCTATTTTGGCCCCCTTTGCGCCCCCCCACCCTTCCCCCCCTGCTCAGAGCCGTGACAAGGCCACCTGGTCCCGCTACCTGGCTGCTGACCACGGCCCCAACGCCCACCCGCCGGGGTCCCAGGTAGGGTCGGAGTGAGGGGAAACACGCGTATGGCGGGTGGTTGAACCCGCCCCAATTCTTATACAGGACATATTTGGGCGGGAAGGAAGTGTGGAAGAATGGAACGCTCGCATGCGCACCACTGATAGGGACCTCAGGGAGCACTGGAAGAGCGGGAGGGGACCCGGGTGGGGTGGGGTGCTGCCGCCGCCGGTGGGATCGGAGTGAGGGGAAACACGCGCATGGCCGCATGCCATGGTTGCACGGAAAAGGAATTGGGCGGGATGGAAGTGTGGAAGAGTGGAGCGCATGGGCAGCGCTCAGGTGGCGTGATAGGACCCTCCGGGGGCCTTGGTAGGGCATCTCAGCCATCCCACATGCGCTACACACACTAAAGCACAGATTTCCTCCTCCTGCATTGCCTCCATACGCCTTCCTCTCCTTCCTCTCCTTCCTCTCCTCCCCTCAGCCCCTTTCCTCCGGCGGCGTCGGCATCGGCGGCAACACCGGCTCCTCTCCACGCGGCACTACCACCGCCACCTCCGCAGCTGCTGCTGCCGCTGCCGCCGCCTCCTCCGCCTCCGCCTCCGAGGCCGCTGAGAAGCTGGGTGAGATGCACGCGCAGCTGATGCACACGGAGCGCATGCTGTCGCTGCTGACCGAGACCAAGGACAAGGCGGACAAGGCGCGGAGGGCGGTGGTGTCGAAGCTCATGCAGGACAACCTAATGGTGGGGGGGGCGGGGGGAAGGGGCGGGGGCAAAGAGGAAGAAAGCCTGTGTGACGAGGCTGCAACATGGGTGGGGCGGGGTTAGGCCCTTGGGGCGCTGTGGGTGGGTTTGGGGAGATGTAAAGTTGCATCACAGGGTACCGGGGTGTGTGTGTTGTCATCGGGGTGTATTGCCCGGGGATCAACGCATATGCATGCAACCCAAAACCTCATCAACCAATCCATGCACCCCCATGCATGCGCGCATGCAGGTGGTTCAAGAGCTCAACGACACCAAGCGCGACCTCAAAGCCGCTCGGGAGCTGGCGGAGAAGCGCGCCATCGAGCTGGCCGACCTGCGCATGAGTGTGGTGGTGGCGGGCGGTGTGCTGCCGCAGCTCGGCACCTACAGCTCCATCACACACAGCCAACAGCAACAACAGGCGGGGGCTGTGGGCTCAGGTGGTGGTGGTGTTAGTAGTAGCACTGGCGCGGAGAGCAGCAGCGGTAACGGAGGCGGTGGCAGTGGCCCCTCGCCAGGAGGAGGAGGAGGAGGAGCAGGCGGTGGGATGCCCAGTAGAGCCATGAGCCGCGTGCCGTCCAGGCTGGGTGATCCAGCCAAAGCTGCAGCCGGCGGGGGCGGAGGGGCCAACAGCAGTCCCCGTGTGCTGGATAGCAACGGCTCCGCCGTGTCATCAACCTCGTCAGTTGCATGGGCGAATGGTGGTGGTGGCGGTGGCGGTGGCGGTGGTAGTAACTCTCAGCAGCAGCAGCTGCTGCATTACGGCGGAACGGGAGGCAGCGGTCTTCACGAGCATCATTCCCTGCAGCAGCAGCAGCAGCCGCTGGTGGTGACGGGCGATATGCCGCAGGGGGGTTGGTGGCTGGGCGACAGCAGCCCCTTTGAGCTGCCGGCCTCGCTAGACCACATCGCCTCCGCATCGTTACGTCGTAGCTTGAACAACAGCCATGATGGAAGCGCGCAGGAACGTCCGGGAGCTGGTGGGGGTGGTGTTGCCAGGCGAGCGGGAACTTCCGCCAGCGGCGGCGGCGCCGTCGGCCCGGCCGCCACCGCCGCTGGTCGCACCAGCGGCGGCGCGTTGATATCCTCTCGTGTGGCCTTGACGCCTCCCACTCCGCATGCGTTGCTGCCGGGGGGTCGCCGACCCGAGACCACCTCCTCCTCCTCCGCCAACCTGGTCGCTGCGGCGGTGTCCGGCGCCGCCTTGCAGGCCTACAACCGGCAAATGCAGCACCAACAGCACCAACAGCAGTCCTCATCCGCGTCTTCAGAAGCCCCGTCCGCTGCAGCAGACAGCGGCGTCGGCGTCAGCGCCAGCGGAGGCGGCGGCGGCGGCACCAGCAGCAGCGGTGGAGCAGCCGCCGGCGGTCACCTGCGCGCCATGTCTCCCCCGCTAGCACACCGCTCCTCCGACGTCTCCTCCACCTCCTCACCCGCCAGAGCCACGTCAGCAGGACCGACGGGAAGCAATGCCGGCGGGTTGGGATCCGCTGTCGGCGGCGGTGGCAGCGGCGGAGGCAGCATCAGCAGCGGCGGGGGGCTGCCTCACCACCACCCGCACCATCCTCACCCCCACCGAGCGCACCCCTCCCGCAGTACCTCGGCAGCGGGGGCCATGATGCCGTACGGCGTTTGGCAGCACCAACAGTACGGCACTCCCGGCGGCGGTGGGTTACTGGCCTCCGGGTCGGCAGGGTTGGGAATGCCGTTTCTGCAGGGGCAGTTGCGACCCAGTACGACAAGCAAGGTGACCACCATGGGTGCCGGGTTTCGGAGCTTTGTGCCGACACAGGGCAGCCCGAACAACTCCAGGGGAGGGGCTATGGGACGGTAGGGTTCATGAACTACATGAGGGAGAGGCGGTAGGGTGGATGCCCGCGGGGCGCGGAGGAGTTGGCCATACGCGGTTGGTGTGGGCTGTGTTAGTTGCGGAGTTGGGCATGTCTGAATGCCCTTGCTGATCCCGGACCTTGTGTCATCTCGAGTACATATTATACACCTTTGTGAATGATTCTTTGCGAATGGTTCTGCGATTATGTGAAACTGTGTGTGATCTGCCGAACAAGGGTAGTAAGAATGCACAGCTGTGAATGGGGAGTGGTAAGTTGTCGAACAAGGGTAGTAGGAATGCGCACAGCTGTGAATGGGGAGTGATTCAGTTGTCCTGGGTTTTCATAGTCCGCGGGTTGGGTCTGGATCGCTTGTGCGATGTACCCCTGTTCCTGCATCTTGGTGCATGGTATTTTATTTCAGTTCACTAGTGTTCTCACGGCAATGATGACCGAATGACCCGCCACATTGAGTGCGCTGCTGCCCCTGCCATGCACGTAAGGACGGACGGGGTTCACCCCTTGCAACTCTTTCGGAGCGCAAGCCTCCATTTCATGGTGGCCAACACTGAAAGGCGCGACACGGTACAGCGCGTCGCCCTAAAAGGGGTTGCCCCCATTTATTAAATGCAGCGCTTAATCGAAGTTGCCATCGACTAATGAGCTGTGCGGTTTGGGTGATTTGGGTGGCGTTCACCCCTAAAAACTACTGGCACGCGTGATGTGTGCGGCGTGCCGGGGCCTTGTGCTGTGCGGGCTCATGTTAATTGCCCTAGCCCACCTTGCATGTGTTTCAAGGTGAGGCATCAGAGGACAAGCAATCGACCAGCCAAAAGGTGAAGAAGGGCGCGTGCGGGGCCCCCTGCGCAGGGGCCGCGGCTATGTATCTGCTGCTGTTGGGGGCGCGGTTATTTACATATATGAATGAATGAATACCGTTACAGTGCTTCCCTAAGGCTTCTGCTGGGTTGGACGCTGCCGTTCGTCGCACCGGGCTGTGGCTCCTCGTTGTAGGCTGTGGGGTAAGCGCGGTTGCAGGGCTTACGGTCGTCATGCGAACAGCCAAACGCCCTGCAAACGGCGGCCGCGTGTTCACACCTGACACGGCTGCGGCACGGCGGTGCATAATACCGATAACAAGCCTAACAACCACCACAATGGGGGCTATGAGGCATTCCAGTAACCAACCAGGAGCAGACCCAGCCTGTAGCCTGCCTGCACCAATACGGCGAAACCCTTCCCTCAGCCCTACCGAGGGCAGTAGGGTTAAGGCTCCTCCTCCTTCATTTTGTGGAACAACGTCAGACAACGCGAATAGCATAAGCAACAACCAACAAAAACACAAGCAGCAAGCTTTTTAACCCGCAGCAAGCACAACGATCCAACGCAGCTGCAGCGGCGGTAGTGCCACACGACCATGACGACCGGCGCCTACGCAGCCAGCAGGTCAAAAGCTTCCAATACAGGTAAGCATCATCGGTGTTGACGTAGAAAGAGCTGGTGTACCGTATACCGGTCTACCTGCCTTTGGGTCACCGTTCAACTTGTCCCCGCCTAGTGTACACAAAAGCAATGTGACCAGCAGCCCGGACCCCAACCTTCTCCTCTCCCTCATGTAATACATCAGCAGGACCTGCCTTGACTAGTGTCCTTGCCTTGCTTCTTCTTCTGTCAACCATCAACCCCTGCTGCGAACGCCTAACCCTCTCTCCACATCATCTGTTTAGAAGGTCAACTACGGTCACGGCCCGTACCTCTATCGCGGCTGGGTGTCTTCCTATCGGTACCACATCCCCCCCTGCAGCAGCACTACAACCGAGAGGCAGGCGGCAGCAGCTCCACTGCCGCATTAGTGATCGCTAGAACCTTCCGCTCTTCAACCCAAGTGCGGAAAATGACCTTGGTGGTGGTGGTGGTGGTGGCGGAGGCGGCGGTCGGGTTGGGGCTAGACTCCTCCCGCTGCTGCTGCTGCGAGGACAGTAGCTCCTGCTGCTGCTGCTCCTGCTGCTGCTGTTGCTCGAGCCACATCTCCACTCGTAGCGTCTCCCCCGGGAAGACGTGCTTGGAGAAGCGCACCTTGACGCTTTGCAACCGGCTGGGGTCGTCGCCCCCGAACGCGCGGAGCACCAGCCGCACGGACACACCCAGGCTGCACAGCCCGTGAAGGATGGGGCGCGGGAAACCCACTCGGGAGCTCACCTGGGCGGCCGGGGGAGGGAGGAGGGGGTAACAAGAGGAAACAAGAGGAAACAAGAGGAAACAAGAGGAAGCAAGAGGAAGCAAGAGGAAGCAGCTGACTGACAGTGTGATACATCGTCATCGTGGTCGGGGGAGGGAGGAGGGTGACGCATGCGATAAGAGTGGGATATGAGCGAGGCGAGGATCGAGGAGACAGGGAGGGGGGTGCATGAGGACTAGTGCGCGAGGACAACAAACGACCCATGGGTCGCAGAATTCTCGCAAGCCTCCCCGCCCACCTCCGGGTCTACATGTAGTGGGTTGTAGTCCCCGCTGAGTCGGTACAGGGCCGCCTGGCTGAGTGTGGTGGTGAAGGAGGCGCAGGCGTCGGGCGGGCGGGAGGGTGGGTCGTTGGAGGCGAGGGCGGCTTGGGGGCGGGGGGCGGGGGCCCAGGGGGTGTGCAGGCCGCCTGCGGGGGGAGGTTGGGGGTGGTGGGCAGAGCGAGGTTGGAGAGCGGGAGAGCGCAGCAACCGGGGCGCAGGGGTCAGGCCCTCTGCCACTCGCTCTCGGTCACTCCTGAGCCAACCAAACCTCTCTGGGGTTGCCGTGAGGAGCCCCGTGCACGGCCCCATGCACGGCCCCATTCACGGCCCCATGCACGGCCCCACGCACGCTCCCATGCACGGCCCCATGCACGGCCCCATGCACGGCCCCACGCACGGCCCCATGCACGGCCCCATGCACGGCCCCATGCACGGCCCCATGCACGGCCCCACGCACGGCCCCATGCACGGCCCCACGCACGGCCCCATGCACGGCCCCACGCACGGCCCCATGCACGGCCCCACGCACGGCCCCACGCACGGCCCCATGCACGGCCCCATGCACGGCCCCATGCACGCTCGCACCTTTCCCCAGGATGAAGGTTGTGAACTCGTTCACCGCCACCTCCCGCCCGCTGTCGCCGTCGGTGGTGACGGTGCGCAGCACCACCACCAGGCCGTTGCCTGGCAGGGTGGCAAGTACAGCAGAACGGCAAGTACGGCAGGGTGGCAGGAAGGCAAGTACAGCAGAACGGCAAGTACGGCAGGGTGGCAGGAAGGCAAGTACAGCAGAACGGCAAGTACGGCAGGGTGGCAGGAAGGCAAGTACAGCAGAACGGCAAGTACGGCAGGGTGGCAGGAAGGCAAGTACAGCAGAACGGCAAGTACGGCAGGGCGGTAGTAGGGTAGTACACAGGACTCAGGGGCAGAGTCACTCCAAGCCTAACAGCTGCCCAAGGACCCTAGGTGTCACTGCTGCTGCCGTGTAGTGCCGTATGACGCCGACACACTACACTGACGGCACCATGCGGCACTACACGACAGCAGCAGTGACACCTAGGGTCCTTGGGTTAACACCCCCCGCCACCCACGTCCACCCACCCTTGGCCCTCACGTCCACCAGCTGCGGCCGGCTCACCAAGCTGCCCCCCTCCCGCGGCAGGGGGGCGCCGCTCAGCTGCAGGTACTGCTCCCCGTGCAGGGCGGCAGCCTGGGGGGCGGGGTAAGGGGTGACGGGGTGGAGGTAGGGGTAAGGGTGGAGGGGTGAAGGTAGGGGTAACGGGGGCGGGGCGGGGCGCATGCGCTTGGTCGTGCAGATGAGGTTCTGATCAGGTACCGCTTAGAAACACCGCCTTCCTTTTGTTGCGGTAGTTACGAGGTGCCCCCTTTTTACCAGATGTGTACGGCAGCACGCACCCGGTCTAGGCCCCCGGGCAGGTAGGAGGCCAGGGGCACCAGGTCCAGGGAGGGATGGGCGGCTACGATGGCGTAGGTGGGCAGTACGGCAAAGTCCTTGGATCCCTCGTACACGTAGCGAAGGTCGGAAGCTGCAGGGAAGGGCAGCGAGGATGTTTGTTTCTTAAGTACATTAGGAGCCGGGCTGGGAGGTGGGTCAGGGCGCTGGGTCGCCCGCTCGGATTACATTTTGAGGTTGGGAACGCCAGAATGACCAAGGGCAAAAGACTGGAATAGACAGAATCTTACTTGGGTCGCAGCCTAATCCTAGGGCATAAAGCATGGCATCTCTTGATGTGTAGTTGTGCGTGTAGTTGCCGAGGCGCCTGCTGCGCAAGGAGACGATATCCATGACACCGCTGTCGCCACCGCTCGCCACATCCATGTCGATGCTGGTTTTAGGGATTCGGATTATAATGTTACGGATATGTAGAATTTTGCGACTTAGAGCGATGCTTGCCCTCGGCGAAGTGACACTTAGGGTGTTGCGATGCTTGTGGACGCCGAAAAGGGAAGCGACTGCCCGGAGCTTGTCTTTCGTTAGGCAATAGCCGGTGTTTATGTATATTAAGGATGAGCAGTTGCAAAGCTTAGCGACCCAAAGTCATGCGGGTCGGTGTCGTGATGCTTTCAATATCGGCATGGGGGATAGCCTTGCGGTCCCATTTGCAAGATACTAAAAGCAGTACTATTTTTATTATTGCTACAAGCTTCTAACAGCTTTCCTCAAGCTATGCCATAAGTAGTCAGCCGTCGGTCCCCTCACTGCCACACTAGCTTTACAAACACTCCCAGAATGTCGAATAGCGATTTCGAATTCCCTGCGGATGACTCTGGCGAATATTACGCAGTGCTGAACCTTCCACGAGATGCACCTGACGATGAAGTTCGGCGAGCTTATCGCAACATGGCTCAAGCGTATCATCCGGACAAGCACACTGATCCGGAGCTCAAGGATAAGGCGCAAGAGGCGTTCAGCAGATTACAGGTTGACTTGCTTGCACACGATGCTTCCATCCTTTGACGCAGCCGTCGCTTAGCCATGCGACCTTTCACAACGCGCAGGAAGCATACGAGGTGCTTTCGGATCCGAATCGCCGCCAGGTCTACGATGTCTATGGGAAAGCTGGTCTCATGGCAGGTAGGCGCTGCTGCTCGCCATCTGCCCCCACCCAAAAGCGACTTACCATGGATGAGGGGAAGGCGTGATGCTCACCACTCTCTGAAGGGGCTGAATGTGGTAAAGACGTCTCCCGCAGCCTCAATTTCAAACCCTTGCTTAAGCTACTACGGTGTGTGTGTTGGCTTTCCTTCCGCTGTTCCTCATTTTCCGCCGGTCCTCCCTCCGTGTAGGCCACCATGCCATCTTCGCCCCCACCAACACCGTGTCTCTATCCCCATTGCTTTGCCCATACCTGTGGGTTTGGTATATCTCTGACCCCCCCCCCAAACATGCCTAACCTCCTCTCACGCTGCACCGCCCCCCGTGTAATGTTTCCCCGCTCGTCTCGCACCCGTCCCGCCCCCTGCAGGCTTCGAGCTGGGGACCAAGCTGGACTCGCTGGAGGAGATCAAAAAGAAGTGGGAGGAGTTCCAGAAGAAGCAGGTGAGAGCGGAGCCCGGGTTGTACGGCACCTCCTCCCCCTCCCTTCCCCACCTCCCGTCTCCATCCTCCCATCTCTCCTCCTCTCCCTCCCTTCATGCACTCCTCAACCTCCCCTCAGAGCCCTCCCTTCATGCCCTCCCTGCTCCCTACCTCCTCCCCCTCCCCACCCCCAGGCCGCCGAGCGCTCCGACGCCGCCTCCAACCACCGCGGCACCTACCTCTGCAAGGTGGACGCATCCGACCTGCGCCGCTCGCTGACCGGCCAGCAGCCGCTGTTCCGCCAAGTGGTGGTGCAGAACTCTATTGACACGCCCGTGGGGGAGGGCGGAGACGTGGCGTACATACAGGGGCAGGCGGTGCTAAGGAACGCGGCGGGAGCGGGTGAGATGGGAAGGGGGGGAGGAGGGCGCATGGCGGGTGAGGGGGGTAAAAATTAAGGAAACTGACGAGGCGGGGGGTGTGGCATGGCGGGTGGGGTGGTGGTGAAGGGCGGTGAAGCAAGGGAGGGGGGGCAGCGGGAGGAGGGTGAAGGGAAGAGAGGGAGAGTCCGACAATCACCGTACGTTCCCCCTCGCGGCCGGTCCCTCTTGAGGACTTCTCAACACCCACCCCCACCTGCTCGCCCCCACCTGCTCGCCCCCACCTGCTCGCTCCCTCGCCGCACCCGCCCCCCTGTTCGCCCCCTCGCCGCACCCGGCCCCACCTGCTCGCCCCGCCCCGCACCAGGCAACCTCATCTTCGGCTACCGGCGAGTGATCAGCCCGCATGACACGCTGGACGGCAGTGCGGTGCTGGGGCTGCGGTGCGCGCTGAGCCTCACCTCCACACGACAGGTGGGGGGGGGAGTGGGGCGGGAGTAGGGATTCCTTGGGGGCGGGTGCGGATGGCATGTGGTGCACCACACCAAAGGGGGGACCTAACCCAAACCCCATGCAACCCGGAGTCCCCATCCCTCCCTTCCCCCATCCCTCCGTTCCCCCTTTCCTGCCGCTTCTTAATTCTATTCGCTTGTCTTGCCCCAACCTGTGGTTTCCTATGGTTTGGTACATGGTCTTTGATCCCCCTTTCCGGGGGTTTGCTCTATCTCGACCCTCCCTCCCTCCCTCCCTCCCCGCTCCGCCGCCCCCCTTCCAGGTGACTCCCTACACCACCGCCTCCCTCACTAGCAGCTACAGCGTGGGGTCGGGCTGGGGTATGCACCTGGGCTCCACTCGGCAGCTGCCGTACAACATGCAGGTACGGGGGGTGTTTTTTGTGTATGTGTGTGTGTGTGTGGGAGCACACTGAGGATCCCTGCGGGACGTCGCCTCGCCGTACAGTTCGTCGGTTTTCTTAAGTTTTCCCCACTTCCGCCCCCGCCCTCCGCTCCGCCCCGCCAGGCCACTCTGGGGTGGATGGTGGGTCCCTCCATGGCCTCAGGCATGACCTTCAACATCTCCAAGCGGGGAACCAAGTACATTGCGGCGGGTGGGTGGGTGGTGTGCCCTTGGCGGACTCTTTACCCTTTACGAAAGCAAAGGCGGCTGCATTGAAAGCAAGCGCCCCTTCGCAAGAGGAACATGCTCACATTGAGCCAACCACAAAAGAGAGCTTTACCGTATCTTGGGCACTGCGGGGGGACCTAACCACCTTCTCACGCCCAACCCCCTCTCCCCCCCTACAGCCAAGCTGGAGCTAGGCGCAGTGACCGCCGTCTCTGCCCGCCTGACCTACCACCCCACCCCCACCTACCACCTGCGGGCCATAGTGCGGGCGGGCGGCACGGGGGTGGACCTGGAGCTGGGGGCGGGGAGGAAGTGGGGGCCGGCGACTGCGGGTGAGTGAAGGGGGGGGCTGAGAGGGAGGCGGGGTGCAAATCTTGGGCACGGTAACAGCGGCTGGTCCGTCGGCACTGCTAGTGCTGCTGAGTTTGGGTCGTCAGGCAGATGTGTCACATGAGCTACCGGTATCACGAGGTTCAGCCACAGGGGGCTGCATGCGACCATACCTCCTGACCTGACCTGACCTCCCCGCCTCCCTTCCCTGCCCGCTTCAGGCTACATGGGAGCGGTGGTGGGGCTGCAGGGAGTGACCGTCAAGGTGGGTGGGGCCGGGGGGGGTGCTGGTGCGGGGGGGCTGGAGCGGGGGTGGTTACATGCGTGTTGACAAAACCGGTCGCAGGTCCTGGAACATACTGTGACTAGCTGCTGTGATGAGCTGGCTACTGATTCCCGTCTGCTCCTCCTCTGCCCCAGGCGAGCAGGGGGGGGGTTCCCAGTCTGCTCAAAGGAAACCAAACCTCACACGCCTTCCCTCCTCCTCTGCCCCTCCCCTGTCTCCCACCCTCCCTCCTCTTCCTCCTCTGCCCCTCCCCACGTCCCCAGGGTCGGCTGGTTCGCGGCGGCCAGACATTCGAGGTACCCGTGGTGCTTTCCCACGCGCCCGACGACCTGCGTGCGCTGGCAGCAGCCTACCTGCTGCCCCCGCTCGCATACGTCACACTCTCACGGTGGGTGGCGTTGGGCTGGGTTGGGCTGGGCTCTGCCGCCTTTCGTGTTTGTTTCAAATTATTGCTGTGTGCGCCTGATCCTGGTCCTCTTTCCGGATTCTGATCCTGATTCCTAATCCTAATTCCTGATCCTGATTTCTGTCTTGACCCTGATCCCTAATCCCTGATCCCGTGTTGTGGTCCCGCAGGTGTGTTGTTCGGCCGTTGGTGCGCTGGCAGCGGCAACGCAAGGAGCGGCGGGAGCGGCAGCAGCACGCGGAGGCCGTCAGGGGCTCGCTGCAAAAGGTACTACAGGGCACTGCGGAGGGGGCGGGGGGCAAAAAATATAAGTGAAACAACGAGTCGCAATCCCGGCGGCGGGGGGCGGGGGGGGGGTGTAAACATGGTAGGGGAAACAGACTGAAGGTGTATGACACGGCTTCACCCTTGTTACCCTCGTCACCTTTACCGCATTACCGCCTCGCCTCTCCCCCCAAATTGGTGTTTTTACCCCAAACAGGCCTCCTCCGAGCGCCTCCTTATCGAGCCGGTGGCCCGCCGCAAAGCCCGCTCCGAAACCGCCAAGCGCCCCCTCGCCGGTCTCATCATCCTGGATGCGGTGTACGGCAGCGTGGAGTCGTACCTGGCGGAGGCGGGGCCGCAGCAGCAGGCCTTCGCAGCGGCGGCGGCGGCGGAAAGTACGGCAGCAGCGACGACGGCGGCGGCGGCGGATAGGCCGGCGGAGGCGGGTGCGAGTGGAAGGACGGAGGCAGCGCAAGGGGAGGGCGAGGCGGCGGCAGCGGCGGCGGCAGAAGAGGCGCCGTCGACTAGCGCAGAGACAGCGACGGCGCCGGCGGATGCGGAGGCGACGGAGCTTCCGCCTCCGCCGCCGTGGCTGCCGGTGGCGGCGGCGTTGCAGTACATTGTGGTGGATTCCAAACTCACCCTGCACCCCGGCATATCCAAAAAGAGCCTCATGGGCTTCGCGGACCCCATGCCGGGAGCTGACGAGTCGACGGTACGACAACTCTACGTGGCGTATTCGTACGGCAGCCGTGTGTACGAGGTAACGGTTGACGACACGGCGGCGTTGCAACTGCCGTCGGCGGTTGGAGCGGTTGCGGTTGCGGACGTGGGTCGGCAACAGGCGTTGTTGCGGTTGGGGGCGGCGCAGTACGGGGTTCCGGAGCTGTTGTCGAAGCCAACAACACCCATGTCCACTCCGCGCGGTTGATGCAACGTGGAAAAAGCGGGGTTGAGGAGGGGTGGGAGAGTTGGGTTGCCAGCAGGGAGGTCACCAAAGGGACGGCTCCTGACGCGGTGACGGCGTAGCTCCTGGGTCAATGCGGCGCGTCTAGCACCGAATGAGGGCAGGGCACGAGGTCTCAGTGGGTGGTGAGTCACTTGGCTCAGACCACTGTATCCCCCTGGGCCTGCTACTCATCGAGTTTCCGCTCCGCAAGGGGGCAGTTGCGGTCGCATGTTGGCATTGAACTTGGGCGCAGGTATAGCGGACCTGGGTTGTGGAGCTGCGAGAGGAGCGATGTATGAGATGTTACATGGTGGGGGCCCTATATCAGTGCTGTCACAGAGCATAGAGGAGTACGACACTGACTTGGTGTGGGAGTTACGGCGGGTAGCCCGAGAGTACGGAGGGAAAAGAGGAATCAACTAGTACGGAGGGAGGGGCGTTGGTGAAGGCTAGGGGCCTGGGATTAGGACAAGAGTTCACCCTCCTTTCTTTTCACCCAAAGGACAATTTGGACAAGTTATTTAACATGTTTGGGAGCTGGAGTTGGAAGTGCATGTTGGCACCATGTGACGAACATGGCCGCTGCCCAACATGTGAAGTAGCAGAACCGAATGTAGCACAGCATTTCGTTGCAGCCGCGGCTAAAACACGATCAACGGATTAAGTCGTCCAGCACTGGCATGTGCGTTGCGTATTGCTAACGACGCGCATTGACATGGGCGCGGCGTGGGTCGCCGTGGGGAAGTTTATTGGCACAACCTTGATGCCTGAAAGGTCCGCAAGTCGGCCACCCAAGAGATCAGGGAGTTGCGTGCCGTGAAGGGGCGACGACGAGGGGGCGTTTGGTGCCCCGCTTTGTTGCACAGCATTTGGTTGGTTATGAGCTTCAGATCGGCGGTCACTGGTAGCATGCTATGTTGCAGACCGCTGTAAGGTTCCCTAAGCCGTTTGATTGAACAGCGATCCAGTCCCTTCCCCCACAAGCCACAAGATGCGGGATTACACCGCTCATGCGATGCGGGGTTACTTTTTGAACGATAGAGAGCGACTCAGAGTCTTGCATGAGGAAGACGATGAGGTGGGTTCAGTAACCGAACTGGAGGCCGTAGTAAGGAGAGCAGGTTCCGATAGGGCTCCGAATAAGGCCCGGAGATTCTTCGACAACTTCCGCTTACTTCCGCTACCCATGGATACCACATCATGGATACCACCGTTTAGCAGACTATTAGGCTACCCTAGGTGTAACAGCCGTGGCCGGGAAACTCCCCAACCGTACGCCAAGTGTCAATTATAAGATCGACGGGTGCAGGCACAACTATAACATACGACATGACATGAGCCACATCCCAGGTGCAATACCGGTATATAAAAATGGATATTGCAGCAAAAGCGAACTAGAGTCAAGAGTCGGCTAATAGGGCAACTGCCTTTTACTCGTCGTGATTGATGGCAAGCAACATAAACCAATGGAGATGATATCCTTCTAGTGAAAAGCAATTTCCTGATGGCCACGAATGCGGCTGGCCTAGCTGCAAGCATAGAAGTCGGCCCCGCGTCCCAACAACAGAGCGGAACGCCACCGACCGAGCTGGCGCCACTTGAATGGCAGATAGTAAAGTGGAAAATTGACGACATATTCAACGAAGGTTACTTCCAGGATAAGGTGCGCTAGTTGTCTGGATATTGCCTGATTTGGAGGTACACCGCTTCATTCCCTGTTTCATGGACGGCCCTTTGCGCACTACCGGTAACTTGTACCGCTTTATGTCTGGCATTTTTCCATGTCTTTTCGTTTACCATAACCTGGATAACCGGAGATAGGTGATTGGCTCCGACGCTGTATCCATTGTCACAAGGCGTACAACCGCAATCAAGGGGGCCTAGGCACGTTTCACAAGCAATTATTGTATCCTTGATGCATCCTTATATTTTGTATATATTGTATCCTAGCAATCCTTATGGAAACCCCAGCTAGCAGACCGCCTTGCCTTTTCGCCTTGACTGCAGCTTAAACCCATTCCTGACGCCTTCCCCGATGCGGCGTCCTGGGCTTCGGCGTTCCTGCCGTACATTCCTGAAGAAGTTCGAGCAAACCTGCGACAGCACCTACAGCGCCTCGTCTCCCTCCAGTGGCTGCCTCTGGAGAGCAAACCCCGACTATGTCGTTATGGTGCAGGCAGCGGCAGTGCGAGCGATGGTGCACGGGAGGGTGCAAAAGGCACGGACTGCGGGGCTTCTGCATTTCGCTGCGTTTCCTTTCGCCTGAAAGATGACCGCGGCAGCGCCTGGCACGCCTGGAATGACCTGCAGTCGGCTATGTCAGGCGCCGGCTGCAGCGACGCAAGTGCGCGTTCCTCGCAAACGCCACTGCTCAAGCCCTCCGACGTGGTCCTGCTGGCAAACAGCAAGGTGTGGTGTGGGGTGCTATTGCAGAGACTTAAAGAGCAGCCGGGTCTCAAGGAACTGCCTGACGCTAGCGTAATAAGCGTAATAACGTCTGCTTCCCTGGATTTCAGCTCTTCATGTCGACCGGCTTGGTCTTTTGTAGTTCAGAGTCCCATCCACATAGAACAGGCGGCCCGCCACACCCTGCTAATCGCCCTAACCGTGTTAATCACCCTCACAGGTCCCGAGCGTGAAGTCCCTGAGCCAACCTGGCGTGGTGTTTGCGCTTGGCGTGGTCGGATGCCACGGCATTTCGGAGGACGGCGGAGATGGTGACGGCAGTGGGAGTAGTGGCACATTCAAGGCGCTTGTTATGGGCGAGCGGCACTCCAGGTTGGCTCCGCTTTCGGGTAGGTGTGTCACACAAGAATGGGTGGGCGCCGTACACATGCTGCTGTCGGATGCTGTCTGGCACCAGTAGGAGTTGTACGAGGTCGTACAAGTTGTCGTACATGGGTCGTATAAGCTTCCGTAAACATATCTTGTGATAGACTCTGTACTCCGTGCGCATGCCAGGTGTCTTTTAACTTGCTGCATCCGCGGTTCCGACCCTTACCTGTTTGACGGTTCCACATTGTGTTTGCACACCACGGAACCCGCAGAGATGAAGGCAGCCTCGGACGTCGATTCCTGGTACGCGGTGTGTGTTGGCAACATTGCTACTGCTGTGCGAACTTGGAACGCCCTTCAGCCATTCCTCACAACCGGCGACAAGACGGCACACCAGCCACCCCCTCCGCTTCCCACCCAGCTCTTATGCAATGACGATGACCTGGTTGCAGCTGCAGCCGACTCCGCCGTATCCCACGCTGCACATACCGCCCCACCTACCCCTGACGGCAGCCCGGGCAATGCCGGCCTTCCACGTGGTCCAGATGCTGCAACGGACAGCACTGTAGCAGCCGACATTCACGAAGCCCTACGCATCTACTGTGAAAGTGTACGGCATCTCGATGCATCGCAATGTGATGCCGTACAACGTGCTGCTATGTTGTACATGGGGCTGTCGTACGTGGGTGCCGCCGAGGCGTGCGAGGATGGCGGCGGTGGTGGTGGCAGACGCGGTGCCATGTCCCAGTCCGCTGCTTGCAAGCTTATCGCCACAGCGGACGACGACATCGTGAGTGGCAATCATGCTGTGTCAAACGTGGACAACGCCTGCGAGGACGGCAACACTCTTTCCGCAGCCCCCTGTGCTAACGTTTCAGGTGCGCCTGCTGCTGGTCAGGCTTTCCCAATCCTGATGGTGCAGGCTCCTGGTAAGGCCGGACGCGGCGGTGCTGCTGGTGCTGGAGGCGGCGGTGTTGATGACACGACGGCCCCTGCAGTAGCAGGCTCGACGGGCAGGGCTGCCCAGATCCTGATGGTTCAGGGCCCTCCGGGCACCGGCAAGACCTCCACCACTGCCGCCATGCTGTCGGTGCTGTGCGGTCTGGGGTGCGCTACAGACAAGTCGGCGGTGCTGGTGTGCGGGCCTACAAACGCGGCGGTGGGCGAGGTTGCGAGCAGGTGCGGCTGCTGGGCATGAGATTGATGGTTGCATGCCGGCCCTTTGTATGCATGGAGTAGCCTAATGTGGCTCTCGTGTTTGTTTATGGCTGCAGGTTCTCATTGCTCCTGTCTCAGCAGTCGCAACAGTTTGCTGACCAGCCTGAGGTCAAGGAACTACGGAGCAGTGGAGTGCTGCCAGTAGCACCGCCGCTGCTGCAAGGTAAGGCAGGGGCAAGCAAGGCTGCTGTTCACGCGTGGACATACATACAACATTTGTTGGGGGCTACAGTGGGCTTCATCATGCCATGGCTCATCATGGTTTCCGATAACGGGCAACAGGGTTTGGCATTCCAAGCTACCAGCCTGCCAAGCCCAACTTGACAAGTCAACATTAATTAACATGCTAACCCTTCCCAACAACATCGCCGTACACAGGTGACTGTGTGGTGGTGGGAAGCGAGGGCCGCCCGGACCCCGCGGCCAATGACAGGCGGCATGGAATGAATTTGAAGGAAAGGTGTGTGCGTACGAGACAAACAGAGGGTGGTCACGCATTGGTCAATGCTGGGGTGTGAAATCCAATTTGCCAGCAGCAAAGAGGCTGCTGATAGGCGGGTACCGGTACCTCAGCGGTACCTCAGCAACAGCAACAGGTGCATCGTTAGCGGACAGCGGCATACATAAATGGCTTGGAGAAGCTTCTTGCAAGAAGCTGCTGCCATGCCTGCCACCCAGTGTTCACCATCGCCATTGAGGTCGCCATGCATGTCACTCATCACCCTCCTGGACCCATCCCAGACCCATCCGTCGTTTCTCTTGGTACCCAACACTGTCACTCGTGCAGAGCGAAACGCCTAGCCGGCGTCCTTAAGGGCCCTTCCAGCTGGAGGTGCACGGTGGAGGAACTGCGCCGCCTTCTCACCGCGCCCTCCGAGGTCCACAAGGAGGCCCTGCGGGCAGCGGAGGCGGTGGCAGCAGCGGCGCCGGCGTCCATATCGACGTTGCTGGCTCGTACGGTGCCAGAGGCGGTGGGAGACTACCTGCTACAGCGGTTGCCGCCGCTGCTCAGCCGACTACGACAGCACGCCACCACGTTGCTGGCGGACCTGCCCTCGGCGTCTTGGGAGGCGCCGTGGTACGGCTGGGACGCGCCGGTTGGTACCACCACTACTGGCATGGACGCCAACGTCAGTGTTCGGGTGGAGAACGGCGGTGTTAGCAAGGCCCTTGAAGGTCGTGAAGCCATGAAGCGACTAGCGGACGCTTGCAACTCGCTGGAATCTGTCCTGCATGGGGTGACACCATCGGCGGTCACAAAGGCGGTGAACTCCATGCCGAAACAGCCGGCTGCGAGTGTCAACACCAGCAGTCCATCTTCTGCAGCTGCTTCCTCATCACGACTGAGCTTCCTGGCCCCTCCGACGAAGCCGTCCTCCCCAGCGCATGCTAGCCCCCTGCTACTGCCACCCTGCGCTCCTAGCACACCGCGGCTCGCACCACCGCCGCCCCTGCCGCGACAAGGTCGACAGGATTTGCTTGCAGCTCCCTTGCGGGATTTGCCGTCGTCACCACCACCAGCATGCAGCAGTGACGACCCTGTTGACGGAGCCAGCAGCAGCGGTTGCACCCCGCGCATCAGGAAGTGCGATTCAGCAGTGGGAACCGGAAGCGGTGGTAATGAGCCACCACGCGCTCGACGGCCCCTGTCTGACGTGATGAACGAGACTGTTGCTGCGCTGGATGGCTGTGGTGATGCCTTGGAGCTGCGCAAGCTAGAGTCTGAAGCCGCGCTGGGTGACCTCGCAAGGCAAGCGCGGGTTATTTTCCGTGTGTAGGCATATGCCGTTGGGCCGTTTGCTTCACCAAGGGAAGGTGCAAAAACACGAGTTGGAAAGCCCTACTAGGATAGCATAGGAGTTTCGAATTCTTCTGCAGGAGGCCCCCACAGCGCCCACCTTTCGCACCTCAATGCACTTGCCCGTACTACCGGCAGGCAAACGTTCCTTTCGGCACTCACCCATGGCCCTGGTCCCCTTTCCCCGTCCTCCTGTTGAGCCATTCTAATCGTACTCACCTCCATCCTCGCCCTCCCTCCGGACCTACCTCGCACACCCTCCGCTGCCTACCCCACTCCTGCATGCTCGCAGTTACTGCCTGTCCAACGCTCGTGTGGTCTTCTCCACCGTCTCCGCTGTGGGCTCTGGCCGCCTGGCGCCCCACCGTTGCCCACTCAAGGTGGACACACAACTAACAAAACACGCCTCCAACCGTTTTAACCGTGACCGTTACCCTTGCAACACTACCCTTGTAACAATCATCCTAGTGCCCCAATTGGCTTCATTCCGTCTTTGAGCTATCTGCTCACCAACAATTCTTCCCTGCAGCTCAGAGCAGCCCTCGCCCGCTGTCCTCTTGCAAGCACCAACATACATATCCTCCTCCCATGCATCTTCCCGTCCCCGACCCTGCCACCCGGGCCCCCAGGTGGACGAGGGGCCGGGGCGGGTCGGCCTGGCTCACATGTTCCAAAACCAAGATGACGGCTTGTCACACGGTCAGCTGCCCTACTTGTTTCCTCTTTACCCTCCCCCCCCCTCTCCCCCCAGGTGGACGTCTGCATCATAGACGAGGCGGCTCAGCTGCCCGAGGCCGAGACCGCCATCGTGCTGTCTCGCTGGCGGCGGGAGCTGTCGCTGCTGGTGCTGGTTGGGGACCCCCAGCAGCTGCCCGCAACGGTCATCAGCACCGAGGCGGCCAAGCGGGGCTACGGCAGGAGCGCATTCGAGCGGCTGGTGAAGTGCGGCAGACGGGCGGTGAGGGTGGGGCAGCGATGGTCACGGGCAAGTGCATGGCTGTGTTGATGTTTGGTGCGCGCTAGCTTTGGGAAGGGGAAAAATGTACCATGCTGTACCGTCCTCTCTGAGATCTCTGCTGTTGGCTGGACACACTGACACACATGCGTGGACCCGCAGGTGCTACTTAACACGCAATACCGAATGCACTCAGACATCAGCAGCTGGCCACACCGCGAGTTCTACAAGGGCGAGGTGGGTGCGGCGGCTGGGGGAGGCGCATGCTATGGTCGAGCTCAGGACGATGCTGACACATGTGCATGCTGGAAATGGGAAGAGCAGGAGCAAGGGATGGATGTTATTATAACAAGCGTGCCCCCATTATCTCTAACCTCACAGATGCATGCACGCTAGCTTCACGAGCACACGATTCTGATGCTGGCCGCTGTCTGTTATTACCTTGGTCCCAATCCCGTTCCGCGCCTCCTTCCACCATGGGATGTCCAAACCAGGTGATGGATGGACCCAACGTGGACAGCGATGTAGCTAGCTTGCTCGGCCTGCCCTGGGGTCCGTACATCGTACTTGACGTCAGCACGGGTTTTGAGGAGCAGGAGATGTACACCGATGGCACGGGTGAGGAAACAGCTGCTGGAAACAGCGGCGCCGCTGCGTCCGCCGCTGCAGGAGCAGCAGGCCGTCCCGCTGGCGGCAGCGCTGGCAGCAGCAGCAGCAGCGGCAGCGCCAGCAGCGGGAGCACTAGCTGGTGCAATCCGTACGAAGCTGCAATCGCTGAGCTCCTAGTGAAGCGAGTGGCGAAGAACTGGCGGAGCAGGCCAAAAGGCAGCGCGCATGGCGGGTTATTACTCCGGGATGACCACACCCTGTCTATTGGTATCATCTCTCCGTACAGGTATGTGAGATCCCATGCGTAATGGGATCCCAACTTCACCCAAGACAACTTGCTACTAACCGGTGCTACCTGTCATCGTGGTCTTCTCACGGACAAAATGCCTCGCACGTATGGCAAACTTGTTGCTACGAACGCCTGCTGGCGGGCTGGATTCTTACCTTTATTTCCGCCGGCGTCGGCTCCACTGTCCGATGCGCAGGGCTCAGGTGGATGTCATTGCCTCGCGGCTAGCAGACGACGCCACCGGCCCCGGCGGCCCCAACGTGGAGATTTCTGTCCGCTCAGTCGACGGCTTCCAAGGCCAGGAAAAGGACGTCATCATCCTCAGTATGGTCCGCGCCAATAGCCGCGGTGATGTGGGCTTCACAGCCGACCCGCGCCGCCTCAACGTGTCCGCCACCCGAGCGAAACATGCGCTTGTGGTGCTGCTGCATGCGGAAACCATGCGGAGGAACCCGGTAGGCGCGCCTGGTCAAATTACCCGAGGGGGCGACGCCGCAACCCCCTGTTTCCATTTCACGAACTGTGGATCGAACTGCAAGCGTTGCGAACTAACCCGATGTCTAGGAAAAGCTGTTAATTAAATGCTTCTCCCAATCATTCGAGGCAATGACACGACGATACGGGAGTGTTTCATCTGGTGTCTGTTTGGCTCCAGCCACGCAGCCAGCAGGCAGCCCTCTCCACTCCAGCGCATGTAATGTACGCCCCCCTTTGTCTGCATGCATGCAGCTGTGGAGCCGCTTTCTGGACGATGCGAAGGCTCGCAGCGCCTTGCGGAGCGCCGTACAGCAGCCGGTGTTGGATCCCGCCTTCCGTAGTGTACGGCATGCGGTGAAGCGGCGTGCTGAGCTGGCTTCAGTGCGACGAAATCTGTGGTCAGAGCAGCCATGGAAGGTACGGCCAGGCGATTAGTAACGCCTGTGATGCTTCCATTACCTGCATCAGCAGCCAAGATTTTGTGAACCTATGTGCAGTGCTTCACCGTGTGTGCTTGTGCTTTGCCTTTCATTTCCGTCCCCAGAGTGTTTGCAATGTAACCTTCCACATGCGTCTCCCAACAGGTTCTCTACACGGATGCGCTGCAGTCCTCATTCCGCTTGCTAAAGAAGTCGAACCGGCCACGCGTCTTGGAGAAGGTGCGACTGATGATAAGCGAGGGTTGCATCAGAAGTGGCAGCGGTCATTCATTTCGCTTCTTCATGGATGAAGGGAGCAGCCATCATCACCATCTGCATGGCCAGCTGCAAGCATCAACCATATTTGCTTCTCAAGTGCTCAAGCATGCATGCATGCTTTACATTAGCTGCCCCTGGCCCCCCCCATGATGAAGCCTTGTCACACAGCTCGTTATTAGCTGCCTCGTCAGTTTCCTTACTTTAACCCCTCTGCCGTGCCAGATGCTGATGTTGGCCAGCGGCCGCTTCCCACGCCGCCCGCTGCCCTGCAACCTGGTGCGCGAGGAGTACCGCGACCTGCTGCATGTGCTGCGGCTGGAGGGAGGTCGGCTGGTGCTGCTGTGGGGCGTGCGACTGGACTGGTTTGACGGCGTGTGGCGCCAGACGCTTCAGGTGCGACTGGTGGGGAAAGATGAGGTGGAAATGGGATGCCGTGGTCAGGGCAGGTGACGCAGCAGTAGTCGTGTTTGGTAGGGTAACCCTTGTCCGGAAATCCCTTAGCGGATAGCAGAGACGTTTCATTCTAATTCTGAAGGTTGACTGAGCCTGACTGTGTGCTCGTGGTCGCCTGCTGCAGTCGGTGCATTAAAAGTAGGTGTAGCACGAACTCAGTAAATAAGTAGTGTTGTGTGTATGTGTGTTGGCAAGCGTGCTATTATCACCATCACAATGCACCATCGCTTCGCTGCATGCATGCAGGTTTGGGATGTGCTGCCGGTTCCCCAAAAGGCCAAGACGTTGCTGCAGTGGGTACGGCGCATCCAAGCCGAATACGACACACTCACGGAGGAGCACCTGGACGCCCTGCGCTGCTGGTGGGTTGGGCGGATTATAGCTGAGGAAGTGTCAAACATCCTAAACCGCCGTCGTGTCCTGAACACTAATAATTCAATGTAACCCTCACCCCCACGGATCCGCAGGCGAAGCCAACCCGACACGCAGGGTGTCATCGTACCTCGTTGCTGGCCCGAAGGGCTCATCTTTGCCAAGACCCGCATGCCATTGACGCAGAGTGACGGTGGTGGGGGCCACGGTGGCAACGCGTGCGAAGAACGTGACGAGGAAGGACTGCTGGACAATGGACTGGAGGGTGGTGTCACGTTCCAACTACACACCAAACACTTCCTGCTGGACGCACCGAACGCCAATTTGCTATGGACGGCGGAGAAGGGCGACGCGCTTCAGAACAATTTTGATGTGAGTATTGCGTGCTTACTTGAAGTGGTATGGCTTTTACACCCATGAATAAGCAGCCCGTTACTACCTGTACTGATGTATGTATTGCTTGTCGGGTGGAGAGCTTTATGTTCACAGTTCTTTGCCGCTGAGACCACCTGCTGGCTGGCTGAGTGCTTGACACCGACCGTGTGGTCCTTGTGGGGGGTTCCTTAACACCACCATTCGACGCCGCCGTTGCTACATCCGTCTACTTCCTGCATGGAACAAGGGGCTCACCCAGAAGCTTATACCACAAACTAACACACAGTGTCATCCTTGATTATTATTACCACAGCTGAGCGCCGAGCAGAAGGTGCTGCTGGTTTCGCCTGGCTCCAAAATCATCATTGGGCGCAGTGGTACGGGCAAGGTAAGAATATGTAAAGTCTTATTATTGGACCTCTGAGGGTATCCAAAAAGCCAAGAACGTCAGGATGCTTAGTGAATGGTGCGGGAGCGATCCATGGTTCGCGGGTCTGGGGGTCATGTTGTTTTGCATGCCGTGAAACATTGCAAAACAATAATCAACTCATAGCAAGTCGACAACCCATCCAACTGCTGCCGTGCAGACGCTTCTCATCGTGTCTTTAGTGGTTCACCGTGAAGAGGCATTCATGGCACGAAGGAGCAAGTCCACAGCAGAAGGGCTCGGGCCTGACGGCGATGATGACCTTGAAAGCCACCAGCATGGAGCCATGGAGGCAGCAGCCGCCAAAAACGGCGGTGGTCACAGCATACGGCTGCGGCAATTGGTCGTGACGCTAAACCCCAAGCTGGCAGCCACGATAAAGAATGACATCAACCGGAAGATGGCGACCGTTCACGCGGCCATGGCTCCCGTACACGATGCTGAGGCCACTATAGGTGACGACAGTGGCGGCAATGACAACGGAAATGGCGGCGGTGGCGATAACAACGAAAACGGCGGCGGCGGCGATAACAACGAAAATGGCGGTGATGATGGCAACAACGGAAATGGTGGCGGCGGCGGTGGTGATAACAACAGAAATGGCGGTGATGACGGCAACATCAAGAAAGATAGCCTGCCAGTTTTGGTTGACGAGGATGCGGTCGCACGCATGTTTGAAAACCTGCCGGACATCCTGGCGGAAGTGCAGGACGAGAGCTGCCCGCTGGTTTTGGACTTGCGACGTTGCATGCTCATGCTGGATGCCTCCCTGGAGCTTACCTTCATGGCCTGTCAGCGCCAGCGGGCAGCGGCAGCTGCTGCCAAGAGTAGTGGGCGGAGGTGCACCAGCAACACTGCCAACGGTGCGAGCGGTGAAGGCAGGGATGACAGGAGCAACTTCATGGGACACGCTGCTGCTGCGGCCAATGTACACGCAGCAAACGAAGGCGATGCGGGGGAGGCCATGGCGCATGGGGCTGAGGAGGTCTTGGGAGGGGAGGAGGTGCGGGGAGGTATTGCATGCATGGAGGTGGAGGTGCCCGAGGCAGCTGTAAGGCAGGAGAAGGATGACGACCCGCTTGCAAGTAGAATCGTGGAGGTGGACTACGACCGCTTTGCGGACTCCTACTGGCGGAACTTCAGCCACGAGGTCCGCAAGGGTATCAGGTATGGTGCTGTTATGTAGCTCACTCCTGCTGTACGGATTGGCGCTGATGAGACACGGTGCAACTAGCTTGCGCCCTACACCTATCAATAAATGGGCAATATCAGTACGTTCCTCCTCGCGGCCAGTTTTCTTAACATACAGGGCCCACATGTAGTATGTAGGAGATAACTAGAGGCTGTGCGTGTGAATACAAACGGGAATGTTCCTGAGCAGTGTGTTCAGAAAAGTTGGCCGCGAGTAGGAACGTACTGTGTGTGTGGTTTTCCATTGCTGTATGTTCTGCTGTCTCGTTGACTAGCCTTGTGCCAAGCATTACGCATGTTGAACCCCATCACCACCACCACCCGTATCACACACCGCAGCGACCCCGCGCTCGTGTGGCGCGAGGTGCAGACCCACATCAAGGGCAGTCTGGAGGCGCTGGACAGCCCGGGCGGCCGGCTGTCACATGAGCAATACGTGGCACTCGCGGAGACGCGCGCGGGAGAGGACCTCAACGCCAAGCTGCGCGGAGTCATTTATGAGCTCTTCAGGTCTGCTGGTGCCCATGGAACTTAGTGGAACTCATGCACTACTTTGGCCCTGCTGCGGCCAAGAAGGGTCGCACCTACCTCTGCCTGATGTTGAAGGCTGTGCTACGTCATGTTGCGCGAAGTTGATTAATATCGCCTTGAGCATCGACACGAGGTGCATGCATGGCAAAGCATGACAGGTAGTGGCCTCGGTCTACAACCGAACTTCCCTGCATGCAGGCGGTACGAGCAGGAGAAGCAGCGGCGTGGCGAGTACGACGTGGGCGACCTGACGTGGCACCTGCACGAGCAGCTGGAGGCGCGGGGCTACCGCGGGGCTCCCTTCCGCTTCGTGTACCTGGATGAGGTGCAGGACCTGACGCCGGCGCAGGTGGCGCTGTTCAAGTGAGTCTATCTGTGATGAAAGATGTGTGAGGTTTATGAGAAATCAATTGAAGTTATAAATAGGTAAGGTACCGACAAATCCTTGCACATGGGGTTAACTCAAGGCAGAGTTGGGCTGCCGGGCTAGGCTGTTTGTGTATGTGCATGTGTGGAAAAGATGCTGATGACCCGTGGGTCACATGTGACTTATGCTTGTGCTACGCGGTTATGAAGTGCGTTTGGTTTTGCAGGTACCTGTGTCCGTGGCCTCAGGACGGGTTGGTCTTGGCAGGCGACACCGCCCAGACGATTGCAAAGGGCGTCAGCTTCCGCTTCGAGACCCTGAAAGACGTGCTGCATGAAGTCTTCTTGAAGGGCGTGAAGGACGCACGCGTGCCTAAGGTATGGCTAGGTTTGCATCCCAAACAAGACTCCAACCCGCAACAAAGTAAGTGTGTACACTTTAATTACCGGTGCCTTCGCCTCAATACGGTGCATGGCATGCGATCAGCACGCATGGGAGTTGGTTTGATGCAGATACGTTCTGGTTTGTTGTATGCCGTCTCTGCCAGGGGGGTGGGGACAGGAAACACGAGAACGCTCGTCAAGAGTATTTAAAGTCTGCTATCAGTATTTTGTTTGGAGTTGTACGAAAATGTGTCTGCACCTAAAGGTGACTGCTGTATCCTACGGCAGGGTGGGTGCGTGGGATCTGGGGTTCCAGTGCGTGGGTTTTCTCAGGGTGGGTGGGTCTGCGAGCGATTGCCGCCAAGATACTGCCTAAGCGATCTACGAACAACAATTTTAACCCCCCCTCCCCCCTATCTGTGCAGGAATGTTATCTGCTCGAGAATTTCCGTACCCATGACGCCGTTTGCAAGCTGGCTCATTACGGAGTGCTGGTTCCACTGCTGCATTTCTTCCCTTCCGCTCTGGACCGGCTAAAACCCGAGAAATCAAAGAACGCAGGTGGGCATGCCCCCAGGCCAATGGACGGTTTCAAAGCACATGATACGGCTGGTTGACCGGTGTCTTAGGATCCGAGGCTTCGGTTCACTCGCTTGTATGCACATCTGCGAGATGAAGGCCACACAGTACATACGTGCAGCACGGTTGCCTGATGAAGGAAGCACGTTTAGGAGCCTGCCTCGATTCTACAAGCCCGATGCATGCTCCTGACGTGCGCGCTTCCCTGATGCATCACCCCTCCTTCCTTTCGCAGGCTCCAAGCCGCTGTTGTTGTTGCCTTCTTGCGGAGGCCTCGAGCAGCTCCTGATGGGAGGCCTTGCATTACCTGGAGTCGAAGTAGAAGCGGTGGCAGCTGAGCCAGAAGCGGCGGCGGGGGAGGCAGAAACGCTGGCAGCAGAGGAAGAAGCGGCACCAGCGGCTGAGGCAGAAGCGCCGGCGGAGGAGGCAGAAGCGCTGGCAGCAGAAGAAGAAGCGGCACCGGCGGCTGAGCCAGAAGCTGCGGCGGCGGAGGCAGAAACGCTGGCAGCAGAGGAAGAAGTGGCGGCAGCTGAGCCAATCGCACCGGCGGCTGAGCCAGAAGCGGTGGCGGGGGAGGCAGAAGCGCTGGCAGCAGAGGAAGAAGCGGCACCAGCGGCTGAGGCAGAAGCGCCGGCGGGGGAGGCAGAAGCGCTGGCAGCAGAAGAAGAAGCGGCACCAGCGGCTAAGGCAGAAGCGGCGGCGGGGGAGGCAGAAGCGCTGGGAGCAGAAGAAGAAGCGGCACCGGCGGCTGAGCCAATCGCACCAGCGGCTGAGGCAGAAGCGGCGGCGGGGGAGGCAGAAGCGCTGGCAGCAGAGGAAGAAGCGGCGGCAGCTGAGCCAATCGCACCAGCGGCTGAGCCAGAAGCTGCGGCGGCGGAGGCAGAAACGCTGGCAGCAGAGGAAGAAGTGGCGGCAGCTGAGCCAATCGCACCGGCGGCTGAGCCAGAAGCGGTGGCGGGGGAGGCAGAAGCGCTTGCAGCAGAGGAAGAAGCGGCACCAGCGGCTAAGGCAGAAGCGCCGGCGGAGGAGGCAGAAGCGCTGGGAGCAGAAGAAGAAGCGGCACCGGCGGCTGAGCCAATCGCACCAGCGGCTGAGGCAGAAGCGGCGGCGGGGGAGGCAGAAGCGCTGGCAGCAGAGGAAGAAGCGGCGGCAGCTGAGCCAATCGCACCAGCGGCTGAGCCAGAAGCGGCGGCGGGGGAGGCAGAAGGGCTGGCAGCAGAGGAAGAAGTGGCGGTAGCTGAGCCAATCGCACCGGCGGCTGAGCCAGAAGCTGCGGCGGCGGAGGCAGAAGCGCTGGCAGCAGAGGAAGAAGCGGCGGCAGCTGAGCCAATCGCACCAGCGGCTGAGGCAGAAGCGGCGGCGGGGGAGGCAGAAGCTGCGGCGGCGGAGGCAGAAGCCCTGGCAGCAGAGGAAGAAGCGGCGGCAGCTGAGCCAGGAGCAGTGGCGGCTGAGCCAGAAGTGGAAGCAGCACAGGCAGAAGCGGCGATGGCATGCGCGGAAGTAGCCGCAGCAGTGGACGAAGCGGCAGCAGCTGAGCTAGAAGCATTGGCGGCAGAGGCAGAGGCAGAAGCGGCGGCAGCTGAGCCAGAAGCATTGGTGGCGGCAGAGGCAGAAGCGGTGGCAGGAGCAAACAATGCAGTACATGACGCTGTTCCCAAGGCATCACATGGTGGCCTTGAGGTGGTAGTACTGGTACCAAATGAGGCAGCCAAGGAGGATGCCAAGCGGCGGTTGGGAGGCTGTGATGTGCTGGTGCTGACGGCACTGGAGAGCAAGGGTCTGGAGTTCAAGGTACAGTCAGCGCCATAGCATCAGCAGCATTACAGCCGTTGTGTCGCAGCTCCTTTCGTGCTACCGATCAGTGGTATGCGCACGTCACCACGCGGCCAAATCCCCTCCCAACCGTCATCTCTCTTCGCCTCACCCTGCTTACTTGACACCTAACTAACCCCTAGTTTATGCACCCCATCTCCCATCGTCACCCGCCAGGTCGTCCTCCTGTACAACTTCTTCTCCGCCTCGCGCCTCAAGCCCTCCAAGTGGCGGCTGCTGCACCACCTGCTAGCAGCGCAGGGGCTGGTGCCACAAGCCGACATAGAGCCCGGCGGCCGCCTGGCCAGCCCGCGCTTCAACCCGCAGGAGCACAGCCTTCTGGCTCCCGAGCTCAAGGCGCTGTATGTGGCTGTGACACGCGGTCAGGAGGATGTGGTGGTGGTGGAGACGGATGTGGGTGCCTGCGAACCCGTGCGGGAGCTGTGGGAGCGGCTGGGCCTGGTGGATGTGCGGGAGCGGCTGGACGCGGGGGTGGGAGATGGGGAGGGGAAGGGAAAGGGTGGGAGGTCGGGATGGGCTCTGACGCAGGACGAGTGTGCAGGATTGTCAGCCAGGAAGCAGCTAGTGGGTGTTGAGGGGCGGCCCGCCAATGGCAGCAGCATCTGGGTTATTATTAGGGTTTCCTTCGGCAACCTGACATGCTGTGCTGTTGCTTGCACCGGTATCTTCACCGGGTGCCAGGAAGTAACCGCATCGTGTGTTGCCGCTAAATGCATCTGCTACTTCCTTCCCGCTCCTTCCGCACCCAGCAGGTGCTGTCGCGGCTGCAGCGGCAGCTGTCTCCTAAAGAGCTCAAGCAGCGCGCCCAGGTCCTGTTCACCGCGGGGCACTACGCGGAGGCGATGACGATGTTTGCCAAGCTGGGTGGGTGGCATCACGGCGGTGGCGGCGACGGTTGCTTGGGCGGATGAGGCGCAAACAAGACACATAATACGGACATAGTCAAAGGACACTTCCAGGGCTTGTAGTATGGGGTTCGGGCTTGTGCCATTCAGGGCACAGGCAAACGGAATCCCGCCGCCCGCCGTCCCATTCCTCACGCATCCAAGGTGCATGCGTCCTACCGTCGTTAACCTAAACGTCCCCATCCCATGCATGTGGCCTGCCTGCAGGTGATGATGAAGAACCCAGTCGGCTCTTCTGTGAGGCTTTACTAGCCAAGCAGGCGGGTCGCAAGGCGGTGGACAGAGACCAACCGGAAGTGGCGCGACAGCAGTACACGCGGGCGGCAGGGCTGTTCTTGCAGTGCGGTGCGTGGCCCATGGATGAGGGGGGCTACTACCGTCCAAGTGCACGTGCCGTTGTGCACGAATGCATCGTTCTGAAATCTTTGGCAAGCATTCATTCTTCCCGGCAGCTTCCTGCGAACGCATGGTGACACGCATGCGAGTGATGTATGCGGATGAAAAGCAGGCATGGCAGGATCACCAAGCAAGCCCTTCCTCTGCATGCATGCATGCATGCAGGCAAGTACCTGCAAGCGGCCAAGAGCTACGAGAGTATCGGCAGCTGGGGCGAGGCGGGTGACGTGTACCACCAGTACTGCGGGGAGGGGCTCAAGGCCGCGGAGTGCTACGAGAGGGCGGGGAGGTGGCGAGACGCGGCGGAGAGGTGGGTGGGTATGCCGTGTGCAGGACCTCACCTGCTTCCACTCGTAACCCAGTCGTCCCCCAACTCCTCCCCCCCTTAGTCCTCCACCAAGTCGATGACGTAGCAGCTGTGCGCCCAATACGTTACTCCAAGGCATCCTTGCAAATCACCTGCTGCCTATTCGTCCGCCATGTGGCGGTGTAACATGCGCGCTCAGCACAACCATCACCCATTCTTGATTCCTGTGTCACCCTCGCCTTGCTCGTCCTCATCAGGCTGACGGAGGTCCGCGACGCGCCCAATGTGAGGCTGCTGGACCGTGCCTTCCGCGCCTGCTGCAATGCCGCTGAATACATGGCTGGAGTGGAGGCAATGGAGAGGTGGAGCAAGGGTGGAGCAGCAGCCGCAGCCACCACCGTCGGGACTAGCAGCCGGGAGATCATGCAACGACGCGCGGAGCAGCTGCAGGCCCGACTTGTGTCCTTGGGTGCGGTGCATTGGAAGGACAAGGCGGGCGGACAAGACGAGATGCTGCGGTTTGTGCGGCTGATGCCCCGACAGGAGGACCAGCGACGATGGCTGGAAAGGTACGGCGAGTTTGCGAACAGGATGAATGGTATTCACCGGTTGCGAGTGTGTTGTTGTATCTACAGCGTCCATTGTGGGTGCGACGTTGTGCTTTTGAAGGTGCGCTATGCCTTTTCAACCTTGCCTGTGCTGCTGTAACGTACCGTGCCAAGCTCGTCCGCACCTCAATGGTGACATCATCACTCCACGACAGGTACAATCTGTACGACGTGTTGCTTCAATTGGACATCGAGGCGGGACGTTTCCTAGATGCCGCCCGCACCTACGAGCGCAAGGGCGATGCCGACAGCTGCGAACGCGCCGTACAGCTCTACACGCAAGCCGGCTGCTATGCAGACGCTGCAAACACGCTGCTGCAACGCGCCCGCACCGCCGTGCTGTGGGGCGGCAAGAAACATGACTGGCCATCATTGTCCCCTGGTGGCGGCCGCGGCGGCTACAAGTACATGAAGCAAGTGAAGGAGCTGATCGAGTCGTCGGTTGCTGCTGCTGGCGATGGAGGCGCCGATGGGGGCAACAGAGCACCCGTGGCGATCACTGGCGGCAGCGCTGTCGAGCTGGCAGGATGCAGATTGGAGCTGGAGGTGCTAGCTTGCCTAACAAGCAGCGGTGGGGGCGTTAACGCTGCTGCCGCGGGCAGAGGCGTCGGTGGTGGAGGTGGCGTAGGTACTCAGGCAGGACCCTTGCAGCAGTGGGAGGGATGGAGGGAGCAGCTGGATAGGGCGACAGCGACGGCTGGGGCTGAGGCTGTGTTGCTTGGGAGACTGTGCGTTCTGCGTCGCTTCTCAGAGGGTGCACTGGAGCTCGCTGGAAAGCACTTGGCAGCGTGGGAACAGCCGCAACAGCAGCAACCCAAGCAGCAGCAGCAGCAGCAGCGTGCACCTCCGAAGCAGCAACCGAAAACCCCAATGCAAGCCCAACAGCAGCAGCAAGCCGCGACAACAGCCGATGTTCAAGCCATCACCGCTCTGGCGGTGCCGCTGCTGCGCCTCTGGTCGCCCTACCGGCGCCTCCTCGCCGACGTGCTCCGCGTACTCAGCCGCCAACAAGTCGCCTCAGCCTCCGCACGCGACGCAAGCGTGCTAGCTGCCGTACAAACCTACCATGTCGTGCGAGCGTACGGCAGCAGCGGCAGCACTGCTGCTGGCGGTGGCGGCGGCTCGGGTGCGTTACAGCTGGGCTGTCCCGCTGCTGAGGACGCTGCTTGGATTCAGCTGGCACGTGATGAGCGACAGGGGCTCAGGCTTGGTGGCGGAGCCGCCGCCGCGAATGGTGGTGTTGGCGGTGGTGGAGGTGTGCGGGAGATAAGCGCTGCGGCCTTTGCTGATGCTGCAACGTTGTACTGGCGTCGTGAGTTCGGGGCTCGGTCAAAGCACACGCTGGAGGTTTTGCAAGGCCTGGCAGCGCTTCTGGAGCCAAACTATGAGGCCTTCCGGGACATCAAAGGGGCACTGGAGGTCAGGGATAAGAAACAGGGAGGAGGAGCAGCTGCGGGTGGTGGTGGTGCAGTGGTGGTGGAGGTTGATGCGACCCAGCTGCGAGTGCAGCTGCTGGTGGCCGCGGTACAAGAGGCGAGGCTGCTGGTGCAGGTACCGGTAAGAGCTAACAGACTTTCCGGAGGGAGGGACCTAAACCGGTTTGTTATATGGTTTGCACGGGGCTCCCCTTGTGTTGTGGATTGTGGGGTTCGTGGGGCTCTTGAGGTTCGGGCGGTGGCATATACCGGTATTCATAGGCTGCGGGAAAGGTGGTGAGGACCTGCAAGTATGCCCCCGGGTTAAGATAAGCTGCATGTTACATAAACCGACTCGCACCACATCATTTGGACCCATTAACGACCCTTACGCCCCTCCCTTCCCTTCACCCCCCCCCCTCGACGTACAGCTGGCTGAGGGCCAGGGAGTAATAGCCCGCCCAGGCAGCTCCAAGGCCCACGCCCGGGCTGCTGGGACGCTGGCAGCGGACCGCGCCCGTCTGCTGCGCACCACGTTCGAGCGGCTGTACGACGCCTCAGCCGGCCTGCCGCTGCCGGCGATGGTGCAGATGGGCAGCATTGCGGCAGCCAGGGCGGCGGCGGCGGAGGCGCTGGAGCAGTACGTGACGGCGCTGCTGGCGGACGCGGCGAAGCGCACGGCGCAATTCGTGAGGCCGCTTCACAGCTCACGTGAGGGGGTGACGTGGGCGCGTCCTGCACCCTCGCGGCTAAGCCACGAGGAGGTGGCGAGGATGGTGGTGTTACAGGTGTGAGGAGGAGATAAGGCGGGACCTAGACAACGTGTGACCAGACAGAGGGGAATGGAAGACGCTGTTGCTACATACCTGTGACATCGAGAGTGGCTTTGCACACCTTGCTTGTACGGCACCGTTGCACACCTACCCACATCCAGCCCTAATCTCACACCAGTGCCCCAATGGTTTCCTACTTTGCCTTGCCTGCACATCGCACGCAGCCGCTCCTACCAGCCGGTTGGATGCTACGCATGGAAGCGGAGAAGCTCGTCGACTGGCAGGTGCCTTGGAGCTCGCCGCCCGCTTCCATGTCAGCATGGCAGCTGCTGCTAGAGGCGACACGCATTGCGGACTGGGTCCGACCCATGGTTCCGTTCGCGCGGGAGCCGCAAACGGGTCCTCATGTGGTGCTCATCGTGGCGCAGTGGGGGTGCAGGTTGGTTAGGGTTCGTGCATGCTAGCTAGGTCTGTTAGGTTTGTTAGAAGCCCAGGAGGCTTAGGACGCGTGGTTTCGCGGGACAGACGGTTTTTGCGTGATGGGTTGCTTAAGGCTCATTCCATCTCTCCTTCTTCCTAGCGTTCACGGCCTGCAAATGGTGCGGTATCTGAATGCTGGAAGGACGTACCAATAACCACCGTAAGAAGGTGTAGCTCATCCCATGCCCCATCTTGCACAACCACCCTTTCAGGGCGCTGCTGGACTTTGCCAGTGGCAGGTCGCTGACGGCTAAGCCGCGCGAGTGGAACCCCTTTGACCCATGGGTCGGCATGCGGCCCCTTACCTTCCTGACCCTCCTGGAGCGTTTCTCCCTGCTAGCGCTGGCAGTGACCACCGGCGGAATGAACAACCTTGTCGTACCGGTATCTCTGGTGCTCGACCACATGACGCAACCGGGCCTGGCGGAGCTGCTCACCTACACCATGCGGCATGTCCCACGGGTCACCCCTGACTCCATGCACGCCCTGCATGCAGACGTGTGCCGCGTATGTGATGTGCTGTGCGACCTAATCTGCGACCCGCAACGGTTGGTGGAGCAGCAAGCGAGCGGGCAGGTCTCCACAGCAGCAGCAGGGCAGCAGCAGCCGTTAGCCTCCGGATCAGGGCGGCAGGGAGGCCAGTGGCCCACCTTGCAGCAGCAACAGAGGCAGCAACAACAGCAGCAGCAACAGCAGCAACAACGGCAGGGACCGGCGCCTCGGCAGGCACACGCCGCCACAGCAACCGGCAACTCCCTCATTGCCAGCCTAGGCGCGCAGGAGCAGCGGCAGCTAGGCATCGCCCTGCGCCGGGCCATCGTGCTGCTCTTCACAATCGCCATCAACGAACGGCCTCTGCCGCCTCTAGCGGCGCCACGGCAGGCGCCGCCGCTGCCGCCACACAGGCCACCGCCATACCATCACCAGCAGCCGCAGCAGGCCTATTACCCACGGCAGCAGCAACAGCAGCAGTACCCTGCGTCCTACGGCAAGCAACCCCCACGGCAACCGCAGCCAGCGGATGCCTGCTACAAAGTCAGCCTGGCCGGATTGCAGCAGGCGACGCCGCTGTTGCCCTGCACGCTACGTATGTTGCTGGACGACATCATGCGGTCCCGGAGGAATGCAGGTGCGGCTGGGGCATGTTCACCTCCGCTGCTAGGTCCGGAGTTTTCCAGAGCCATGATGCGGGGCAAGGACCGGCTGCTGCGGCTCTTCCGGCACTCTGTGCGGAGTCCCCAGGGCATCGCCTGGGCAAACGCGAACAAGTCGTATGGAATTGAAGCCTGGAAGGAGTTGAAGCCGTTGGCGCCAACAGGTGGTGGAGGTGCTGTACGGCAGGCCGTGGGAGGGCCAGCGGTAAGCAGCAGGGGAGGGAACCAAGGTTGCCGGTTTTCAGACAGGGTACCGGTGCTTACATGTTACCAGGCACATCTCGATAAGAACGCTTTTAGGGCCGGGTGGTGTAAACATCTAGCTGTTGATACACTCAATAACGGTGCCGTCCTTCTACGTGTACCCGTTCGTGTGTTGCAGCAGGCGGCCGCATCCCGCCCTGTGCGGTTCTTCCGGCTACCCGAGGCGCTGCTGACGGCTGCCGCGGAGGATCTAGCAGGCGATGCTGACGACGACGATGCCGACACTGGCGCTGGTTCCGGAGCAAGCGGAAGCGCTGACGCCAACCCCAGCAGTAGCATGAGCAGCGGCAACACTGACACTGCGTCTGGCGCATCCGGAGATGACGGCGATGGCAGCGGTAGTAGCAGTGCCGACGACGTCGGCGTCGCAGGCATGGCTGACAGTGCGGCACAATCCACCCGTGCTGCCGTCGCCGCAGCCAACGAGCTAGGCAGGCGGTGTTACGTCATGACGGTGGTGTGGCTGTACCGCGCTCGGCAGCAAGTGCAATTGCCAAAGCTAACGCCCTTGCAACGGCTGTGTCGTACGGCACGCGCTGCCGTACACGACATTGCCCATCCGGAGCTGACTCAGCAGGTCAAGGACTACACCGCCCTGTTTTTGGCGGAGGCATGCCCGCTGCAGGTGAGCGTAATGGTAATGGGTGCGTATTGGTCGTCGTAATGCCACCGGCGTCCCTTTCTTGTTGCAAGATGACCTATATGTCATGTACCCTAACACTTGTTTCGATGCGTTGTTTTGGATTGCTGTCCCCAGGTGGAGATCCAGGAGGTGCAGGGGCGGCTGGAGGGGGTGGTGCAGCGGCTGCTGGAGCAGGCTGCTGGGACTGCAGCAGCAGACGACCCGCAGCAGCAGCAGCAGCAGCAGCAGCAGCGGGCCGAGGTGAGCAAGGGATTACGGGGCAAGGTCAAGTTATGACCCATAGGCATGCATGGTGTAGGAAAGGGTAGCAGACCTCGGAAGGGCTTCATACTCAGGTTGCTCCATCGCGCCGGCGTTTCTAGTAGTCGCAGCCTCCACCGCATTACGGCATTTCGGCAAATACCACGCTGACAAGTGCATGCATGTGTCGTGCCTCACCGGTCCTTGGTAGGAGCTGGACTGGGCCCTGGAGCAGCGCGAGGCTCTGAACCTGAAGGCGTCCGTGCTGGACCTCAGGTCAGCAGGGAAGCGGAACCATCTTAGGTCGGGACGCTTGACGCTCTACCTCGCACGAGTGCACCGGTATACTGCTTTGACCTTGGAAGGATGGGAGGATCCCTTGCACTTACGGCCTGCTAACGCCTATCCCACCTATACCGGTTTCCATCCCATGTGGAGCGGTCATCATGCGTTCCCCGACATAACCCTTTTGCCTGCACCGGTCCCCCTTATTCACGTGCTCACGCTACCTGCTGTGACGTCGAGATTGCTTGCGACTGTGTGCCTGCAGGAACGAGTCCTGCCACCTGAATTTCAACACAAAGTGGCTGCGGGAGAAGGTGCTGCTGCCGCTGCGACAGCTGGTGGCCGAAATCCGCCAGGAGCTCGAGCAGCACGCGTAGACACGCATAGACCATAGCGTTGTTAGCAGTATCCTAGAGGCCGGCATGAGCTAGGGCCCCCCCATCATGCTGGGCGCGTGGGTTGTTAAGCGTTCGCTCGGGCTGCACACAAAGGAGGGCAGCAGCTAGAAGGTTGCGGTCACCAGACAGGAGGAGCATTTGCTGTTCGAGCAAAGCTGGATTAGTCCTCGTGCTGACTGGGCAGTGTTAGGTGATTGCATGCAGCACGCACTGTGTTTGAGGTGTCTGCTGGGAGTGTTCGAGCATGGACGTGTCGGGGCCGAATGAGCTGCTAGGCAAGTAGGACAGCTTGACGGTACTTGGAAACGTAACAAAAGGGTGAGAGTTTTAACGGGTTTACCAGCTTGGCCATGTGAAACTAGCCTTTCCGCAATCCGTTGTGTCACTGCGCCGCACCAAGCAGGACTCCGATGACTGTACGACATAGGGCCGTACGACATAGGGCCGTACGACATAGGGCCATACGACATCGGGCCGTACGACGACATCGACAATCCAATACCCGACCTGATTTACATATGTGATAGCCCTTTTTTGCCTCCTTTATGGCAACCTTCTCATGCTCACCACGTTCCCTAATGACAGCTTCACAACGAACCATGCCTAGACATAAATGTGCGTCCCAGTACCTCCCAAGCACCTGCCTCCCAAGGTACACAACCCGCTACCCTCTGGAACCCTTTATCATAACAACAAATGAGGCTACCTCACTCTCCCGACCTCTCCAGGTACCGGTATACCGGCGGCAAGGCCTACTGACCCCCCAGTTATCTCGGTACCGCTTCCCAGCCAGCCTTACAGCCCAGTCCAGATCCCGACCATGGTAAGGCTGCAGCGTTCTCCTCTCTTCAATTGGAAACAAACATTTGCAACACTCCTTCGGCCTCAGCCAGCCTCATTCAACGGCTGCTAGCTGCCCCAACAGCAGCTCCTGTAGGGTCTCCGACACCAGCCCCCTCAGCGGCACCAGCGCCTCCTCCCGCAGCCACCTGACGTCGAATTCCCGGTGGCGGGGCTCGTGCCTGCGCGCGCGTACACGTGGCGCAATAGGAGACACGGAAACAGGAAACACAGCACAGGCGCACATAGTCAGTGACGACGTAATGGGGTTTACAAGGCACCGTATGGAGGTAGTTAGCTAGGGATATGCCGTACGGAGTGGCCAAGGGGGGGGGTCACAGAGGCGGCTTTGTTCTAAAGTGCTCCCCTATGTACACGTCAGAGCCGTACACAGCCGTGAGAGAACGGTATGGAACGGACTAACGGTAGGAACCATTGATTCGCAAGTAAGGACGAGCCTGTCACCCGAGCTTCCAGTCACACATGCCTGTTGTCAGTCCACCACCACCAACAACACCTGCACACCACCACCTCCCCACCACCGCCACCACCACCACAACCACCACCTCCCCCCCCCACCACCAGCAGGCCCAAGCTCACCTCATGTCCAGCACGGCGGCCTCCTGGGACAGCAAGTCCCGCTGCGCCAGGGCCCAGTCCAGCGCCTGTATGTGGGCGGGGAGGATAATGATGGTGGCGGTGGTGGTGGGTATGGGGGTGTGCGATGATGGCAGGGATACAGAAAGGTGGTTTGGAAAAGGACTATGCAGCAGGGTGTGCAGCGGGGCGTGCTGCAGCAGGTTGTACGGTACTTCCTGTCGCTGCCTGCGGGTCTCATACATAAGTTCCGATACCCGCCCCTCTTCGTTCCAGCGTATGGATACGCTTCTATAGACATCACCAACCCTCACCTCGGCCCGCTGCTGCTGCTGCTGCGGGTCGTCTGCTGCTGCAGTCCCAGTAGCCTGCTCCATCAGCCGCTGCACAACCCCCTCCAGCTGCGCCTGCACCTCCTGGACCTCCACCTGGGGGCAGCGTGCACACACAGTCACACACACACACGCACACACAAACATCAGCTATACAGTTATACGTGGCTCAGTTTGTTTAACGTTATGAATACCGAAGATACGTTTTACACACAAAGTCAACGAGAGGAAGTAGACGTTAGGACCACCTTTGGCACAGGTCTGGTAGCGTTCGCCTTCTCCAGGCAGGGCAGTAGGGATCACAGAATGTTGGGGATGCAATCCATCCTCAAACCTCCCTCGCAGGCTCACCTGCAGCGGGCATGCCTCCGCCAGAAATAAGGCGGTGTAGTCCTTGACCTGCTGGGTCAGCTCCGGATGGGCAATCTCGTGCACGACAGCGCGTGCCGTACGACACAGCCGTTGCAACGGCGTTAGCTTTGGCAGTTGCACTTGCTGGCGAGCGCGGTACAGCCACACCACCGTCATGACGTAACACCGCCTGCCTAGCTCGTTGGCTGCGGCGACAGCAGCACGGGTGGATTGTGCCGTACTGTCAGCCATGGCTGCTACGCCGCCGTCGTCGGCACTGCTACTGCCGCTGCCATCGCCGTCATCTCCGAACGCGCCAGAAGCTGTATCAGTGTTGCTGCTGTTCATGTTGCTGCTGGGGTTGGCATCAGCGCTTCCGCTTGCTCCGGAACCAGCGACAGTGTCGGCGTCGTCGTCGTCAGCATCGCCTGCTAGATCCTCCGCGGCAGCTGTCAGCAGCGCCTCGGGTAGCCGGAAGAACCGCACAGGGCGGGATGCGGCCGCCTGCAACACACGAACGGGCACACGTAGAAGGACGGTACCGGTATTGAGTGTATGAACAGCTAGATGTTTAATTACCACCCGGCCCTAAAAGCGTTCTTATCGAGATTTGCCTGGTAACATGTAAGCACCGGTACCCTGTATGCCCTGTAAACCGGCAACCTTTGTTCCCTCCCCTGCTGCTTACCGCTGGCCCTCCCACCGGTTGCCGTACAGCACCTCCACCACCTCCTCCACCGATTGGCGCCAACGGCTTCAACTCCTTCCAGGCTTCAATGTCGTACGACTTGTTCGCGTTTGCCCAGGCCATGCCCGGGCGACGGGGCACAGAGCGCGGGAAGAGCCGCAGCAGCCGGTCCTTGCCCCGCATCATGGCTTTGGAGAATTCCGGACCTAGCAGCGGAGGTGAGCACGCCTCAGCCGCACCTGCATTCATCCTGAACCGCATGATGTCCAGCAACATACGTAGCGTGCAGGGCAACAGCGGCGCCGCCTGCTGCAATCCGCCGCTGTGGCCTGCGGCGGCCAGGATGACTTTGTAGCAGGCATCCGCTGGCTGCGGTTGCCGTGGGGGTTGCGGGCCGTAGGACGCAGGGTATTGCTGTTGCTGCAGCTGCTGCCGTGGGTAGTAGGCCTGCTGCGGCTGCTGGTGATGGTATGGCGGTGGCCTGTGTGGCGGCAGTGGCGGCGCCTGCCGCGGCGCAGCTAGAGGCGGCAGTGGCCGTTCGTTAATGGCAATTGTGAAGAGCAGCACGATGGCCCGGCGCAGGGCGATGCCTAGCTGCCGCTGCTCCTGCGCGCTTAGGCTGGCAATGAGTGATCTGCCGGTTGCTGTGGCGGCTTGTGCCTGCCGAGGCGCCGGTCCCTGCCGCTGCTGCTGCCTCTGTTGCTGCTGCAAGGTGGGCCACTCGCCTCCCTGCCGCCCTGATCCAGAGGCTAGCGGCTGCTGCTGCGCTGCTGCTGCTGCTGCTGTGGAGACCTGCCCGCTCGCTTGCTGCTCCACCAACCGTTGCGGGTTGCAGATTAGGTCACATAGCACATCACATACGCGGCACAGGTCTGCATGCAGGGCGTGCATGGAGGCAGGGGTGACCCGTGGGACATGTCGCATGGTGTAGGTGAACAGCTCTGCCAGGCCCGGTTGCGTCATGTGGTCGAGCACCAGAGATACCGGTACGACCAGGTTGTTCATTCCGCCGGTGGTCACTGCCAGCGCTAGCAGGGAGAAACGCTCCAGGAGGGTCAGGAAGGTAAGGGGCCGCATGCCGACCCGTGGGTCAAAGGGGTTCCACTCGCGCGGCTTCGCCGTCAGCGATCTGCCACTGGCCAAGTCCAGCAGTGCCCTGTAAGGGTAGTTATGAAAGATGGGGCATGGTAAGAGCTACATCTTCTTACGGCGGTTATCGATACGGCCTTCCAGCATTCAGGTGCCGCACCACTTGCAGGCCATGAACGCTAGAAAGAAGGAGAGAAGGAATGAGCCTTAAGCAACCCATCACGCAAAACCCGTCTGTCCCGCGGAACCACGCGTCCACCCACAACTTAGGCTCCTGGGCTCCTAACAGACCTAACAGACCTAGCTAGCATACACGAACCCTAACCAACCTGCACCCCCATTGCGCCACGATGAGCACCACATGTAGACCCGTTTGCGGCTCCCGCGCGAACGGAACCATGGGTCGCACCCAGTCCGCAACGCGTGTCGCCTCTAGCAGCAGCTGCCAGGCTGACATGGAAGCGGGCGGCGAGCTCCAAGGCACCTGCCAGTCGACGAGCTTCTCGGCTTCCATGCGTAGCATCCAACCGGCTGGAAGGAGCGGCTGCGTGCGATGTGCAAGGCAAAGTAGCAAACCATGGGGCACGGGTGTGAGCTTAGTGTGCTGCTGGATGTGGGTAGGTGTGCAACGGTGCCGTACAAGCAAGGTGTACAAAGCCACTCTCGCTTTCCATGATTCACACCTCACGACATTCCCCTGTGTCTGCTGGTCACACGTTCTACGCCCCACTTCCCTCCCGCCTTCTCTCCTCCTCACACCTGTAACACCACCATCCTCGCCACCTCCTCGTGGCTTAGCCGCGAGTGTGCAGGACGCGCCCACGTCACCCCCTCACGTGAGCTGTGCAGCGCGCTCATCAAGCGCGCCGGCCGCTCCGCCGCCTCCGCCAGCAGCGCCGTCACGTACTGCTCCAGCGCCTCCGCCGCCGCCGCCCTGGCTGCCGCAATGCTGCCCATCTGTACCATCGCCGGCAGCGGCAGGCCGGCTGAGGCGTCGTACAGCCGCTCGAATGTGGTGCGCAGCAGACTTGCGCGGTCCGCCGCCAGCGTTTCAGCACGGGCGTGGGCCTTGGAGCTGCCTGCTGGTAGGGATATTACTCCCTCCGCCAGCTAATACGTTGAGGGGGGTGAAGGGAAGGGAGGGGCGTAAGGGTCGCTAATGGGTCCTCATGATGTGGTGCGAATCGGTTTATGGAACATGCAGCTTGTCTTAATCCGGGATACTTGCAGGTCCTCACCACCTTTCCGCAGTATATGCCACCGCCCGAACCTCAAGAGCCCCACGAACACCACAATCATCATCATGGGGTGGTGAAACGGGTCGAAACAGGTTGAGCATGTGTGAGCAACATTCAGCTTGTGTCTTCACGGCTTCAAATGTACTTGCCCCGGGCCCCGAGCTTACACTTCGCAGCTCCCTCCTCCCTTGCAGTAGAAACGGAGTCTGTTAGCTCTCACCTGCACCAGCAGCCTCGCCTCTTGTACCGCGGCCACCAGCAGCTGCACCCGCAGCTGGGTCGCATCCACCTCCACCACCACCGCACCACCACCACCCGCAGCTGCTCCTCCTCCCAGCCTCCTATCGCGGATATCCAGTCCCCCTCCGCCGGTGTTCCGGAAGGCCTCATAGTCTGGCTCCAACAGCCCTGCAAGCCCTTGCAAAACCTCCAGCGTGTGCTTTGACCGAGCCTCGAACTCACGACGCCAGTACAACGTCGCAGCCGCAGCAAAAGCCGCAGCGCTGATCTCCCGCACGCCTCCACCACCGCCAACACCACCATTCGCGGCGGCGGCTCCGCCACCAAGCCTGAGCCCCTGTCGCTCACGTGCCAGCTGAATCCAAGCGGCGTTCTCAGCAGCTGGACAGCCCAGCTGTAACGCACCCGAGCCGCCGCCGCCGCCGCCGGCAGCAGTGCTGCCGCTGCTGCCGTACGGTCGTACGACATGGTAGGTTTGTACGGCAGCTAGCACGCTTGCGTCGCGTGCGGAGGCTGAGGCGACTTGTTGGCGGCTGAGCACGCGGAGCACGTCGGCGAGGAGGCGCCGGTAGGGCGACCAGAGCCGCAGCAGCGGCACCGCCAGAGCTGTGATGGCTTGAACGTCGGCTTCCATTGGGGTTCTCGGTTGCTGCTTCGGAGGTGCACGCTGCTGTTGCTGCTGCTGCTTGGGTTGCTGCTGTTGCGGCTGTTTCCGCGCTGCCAAGTGCTTTCCAGCGAGCCCCAGTGCACCCTCTGAGAAGCGCCGCAGAACGCACAGCCTCCCAAGCGACACAACCACAGCTCCAGCCGCCGCTGCCGCCCTATCCAGCTGCTCCCTCCATCCCTCCCACTGCTGCAAGGGTCCTGCCTGAATACCACCGACGCCGCCGCCACCACCGACGCTGCTGCCTACACCTCTGCCCGCGGCAGCAGCGTTAACGCCCCCACCGCTGCTTGTTAGGCAAGCTAGCACCTCCAGCTCCAATCTGCATCCTGCCAGCAGCTCGACAGCGCTGCTGCCAGTGATCGCCACGGGTGCTCTGTTGCCCCCATCGGCACGCCCATCGCCAGCAGCAGCAGCAGCAACCGACGACTCGATCAGCTCCTTCACTTGCTTCATGTACTTGTTGCCGCCGCCGCCGCCGCTAGGGGACATTGATGGCCAGTCATGCTCCTTGCCGCCCCACAGCACGGCGGTGCGGGCGCGTTGCAGCAGCATGTTTGCAGCGTCTGCATAGCAGCCGGCTTGCGTGTAGAGCTGTACGGCGCGTTCGCAGCTGTCGGCATCGCCCTTGCGCTCGTAGGTGCGGGCGGCATCTAGGAAACGTCCCGCCTCGATGTCCAGTTGAAGCAACACGTCGTACAGGTTGTATCTGTCGTGGAGTGATGTCACCATCAGAATTTGAATGGAATACGTACGGGTAAGTTTGCCGCTGCATGTTATTACAATAGCCCGCCCAGCCAGCAGGTGTTGCAAGCGTGTAGCACAACGTGGCACAATGGACGCTGTAGATACAACAACACACTCGCAACCAATGAATACCATTCATCCTGTTCGCAAACTCGTCGTACCTTTCCAGCCATCGTCGCTGGTCCTTCTGTCGGGGCATCAGCCGCACAAACCGCAGCATCTCGTCTTGTCCGCCCGCCTTGTCCTTCCAATGCACCGCACCCAGGGACACAAGTCGGGCCCGCAGCTGCTCCGCTCGCCGCATGATCTCCCGGCTGCTAGTCCCGACGGTGGTGGCTGCGGCTGCTGCTCCACCCTTGCTCCACCTCTCCATTGCCTCCACTCCAACCATGTATTCAGCGGCATTGCAGCAGGCGCGGAAGGCACGGTCCAGCAGCCTCACATTGGGCGCGTCGCGAACCTCCGTCAGTCTGATGAGGACGAGCGAGGTGGGGAGAGGCGGCAGGGTGCGTAGTACATGGCAGGAGGAGGAAGCAGCAGTGGGTGGTGCAGATACGGTCGATGGTGTGACCGGGGGGTCGCATGTCCGTCCCCAGAGGGTTGCCCGTGCCATTCAACTCCCCCGCCCCAACCCGCCCCCGCCAGCCCACCTCTCCGCCGCGTCTCGCCACCTCCCCGCCCTCTCGTAGCACTCCGCAGCCTTGAGCCCCTCTCCGCAGCGCTGGTGGTACACGTCACCCGCCTCTCCCCAGCTGCCGGCGCTCTCGTAGCTCTTGGCCGCTTGCAGGTGTTTGCCTGCATGCATGTCAGAGGCGAATAGCGTGAGAGGTAAGAGGAAGGGCCTGATCCTGCCGTGCCTATCTTTCTGTCTCTCACGTGCACCCCCTGCATACATGTGAGGCAAGGCATGTACGTGGGGTTTGCGAAGCATTAAGCGCGCCCGTGCACAACGTGTACATGGAACGCAAGTCATCACCCTTGCCACCGCCATCACCACCATCGACACCACCACGCACCGCATGCCGTGAACAGCCCTGCCGCCCGCTGGTAGTGCTGTCGCGCCGCATCCGGCTGGTCCCCGTCCGCCGCCTTGCGAGCCGCCTGCTTGGCTAGTTGAGCCGCACAGAAAAGCCGACTGGGTTCTTCACCTGCAGCAGCACATGCATGCGTATGGGGGCCGTAGGTCAACGTAACGACGCTGGCAGGCTGCTGACAGGAGCGCGTGGCCTCTCATGTGCCTATCTAGTAGCTGCGCCCCAGCCGTCCTAAACAACATAATCTTCGCATCAGCACCCCCCAAGCACCCCCTGCTCTTTAGTTTTTGCCACCCACCCAGCCGGTCAAACATCATCATCGCCTCCGCGTAGTGCCCCGCCGTGAACAGGTCCTGGGCGCGCTTCTGGAGCTCCTCACGAGACAGCCGCCGCTGCAGCCGCGACAGCACCTGTAGGAGCCAGCAGCAGGAGGGAAACAACACTTGAGAAGTGTAGCAACTGGAGCCCGTATCTCATGTCCCAAGAGGGCGTGAAGGTGTGAAGGCGGCGATGGGAGGGGATGTACGGTTCAGCAGGGTCAGCATGCGATGATTGAGGCATCATGCAGGTGCACGTCACCGGGAACCTTAACTTATAACCCGCATGCTGCTACTGTTGCTGAGCTGTACCACAACAACAAACAACAAGCACCAGAGGCCCGCTGACACCCCCTCGTTTCACGTCCTGTGCGTCAACCCGCCCTCCCACCCTCCCCCCATCTCCCACCCCCGCGTCCAGCCGCTCCCGCACATCCACCAGGCCCAGCCGCTCCCACAGCTCCCGCACGGGTTCGCAGGCACCCACATCCGTCTCCACCACCACCACATCCTCCCGACCGCGTGTCACAGCCACATACAGCGCCTTGAGCTCGGGCGCCAGCAAGCTGTGCTCCTGCGGGTTGAAGCGCGGGCTGGCCAGGCGGCCGCCGGGCTCTATGTCGGCTTGTGGCACCAGCCCCTGCGCTGCTAGCAGGTGGTGCAGCAGCCGCCACTTGGAGGGCTTGAGGCGCGAGGCGGAGAAGAAATTGTACAGGAGGACGACCTGCCGGGTGATGGGAGATGGAATTACGCATACGCAAGAAGCGGGGTGGCATAAGTAGGGGCTATCTAGTTCAGTATCAAGACACTAGTTGGATTGGGTGCTTGTTTGGTGCCGCGGGTGGCGGTAGTTGGGGTTGAGCGAATGGGGGTGCGTGCGTGACTGGGGGCGTGAGCGGGGGCGAAGCGGGGTAGGTTCAGAAGGGCTTGGGATTGTCGTTTGACTGGGTTCAGACTTCCTATGTTTTGGGATATATTATCATCCGTATGGATTAGGTGAGCTCCGGTACACACATGGACCCAATGACATCGGCACGCACGCTGCACGTGCTGAGTACAACTGCCGCCGTAATTGCTATGCCGCCGTACATACCTTGAACTCCAGTCCCTTGCTCTCCAGTGCCGTCAGCACTAGCACCGTATCGCTGCTGCTGCCGGCACCACCGTCGGAGCATCCCAACCGTCGTTTAACGGCCTCCTTAACCGCCTCATTAGGCACCAGCACCACCACCTCTGAACCGCCATCCGGCACGGCAGCAGCAGCAGGAGAGCCAGCCGCAGAGCCGTTGCCAACAGCCGAAGAGCCAGACTTAAGGGCCGCTGTCGCCGCGGCAGCAGATGCCCCAGCTCCCACCCCTGCTGCAGGGCCAGCTGCTATTGCCGCACTACCCTCCAACAGCAGTTGCTCAAGGTCTCCGCAGCAGGGCAGCAACAACAGCGGCTTGGGGCCTGCGGAAGAGCAGCGGGGGCGATAAGCAGCAGACGAAATAAGCAGTAGACGCAAGCACAAATGCGTCGTCAGCATACGTAAAACGAGTACGGGACAGGTTCCCATTGCCCTTGCGCTGCTTACCCCAGAGGTTGGAGGTCTCGGGCTTGAGCCGGTCCAATGCGTTGGGGAAAAAGTGCAGCAGTGGCTCCAGGACGCCGTAGTGCGCTAGTTGGGAGATGGCAGCATGCGTACGAAAGTTCTCGAGGAGCGGCGTAACCTGTACGGCAGGCGGCGCATCTCGTTAGTCGTTGATAGCAAGAATACCGTTAGCATGCCCGAATGTCTACATCAGTGTGGGACATTGTTTGTGCGTTTCGTGTGAAAAAGAAGACTAGCTCGTGCCATGAAAGGTGAAGGGGAGCGTGTCGTGCGCTCTAGCTGCATGCACGCAAGCGACTGGCGACGGTTGTACCTGTGGCACACGGGCTCCTGCCACATCCTTCAGAAAGACGTCGTGCAACACGTCTTTCAGGGTCTCGAAGCGAAAGCTGACACCCTTTGCAATCGTCTGGGCGGTGTCGCCTGCCAGAACCAATCCGTCCTTAGGCCACGGACACAGATACCTGCAAGCAGCAACGCACAATAATCGCAACAATCCACGTAGCAGTCACACGCATAATCAGATGTGACCCACGGATCATCAGCATCGTCTTCACACACGCACACAGACAGCCTAACCCAGCCCAGCCCAGCCCTAGTTGCCCAGAACCCCGTATGCATAAAATCACCCACAGTTTAGCTAGCTATACGTAACTGCATAAGTAAAATGTAAATGCCGTTCGCAACACATCTTTCATCACAGACTCACTTGAACAGCGCCACCTGTGCTGGCGTCAGGTCCTGCACCTCATCCAGGTACACGAAACGGAAGGGAGCCCCCCGGTAGCCCCGCGCCGCCAGCTGCTCGTGCAGGTGCCACGTCAGGTCGCCCACGTCGTACTCGCCACGCCGCTGCTTCTCCTGCTCGTACCGCCTGCATGCATGCGTATAGAAATGTGTTGTACACAGCAGGGTGCCGTTATAGCTATACAAGGCGGCGCACATGGTAGAGGGGGATCCAAGGCGCAAGACTCCATGTAGGTGCGTGGGTAGGTGGTTATACTTGCACTCACGCCAAGGTGGGGAACAAGTGAAGGAAACCGCTACCCAACGGTGCCGTTACCTAGCGCACCTGTATAGCTCGTAGATGCGATCGCGCAGGTCGGCGTCTAAATCCGCTCCCGCGCGCGTCTCCGCGAGTGCCACGTATTGCTCATGTGACAGGCGGCCGCCCGGGCTGTCCAGCGCCTCCAGACTGCCCTTGATGTGGGTCTGCACCTCGCGCCACACGAGCGCGGGGTCGCTGCGGTGTGTGATACGGGTGGATGTTGAGATGGGCTCAGCATGCGTAATGCATGGCACAAGGCTAGTCGGTGTGAGATACGGGTGGTGGTGGTAGGGCTCAGCATGAGGGTTTGGTTTCGGCAGCAGTGGTGGTGTAGAGTGTCTAGGGCTAAGCGGGAGATAGACAATAGGGTTCTAACAAGCTGCTGTCACTGCGACATGCGCAACGGATAGACAACCTATACCCCTGGATTGCCGCAGTCCACGCTTCTGAGGGCTTACTTTCCACTAGCCCCCTAGCCCAATACATACCCTCCGACTCACCTGATGCCCTTGCGCAACTTTTGGTCGAAGCGCGACCAGTAAGAATCCGCAAAGCGGTCATAGTCCACCTCCACCAGCAGCTGCTGGACAACCGCCTCGTCCTCCTCCCTACGCCATGCCGCCTTCACTCCCATCCCCGCATGCAGTCCCCGAGTCACGCCTGCGGCAGCCTCCTCCTCCTCCTCATCATCATACACCTCGTCCCACGCCCCGTCGTCCACATCCGCCGCCTTGCTGCCGCGTGCATCCTTCGCCGACGCAGCAGACGCCGTACCGCCGCCGCCGCTGTTAGCAGCCGCCATGGCCCCCGCGGCGGGATTCCCCCGTCTGTAACGTTGTGCAGCTGCCGCTGCCCGCTGGCGCTGACAGGCCATGAAGGTAAGCTCCAGGGAGGCATCCAGCATGAGCATGCAACGGCGCAAGTCCAAAACCAGCGGGCAGCTCTCGTCCTGCACCTCCGCCAGACTCTCCGGCAGGTGACCAAACATGCGCGCGGCCTCATCTTCGTCTAACAAACCCGACAGCATGCCGCCTGCTGCTGCAGCGGCGTTATTGCCGCCGCTACTGCTGCTGGTGTTAACGCCGGCTGTGGCGCTGTCGCCGCCGTCAGGGGCACTATCCCTACCCGCCGTGTCGGTATCAGCAGCAGCATCGCTGCCGCTAATGTCAGCTGGTGAAGGAGAAGGAGCCAAGGCAGCGCGGAAGGTAATCATGCTGTCGGCGAGGTACTTCTTAGTAGCAGCTGCAAGCTTGGGGCTCAGTGTCACGAGCAACTGTCGTTGCCGCCGTACACAACCGTTACCGTCGCTTTCGTTGCGTCCGCCGGCTGTTGCAGGGGTAGCATCTGCCGTAATTCTGTTCGCATTGTCCGCATCCTCCTGCTGGGCCTTGCCGGCTGCTGCTGCTTGCTGAGTAAACGCCTCCTCATGAAGGAGAATTGACGCCATGATGACGCTCGTCTGCGGATTGCAACAATAGTGGGGATGAAGAGTAACTAGCTCATGCCAACGTTGCAGTCGGGTTGACCCATGGGTCACCCGTATTGCCTCAGATGGCTCCGGCTGGTCAGTAACGGGGTGGATTTCAGGTTTGCAGCAAGCAATGCCACGTTCGGTAGCTCCGCTTACCTTGCCCGTGCCACTGCGCCCAATAATGATCTTGGAACCCGCGCGCGAGACCAGCTGTTGCTGCTCGTGCGTCAGCTGAAGATGGGATGGAACATTGAGCGACGTTAAACTGTCACAGACTAGTTGCCAAGAAAAGGTGCCGCACACGTCCCCAGCACATGCATGTACACGCCCGACATCTCTGCCAGCTTTCGAAAGATCTCAACGACCGCACATGTACACACCCGGGAACTGATCAACACCGCGGTAAGTTCCATTCTTAACGCACGTGCCTACCTGGAACATGCGCTCAAGTACGGCGCCCTCCTTTGCCGTACACAGCAGTTTGGCGTGCAGGGCGTCCATCAGAAAATGTTTAATATGGTAGCGGTTTGTCGACGTGGAATCTCCCCCTTCCAGCACCGCACCGCCGCTGCTGCCACCGCCTGCACCGCCGCCGCCGGTAGCCGGTAGCTCCTCGCCAGCTCCGCCCGTCGGGGCCGTCTGGCCCTGCTGTTGTGGTGACGTCCGACGTGTCCTGGCGAAGTTGAGACCTTGTGGCCAGCGACGGGGAACACACACGCCCTCCGAGTCAGGAGGGTTTAGCCTGCGGAGCCAACCGAAGTGGGGAAGCAGTTACGGCACCTAAATAAGAGCTCAGCAGGAGCATTTGGAGCTATATGCATGGCAGTGGTCATGCATGCATGACAACCAAGCCCAGCGGCAGTGTGTGGGTCTATCTGGCCCCAAAGTTCTTGCAAGACGAAGCTATTGCACCACCAACAAAAGTAGGAGACGGCTCCGCCGATCCATGCTTGCAAGCACACGCACCAGCGCAGGGCGTCCAGGTGCTCCTCCGTGGAGGTGTCGTATTCGGCTTGGATGCGCCGTACCCACTGCAGCAACGCCTTGGCCTTCTTGGGAACCGACAACACATCCCAAATCTGCAGTGCAGTGCAGGCGTTAGCGCACAATAATTGCAGTCAGTAGTTCGCTGACAGTTCGCTGGTGATGATATTACGTTTGTGCACGTCCTCTGCCCTCCCTTCCCTTTCCCACAACCCCTTCCAGCTATTTTCTTGTATACCTTACATACATACCCGAGATGATTGATCGCTGATTATACAGCTGTGCCTTCTTTATGAAGTATGCGGGTTGGCTCATCCTAAGCCCATCCACGCAACGTACCTGCAGTGTCTGGCACCACACGCCGTCCACCGAGTTCAGTCGCACGCCCCACAGCAGCACCAGCCGACCTCCTTCCAGCAGCATCATCCGCAGCAGGTCGCGGTACTCCTCGCGCACCAGATTGCAGGGCAGCGGGCGGCGTGGGAAGCGGCCGCTGGCCAGGGCCAACACCTGCAGATAGATGCACGTCATGGCCGCAGACGGATGTGCGTCATGGCAGATGGACGTACGTCAAGGCTGGTGGTGTAAGGGAAAGAAGCGCCTGGTATGGGGAGCTTCCGATCCCGGGCAGGCAGGCAGGCAGGCAGGCGGCTGTGCGCACGGGTGCACAAATGGACAAGGAGGACTGCTGAATGCAGCTGTGATTGTGCAGGTGTAACGTCGCCCACACTAACGTACGTCACATGCATGAACGCCCCGGCGGGGTTTACCGTCCTTTCAATCCGTGATCCGTACGCACCTGATCCATGACGCGCACCCGTTGTGGTGTTTCCAGCTCCAGGAGGGAGGACTGCAGCGCGTCCGTGTAGTATACCTGGGCGGCATGCATGCGTGCGTGCGTGCGTGGGGGGATCAGGCAGGATGGGCAGATGTGTACGGTATGTGGATGGGCAGAGGTGTTACAAACCCTATCTTAGCTCTTCTTCGCAGTACGAGCAGAGCAAGAGAAGCCCCTGCTGGTGACAACGACGAGGGGACGGACATGCCAGGTATTTTCATCATACATACATAGCCTAATGATAGCACTACACATGGGGCAATGCAAGTACGTATGTAGGCTTATCATTATCATTACCCGCTCACCTTCCACGGCTGGCCCCGCCACAGGTCCCTCTTGGCTGAAGCCAGGTCAGCACGTCGCTTCGCCGCCTGCCGTACGGTACGGAATGCGGGATCCAACACCGGCTGCTGTACGGCACTCAACAGGACGCCGCGATGCCTTGCATCATCCAGGAATCGCTCCCACAACTGCGAGATAGAGAGGATGTGAAGGAAGGCGCGTTAGAAGCGAGGCAGGCAGCAGGACGGTTGCGTTCGTAGTCTTAGGAACTACCGGCAGGGGTTTCAGGGATATGAAGTCATCTGGCACGGTACCAAAAGCAGCATGTCTAACAAGGGGTAACATCCGGCGGCGCTTCCATGTGTACCGCTACAATAACCCACACCGTGCACCATGCAACACTATGTACGGTAACACACACGTACGGCAGATAGAACGCACCCACCGGGTTCCTCCGCATGGTTTCCGCATGCAGCAGCACCACAAGCGCATGTTTCGCTCGGGTGGCGGACACGTTGAGGCGGCGCGGGTCGGCGGTGAAGCCCACATTGCCGCGGCTGTTGGCGCGGACCACACTGAGGATGATGACGTCCTTTTCCTGGCCTTGGAAGCCGTCGACTGAGCGCACGCTGACGCTGAGGGGTGCGGACCGGACGGAAGAGGTGGAGGCGGCTGAGGAGGCGGCTGAGGAGGCGGCTGAGGAGGAGGAGGAGGTAGGGGCGTCCGTGAGGGCTGCGAGGCTTGGGCTGATGGCATCCACTTGGGCCCTGCGTGCAGGCGGCGGCGGAGGAGGCGGGCATACGCTTGCCATGGAGGAGGAGCCGTGACGGGAAGTACGGGTGGGCGGGAATACGTGGGGAGGTGCAGCATGGTGCAGCAGGGAGGATGGAATTCATGGTTGGGAGTTGAGGAATGAGGTTGGAGTGGAAGGAAGATGGAACCAGCAAGCTGGACATGCAATGCCTGACGTGTGAGTGTTGTGTTTGGATTTTACGGACAGGGGGCAGGGAATGCATGGCGGCAGGACACACAGTGCAGCCGTAGCGCCTGGTACGCACTTGTACGGCGAAATGACACCAATGGATAGGGTACGTTCGGTCTTCAGCAGAGCCCGCCGGGCCTCCACAGCAGCAGCAGGCGGGGATGCACCCGCTGCACCCGCCGCCGTCCCCGTTGCAGCCGCCGCCGCAGCCAATCCATGAGCAGCTGCCGCCGCCACCATAGGAGCAGTACTGCCCCTGAGCTCTCGCCAGCCCTTTGCCACCCGCTTCACAATTTCCACCGCGATTGCAGCTTCGTACGGGTTCCGCCAACTGGTGCTGCCGCCGCCGCCGCCGCCGCCAGCAGCAGCAGCGGCTGTGCCGCTGCAACCAGCCGACAGCTCCTCCCCCGCGTCGTCGTCGTACTTCTCACGCTCCTCGTAACCGGTGCTGATATCAAGTACGATGTACGGGCCCCACGGCAGACCGAGCAAGCTAGCTACACCGCTGTACGACTCACTGACCACGTTGGGCCCATCCACCACCTGTGTGTGCATGTGTGCGTTGAAGGGGTGCGTGCGTTCACATGCACATGCACATGCACATGCACATGGTCATTCTAAGAAGGCAGGTGGTGTAGTGGGCGGTCATAATGAGGACTGCAAGCTTGCCTGCATACGCATGCAGGACTGTAGGTTCATATGTTCCATGTATGACGGAAAGTCAACGCAAAGTCAGACGTGCACGCATTCAGGCCACGTAAGCAACGGGCCTGAAAGGTGCAGGGGTGCGTAATGATCCTTTGGGCCTTTCATTAGGGGCTCTTAGCGTCTAGATAGGCCCAGCGAGCGTCCCCATGTATGTCTTTGCCCCATGCTAGCCGCAAACACTAGTGCTGCACCCGTCCAGTCACCCACCTCGCCCTTGTAGAACTCGCGACGTGGCCAGCTGCTGATGGCGGGGTGCATTCGATATTGCGTGTCCAGAAGCATCTGCGACGGAGTTGCATGCAGGGGGTCCATGCAGGGTGGGCACCCAGATAGCTGAAGAGAAAGGGGGAGGAAGCTCAAAAGGTACGACCCAACCAAAACAGCTCATGATGAAACTGGAGGTACTGCTGTACCCTACATACGACCCTGGCTTGCGCGGCGGAGCGGAGCGTGCAAGCATGCATGCAGCAATAGCCACCCCTCTTCCATTTCTCCCACCCTCACCGCCCGTCTGCCGCACTTCACCAGCCGCTCGAATGCGCTCCTGCCGTAGCCCCGCTTGGCCGCCTGGGTGCTGATGACAGTTGCGGGCAGCTGCTGGGGGTCCCCCACCAGCACCAGCAGCGACAGCTCCCGCCGCCAGCGAGACAGCACGATGGCGGTCTCGGCCTCGGGCAGCTGAGCCGCCTCGTCTATGATGCAGACATCCACCTGGGGGAGGGGTGGGTGGGGGGGGGGGGGGGTAAAGACTAAAGAGGAAACAAGTAGGACAGCTGATCGGCCGTCATCTTGGTTTGCCACATGTGAGCCAGGCCGCCCCGCCCCGGCCCCCCGTCCACCTGCTGGGGGGGCGGGTGGCAGGTGTGGGGACGGGAGGATGCATGGGAGGAGGACATGTATGTTTGCTGCGTGCAAGAGGACATCAGGAAAGGGCACGCAGCTCTGAGCTGCAGGGAAGAATTGTTGGTGAGCAGATAACTCAAGCACGGAATGAAGCCAGTTCGGTCAATTGGATGATTGTTACACGGGTATTGTTACAAGGGTAACGGTCACGGTTAAAACGGTTGGAGGCATGTTTTGTTAGTTGTGTGTCCACCTTGAGCGGGCAACGGTGGGGCGCCAGGCGGCCAGAGCCCACGGCGGAAACGGTGGAGAAGACCACGCGAGCGTTGGACAGGCAGTAACTGCGAGCATGCAGGGGCGAGTAATGGTCGGCAGCGGAGGGAGAGGTAGGTCCCGAGGGAGGGCGAGGATGGAGGTGAGGAGAATGAGGGGGATGAGGAGAAGGGGAGAGGCGTTGGAAGGGATGTTGGGGTCCGATGCAAGTCACCGAGGAGGCGCTTTCATTCGCAGGGGTGCATGGACTTGTTGTTTGTGGGGCCACGCCTATGCATGGATCAAAACATGGATCCATCACATGGTCTGCTGGCCGCATCCCGCAGATCTAGGTAACCTTGACGACCAAAAGAACATTGTTATTTGCCAAACACATTTGATGCGTGCACAGATAGACCTGCCTTGCAATCATGTCTCGGTTCTTTGCATTCCACAGCTCACTCAGCGCCAGAGCGCCCTCACAGCCCTCCAGCGCCGCAATGGCTGACACCATTGCCGCGGACAGGGAGTGCCGAGGACCCTGCTGCTGCTGCTGCTGCTCGTTTTTGCTGCCTGCATGACCCCCAGGAGGACTCATACGCCCCATACCAACCCCGCCAGCACCAGCACCACCACCACTGCCGCTCCGTAGCCCTGCTGACGTCGCCGCCCACGGCGGGGAAGTCAGCGACGGCGGCGTTGAAGAGGAGGCTACATCCCGTCGTGGTGAGGGCAGCGGCAGCGATGGCAGCGGCGCGCTGGGATCCCGGGCAGGAGAAGCTGGTGACGGCGACGGTTGTCCAGGCGGGGGAGGCAGGAAGGTCATCCAAGATGCGGAGGACGAAGCTCCAGTCGTTGACGACAGAGGTACGGCGGTGGTCTTCAGCGGGCTACCACTACTGACAGCAGCAGCAGCTGCTGCAGCAGCTTCGCGCGCCAGGGACTCGACTACCCTGGTTACCGCTGCCGGCGTTGCCCCGCCCAGGGCAGATGCCAGCGCCTCACAAGCCGCTTGCAGCCTCCTAAGAGCTGCTCGACCTGCACGAACCTTAGTAATAGTAGCACTGTCAGCGTCATGGATGTCATCATTGCCGCCGTCATCTACGCAGTGGGCATGGCCGTCAAAGTAGGCAGCGCCGCCGCCGCCGTCGCCGCCGTTGGTGACGACGCCCTCAGTACCCGCCGCCGCCATGAACGCTGCCGCCGCCGGCGATTTACGCCCGCTGCCGTACCACGGCGCCTCCCATGACGCCGAAGGTAGATCCGCCAGCAACGTGGTGGCGTGCTGTCGTAGTCGGCTGAGCAGCGGCGGCAACCGCTGTAGCAGGTAGTCTCCCGCCGTTTTCGGCACTGCAGCAGCAGCTGACGAAGAGGTCGAGGACGTTGACGACGCTGCCGCCGCCGCCGCCTCCGCTGCCCTCAGCGCTTCCCTGTGTACCTCGGAGGGCGCGGTGAGAAGGCGACGCAACTCCTCCACTGTACCCCTCCAGCCGGAAGGCCCGACCAGCGCGACTGCCAGCCGCTTTGCCCTGCGGGAGACGGACGAGGGTCGGCGGTAATGACTTTTCACACGTTAAACCGTGGTGGTGAAAGTGGACGAAGCGAAATGTTTGCTGCCACGGCCTGGCTGGCTCTACACACGCCTACCTTGCGGCCAAGAACAACCCACGCAGCCGCTCATTGCCCGCCAGGTCCAGGCGATCCTCGCTGCCCACCAGCACGCAATCACCTGCAGTCATCCAATATGCAACCAATTAACGAGCAGCATCAGAAGTTGGGTGCACAGTGCAGTGCAGTACGAACGCAAGTCGAGGCCACCCAGCAGCCCTGCCGTGCGTACCTTGCAGCAACGGTGGAGCTACATCCAGCAGCCCTTGGGCATGTAGCATGCGAGCCTCAGGAAGGCCAGCAAACTGCTGCGACTGAGGCTGTTCTGACAGCAGCGAAGAAAACCTGCATTCGGACCACAGTGGCCACATGGGCGTTCATAAGGGCCACCAGACGACACAACATCCCCAAAGCGACGAGCTACAGACCGCCGCCGCAAAACTGCTTGCCCCTTGCCCAGAAACAAAACCGCTTGCCACTTGCACATAAGTTAAGTGCAAAGAATTGCATCCTGCATGGCAGGTTTAACAGACTCCTGCACATGCGCCCTGCCCAGCAGCCGCACCTGCTCGCAACCTCGCCCACCGCCGCGTTTGTAGGCCCGCACACCAGCACCGCCGACTTGTCTGTAGCGCACCCCAGACCGCACAGCACCGACAGCATGGCGGCAGTGGTGGAGGTCTTGCCGGTGCCCGGAGGGCCCTGAACCATCAGGATCTGGGCAGCCCTGCCCGCCGAGGCTGCTACTGCAGAGGCCGTCGTGTCATCAACACCGCCGCCAGCACCAGCAGCACCAGCAGCGCCGCCACGTCCGGCCTTACCAGGAGCCGTCATCAGCCTCATGTACGACATCGCAACACTCAGTACGGCATCCCGCTGTGACGGATTGAGGTGCCGTACACCTTCACAGTAGGCGTGAACGGTGTTGTGAATAACGGGCGCGATTGGAAGATCGTAGTCTGCAGCAGCTACGGTGCCGTGATGACGGGTCTGGATAGCAAGAGCAGCAGCAGCAGCGGAGGCGGCAGTGCCGGTGACAACGGCGGCGGTCGTCAAGCTGTCCTCACAAAGGAGGGTCTTCAACATTGGAGGAGGAGGTGGCGATTGGCAGTCTGCCGTATCTGCGGCGAATGACCGCAGCGCGCTCCACGCACGTACAGCTGTCGCTATGTTTCCCACGCACACCGCATACCATGGCGAACCGCTGCTCAGGCGAGCCTTTGACCCACCAGCAGGCCCTGTTGAAACATGTGGCGTACCATACCGCACACATACCCGGCAGGGCCCGACTGATTGGAACGTCATTGCGGGAAGGGGTAAATCAGGGTGGAATCGTGGCAAGCAGAAAGCGGAAGAAAATCCTCTACCCCATCCTCTACAACTGTTAAGCACGAAGTTACGGGCTCTGAAACCGCTGCTGCTTGTGATAGTGTCCACAACACACCAGGATCTGTATCCTTTCATTACGTAAAGCTTCGTGTACAGCACCCCAGACATACCCCCGCCCTGTGTGTACGACACTCACCTGAGGGTGGAGCCAGCGAAGTGCCCAGCTCGCTGCCCTCTGGCGCGAAGACGAGCGCCTTGTGCTTGCCATTTTCGTTGCCGCCTCCGCCTTCCGCCCAGCCCTCATCATCTGACGTGCGGACGGACACCATAACCCCCAGTGCGAACACCACACCCGGCTTTCCCAAGGACTCCAGGGACTGCACCTGCGCACGGGCAAGCGGCGCATGGAATGGAAATGGGAGGATGAGGGCATGTGCCGTAAGGCTGACGCATGAAAGGCTACATGGGCACCCCGGTACCCCACCAGTGCACTGGGAAACCCCAAAACCGGCATGAGTAAGAAATTTTGGCCTTACTTCGAGTCGAGGTGGGGACATACAGCTTCGAAGTTCAACTTCCCCTCAACTTCCCGTTATGGATTGCCGATGATCCGCCTCCCTACCTCACTGTTGGTCAACAGGACCAGGTCCGTTGGCTTCAGCGGCATGGAAGCCCGTCCGCTTGAACCGTTGCCGCCGCTGCTTTCAGCCGTAGCCGACTTCAATGCGTCCCATGCGCGTCGGGCGCTGCCGTCTCCATCCCTCAGGTCAAAGGAAGCATAGCAAGTCCCGCCGTCTGCGCGGGCTGCGTCCTCTGGGCTACCGGAGCCGGTCTTGCCGCTGCGGCCGTCATCTCGTTCAAGCCAGGGCTGCCCATCTAATGGCAGCCATTGGAGGGAAGCGAGGCGCTCGAGTTGCTGCCGCAGGCTGGCTCGAACTTCTTCAGGAATGTACGGCAGGAAGGTTGTAGCCCAAGACTCAGCATCGGGGAAGGCGTCAGGAATTTGGCCGAGCTGTAGGAAGAGGCATGCGGGTGGAAAACTCAGGTTGGACCGTAACGAAATCAGGATTAAAGGTATAATTTACAATTGTTCATAATATGTATGTTCTGCTTTGAGTGCAGTATGAGGCGATTCCCGCTGGACGACGGGTCCAAATGGGCAGATGTCCTATCCAAGCTTGCGCCGATCCTGAACTCCATACCTTCTCCTTGTAATAGTCATCGTCGAAGATATTATTGAACGTCCACTTAACTACTGACGACTCTAAAGCGCTTAGGTAATTCGTGGGCTGTCCGCCGTTGCTAGCAACTTGGTGATGAGGCGCAGGAGCGGTCGCGCCTGCGGCTAGGATTTCCGCATAGCTCGCCATTATGCTTTCTGATAGGCTAATGTGTCGCCTTTATTTTGGTAATTATGCAGCGCTCAATTAGGGTGAAAGCCCTTGCCTCCATAGCTTAGCCTTGATGCACAAACATGCTGCGGCGCAGTTTGTTTGTTGGCAGCTGTACCATGTCTGTGCAGGAATAGCGGATCAAGTCATCGACGCCGGGAAAGTGGGCAAGTGTAAGAGTCGAAAGGCCGCAGCCGGTTACATGAACTGCCTCCTCTGATACTGACGCCTGCATTAATTGGGAATGGAGTTACAAATGCAATTTCAACTAGTGATAAGACTAATAGGGATCTCTCATGCAGCGTTGCAGGCCGATTCCGCTACCCGTGACGACCGACTGGACCCGTGCTACATGGCTCCGTACAGTACGGGTCATTAGCAGACATTGGTCACTATAGATTGTTATAGCTAGGTTGCTCTTTACCAAAACATGATAAAGCATTAGGAGGATGTCATTGTTCTCTTGTGGACACTTCTAGCTTAAATGGATTGCATGGGTCGGTACATTGGTGGTCGGTATTAATAGGTAGATGCGGTAGCCCTGCTTTTTCAGATATCTGCCTCAGTGCCATTTACATTATGATGGCGTACCGTGTCCTGTTATTGCAAGTGGCCACTGCTGGATGAAACTGACAAGTGCCTTGGAAAAGGAGCCAGCAGAACACCGTAACACCGTTCGTATGTCTAGCTGTAGTTTTGTGGTTTATGCAGCAGCGCACTGTGGCGCTCCTTATGTTCCACAGAATGCTAAGCCGGTATCTATCACAGCCTACTGGCAACTGAAGTCCGTCCGAAGTACGCTACCTTATCACCCTTCCACCAAAGCCCACAGCGGGGCCTCCTGCTAAGGCTGCTGAACTCCAAGCAACGTTGCAAGCTTCAGGCATGGGTCACTGCACCAACAGTATGCGATTTTTACAGGGGAGTCCGAACGGCTCAAGTGCCAACAGGGCAAACAGGTCTTGAAAATCTGCCGGGTAATACCGTACTGGGCAGGCAGGAGGCAATGCCGCTACAGGTTACACCCGCAGCTAGCTGTGTCCTTGTTTCATGCTGACAACCTGCGTTGCGCGCATCATCTTCTTTACCACCTTCCGAGCAGGAGGGGTGTAAAAAAATAGTTGAAGACCTCATGCCACATTTCTTGACGGACCCCCAGGGGACCCCCCCCCCACCCCCCACCACCACCCCAAACTACTGTACGGCAAAGGCTTTTTGTGTACGAAACTACATTTTTGCGACATTTTCGCGTTGATAAGCCCATTGCTCTTTCTGGCGCCCCGAGATGTTGAAGGTGGTGGTCAGAGGTAGAATCATCTTGCAGCCGGGTACCGGACAACGCCGAAGTCCCGGTGGTGGCTTTGGTGGCTTTACTTTAAAGCTAGACTTGCTGTTGCAAGTGTCTTAAGGCCGCATTAGTTGGGAGCAGAGCAGGCAGTCTGGCAATGCTAATGAAAGGAGCCATTGGCTTGCAGGCCACGGCGCTGGGGCCTTCCCTGGCTGAAACATATTCAGGATTGCTATGCTAATGCGTTAGTGCTTCCTATTTGATGCTTCTGGGGCCTAGGGCTGCTACGTAGTTCGGTCAACCATGAGCATTACGATGGCGACGAAGCTTTCTTTGTCCCTTTGGAGCTTAAACTGATGCTAAACAGTAGACATTGGTAATATTAGATAGTTCCAACTTGTTTCCGTGTTAAACTCGCATCAGGAAAAAAGTTAGCAAATTTTCTCACAGGGCCCAGACCCCCCCCTTGGGGACCCCCCCCCCAGGGACCCCCTTTCGGGCCCAAAAAATAGTTCCAAGGGGCACATTTCGATGAGTTCTATTACCCCCGGGGTGTCTCGGGCCCGGGAGGGGCATGAGGTACAGAACTATACTTCCGCACCCCTCCTGTTCCGAGCTTTATAATCCACGACTCCGTCCTCGTCTCCTCACGCACCCGCTACAGCCTCCCACATAGGTACCCCTCGCCACTTGAACCGCCAATGATCACAACACATGATACATGAAAAGGGCTGGGTTAGCCATTGGTATACTCCCGAGAGTAACAAACCTGCTACACGCCTCAGCCTAGCTAGCAGCTACACGTCTCTTCAGCGTCAGGGCAAGACGGGGACATCCCTAGAGGCCAGGGCGCTTTGCCCCCCCCCCGGGCTTGCAACTACCGGTAACTGCAGTTCTAAATGCATGCCCGTAATCATTCGCTTATGCAACACACGCAGCAGAAAACAGAACGTGCATGACTAAAATGACTATAGGCACTTTGGCTGCAACGCTATGGATGCAACGTTCACATTGAAAGAGGTAAAGCTGTAACGACATATGTAGCTGCAACGCTACATGGCTGCAACCAGCCGCACTCGTGCAGATAGCACCGGTGCATCCGTTGCCTCAAACCTAACCTACCCTGCTGTACCTAACATCTACTACCTTTGTATGCTAGTTCCCTCTGCTTATGCCCGCTCTATGCAAGCTGAATGCCACCATCCGCTCACGCAAGACTAACTCATCGCCGCAGAGCAGCCCTGCTTCCCAAACGCCCTGCAATCGGTGCTGCCCCAAACAGCGAACGCGGCTGGGACAGCTTCGCTCCGGATCATACAACGTTATAGCCAAGGATGGAATGGTGCAAGAAGCTTTGCCACAAGTACGGTGTACGGCTTCGAAGTACGTACTCATCCATGCGCCCATCCAGGCTCCGCTGCCAAGTCCGAAGCGCCCCTACCAAGCGCCCAAGGGTGATGGTTAGCTCGTACGGGGCGAGCAACCGTGCGGTTCTGCAGGGAGTGGGCATTGATGATAGTCAGACTAGGCTACGGCACACTATGAAAGGGAAAAGTGCGGCTGTCGAGTACTGCAAGCGATGGATTGAGAAGAAGGTAAACACCGGAACACAGTGATAAGATTAATACCTTCATTTACAGTTACTAGACTACAAATAAGATTACTATTCTAGGTCATTAAGTAGGAACGCACCTGGGATGTCGGACGTCCGGGTGGCAGCCGCTGCTACCTGCCAGCCAGCCGTACGTGACTGGCCCCCCGGCAAGGAGACCGAGAACAGACGGCCCCCTGCATCCCGCAAAGCGCTGCCATCCCAGCGCACGCCGAGATGATGATGCTGACGAGTTCGAGTCTCCCTCAAGGACGCATTTGTTGGTCAATTCAGTTGTAAAGCAGTCGACCACGGAGTCGGACAGCCGCTGGATAGCGTGCCGTGTGCCGTGTAACACCTTCCGCTGCAACACCCCTTCCGCTGCAACACCCGGTTTGATGCTGCACGTCTGGCAGCATGAAGCACGAACACGGGGCTACTTGGCAGGCTCCGGAGCTTCCGCCGGCGAAGAAGAGGAAATAGAAGAAGCGGGGTTCCGTGGAGGGGAGCTCTGGGGCTCCGGTGAATCCTGAGACGACGACGGTGGCTTCTGGATGTCCGGGGTTGCGGTGACAGCTGCTGGCTTCTGGATGTCCGGGGTTGCGGTGACAGCTGCTGGCTTCTGGATGTCCGGGGTTGCGGTGACAGCTGCTGGCTTCTGGATGTCCGGGATTGCGGTGACAGCTGCTGGCTTCTGGATGTCCGGGGTTGCGGTGACAGCTGCTGGCTTCTGGATGTCCGGGGTTGCGGTGACAGCTGCTGGCTTCTGGATGTCCGGGGTTGCGGTGACAGCTGCTGGCTCCTTCTTTTTCTTCTTCATTTTGGGCCCCTCAACCAGCAGCTGGTAGGCATGTGGCGGCTGCAGGGTGTACAGATCCGCCGGCAGGTATGTCCAGGGCTCCCCCTGCGCAACGACGTCGGCCATGCTCCGAAGCGAGACCATCGGGTTCGGGATACCCTTCTTGTACACGAACAGGCCGCTCTTATCCAACAGTTTGCCGAAATGGGTAGTGCAGTGCCGCACTCCATCCACGTTTCCCAGGGTGCCCATCGGGAAGCAGAAGCCCCGGCTCTCATCGACGGTTTCCTGCCCAACAGGGTACTTCTTTGGCGGCCTGAGCTTAGGCTTTTGTTTGGGCTTAGGCTTGGGATTAGGGTTCAGGGATTCGCGGTAGGCCTCCAGAATCATCCGCGTCACGCCCGCGACAATTTTGCGCTCAACTGGCTTGAGCGGTTCGCCATGCGGTGTGAGGGCCACCGACGCACAGCGATACTGGCACCCAAAGTTGCCAATGGACAGCGGGTTATAGACAATGTTGACACAATAAAGTAGTGGTCGTTCAGCTGTATTACTCCTGAAGAGCTTTAGGGCAGCTTGCATGGTACCGGAGGAATGTTCTAGCGGCCCTACTAAGTTTAACCAAAGCAGAAGCAACGAGTGAATAAGCGACTCGATCAGCAGTTGCTAACTACCTACCGCTGTATTGCAGATTTGCAGACGAGTGTACCGGTACGATATGGACACAGAATCCATCGCACTGCCTAAACTCCGGTCCCCCTTGTAACTTTCGCATTCTAAACTTGTCCCATCCGTGCAATAACTCCTTAACTTTTTATATTGTATGCTTGCGATCCGTTGCTTTGCTGATGCCATCCACGCAAGTAGAGCGATTGCATCCCTCCCACCCACCTATTCCACCATGAACCCCAAGCTGACTTGGCTTCACAATGCTCCGGTGCTTATTACGACTATGCTACCAGTTTGCCACACGCTCATGAAAAATTTGTGCATTCTTACTTAGCTGTCATGGGTGCTTGTGCCAAGTGCAACTTCCACCCCGAAACGACAGCATTTGCTTTTCCGTGATTACACACGCGCCTCTGTGCAACGACGTAAACTCCAAGGAGTCCTTGCTCTCTCTTCCTCCACCCCCCCCCCTGGACCGCTCTTTCATGCCGCATACGCCATGGTTACAGCCACTGCTCCACCACAGCCAACGTAGCCGGCTTCAGCAAGGGATGGTAGGCCCACACCATCTCCCACCGTACAACCGGCATAGAGCTAGCTAAGAGCAGTGTTGCAACACCCTCGCTCACACATGCCGAGGCAGCAGACGCCACTTTACGCCGAGGCGGCCTCGTAGCGCTTCTTCTGCTCCTGGATAATGGTGAGGCGGACACCCTTGCCCTTGGGCAGGCTGATGAGGGGCTTGCCCTCCTTGCCAATCACGAAAATGTTGGTCAGGCGGGTGGCGAAGCGGTTGCCAGCAGCGTCCTCAATGTGCACAATCTCGAAGGAGCCCTGAAAGGAAGTGACGATGCGACGTCATTCATACGATTTGGACACGGCGGTGGTGCGGGAAATGCCACCCCAACAAGCAGCAGAATGCATGCCACTCCAACCCGTGAACCAACTCTGCAAAATCCCCATTCGACCAATGAAAGCCCCATGCCCCAAGCCCAACTGCGCACCTTGTGCTTCTCCTTGTGCACGATCTTGCCGACACGGCCGGCGTTGTGGCCGCCGGTCACCATCACCAGGGAGCCAACGTCGTTCTTCACGAACTCCTTGATCTTGCCGGTCTCAAGGTCCAGCATGATGGAGTCGTTGGCCTACGGGGGTAGGAAGGAGGAGATCGAGCGGGTGAGCAAGGAAGGGACGGTCCATGATGGGAAGCACAATCTACCAAATCGAAGGAGTTGACGCAGCATGCAACGATAAACGTTTATCGGGCTCTATCCCCTGACACCACATGCACCAAGTCCAACGCATGTCGCAACGCAGCGTCCGCTCATGGGGAATGGCCTAACCCGAGAGCGTACGATAGGGACCAGCGGCAGCCGTGCATCCCATGTATAGCCGTGGACATGCCAAACTGACTACCGGGCTCACAACAACGCCTCCTGCATGCTGAAGGCTGGAATACGCTGCGAGCGTTGCGCTGGACTGCAGTTATCCACGGCCAGCCTCAGGCACTGCTGCTGGGACGCCGCAGCGTGAAGGTTCCAACGGCAACGCCGGAGACAAAACGACCGGGGAGCATCCACTGAAAACGCGCTGCAGCTGCTTTTTCCGGTGCCAAATTCCCTCAGGCCAGCAGACTGTCCTGCTCTGCGGTTGTTATGAATGCTACACTGACCGACCCGTCCACAATTGGACCTGCTGTGAGCCCGTATTCAGCAAATTCTGGGAAGCTGCTCTGTGCTGAAGAGTGTGCCCGACCCCTCACGCTTTTAAGCCCAGCGCTTGCTGAATTCCCAATGGCTGCGCGTTTTCCCAAGACCCACATTCAACCCTTCCATGCTTCACGGCTGCAAAAGTGACTCACCTTGACCTCGGGGTCAGGGTAGCGGATGGTGCGGCCGTCGTGGGTGACCACGTACGGGACACCGCCCTTGCCGAACTGCACCTTGCGCACCTGTGTGGGAGTTAATGGGAGAGTGAATGGTTTAAAGCATTGATTGAGTGCATGGGTCTAAACTCGATATTGACACGTCAAAAAAGCAAGGGCAGTGAAGACACGGGCGTTTGGGCAAATGCCCATGGACGCTCGTTAGCCGACCACCGTCATACACCCCCGTCATTGATCCTTTTACAAACGCAAGCCCAGCCCCCTAAGGTGCTGCTCGCCTACCCTGCACAGCTTGTAGGCAGCCTCCTCGTTGCTGATGCGGTGCACGACAAAGCGGCCCTTGGTGTCGTACACCAGCCGGAAGTTCTCGTTGGTCTTCTCCAGGCTGATGACGTCCATGAAGCCAGTGGGGTAGGTGTGGTCGGTGCGGACCTTGCCGTCCACCTTCACCAGGCGCTGCATGAGGATGGACTGCACCTCCTTGCCGGTCAGGGCATACCTGCACAGGTGGGGGGGCAGCGACAGCGGGTGTGAGAACCCAAGGTTGCATACTGCTCTCCCCTAAGGCTGTTTGCTGGAAGTTAGAAGAGGTGCAGGGTGCCGTTGCTGCAGCCCCTGGCATGAAAGCGCCGCTATCTTCCATCGCTCGACAACATCGCGCCGAAATTTCGACGCGAGGACGAGCACACGCGAGAAAAAGCTGCGAAATGAAGCTGCATTGCCACTTCGCCCGCTGCCTTTGAAGAGCTAGGCACCGCTTTTCTGCCCAGATAAAAGCTGCTGCGGGCCTCCGAGAAATAACGCTCCTTTTGCTGCTCCTTATGCTGCTGCAGGTGCGCCGGCCGCCGCCCTCCCGCCGTCCGAGCCGCCGCTTCCAAGCGCTTATATTCATGCTGCTATAACCTTATTCACTTTAAGTGTATCACGATCATAACGTAACAGTATGCGCGCATTTCCACTCACTTCAGCCTGTTCCTCAGAATGAGCAGCAGGGGCAGGCACTCCCGCTGCTTGTGGGGACCAGCGGACGGCTTGGGAGCCTGCAGCACGAAATGAATATATGCTTGATGTATTGCCTCTGGCAAGCGTAGCGTCTCTCCTTGGTGCAATGCACTTCACAGCGCCGCCAAGCGTCTAACTTATTTCTCTTAGTGGCTTCCAACTAGAAAGCTCCTAAACTACGTATCCTATAGACTTACGAAGATGCCGCTCAGCTTGTCAAGCATCCAGTGGTAGGGGGCATTAAGCCGCTTGAGGTGCTTCTTGGGACCGCGCACCATCTTGAGTTGAGCCTCGCTGGCAGTTCAACGAGGACGAACCCGTGGGGAAGAGAAAGATGGCTGAGGTCCTCCCAACATTTGGGGGGACCGCCGTCGCTCCAGGGGAGCCTAGCCCGAAGTACCCGACAATTTTGTTCATCCGTGGAACTCTAATTGCCAAAGCAGTATTACAGAGTAGCACTAAATAACCTTTGTCTAGCTTGACGCATTTGACGCTGTTCCAGCTGCAGGAACTATGCCTCTAATGGAATGCCAACTTCGCTTAGACGCTTCCTGCTGCATTCTTGGTACTCTGTCAACTTAGTCATATAAGCCTTGCCCTGCGTGCACGACTGTGCGCGCATAAGCCACTGCTAGTCCCCTGTTTGTGTTGTAACTGAGGCCGGCATGTGGTCTCCTACTTTTGCTGTCTACCTCTGTTTCCCCTCTCGCCCATTTCCATAGAAAACCAGAGATTTAACGAAGCTACTTGCTTTGGATCGCCCCATGCTCCCGAAGGTCGGGGCCCCGACCCAGGGGCCAACACACAGCCCTCGAGTGTAGGCGGACAAGGCATTAACCACTCGGCAAAGAAGCCATGCTTTGCCAGGCATGACCTGCTGTGAAAAAAGTTAGGTGTCCAAGCGTCCAAGTTATCCTTTGCTCGCCTTCTCGCAAATGGTCTGGGGTGCCTACCGGGAGAAAAGGTCAGGCGGAATACCCATACGCGACGCATAGCCGTTTATACATCATCACATGCTTTTATTCGCGGTTAAGCCTTAATCGACACCTGTAAGCCATTGGCATGGTTCGCCCAAGTAGTGCCCATGGGTCGTTGAAAAAGGATTATAAGGCCTGATAAGACCCGTGCTTGTATTGTTACTTGCGCTCCTTGTAACACTAATATGACTCCTTGGATTGCATGCCCAATGGCGCTAAAGTAATGCATGTAATAGTATATTCATTTCGTCGTTGCGGCGGTTGAATCGGCGCTGGATGTATCACTTGTTTCACCTTGTACATGGAACGTAAATCTTCCTTGACAAAAACTTTCTCTGGAGACGACGAGTGGGCTGCATCAACTACTGCTCCAAGCGCGCATAGGTGTGGCCAGGCTAGCCTTTACTAGCATCCATAGAATGTTTTAAAAGCGAAGCTGTAGGCCATCTTACATTGCTGCAAGCAACTTCATGTTGCTAGTCATCCGTGGCATCCTCGCGCAGCATTGCCTTCCTTGTCGCCCGCAATCAGCTCCTCCCTATACTGGACAACCAAAGCATGCTGCAATCATCCTAGCCAGCATAAAGGTGCATAGGCGCCAGGCCCAAATGCCTCGTTAACGAATTGTTCAACGCCATGTGTCCCTAAACAGGAGTCCGCTCCAGCCCGTCCGGCCTCCCTTGTGGACAGCAGCCGTGGCCTAGCGCTCGCCCACCCCGCATAGTAGGGGCCAGAACAGCAGCGCGACTCCCGGGCCGAGGCCGTCATACCCACTGCACCACGTCAGTTGAGCGGAAACAAGAGCAAGCAGTTGTGTCTCTGGGGTGGCGCCGCCTGCATCCCAGGACCACGCGACGTGAGGACGACGGCAGTTCACCAGGCACAGGCAACCGCACACAATCGAGCAGCGGAGGGAAAGAGAAACGGAAGGGAAGGAATTTCGGGGGGCCGCCGCTTGGTCGTTGCTTCGTCCACGTCCCTAGGGCGGCTCCCCCTGCTGCTAGACTGCACCACCACCACCACCACCATCGCCTCAATCCGCGTCCCACCGGCTAACCGCCCAACAATCCAAGCCTAAGCAGCAGCAGCAGCAGTCCAGTCCACAGGAACCGCAACACCGTACAGGGCCGTACAACCAGCCGTACACGTCACCAACCACCACCAACCACCATGTTCCCAGGCGTAGGGCCCATGCCTGTCGTACCCATGCCGGCTGCCGTCGGCATGGGCGGCCCCCTGCCGGGCCCTATGCCAGGTGCTCCCATACCAGGCCCCATGGTGGGCTTCATGCCCGGCCCCATGCCGCTACCCATGCCCGCCCCCGTGCCCGTGCCCATGCCTGCGGGTGGCGGTGGCGGCGTGGTGGGGGGTGGCGGGGGTGGAGGAGGCGGTGGAGGAGGGGTGCTGCCGGGTACTGGGTTCCTGGGGGAGGGGCGGAAGGCGGCGGTGCAGGCTACTCGACGCAAGACGGCAGCGGGGCAGGAGATGCGACATGAGATGCGGGAGGTAGGGAGGAGGCGCTACCGGTACCTGCCGTGGTGGGGAAAAGAATAAGGGAACTGAAGAACTGTATGACGAGGTTTCACCATGGGGGTGGGGAGGGGGCGCCATGTACCCCCCGGTGGAAAGCGGTATGTGCGGTGGGAGGGGGGAAGGGAGGCGGGAAGGGGGGCCGCGGGAACCGCGAAAGCCAGCGGTAGTAGCAGCTGAATGGTGTCGGTACATGTACAACGGGATGCGAGCGGGCGACTCGTCTCGGTCAGATGCTACTCCGGCTAGCAGTAAACACCACTCTCTCCGCCCGTCCTTCTCCTCACATTCCGCGCCGGAACCCTCCGCCTTCCAAACCCACCCCGCGTTGCCGGCGCATCCCTGTTCCGGGCACTCCAAACCCATCCCCACCCCCAATACATATCCCTATTAACCCCCACCCCCACCCCCCAGCGCATGCGCTACATCATGTACGAGATCGACGAGGGCAACGGCCGCTTCATCTGCGAGCACCGCGAGCCCTTCCAGTTCCTGGACGTGTGCTGCTGCCCCGGCGGCTTCTCAACCTACTCGCTCACGGCGGGCGAGGCGCCGCGCAAGGGCATCGGTCTGAGCTTGCCGCCCGAGCTGGGAGGGCACCTGCCGGCCATTGAGCTGGAGGTAAGAAGCTGGGCTGGGAGAGGGCTGGGAGGCGACTGCGACTGCGACGGCGTCTGCTGTAAAGCTTGGGTCGCTGGAAAGCCAGTAGTAGGACACAGCTTCCCGCCGTGTGTCTTAAACCGTGACCGGCCCGCTCCTTCCCCGCCCCTTCCCCGCTCCTTCCCCGCTCCTTCTCCTGTCGCTAGCTAACTACAGTAGCCTTCCGCTCCCCGCCTCAGCTCGCCGTGCCCCTGCTTCCGTGCTCCTCACCGTCCCTTGCGTTTTTCACCTCACCTCCCCCTCGGCTTCTCCCCCTCGCATCCCATCGCATGAGTCGGGGGATGGGATTGGGACTCCCGTTGCTGCACTCCTCATCTACACATTGGAATTTCTCCCCCCCCCCCACCGCCTCCCCACTTGCAGACCGACAAGTACTTCCTGCAGTTCGTGGATGTGACCACGGTGGCTGCCGGGGTGCGTGTGGCGGACATGGGGGTGGGCACCCCGGGCTGCCCCAAACCCGCTCTGCGGATGAACGCAGGTGCGGTGCGGTGCGGATCGTGGGGTCCCCGTGGGGGCCCGACCCAAACCCCGTGTCGTGTTTGGTGTTTCTCTCCCCCTGACCCCCTACATCTTCCCAATTCCCGTGTTCCCCCCCCCCGAACCCGCTCCATCTCTTTAAACCCCGTGTTTAAACACTTCCTCCCTGCCAATTCCCCCTTTTTGAGCCAACCTTTCCCGCCTCCTTTCCCCCAACCCGCCGCACAGCCCCCGACGAGCCGCCCACCAACCGCTGTCAGCTGGTCATCCTAGACGGCTCCTTCCTGGGCGGCAAGGACTGGATCCACAAGGAAACCAGCCTGCCGGATTCCGAAAACCCCGCTTTCAACGTGTACGGCACCAACGCGGCGGCGCATAAGGCCCTCCTCGTCGCGCAACTCATCGTCATGGCCAACAACCTCGCGCCCAACGGCAGCCTGGTGCTGCGGCTCAACATGTTTGCGGATACGTTCACGATCGGCGTGCTGGGCCTGCTGCGTCATGTGTTTCATGGGGACGTGTGTTCGTACAAACCCAGATCTTGCCATGCGCATGTGGGGTCGTACTACCTGGTCTGTCATGGATTCGATCCGGGGATCGCCTACAGGATGCAGGTAAGCGGGAAGGGGGGGAGGGAGGTTTCTCTTGGGTGTCGGGGATTAGAGCGTACACCCTTTTACGGAGGGAGGGAGGGTTTGGTATCGCACTACTCAATACTGTCTGTTACCTCCCCCCCCAACAGCTCTCCGCCCACCTCCCAAACCCTCTCCAAACCCCCCCTCCCCGCCTAGTGGCTCCGAATGCGCTCACTGCATGAGTCGGGATATGGGATTGGGACTCCAGTTGTTCGCACTAATATAATTGTTCCATCAAGCAATTTCCGGTAATCTACGGTCAGGGTCAGTGTTTTCGCGGCTCAGTTTATCTAATCCCCCTCCCCGCCTCCTGCCCCCAGTGGGTTCCACGTTGGCTTAGCTGCCTGCTCTCGCTGCGTGCCGGCGGCCCCTCCCCGCGCTTCGTCCCCTTCCCCGGCCTCCACCTGGACTCCCCCCACGCCATCCACGTGTGGACCCCCGCCATGTACGTGTACCACGTGCACCTGTGGCGCTTCCTCAAGCTGGTGGAGGTGGCCATGGAGGAGAAGGTGGGGGGCGGGGAATATAAGGAAACCTGACGAACTGAAAGACGGGGCTTTCCCATGGGTTGCTAATTGAACCTGGCCCATTCGGAAGGGGGGCGGGGCGGGGAGCGAGGAAAAGGTGGGGTGGGAAAAACTTCATGGAAAGTGATGTGATGGAGGGAAGGCGAGGTAGGGGGCGGGGATTAGATAATAAACTGAGTCGCGGAAGGTAGGGGGCGGGGAAGGAGCCGACGCCGCGTCTCCCTCTTTGACATCGCCCCTTTCTGTGCGCAGGCCATTCTTGACCGCCGCATGCCCCACCGGCCGCGTGAGGGGCGCTTCTCCAACATCTGCGGCCGCATCTTCGCGGGGGTGGTCTGCTTGGGCCGCTGCAACTCCGCGCACAGCTTCCAGGAGCTGCACCCCTTCGTGCAGAAGGTGCGGGGACGGGCGGGGGGGGGGGCAAATTATAGCTAAGTGCTAGAACGCAGTCCCAATCCGCGGGCGGGCGGGGGGGCGGGTGAGGCGGGTGAGGTGCCGGAGAGAGACCGAAGTAAATCTGAATAAAAAGGGGTGGGGGTACTACCATGGAGGGGCGGGATAGGCAGCGTACATTTATCTCATCCGGTGTGCTTTGGGTGCGCAACCCTTGCTCTAACTGCCATGTGCCAACCCCTCATTGCGTCATGCCGCCCCTCCCACCTCGCCCCTCCCACCTCCCACCGCACACCTCCCACCTCCCACCACCCCCACAGGCCTTCCAGGAGCCCCGCGGCTTCCTGCACCTGCCCTCCAGCCCCGCCCTGATGCGGCCCATGGTGCCGTACGACCCGCTGCCGGAGGCGCTGCTTGAGATGAGGCAGCAGGCTCACATGAAGGTGAGAGTGGGGGTGTGTTTGGGGGCGGTAGTATAGTCCGTTGGCTATGTGGTAATAGAGGGGGTCACAGAGGAAATGCAGGAAAGGGCACGAATGTGTAACGAAGCTGGGGTGTGTGTTGAAGGATTTGGCTGGGGGTTAGGGACAGGTGACCCGGGTGCCGCAAAGCAGGGAGAAGGTACACAGCATAATATGGTCACAGATACTAGCAGCGTGCTGCCGACTGACCCATGGGTCGTTCCCCGTGTTGTCACAGATGGTGCTTCAAGCCCAAGCCGCCGCCGCAAAGCAACGCGCCGACATCGAGAAGGCCTCCGCTGCCGCAGCCTCCGCCCCTGGCGGCGCCGCCGGCAATCTGCTGGGCCATGTGGGGTCGTACGACAACGCCGTGGAAATGGGCATGGCGGGCGAGTGGGTGCATGGGCTGATGAGAGACCCACGGGTCACCGGAGAGACGAACGAGGAGGCGGCGCTACGACTCTTCATGCACGACGCGGACGACGTCGTCATTGAGGGCGGTTTCGATGAGGACGTGCCCGAGCACCCCATTGCAAGACCGCACCTGCCGGTGTCGACGCAACTGCAACCGCAACCGCCGGGGCGGGCGCCTGCGTCTCCCGTTGCGTCCGTGGCGGACGAGGCGTCGTCAGCCGTTGTGGGGGCCGGCGGCGGCGGTGTCGGTGCCGGCGGTGGCGCGGGTATGGACGCTGCGGACGCAGCTGTCAATGACACGGACGCGGAGTTTGCTGCTACCGCGGAAACGGCTGAAGGCGGAGGTGGTGGTGGCGCTGCAGCGGTTATTCGGCCCGAGCTGCTCCGCATGTCTGCGTACCAGCCACGATTGGGTCTGGTGGCGTTTGAGGTGGAGGATGATGCGACGCTGGGGCTGATGTTGGAGTATCTGGGCCGGTGATGATGATGGGCGGGCCCCTGGTGCGGCCAACCAACCCTCCAGAAGGTTCCGGGCAACGAATGGCGCGTAGATTGGCGCGAAACGGGAAGCAGCTTGGAGGTGCGTAGCTAGGTGTAGAAGGTTAGGGCAGCTGGGACCGGCGTCCACCGGGCGTCTTGGCAGCTGGGACCGGAGCTGTGCGGGGAGCAGTGAACGTGCGGACCTGGTTTTGTTTCCAGCTGAGGTTGAGAAGGCAACTAACTACTGCAGTACTCCTTGCAACCGGTGGCGTTTACAGCATGCGGTAGCAGTACCGGTAGCATGATTACAGGTAGCGGCCCCAACTGCCCCCCTGCTGTGCTTTCACGGCTTCCATGCTTCTTACCGGTACGGGTGGGAAGGCCCCGGGTGAACCCGATCCCCCGAGCTGCTGCACATGACATGACTAGGAGGGTTATAACAACAGCACTGGGGCCCCCTTCCAATGCCAATGTCAATCAACACAATGTCACAGCATCACATTCATCAGGTATGCTCAGCTTTACCCCAATGCAACGGCTGTTGGCCTTACATCGGGAGGTTAGCAGTCGGTAACAATGTAGCCTGTCTCTTCCTTAACTCTCCTGGGCTGACTTACCCAGGGTACATGCTATGGAGAGACACCAGCTACCAGACAGAACGGTAACAACAACACAGAACCAGCAAGCTATCCATACAGCTTGCATGCTGCTGGATGTGCACCCTGCAGCAGCTAAAGCGCTAGAAGCGGGCTGCCAGGACTGTTGGGATCACGCGTTTCTCGTCGCACTCCTTATACTACCCGCCTTGTATGGTTGTACCATACACACATCAGGGGGGCTGCATCCTGCACCGTCATCACTATTAGCCCGGTCACCGTAACCTGCAGGACCCGCCTCACATGTGCTGCTACGGCTGCTGCTGTTGCTGCTGCTACAGCTGTTGCTCCGAAACCAGTTTCATCCTCCAGCCGGGGCATCCGCGGATGTGCACAAGCGCCAAGTCCACCTCAAAATAGAGCAGCAAGTCGGATGGAGCGGTTTCGGAGCCAGCCCTGAGACGCGAGGGAGCGAGCGGCGGAGACGAGGGTGATATAGCAGGACCCGCATGGGGACGGCCAGCTGGGAGGTTCAGGCTGGAGAAGGGGGAGCACATGCAGGAAACGCAACCGCGAGGAAAGTACCGATTTGGGTCGGCCCAAACCCCATTCACCTAGAAGACGCAATGCCGTCCGACCCACATTACCCGACCCAGATCGCCGGACCCAGATCGCTGACGACGACTCACCACATGGCCCAGCCGTGATGCGACAGGGCCAGGGATGCATGGTAGGAGTTCTTGTCATCAAGGGCGTACGACAGGATCTTGTCGTACATGTTCAGCGGCCACTGCCGTACATGGTGGGGCCGCAGCATGAAGCTGGCGCAGCAGGATTTGAAGTTGCCGGGCGCCTGTGGAGGGTGGGATATGTAGAAAGTAAAGCATAAAATAATCATTCAATGTGATGTGAATCGCGGTATGTAGAAAAGAAGCACCGAGCTCCAACACATGTACAACACCCACTCAGCACCCTGCGAAACGTCACCCACCCAGCCGAGCGACCTGGCCCACCCAAACTCCTCCTCCAAACCCTAACCCAAGCTCCTCACCTTCCGTTGTGCAAAGTCGTATGCCTTCAGGATTGCCCCCAGCTGCGCGTAGGTCTCCTCGGGGGAGCGCGTGGCGGCCCCCTCCGGGTAGTCCAGACTGCGGCTGGATGAGGTGGTGGCTCGGACCTTCTCAAAGGCGTCTGGACAGAGGACGCAAGTCGCAACATGGGGGGATATCGGACATACATGGGGGATTTCAGTGCCGGACGCATATGGGGGATATCGGACAGTGCACGGGTTGCAGCATAGGGGAACGTTGGAAGGATCTGCCTACTTGTACCGTAACTGAACTAATGAGCCATTCGCAGCCATTAACAGTACAAGATTTATATTTAAATATGCATGGCTCAAGCTTTGAGACAAAGCATATGACTATGGCAGGATCTACCCACGGGTCAGCCCACATCCACATACGTCCCTGCCACCCACCTTGACCCGCGTAGCGTACAAGCGACAACGGACCGAAGCCGGCATTCGTCAGACCAGCGGTGGCGGCCGCCGCCGCCGCCTCAGGTGTTTCCCCGTGCAGTACGACAAGGTTTTCAAACCGAGTGTCGTACAGCCCGCCTCCGCCGTGCATGTACAACCAACGCTTGGCTCCGGTGCCGCTCCCGCTGCTGCTACTGCCTCGTCCGTTGTTGTTGGTGTTTCCAAAACCGCGGGTGAAGGCCAGAGCGGCGGGATCGGCAAGACACCTGCGCCAAAAGCCCGGGGTCAAAGGCCGGTTGAGGAACGAGACCAAGGGCACTACTCCTCTAGGTGATCGGCAAGGTACGGAGGTAACAGCGCTAGGTGCAGTGCTACATCGCATGTTCAGCTGCAACTGCGTTGCTCGGACTTGTGCCGCACACCACAACACATTCGGTACTCCTCTCGTGAGGAAACGAGGACGGGTTGTATGGGTATAGGCAGGCACCCTTGCGAAGACGGACGATCCCGGACGGACGGACGTGAGGTGGAGTAAACGGCCCCACCTGCACCCCACCCCCTATGGTTTGGTATGGTCCTTGACCCCCCCCACACACACACCGTCCAGTTTTCTTAATACACCGTCCCAACCCGCGCCCCTGCCTTCCAGCACACACATCCTACTCGCGGCCAGTTTTCTTAACACACACGCACGCACCGGGACGTCTTGAAGGGACACCGGCCCCGGGAGTGCTTGGGTGCCTGCCACTGCAGCGAGCGCGATGACACCCCCTCCTCGTCGCCCCCCGCCTTCCCCACACCCTCCGCCCCTAACCGCATCCCATGCACCAGCTCCTGCTCGACCTCCTCCTGCTCTTCCGGATCCAACCGCATTAACAAGGCACGGTCTGCGCCCGCCTGCTGTGTTGTCTCATCCTGCGCTGTAGCTGACCCCCCACCTGCTGCGCCGCCTGCTGCCCTCACCGCACCGCCTGCTGAGTCCCAAGGCGCCTCGGCTGCCCCCCCCGCCTGCTCCGAGTCCTCGGAACAGACGAGCAGCGCGCAGCATCCCTTGAGCCAATTCTCCTGCGTGCGTGCGCGCAGTAGTAGTGGGGGGTAAGGAGGGATAAGCCGACCTTATGCATTGCATGTATGCATGGACCTGGAGTCACATCCGTCCGCAGCAAGCAGCAGTCGAGGGCTGAGGATGCGGCCCAAGCATGAGTTCCCTACTAGCTTCCTGGCTAGGGTGCTGTGATCGATAGCCGGAGTGTGTGGGAGCAGGTGCCGAGCTGCCGGTTGCAGTACGCACCCATCGCTCGGCCGATCGCCGCCCTCTGCCCCACGCACCCATTTCATCCCCTTACCGTCACAACCGCCACTACTGTCACCTACCTGACAACCACTGCTGAGGCTGACCACCCTCTCCGCGAACTTGGCGAACAACTGCTGTGCTGCACTACCACTACCGCCGCCGCTACGGCCCTTGCTGCTGCTGGTGGTGCTGTTGGCGGGCCGCGGCCTTCCCTCTGTCCCCCTACTGCCACCACCACCCGAACTGCCCCTGCCGCCTTTCTCCGCCCTTGTTGCTACCGCAGCAGTCCCTCCTGCTTCCTGCGTGCGCTGCTCCGTTTGCAGCTTTCGATGTGTCCGTGACTGCACCCGCAGCAGCTGCTCTCGTATCCCCGCGTAGTACCCCCGCAGGCGGCGGAAGAACGGACCGCACAGGGAGTGTCTAGCTGCGGGCCCGTGGTCGTGAATCAACGCAAGGCCCTCGGGCAAGTTGTTGTAATGCCGTACGATGTGCGATAGGTACACAGCCGCCTCGCGGCCTTTATTGGGTATTAGCTGCTGCAGATGGATTGTGGAGTTGCAGGGGTAGGGCTCCAAGGCGGCTAGGGCGGCGGAGGCGGAGGCGAGACGGGGGTCGGCGGAATCCAAGCGGTGGTAAATCCAGATCTGGGCGCCTGCCAGGCCCAGATTCCAGATCCATGGAACCAGCGCCATGGGCTGCAGCAATGGATGAGGGGGGGTTGAGATTTACGCGGCGTGGTATTTGGTTGGGGTGGTCTGGGTAGTATGTGGATGAAGGTGGGGTGCATGGAGCGGGGTATAGTGGAAGATGCGGGTGCATGAGGTGCATGAGCATTCAGACGCAGCCATGTGGGCTAGCCAGGAAGCAGGGGCGAAAGACAGCACGATCGCAGCTTTGAATGGATTGAACAAAGGAGAAACTGGTTGGAATGCAACTCCTTTGAAGGGGCATGGGAAGGGGCCTGCACCCCACCTCCGGGGCGTATGTTGCCACAACGACATGAAATGCGCCCGCCGGCAGGCCTTCCTCGCAGCCCCATATGGGTGGAGGTCTATAGGATGGGTCCAATTGTCGCTGAAGCCTTACTACATCTGAGAGGTTGCCGTTGGTGGCGCATGCAATGAGAGGCTGCCCTACCAGAACGAGGAATAACAACCCCGTAAGTGGATGAAGAATCATTGCAACTAATTTACTTCATTTGAGGTAAATATTAGCTTCTTTGTTACCACGTGCGAGCCAGGCACTACATGACGAAGCCCCAGCCGTCAGGCGGTGCAAATGCAGCTATATATTACTTCCTAAGACATGAAATATGACAACAAGAATGAAATCGACAAATGAGACGGTAGCAATCTTGAATACGGTTGATGTCGTATAGCTATACAACTTCCGGCGGGAAACCTGCTGCAACCAAGGCATATGGACAGACGAAGAAAACCAAAGTTCCATTAATTGTGTGACTTAATATACTGACCTTTCCCAGGTATGCTCTTTACAGCTTCAAATTGGGAGTAGGCGTACCCCTGACACCAGACAGCACAGACTTTGGCACTGTCCCTTCCTGCATTCTTTGCTGCCAATCTATTCAATACACACGTCCGTAAGCAGCTTGTGGACAGCAAATCCTTTGCAGTATGTACGCGCATCGTTGCTCCTGAGCCCCTTAGAAAGGACACGGGCAGCATTCCCTGACGACCATGGCAGCCCTTCATTTGAAAGATATTAACCACTACGAGGCGGATGGGCACGCAACTGGCCTGTTGGGTCTGCCAGCTGTGCTTCATCGGCTTTCGGACCCCAGCCATCGTTGCCAAGGGCCGGAGCTGACTTGCCTGCTTCAGGTTGGCAAGGACAAAACCTTATAAACACCATGATGGCTGACAGAAATTGAAACCCTGAGTAATCTTCCCCCGTTTTTAACCCCCCGACGCTTAAATGACATTATGCAGGCGCTATGTAAGCAGCTCGTCAATGCTGCTTCGGACACAACCTTGGCGATATCTACCTCCGCGGACAGCGCCCGCGTCGCCACAGCGCAGGCCGCTGCCGACAATGTGGCATTGGACTTGTCCATTGGTGCCCCGGAGCAGTGCGTCCCCAGTCCTCAGCCTCTCAGCTCCGGCTGCGCTCCTTCTTATAATGTTCGTTCCCATTCTGACATCGAAGCGCCGGCCTCCTCCCAAGCCTTGCCGAACGCTGTCACCTCCACGAGCTACAGCCCTTCAGCTACTGCCCTCGCTCACCAGCACAACCTTCGCACCAACAACTCCTCCGCACGCCGCCAACAAGCGGGCCCAAGCAAGGTCCAAGCGCCCCCGCCGGCGCCATCCCAGTCCAACCCGTCCTCGGCCCTCGTGGGCCTTTCTCCTGCTGCCAGCGAACCCACTCAGGGCCTAGCCGGCATGGTGACATCTGGCATCGCCCTTCTTGTCGACCATCTGGAGCACTTCCACTACCGGGCCAAAGCAGTCGCCCTAGACGGCTTGCTTTCCCTCTCAGCTGTAGGCCTCGGCCCTGACCGTCGCATGGACGCTGCTGGCTTCGGGTCGTTGGCATGTGGTGGATCCAGCCAGTCATCGCATGGTGCGACTGCGGCGGCGGCAGCCATTGCTGCTATGGCCGCCGCTGCTGCTGCAGGCGGCGGTGCCAGCGCTGGAGGCGACGCACAGCCGCAGCAGTCACAACAGGATGGGGTGCTAGAACCCGCAGCTCTAGTAGAGACGGTGCAAGCGCTGGGCGGGTTGGGGCTTGGCGACTGGCTGGCGCTCCGGATCATTGGGGCAGGCGCTGTGCCTCGGCTGCTAGAGATGCTTACGCAGCGCACAGGCATCAATTTTGTGCCAGTACGGCAGTTGGCGTCGCAGGTGCGCCATGGTCTTGGGATGTTGGCTTGACCTTTAGGATGGTTCGCTTTCTGCTGCACTCAAATCTTATGGCTCGTATTCCATCCCGGCACTAATAAGCATGCATCTGGGCTTCATGGAACCTTTCAACTGATGCTCTCTGTGGCTGACGTCGTGTGCTTTCTTGCTAACCACCTTGCTGGCGTCGTGTGCTTTCAGGTGATCCACAACCTCGCCCGCCGCCGCAACGCCGCCGTGCGTACTGCCTTGGTTCGCTGGCGTCCCCTTCCCGGTATCATCAGCGCTTTGGATGTCGTACTTGAAGACAGTCCCGAGATCGCGGCACGCTTGCTGCTGTCGCTGTCAGACCTGCTGCCCATCGCCTCCCACCAAGTCGCCGGAGTCCTCCACAAGCTCATTGCCAAGCACGGCCAACCACAGGAGCAGGCCGCCGCCGCAGCGCTGCAACAACAGCAACTCCAACAGCAACAAGCCCAACTGCAAGCACGCCAACAGCAGGAGCAGGATGAGAAGCAAGCGGCGACGCAGAGCCAAGGCCGTCCCGAGACAAGGCGACAGGCGGCAGTGGCCGAACAAGACAAGGTCAGGACGCGTGCCAAGGCTGCCACGCAAGCTGCTGCTTCCGCTGCCGCTGGCCGCTCCGCTGCTGGAGGCGCTGCTGCTCCGAGCGTTGCCGCCGGCCGACCTCGCCGAGGCGCTGCTGGTGCGGCGGCGGCGGCGGAAAGCAAGAAGGGCGCCGTGGCGGCAGGACGCCCCGCAGCGGTTGCCCCTGAGCCCGCTCCTGCGCCGGCCCCTGCTGCTGCGGCGGCCACGGCTACTGTTGACCTGTTGGAAGCGCCCTATCTGGGTCTTGCCCCGGACATTGATGTGCCCCTTGAGGGGTTGCTGATGCGCGTGGTGGCTTACTACCTGCGTCTGGCCTACAATGCCGTTCTGTCGCCTGCACCGCTGCCACCTCCGGTCGCCGCCAAGGCTCCGTACGACGAAGCCGAGCGGCGTGAGTACGAGAAGGCGTTGCTCGTGCACAAGGTGGAAGAACACCGGCGGAGGCGCAAGGAAGCAGGGCAGCTGGATTGCTGCGTTGCAGCATTGCTTGCCGCTGCACCGCTACCCAACTGCCTCTTTGACGCTATGTCGTACAGCTATGCCCGGGCATTTGCTGTGCTTACGGGACCACCGTTGTCGGTTGCGCTGACAACCGCAACAAATGACGGCCTGTGGCGAGCCCAAGACCTTATGCCGTACGCCCTTGCGTTGCTCCAAAGCCTTGGCGGTGGCAGCGACACCGGCGATGCCTGCAACGCCTCGTTGTCCCGGAGCTCTGCTGCGGGTAACGCTGGCGGCATGCTCGTTCCGTCGCTGGCCGCCGCCTCCATTGGCATCCCTGCAAGCGCTCCTGGCGGCGCCGTCGGGCAAACGTACGTCACCTCTGGCGCCATCGCCGCTGCACTTGACCGCTTTTGGGGCATGGAGCACCCTCGCTCTGCCATGCTCGGTCCCGCTGGCAACGACGTGCTTGATTGCCCGGGTCCCGCTTTGCCTGGAGCGCCGTACGGCGACAAGCCCGTCTCGGAAGCCCTCATGCAGCAGTGCGGCATTGTCATTCGAGCTGTCTTGGAGAGGACCACCCAGACCGCTGCTTCTCTGTCCGCCAACGCATGCGCCACCGCCGCTGCTGCTGCCGCGGCGGCCACTGCTTCGGCTTCCATGCCCGCTGCTTCCGCGGGAGCACTTGCAGCTCACCAGGCGTGCGTTGGCTTGCTAAGGTCGGTAGGTGGCATGCTAGCCTCCATCACCCGGGCTCAGCTCGCCAGCCGCATCGCTGCTTCCAGTGACTGCCTGGAGCGACTCACCGGCAACCTGTCGCAACATACCGGCAATGTACCGGCGGGGGTGGTGCAGGCGCGCATGGCACTAGGCCTCGCGAACGTCTGGGCCTGCGTGCACACGGCTGCGCTGTGCCGGCGGCGACGAGTAGAGCGACAGCAGCGTCGGCTGCGCGAGCAGACGCAACAACAGGAACTGCAAGGGAAGCCGCAAGAGCTGCAAGGGAACAAGTCACCGCTGCGGAGCGCTCGCAGCGGGGACAAGGATGCCCCTGCAGTGGTCCCAGCCGAAGCTGCGGCGGAGGGAGGTGCCGAGCAGGCTACCGAGTCGGCGGAGCAAGGCGGCCTTCGTCGCAGTGCACGCATCAAGCGGCGTCGTGACGGCGCGGCGGCCGCGGCGGCTGCAGCTGCCGCTGCGGCCGCCTCTGCTGGTGGTTCTGCACGTGCGCCATCAGCCGGAGCTGCCGCCGAGGCACCGGCACGGGCGCAACAGCCGTCGGCAGGGAGCACTCCTGCGGGTGCGTCGACTGACACTCAGCCTGCTGCGGATCCTCCCAACAGTCCCCCGGATGCCCGTGCGCGTCGTGACGCCTTGTTGCTCAACCTTGTCGACCTCCTGGCGGCTCGCTTCTCGGAGGTACGACAAGTCCAGGCTTCCTTGGAGGACCTTCTGCGTCAGCCGGGTGCTGAAGCCGGTGCAAGCGGCAGCGGTGCCCTTACGCCCTCGGCGCGTGGTGCTGCTGGTTCCTGGCTCTCTGCGGCTGTGGCTGCTGTGGTGGTGTCGCCTGCCGAGAAGACACGCCTTGTCCTCGAGACGCAGGCCGTGCTGCTGCAGGCCGTGGCCTTGATCCTGCCCGGCATGGATGCCTCGCATGCACGGCGGCTACTGGACGCTGGTGCAGCGCACTGCTGCGCTCAGCTCATCCGCGCCTCCTCAACCTCCACCTCTCAACCGCAACAACAACAGCAGCAGCAGCAGCAGACGCCCGTTGGAGCTTCTGCGGCTGCCAAGTCCAGCGCAGCCGCTACGCAACAGCGGTCCACTGCTCCTGAGCAATCTGATGATGAAGTACTGGGGCCTTGGAGTAATGAGCCTGCGCATGGTGTCACCGCGACTCAGTCGCTGGGACTGCTCGTCCAGCTGATGCGGTTGTCTGATGGAGTGTCGTATGGCGGAAGCGGCGTGCTGAAGACGGAAGCGCTGGCGGCGCTTGGCGGGGCGCTGCTGCTGCGGATGCAGGGTGACAACGGCGCAGGTGTGCCTGAGCTACCGCCTGCGCTCGCGCCTCAGCAGCCCCAGCCGTCGCCGCTGGGCACCGAGACCGGGGCGGAGACTGACGCGGAAGATCCCGTGGCACGCTGCTGGGGTGAGTCTACGGAACCGTCCCAAGTTCTATAATCTACAAGTCTTTACAGGCGTCACATAGATATAATGCGAGACCGTTTACAGCGAGCCATTGAGTCCTCCCTGACCGTCAACCCGTCCGTTGCCTTCCCTCTGCAGACTTGCTGCTCCTGCTTTCTTCCGGCCAGCGCCCTTGCGCCTACCACGACGCCGTGCTGCAGCTACTTGTGCCACTGGTGGCTCTGACCCATGGGTCGTCCACACGCTGCGCTAAAGCGCGCGCGTCCATGGCGCCGGTGCTGCTGCAGGTCCTCCGGTGGAACCACAGCAAGTTGCAGGTACGAACAAGAGGACTCCAGACATGTGATTACGTTGCACGCGTACACGCCGCGCAAGTATCCTGACATTGGACGATGACATGGTCTTGTCTAGATCGTTTCTGGCTTTACCGTTGTACGTCTTACCTGCCCCTATCTCTCTTTCCCTCTTCCACAGAGACGGAGGCTGTTTCTCCAGGCGGCAGCGCTCTGGGCTCCGCACCTGCAGCCCCTGCTGCTGCGCCTCCCCCGCATGGCCACCCCCTCCATGGCCATCCCAGAAGCACAACTCGCCGCTGCATGCGCCACCGACGGACCACTACCATCATCCGTCGCCGCCGTACCCGTTAAGGCCGCACCCGCCTCCAAGACGCAGTCTCAGTCCACCATGCCGTACAACTCTAGCCGCGGCGGTCGGTACGGCACTCCCACGACTGGGATCCAGGGCCCGCACGTCAGCGGCAGCTCCGCCGCAACGTCCCATGCTGGTCAGCGCACGCCGCCTTGGGGAACGTGTGCGGCTGCCGCCGCCGCAGGCGCCAGCAGCGGCACCGGGGGTGGTTCGACTGTGACGGCAGCCGCCGTCGGCGCTGCCTCGCTGGTCCTGTCACCCACGAACCACAACGTCTCTGGCAGCGGTGTGCGCATGGCCGCGCTGCCGTCGGGGTTGAACCCTCTGCGCAGCCGCAGAGGCAGTCGGCTGGCGGGACTGGTTTCACCGCCGCCACCGCTGCCGCCGCTACCTCGAACCAGCGGCGGCGGTGCGAACGACGGAGAGCCGTGCACTGCGGTGGCGGGTGCGGGTGCGGGGACAGCAGCTGGGTCGTCTGCCGCTGCTCAAGTGGGGTCGGAAGCACAGGCGGCGTCAAGCGGGGTGACCCTTGGGTCGCTCTGCGAGCTGTTTGAGGTGGCGTTGGAGCGGGTTGGCGATGCCGAGGTGGTTCGCCACATGCACTTGTCAGGTGAGGAAAGGCAAACACCACAGGTATATTAAGGCTTTTTATACCGCTGCCTTCTTACCATGCTCTTCTAGTCATCCACCGTCCTTTCCGAACTTGTCGTACAAACCCTCTGTTTCCTTCCTCCTTTCCTGCTTCCAGGATGGCTCGTGGCCCTCTGCCACGGCGCCCAAAGCGCGGACTCCGCCGCCCGTGAGTCCTGCCAACGCACCCTCGCCCATGCAGCATGCGCCGTTGCCGCGGCTGGTCGGCCCTTGCCGCCGCCGCTGCTGGCGGAACTCGAGGTCGACATTGAGCTCCGGAACCAGGTCTGCCTGCTGGATCCATCCCTAGCCGCGCAGCTCCAACGGCGGAAAGTGGAAGTGCCTCTGCTGCTGCGCCCTTACCCGCCCTCCGCCACGGCAGAAGGTGCTGGCGGCAGCAGTAGCATCGGCTCCGGGCTGGGGCTGGGGCTGCCTCCTGCATGTGGAGGAGTTGTTTTCTGCGGTCGCCGGCGTGTGGGTCCGGGTCAGGCGCCCGTGGGAGCCGCCGCTTGGCCGCCTCGCCCGCCATCGCAGGCCGGGCGGCCAACGCAGCCGCTTCCCACCTCGGATGCCCCAGCAACCGCGGCAGCAGAAGCCGGCGATAGCGCGGAGCTGAGGAAAGAGGGGGCCGCGGGGAAGAGCGGCTCGGATGCCACGGATCGCTCAGAGGATGCTTTGCAGCAACCGGCTGCGGAGGGACATGGGGAGGAGCAAGGGAAGGAGGTCAAGGAGGAGGATGCCGAGGGGCTGCCGCTACCTCAGGAGCCAGCCCGGCGAGGGGGGCGTAGGCGGGGAACCGCGGCGTCCTCGTCACGTGGCCGCAAGGCTACCACACGAGGGGGTGCGGCCGCGGCGGCTGGAGGCGCCTCCAATCGTAGCCGCTCCCGGAAGGGGACCGCAGCGCGCCGCGTTGTCTCGGACGCTGCAGAGCCCGATCAAGATGAGGACGGCGAGGAGCAAGGACATGATGCCCCTGTCGCTACTGGTGCTGCTTCAGGAGGCTCGGAGCCAGGCGTGGGTGGCCAGGCGTTGCCGGCTGGCCTCATGGTTTCTCCCTCGCCGCTCCCCAAGCGCCGGCGTGTCAGCGAAAGCGAGGCAGGTAGCGAGGAGGACGCGCAGCCTTGGGCCTCGGGCAAGGCAGACGCCGCTGGCAGCCGGCGTGATGCCTCTGCACCTGTTGAGGAGCTGCGCGGGAGCGCAGGGGCCGAGACGTCTGGGACAGCCCCCGGACCTGTTGGCCTGGCCAGGCAGGCCGGAAAGGACGCATGCGACTCGAGCACGGCCCCGGTGGCCCCGGCTGGACCTTGCATGGCGCGTCCCGCCAGCGGCTCTGAAGCCGTCGTGCCGGTCGATCTGCAGCTGACGGCGGCGGAGGCTCGTCTAGCAGCTGCCGTGCGTTGGGCCTGTGTGTCCCTGGAGTCGTCGCTGGCGGCGCGGCGGCATGACTTGGCGGCGGCGCGCGCTGCCGACCAGGCCGCTGCGGCGGCGGCAGCCGCCGCCGCCACCATGGCGGTCGCTGCCGCCGCCGCTGCTGGTGCGGGAGCATCCGCAGCGCCCCCCGCGGAGGAAGCACCTCCCGCGACGGTGGCGGCGGCGGCGGCGCCGCAGACGGCGCCGCCGGGCGGTGCCAAGAAGAAGCCGGGTCGGCCGCGGACGGCGACGGCTGCTGCTACAGCGGTGGCGACACGTGGACAGCAGGCGAAGCAGCTGCAGCAGCCAGCTGCTGCTGTGCTGGCGCCGGCGCCGGCTGCAGTAGCTCCTCCTGCCGTACAACAACAGCCGCAGCAGCCAGCTGTCGTGGCGGATGAGGAGTTCTTGAGTCGCACTTACCGGGGAGTCAGCAGGCGCCTCAACTTTGACGACATGTAGGTCACGGGGCGAAGAACTTGTAGTAGGCGGGGTGGGGCGACTTCTCGCGGGACCAAGCTTGACTGATGATGGTTGTGCGAAAAGGATGCGTGGAGTGTTGCTTTCATGCAATCGGCTCTACAAGGTGACCCCTGTCGGGTGCGGGCGAGAAGACGATCAAGTCCATGATTGAGTCTCTGTGAGTCTCTGCTTGGGCTACATGTGGGGACGTAAGGACTCTGGCGTGCGACCGGCAGGTTGGTTGTGCCGTTTCACGTGTGCGTTTGTGGTTGAGAGTTGGCTTGCTCCTTAGACTTTAGACCTGACAGCAGCAGTGGCTACACCTTTAGGCAGGCTTGGCGCAACGGTTCGGCAAAGCAGAGCTGGGTTGGTCCAGGGAGGTTGAAGCATAGGAGCCTGGCGGCGGAGTTGTGTTGTGGCGATGTGGGGCTTCGTTGGCGTGTACGCAAAGCCAACGAGTTTGACGTATATTACCGTTGTCGCGGACGTTGTTGCCTTTCGCATGTAGCCGTCTTTGTTGGCAAGAGGCGCATTGCGCGGACCACCCATAGGTGTGTTGTTGTGTTTGTCTGACCAGCGGCATTTGAAGGGTTCGGCGTAGTCCCGTCGCAGGTGGAGGTTGTTTTGCTGTTGACTAGGGGTTGACTGCTGAGGCCCATTTCAGTGTTGGCTCGTGTCTGAAAGGACGCCTTGTGCGTGCTAGTTGGGCCATACGGAGCTCTTTCCTATCAGGTTGATATTGGTACTGGTAAATTGACGATTGGCAATTTGCAAGTTGGCGTGGGCCTGCCAGGCACAGACTTGGCCATCGCAGCCTGGCCAACACAAGGTTTTGACCCTTGGGCCATCTGCCAAAATGCCTGGTATGAACCACGGCTCATGACAAATTTATGACAACATGTTACATCAGGATAACTGCACCGGAGTCCACTGCGTAAATCCCGTTAACCAAGCGTATCGTGCATCATGCACCGGCGTCTTGGGACGTCGAGGCATACACGGGAACACCAAAGACTCCCCGTATCGCTTGAATCAGCCGACACGCTACTGCATCCTCGCCTGCCGCCCACTCACACTCGAACCGTGCCGACCTCCCAGCGCCAAGTCCGCCATCATCTCCCTGCGGAGCCGCCTGGACGTGTAAGCATGCGGCGAATGACCCGTGGGTCACGCGCATTGCGCTCTCATCCAACCGCAACCGCTTGCTTGCTGCGTATCCGCCCAGCGCCGTACACATGGCTGCGTGAGCGGCCCGAAGGGCAACCAATGCAGCGGTTGTACCCTGGGATCCTCCCAGGGGCGCAGTAGCCAATGCCTCGTCATCTTTGCTACCGGTAGAAGTACTTCTACCGGCTGCAACCGAGGTACTTTGCAGGGCCTGGCCAAGATCGCAAGCAACAGCAACTGCACCAGTCGGGGAAGCACCGTGGCAACTGTACGGCAGCTGTACAGGTATCGTACAGCCGTACGTGATCCTGTACGGCGCTACATGCAGTTGCTGCGGTTCCTGCCCTTGGCCTTGCTGCTCCTGGATACCAGCTGGATACCCTGGAGCAGTCCTGGAGCCACCTGCTGCAGCGGCCTTGGCCAACACTTTGGCTGCTGTGGCAGCGTCTGTGAGAGTTAGCTGCGTCGCTGCAGCGGTAACACCCCGACCCCCGGTTGGCCCCTGCTGCGTCCCCTCCTGCTGTCGTTGCTGCCCTTGCTGCTGCTGCTGTTGCAGCAACGGCTCCGGGCCCGATCGATGCGCCACTCGAGCCACCACAATCCCGCTCAGCGGCAGGGCCGTCAACGGCTGCGGCCGCAGCAGCGCACTACCACCACCACCCGCCGCCGCCGCCGGTCCTAATCCCGCCGCCGCCTCCTCCGCCGCCGCTGCTGCCGCTGCCGCCGCCGCCTCCGCCGCCACCATGCTAACCGCGCATGCGGCTGACGTCATCACTTGCGGTCGTACCCCGATGGGAACATCGCGGCGGGCGCTGATGGTGACGGTTGTTCCCGTGGGGGGTGCGTGACACTCGATACCCAGGGATGACTGGATGCGGCCTCTGCGGTGTGTGGAGGGAAGGAGGAGGGGAAGGACGAGGAGAGCATGGGACGGCGCCGTACGAAAGGATGTAGAAGTCGATCAGTCATTTACCGTATCACCAATCACAAGGGTCAAACATACGGTACCTCTCCAGTACTTTCCAATGATACGGGCAATGGGAGAAAGTATAAAAAGGTGTGCAGCGTGAAGTGTCATGTCTCATGCGTACGTCATGCACGTTGCCGGCGTGGTCTGGCGGCAGCGGCTGTGGAGCGAGCGAGCGAGCAAGGAGCGCTCCTTGCCACCCAGCGCCATCCGTCCCCCAAGCCGCCCCCATCTCCCCATACCCATCGCCTCATTCCCCCATTCTTCTGCCCTACTTCGCGGCTTCCTATGGTTCGGTCTATTTTGGCCCCGCCGCCGCACCCCCACCCACCCTACCTCAGGAACTCCATGGGCTCCGGCTGCCCATGCACCAGCACCACCGCCCTCGGCCGGCAGCCCCGCACCAGCCCCATCAGACCGCGCAGGTCCGCATGTGCGCTGAACGCGAGCATCTTGATGCGGCAGCGCACCTCCACTCGCGCACTGCCAGCGGGGGCTGCGGCGGCGGAGGAGGAGGGAGGGCCAGCGGCGGAGGCGGCGCCGCCGCCGGCACCGGCGGCGGCAGGAACCTCCACGGTAGCGGCGGCTGCGCCGCCGCTGCTGCCTTGGTTTGGGTTTCGGTTTTGGATGGCTTCGAGCTTGGCTCCCAGCGTGCCTGCCGGGAATGAGTCACCAAAGGTTGGTCCTGTACCGGTAATGTTCATGCCATGGTAGTGCCAGGGTTGCTGTCGCTGTGCACCCCGCATCCCCGCAGCATGCTCACCCCTCACTTGGTATCCCGCCAGCACCAACAGGTTGCGCGGACTGCCCGCCCAGGCGCGGAAGGCCTCCAGCGCCACCCCGCTGGCGAGGGTGCCGGGGGAGGCGAACAGTAGGGCGGGGCCGGGGGCCTGCAGGTGGGTGGGATAGTTTAGAGGTGAAGCAATGGAAAGGGGGCGAAGGGACAGAGGGGAACAAAACGGCCCTTCCTGATAATTAAACGGCAAGTTTAAGGCCAAGGCGATAGAGATGAGAGAAGAGATGGAAAAGGCTAAGGACGGGTAATGCAAAACGTTGCTGCAAAGAAAACCCTTCCGCCGCCCCGCCCTGTTTCTTCCACTTCGGCATTCAAACGTCAGCCCCACAACCCAAACCTCTCCTCACATGTAACAGCGAGCGGTCCCACTGAAGAGTACGGAACATGCCGTACACGTCCGCCTCGGAAAACACACCCACACCCTGTGCGCCGTTGCCCCCGCCGTCGCCACGAGGGGGCGCATGTGCTGCGGCAGGTGCGGGTGCTGCTGCGCTGACGCCTCCACCTCCAATTCCTCTGCTGCCGCCGCTACCCAGACCTCCACCTCCGCTGGGGCGAGCGGCAGCGGCAGCGGAGGAGCTGTCAGGGGGCCGTATGTCCGGTGGGAGCGGCACTATCCGACGATGTCGTCTTCCCTCTCTCCGCCGCCCCCGTTGTTGCTGTTGGTGCTGGTGGTGGTGGTGATGATGGACTCGCTGCTGCTGGTGATGATGCCGCATGCGGTGAGCGGCTGCCGAGCCCTCCCCTGGAGCATCCACCGCCATCTCACAGCCGCTCCCTCCCTCCTCTTCCATCTCCTCCTCCTCCTCATCATCATCATCCCAACCGCCCATGTCTCCCCACCCGTCGCCCTCTCCGCTGCTCGCCTCCTCCTCATCCCCCGACTCCCACTCCGCTCCACCACCGCCCTCCTCCTCCTCCCTCCCCTTCCCTCCCTCCCCTCCCTTCTCCTCAGCCAGCCGCCCGCCTGCCTGCCTCCTAGCCTCCTCCAGGCCACCCTTGCCCCCCTCCTCCTGCCCACCCGCCTGCCCAGCCTCCTCCTCGTACCAGCAGTAGTAGCCGCACCGCTCCTTCAGTCTCTCCCTCTCCTCCTCGTCATCATCATCACGCCGCCGTGAACCCCTGCCCTCCCAGATGCCTCCTCCTCCTCCTCCTCCCCCTCCGCTGCCACTGCCAGCAGCAGCGCTGCCGGCCCCCCCAAACAGCGTTCTCCTCACGTTGGCGTTGGTCCAGTTGAGTAGCAGCTGGTAGTAGACGAGCGCGCGAGAGGCCATGGAGCTGCTGAAGTAGATGGGCACCTGCGTGCATGTGGAGGGAGGGAGGTAAAGAGGAAACAACTATCGTAACTGGCCGTGTGATAAGGCGTCATCATGGAGGGGGGAAGGGGTTCGAGGGACGGAGGGAGGGAGGGGGGTCCTGCTCGCGGCCAATTTCCTCAGCACACACCCCTGACCACCTGCCCCTCACCTGCCTTCAGCCCACACACACACGCACCAACAACAACAACACACCTCCCCCTCACCTTCAGCCCGCCAACACCACACACGCACCACCACCTCCCACCCCCCCGTCACCTTCAGCCCATGTCGTTCCCAGCAATCCGTAATGAGCATCAGCAGCTCCTGCGCCCGCCCCATGGCGAAGGTGGGGATGAGCACCTTGCCCCCCGCCGCCACCGTCTCCACCACCGCCGCCAGCAGCTCCCGCTCGCGCGCTCGTTTGGGGTCGCGAAGCGAGGCGGCGTAGGTGGCCTCGGTAATGAGCAGGTCGGGGAAGCGGGAGGCGGAGGTGGAGGAGGCGGCGCCGGGGGGCGGCAGCAGCAGCTGGGCGGGACCTAGGTGGCGGTCGGGGGAGGAGTTGAAGTCACCTGGGGGTGGGAACGGGGGAGGGAGGGGGAGGTGGAGGAGTTTGGGGAGGCGTGGCGGGTTGATTCCTCCTCGTTGCAAGCCGGCTGATTCCTCCTCGGTACCCCCACCCTCGGTACCCCCACCCGCTACCCACCCTCGCTGCCCCCTACCCACCCGTGTACACGGCGGTAAGGTGCCCGGCGCTCATGTGCACCATGGCGGCTCCCAACACGTGGCCCGCGTAGTGGAAGGTGAAGCTCAGACCGGGGGCCACCACAACCGCCTGTGCGGGGGGAGGTACCGTAGGTGGTGGAGTGTATATACCGGAAGGGAGGCAGGGAAAAATATAGAGGGAGAGGGGGGGAGGAGGGGGGGAGGGAGGGAGAGGGGCAAAGAGGGACGGGACGGCGTGTAAGTCAATCGGGGGTTCCAGGACCCGGAGTGGAGATGGCTATGACTGATAGACAGGTGGCAATGGGCACATAAGACAAAAGTCCTTCCCCCAAATGAGACTCACACGCCGACCCATGGGTCCGTCCCACCCACCCTCCCACCTGGTGTAGGTCCACTGCTGTCACCCGGCGCAAGCAGTCGCGAATGTGCTGCTCGTTGTACGGCGGCCGCTCGCCGGGCCGGTCCGCGTTGACCTACGACATGGCCGTACAAGAAGTACGGCCGATACGTTGATTAAGAGTCCGTGTAATTACAGCTTTTCTCATGAGCCCGCATAAGCTGCAATTGTTTTAGGGCATGTTAGTGATGCAGACCTACAGGATTCAGAAGCACCCGGTCCCGAGTCCGAACCAACGATGCAACGCACGCACGTTTTCCTAAGGCACGCGCTACCTTGACGTAGTCTTCCAGCATGATGGGCGCAATGGCGAAGGTGGGATAGGTCATGAGGATAGGGCCGCGGTAGCCGCAGATCTGGCGGGGCGGAGGCGGGGGAGACGGGAAGAGAAATGATGACTACAGTGGTGCGGGATCGGTGTGGCATTGGTGCGGGATCGGTGCGGCATTGGTGCGGGATCGGTGCGGCATTGGTGCGGGATCGGTGCGGCATTGGTGCGGGATCGGTGCGGCATTGGTGCGGGATCGGTGTGGCATTGGTGCGGGATCGGTGTGGCATTGGTGCGGGATCGGTGTGGCATTGGTGCGGGATCGGTGTGGCATTGGTGCGGGATCGGTGTGGCATTGGTGCGGGATCGGTGCCAATAGAAGCACCCCTACTACCATGCATGCATCGATGCATGCAGCTACCGTTGTACAACGACGCTTCGTACTGTACGGCAGTTGCCATACCTCTGTGAAGTACGGCAGCGCCCCGATGTGGTCGGTGTGGAAGTGGGTGATGACCAGCGCATCGATGATGTCACTGAAGCGGCCCGCGCGCGACAGCAGTCCGAACTCTGGGAAGCGCCGTGCATCCCTGAGTGGAGCGTGGAGGATGAAATGTAATTGTGAATGCGTGTGCATTGGAGCTTGGTTAGTGTAAGGGTAAGGGTGGTGGAAGGACAGTTATCGGACAGCTGATGGATAGCCCTTTTCATGTGTTAGTAAGGGTAAGGTGAGGGAAGGTCAGCCCTCTCCATGTGAGCGTTGCTAACTGGTGGTTGGTGTGACCTGCTGGGACACGGGCGGTTGGAGCGGCTGCGTCCCTTCACAAGGGGAAGGGATGGGCTGGTAAGGAGGGGAGATAGAAGGGGAAGAAGAAGCCCAAGCCCACCTGAATCCAAAATGCGCTCCGCAGTCAAACATGACCGTCCTGCCCGCCATGCGTACCACACAGCAGGACCGCCCAACATCCTGACCCGCGCCTGCAGCGATTAGATGCAGCCAGAGCATTAGCGACATGCCGTGACAAGCATGTTGGAAGATGAACTAGGCGCATGTAATGGTATTCGCCGCAGCGGTGCCGGTTAGCTCACCAAGCGGAAGCACCTCAATCGACATCGCGACCTTTGCGATCAATGTGTTGTAAGCATGCTTTGGAATACTTGTTTAACCCTTCACCCATTGATTGCTAGGACGCTTGGATGCCTAGATGCTCGGACGTACAAGTGCTTGTGATTTTACATGAGGTTAATAGCTACGATTACGTTCCATAGTATAATCTGCAGCTCAGCAGTAATGTTTGTAACGGCTTCTTGCCTATCAGCAGTATCAGGTTGCGTTACTAATATGATGCATTTCCTTTCCTTGTGTCCTCGCCGTTACACTACCTATACGCAGCATAATAGCACAACTGCTTACATATTGTTACGTGTGCGAAAAGTTAGCGGACCTGTGGTTACCTGCGCATGTGCAAGCATGGCAGTTGGTCCATCCATGGGCCAAGGGCAATAGCGCTGGTCAGCACCTAAGCCCCACCGTCAAGCGCTTCGTTGTTGCAGTTTGGACAGCGCTTCTTATTTCGCTCTGGAGCGCTATTGGATGGCCACCCATGTCACCCGTGGCTGCGCATGCGTGCACGCACAGCCTTACCCCATATCATCACACCTACTCCCTCTCGCCAACCATGCCACCACCCATACACATGACCCTCGAGGCACTCACCCACTCCATGCTATACAGCATACCCATAGCAAACGCAAATCAGCAGCTCCTTCCCCCTCCCTCCCCTTCAACACCCCGCTACCCCTCCCCCTGCCGCGCCAGCCTCATGGCCAGGTGCCAGTCCTGGTGCTCCCGCCACCCGCCAGCCGCCACCGCGCAGCCGCACTGCGGGCACAGGGGTGGGCACTGCTGCTGCTGCTGCTGCTGCTGCTGCTGCTGGTGAAGAGGATGATGATGATGATGAAGAAAAGAAGGAGGAGGAGGAGGAGGAGGGGGCTGCTGAGGCTGCGCATGAGGGGGCTTTGGTTGGGGTGGCCTGGGAGGCTGTTGCCGCTGCGGCTGGTGTCGTGGTGGCGCCGCGGCGGCCTCAGCCCCGGTGCTGGTTGAGGACCCGCCAACTGCCCCTGCGGCAGATGAGGCAGCAGCGGCAGCGGCGGCGGCAGCGGCCCACAACCGATCCAGCGGTTTAGAAACACGGTGTTGTGGCTGGTGGTGGTGGTGGTGGTGGTGCTGCTGCTGCTGTTGCTTCCTGTGCTGCTGCTGCTGGTGGTGCTGTTGGGTTGTCATCGTCGTCTTGGCGGGCAGCGGCAGTGCCGATGGCGGCCGCTGTAGTGGCGCTGCTGCTGCTGCTGCTACAGCTGGTGGGGGTTGTGTGCTTCCCCGCAGGCAGTCACACACCTCGCACCGCAGCAGCTGCCGCCGGTTGCTTGCGAAGGTGCACACACGACAAGTCCAGCAGGAGCCGGATGGGGCGGGGGCGGGGGCGGGGGGAACAGCTGACTGACCGTGTGATAGGCTTGAGGGGGCGGAGGGACCGCCGCCAGCCCCACCAGCACCACCACCACCACTGCTGCTGCTGCTGCTGTTTTTGTTGTTCGTGTTACAGTCCCGGGCATTGCCGCCCGCCGCGGGTCCGCCTCCACAGCGGGTGCTGGTGGTGGTGGTGGTGGTGGTAGGGAAATGTGCGGAGGCCACTGTCGCCGCCGCCGCTGCAGCAGCAGTCGGCTGTGCAGCGGCAGCATGCACTGCTGCTGCGCCAGGTAAGGACGCCGGTGCCGCTGTCGCTGTTGTTGCAGCTGTTGCTGCTGTTGCAGCTGTTGCTGTTGTGGCTGCTGCCTCCGAGCGCTGCCGCTTGCAGGGCGGCAGTGGCTGCTGCTGCTGCTGCTGCTGCTGGTGGGGGTGGTGCTGGTGGTCGTGGGTAGCCTCCATTGTTATTCTCACTGGGTGATGCGGCTCTAGAGGAGGGGCAACAACAGCGCGTTCCTCCTCCTGCTCCCCAATCCTCCTGACCACCTCGCCATCTGCCCTTTGCACCACCTCTTCCACCTCTACGTCTTCCTCCTCCTGCTCCTGCTCCTCCTCTCGTCCCCCCGTGCCGTACATTAAGCAGTCCTCGCCAGCACCCGCACAGTTGCCGTCGCTGTCGCCGTCTCCGTCCTTCTCTAGCTGCTGCTGCTCGTGCAATCCCTCGTCAAGGAAGGATTCCAAATCCAGAACGTCCGTGCCTGCCTCGAAGCCTCCTCCTCCTCCTTCTGCTCCCCTTAAACAGTCCAGCTGCTCCCTCCAAGCCGCTTCGTCCCCACATTCGACCTCGCCCTTTGGCACGTGTCCTTGCTGCAGCTGCTGTTCCCGCTGCTGCTGCCCTTCGCCCCGCATCACCGCTCCGCCCTCTTCCTCCTGCTCCTCCTCCTCCTCATCGTCGTCAAGTATCTCCACTACCTCCACCGCCTGTCGCTGTTGCTGCTCCTGCTTTCCTGCTTGCTCCGGCCCCTGCTGCTGCCCCTGCTGCTGCTGCTGCCCCTGCTGCTGCTGCTGCAACCCCAGCAAGCGCGCCAGCGGACTGGCCACACCCGACTGAACCTGCGGGGGACACACAAGGACCGCATGCACAGCACAGGCCGCACCAACCACAGGCCGTTCAGGCCACATAGTGAAATTGGTAAGAGGGATATACTCAAACCAACTCAACTCAACCCAGCCAGTCAACTAACCTCCCATACATTCGGGTTGCTATAACAACCCGTCTCCCGCCTATCCGTTTGCATCCGTCTGTCGATTCCTCCCCTCCCCCAGCCTCCTCCTCTTCCGCCTGCTATCCCCATTGCTTTGCCCTAACCTGTGGTTTCCTATGGTTCGGTAGGGTCTTTGATCACCATCCTCCTCTCCCCCTGCCGTACCTTCCTCTCCCCCTGCCTCCTCCTCCTCTCCTCCTGCCCCCTCCTCCTCTCCCCCTGCCGCCCCCTCCTCCTCTCCTCCTGCCCCCTCCTCCTCTCCCCCTGCCGCCCCCTCCTCCTCTCCTCCTGCCCCCTCCTCCTCTCCCCCTGCCGCCCCCTCCTCCTCTCCCCCTGCCGTACTCCTACCTTCCTCAGCCCCGCCATGCGCACCCCCATCAGCCGGATCTCCACCGGCATCTCCGCCCGCAGCAGCCGCAGTACGGCAGGCAGCATGTCAGATGCCGTACGCACGTGGCGGGGCAGCGTCACGGCGCGGGTGCGAACCTTCGCGAAGAGGGATTGGGCCAGGGGAAGGGGAGGGGTGTGGTGTGACGAGGGCGAGGTGGAATCAGGTTGGGGTAGGGCGAGGTGCGAGGCGGGTTGGCACATGCTGGGGGGGGGGGGGTAATACACACACAGCGCTGCCCGGCCCTGTCTGGACCTCCGCCCTGCCCCGACAGCCCCCGCCCGGCCCCACCTCGAATGTCGATAGCTTGAGTTTGAGGGTGATGCTGCGGCCCTCCAGCCCCTCACCCGCCATGTCAGCAGCCAGGGACTCCACCAGCTGGGACCGGGGGGAAAGGAGGGGAAGGAGGGGAGCGGGGGGAAGGAAGAAATTCCAATGTGTCGTGTGATATTGATACAAGTTGCTGACAATCCCTGGTGGAATCAACAAACCGTGAGTCGAGCCGAAATGGTGGTATGGCCGGGGGGAAGGAAGACTGCCCCAGGGGAGGGGCAGGGGTTGAATGAATGGATACCACCCCCCTATTGCTTTGGTTGGGTATGGTCTTTGGCCTCCCTATTGCCACCTTGCCTTGCCCTCACTTCTGGGTTCCTTGGGGACGGGCTAGTTCCCTCCCCTCCCCCTCCCCTCACCTGCCCCTCACCTATTTTCACTCCCCCTCACCTGCTCCGCACCTGCCCCTCACCTAGTTATTTTGACCCCTCCCCCCACCTGCTCCGCCATGCGCTCCTGCAGCCCCGGCTGCCGCATGTTGCGGAAGGTGCGCTCGCAGCTGATGCCCTTGCGACCGGGGTCAGCAGCGGCGGCAGCGGAGGACTGGCAGGGGAAGGGGGGCGGAGGGGGGGGAGGAGGGTTGCAGCACGGGAAAAGAAGCATACCCAATGTGTTGTACCACGGAACGGAGGTGTGTGGGTGGGCTGCGGGAGGAGCAGGAGAAGCCGGGTGGAGGGTTACGACAGGCTGCTGGAGTGCGGTGCAGCCGGCGGAGGTGTGCTGTGTGTTCCCCCCCCCCCCCACCCGACCCTCCCCCCTCCCAGCCCCCTACCTTGTGTTTGGGCGGGTGCCGAGTGGGCCCCAGCCCCAGCGCCGCCTCCATGAAGAACCCCGCAGCCGCCTCGCTGAACAGCAGCGGCAGCCGCCCCCGCAGCAGCTGCTGCTGCTGCCCCCCCTGCTGTTGCCCCTGCTGCTGCCCCCCTTGCTGCGGCCCCCCCTGCTGCTGCTGCTGCTGCTGCCCCCCCTGCTGCGGGCCCCCCTGCCCCCCTAGGAGCAGCTGGCCGCATGTGGAGACCCCCAGCACCCCCCGCAACAGGGCCTCGGTGACCCGGCCGATGAAGGGGATCTTGCGGGTCTGAGCGGGGGAGGGAGGGAGGAGGAGGGAGGGAGGGAGGAGAAGAGGCATCAAGGTGTCTGAACGGGGGAGTGAGAAAACTTCACCAGGGGGGTGGGAGGTTTCCAGGCATGCTAGATGCTAGCCGGCCCATCCCGCCATGGAGCGGGGGGCGGGGAGGAGGTCGTGTGGTAAAGTCTGCGCTCTACTGGCACCCTTTGCCGCCTCCTACCCCCATTGCTGTGCCCTAACCTGTGGTCTCCTATGGTGTCTTTGACCCACCGGCAGCGTCTCGTCCTGCCATCCGAGCAAGCAACCAGGCCAACCTCCCTCCCTCCCTTCCCTTCCCCCCCTTAGTTGTTTCCTCTTTACCCCATCTTCCCTCCCCTCCCCCCCACCTCCTCCCTCCTTCCCCCCTCCCTCCCCCCCACCGGCAGTGTCTCCATGAAGGCCATCACCGCCTGACGTGAGGGCGGCAGCACGTACTGACCGTCCGGCTTGTTGATGTCGGAGCAAATCTGGGGGGCGGGGGGGGGCAGGCGGACAGGCGGGCAGGGGGGCAGGGGGGCGGGGGGGCGGGGGGGCAGGCAAGCAGGGGGCCAGGCAAGCAGGGGGCCAGGCAAGCAGGGGGCCAGGCAAGCAGGGGGCCAGGCAAGCAGGGGGCCAGGCAAGCAGGGGTGTGCCGGGTGCTTGTTGGTGTCAGAGCAGATCTGTGACGTGGAGGCAGGCAGGGGGGCAGGCAGGCAGGGGGGCGTCAAGGACTCTCCCCGCCTCTTTTCTTTCCTCCTATGGAATCGGTATGGTCGCTGATCCCCCCCTCCCCTCCTACCTTGGCCAGCATCTTGTTGGGCGCCACCCCCACACTGCAGGTCAGCCCCACCGCACCCCGCACCCGCACCCGCAGCTCACAGGCGGCCTGAGGGGAGCAGGGGGGTGGGTGGGCAGGGGGGGGCAGGGGCGGGTGGGCAGGAAGGGGGGCTCAGTTACTGCAAGCGGTTATGTTATGTCCATGGCGGCAAGATACCCGCAATGCACCAAAGACTCCTGCGTCAAGGACCCCTGCATCAAGGACCCCTGCATCAAGCCTTCCTCGTCTTCCCTGCTGCTCCCCTCCTCCCCAGCCAGCCTTCCCAGCCCCCAGCCCCCCGCACCTCCTCCCCCTCCCCCCCCCTCACCTGCCCCCCCTCAGTTTATCTAATCCCCCCCCTCACCTCCTCCCCGCTGCACCCCTCCTGGCGGCAGTAGTCCGTCACGTCCAGGTAGGCCTCGTCCAGACCGCCGGATTCGAAATCCGGATCCAGCTCCCGAAACACGGCACGAACCCGCTCCGCAACTGCGGTGTAGCGGGGGAAGTCGAGCGGCACAAACACAAGCTGTGGGGGTGGAAGGGAAGGAAGGAGAAAGCAGGGAGGGGGAGCGAGGGGGGACGGGAGGGGGGCGCAGGAGGAAAGGTGGTGGGGAAGGGAGAACATGAGCCCCGAAGAGGTGGAAACCCCCAGGTAGGAACGGAGCTGAACCCGGCGGCAGAAAACACGCAGCGGAGCAGCATCAGCGGCAGCATGGCAGCGGCGGCACAGCATGGCAGCGGCGGCACAGCATGGCAGCCGGAACCCACCTGCGGACAGAGCCGCTTGGCGATGAATCCCGGCATAGCGCTCCGTACGCCGTACTTCCTGGCGAGGTAGTTGGCGGTTGAGATCATGCCCATGTCGCCAACCGCCATGGGTAACCGCTTCTGCGGGGGGTTGGGTTGGTGCTGTGGGGTCGGTGTGTGCAGCTCGGGCGCATCCGTACGGCGTAGTTGTACAACTCCGACCCCTCCCTGGCTTGCCCTCCCTCACCAGCTTCCGTCGCTCCGCCTCCCCTCTGATCCCCCTGCCCTCATCTTCTGCCGGACGCCATCATCAACGGGTGTTCCTACGGTCATGGTCAGTGCTCCCTCCTTCGCGGCTTAGTTAAAATCTACCCCACCCCCTGCCCTCCCCCACCCCCTGCCCTCCCCCACCCCCTGCCCTCCCCTCACCAGCTCCGGCCGCTCCGCCTCATGCACCGCCGCGTAGAAGCAGTCCATGTCGGCGTGCAGCCAGGTGCGAGACAGGTCGCGGAGGGACTCCAGGTGCGCGATGCGGGAGTCCACGGAGCTGGGGAGGGAGGGGGAGGAGGTGGAGGGAAGTGGGGAGGAGGAGGAAGAGGAGGAGGGGAGGTCAAAGACCATACCGAAGGGAGGGGGGAAGAGGTGTAGTGTACGGTAGCTGGGCCGGCATAAGGCTGCTTTGCTTAGCTTTGCGGTTTCCTTCCTGACCTCCTAGCGCCTGACCTCCTAGCTGCCTTACCCTACCGTGTGGCTGCAGCCAGTTCCGCGGGGGTGAGCGCCTCGGAGCGAGCCCGCAGCCGCTCAATGCGAGCGGCAAGCTGGGCTTGCTTGCGCTGCTCGTTGCGGAAGTGCGCAGAGTCCTGAGGAGAGGAGGGAGGAGGGGAGAATACGGTACCCAATGTGTTGTTTGGGAATGGCAAACAAGACGACGAGCTCCCGGTGAATGGGAGCGATTGAATGGGAAGGGGAGGGAAAGAAGAGGAGGGAGGGAGGAAGGGGGAGGTGGCGATGGCTTGGGTGCAACTGCCGGGTAGTGTGGTTTTTGAATGCGGTACGTCAGGCTGTCAAAGACAGCTGCAGTACTTTGCGGCCTAGCATCGAATGCGTAGATTTAGCTTTGGTCGCACCTTGCTCATTTCGTAAACGACTTTTTGCACATATTCCTTGTCGACTCCCTCCATGCCCGCCTTGGCGTTTGTGAAGACGGTTTGGTAATCCTGCCATGGCGCCGGGTTATCTGGAGCGGGTCCACCGGCTGCCGGTGGCAGGGCTGGGTCCAATGCTAGGGGTGGGAATTTGTCCTTTGGGCCGGTGTCATGGTTAACTTGGGGCACAGGACTGGGCTCCATCCACGTTGCTGCTCAGCAGATGGGTCCGAGGGTCGCCTTTGCTTTCCTGACTCAGTTGAAAGAATGAACAGGCCCTGGAGAAAACGGAACCCCTATAAGGATTATGCCACCGCAAGACTCCCTGTAAAGTTCAGCGATAAGCTCGCCAAGCTCGCACCAGAGCATATTGTTTTAGGGGTTCATAGTTGCATAAAAATTAGCATATCTAAAAGTGATATGGAGTGTCTATCTTGTCCAGCAATGCAAGCTATAAACCAACGCTGTTGATGTTGGCCGGGTAAGTACGGCATTTTGTCAGGGGAACTCAGAGCCCCCTTCGCTTCCGAAGCCTGTTGCCACGTTAGCTCCCTGTTCCTTCCTCGTAGTTGCTTGCTAGACATAGCAGTCATGGCCATGCGTCTGGCACTCTCGAGGAGCCGTGGGCTGCTGGCCCCGGGCGCTCGCTACATGCGCACGTCGGCAGCCAACGCCTCCGCTGAGGGTAGGTTTATGAAATGCAGCTGCGGTAGCCATTTTTGACGTGAGCCGAATTCCTGATGCTTGCCACGTTACGCTCACACGCTGCTGTCCGGTACCAGCATTTATAGCTTGCAATGTAGATCAGTAGTTATTGAGTTTTGTAAGCGTAGGTGCTGGAAAGACTGGCGCGTTCTTGACTCGTTTGGGTGTCGGGCCGCCTCCGTGACCATCGCAAAACGTCCTGGTCCCCACAGGGAGCTCGGTGGCCGCCATGGTCAAGGCCGTGAACGAGAGCAGCGGCTCTAGCCTTCTGACCAGCCTGAAGGAGGCCAAGGCTAAGCTGCAGCCTTACTACCCGGAGCCCGCAGCGTCTGCTACCTGGTCGCTGCAGGCGCGTCTGGCTATTCTGGGTGTTATTTCCTGGACTCTGTACCGTCTGGATACCCAGGCCCGCGCGCACGAGTGGATTGTGGACCTTTCGCTGGACGTTCTCCAGGCGGCATGGTATGTCTCCTTCCTCAGCCTCATCCCCTTCCGCTCCGTCTTTGTGGCCTTCCGCAGCATGGCGCCCCACACTTCTGCCCCAATTACTGGCCTGCGCACGGCCATTACCCTGAAGCCATAAGCGCGATTAGCGCTTCCGACCTTTTGCTGGCATGAGGCCACATTGTGGCTAAGCCGCTTAGGAAAATAGCGTGGACAAAGGGTAAAATGGTTTATGTCGTGGATGAAGGGGACGGACAACTTGGGCGGTGTGCCTGCATCGCGGTTGTGCTAATTTAGGGCGCCGGGTCGAAGGCTGTCCGAGTGGGCTGGGGTTGGTCAACAGCGTGCACTTCAATGGGTGACGTGTCAACCTATGTGGTAGGTACGCACAAGGGGGCACTTCAATGGGGTGTGATGGCGGGTTTCGGGAACCATTGGTGTTGCCTAGGCGCGTAGCGGAACGCAAGCTGCGATATTTGGGTCCGGACAGCATGCGTCTGGCAAGTTCGCATGCTTAATGCGGCGGGGGTGTTCGTATTTTCCGGACAAGCCAGGTGCATTAGCTGCGGCTCATACTTCAGAGCAGCAGCCATGCGTGTTGAATGGACCTGGCGGGAAATCGATCATGTAACGCGCCTATGTTCATGTCTTTGGCTTCATGTTCATGGCTTTGGTGCTCCTGCCCGCGTGTTATCATGCACGGTAGAAGACTTGCGCACCTCGGGGTGATCATAGGGTGTACTAGCTCGTTCGTCCTCATTCGTTCATTCATTTGGGGCACATGTGGGGATATTTTGTACTGCCAGCAACACAGCCGCCTAGCAAGGCATGTTCCATCCCCGGCACTGCCCACAGGTCATGTAGGCGAACGGGTTTCATTAGTGGGGAAACTCAAAAGGAAGCAAATTAGGTTTTAGGTACGGCGGCACTTGAAAGCCTTTGGTAGGCCCCAAAGCCCCTCTCCTGCCCCTCGACGGTACGGCACGACAAACCGGCTTCGTGTCCTGCATGACACGCCAGGAAATTAGACTTGGATAGGAACAGCCGACAGGACAAGCAATGACATACGAATCAAATATCCAAAATGGGCCACCCAGGAAGGAAGCTGGGCTAGGAGACCCACACAGCGTACGACAATTAGGTAACGAAATACGACAAACATTTCTTGGCAGCATGATGCTAATATCTCTTGTATAGCTTAGGCAGGGGCCCCAATCACCGACTCCCTTTGAAGCCAAAAACCACTTGACCCGCGATAGAAAGGCATACACGCGTCGCGAGCCTACTCAGCTACGTTGCCAAGCATAAGGGTGTAGCGGGGCAGTCGCCGCAAGCGATACCCTGCTACGAAGGGGCCCGCCGCCGCTCCTCCTTTTGTCACCAACAATACGCACGGGCACACGCGACGGTAAGCACGAGGGAGGATAGGTTCGCCGGCAGATGCAGCTGAGGAGGAAAGGCAGCAGGAAAGCAAGTCAGGAAGTCAACGGCTCCTGCTGGTCCTGCAATGACTGGGCAACCAAACGCAGCGAACCTGGCACGCCAAGTAACCAAGGCAACTGCTGCTGCGACTCCGCAACAACCCCTTACGTAACCTAGATCGTAACACAACGTGCACCCTCGTAACCACAGCCGGCGTGCATTAACGGCAAGATGTGTGATTGTGTACGGCGCCACAATAGCCGTACAGCCCACTCTGCAAGCCTCAGGACAAGATACCTCTTGTCGTACATTCGTACGGACCGTACGAACAAGACACGATGACGTATTGCCCCAACAGGACAGCGACCCATCGCACAAATGCGCCGGAAACACCACTACCCACGTTTCCCACGGAATTCAAATACGTGTTCATGCGCCATACATGGGCATGAGAAACGTGCCTGCAGTGGTGTTTGCTTTGGGTGATGTTCATCCCTCAAGCTAAGCCCGCAGGGCTATTCCGCTCCATATCGTTTAATAGACCTCTCTCCCTCTCATCTCAGGCTCTTCCCTCTCACTACCCCGCCCTGAACTCCTGGTACAACCGCCGCTTCTGCTCTCTCGCGCCTGCTCCACTCTCTCGTCCGCTCCACTTTAAAGATAGAAAGGAGCAGTGCAGCCCCTCACTCGCAAACGGTAGTGGCGAACGGCAGTAGCAGCAGTGGCAAGGGCTGCAACCTTGCACGGCAAGGAACAGCCGTGTCGGCAACCCCTCTCTGACATCCCAGTCCTGGATACACCCCCACACCAATCCCCCTATGCAATCCACTACCAGTCCTTCCAACTCCGACCACAAACACACACCCGCTCACACGCACTTCATCATTCTTCCGACAGTCCAGTGCGCTCCTACTCGCGGCCAATTCTTTCCACGCACAATCCTCCCACGGTCACAGTTATTAGTGTTTCGCCAACATCGTACAAGTGTTCATTCATTCATCAGCTCACAGCAAGCAGAGGAAATTCGCTCTGTTGGCTCAACACTACATCCATGTTCGCCTCCAATACCAATCAACCCGCTCACGCACCCTCGGCTCCATCCCTCGGGAACTCCATTCTCCGGCAGTCGCTGTCACCATCACCATCACCGTCACCCCTATACTATCATGCTTGCGAGCTCAGCTCAAGATGTCTACAATTCAAGGCAAACCCTGCCCCTGCTGCTGCCCCCCTCCTCCTTGCCCCTGCCCCTGCTGCTGCTGCCCTCCTCCTTTCTGCCCCTGCTGTCCTCCTCCTTGCCCCTGCTGCCCCCCTCCCTGCCCCTGTCCCTGTCCCTGCCCCCCTCCTCCTCCCTGTCCCTGCTGCCTGTGTGCCCCCAAGTGCTGACCCACCACCCGCACCAGATCCTCCACGCGGAAGGGCTTGGTCAGCCAGCCGTCGAAGCCGGCAGCCAGGCAGCTGTCACGTGTGTCCTCGAACGCATCAGCCGTCACCGCAACCACACGACAGCGCCTGAGAGGAGGGGGTGGAGGGTGAAGAAGAAGGTTATCCAATGTGTTGTGTGTTGGCGTGGTAAACTGGGTGACAAGCCCTGGTGGGCGGGTGGGTGGGTGGATGGGTGAGTGGGGTAATGTGCATACCGGTGGGGGGTTACTCGCAAGGTTGGAATGGTGGGGTGGGGGTAGCGGAGAGCTGAGGGAGGCACGGCTGTGGGAAATACGGCAGGACGTGATCACATGAACGAGTCAAGGTACGAATGGCAGCAGAACCAGCGGTGTCCAACTGTTCAAACCAAATCCAAGCCAACCCCCTCACCTGTTGGGGTACCTCGCCCGCAGAGCCCCATCCTACCCCTTCCCCCTTCCTTCTTCTAGTTGTTGCGCATTCACCCTACCTCCTCCTTCCCCTTCCCCTTCCCCTTCCGCCTTGCCATACCGCTCCTCCGCCTCCTCCACCTCCCCTCCCTCCAGCCTAATGCATGACACGTATCCCCACTAATCCCCCTCCCTCCCCTCATGGTTCGTTAGTCGTTTCCGCCCCTCTTCCTCCCCTCACCTGTTGGGGTACCGTACCCCCATCTCCGCCACCGCCTCCATGCCCCCCATCAGCGGCATGTGCAGGTCCATCAACACAAGGTCGAACCAGTCCACACCGCCCCGCGCCGAAACCGCTTGTAACGCCTGCAACCCGTTCTCCGCGGTGGTCACGTGCGCGGAGGGTAGCGTGCGCTTCAAAATGCCCAGAGCCACCTTCATGTTGATCGGGTTGTCCTCGGCTAGCAAGATGCGAACCCCTGCTCCGACTGCTCCCCCTGTTGCTGGGGGTCCTGCCGCTGCTGCTGATGCCGAAGGTCCGCATGTGAGGGCGGTGCCAGCAACAGAAGCAGCAGCAGTAGCGGTAGCAGCAGTAGCAGCACTGCCGCCGCCGCCGTCGCCGGCGGCGATGGCTATAGAAGCACCGCAGCTGCTACTGCTGCCACTGCTACTCCCGCCGGCAGCGATGACCCATGGGTCACACGGGGCGCAGCTGCTACTACACCCGCCGGCGCCGCGGCCGCCTGCGGCGGCCGCCGCCGCAGCTACGTTGCTCAGGCTGTCGAGCTCCGCCGTACTGCCTGACTTTTTGACGGGCGCGGGTTTTAGGGAGGAACACAGGGAGGAAGAGGAGGTGGAGGGCGACGGGTGGGGATGCCGGTGCATTTGCGTCGCATGCTGGTGGTGGTGGTGGTAGTGGTGGTGGAGATGGCAGCGGCCGCCTTCGCAGCTAACTCTTGTAGCAGTTGGCCCTGCTGCCGCAGCGCATCTAACGCCGCTGCCGTTGCCGCCACCGTCCTGCAGCAACGAATCGGCGGCGGCGGCAGCGGCGGCGGTGGATGTCACCGTCGTCGCCGCCAGTTCCGAGCCGCTAGGGAGGTGAACGCCTGAAGCGTGTTGCGAGCAGATGTGTTGCTGCTGGCTATTGCCCCCGTAATGCTGGTTAGAACAGTGGTCACATGCTTGCGAGTGTGAGGGAGGGGGTTGCGGTTGTTGGTGGTTGTACGGCGACTGGCTCCGGTGCGGTGACGGCGGCGGCGGCGGCGAATGTGACGACGCGCTGCAGCCCTGATGGGACGCCGCCGCCGCCAACTGCAGCGGTGCTCCTGCCGGGGGGTGCGGCACCTCCGACGCCGCCGGAAGCTGCGTAAGCTCATCCGACGTGTACGGCAGTTCGTTGCTGCAGTGATTGACACCGCCGGTGCCGGGGCCGCCGCCGCCTCTGGTGGCAGTCACCAACGATCGCAGCGGCAACACCGGCGGCGGATGTGATGGCAGTGCCACTAGCGCCTCCTCCTCTCCGTCGTCGCTCCAATAGCCCTAATAGGCAGCAGGCAACGGTCATGCGTAAGGAATGAAAGATCCAAGAAATTGTCTTATTGAAAGCAGAATACCTTAAGTAATCAGTAGGCCCAGTACAACCTGCGCCGTTAGACCCAACAAAAATGTACGCCTGGCAATGTCGTACGAATGACGCGTCGTGTCGTTCAGTTCATTACATATCGTACGGCATCCATGTACGGCAAGACAGGTACGGCAGTCCTCACCTGGTGGTGGTGGCTGCCGGGCACCCCCACATCCAGTTGCATCATCAGCACCTCCTCCAAGGCCAGCTTCAACCGCCCCTGTCGTACAGGCCGCGTGACCGTTACATATCCCAACTGCCGGTTCTGGGGCTTACTCATCTCCTCCGTCACCGCGCGCGGCGGCCGCGCCGTCACATCTGCCGGCAGCATCTCCGTAAAATCGTACGACAGCGCCTGCGTCGGTGCCGCCGCCGCTGACGTCTTGCCGCCGTCAGTGGATGGACATTGCTGCGGTGGCAGCACCGACACCGCCGCCGCCGAGGAAGGACCACAGTCGTCCAGGGTGTTGTCACAACCGCCGCCGCCTGTACCGTCGTCAGCACCGCCGCCGCCAACGACGTTGCCCAACGAACGAGTGTCATCAAGGGCAGCTTCATTAGAGCCGCAAATCGGCGGTTCAATCGCCGATCCTACACAGCAGCCCTCCTCGCCGCCTTGCTGCTGCCAGTGCTTAGCCTGCTGCTGCCCTTCCTCCTCCTCCCCCTTCTCCTCGCTCCCATCGTCCTCCTCCTCCTCCTCCTCCTCCTCGTCTTCAGGTTCGTTCTGTCCAGGCCACCCAAGGAACACCAACCGCTGAGCCTCGCGATCGTCAGCTCGCGTCAGTGCACGAAGCAACGACGTATCCTTCATGTCCAAAATTACAATGTCGTACGGCCCCGGCGTGTCGTACAACACTGGATCCAACGCCGCGCTAACGGTATGCCGTAACGACATGCTACGCTGCCGCCGCGACGGCGCCGGCTCCCGCCGCGGCGGCGGCGCAAGCGCCTCCGCCAGTGTACCGCAGGCGATGAGTTGTCGTACGGCATCTTGCTCCGACGCCACGGCGCATACGCGGCATCCCCAGGCGCGTAACGCCAGGATCAGCACTTGCCGTACCATCTCACATCGTTCGACGAGCAGCACTCGCTTACCGCGAAGCAGCGGCAGCGCCGCCGACGGATCGCCGCCGCCGGCGAGCCCCGAGGCGATGGCGGCGGCGGCGGCGGCGGTGCTAGTGCTGGCGGAGCCGCCGTCGCCGCCGCCAGTGCCGCCAGTGCTGTGGAAGATGGGTGACGCTAGGATGTCGTACTGGCTAATGGAAGATGCGCCGCCGCTTGCGCTGTGGCGGTGACCCTCGCGACATGCGGAGCCCGACGCTGAGCCGACAGAGGACCCTGTGGCTGAGCAAGAAGACCAGGGCAGCGGCGGCGGCGGGGCCGGCGCCGTCGCACCGGTGGAGGAGATCGCGCTGACGCTGCGTTGCAAAGCGCCGCCGCCGCCGCCGTTGTTGTTGTTGACGCCGCCGCCGCCGTCAGCACTAAGCGCCGACGTTGACACCACCCCCGACAGGTCCTGAGATACCTCCGAACCCTGAACGGACGTCGTATCGTACTCTTCATCTCCCTGCAGCCTGTCCGCCGCCGCCGGCGGCAATGCACCCACACCTGACGTCAACATCACCGCCGCCGTCGTCGCCGTGGTTCCGCCGCGAGCGTTCCGGCCGTACTGCTGCCGTACAACCGGCGCCGTCGTTATCGTACTACCACTGCCGCCGCCGCCGCCAGCAACGGGCGCTCGCGACACGCATACGAGCGACGAGCGGCGTGTACGGCGCTTGGCGGCGGCGCCGTACTGCGGCAACCTGCATGTGATGGTCCAACTGAAGGTGCTGCCGCGGTTGAGTCCCTCCGATTCGACCCACATGTGGCCGCCCATGGCCTCGCACAGCTTACGGCTGATGGCCAGCCCAAGGCCGCTGCCACCGTATCGCCGGGTGGGGGAGGCGTCGACCTGAGGGGGGGAAGGGGGGGGCGGAAGGAAACCGGTAATGAGGATGACCTTACCATGCCAACACTGACAAGGAAATAAGGGCAGCGGGATTAGGGGGTGGGAGTTGAGGGCATTGCAGTACCGGCGAGGCTGGGAAGCACGGCCTTGAACGCCAGCCTTGCGACCATCCTTCCTTTCTTCCGCCGCACATACGGTACGTACACACATACCTGTGTGAAGGAGTTGAACAGGCGACCAAGGTCAGCGGGCGCGATGCCAATCCCCGTGTCACGAACCGAGAAGCGAAGCACCAGCAGCGGCCACTCAGACTCGGGACCTGCCGAGGCGGTGGCGGCGGCAGTGGAGGCGGCAGCAGCCCCCGCCGTCGCGGTAGCGGTTGACGTCGCCGCTGGCTCCGTCGCCGCCGGCGCGACCGCCGCTGGTGGCGGCGGCGGCACCGCCGACGCCTCCAAGGAAGGAGCAGCAGTGGCGGAGGTGGAGGTAGCGGCGGCTGGCGGCGCCGCCGCCACGGCTGCCGCCGCTACCGCATTAGGCGGGAAGATGCCCAGCGGCCACACCTCTAGGAGCAGCTCCCCTGCGGGGCGCCAGCAGGGGGAGAAAGTGGGTTGGCAGTAGGGGTGGGGTGGAGCGAGTATGACACAGGAAGTGGGCTGGCAGTAGATGGGGCTGGACAATTACCGTGAAGTGAGGGGTAAAGTGAGAGATAGAGCGAATATGACACGCATGAACCCTTTTCACTGTGTGTGCTTCTGCCTCTCCCAGCCTTTTGATGGACACCGCCATCGCCCCTTCCCCGCAACCCGCCCCAGCCCACCACCACCACCACCGTAACCAGATTAACCACCACCACCACCACCAAAACTCCCGAACTCCCAACTTACCCTCCTCTGTAAACTTGATCCCATTGTTCAAGATGTTCAACAAGATCTGCTGCAGCCGTTGCGCATCTCCGTACAGCGTCCTTGGCATGTCGTACGCTAGGTGGTAGGCCACCTGCAGCCGCCGCTGAGCCGCTTTGAGTCCCGCGATCTCCATGGCCGCTTCGATGACGGTGTCCAGCTGGAAGGAGGAGGGGTGCAGAACCATCTTGTTGGCCTCAATACGGGAGAAATCCAGGATGTCTGGGGGAGAAGGGTGAAGCGGGGGGTAAAGCGGGGAGAAGAGGGGGAAGTGAGGGGTAAAGCGGGGGGAAACGTGTGTGTTTTCGTGGGAAGGAGGGATGCAGAACGCCATGTCTTGTCGACCTTGTTGTTGAGGGTAAGGATGGGCGGGCGTAGCCGATTGTGGGCGGGACGGTGGCTTACGAGTGACATAAGATGGCTGAGGACGTCAAGGCAGGGCAAAAGGAGTGTCGCTTAACCCAATTACCCCCTCACTCCCTCCCTCCAACACCCTCCTTTCCCTGCCTCACCCGTTATTAGCGTGAGCAGGGTTTCCCCCGAGCACCGAATCGTGTTCACCAGGTCCCACTGCGCGGGCGTGAGGGCTGTGTCAGCCAGCAGCTGGCCCACCGCTATCATGCCGTTTAGCGGCGTGCGGATCTCGTGACTCATGCGCGCTAGGAACTGCGACTTGGCCTCCGTGGCAACGGCGGCCTGGCGGGGAGGGAAAGGGGGGGTTGAAAGATGAATAGCCAATGTGTTGGGGAGGGGGGGCAAAGGAAAACCCAAACCACACGTGAGGACGGGGGCGGGAACGGGGTAGGACAGTGGAAGAGATAGTAACAAAAAATCATGAACGCGTGTCAAAGCACGGGGAAGCATGCGGGGGCATAGGGCACAGAAACAGGTACCTGCAGCATATCTCTCTTAAGTCTCCACCCCACAGGGCCCAATGTAGCAACCGCTGGTGAAGCCTCGCGTACAGCTCGTCAGCTCGTTTTCTCCTTACCCCACCTCCATGTCCCTTAACACCCCCCCCACCTTCCTCCGCCCCACCTGCAGTCCCCATTGTCCCTGTGCCCAAACCTGTCGTTTCCTACGGTTCGGTATGGTCTTTGACCCCCCACCTGCAGTGCCGCATGCTTTGCCGCCAGCTCCGCCTTCTTGTGGTTGACCAGCTCCGTGATGTCGGACTGCACGCCCACGTAGTGTGTCAGCCGGCCGGAGGCGGTGTCGTGGATGGGCGTGAGGCTGAGGTAGTTGACGAAGGGCTCGCCGTTCTTCTTGTAGTTGAGGAGCTGCGCGAAGGGGGAGTGAGGGAGAGGAGGGAAGGGGTGAGGAGGGAAGGGGTGAGGGGGGAAGGGGAGAGGAGGGAAGGGGTGAGGAGGGAGAGGAGGGAAGGGGTGAGGGGGGAGAGGAGGGAAGGGGTGAGGAGGGAAGGGGTGAGGGGGGAAGGTGTGAGGGGGGAAGGGGTGAGGAGGGAAGGGGTGAGGAGGGAAGGGGTGAGGAGGGAAGGGGTGAGGAGGGAGAGGAGGGAAGGGGTGAGGAGGGAGAGGAGGGAAGGGGTGAGGAGGGAAGGGGTGAGGAGGGAAGGGGTGAGGGGGGAAGGGGTGAGGAGGGAAGGGGTGAGGAGGGAGGGGGTGAGGGGGGAAGGAGAGGGCAGTGGGGAGCAGGGGAGCGAAAGGTACCTATATGTGCGATCTTCCTCACGGCCTGTGTTCCATCATCATCCATATTTCATCATCAACACAGCGGCTCATTGAAGCGTCCCCACCTGTACGACACACACCCTCCCCACCTGTACGACACACGCCCTGCCCGCCGCGATCGCCTCCCTCAGCTCCCGCACCGGCTGGGCGTCCGTGCCCTCCCCCTGCAGGAACCTGAGGGAGGAGGGTGGGTTGTGCCGTGCATGCGGTGGTTATTTGGCTAATGCATTCCCAGCGGGCTGGACTTGTTAGGCTGGACTACGAAACCCAACCCATACACACGCCCCACCTGCAGTTCTTGCCCAGCACGAAGGAGGTGGAGTATCCGGTGGTGCGTACGAACCCCGCGTTGGCGTAGATGAGCGGCATGTCGGGGTGAGAGCAGTCGGCTATGGTGATGCCCTCCTGAGGTGGGCGGGGGGGGGGAGGAGGGCATGGCAGAGCAGCGGGGGTTGCGTGTGAGGGGAGGGGAAGCGAGGATTGCAGAGGAGGTGGGGTTAGGAGGAAGGGCTGCAGAGGGTGTCTTTCATGTACGGCAGCGAGTAACAAGGTTAAGAGCACCCAACCCATGTTGGAACCCCAAAGCTTGCTGCCACCTCATGTAACCCTCCGCCTACTAATCGAAAGAATGAACGCCCCCTAGAGGTACTATTACACCACTCGCCCTGTCCACCCACCCGCTACCCGCTACCCAGTCCAGTCCCGTCCTCCCAAACCGCCACAACCACCACCACGCGCATGTACGGCAGCCACCACGCGCATGTACGGCAGCCACCCACCTGCAGTACATCCATGGCCTTCACCTTGAGCAGCAGCAGCTCGTACTCCCGCTTGCTGATGGTCACGTAGTCCCCCCCGCCACTGCCGCTACCGCTACTCCGACTGCCGCCGCTGCGACTGCCGCAAGACGTGAAGTGCCGCACAGCGCCGCCGCTGCCGCCGCCAGCATGCCCCCAGTCGGCAGGGGAGTCGGTAGTAGTCAACGTTGACGTCGGCGGGCATGTCGTCGTCACCGCCGTCACAGCCTCCGGCGGCGGCACCGCCGCCGCCGTCCCGGCGGCCGTCCAGCCGCCTCCTGACGGAGGCGACGTGGCAACACCGCCACCGGCGGCGGGCCCATGCGCCTGTACGGCAGGACAGGACACCTCCGCTGCCGTCGCCGTGAGGTCCAGCGGCATCCCCCCAATAGAGCCCGCCGCCGTCGCCAACCCCTCGGCGTAGGAGGGGCAGCGGCGCCAGCCCGGCCCCGCCGCCGCCGCCGCTGCCGCCATCGAGTGCATCAATCCAGGTGCCGCCGTGCCCCCGACGACGGCGGCGGCGGCGGCGGGAGGGGACGGCGTCTCAAGCCAGCAAGCGGAGGAAGCGCCGGTACCGGGTCCCAAGCGAGTGGAGGCGGAGGCGGCGGAGGTGGAGAAGAAGGTTGAGCAGGTGAGCTCGACGGCGGAGGCGACGGCGGAGGCGGCTCGATCGCCCTCCTGACCAGTGCATTCGCCACTGCAGCGCTCGCTGTCAGCTCTATCGGCATGAGCAGCAGTTGTCCTCGAACTGCATGACGACGCCGCGGCGGCAGTAGCGGAGGCGGAAGCCGCCGCTGCCGCCACAGCAGCCGTCCAGGGCGACGGCGACGTCGCCTCCGCCGCCGTACCCCTATCCACTGCCGTACCTGCTGCTTCTGCGACGTCCACGTTCCCGCCTGCGTTACCGGTACCACCGCTAACATGACACCCAGCCCCCAGCGCCGCACTAGCAACACCGCCAACCACCACTCCCTCTCTCCCGCCTCCTCCTCCCCAGCCATCGCGGTCGCCGTCGCCGCCCCTGCAGCTGGCTGCTGCCTGCACAGCCGTACAACCCTCCTCCTCCCCCGCAGCCTCCACGCCTACTGCTGCTGCAGCCGTACCACTCCCCACGCCCCATGCACCATGGCGCGCCGTCGCATCAGCGCCCCCCCACCGCACATCGCCTTGTTCTCCTGCTCCTCCTGCTCCCTCCTCTCTTACATCCCACTGCGGCTGCGCCCAACACGACCCCGCCGACGCCGGCACCTCCCATGCTCCCTGCTCCTGCTCCTGTTCATGCTTTATCTGCAACTGCTGCTGAAACTGCAGCTGTTGCTGCTGCAGCTGTTGTTGTTGCTGCTGCTGTGCCGCCGCCGCCGCTGCTGCAATGCACTGCTCCAGCTGCTGCTGGCACAGGTCCGCTCGGTGGCGCTCGCGCTTGAGCGCCTCCTCCAGCTCCGCCACCCGTTCTTGGAGGGAGCGGATGGTCTGTGCCTTGGTAGGGGGTGGGGCGGGGGTCGGGAAGGAGGTGTGTGGTGAGGCGGCAAGCACACGGGCTCATCGGGCAATTGGGGCCTCAGAAGGCGGTTTGGCGGTTGGGAAGGGCCTAAGGGAGTAACACATGGTAGGGTGTGACATGTGAGGACGAGCAGGGGTTTTGGGGATGCGGTGTGGGTATAAGGGTAGGGGATGGTTTCGGAGTAAGGTGCGTCGAGGCACCAAGACGGCAGAGCTGTGAGGGAGGCGAAGGCCCTCTAGCAAGTCTTCCCAGTTGAGTTTGGATAAGGATTTGGCAATCCTCACACAGGCCGAAGAGCTGTTATAGAAGCGTGGATTGGCTACTTACATAACCTGCGCCTAGGTATGCAAGGTTACTTTGCAAGCGTGCACGGCAACGCGTCGATTGTCGCCTATTCGCAGTGACGAGGTAGATAAGTTCGCGTCGCATACCTGCTCAGAGATGCCGCTAATATACGGGCTTGATGGAGTGTCATAGTTAAGTCGCGAACCGCCGCTAGTAGCGCGCCCCTCGCGCAAGTAGAGAGAGGCCATACACGTGGCCGACCCGGCAAAAGACCGGCGCCGGCCTTACTGACACCAGCAGCGTCTAAAGTTATCCAGAGCGAATTGAACGCGGTGCTGCCAGCCCCCGCGAGCCGGGGGAGGCACCACCAGCTATGCAAGAGTAGGTCGCTTCAAGGTGCGTGCTTACAATTGGAAATGATTTGCTAACTATGAAGCCTAATGGATCTAATTGTAGCTGTACTTCCCTGCGGATAAATCCTTAACTGCGCACATATAGCGAATGGAGCTTATCCACTGGAGGCCCTGAACCGTCTTAGTGACAAGGATTGTAAGCGCCTACCCAAACGTTTCAAACATGTGCGCAATGGACTTGCCATGCGTCGCTGCGACCGAGGCCCAGAGCCACAGGCTCACAATCCGTACGCGACCGTACGGGTGCGACCAGCTCATGGAACTATAATATCTCTCTCAAGCAAAAATCGCGTATAAAGCTGGGTTCACATACGCTATAGCTCTTGCGGTGACTAATTGTTACTATCTTATTCGGCCCCCTTCAGAACGCAGCCCCATTCTCAGGCACATCAGCACTTGGGCAAACTCTTTGGAGCTTACATTATGCATTTGAGAGTCTAACCATACGTAATGCCCATTTAGCAGAGATTCAACCAAAGTATCCCTGAGCTGGGTAAACGTTCACCGAATGGGACATGGTCATCTGCTAAGACATATCTTCAATGCCAATTTAGGCCGGTTGCAACAAACCATTGAGCTTTAGCACTGCACACGTAAAGCATACTTGTGCAGGAGCGCTTTGTGGAAGTGCCAGGGGACAGTTTAAATGTGTCGTTCCACCTCATCAGGACCTACAGACATGTTGCATAAATCCTTTACGACAGGGCTATGACTTGGTTTCCGAGATATCGTCTGGAGCGGGACCCAAAATGTGGCGGCGCTGATCCAAGTCGAAACCAGTTTGACTCCGTACTCCGTATGGTCTGTCGTTGTAGAATTCCTACAACGGCAAGAGTGTGGAAACCTGTTATTTCAGGCGTGAGCCAGTAAGAGCCGAACCTCTGTCTAGGAACCACACCCTTCGGAACTTTGTAAGCATGCGTACCCTACACGGAAGCGCGCACGGCGCTAGGTGCACTGTTCCGCAAACAACAACTGCAGCGCCCCAGTTGTCAATTCGCCGCTTGCGTGGTGCAGTTCGCGCTGCCGCCTCCGCCACCGCGCCAGCACCGTCAGCGTCGGGCTCCCCCTTGGCAAACAATGGCGCAGCCGTGGATTGGCACCTTCAAACGCTAAAGCACGTAGTGGATTCTGGCCAGTTTAACCGCGCGGCGGTTGACGTGGTCTTCAATGAGGCTTTGAAAATGGAGAAGGTCCGCCCTGGCACACCCGAATCCAAGGTGCTCGACGGTTTCATCATGTCGACGCTTTTCTATGAGCCTTCAACGCGCACACGGCTGTCTTTTGAGTCCGCTATGAGCCGTCTCGGTGGCACCGTGCTGTCCACCGAGTCTGCTGGCGAGTACTCATCCGCTGCCAAGGGCGAGACGCTTGAAGGTGCGACAACCCCCAAGCTCCACTCTAGCGCTGACCTTTCTCTCTTTACTGCTTTCCTTTTAAAACGGTTTCATAACACCACAGGCACACCTTTTAGATGCTCCGCATGGGTCATGCCCGGGCTCATGGCAATGTCCACCACCACCCTACCATTATTTGAAGGACAGCTCAGCTAAGCTACCTTGCCTTCCTTCTTGCCCACACTTCCTTCCTTCCCACCCAGACACTGTTCGCACGGTCGAGGGCTACGCGGACTGCATTGTCATCCGCCACTTCCAGGAGGGAGCGGCCAAGCGGGCGGCCGCGGTGGCCTCCGTGCCCATCCTCAACGCGGGAGACGGACCCGGGCAGCACCCCACGCAGGTGGGAGGCGGCAGGAGGCGGCAGTGAGGCACGGGGGACGGTAATGTGCCGCAGGGTGTACCACAATGGACTGGGCTATTAGGGAGGGCAGCGGCATGTGGAAGGGAGGGAGAAAGCAGCAGGTGGAAGTAGTAGCATCTCCCAATTCCGTTCAACCCCCCCCCCCAAGTAATTTGAGATGCGTGTTATTAGTGCCTCCGAATGCGCTCACTGCATGAGTCGGGATATGGGATTGGGATTTGTTGTTTCACTTTTATATCATTTTTCCCCCCCACCTACCCTCCTCCCCTCCCCGCCCTCCCCCCCCAGGCCCTGCTGGACCTGTACACCATCCAGCGCGAGATCGGGCGGCTGAGCGACATCAAGGTGGGCATGATCGGCGACCTGGCCAACGGCCGCACCGTGCGCTCGCTGGCCATGTGCCTCTCCATGTACGACAACGTGCAGCTGTACTTTGTGGCGCCGGAGGTGGTGCGCATGCGGGACGACATCAAGGTGGGAGGGGGGGTCGGGGATGGGGAGGGGTAGGGGAGGGGTTAATTTGGAAACAGAATCCGCAGTACGCTGGGTTCTGTAGGGGAGGGGTAGGGGAGGGAGGGTGGGGCGAGGGAGGGAGGGTGGAGGGGTTGTGGGGTTACCGGTGTCAGAGGAACGGGAGAGTCGGGAAGCTCATCTCTGTGGGGCCCCGAGGTCAAGCATTACATGGGCCTGGGGCCTCTAGGTTGGATGGTCATGAAAGTCGTGGTGTATGACCGAACGCTTGCCTCCTACTATCAATTCACCCCCTATCGTCCTCTCCCCCCCCGAAGTCCTACCTTACTGCCCGGGGTGTCAAGTGGACGGAGGTGTCGGACCTGCGGGAGGTGGCGGCGGACGTGGATGTGCTGTACCAGGTGGGGTAAAGACCGAAACATAGGAAGCCACGGGTTGGGGCAAAGGAATAGGGATAGGAGGCGGCAGGGTGCTGTACCAGGTGGGGGGGGGCGGAGAGGTGGGGTAAAAAATAAGGAAAACTGACGAACTGGGGGGGGGGGGGGGGGTAAGCACCGAGGGCATAGCACAGCGGAAGGGGGAGCCGGAGGAAATTGCCGGAGGAACCCGTTACAGACCCTGCCGCCACTGCAGGGTCCCACTCCCCCATTCCCTCCCTCCACCGCTCCTCCCACACATTCCCCCCTCCCACTTCTCCCTCTTCCCCCCCTCCGCCCCCGCAGACCCGCATCCAGAAGGAGCGCTTCCAAGACATGACCTCCTACGCGGCCGCCAAGGGCAAGTACATCATCGACCGGGAGGTGATGCGGGCGCTGCAGCCGCATGCGGTGGTCATGCACCCGCTGCCCCGAGTGGACGAGGTGAGCAGGGAGGGGGCGGAGAGGGGGGGGGGGGAAGAGGGGCGGGTCGTCTGGTTTTTGTTCTCAATCAACGCATTGGGAATTCTTCCTTTTCCCCCCCTAACCCTAACCCTTACCTGTGGTTTCTCCCTTGCTGCCCCCTCCCTTCCCCTAACCACCCCCTCCCCAGATCACCACCGATGTGGACAGCGACCCTCGCGCCGCCTACTTCCGCCAGGCGCGCAACGGCCTCTACGTGCGCATGGCGCTGCTGAAGCTCTGCCTGGCGGACGGGCGCAGCGACATCCGGCTATGAGGGGGCGGGGTGGGGCAGATCAGCAGCCTGGGGGGGGGGCAGGGTGGGGCAGGGCAGCAGCCTTCGAAGGGGCTGGGCAGCGCAGGGCAGGAAGCTGTGAAGGGGCAGGGCAGCAGCCGCGGAGGAACCTGTGAGGCGTCATCGCATCCCCTGTACGGACGGGCGGCAGCAGCAGTGACGGTAGGAGTACCGTCCTCTTCTGGGTTGACCCATCCCTGTTGTGTTGGGCTGTGTTGAGTTCATGGGGCACAGCAGACGGAAGGACAGCAGCAGCGACGGCAGTAGTAAAGCGGTGTCTGAAGCATGGACATGCATGACGACAGGAAGCCGGTGGACTCGCAGAATGTGCAGCACAGCGACGTATGCAGCTGCGTCCCCTGCGGATTGCGGAGCTGCGATGATGGAATTTGAGGAAATTGAGGAAGAGAGGGAACCGCACGGGCACTGTAGTAGTTGGGTAAAGCAAGGGCACATTGATTAGAGTGGTACTGTAATAGATGTAAGCTGGTGCCAGTGGTAGTTGTTGCGGCAATGCGCTGTTTTTTGTTGGATGGTTCTCGTTGGGAGTTTGGTCCGGGTTTGAAAGTTGGTTGTGAGGAAGCTAAAGGAGGAAAGCGGCGAAATGAGTAGGAGGGGATCTTCTTTTGGCATGGCTTTGTGGCCGTGCTAAGTTCCGTTGCGGGCGCGTTTCCACATTGACTTTTACAGTCAACCTTACCGTTGTACCTGACATCGTCAACATGTCCTGTCCTGTCGGGCACTCGCAGGCGCCCGGGCCCATGCACCCTGCGTCGCAGCGGCGGCCAGCAACCGCAAGCTTTTAGACGTGGAGATGTGTGAGGGGAAGGTTTACTTGCAAGAGTGCAGTAGATTTTGTGCAGTAGGACGTTTTTGACCGAGTATTCGGCTACCTTTGTAGCAAGATCCAAGAAAGAGTGCATACACCCCTGCAGGGGACGGCTGGAAAGGTAGGGGAAGTTTAAGCTAGGGCGCAGCCAGTCAGTCAGTCCTCCGCCCTTGTATAGCGGTGAGCGCACATGCGCACAGCTGTGTCGCGTTTCCTGGCGTGCTGCTGAGCTCTAGTAACGGAAGGAAGAATGCATTGGTTGGGGAAGAATAGGAAGTATTGCTGTTGGGACAGGTCGGGATACGCTGGTTGACGGTTTAGCAGGGGGTGCAGCGGCTTTGTGTTGCTGCTGTGCCTGCTAGTTTTCGGCCTTCCTGGACGTGTGAATGAAGCACACTGCGCCGGAAGGTTCTCAACAGATTGACGTGGGTGATGTCGTATGTCGTGCGACGCTGTGCCGTACATTACGGCGACCGGGACCGGCAGAGATGCACTTAGCCCAGCCCTGCGGTGTGTTGACCAATCCTAGATAGCTTGACGATTAGGAGAGTGTGTGGAGAATGGGGGCGGAACCTGGCGGAACTTTTATAATATAATACTGGTGTTCCAAGTTCAAAATCCTCCAGCACACCACATGCAATTGAAAACCTAACCGTACTTAACACCAGTAAAACATTTGCTATCATGCCCCTGCTGTAATGTCCAAACACGCTGATGCCATCACCTCTGCAAGAAGCAACTGTCGCGTATATCGAACTGTTAACACCTGCACATTTGCCTATCTCTCCCTTTGCGCTGTGCGCTGCGAACCACTCGAGAGCCGTGTGCACACGACAGTAATACACCTGTATACGCCGGTGTTAGCGTCCATTCTCACGCTGCATCGCACAGTGCCCAACGTGCCTATCTACCTCCTAGCTGCCTCCATGTGCCTCCTGATGCTGCAACACCATAACTAGTTACTAGTCGTACATCCAACCTCTGCCGTACACGCAAAATACTCCACAACGCTGCCGTACCATAAAGGCAACGGATGTGTTAGACGCAGACGCAAAAAATTGGCTTTGCCTAATCATCCCAGCCAGTTCAACCTGCACTGCTATCCGCCCGCGTCTCTCATCCACTCCCACAACCGCCACTCCTCGTCTCCTTACCCGACTCGCCCTCTCACCTTCCCTCAGCCCTCAACTCACCCGCTTCACACAAAGCATCAGCGCGTCGGGACCTCCCTCGTTTTACCCCGCACGTTCAGCTGTTGCCCCTCTCCACTCCTTCGTTGCTTACACCACTTGCCGTTGCCCTCCTTAATCACATCACCCCGTGTTACAACCCCCCTACCACGCCATCGGCGCATTCCACAACCGCCTGCCACCTCCTCATCTTACACCGCGCCTCACCGCAGCTCCACCTTGAGCTCCGAAGCCACCTGCTGCCGTACCCGCTCCTGCAACGCGTTGATCTCCTCGTCCGTCAGCGACCGTTCCATGGAGCGGTAGGTGATGCGGAAGCAGTTGGAGGTACGGCCGGTCTTCTTGTTGGTGAAGGTATCGATGCAGGTCACCTCCTCCACCAGGTCTCCGCCGATGTTGCGAACCAGCTCGCACAGGTTGTTCTCGCTGAACTCGGGAGACACCCAGAAAGCCATGTCCTTGTAGCAAGCCGGGAACTTGGAGTAGGGCTTGAAGCGCGCGCTGAGGTCGCCGGCGCGGAATTGTTTGAGGAAACGGTCGTCGTTGGACCAGAAAAGTCGGATGTCGGGAACGTCGAAGAGGACCATGGCTAGGCGCTCCAGGCCGAGGCCGAAAGCCCAGGCTTTGTGGCCGGGCTTGTAGTTATCGTCGAGGATGATTTGCTGCATGACGCCGCAGCCGAGGACTTCTAGCCACTTGCCCTTGAAGAAGATTTCCAGCTCAAAAGAGGGCTCCGTGAAGGGAAAGTAGGCATCAATCCATCGGCACTCGACGTCGCCAAAGAGGTGCTTGGCCAGGCCTTCGAGGGCGCCTTTCAGGTCTTTTTCAGCTAGCTGGGTTGCTGTGAGGCCCGCAGCGGTCCACTCGTGCTCGCTGAACACGCGTACGCCCTCCATTTGATGGAAGACTGGGTAGTGCGTGGCATCGATGGAGTCACGGCGGTAGACGTCGCCGGTGACGAGGAAAGCGGGGTGGCCGGCGCGCAGGGTCTCAGCCTGGTGGGCTGAGGTGTGGCAGCGCAGCACGGTATTGGCGTTGACGTAGTAGGTGTCATTGGGGCTGCGGCTGACATGGTCCGCAGGGACGAGTACTTCGTCGAAGTTAGCCCGTGTGCTGACGATGGGGTACCGGTCGTCGAACTTCTGGAACAACCCTGGGTTACGTGACTCGAAGTAGTCGTAGATGGCCTGCTTTATTATGCCGATGGGATGGTCCGCTTGGCGATGGAGGTCCATCCCCATTTTCTCATAAATATAGTCCGTAACATTGTTGTCAGGTGAACCTGTGATCACATCCTCACGCCTTGGCTTGCCAGTCTTCAGTTCTACTGGCGCGGCGACGCAAGCAGGTGCCACTGCGTGTGTACGCCCGAGCTTTGAGGCTGGTTTAAAGGCAAGGGGACAAACACGCCCATGAAACGCGCTAACAAGGATTGGCCGAACTGTGTGGACTTGTCGCGTGTCATTGGCCAAACGCCCAGCCGTTGCCGGGGCATTTAGCTTGCGAAGCGCCATTCTGTCTAAACGTAATAGTAGCAGGAAACAGCTGTCCAAACTAAAAACGGATGGCTTGGTCAATCTCATGTCAGCATTGTCGTCCAGTAGTTCTTGTTCGGTGCCGTACCGACTTGGCTTTTCCTGTAACTGACCAAGCGGACTTGTGAATAATGAGGTGGATATTACACGCAAGGCCCCCTGTCTAGCATCGCCAAGATCACCTGATTTTGTTACGTAAGGTTACATTAGGTGTTGCACTTCTTTGTAGTGCAAGCCTGCAATTACATTACCGCCGCTACATTTTACCGGCTATGTATGAACAAGCGCTACCGTTTGCTCAGGCCAAGTGCTCTTTATGCATTGACCATACCGGTACCTAGCCCCATGTAGCGAGCTACCGTCGACAGCCTGGGTGCTTCCTGTTCAAGCGCCAACCCTGTGGACATATCACACCCACCATTGCAATGGACACATCTATCATCGGATTCAATAAAGCATCTGCTAAAGTATTCGCGGACTGGCATGTGCTGTACGCTGCCGACCGCCATCTAATCAGCAATCGGGTTGCCGTCCTTATGCCGTTGCTCACAACCCCTAAGAGCCTACGCCTCCAAGGCTGCCTACCAGAACGAAGCGCCTAGTATGTGTGCTGCATCGTGCTATGAGCCTAAACTCCTCTTCTCCTTGCACTGCCACGTGGATCACTGCCCATAACCGTACATGCGACACTTCAGACCCAAGACACTACAGACATTACAGTCCCTGCCCCCTAAACCCCAAAGCCGGTAAAAGTGCCGCCTAACCCATGCTCCTATGCTTCCCACACGACCGCCCTCCCTATCCCCAATCCACACCAGCTGCCTCCAGACGTCCATAGCCATCGCCACTCCTAGGTACATCTACAATCCAATCTACCCCATCCTTCCCCAGCCACCTGCCTCCATGCACTTGCCTCGCCCTGCCACAAAGCACCCGCCTGCCTGCTCGCCACCCCCTCAACGCGCGCCCGGAGGCGGCGGCGGCGGCCGCCGCTGCGCCGACATGGGTTGCCCCATGGGCGCCCCCATGGGTGCACTCGGCGGCGGCCGCTGAGGCTGCGGCGGGCCAGCCATGCCCGGCGGCCTCGCCAGCCCGCCCGTCATGCTGGGGCCGCTAGGGCCCACAGGCGCCCCGCCGGGTCCCATAGGCGGCGGCCGCTGCATGGGCGGCGAGGGACCGGCACCTGGCGGCGGCGGGCCGTGGGGGCTGTGCTGGGGCGGCCCTGGCGGCGGGCCGCCAGGGCCACCTCCGGGCGGACCTCCCGCTGCGGGGTGCAGCGGCGGGCCGCGAGGGTGCGGAGCGCCGCCGCCGTGTGGATGCGGGCCGCCCGGAGCGCCCGGGGGAGGCGGTCCTTGCGGCCGGATGAACCAGTTGAAGCGCACGCACTCGGGCGCGTACTTGTCGTTGAACTTCCTGTCAAAGTAGTTGTACTGCTCAGGGTTGAGCTTCTCCTTGATGCCCGCGTAGGCGAAGACCAGCGCCTGTGTGTGGGAGTGTGGGAGTGCGTGTGAAAGGTCAGAGCGAAACCGAACCGCGCGTGTAGGGAGGCGTGGAGGCAAGGAAAAGAGGGTGGGGCTGCAAGATGCAGGAAGCGGGTGGTGTGCGAGGCATGAGATGCACGGAGGGTGCGCATGCCCCTCACAATTACAGCCGTATCTCGCCCCGACGTCGCGAATGCCCTAAAGGGCAAGCTGACCATCCGACCAGTAACTAAGTCCCCTCCCACACAGCCAGTCGGTTTCCAAATTTATCCCACCCAGCCAGCCCACGCACCTGCAGCGGCACACGGTCCTTCCGGTCCGCGGGCGCCGACATGTTCTGCCTTTCGAGCACCTGCTGCACCTGTGGGCGGGGAGGTTGGGGGGTCCGGCAGGACAGCATCATGGGTTCAAGGCGAGGGCCCAAGCGTTGTCCAGAGAGAAACTTGGGAAGTAAGACACCTTGCTTATTCAGGTGACATTGAAACCCACATGGTAAACGCAAACCGGATCAATAGATCCACATACTTCTCGGCCCCCACACATGCCCCGTATATAGGTTGATTCGCAGCCTTCTCGTCCATCCTCCGTCGCCCCATCACACCTGGAAGATGGCTGTCTTGACGTCCTCCAGCGACGCGCGCGCCGCCTTGCGCTTCTCCACGATGGGCTCATCCTCCCGCAGCAGGTTCTCCAGCTGCGTGGGCGTCAGGTGGTGGATGACGGTGAAGAGCCGCTCCAGCAGGTTCTTCTCGGACTTGCGGATCTGCAACACGAGGGAGGGTGGAAGGGAAGAGGGGCACAGAACGGGCGAGGGGGAGGGGGTGCTTATACAAGGGATAGAGGGAAGGCACCGAGGGTACCAGAGCAAGATGGGGCACGACGGGAAAAACCTGCAGAAAGCGCCGCAGCGGTGATAGCCTGTCCCCTGTCCCAACCCACATCACTCTCACCTCAGCCCCCAACCCCGCTCCAACCCAAGAATCCAACCCCGCCCAACCCAACGCCCCCTCCCCACCATGCAATGCACGACGGCCTTGGGCACCGTGATGACCACCGTGTCGCAGATGCAGCTCATGTACAGCGCCATGTCAGCGGAGAACTGGTCCAGCAGCGCGTCGTACCGCACGTCCCACGGCGAGCTGGAGCCGCCGGCGCGAGCCAGGCGGTCCTTCAGACGCAGCGGGTTGAGCAGCTGCTGCGGAGCGGGCAGCAGCCGGCCCTCGGAGTCGCGAACCGAGTCGGCCCTGAGGCCCGGGCGGGCGGGAGGGAGGGGTACGAATGGCAGCGGGATGGATGGCAGATGTTAAAAGTATCCGCATGGATGGCGGGAGGGTCGGGTGACGGGTGTGAGGTGTGACTACTGGTATTACTACACGCAAAAGCTGTTACAATGACCGCGGCGCGCCAGTGTGGGCGCAAAGGCTATTATACCGGTAGTAGTGTCAGTAGTGCCGGGAGCAATAAGGATGACACGTGGCGTGTGCCCATGCCCGCAGCCCACCTGAAAGCGGAGGAGCCCTCTCCCAGATGCGTGTCCAACACAGGCTCCGCGTCCTTGGCCCAGCTCAGGTCGCCGTCGTCGAACAGGGCGCCCATGGCACCGCCAAACCCCATGGAGCCGCCGCCCATGCTCACGCCCGCGACCGCAGCGCTGCTGGGACCGGGGCCCGCGGCGCCTGGCGCGGCGGGACTGCGGGCGCGAGCGGGGAGGACCGACGGAGGACGTGAAAAAAGGGAGGAGGGAGAAGACAACGTGTCGCTGTGATACACGAGAGAGCATTTGCAGTGCGGACTTCTTTTGCTTCCTGCTTATCGAGATATCGTGTTATCCCGACCCGCATGAGGTTGCGAGCCTTGCGGCATTGATTGTCCCTAGGCCTCCTCCCTCCTCCTCCTCCTCACCTGCCCCCCGGCGCTGGCGGTGCACCTCCCGGGCCCGCCGCCGCGCCCTGCTGCTGCGGCGGGTGCCCGGCAGCCGCTGCTGCCTGGTTGGTGGGGCGGCGGGGCTCCGCAGCCTTCCTCAGCTTGGTCAGCCAGGTGATCTTGGTGTCAATGTTCTCTGCAGTGGTAGCGCAGCATGACATGGCGCGGGAAAGAAGGTGGCAGTTAAACGGGTGGAAGGCTAAAAGGCGCTACTCCATGACAGAGGGTTACCCGCACAGACCCTGTTGCTGGCTGCCTGGCGGGTTGACTAAACGTCCACCCGCGTGTGCACCCAAGCTCCCCGGCTGCCCCACCTGCGCGCATGATGATCGCGTTGTGGTCCTTCACCGCCACGCCCCGCGGGTCCTTGTGGCGGATGCGGATCATCAGCTGCCCCTTGTCAAGCGCAGCAGCTCCGGACACAGCGGTGGGCGGCCGGGCGTTGCCCTTGTCGTCCAGGTCCTCCACGATGCACTCTGTGCAGGTGCAGGTGATAAACCAAGAAATCCAAAATACATGCGCACATGACCACCGAGCATTGTCGGTTGACAGTATATCCACCAAAGGGAGCAAAGGAAGCCGGCAAAACCCAAATGGGGCATGAAAGCGGACGGGTCGTCGCGCCAGGAACAAATAACGACAAACGGAACAAATAAAACCATCCACCACACCTCCCCCCAGCACCCACCGGCAATGTTGACCTGTCCCCGCAGGCCCGTGGGCTTGGACACGTCCTCCGGGCTCTTGAAGTAGTATAGCACGCGCTGGCTCTCCGAGAACACGAAGAAGCGGCGCTGCCACTTCATGGACTCCAGGAAGCGAGCCGAGTCGTCGGACACATACTTGTCGAAGTAGCCGGCGATGAAGTCGTCCGCGTTGGCTACGCTGGGAACAGAGCCTGCGCGCGGGTGGCAATGGGGACAAGGGCTGGGTGGTAAGGAAAGGGGCGCCGCAGAGGTTGAGGATGATGATGATGCAGGGGCTGTAAAGTACCTCCTCCAGGAGGCGGCACAGCCGGATATGACCGGAGGTATGTCATGGGCGTGCACTAGCCCATGTGGACAAGTGCTGCTCCCAAGTGTATAGTAAGCAGTGTAGTAATCATTGCGCCCCAGGCCCCACGCATCGCCCCGAAGTCATCCCGAGCACCCCACCGTTTGCCGGCTTGGGTGACGGCTTGCCGTCATCCGAGTCATCATCGTTCGCCAAGCCGTTGGGCGGCGTGCCGGGAGGCGTGCCGGCCTGCCCCGGCGGCGGCGCGCCTGCTGTCGGCCCGAACGAGGGGAAGAACTTGGCGGCGGTCTGCTTGACTGCGGCCACGGCTCCCCGCGGCTCGCCTCCGGGCGGCACATGCCGGGCCGACATGGCCGCGCGCATCTGCTCCTGCTGCTTGATCTTCTGGTAGCGGTGGTGCGTGGTGTGGCGGAAGAAGCCGGCGGTGATGTAGGAGCGCTCCATGTCCACCAACATGTGAGCCACTGTGCGAGGAGGAGGAGGAGGAGGGAGAAGGAGGAGGAGGAGGAGAAGGGAAAAGAAGAATATTCAATGTGTTGTGTGACGGTGGTAAACCAGGAGGGGAGGGAGGCAGCCGCTAGGGGGTTTGGAGCGGATTAGGAACACATGGTGGCCAACCCCCGCGGCGGTTGTGATACCATGGTGGCTGGGATTGCCAGCAAGCAGTAGGTAACAGTAGGAGTGCAGAAAGGTAGGGGGCCGGTTGCAAAAGGGGGTACCGTAGCAGCATATTGAAGTTGTTGACGGAGGCCTCCAGACCCACATCGCCTCGTCGTCCCCAGCGCCGTTACCGATACATCCTTCCGCGAACGCCCCGACCCGACCCACATCGCAGGTTTCACCCCAAACCAACTCACTCTTCTCGCTCTCCTTCTTCCACTCGTCCAGCGCCGCAATGATGGCCGGCATCACCACGTTCTTGAAGTCAGGCACGTACATGGGCATGGCGCCCATGAGCGCCGCCTCGGTGAACTGCCCGGCCTTCTCCGCGGCCTCCCTGTGTGGAGGGAGAGGAGAGTTGGGGAGATGGAGACGGAGGAGTGGGAACGGAGACGGAAACGGAGGAGGAGGCATACCGTAGCATGTGGGCACTTGGCAACATATCACAAGCAAGCCTCCGAGAAGCCCCTAGCTAAACCCTCGCAATCATTCTGGGCGTGCTTTCCTGATCATGTGAGGCCCATGCATGGCCCATGCAAGGACCTCTCCCCCGCCCACGCGACTAGGGGGGGCCCTCTCATCCGCTCACCTGGCCGCATTGACCAGCAGGTTGTAGACCTCCTGCACGCACGTGTTGACGGGGTCCGTGACGTGGTCTAGCGCCTCGCTGGAGAGCTGGCGCAGGCCCTTCTCCGGAGCCACCATGCTGGGCTGGTAGCCGTCCGACTGGCGGCATACCTGCGGGGGGTAGCATGCGGGGTTTAACCCCATGGATGAGGATTAGGTAAACATGGTTGCATGGGGGGGGGGGGTGTTCATGGCGAGGAAGCGAAGGGTGAAAGAGTAAAAAGAGGGAAAGAAAAAAGGTTGGGCTTTTGAGGGAGAGCTGACCCAGATGGAATTGCATGCGGCATCCGGTGGAGCATTGCGCACATCCAGCCACAAGGGATAATGCCGGTAACAACGGCTGGAGAGCTGCACGACGACCAGGGTGATAAGGCGTGCGCACAAGCACACACTTACCGACTTGACGTTCTTCAGCTCAAACACCTTGTCCATGGGCAGCTTCTTGACCTTCCCCGCGAGCCCCTTCTCGCCCATGAAAGCCTCCTTGATCTTACTGGCAACCGGTGATTCCTGTCGTACGTGCGGTTTAGGTGGCCCGTGAAACTCATAGTTGTGATGCAAGGTAGTGTTCTGAGGGCTACCTTTACTACCTCAACCCCGCTGTCCCATAGAACAATACGTGGCTTGCCAAACCGTTCCCTAGCTGTGCCCACATACCCACTATGCGCCTTACCCAACGGTTGGTCACAGCAGCTTCACCCCTTCCCATACCCTCTCCTTCACATCGCAGCTCACATTGATGAAGGACATATACGCACGTTCAAAGCCCCTGCAGAGCTCGAACACCTCCTTTATGCCCGCTGGAGCTTCGCCATACTGCAGCACGACCTTCTCGAGGGCGATACGCTTCTCTTGTAGCCTATATAGTACCTACAAGGCCCAGATATCAATCATGGATTGTAGGAAAGCAGCCCGGTATGGAGTAATCACGAATAAGCCTGACTATAGGCAAGCCAAACCGATCCGATGTAACATATGAACTGTAAGCAAGGGAAACGAAGCCGGTGCATATGCCTAGGAACAACGCCAAGGGAAGCTCAACGGACATGGACGCAGCTGCGATCGGCTTCAAGTTGGAATTTCGCCTACCTGTTCAAGCCCGGCTGTTGGGGCATCAATCGTTTGGGTAGCTATGGCGGCCATAGTGCCTGTTACTGTTTGGATAGCATAAATTGCCCTTGGCTTCAAGACATTAGGTACCTAACCTCCGGTCAAGCCCAACCGAGTATTTGATGTCAACAAAAGAACGATGCAGTCTGTTGCGAAGCATGCGTAACCACACATGGAACAATTTCATTGGCGTCCATCGTAACTTTGCTGCCTTGTACGGACAGGAAAAGTGTCATCCCACGCTTCCCAGCGCCCATAAAAGGCAGTCTAACTACTGAAGTAGTATATACTTGAAGGTGTTGGAAGGATCATGTCTGGGACAGCAGCCCTTAGATCACGTAGCCTTCCCTGTTGGGCGGCCTCACCACGTCGTCATGCCGCTCCGGGGATCAGGCACAACCAAGATGCCGTGTTCCTTGGTCCATGGTTGTAGGGCCGTTGGGTGCATTGACCTCAAGGCAACGAGCTCGGGGCCACAACCAGATGTGCACCGACATTGAGCAGCGCTGACAGCGCGCGAACACGATCTCACCGTTGGCCCTCTGGCATTGCTGTGGGTTACTACTGTTGGCTAAATTTATCAATCTGCCAAGCTTGCTTGTTGATCTGCAAGCCGCCGCCGAAGCCGCCTCAAGCAGCGGCCCCGCTTGCTTCAAGATGCGTGAGATGGAATCGCAATCCCTGCATTCATCATTCGGTTTAACGCTGATCAAGCTGTGTCGCTGCCCTCTTGGTGTAGCGGCGTTAACGCAGTCGGTGAGGCAAAGTCAGGTGTTCGAGCTTGCTTGCAGTCTTCCACGTTGGCTTTCAATGATTTGGGTCTCCTGACAGTTGAGGATCTAAAACACAGTTCTGCTTGAGCACGTATGTATGCCCATATGCTGCATATCCGGCAGACTGGCACCCGTTCATGGCAAACGCACTGCAATAGGGGTGTTGGCTGTCCTTACCAGAGCCCTCGCCTGTTTATTCAGTGCCACATTAAACTCCAGCTACCATCATCAGGGCGGCATGTAGGCCCCCAGGGCCCCTGAGCTGCTGCCTTAAACCTGGTCGCACAGCATTCCACGCCGCCAACCGTTGTGTCCATGCCATGTCGACCCTCTCTTTTCTTCAAATGCATTTGCATTGCAGCTGTACAACGGCTTTAGAACTCACGCGGCATTCATGCGGCACCTCATAAAGGCGCTCGGGAGCTTCAATCACGCCCGTGCGCCCGACCTTCGGTGCTAGAGGAAGTTTCTGCGCATACCTGTGGCCGGCTCAGGGTGTGGCTAGGGTCCTTGGACGAGCGCCACCACCTCGATTGAAGCCATACATCCGCAGACGTTGTACTTCCATCCATGGGACCATGGCTGGCCTAGCCCCTTATGCATGGCACATTGAAGCATGGCATGTTTTGCCATACCATGCCCCTGTCTGGTTCTGACATGACTCCTCCATGTCATGTAAGCAATAGAGACGCATGTGGGTCAAGGTGTCATGACGTGTCATGTGCTGTTGCCGTGCCGTGCCGTCCACCTTCCAGAGCAGCCTGTGCCAATGCAAGTCGCTCCCTCGGGCTGTCGGACAGCCATCCTCAGAGTATCAAAGAGTATCAACCATCGGGAAGGCCTCGGCTACTGACGTCAGGCCTTGCCGATGCTCGATACTATGAGCATGGCTGTGGGGCAGCCCGAGGGAGCGACTTTAGGTTACATTACACGTTGCATTTTTGTGGGTTATGCTGGTTGAGGTCCTGCGCAGTCGTCTGGCTGGGTTATGTATATTATGGCCGCATGCAGCAGCTGGTGCTATCGTGGCTAAAGTGGCGGGACTTCTTGGCGCATTGCCGGAGGATGCGCATGAAAGGTGCCGGAGCCTGCGAGTCGCTCCAGCATCCTCCATGCACGTCTTCCTGCAATGCACTAAGTAGGCCCCCAAAACAACAGCACGGCCTATACAACTATGCTACAGTTCGTGCGTGTTGTAGGAGAAGCAGCACGTAGCATTGTTACAGATACATACCCGGCAATTCCCATTTAGTACCACTGCAACCCTACGTCATCCACCTTGTGCCGCCTCGGAACCATGGAACACGTGATCTTCATTACACCGGCAGCCCTTCAACCTAGGAGACTCTGGACCCATTGGACACCACTATTGTTCCAGCGGCTGCCATTCCTCAGCGCCTGATCACCTCACATCCATGGGGGGAGCACCTTGCCCTACTCGCCAGTACCGGTAACGAGGCCTGGAGCTGGGAAGCTGCAAGGGTTGCAGGGGGAAGCCAGGACAGGGGTTGTGTTTGTAATAGGACTACAGGAGACAAGTTGGAGGCAGGGCCAGGGGGTGGCATGGACTGGGCTTTACGGGAGATCGTTGGGATCAAAGCACCGCAGTGTCGCACAACCAGACTGCTCAGGAGCAGCGCGTGTGGACTTTGCGACCGTGCGGTAGGTGCATGTACCGTACGTGGGAAGATGAAAGGCCGGAGCCTTCTTGCACATCCCTGGCCTAGCGTACAGCACTAGCCTACGTGTCGTCCCAAAACACTAGCAAACATACGCAGACCGACCTGAAGCCCAACCCCCAGTCGTTTCCTCCTTTACCCACCTGCAGTACCGTAGTGTATCATTCACACCATGCTGCTGCTCCTGCTGTTGTGCTTGTTGTGCTCCTGCTGTTGTGCTTGCCTTACTTGGACTACTTCTTCAGCGTCTCCCCTTATTGCTGCCGCCCCGGATCCTGCAGCCCCTGCTGCTAATGCCCCTGCTGCCGCTGCTGCTGCTAGTGCCCCTGCTGCTAATGCCCCTGCTGCCGCTGCTGCTGCTAGTGCCCCTGCTGCTAGTGCACCTGCTGCCGCTGCTGCTGCTCCAGCAGCCAGGGCAGCACCAGCTGCGCAAACAGCGCCTCAGCCTCGGCCACACTGCCAGCCAGCAAGAAGAACCCTGGGAGGCGACAGGAACAGGGGTGTGGGGTCGGCACACTTGCTATCAAGTCCACAAGGACAACACGAGAAGCTGGTAAGGGGGCATGCAGTTAGGCACGCAATGCAGGAGGATTGGGGTAGTAATAAGGCCGCACCATTCCACGACGCCACATCTTGTGATGACATTGCCCCCGTACCCCAAACCCCGCGTTTAGCATCACCCGCATCACCCAAATCGCACACGGTGCCGTACCATGGCCTCTTCGAATGTAGCAGCGGTGCTGCGGGTAGGGGTGGGAGCGGAAGAGCGCCTCCAGCTCTGCCAAGTCCTCAGGCGTTGAGAACAGCGTAGCACGAGGACTGATGGGCAGACCCAGTTGGGTAGCGTACGACAGGCCTTCTCCTTCCGCCAGCGCGTGACCATGGAGAACCACAGCGGGCTGCTCTGACCAGCCATAATCAAAGCCATGAGCTAGGGCGGCTACGAGCAAAGGTGAATCGCTGGATGGACGAACCGATGCATCGCGAGATCGGTATTCTGCTGCCCATAAAGCCCGATCGAAGTTTGTTACTAGCACGAAATCTGTAGATGGGTCTAGGAGGTGGCCAGGCGGCTTGCCGGACATGCTAACAACTGCAAGGCTCTCAGGTCCGGAAGCAGTGTGTTTGCTGCCATCTGTGGTGTCGATTGAAGGAAGCTGTAAGATTCGAGGGCTGATGGCACAATTGCCAGCGACTTGTCCGTCGTTGAGGATTGGAGCTGCACCCATGCGTTCCATCTGCGCCATAAGACGGGAGAGCTCGCCAACCTCCGCACTCAAAGACATGTTACATATGTTATGCCCCACAAACGACGTCGAGAACTTGATGCGTGGCTGATCCTCAGTAATTAGTTCTGCCATGTGAGCTGCCACTGCGCCACTGCAAGGGATTAAGTGGTTTTCAATTGCTGGGTAGAGTTCAGGAAGCGACAAAATTCGCATAGGCACAAGTGGCTTTGCCATTCCTTAGCTTACTCTCGCCAAACGACGTTTCGGAGCGAGTGGAGCCAACAAGCCAGGGCTTGTTCGCTTTGAAGCTTAGTGCCACCGTAGCCCTCATACACGCTAAGTACTGTATACCGCCGCATTGACGGCTTTTTCGCTATTCCTCTTGGTTAACCGCCTCCAAATGCAAGTCACCCAAGTCGGCTAGAAGCCTATCTGCATTATCATTTGCTACTTCGCAATATGGCGCAACCACTTACACAGCAGGATTACAACAACCTGCTTTCTTGCTTGCTCAATGCATTGAACCAGAACCCCGAAGTCCAGAAGCAAGCAGAGGCGTACATCCAATCGCTGGACAGTAGACCGGGTTTCAGCTCTGCACTTGCAGTAAGAGACATATCCTTAAGTTTCTCCACAGCGGCGACTGCCATGTCAATGGATCTACCTCTGATGTGCCATGCCACCTGCAGGAAATAGTCAGCAACCGGGAAGCCGACCATAGCGCCCGCTATTTGGCGTCAGTCCATCTCAAAAACAGCATTCACCGCAACTGGAAGAAGCGCGTGACACATGCGTGAGTTGCAGGCTATGTGTGGCGCCGTCTCGACGTGCGAGGCCCTTTATCAAACCCTCCCATCCCTTCTTACAAAGTACCTTCTACGCCATTTGCAGCGGGATCACACCAGAGGAGAAGGCACATCTGCGAGCCAAGCTTTCGCAGCTAATTCCGCAGGATGATAACCAGGTAAATGTACGACACAGGTCATGGGCAACGAACATCGTTACCCGTGTGCCGATAGCTCATAAGTTGCGTAACGCTGAACTGGGTATCAAAACCCTTTCCTCCATCTCCACTTCCTCTCTTCAAAGTAAAAGCTTTTCCTCCATCACGTCTTTTTGGCTTTTTCTCCACGTCTCCCTTCTAAACATCCTCCTCTTCTTCCACTTCTACGACACATATACTCCTCACCCCCGCGCAAAACCGTACGGCACGTGCACTGCTCGCCCCCGCCTGATCCTCAGATTGCCGTACAAGTGGCCCTTGTTTACGCCAAGATCGCTCGCTTCGACTACCCGGGCGAGTGGCCCTCCCTGTTCAATGACCTCATGGCGAACCTGGGATCTGGAAACCCACTGGTGGTCAGGAGGTAAGAGCAACAGCAGCAGCAGAAGGGCGAGAGATGGTTGTAGATGGGTGTGGAGGAGGAGGCAGATCCGGCTGGGCTAATGTTGCTGTGACGTGGGCGAGGAGTTGGGCTGGGAGGGCTGGGCAGAGAGAGTGACCCATGGGTCGCTTGATGAGGTCAGTGAGGTTGTGATTTGTTTCCTCTTTACTATCGCCCCCCGGATGAAACCACCAACTGAAACAATACAACCAGTTTCCTCCAGGGCTTGTCACCTAGCTTATTGTCACACAACACGTTGTGTTTTGTGTATTCTTCTTTCCCCCCCTTCCCCCCCAGGGTGTACCTGATCTTGCACCATGTGCTCAAGGAGCTCTCCTCCAAGCGGCTGGCGGCCGACCAGGCCAACTTCGCACAGGTGGGGGAAGACTGTATGTGTGTATGTGTGTTTGTGTGTGTTTGGGGGTTGGGTGTACGGCAGGTTGTGATGCCCCTGCACGCACATGTATCGCATTCCCCGCCTCCAGACAACTCCCACGTGGGGTCACAGACCACGTATACACGCATGTAGCCGACCCATGCACCCCCTCCTAAACGCATCCTCCCCCCCATCCTCCCCCCCCAGGTCACCGAGCTGCTCTTCAGCCACGTGTGGGGTCAGTGGTGCTCCGACACACAGGCGTTACTGGGGCCGGGGGGGCTGGCGGAGGCACTGCGGGGAGGTACGGCAGGTACGGCAGCAGCAGGTGCTGGCGGTACGGCAGCCCCACCTCCTCAGCCGCCCGCCAGCCCGCAGCAGCTGCTGCAGACGTGCGAACGATGGATGCTGCTGCTCAAGATCCTGCGGCGCCTGCTGCTGCATGGCTTCCCCAGTGACGCCCGCTCGCTGGCCCCGGTGGCTGCCGTACACAGCTGCTGCCCGCACATGGGGGCGGCTCTGCAGGTGCGGTCGACCCGGGGGGGCTGAGGAAAAAGATGCAGGGGTGAGGGGGTCAAAGACCATACCGAACCATAGGAAACCACAGGTTGGGGCAAGACAATGGGGATAGGAGCGGTAGGGTAGGTGGGTGGGTGGGGGGTTTAAGAGGAAGAGACGAACAGACCGTGCCTCAGAGCTGCAACAATGAGCGTTGGTGGTATTAACAACAGTGTTGGTGGGCAAAGAAGAAGAAGAAGAAGAAGAATCGCTGGAAACCAACTGCTATACCTCTCCCTGCGTGCTTCTGCCCGCTCCCCTCCTCCTCCTGCTCTCAGGGCCTGCTAGCCGCGGCTCGCCCCTCCTCCTCCTCCTGCGGCCCCGCCGGCCGTCCGCCGCCCCCCCGCTCCCACCTGGGCGCCATGAGCGAGCGCGCGGTGCTGAAGCTGCTGAAGACGCTGGGGCAGATACTGGAGGTGCACCCGTGGTAGGGGGGGTCGAAGATAGGGGGGGTCGAAGACCATACCAAAGGGTCAAAGGGCAAAGCAATGGGGGTAGCAATGGGGGTTGAAACATAATGACACTCTGACGAAGTGACGATGCACTGTGGTAGTGGGGGGGGAGGGAGGGGAGTTGAGAATGCGGGATACGGAGGACCCTTGCTGCGCCCGCATGTGACTACGAACCGCACAGGCAGTATACGGCAATACGTACCACAACCCAAGGGACAGCCAACCTCACCCACCCGTCATCCCAACTGCAGCACCCAACCCTCCCATCCGCCATCCCAACTCGCCTCCTTCTCCTCCTCCTCCTCTACCTCCTCCTCTTCCGCCCCCTTCCAGGTCCTTCCACGGGGCGGGTGTGTTGTTCCCGGTCATGGAACTCTGTACCAACCAACTCCTAGAGGCAGCAGCAGCAGCCGGCAGCAGCAGCAGCGGCAGCGGCAGCAGCGGCAGCAATCAGGAGCGGTGGCTGACCCAGTGCTGCATGTTTCTGGTGCACGTCATGTCGTGCAAGCCGTACAAGGGGATCACGGGCGGACTGGATGCGTCGTCGGGGCAACCGCGGGTGGGTTGTACGGCACATACACATGTAGCGTACGTGCCTGCCTGCCTGTCTGTCTGTGTACATGCCTCTATGTACGTGCGTGCCTGCAGGTTCGGTCCAGGTTGGTTCAGGTGGGTGGAGGAGTGCTTCCTACGGGGTTGTGGTATTTGGTACCGTCCCCAAGAACGGAGGTGATAACCTAACCCAGAGGTCTTGGAGATCCTACTCTCCTCCTCCTCCCGTACCCACATCGCATGGGTCTTCTTCTTGTCCCCTCCCGCCTCCCCTCCCCACCCAGGACACCAGTCGCGCCAAGGCCATGTCCGGGGAGGTGCGCACCGCCCTGCAGGCCTTCTGGGCGCAACACTTGCAGGCAGCAGCAGCAGCAGCAGCGGGTGGAGCAGCGGGTGGGGGCATCAGCGGCAGCGCTGGCGACGGCAGCAGCAGCCGACTGGTGGCGTTGGTGGGGGCGCTGGTGAGTGCAAGCGAGTGCCTGCGCGTATGCCTGCGCGTCTTTCTGGATGCTCCTGGACTTTTCATCGCATGGCTGCACATGCCTCCCTCCCTTGCCTCCCCCCTCCCTACCTCCCTTGCCTCCCCTCCCTTGCCTCCCTTGCCTACGTGCATGCACGCGTGCCCCCTCCTGCCCCTGCCCCCCCACCCACCTCCCCCCCGATCGCAGATCAGTCGCCACATGCTGCTCACGCGTGCCGATCTGGAGCAGTGGAAGGAGGCGCCGGAGGAGTTTGCGCACTCGCACGGCGGGGGGGCAGCGGGCGGAGGCGGGGCGTCGGAGGGGCTGGCGGGGTCGGCGGAGGTGCTCTATCTGGGGCTGCTGCAGGTGGGCTGGCGGGGGAAGTTGAGAGGGAGGAAAAAAGGAGAGAAAAAAGACAAACTAACAAACCAACCAACCAACCGTGTGGCAAGGGAGGTAGGGATGGAGAAGGAGCCTATAAGAAGCTCTTAGTGCCCGAAAAAACACCTGAAACACACCTTCCTCCATGGCTTGGCATGTGGTCCTTGAAACCCCCCCCCCCGCAGGCTTACCGAGAGGTGCTGGGCCCCGCGGTCGTGTCGCTGCTTCCCGGGGTGCAGGCGGCCGCACCCCCCGGGGTACCCGCGGACAGCCTGCCTGGGGAGCGGCTGGTGGGGGTGCCGAGGCAGGTGGGGGCGGGGGGGGGGGAACCGGGGTGGGGGGTTTAAATAAATGGAGCCGCGGACACACCTGTTGCAAACCATGATGATGCCTTATCACACGGTCAGTTAGATGTTTCCTCTTTATCCCCTTCCGCCTTCATCCTACACCACACGTACGACACACATACACACACGTACGACAATCGTACGACACACGCCTACCACACCAGATCCTTTACAAGGATGCGGTGTACGGCGCCCTAGCCGCCGGGTCGTACGAACTGCACGACTACCTGGACTTCCGTACCTGGCTGGCGGGTCCGCTGCTGCAGGTGGGGGGGTGGGGGCGAGTGTGTTTTGCATGGGGGCAGGGGGGGGGGGGGTATGTGGGATACGTATTCCGCAGGGGCTGGCAGTAGCCCCATGCGCTACCCCTGTCTCACCGTCCATTCCCTCCCTTCCCTCCTACAATTCCCCCATACACCCACTCCCCCCATGCTCCCCTCCTGCCCCCGCCCCCGTACATTGGGTATTCTTCTCCCCCCACCCCCACCCCCCCAGGAGCTCTCCGACGCCAGCCCCGCCAACCGCCCCATCCGGCGGCGCATCGGGCTGCTGGTGGCGGCACACGTGGACCGAATCCGGGAGGAGGACCCCATCAGGTGGGGGGGAGGGAGGGAGGGGGGAAGCGAGGGGAGGGGGAGAGAAGGGGAGGGGGAAGGAAGGGGGCTCAGCGGGAGGGAGAACACACGCGGGAGCCATCCCTGTTCCCAGCCCCTATGCACCTCTCACCATGCACCCCTCCCCTCCCCATGCACCCCCCCCCCATGCACCCCCCCCATGCACCCCCCCCATGCACCCCCATGCACCCCCCCCCCCGGTAACCTACGGTCAGGATCAGTGTTTCCGCGGCTCAGTTTATCTAATCCCCCCACCATGCACCCCCCCCACCATGCAGCCCCCACCATGCACCCCCCAACCATGCACCCCCCCCACCATGCACCCCCCAACCATGCACCCCCCCCACCATGCACCCCCCAACCATGCACCCCCCCAACCATGCACCCCCCAACCATGCACCCCCCCCACCATGCACCCCCCAACCATGCACCCCCCCAACCATGCACCCCCCAACCATGCACCCCCCCCACCATGCACCCCCCAACCATGCACCCCCCCCACCATGCACCCCCCAACCATGCACCCCCCCAACCATGCACCCCCCAACCATGCACCCCCCCCACCATGCACCCCCCAACCATGCACCCCCCCAACCATGCACCCCCCAACCATGCACCCCCCCCACCATGCACCCCCCAACCATGCACCCCCCCCACCATGCACCCCCCAACCATGCACCCCCCCAACCATGCACCCCCCAACCATGCACCCCCCCCACCATGCACCCCCCAACCATGCACCCCCCCCACCATGCACCCCCCAACCATGCACCCCCCAACCATGCACCCCCCCCACCATGCACCCCCCACCATGCACCCCCCCCCCCACCATGCAACCCCCCCACCATGCAACCCCCCTCCCACCCCCCCTCCTGCAGGCCCACCCTGTATTCCGCCATGCTGGGCCTCATGTCCGAGTCCGACCCCGCCGTGGCTCTGTCGGGTCTGGGCGCGCTTACGGCGCTGCTGGGCGATTTCTCCTTCCGCGAGGAGTCCTTCGCGCCGCTGCTGCCCGGCTGCCTGCAGCTGCTAGTGCGGTTGGCGGCCGGGAGCTGCGACCTGGACTCGCAGAAGCAGGTGAGGAGGTGGGGGAAACATAGATAAGTGCATCAACGGAGTCAGGTGGGGGGGAGGGCGGGTTTAGGGGGGTGTAAATGAGGAAAGTGAGGAGCTGTATGATGAGGCAGGTGAGGGGGGGGGTGAGGGGGGTGAAAGCGAGGAAACTGACCATGAAAGAGAAGGGGAGCAGGGGAGGGAGGAAATAGGTAGGGGCGGAGAGGGGAGGGTTGTGTGCGGATGGCAGGGTGGGGAAAAGAGGTGTAAAACCGCCGAATTGGCCTCTTTTCTTTCAGGTGACTCACTCTCCTTTCCTTTCTCCACCATCCTCCTCCTCAGGCTTTCGGGCTGCTGAACCTGGTGATCGAGCGGTGTGGGGAGGCGCTGCGGCCGCACGTGCTGCCACTGGCGGGGGCGCTTCCGGGGCTGTGGGAGGGGGCGGTGGGGCAGAGCCTGCTCCGGATACAGGTGGGTGCAGGGGAGTCAAGGGAGCAAGCGGTTGCAGCAGCAGCGTACCTTCTGCAGCACCTTTCGTTGTTTTAGACATTTAGAGCCAACATGCTCTTGCATCTAGCTCGCTTGCTTACCGGTATACGCTGCTTGTGGCTAGCTGGGTTGTTTTTGTGCCAGCTACAGAGCCTAACCGTAACCTTAACCCAACCGAAACCTTTCCCACTGTCGTACAACAATCCCCGCCCCCGTACAAAAACACCCCACTGCCGTACAACTCCCCCTCCCTCCTCCCCCCCAGATTCTGGAGGCCGTACAGCGGCTGCTCAACCTGCTGGGCCCCGAGTCCCCCGCGCTGCACCCGCTGGTGATGCCGCTGCTGAGCTACTGCCTGGACCTCAGGCAGCCCGAGGTGCGGGTGTGTTCGGGTGTGTTAGGGGTGTGTTTGGGTGTGTTGCCGGGTTGTTGATAGGACGGGAAGACAGGAAACCAGCTGAACGAGGGGAACCCCTGCTAGCCCCCCGCGGAGTCGCATAACTCCCACCGGTACTGACCATGCATGTCGGGCGCATGACGCCGTCACAATACCCGTATATGCCGGTGTATTGCAGGCCCAATGGTACGATGCATTCAATCTACTCGACCTCTCCACCGTACCCCAGCTGCCCCCCCCCCCCCCGAACCCCACTTCCCCCCCGCAGTGAACCCTACATGTCGTACAGCTCGTTAGTTGCCTCGTCAGTTTCCTGTTTTTTACCCCGAACGCTTCCACTCCCCCCCACCCAGGTATCCGAGGGCCTGCTTGAAGACGGTCTCGCCCTCTGGTTGGTTGCCGTACGTAACGCCCCCAACTGCCTCACTCCCGACCCAACTGCCATGGCCGCTGCCGCTGCTGCTGCTGCTGCTGCCGCTGCTACATCCTCCAACCCTGGCGGCAACAACAACAACGACAATAACCCCGGTGCTAATCCTGCTGCTGCTACCGCTGTCACCTCCGGGACGAGCGAACACGGGTCTTCATTATCCGCATCCGCCGCAGCAGCAGTCGCTGCCGCATCTCTGCCGGTATTAGTAATACCGGAACGGGTTGCCGTACTCGAGACGTTGTTAGCGCCGTTTGCGGCTCTAAGGAGCATCGTAGAGGCGTCTTCGGAGCACCTGCCGTTGGTGGTTGCGATCCTGGCGAGTACGGCAATGCTAGCGGGACCTGCATTGTACGGCAACCCTGCTGTACGGCAGCACGTGGTGGATGTACTGCTGCAGATCGTGGGTGAGTGAGGCTTAAGGATCGGGAGAACTTGAAACACGCACATGGTGGGTGTTTGGATGGATGTTGAACAAAGCCTACCGCGCTCCTCCGCCCTTTGCCTCCCTATCTCTCTTCCTAACGTTCTAGGACGGCATCTCCCCCTATAGCCTTGCCCTCCCTTGTGCTCCCCTAAAGGACGGCTTGGTTTCTCTCTCATCCCCTCACCTCCCCCTCCTATTCTACCACTGTCCCACAACACGTTTCTCCTCGCGCCTTCTCCTTCCCAGGCAATGTGAGCGAGCGCGGCCTGCTGATCACACTGCCCTGCCTGGAGCGGCTGCTGCAGGCCGCACCCCGGGAGGCGGGGGCGGCGTTGCAGCCGGTGCTGCTGCGGCTGCTGGGGCTGCTGCTAGGGGGGAAGGTGAGAGCTGGGGTGTGTGTGTGTGGAGAGGTACTGGTCTGGCCTCGCTAGGGTGGCGGCTTAAAACTGGAAAGGGAGGACGTGCAGTCCTGCGTTCCGCCTTTTGGCTGCCGCTTGCGCCCCTCTCACGCCTCCTCCTTTCCCCCCTCCCTCTCCTGCCTCCCTCCCTCTCCTGCCCAGGAGTCCGGCCTGGTGGTAGCCAGCTCGCTGCCCGTGTTCGCTCGACTGCTGCTGGCGGCGCCCGAGCAGCTGGGGGTGCTGCTGGGGGCGGGGGCGGGGGAGGGGCTGGCGGCGGCGGGGGCGGGAGGAGCAGCGGATGCGCCCCCAGCTGACTTGCGTGAGTGGATGTGTGCGTGGTGGGGAAACTGGCCGCGGGTAGGAACGCGCTGTGACCTGTCAACATTTGCTGTGCATGTGCATGTGCGTGTGCAACGAAATGCCGGGCCGTATTACAGGGTGTGCTTGCGTGCCGGTGTGTGTGTGTATGGTAACTTTCCTACTTCACCCCTCACCCCTCCTCATTCCCCTGATCCCCTTCCTCCTCCCCTCCTGCCCCCCCCCTCCTGCCCCCATGCATGCAGCCGCCCACGAGCTGCTCCTGTGGCGGCTGCTCTCGCTGCTCTGCTCCGAGTTCGACTGCCTGGCCCAGCCCGCAGCTCGCCGGCTGGTGGCGCTCGGGCTGTGCGGCGCACTGCGACTGCCGGCGCGGGGGGTGCTGGGGCTGTTGGAGACGGTGGTGGCGCCGGTGACAGCCGTGTGGTGGGTGCATGGGGTGGTGTGGGGTCAAAGAACAGACGGGCTGGGGTTGGGTGAGGGGCTTGTAGGGTGGTGGGTGGTGCGTGGGGGATGGATTGAGCCCTTTCCCTTTCGTATGCGCAGGCACAGAGACCTTTGTAGCGCTCCCTGGCGTGGTTCGTGTTTGCACTGCTGCGTCCTGCCTCATTACCCTGTCGTGCATTCCTGCCTTTTCCCATCATCCTTCTCTCCTCTCCTCTTCTCTCATCTCGTCGGCACCCCGCTCCACCTCTCCGCCTCTTCAACCCGCTAGGTACGAGACGGAGGGCGGTGGCGGCGGCGGGTTCGTGTCCTCCGGCCTGCCCCCCAGCTACGACTACTACAGTGCTGGCGGCGGCGGCGGCGGGGGCTGTGATGAGGGGCTTGAGGAGGTGGCGGGGCCGGCGCTGGACTCTGAGGAGGCGGAGGGGGACAGCGGCAGGAGGGCGCAGGTGGGTGTGTTTGTGGTGTAAAAATACCAGTATAGATAATAGCATCATGTTTGGGGTGTGGGGAAGATTCCGCATTAGACTAGAATTCAGGATTGGTTGGGGTAAGGAAACGTTGCCGATTACCGGAAAGCAAGCTTATCAGGACAGCCGGGGCCGGGGCGGCAGGGCTTACGGGTAGGTAAGGAAATCAAGATGCGGTCCTTGCATGCCACCCGTTCAACACCCCTCCTCATCCCCTTCTCAGCCGCCCCTCAGTTCTGTACATCATAACACATCTTAATTAAACACACCGATTTCCTCGTGGTGTTTAACACGCAGTTTTCCTCATGGTGTCCTTGTTGTTGTTGTTGTTGTGGTTTGCGCCGCCCCTCAGTTACGCGAGGCCGACCCAGCCGGTGTGATGCGGGTGGGGTCAGCGCTGCGAGAGGGACTGGCCGCATGCGCCGCCCTGCACGGGGCCGCGGCGGTGGAGGCCGTGCTGGGCCGGTTGGACGAGCACTTGCTGGCTGCCGTACGTGCGGCGACGGGGGATGTACGGCAGCAGTAATGGCAGTCGAGAGATCGAGCAGAAGAGAGACGTGTTGGCTGCCGTACGTGTCGTGACTGGTGAGGGGATGTACGGCAATAGCGCCAATACCGGTAGCATTGCTAGTGGGTAAGAGCCGTCGTACAACAATCACGTCACGGCGGCATTGGATAAAAATTGGACTGTGCGAGCGAGGGAGGGGTTGATGTTGTGGTGGGTTTCGGAGTGAGGGAGTGGGATGTGCCCGGGTAATGCAGCTAGGTGGTTGCTGCTGAAAAGGTGCCAAGCCTTCGGTTTCTTAGGAGTAAGCTGTATTGTTGGAAGGCAGGTTTGCTGCATCTGCCAGGGATGTGGTTTTCTTGAGCAGTTGGGTGAAGCGTGAAAGAAGGAAATGAAGACGTGTGTCTTGAGGCGTGCTGCAGGCAAGCAAAACTCGCTCGAGGGAGGGGGTATGGCGCTGGAGATACGTAAGCAGCTATACATATTCCTGCGTGAGCGAGCCATTACCTGTTTAAATGTTACCGGCACAATCTTCGTTCGTTTCCATGCTATAGGGCGAGCAACAGACAGCCGGGATTGCATGACCCATGGGTCAACACCGTACATCCTTAGTCCCCAATAGCCGTCCAAAAACCAGACTATGAAAGGACAAGTGAGTCAGGGACAGTAAAGTCCCTCTTTTCGTAACGAACCGAAACACAGTCACGACTGCTTTCTGCCAGCGCCTCAACCGCACCTTTCAAGAAACTAAACGAACGATAACAAACCCCACCACCTAACATCCAAGCATAAACACATGAACCAGCAGCAGCAGCTCCACCACCAGCATGCATCACACTAGCAGTACTACGACATTAGTACGGCATCTAATTACCTAATTAGGCCAGGTTAGGCTTCTAATGCGACGTTATAACTCTGCAGCACGCCACGTGAGCTCTACGTGCAATGCAGATACGACATCAACCCGTGAAAGTACCTGCTGGAAGCTTTAGTAATATCCCACATAAACTATTATTGCAGATTTGCCGTATATACTACCATCCATCGATATGGCTGCGCAGCTCTGACCAAAATACCGTACAACCTCTAATCCTCATCATATGTGTCAGGCGAGGGATGGGGGATGGCACAATAGATATATCCTACAAGGCAACATACGTCAGCATAGCGGTTACGTCTTGACTTACATGCTAGATGAAAGGAGCTCTATTACAGCAGCTCATGCCAGGGGATAGCAGCTCATGCCACGGGAGAGATGCGCAGCTGAGCGCTGGACTATTGTCATCATCACCATCTTGTGCTGCCAACTCGCGTCCTTTTACGACAAAGTGCGGCACGACAATGGCAAAAAACAGTTCCCTGGTCACCGTCAATCGCGAACCGAGGGCTTTTGTCATCACTATTATCCAATTATTCTTCGCCCCCTCGCGAACTGCTTCGCAATCTCTAGCCGCTCCTAGGCCCCCCCGCTCCTTCTTTTCAGAAGGACGTAGATGCCAAGGTTACCCGACCCACAGCCCTGAGCCTCTGCTCCCACGCCGCCTTTTCTTCCTTTCCCTCCTCTTCTCCCCTTCCCTCCTCTTCGGAGTATCCACCTCCTGCTACCGTAATCCCCATCTCCCTCCTCCCTCCTCTCAGAGGCAGGGTCAGTGTTTCCCTGCGGCCCAGTTACCTAATCCCTCCTTTCAGAAGAATGCCAGGTTAGCAGACAGCGGCACCAGGAAGGGTTCCAGTGTGAGCCGCGTAAGGAAGTAGAAGGCCACCCCCAGTGCGATGGAGAAGGGCAGTGCGGGCAGCGCCTTCTGAAACACCGCAAGACACAGCAGCGTGAGGCCCAGACCCGCGATAATGGCAACGTAGGCGGAGAAGACTGTGAAGGGGAGAGGAAGAGGAGGAGGGTGGGGAGATGGGAAGGGAAGGAGGAGGAGAGTAAGAAGGCACATGAGTAGTGTGCAGTTGATAAGTGGCTCAAGAGTTGATCAACCACACAACGCACCGCTGCCCATCCAGGCCAACATGCCGCACCTACGACAGCCACCCACTCGGCACACCCCCTCATGCGTACGACAGCCACCCATATGCCGTGCGTACGGCACCCAACCCCGTACGACACCCACTCACCCGTCATGAAGTCGTACATGGCCGCCCTGCCCACCAGCATGGAGTAGAAGATGAAGTCCCCCAACCCCAGCTTGATCGCATCAGGCAGGTCCACCTCCTGCTGCCCCTCACCGCCGCCGCCCTCGCCGCCATCCCTGCCGCCCGCATTGCCGCCGCCGCCGCCGCTGCTGGCCCCCACAACCACGGGGTGCGGCTGTGCAGGTGGATGTGCGGGGAGGGCGGTAGGCACCAGCGCTGCTGACCCCACGAACTGCTGGGGCTGCTGGGGGTGCTGCTGGGGTTGTGGCTGTTGCTGCGGGTGCGAGTGTGAGGGTGCGGAGTTGAGCTCCCCCTCGCTGTCCTGCGTGCGACGCCTGCTGTGATGTGGATGGACATGAGACGGGAGGGCACCGGGCAGGGGAGAGGAAGAATAAGGAGGGAGAAACTACCGGGAACAGGTTGGGCAGGGGGGAGGCATGACGGTTAGGTAGTGCGGTGCGAGGAATGGGAGGTTGTGGATACCGGCTGTCGCAGCTGGGAGCACGTGCCTCGATACCCAGGGTGGAGGAGCCCAGCGCAGGGAGCCCGCAGCAGCAATCACAGCAACACCAGCAACCGTAAACGCGGTAAAGAGGTGCACCAAGAGGAGCACCGCACTGCACATCTGGTATCCCCCATCCAAACACCCCACTCTCCACACCCCATCCGTACACACCCCATCCGTCCACCCAGCCCAACCTTCCCCCTCCCCCTCCTCCTCCCCCACCTCCCCATGTAACCCACCCAACTGCCTCCGCCAGCCTCTCAGCATCAAAGGCGGGCGCCACCGCCCTCACTCCCATGGTGGGCGACACAGGCGGCCGACCCTGCCCCTGCCCTTGTGCCTGCCCCGGCCCGGGACCGGGCGCTGCTAGTCGGGGCTCAGGGTAGCGCTGCTCCACCGCCCCCTCTGCAACAGCACCCGCACCCGCACCAGTGGAGGCGGAGGCGCGGCCGCCCTTGGCTGCTGCCGCATGCTCCTGGTGGGGTGGGGAGGTAGGCGGAAGACGGGAGAAGGTAAGCGCCTTTAAGGAAACTCGGATGCTGGTGGTGGTGTGGACAGGTGGGAGAAGCAAGCAGACCCCTGCCATCCGAGCCCCCATCGACCCACCGACCCTCTACTCCTGCTTCCCCTCATGTCGGTATCCACAACACGCTCACGGCCCCCCCACTTACCCGCGGCGCCACCATCTCCTGCTCCAGCATCGCCCCCGCCGCCGGCCCCCGTGCCCCCGCTCCCCCAAGCAGGGGCTCCTGGGAGCTGTGGCTCTGCGGCGAGGAGCGCCCACTAACCGCCGCTGCCCCACCCCCACCATACGACAACAGCCCTCCCAGCAGCGACTGCTGCTGCTGCCGACCCCGTTGCAACAGCCCTCCTCCTCCGCCGCCACCATTCTGCACCCCAGCGGGCAGCGGCAGCCACTCTCCTGCGCCTCCTCCGCTGCTGCTGCCGCCGCTTCCCGCCTCCAGGCCCTCCCCTATCGGCTGCGGGCCCCGACTCACTCCGCCCGGAATGGCGGAGCCCACCGTGACGGCGGAGGCCATGGACATCATGCTGAAGCGGCGGTTGTGCGGCTGCTGGTGCAGCAGACGCAGCTGCTGGGGGATGTAGGCCGAGTCGCTGAAGGACCTAAAGGGAGCAGGGAGGGGAGCAGGGAGGGGAGCAGGAGGGAAGGGGAGGGGGGCGGGGGGCCCAGGGAAGGTGGGGTTATGCGTTGGTTGCGGTACCGCCCCTGGTCACGGCAGCAGGATGTGCTGCTGTGACGGCTCTGGTTCAGATGAGGCCACGCGACAAAGCAACAAGGAGAACTGCAACCCCTGATCCGACCCCATTTGTGTGTGCATGCGCACGCGCATGCGCTTGTGCGGCAGTGCCATCCACAATCCGCGCCGCTCCCCTCTCACCCTAGCACCTCCACCGGCGTCTCCTCCAACGGCACCGCCATCGGCGCCGCCGGGCTCCACCCGCCCGCACCCGCCGCACCGCCAGCCCGCTGCTGCTGCTGCTGCTGGGCTGCCCCACCCGCACCCCCTCCTGATCCTCCAGCTCCGCCTCCTGACCCCCCTCCCGCCGCCGCAGCAGCCGCCGACACAGACACCTGTCGAGATGACCCCATCTCCCCTCCTCCTCCAGCTCCTCCTGCACCTCCGCCATTCCTCCGCATCTCATGTGACACCGGCGCACTGGCGGCCTCCGCAACCGGCCTAGACACGCTGCCGGGGGCTCCGGACGCCCCCGCCGCCGGAGGCTGCTGCTGCTCCCCCCCAGCTGCTGCTGCTGCGTCCGCTGCGTTGCGCCTGCCCCAGCCGCGCACGTAGGGCCTGCCGCCCGCGGGCCGAGCCTCGTAGATGAGCGCGGGGAGCTCCTGCTGCCGCTCCACTGCGAGCTCAACGAGAGCCTGTACGGCAGGAGGAGGAAGGAAGGAAGGGGAGGGAGAAGGGTAGCGTGTAAGGACGGAAGGAGGAAGTGGGGGCAAGAGGGGCAGGAGGGTAGTAAGGACTGACCCTGTGACAAGGCCCATTCATGGGACAGGAGGGACGATGGCAGTGGCAGCGTTGCCGCCCGGTGTTTGGAATGCCACGTTTATCACACCACTCTCCACTTACCTTGAGTGGGCCACCTGGCATGAGTACAGCAATGATGTCGTACACCGCCATGAGCACGAGCAGCACCCATGCGGTCCACTCGGGGATGAAGGTGAAGATGTAGGCCACGATGATGCCGACCCAGATCAGGTACACCTGCGGTTGGTGGGGGAGGAGTTTGGGCGGGTAAGGGAAGGAAAAGGGTGCTGACCCAGATGAGGCTAACGTCTAAATAGGGTTTGTACGGGATTTGTAGGAGGAGGACGGAATGCAAATGCCGACCCAGATGCCGACCCAAATCATGATTTTTGTGACATGCATTGTGTTGTGGAGGAACATCGACACCCCTGACTCCCCTCACCTGCTTTGCTAACAACGGTATGGGCACGAATAGTAACCCTAACGTCCCTATAACCTGCGGATCGGAGCACGGCAAGAGCAGCAGCATGGAAAGCGGGTGAGCGTGCATCTGGGAGTTGCAACGCAGGATAGGGGCAGTGGTCGGTGCATGTCACGCAGTGTCAGTGATTACAAAGCAGGGCATGTCGTACAGAGGACTGCTAAAGAACCACCATCGGGAATGCCACAGCCAGCAGGGAGCCAACGCGGTAACCTGTCCGCAAGGCCAGACTGTCCGACGGCGCAAGGTGCGCAACGTGCGCGGCCCCAACGTACCGAGAAATTAAAGAGGCCGTACGCTAATGAGAAGGCGTCGATGTGCAGGCCGATGACCTGCCGGTGGAAAGAACCGAGGCAGCAACGGAAGCAGCAGCGGCAGCAGAAATGGAGTTAAGCAAGGGCTGCCAGTGATGACAGCGGAGGGGGTGGTGGTGTTGGTTGTGAAGAGATGTGACATATAGGTTAGATGCTACGAGCTTGATGCAAGCACACGGGTCAAGAACACTAGGGTTTCGTGTGCGCTTGGTAATCGTCCAGCTATCCAGCTTGGCACCCCGTAACTACGATCCACTCACCTGCATAACCTGGATGAACAGTGCTCCTGTGATGAAGAAGAAGATGTTGAAAACGGCAAACCCCATGTAGGCGAAAATGAACTTGTAGCACTGCGGACAAAAAAGTTGCAACACCCACAGAAACAAAGGCGTGTCAAGAAGGGTAAGGCGGGGGACTGTGCAAGGGAGGGTTAGAGGGAGACGAGGGATGGTTGGGAAAAGGCGGGGTTCCAGCGTGTGTAAGAAAGGAACGAGCAGAGTTGGATGCTGAAGACATGGCTACAGCGAAGATGCTGCTACGCTAGAATGCGGCAAGATAGCGTCTGAAGTCCAATAATCACTTGCCTTGTATTTGAATAACAGGAACAAGACAACCGTCATGCCGGCGACGACACCCACAAAAATGAGTGCGTTCAGCAGCGCTCCACCAAGCTTTTTCCCAGGAGAGTCCGTCGACTGTTGGGGATAGAGGAGTGTGATCCATAAAAAGATCGTTGTTGTTGGTTGCACTCGATGCCCATATACTATTGCTCGGAACATGCGCGGCAGCTAGCTAAGCGCTGTTCAACTCCAAAACAATGCCCTTCGGCCCCACCTGCTCCTGGTACGCGATACTTGCTATAAGAACTGTATTAGCAGAGGAAACGCCTTCTGGGTTGAGGAGGCGAACGAGCAGCACTGTGACTGCCATGCAAAGCGACACAGGCGCAACAATGCCTGTGACCTCCTCGCCCAAATCATCCAAAACAGATTTTTGGGTATCCATCCTGCCCTGAGAAAAGCAGGGTCCTAAACCGTAGACGTCGCCCTTTTAGTTCTTGGCTCCGTAGGGACTATGGTTATCCTTCTATAACGTTGTTGTGGGGCCGGGCATGTAAGGTGGCTTCCTATAAATGTAACATGCAGGCGTCTATCTACGACGCATAGTATATTGAGGTGAACGACTCATTGGTGTTGCGAGGGATCACAGAATCCATTAGACCAACATGTAAAGTAGCGTCCCTTGGTAGGATACTGCTGAGTTACACAAACCAAGGAGTGGAATAGGGGGTCTGGGACTTACCCAGCTCAATGGGACGAGCATCCCGTACTGGGTGCCTGGGAGCCAAGGCGCCCTGTGGAAAGGCCAGAAGATTGCTAGATCAATATAACGCGCCTACGCTCGCTGTTGTGTAGTAGCATACGCCTAGCTGTCGAACCGACCGTATACGGTTAGAATGTTGCCAGAAGCTTGCCAGACTATTGAGCACGGGATCGTGGCACTGCTTAAGCGTAACTTTGGATTTATAGCTTGCCCAAATCGTGTGCGGGACGTGTTCTTTCACTTGGCGGCACTCGAGGACTGCGTCCCTGAACAGCTGGAAGTGGGAACCACTGTCACCTTCACTGCTGAACGTGACAGCAGCGGGAGGCAAATTGCAACGCACGTTAGGCTTGCTCCTGTTGGCTCCCGCGTCCGCTTGGTGCAGACCAGCCAGGATACCTACATCGGTCAGGTGGCGGATCTTGCAACCAGCACGTCAAAAGGGGTCATCCTATTTCTGAACTCCAGAGAAGCACCCGAACGCATACTGTACGATGCCAGCGACGTGCTTGCCGCGCGCCCAACTTCATCCCAGCAACCTCCTGATGCTACACCGTCGCAGCCAGCATTAGCGTCGCAGCTGCATGCAGATCCACTGGACGCGATTTTCTCACAGGCCCCACAGCCCCCTCTAGCCCGGGGCCAGTTAGTCCTCTTCCGTATAAGTACGGATATGCGAGCAGCACTACTCACCCAACAAGCCACCGCCGCAGCAGCATCGGCTGCTGCTATTCCCGACACAGCAGCCACTGCTGCTGGCATGGGTTCTCCAGCTACAGCTTGTCTCATCTCCGGAGGCTTGAGCGTTAGCAGCGGCAAGGAGCAATGCACCCCTGCGCGCCCATCTGTCAACACCAGACAGCGACTTGCGTACGAGCGGGCGGTTGAAGTACGGCCGGTTTCATCGGTTTCGGAGCTGCGTTTGTCGTACCCGCACCTGCAGCACCAGGCGGTGCTGTTGGAGCTGCTGGGGGAGGCCATGAGGGTGAGTATAGAGGGAGGAGAGCATGCGGGTTTCGGGGCGGTGGCAAGAGGACGCAGGGAAGCATGGGTGGGAAACATGGGTACAATCTATCGGTACCACGGGTCCATGTTCTGCATTTTCCCATGTGGGTCGTTGCCCTTCAGCCGGCTTTCCGTAGTGGGGGGAGGGGGCTTCCACCCCTGCCCCCGGCCTTGCCTTGCTGATCCCAAGTCTGTTGCTGGCTGCATGCCATCGTGCCCGTCGCGTTCCCTCACATCTCCCGCATCCTCACATCCCACAGGCCGCCAGGGAGGTGAGGGCACAGGCGCAGGAGGAAAGGGTGCAGGAGGCCAGGGTGCAGGAGGTCAGGGCGCAGGAGCATGCACACGAACAGGCAGTGCGCCGAAGCTAGACCAGCACCCGGGCTGTGCAGAGCGTGTGCGGCTGAAGGCCGCGAGACACAGAGGGAGGGACATGGGGACGCGGGTGAGGTTGGCGAGGTGCGGCACACGAGGTAGGACAGGTGGTTAGGCGGAGCGCTGGTGGGCGGGTTGACACTTTGGGTGCGTGTGGCGTGTGGCAAGTGGGGCAGCTGGTGATGTGCCACCATGCATCCCCTCACTGCCCGCCACTGTCCAGTGGGGGCCTCCATGTGCCCCCGCCACTGTGCTGCTTGCCTTGTGCCTGTCCTGCCTTACCTCAGGCCGGCTGCCTTCCATTCCCCAGGCCCATTGGGCTACATGCCGCCCAAGAGGCGTAGCAGCAGAGGCGGGAGCGCAGGGGCTGAGGCGGGAGGTCAGGGAGCAGGCAGTGCACCGGAGCTAGAGCAGCGCATGGACTGTGGAGAGTGGTGCTGTCCGGAGCGCGTGTGACAGCTGAGGGCAGCGAGACAGTCAGAGAGAGAGAGAGAGAGGGGACACTTCTACGGGGGCGCGGGTGAGGCGGGCGGGGAGCGGCGGCATGGGAGGACAGGCCACACTATTTTCCGGTTTGTGAGTACTGGCGCCCGGAAGCGCTGAAAAGGTTATTAGACGAGGATAAACGAGCGGGTGACATAAGCGAGCAGCAGATAGAAATTGCAGCTGACACATCCGACACTCACACTCAGCTTTTCAGTGCCGCGACGCTGCCTTACTTCATCGATGCAGCACTGCCTTCACCCACCTCATTGTGGCCTGAATAAGCCCTTGTGGTGACCATCAGCCTGGCTTTGATCAAGTTGTATACCGGTACCAATAGCACGTTACAAGTGACGCCCCGCTTTCATCCCTTTCATGCCCCCCCCCGTTTAGGCTGCCTCGTATATTGATGGGGGGCGGTTCACGGATCTTTCCAGGGCCTGTTCTGCGACATGGGCGATGCCTGACGCGGCAGTGGGTGCGGCATAGCAACTAGGGAGTTACAGCCGGTGCCTTGCTGGGGTTCTCTAGCTAGCTCGTCAGCCATAGGACTAGCAGTCCACGTTAAGGCGCGGTTCAGGATGCTGCCAGTGCGTGACACGTGCTTGCGTGTGCGTTGAGTTCATTACCGGTACTAGGCTGCGCGCATGTGAGCTGTCTGACCCATGGGTCATACACTCGAGAGCTCCGTCGTTACATGGCATACATCTTTCCAATTCCGCTTCTAACCCACTCCCAAGTAAGGGTATGAAATTGTAAAATCCATACAGTTGGCAACGACGCGTTTCGGTTACTGCCGCCTTCCCTGTAGGTAGGCCGCCGGTGTGGTCACGCAACTCGACTAGCTAGGCGCTGGTAAAAAGTACCATACCGCTAGATGCGTCCAGTTGTGTGCTTATCATTTTTTCTTGTCTCGGCCGACCCGTTTTGACGTCCACTGGGCTGTAAACACCACTGCACCGCGCACACCAGCGACGTACACAAATGTTGAGACGCACAGCCGAGTAACAAGTACGATTGCAGAAGTAAACCAGCCCGCATGCACGACGAGTCGAAGACTGTTTATTAGCTGCATCACTCTGTAAGAAACTGAACATGACGCATGTCGTACATGCAACCTCACCTTACAACCCCAATTCAGAGCTGTCCCCAACACCCGCGTCAGGATTGCATTCTGATCATCTGTCGTGGACGCAACCATCAACGGACCCCATGTTCGGACCCCGGTGGTACTAGATGGCCAAACCAGCGTTGGGGCACGACAACGGCAACAGCGGAAACGTCCGATCTTGTCCACATGCTGCCCGAACTCTGTGACTTATCTTCTCATTATTAGATTGGCACCCTACAGAGGGACAGTTCCGAATGAGTCACAAGAAGATTAGGGGTAAGGAATTGATCAGAAGAAACGTATGCCGTACATACTACAAGGGGGGGTTGTACGGTATGTTGCCTAAGTTGGACACGCAAAGTTCATTGAACTGCAGAGTTCAAGCGTCGTCACACGCTAAGCAAGATGTGCAAGGTGTTTCCCTATTGAGTGAACCCTGTACGCCTGAACGGCAGCCCGATCCCCGCCAGTCCTGTTTACCACAGGACTAGGACCTAACTAGGATGGCAATATTAGCAAAGCATGCGCCCAAGGTAGAAGTTACCTGGCCAGTGTACGAGACTGATGTTCCACGCACGTGCTCAAGGCGTGGGTGCGAGTCCGGCCGCTATGCAGGCAGCCATGCAGGTTCCCAGCGCCGCATTGCATGCGAGGATGGCGGCAGGCGCCCCGGCACCTGCAGGCGGAGAAAGGAGGAAGGAACCAGGAATGCTGTTGCTTGGGCTCCTGAAGAGATATGATGCAAACATGTATCTTAACAGACACATTGTGTGTTACCGATCGATACGTTACACAAACTCTAGCTTGGGCGATGGTGTTTCTGCTGACATGACCCGCACAAGCAAGCGGACAGGTAGGGCTTGACATGGTTGCTGGTTGTGAAGCGCTAGATGCTTGAGAACTGGAACATATTTGCTGCAGGAGCGTAACGGTAACGCAGTACCGGTGTCTGACTTACCTGCGGTCACCGTCCCGAAGGGCACACCAGCAGCTGCGTAACACGCTACAGCTACCGCATTACAGCCCGACTGGCAAATTCCATACGCTAGGGGCCCGCCCTTTACGGCGGTGATCGCAAAGGCGATGACGACAGCAAGGATCAGGGCGGCCAGCAGCTGGGGCCTACGGGCCATGTGGGCTGCGATGGGCGTGAGGGATGTGGGATTATGTACAGGTCGCTGTTGTTCGAGAGCAGATGGTGGCTATCGTTGCCAACGTATAGAAGGATACTGGGAGCTAGGAGTTTAGATAGTTTGCAAGGTGAAGCTGAGCGGAAGAGGCGCCTGTATAGGCCGCCGTGCAACCCGTGACGCTAACCGTGGGGCCCGTGCATTCTGGTAGCCCGTGCTGTGCAGCCCGTGCTTTGCGCCGTGTGATGAGTTACCTCGGTGCCTACAGGTTGTCACAGCCCGATGCGCCAGTCACGGGTATCTGTGCATTCACTTTAGCTTCTGATGGCACGTACTAGGTACCGGTATTGGAGTTCGTCCTACAGCTGCTAGCTCCACGCCGCAACTTGGGCTGACCAGCAATGCGCAGAAGCAAGAGTGATGCTGGGAGTTGGGCGAATAGGTAGCATGCATGCATGGGTCTAGCAAACCGCGCGCGTGTGTATACAGCGCCCGTAAGCTGTATGTCCGACCCATGGGTCATATGTTGAGGGGGAGTTTCCTCGTTACCGCATGCCATGCCATCCTTCCAACCGCACGTCCAGTCACACGAAGACGGCCAAGTGCATGTATATGTTGAGTCTGTGAATGGCAACTAAACGTTTAGCTTGTTATGTTACAGGCAAACAATGTCAAGGAGGCAAGACGTCTAGCTAGACGTGCCAAGGACGTGCAACGTACAGTCTGCACCACACGCCATATGTATGCATCCTTCTTCTCTCAGTAGTCGACCAAAGATGATATCCCATAAGTTCACGTCAGCGCCCTATGCACCATGCATACACGTCATAATGCATATAGCTGCAAGGCAATAAAATGCACTAAAATTCTCCTGTCGTAGGTTCACGTAGGTACATGTCGTACCAAAAACCACCTCCCGCACATGCACTCCACATGCGATTTAAGTGGCATGTTAACTACCTATGAAGACGCTGCATGAGAAATATGACTACCTGCAATGTTGCACTATTCTCCGTTTGACGCCACAAACAAATAAACACCGTGTCAACCAACAACACACATGTGCCAGCAGGTGCCTTACAATCCCATCTTATCGTACAGCCGACTCTGAGCTTTCCGCAGCGCCGCTGCTAGGAATAATACATCCAGCAGCTTCCATACTAGAAGCCGCGGCCATCTCGCTCAGATTTATGTGAGCATGCCGCCAGAACTCGGTGGTTCTCGGATCGCCGGGGTGCAAGGACAGCAGTGCCCTACAGGGGGGGCAGGGCCGCAAGCAGGTGCTATGAGGAATGTCCTGGAGCAGCAATATCGTACAGTTGCACGAGGTGTGCTGCTCAAGGAAGCGACTTAAGAGCGCACGCAATTTCAGCGAGTCCTCGATTGTATACTAAAACAAGGTGTGTCTACAGCTATACTGGGCCAACCCTGCCCTGGACAGCAACCCCCGTCAGTTCGCTGTTTCTTGTTGTGCGCTTCCTAGACTACCGGTATAGAGGACTGGCGGGGACTGCTAGTCGCCCAAGACATTACCTGATGAGCATTCGACGGTGGTGTGACACGCACGTGCTCAAGGCGTGGGTGCGAATCCAGCCGCTATACAGGCTGCCATGCAAGCTCCCAGCGCCGTATTGCATCCAATAATGACGGCAGGCACTCCAGCACCTACACGGAAAGGAGAAAGGAATCAGGATGTTGGGATCCATAAGTTTAGTAATTTACACGAAAGGAAATATAATGCATGATGCACATTATTTTACAGGCTCTCGCTTGGGCGAGGAGGACTACTGCCAACATGGATCGACGTGTTGAGTGGTCGTGCCGGCAAGGGGCCGGATACTAGATGACTAGAACGTGACTGCAGAGCATTAACTCAAGAGGCGTTATATATTTTGGCCTACCTGCGGTAACCGTCCCGAACGTTGCGCCAGCGGCCGTGTAACATGCGACAGCCATCGCATTGCAGCCGGACTGGCATATGCCGTAGGCGAGGGGACCACCCTCCACGGAGGTGAATGCAGTGGCGACGAGGCAAGCAAGGAGTAGGATGGCAAGGGTCTTACGAGCCATGTTTGCTCGGGAGGCTCCTTGACGCTAGTAAGCGGATGATGCTCAAAGAAGTCGTTGTCGTCGAGGGCAGACGACACTTAGCCTCTGCAATTTAAAAATCTTCAAGTTAAAATAACTTACTTGTATGATAATGTTAACCAGCGAGGGAAAGCTTATATAGGCCGAACGACCCGTGACGTGACCCGTGTGGCCCGGGCTGCCAGTATGTAGGTACCGGCCGGTGCCGTAGCGATTAACACGGGTATACCAGGGTATGCATTCTGTAAAGCTTCTCAAATTTAATAACTAAAGCACATTCCTAGCATGCGCATATACGGTAGCTGCGTGCGAAAGTCGTCAAAGTCCCAAATCTAACCTTTCGCAGCAGTATACTCCCAGAAGATATTGTTTACAAGCTCCTATCATAGTAAAAGAGTTAAGGCAGTCCAAACGCAATGTAGGTATACAGTACTGCTGCTGCTTTTAGGAGTCCTGGTCCGAGCGAGCCTGCTCTCAAAGCCTCAACATGATTGTCATGTTGCTGGTTTTTAAACTGGGCAATATGGAAGCATATATGGTTAATCGACACAATTTGATGTAGAAGGCGGAGGGTCGCAGTAGGCATGGAATGCAGCAGAAACATTACGCTCAAGGTTAAAGGGCTAACGTGCTAACATACCAATAGGCCCCAACAGAAAAAACAGTCTAAGCTACTAATGGTGCCGGTATGTGAATACTGGGGTATTGACGGACTATGATTATTGTCGAACATCAAAATCACTCGCTACCCAGCGCCTGCCGGGTCCCAGCACCAATGCCAGCAGACACATGCCATCGCCGTTCACACCCGCCGCCCAGCAACCCAACTGTAACGGTCATTCATTCAACCTAAGGTGCATGCATGCCACCATCGTTCACACTCGCCTCTTGCCAATCCCCAACACTCATCATCGCCTCCCAGGGAAACACTCAGCCTTCGGCAGCTGGAACAGCTGACTAGTGATGCCCCACAGCCATTCCAACCGTTCCTCGAAGCGGCTGGGGTGCGCCTGCGCGTGTAGATCACACGTAGACTGTACGACCTGTGAGGGACAAGTACGGCAGGGGTCAGGTAACGAAGGTCGAGATAAGGGGTATTGCATGCAAGCACATGCTGATCCCGTGCAAAACCCTTTGCAGCAATAGTCGCGCTAGCTCGTGTAACCTAAAAATGCGATAAGTTGCGCAATCAAAACAAGCGCCAAGTCATGTTGCTAAAGTAAGCTGCCGTACCGTACGGCAGGTACTTAACCGAGAGAGGCAACTAAAAGGCAGGTTTGCAGGTACGATAGCAATACTTGAGCTGAGTACGGTACTTTACCAATCCCGCAATTGTACTACAGGGGTGTAGCACGCATAAAAACATAACCATGCAGGCACAGTACGCTCCTACACGCGGCCAGCCTTATCTTTGCACACACGAACCTGTTGGAAAGCCTCAAGAAACGCCAGCAGCGGAGCCAGGCGGTTATGATCCTTCTGGAACGCCGGATGACCCGCGTCCTCATGTTTCTCGCGAGCCGGGCACACCGTTGAAACGTGCAACGACCCAACGGTCTGTGAAGTCTCAAGGAGCTTGGCGACGGTTTCCGCCACCACCGCCGCAGCCCTGGCACTCGTGCACGACACAATGATGCCCAGCACGGCACCACCACCAGCAGCACCAGCACCAGATGCAGCGCCAGCAACACCACCCGCAGCACCACCAACAGCAGTAGCTGACGGGCCCGGCAGCACCAGGTACGCCGCAATGCACTTGTCCCCGCTGCTTCTGCTTCTGCTGTTGCTACTTCCCGCAGCGGCACTTGCCCCACCGGCGGCAGTTGTGGCAGCCATGGCTGCTGCTGACCGTTCCGTCAGCAACTCCATCCAGCCCTTGAGCAGGAGCGACCCATGGGTCATCAGCGTCAGGAAGGGACCGCGCAGCAGCAGGAGGCTGCTGCTGCTTCTACTAATAAAAGACGAGTACCGGGCACCGGCAGCAGCCGCCATGCGCCCCATCGCAGCATGCATGAGCTCCTCGTTGGGCGGCAGCAGCGGCAGCGCAACCCCAGGCGCCGACCCCGCAGGCGCCTTCGCAGCCATCTGCTGGGAGGGCGGCTCCTGGTGATGGACACGTGCAACGGGATGCGCCGCCTGGGCACCCGCGCCCAACGGCCTGACCTGTGTTTCCTCACCACCTCGTAATAGCAGGCGCAGGTAACAGAAGCAGTGAAGGTGAAGCGTCAGGCCTTTTACCCCGCGCAGCACGTCAACTGACGCCCGCAGAGTGACCCATGGGACTGCTCTGTGGAGTTGCAGGGCCCCGACTTCAACCTCGTGAAACTGCTGGAACAGGAGGCGGATTGGTTGCGTTTGTTGGGCGAATTGCGCCTCCGTTGGGGGCTCGTCCACGTCACTGAAGCGGTAAGACAGGCACACCTGTTTAAGGATCAGACGCTGCGGTGCCCTTTTTTGGTGATGTTGTTGGTGGTGGTGCAGCTGGTGCAGCTGTTGACGCCCTGGATTGCATTCCGCTAGGCACGACAGGAAGCCCTCTCTCGCCATTCTCGCCAACGTCCAAATCGGCACGGACGGCATCTCTATTGATGACACGCTACCCGCCTCAAATCGAACGTCTAGCTCGAATTCCGTGTTGGCAATCCGCGGGAAGCGGCACTGCTGCATGTACAGCCGCTGTAAAGAGGCCGGCAGGAAGCGGAGCAGCAGCCGCAGGGTTTCCTTGGGGTCCTCTTGCTCCTCAAGTTGCAAGAAACGTTCGTCGTGACGGACCGTGAAGCTGCTCTGGTAGAAATGCAGCTCCTGAAGAAGTTCCAACTTTGCGAGACCACACAAAGTTTCTTCGGTAAGATTCTCTCGGTAAACCGCCTCGTCGGTACGGATGAGGATACGCTATGAGGAGACGGCTCCCACACCTAGCAGCAGCACTGCCGTCGCTGCTGCAACTAACGCTTGCGCTGCCGCTGCTGCTGCATGCGCTTACGCTGTTGCTGTGGTTGCTACCCGTAACGTTATTGTTGCCAGAAGCAAGGGTTTCCACGCCCGCGAGTGCAAGGTGACTGCTTAAACAGAGCTCTTCCAGGTACGGCAACGTTGCAAGGCCGTCGTACAGGATCTGCTGGGGCAGCCGGTCGTACGACCTTCCCTCGAGGAGGTGTAGGTCCACGCGGCGCAAGGCTGGTAGTCGCCGCAGCAGGAGGGATACGGCGGTTTCGGCTTCCGGCATATTGCCAGTAGAATCCACAACAGCCAGCTCAGTTATGCGCTGTCTGGACTGAAGAGAAAGGTCCGCGAAAGGCAGCAGCAATAGGACAGCGGCATCTGAGGGCGTGTACCGACGGATGACTCCCTCCGATGCTCTAAATGTTTCCAACTGGCCGACTTCATGGCTGATCGTGACTGAGCTGCAATGCGGCCAGCGATTTAGGGACGGCACTTCGCCGTACCTGCTCCGGCGCATGTCCGCGAGTTGCACATGCAGCCCTACATGGCGAACGCTCAGGTCGACAACGTCACGCATCCCGCGGGACACCAACCGAAGGGTCGGCAGGCAGTCATCTGCACTAAGCTCATCAATTAGGCAATCTCGGAAAGTCGCCAGCACTTGAAGCAAATCGACTAACCCAAATTGTTTCTGGCCATTTTTGGATCGCCTGTCCACTGCTAACTTCTGAACGATTTGGGTTTCCATGAAAATGTCTTTTAGCGCGTTGTTTGCTAGCAACGACTGCCGAAATGGGTGGAACGGAAAGACAAAATGCGGACTTTGCTGTTCAGTTGTTTAGGAGGTAAACAACAGGAAGACGGAGTAGGAATAGCTATACATAGCAGTGGCAGTGGAACACAGCCTCCGAAGCCGCTGACATGTCGTACGCGTCGTGAGTTCCTTTGCGTACTGAGTTGCACCTTATGGGTTTAATGGCATAGCAACTTCTGCCACGGTTGCATCCACGGGCGCGACTAAAGCCTTACTAAAAAGGCGCATTTGATTTCACTTGCTGCACCGTACTTGCGTCCACTTTACACCTCCTGCGTCGCTTACAGCATAAAATGAGAGGGCATAACCGCCTGCCTGCTACTACTACCATGGTCATGGTGTAATGGCAGTAGCTACATATAGTGCATGACCTTCTAAAAATCGGCTCCTCCTCATCCTCCTCCACAGCAGTTCAGCCAGGATTGCGAAGGAAAGCAACCCCACCGACGCCACAGCCCCCAACGACAAACAAACAACCAGGTCACATGTTGCCCTCATGAATTGTTCTTTGGCGCATGTCCCCCAACCAAAACTGTGTGTCAGTGCTATGTATGGTGACAGTCCTAGCTATACCCTAAACGACGATCCTTGGCGGAGAACCGTTTGCCCTCCCAAACCTGTACGATCCGGGGGACAACAGGACATTACATCCCTCCCTACCCTGAGGCCTTTTCCCCCACGACATCCGGACAACCCCCAAAGAGTAATCAGCTCCTGTTTGATATAAGCTTTCCTCCCCTCGACTACTCCAGTCGCAACTCCATGCTTCCTCTTCCGCCCCACACGTGCTTCCCAGCTCTCCGGCGGCACCCCCCCCCCCTTGTTGCTACAAGCAGACGCCCTCCTCCGTCGCCTCGCCAACACACACCCACGCCCCGCTAACCCCCCAGCACAGCACCCCTCCCCCTGCTGTCAACCCAACAGCCTCCCCCCCCCCCGGTAACCCCCCGTTACCCCGGCAACCTGCAAGCCCCCGTTTAGGTGACCTGGAAGACCTTCTTCAGCTTGATGACCAGACGCCAGTCGTCCTTGGTCATCTCATCCGCGAAGAACTGCTTCAGCGCGTCGATGGACTCGCGGCTGATGACGGACACCAGCTGGTGGTTGTGGTCAAAGTGGCGGCCGTACAGGCGGGCCTTCTCCTCCGTCGTCTCGCCCTCGATCTTCATGGCGACGCTGTCGCCCGCACGGGCCTTCTCCACAGCCTGTGTGTGTGGTGTGCGCAGGAGGGGACCACGGGAAGGAGGCACGCAACAGGTACGTACATACTCCGTCAGCTAGCAGAACCGAGGAGCGGAACCGAAGAGCAGAACAGCTCGGCAGGTTGGGAACCGCATGAAGCTATGTAGTATAGCAGGACAGAGAGCAACCGCCATTGCTCCCCCCAATAAGTCCCCAACAAGTCCCCCAGCAACTACCGTGCGGCATTACCATCGTGCAGAACCAATTCACCATGGATCACACAGCACCCGGACCCCACTACCAGCCGGCCCCGCCCCCGCCCCCGCCCCCGCAGCACCCGCCCCCACCTTGTGGTTGATCTCCATGCCAGCGATGCGCCCCAGCTCTATGAGCCCGCTCTCCGTCTGCGCCGCCAGCGGGGTGCCTATCTTGGCAATGCCCTCCACGATGTCAACTCCCAGCACGATGGGGTCCTTCTTGTTGAACACGCAGGTGGGCAGGATGCGAAGGGTGACGGGGAACACGGCCTGGCGGGGGTGGGGAAGAACAATACCCAATGTGTTGTGTGAGAATGAAAAGAATACGACGGCGGATGGGAAGGTGGGAGTTGTCGCATTTCCCATCTCGACCTTGCCCTTGTAATGTGAACATACGACCTACCTTGAATCGCGCCGCCTCCTGCTCCGCGCTCCTGATTTGCTTCATGTAGGCTGTGAACTGGTCGAAGAGGTGGTAGATGATGTCGGCGGTGAAGATCTTGACACCGTACTCCTCAGACAGCTCGCGAGCCTGGGTAGGTAAGAGGCGGGGGGGGGGAGGAAAACCAATGTGTTGAATGAGGCTGGGTGGGACAGGGAGGGAAATGCGTAGCGAAAAGTGAAGCAACGGAGTCCCAATCCCCAATCCCGACACATACAGTGAGCACATAGGGGGAGGGAAAGGAACACGACCCGGTGCGTTGACTGATAATAACATCCCCCTCTCCTGCCCCTCTCGTCCGTTTCCTTCACCATTTTCACCCCACACCCCACACCCCACCCACCTCCTTGGACACCGTCACATCGAAGGCCAGGATGACCGCGTACTTAGGGCACTTCTTCTCGTTCATCACGTTGGCCCGCAGCACGTCGCGCTTGTGCACGGGGCCGATGTTGATGCCGCTGACGGGGATGTTCACCTCGGGGGAGGACAGGAAGGCCAGCAGCGCCTCCAGGGAACCCAGCGTGGAGGCCTGTGGGGGGGGGAGGGGCGGAGCAGGGGAGGGATGCGTTAAGAAATCTGGCCGCGAGTCGGAACGGACTGGATGTCACCTTGTGCCCAAGCTCCCTCAGCAGTCATTACCGGTAGCAGGAAAGGGGATGCAGATAAGACAAACATGCGAGCAACCCCCGCCATCCTGCTCCCTCGATGGATCACCCATGCTGCTGCGAGCCTCTCGCAGTCATCTTCCGCAGGACCCCCACCAAACCTCATATCTGCAACCCCAGCTGCTGCTGCTGCTGCTACTGGTGCCCCTCCTTCCCTCCCCCCTGCATCCCCCCCCTCCCTGCCTCACCTGCACGCACACGCCCTCCCCGCCCTTGTCGACCTTGGAGAAGATGTCCGCCATGTCCTCCATCACCGCGTCCTTCAGCTCCTCCTCGTCGTCCTGGTTGGGAGGAAGGGGGAGAGAAGAAAAGCCAATGTGTGGTGTGTGATAGTAGGGGGGAGGGGTGCGGGTGAGAGGTGTGATACGAAACACACCAATACCGGTACGAATCACACCAAACACCCAACGGTGCACCGCAGGCAGTAGCCATGCGGCACGCCTCTCATTCGCTCCTTCCCTCCCAGCCCTCATCCTAGCCCGCTTCCCACCCTCCCCTCCCCTCCTTCGTCCCCGCCCTCAAACAGCTCGTCAGTTTCCCCTCCTCCTCCCCCATACATTACACTGGGTATTCCCCTCCCCTCCTCCCCCCGTGCCCCCCATCCCTCTCACCTCGGGCCCCACCACATACAAGCTGGTTCCCGCCACCGCCGACTCCAGCCCCGGCGCCACGATCTTGACTCCCATGGCTGCGCGGATCTCCTTGTGGTCCATCAGCGCGCCCTTCACACGCAGCTCACGGAGCACCTGGGGGGGAGCAGGGGGGGGAGGGCGGAGGGGGCGGAGGCGGCAGGGAGGGAGGCATGAGAGAGGACAGAAGGGGCGAGGAGGCAGGAAGGAGGGAGCGAGATGGGGAATGGAAGCATGGAGACGATGGCGGGCTCCTAAACAGAAAAACAGGGTGTTGTAAGGTGTTGCAAGGACAAGACAAGGGACAAGAGGTAGCCTCATCATACAGCTCGTCAGCTTCCTCTTTCTGCACCCACCCACATCCCCACCTGCGGTGTCTTGAGCGCCTTGACTCTCGTGACGATGGGTCCGCTCAGCCCGCACACCACGATCTTGTCGCCCTCCCGCAGCACTCCGTTGACCAGCACCACGTCCACAGTGGTGCCAAGACCCTCCATGGTCTTCACCTCCAGCACTGGGGGAGGGGTAAAAAAGGAATTCCAAAGTGGGGAGGTGGGGGTGGGGAGGGGGGGGTGAGGAAGAAAGGATGAAAGACCAAGTCACGAACTGCCGCAGCCTGGAATGGCAATGCGCGTGGACCCTCTACACCACTCCTACTCCCACCCGTGAACCTCAGTTACCAATTCTGCCACTCCTCTTTACCCTCACCCCCCTCGTCGGCTTGTTTGCTGACCTCACTTAACACCTTGGGTATTCCTCTTGCCCTTCACCCCCTTTATTTAATTTCCCCCTCCCTTCCCCCCTCACCTGTGCACTGCGTCTCCGCCACGAACATGAGCCTCTCCGCCATCATGCTCTGCGTGAGCTTCACGATCAGCTGCAGCAGGTCGGGGATGCCCTCACCGGTGATGGCGGAGGTGGGCACCACGTTGACGAACTTGCGCGGGTCGGGGTTCTTCCAGTAGAGAGACACGTTCAGACCCTGCTCGTTGAGCTGTGATGGGGGGAGGGGGGTGGGGGGCGGGGGGAAAGGAGGGAGGGAGAGGAAGGGTTAGCACGGAGAATAGGAGTGCTGAGCTTGGAGCACGTAGCCGTGCTTCAACACAACATTCATTAGATCATTACGCCCCCCCGCCCCCCCCCCGTCTCAACCCACCTGCAGGAAGACCTGGCTGCTGCGCTGCTCGAACTCGGTGTGCACAAACTCCTTTTGGCGCTTGAAGGAGTCGCGGATGGGCGTGTCGGGGGCGCTCTTCCACCCGTACAGGCGGTCAACCTGGGGGGGGGGAGGGCAAAATAGGGATACGCATATTCCGCATTATATAAAAAAAACATTATTCCGCATTATACTTGTTGGAGGGGGTGGGGGGAGGAGGAGGTGGTGGTCTGTGTGCACCAACTGCGTGCATGGGGTGGTAAACAGGTGTGAGGAGAAGGCCGCGGCGGCCAGAAGCAGGATCTGGACATCGCTCCGCGCATCCGCTCCGCGTATGTCCCCCACCCCGTCCCCTCCCGCCCCGCCCCGTTCCTCACCTCCTCACCTACCCACCACCCCCAACCCACCTTGTTCAGCGCGATGACGAAGGGCGTCTTGCGCATCTTGAGCAGGTTGATGGACTCGATGGTCTGCTGCTCCAATCCGTGCATCAGGTCCACGATGAGGACCGCCATGTCGCACAGGCCGCTGGGCAGGGGGGGGAGGCGGGGAGGGAGAGGGACGGAAGGGGGGGAAAGGATAAGACCCTTTTCTTTTTCGGAGCACTTTCAACCGCAACAAAGCTGTTGGGAATCCCTTGTCTCCCAAGTCAGGTCCCAGACGGCGGTAACAGCCGCAGCCCCGCGCAAAGCCTTACGCCCCTGATGCGGCAAGCAGTGCGGAGGCCCGCCGGCCTGCCTGCCCCACTTCTTCATCCCACTTCCAATCCCCTCATCCTACTCCCTTCATCCCACTCCTGCTCCCGCACACACCTGCCGCGCTGCCTCAGGTTTGTGAAGGACTCGTGCCCCGGCGTGTCGATGACCAGCAGACCCGGCAGCTTCATGTCGAAGGCGCGACCCCCGCGCAGGGACTCGGTGCGCCGCTCCACCGCCTCCGCGGGAACAAAGGTGGCGCCGATTTGCTGCGTGATGCCGCCAGCCTCGCCGTCCTGTGGGGAGGTGGAGGGCGGGTGGGGTGAGGGATTGGGTAACTGGGAAAACACATGTTCCGCATTTGGCTGGATTATAGGATTGCGTGTGGGTGAGGGGAGGTGGGGAGGAGGGGAGGAGCGAGTGGGGCAGGTTGTTTGGCAGCAGTAGGAAGTAGGATAGGTAGCAGCGGTCGAACCCCAGGTAAGCAGGAGCAACCAGCAAGCAACGGTGACAGGGCGGCGGTGATCGATGGCAACTGTGGCAAATGTGCATAGAAGGGCACGCCAACGTCTCATGACGCGCACCCACACACCAAGCCAGTTATTTTAACACACCAAGCCACACACCAAGCACAACGGCGGGGTCCCTATCTCTCTCTCGCCCTCCCTCCTCCCTCCCTCCCTCCCTCCCTCCCTCCCGCACCTGCACGTTGGTGCGCCGGATGTTGTCCAGGATCTTGGTCTTGCCCACATCCACGTGGCCCAGGATGCAGCAGATGGGCGAGCGCAGGTCCTCCTTGTTGGCGAGCTTGCGGGCCTCGGCGGCACGAGCCAGGCGCCGGTCCTGGGTGTGGGTGTGGGTGTGGGTGTGGGTGTGGGTGTAGTTGGAGGGTGAGGGCAGGGTAGGCCGGGTAAGAGCACGGTAGGCCAGGCCGGGTAAGAGCGGGGAACGTCTTTTCGGTTTGGGGAAATGGCGTCTTCGTGTGTCATGGACGCCGGACCTGAACCACCTTGGTCCTGGGAGAACAAGTCCAGCACTGTGTAATAACGCAGAAAGCAGCAAACAGGGAGGAGCTCCTCGGCGCTGAGAGACTTCCTTTTTGCGGCTAGCAGCGGTTATCGCAGTTTGTCCCCAAGGACTTATGTCACGACACGACTAACTGTACTGCACCCACCCTGGCTTCGTCAATCCGCTGCTGCCGTGCCTCCTCGCTGTCTTCGCTGCTGTCATCCTCATCGCTGTCGTCGTCCTCGTCGCTGCTCTCCTCCTCGCTGCTGCTCTCCTCCTCAGACTCGGACTCCTCCTCACTGCTCTCCTCCTCGCTCCCAGACTCCTCCTCAGACCCAGACTCGTCCTCTGACTCAGACTCCGAGCCGCTGCAGGGGGACAGCGGTAAGCAGGGAAAGCCGTCAGGGTTCAGGCCTTTGCATGGAAGTATATACAGCAGTATAGGCAGTACGAATGCAGGATACAGAAACGCAGAACAGTGGTGCCGTGTTGCCACATCTTGCCACTGCCAAGGTCTCTACCCATGTTGTACGGTCAAGGGACAGCAACTGCCTATAAATCCAGAGTAAAAACGCCCAATCCGACGCACCTCTCCTCCTCCGACTCTTCCTCCTCCTCGCTCTTGGGCTTAGCCGCCGCCTTAGCGGGCGGTGCCGCCTTGGCAGCCGCCTTGCCATTCGCGGCCGCAGCCTTCGCAGCCTTCTCCGCCTCTTCCTTCGCCTTTGCCTCGGCTTTCGCCTTGGCCTCAGCCTCCGCAGCAGCCCGCGCCTCAGCTTCCTCCTGCTCCTTGGTCTTCTTGGGAGCCAGGATGGCATCGGGGTCAATCTTGTCCCAATCGTCCACCTGCAAGGAGGAACCCAGAGGTCGCAAGGTTGAGAAATGGCCCATGGTTTATACGAGCCGCGGGTCAACGGCCTGCCTGGTGCAAACGGCCGCTGCACTGCATCTCCTCCGCAGCAATACACACCATGTAAAGAAGGAATGGTCCCCCCTGGCCCGTACGGACACCCCGTACACGGTTACAGGGACAGTACTCCCAACTGTTAAGTCTGTAACACAAGGCCCTTGACCACCTACCGCGTCCCAGTCATCTACAAGAGCAACAGGCTCCTCCGGCTCTGCTGCAGGCGCAGCCGCGGCCGCGGGCGCGGCAGCTGCTGCCTCCGCAGGCGCTGCTGCCGCTGCCGCCTCAGGCACAGCAGCCGCCTCGGCGGCCGGTGCCGGCGCCTCCGCTGCCGCCGCGGCGGGAGCAGCCTCCGGAGAGCCCTCCCGCTCCGCCTCCGCCTGCTCCTGCTTCTTGCCAGCTGGCTTCTTCCTGCTGCCGTACACCACCTTCTTCTTCTTCTCCTCGGCGGCAGCTGGCTGGCTGAGGTCAATGCCTGCATGCGGTGGGAGGAGGGTACCATAACAGGAAGCCAGGTCTACCGTTGGCAGGTTCAGCCATGCAGCAGGAGGTCAGGTGCTAAACACCCATGACATGCGCACCCGACTCAGGTAGAGACCAGGTAGAGGGTTAGGAAACGCGGTTGCTGCTGCATTCACACCACGAAGCTGTGCAAGGGGGGCATGCCTCCTCCCCATGCACGGTTACGCACCCTTCTCAGCTGCCTTGGCCAGCAGCTGTGCTGCGATGGCTGCGCGGCGCTCCGCCTCCTCCTTGGCCTTGCCGGTGAGCAGCTTGCCCTCGCGCTTCAGCTGCTCGCGCTTGGCCTGCGTACGACAGGTGGGTGGGAAGAGTGGCAGGCCGGATGGGTGAAGACATCCACAGGGTCCAACACGGGTCAACCGTAGAGAAGCAAGGAGACGCGTAGCGGAGTGTAGGCCTTTGGAGATCATGCACGTACCTTCTCCTTCTCCTTCTTCAGCCGCTTCTCCTCCTCCTTCCGCCGCTCCTCCTCCTCAATCCGCCGCAGCTCCTCCTCCTCACGAGCCTTCCGCTCAGCCTCCAGCCTGTTCAAGACGGCATCACGCAATCATACGCCTTCACGTCAAGCAGAAGCAAACGTGCCCCACTACCGCCCAGGTCCTCTCCTTAGACACACTGCTTGTGCGCTAAAGCCAGCATAGCCTCCCAATCCCCAATACACCAACGCACATGGCCCCATGCTCCTTACCCAACCTCCCCAGCCTTCCTACCTGGCAGCCTCCTCCTCCGCCTTCTTGCGTGCCTCCAGCTGCTCACGCAGCTTCTTGGCAATGGCGCTCTCCTTAACAGGCTTGCCCTTCTTGCCCTTGCCGCCCGCAGCCTCTCCCTCCTCGGCCTCGGCGCCTTCAGCGGGAGCAGCGGCGCCTAGAGGGGCGAGAGAGGCGGCGCGGAAGACAACGGCGGTAGTGGTGGTGGTGAGGGGTTTCAGTTGTTGAGTTGTAGCAGAGAAGGCGGTCATGCACATGCACCCAAATAATTTGAAGCTGTCGTACCCGCAAAGCCTGATCCACTGCAGCGTCCATGCATACCATCGTCCAACACGCAAAGACCATCCGAGAGTTCCCACAACACAGGCCACACGAGCGGCAGCACCTTACCGTCTGCAGCAGCGGCCTTCTTCTCCTTCTCCTTCTGCTTCTTCTTCAGCTTCTTCTTCTGAGCCGCAGTGAGCTCCTTGCCGCCCTCACCGCCCTCGCCTCCTTCCTCGCCCTCCTCCCCTGCCTCATCAGCCGCCTCCGCGGGCGCCTGTTCCTCCGCTGGAGCAGCAGCAGCGGCGGGGGCTGCTGCTGCTGCAGGTGCCGCAGCAGCCTCCGTCTTGGGCTGCTGCTGCTGTTGCTGCTTGGGGCCGTCAATCATGGCCAGCAGCGCGTCAATGTCCTCATCCTCCTTCTCAGCCTTGCCGCCCTTGCCTCCCTTCTTCTTCTTGCCCTTGCCTGCTAGGGCGGCATGGGCGCAGGGCCAAGGGACAAAGTCAATGTCGATAACGTGGCAACCCTGCCAAGACGGACCAACTGTATGCGTTTCAAGCCCAGCGTCTTAGGCCAATTGACATGCTAAATGCCATGCGACTAAGAAAACGTCGTCCGTCGTCCTCCGCCCGGATTCAGATCCAGAAGCAGCTTAGCTGGGCCCAGAGTCCCACCTGCAGCAGGCGCCTGCTCCTTGGGCTTGTCCAGCTCCGCGAGCAGCGCATCCACCTCCTCCTCCTCCTTGCTCTTGGCAGCTGCCTTGCCGCCCTTAGCAGCGGCAGCCGGCTTCTCAGCAGCAGCGGCTGCGGGCTTCTCAGGCGCAGCCGCGGCTGTGGGTGGTGTGAGGGAGTTAGGGAGGGGTCCCAAGAATTAGGATGTCAGGTGTATTGAACGCTGATACGCTCCCAGGCAACGTCCCTCTATCCAAGGTCCAAAAGGGAGTCTCAGGGCTAATGCGTTCTGAGCCTCAAGTGGTAACCACCCCACAGACGACATGGGATCTATTGAGCGCCCCATGCAGCTCATGCAACGGCAGGATCCCCTAGCTCATGTGGACCCCACACAAAGAGACTACCACGGGGGCAGCTTACTCTCAGCGTCCGCCTCTAGCGCTGCGAACAGGCTGTCCATGTCCTTCTTCTTCTTCTCCTTCTTCTTTTTGGGAGCCGCCTCCTCATCCTCAGGAGCAGCAGCGGCCGCGGGCACTGTACGGCACATCAGGAATATGGAGGCAGCGGTTTAGGTGCTCCGTGTTTTTTTATTGCGGCTTGGTAGCCATGCCCTAGTACGTCCTACGTCCCTGATGCGTGCACAGCCGCCGAGGCGCCCGCCTTCTTGCCGCCCTTCTTGCGTGTGTGCGGCCCCTCCCAGTCTTCCTCGCCACCCAACCCTTTCCTACCTCCAGCGTCCTCCTCCAGGGCTGCAAAGAGGCTGTCCATGTCCTTGCCACCCTTCTTCTTCTTGCCCTCCTTCTTCTTGACTTCCGGCTCGGCCTCCTCCTCAGGAGCAGCAGCTGCAGCGGAGGCTGTTTAGGTCGGGAGGGTATGACAGGAGGGTGGCAGCATGGCATGTAAGTGCATCCCACTTTGCCATGTTGGCGTCTAAAAGACGCTGCTAAGTCGTACATGCAGGGCAAGGCAAGGCAAGGCAAAGCTGCAGCCATACGCCGGATCGCGCCGTTACATGTGACGACGGGTACATAGGGGACTCAAGTAGCAACCCTCTTCTCGAGTTCTGGAGGCAAAGGCTTACCTCCAGCGTCCTCCTCCAGGGCTGCGAACAGGCTGTCCATGTCCTTGCCGCCCTTCTTGCCCTTCTTGTCCTTGCCAGCCTTGGGCTTCGGCGCGGGAACCTCCTCCGACGCATCGTCCTCCGGCGCCTCTGCCACAGCGGAGCCTGGCGTCGGCACAGCAGCAGCAACAGGAGGTGTGGAGGGCAAGCAGGGGTTAGTAAGGGAGCAAAGCTGCGCCAAACCGCGGTCTCCAGTCACATGTAGACAAGGGAAGGCCACATTTTGGGGCATGTACCAACACCAAGCTGTAGCTACTAAACCTCGCCGTCACAACCCAAGCCACCTTACCCTCCGCGTCCTCCTCCAATGCCGCGAACAGGCTGTCCATGTCCTTTCCACCCTTCTTGCCCTTCTTATCCTTGCCCGCCTTAGGCTTCGGCTTTGGCGCCTCCTCCTGCTCCTCCTCGTCCTCCTCCTCTGCCTCAGCCGCTGGGACGCCTGAAGAGAGGGAAGCAAGCGCCCAAGCTTAGACACACCTCCAGGACGTCATAACACCCGTGGAAACCATGTAGGCGTATGGACAACACTCTTCGTAAACACCCCGATGTTATCTTCACTACTCGCTCCCATTCGTCCGTCCGATGCTCTTTAGCACCGGTGCGCCTCGTCATGCTATGAAACCCACCTTCCGCATCCTCCTCTAGGGCCGCAAAGAGGATGCTCATGTCCTTGCCGCCCTTCTTGCCCTTCTTCTTGCCGCCCTTAGCAGCCTCCTTCTTGGCTGCCACCGGCGCCACCTCCTCCTCCTCCTCCTCCTCCTCCTCAGCAGCGGCACCAGGCAGCTTAGACTTCAGGCCCTGCGAGTCAGAAAAAGCACGACCCACTTCGTCAGGCTATGTGGGCCGGAGTTGACAGCTACCCAGGCCCATGCATCTATCACTGCCATGACCTCAACTAAGACTGCAATGCCCTTCGTGGCATCCGTGCTGCTGTCGTGGAAACATGGGCGCTACGTGAAGGAGCCAGCCCACCATGTGACCCTTCACACCTACTTCCTGCCCACCTCACCACACGTCCGATCCCCCACCCCGCTCTCCATTACTAAACCCCCGCAACCCAACCCCCTCCCGCTCATCTCGCACCTTTGGCGGCTGCTTGGGGCAGGGCTCGCCCACCTCCGCATCGTCCGGCAGCACCACCAGCACGTTGTCTGGATCCTGGATCCAGCCAATATCGTACGCGGAGCACAGCATGCCAAAGCTGTCCACACCCTTGAGCTGCTTGCGCTCCATCTTGAGGCCGCTGCCGGGCGTGGTGGTGCCGAGGGGCTGCGAAGGGGCAACAGGTGATAAACAGGGACGAGGTGATGTTGAAATCGTGGGTTGCAGTACATGGATGAGGTCTGGTGACGGTAATGGCATGGAGGGGAATGCAATGCAGCAGCTGAAGGTTGCCGGTCTTAGTAACGGTGTAAAGAGGAACGGACAGATCATGTATGGTCGCCCAAAATTGCCATGTAACATCTTGGTGCCTGACGGATTTGGGTCAGGGCGTATGCCATCTGGGCCAGGGCGTAGGCGATCTGGGTCGGGGCGTAAGCCATTCTTAACCCACGAACACCCAGCCCTACACGCCCCTGAAGCCGTGCCTTCGTTAGCCCCTCCGCAACCCCCCTTCAACCCTACTCCAACCCACCGCATTCTCTAAGCCTGTCCCCCTCCTCCCTTCCAGGCCCTTCCCTCGACCACTCACCGCGTACACCACCTTCATGCCCTCCTCCACGTTGGTTGCGTTGGTGACCACCACCGACATGTCCCGGCCCCAGTCCACGTCCACCACCCGCAGCCGGTCGGCCTTGGGGTGCGGCTGCACGTTGAGCACCTCTGCAACCACCAGGCCGGGGCCCGAGGCTGCTGCTGCTCCCTGTGGAGGCAAGGGGGCAAGGAGGAAGAGGCAAGGAAACGATGGCAAGGGGCGGTGTGTAGAGGAGGGGATCATGTAGTGTAGGGCGGCTTGGTCAGTGGCGGATGCAGGGTGAGGGTGTGGGGGAGGTGTGGACTTTGCAGGGCTTCCAACAGGGTTTGAGTAAGCGCTAGCCTTCCAAATTCCACTAGCAACGTAAGCACGGCACGCAACACCCAGCGGGCTACACAGCTCTAGTAGCTTATGCAAAATCCTCTTCCATGCTTGTACTTCAAAAGATCGCGAACTGATAGCCAATCGTCTGAATAAACGACCGAGCCGCAACCAGCAACACCGAGATGCTGGCCATGCAGGGACTAAAGGCTCACCTTCTTGCTGCTAGCCGGCTTAGACGCCACTTCCTCCTCTTCCTCATCGTCGTCAAGGGCAGCAAACCCAGCCTTCTTCGTCGCCTTCTTGTTGCCAGCTGCTTTCTTCGGGGCTACTTTCTCCACTTCCTCATCGTCGTCATCATCCTCCCCGCCCAAAAGAGCGAAGGCAGACGTTGCAGGCTTCGATGCTGCCTTTCCCTTGGTCTTTGGCTTGGCCCGGACTGACGATTCCTCCTCATCGTCCTCAACTGGCGCTTTCTTTAGTGGATCAATATCATCGTCATCGTCATCACCAAAGGCGTTCTTGCCCTTTTTACCCTTTTGCTGCTTCTTAGCCTTGCCCTTCGCAGGTTGGGGCTTTGCCTCCTCAATTGCCGCCGCCGGGCCGGTGCTCTCTTCATCATCCGCATCGGGCAAGTCAAGCAGAACTGCTTTCTTCTTCCCCATTCTTGGGACTAGTAAGCTAAGGGGGTTGAGCACTAACCTATATTTTCCAACTTACACCAGTAACAAAGATCGGTTCCAGGTTTAGACAAAAGGTGTCCTAATAACACCAATTGGCTTTAAGCCAAAAAGGAAATCTTTCGGAGGTAAGGGGCAGCATATGGTGCAGCTTAATGGTCTCGGAGCGCAAGCCAACTCATGCGCAAGGCGAGGAAAAGCGTTCCTTTTACCCGAAACAAACCTGCTTACGTACCTATACTAAGTTCTGGACAGGGGCTTAAGACATGGCTTTGGGGGGCGTTTCCTTTCGCGCTATGGCGTCTTAAAAACGACTTTGAGAGTATTGTCTCACCACCCTTCGATTCCACCGTTACACCCGTATCCTGTTAGCCACTTCCAAACCCCCTCATACACTGTTCTGCTACTGCTGCCCAAGGGCACCCACCGTATGCTAGTCACCCGTGGTTCATCGCCCTCGAGGAAGCCCCTGTGACCTTCTGTTGGGCGGTTGGGCGGGGCAGATGGCTTACATATCCTCAGTTGAAAGTTGAAAAGCAGTTGCGGAGGCAGGAAACAGGCGGATATGGTGAGTGGGTCGTCTGTCCTTGTTACACGGTGCACCGAGCTAGTATTGTCTTGCATAAGCGCTTGTTCTTGCGGATCGGTTGGACTGCAATTTATCAGAAACGCGAGTAGAGATGGCATTGCATTTCGGTCTGGTCGCCAACCCCAACTAGACCGGCGCAGCAATGTCCATCTACTATTTATATAGCCTAGCCTAGCGGTCATGCGGTTAGGGCGGTGGCCAACTGTTACTGCTGTCATTGCAGGATGAGTCCGAATTGCTCTTCTTGATATGGCGTGCCCTGTCATCCGGTCCATTGACTGGGACTGTACGGTTACTAGAAGAAGAGGCATCGAAGCATGGGTTGCTGCCAACGCGCGTCGACATTGCTGGTAAGCGGAAGGACAAGCTGCAGCATACCCGTCTATTTCCTTGGCAGCCATCATTCATCCTACAAGCATCGAGATATCAGAGTCATGCAGAGAAAAAGAATGCTTGTCTCGCTTCCGCAGGGAACGTGCAGCCGGTTCCATTTGCCCAGCATGGCAGCGTGCATTCGCACGTCCCGGCAGACGCCCTCCAACAGTTACTGGGCAAGCTTATGGCCCAGGATAAGCCTAACGGAAATGGAAGCATCCAGGTGAGGCTCGTGTATCCGATTCCCTTATCTATCTACTTACCTATCTAGCTATCTACAGTTGGGGGACAGGCCACGTTCACCGCCATATTTTCCTGACCCACAGCAGTCCTGGCAGTCGCTCCCTTCCAACAGTCAAAAGCCTCACTTTCTGCCGTACTGCACCCACATCGCCCGTTACACACCCCGCCATGATCTCCTCTTTTCCTCTCCCTCGCTCCCAGGTTGTCAGCTTGACGGCTCCTGGCAAACATGGCCTTCTGGGCTGCCCGGAGCCTCCCCTGCCCATCTGGTGGCGACGGCCTCCCACACAGGTAGGTGGGACCCTACCGGTAGTCCCCAGCCTGACCCTCGGCCTTCCTGCCAAGCTCTTGACATGAGCTCTTGGGAGCGTTGCATCTTCCCCATCAACCCCCCAGCCTTCTCCCGAGTCGTTCCTCCCCTCCCACTTCCAGGCCACCCTCCTCAACACCACCTCCCCATGGACCCCCGACCTCCGTCCCCCGTCCCCATCTCCTTCCCTTCTTTTCCTTTCCTTTAAACAGGCCAGCTTGCCCCACCAGATCCTGGTACGGCAAACCGGCATGGCCCGGGGTCGCCTGGCCAGCAGCGCACTGCACACCTCGGCGGGATGCGGTACTGCTGCGGGTACGGGTGTGGGGGGGAATGCTGCCAGCGGCGCTGCTGGTAGCGGTGCTGTGGCTGCTGCTGTTGGCGGTACGGCAGGTGTCGCTGCTGCTGCAGCAACAGCCGCTGCGAACGGTGCTAGCGGTGCTGTGGCTGCTACAGCCGCCGGGGGGCTCCTCACGGGGCCGGTGTGTCGACAGATGCGGCACCTGAAGACGGTTCGGGGGCACCGACTTGCCGTGTACTGCTGCACGTACGACAACACGGGCAAGCGTATCATCACGGGCAGCGACGACTGCATCGTCAAGGTATGAACCATACATGCACAGCCCTGGGGAAAACGGGAGTTATTGTACGACAGTAGTTCCGATCTCATACGCACATGCCGCACAACACGCCATGCCGTACATCGCCGTACAACACCCACCCAACCGGATCCCACCCATCCAGATCTGGTCTGCACTGACCGGGGTGCTGCTCAAGTCGTGTCGCGGCCATGACGCGGAGATCACCGACTTTGCCGTCAGCGCCGACAACCGGCTGCTGGCCTCTGGGGACACGGCGAGCAGCATCCGGGTGTGGAGCCTGCAGGTGGGCCCGATGGGGGGGTCAAAGTAGATCAAACCATAGAAATAACGACTTATGGCAGATCAAGGGGCAATGAGGCGGCAGGGTGCTACAAGAGGGGAGGAGGAAAGGAGGGAGGAAGCAGCCGTTGGTTGCCGCGGCAGGCTGGACGGCCTTCGTTACGACCGCCATGCATTGTCACAACACGGCAGTCATAACACGATAGTCATCTCTTTTAACCCTGTACTCCCAATTGCATCGGCCCCCTGCCCGACTCCTCCCGCCCACCCAACAGGAGGACACCCTGGGTTGGCCGGTGTCGGTGCTGTCTGGCCACACCGCCGCCGTCTCCTTCCTCGACTTCCACCCGCACCTGCCCGAGGCGCTGCTGTCCTGCTCCATTGACAGCACATGCCGCATCTGGAACGCACGTGACCCAGGAGTCGCTGCGCTGGTGTTGCGACCCGGCGCGTCGTTTGGCGTGACGGGGCAGCCGCGGGGGCAGCAGCAGGGGCAGGGTGAGGAGGGGCGAGTGCCGGAACAGCAGAATGGAGGTAAGGCATCTTGCTATTTAGTGTCTGGGAAAGCCCGCTCCTTTGTGCATGGCTATTTGGGAGGTGCTGGGAGCGTTGCGGAGGCGGTTGAGCGCGCTCGTTTCGTACCGTCGTGTAGTTGCTTCGCACAATGAAACCGTGTTAGAGCGCGTGTTTTGTTTTCGGAAGTGCTGTTGAGGTTCATTGCAGCCAAGAAGTCCTCTCCTTCCCTCGCGTGTGCACGCACGCACCCCAAACCTCTTTTCCCCAACACACACCCCAGGTCCCGCCGATATGCTCAGCCCCACGGCCGGCGGCTTCTTCAGCCCCACACCCGACCCACTCAGCGCCCTTACCAGCCCCCCCACCGGCACTGGTGGCCCCCACACGGGCGCCGCTGCCACAACCGCAACCGCCACAACCGACGCCCCTCCTACAACAGCCACCACTGCAGCCACTGACACGGTTGGCGGGGCGGCCGGGGTGCATGCCGGCAGCACTCTGGATGCCGCCGCTGGGGGCAGTGGCAACGGTAGCGGCAGCGGGGATACTGCTGGTGGTAACAATGCTGGCGGCAATGGCTGGAGAGAAAATGGCGGAGGTGCGGGTCCGTCTGGGAGCCAGGCGGCGGGAACCGCAGCGGCGCCAGTGGCAGGACCCGCAGCGACGGGTGCAGGCGGAGCACGGGCGACCCGCGGGACAGTGGCAGCAGAAGGGGCAGGAGGTGGAAGAGGAAGAGCGGGCGGAGGCAGTGCTGCAGCTAACCAAGCGGCAGGACAGGGGCAGGTATGTGGGGGGAATGTGTTTTCTAAAGGCGGAGGCTAGGCGCATGCATGCGTGCGTGCGAGGGAGGGGGTATGTGTAGGTGTCCACACTGGGTCCCCAACTCGTTTGGGACTTACTTGGTCTGTGACAAGCCTCGTAGCCGCGCCCCCACCACGTAACATCCTTATCACCATCACACTACGGGCCGGGCGGGAACACAACACCCCCTTCACTCATCTCCACCCACCAACAAGCCTTTCCCTCTGCTTTCCGTCCTTTCCACCTCCCTTCCCCTCTTCAACAGCCTGCGCCAGGAGCAGCAGCAGCTGCACCCCAGCCACAGCCACAGCCACAGCCCCTGGCGCACCTGAGCTTCCTGTGCTGCTGCTGGTCGCCGGACGGCTCCTTCATCCTGGCGGGGGGCTCCGACTCCACCGTGTGTGTATGGCACTGGGACCTCACTCCGCCCCCTCCGCCATCGCAGCCACTACTGCTGCCGCCACCGCCACAGCAGCAGCAGCTGCAGCAGGGGTCACAGCAGCAGCAGCTGCAGGTGTCACAGCAGCAGCCACTGCTGCTGCCGCCGCCGCCACAGCAGCAGCAGCAGCTGCAGGTGTCACAGCAGCAGCCACTGCTGCTGCCGCCGCCGCCACAGCAGCAGCAGCTGCTGCAGGGGTCACAGCAGCAGCCATTACTGCTGCCGCCGCCGCCACAGCAGCAGCAGCTGCTGCAGGGGTCACAGCAGCAACCACTGCTGCTGCCGCCACCGCCACAGCAGCAGCAGCTGCTGCAGGGGTCACAGCAGCAGCCACTGCTGCTGCCGCCACCGCCACAGCAGCAGCAGCAGCAGCTGCAGGGGTCACAGCAGCAGCCACTGCTGCTGCCGCCACCGCCACAACAGCAGCATGATAACAACAACAACAACAACGACACCTCCTCTTTCCAGATGAAGGTTGGCGACATGGATTGCGGCGGTGTGTGCGGTGCCGGCAACAGCTGTGCAGGCGCTGCTGCTATTGCTTCTGCTGGTGCTGGTGCGAGTGCCAGTGGTGATATTGGTAGCAGTCATACTAGCGGAGGCGGAGAAGCAGCGCCTGCAGGGCCGCGTGCGGAGCCGCAGTCGCTGGCGGCCGCCTGGGAGGGCCGCGAGTGGCCGCAGCCCACGGTGGGACAAGCTGCAAGGGGTGAAGAGGAAACGGACAAGCTGCAAGGGATGGGCTGCTTCGAATCCCTGCCGTGCTTTCTGACACGCATACGCCTACGCACGTTTCTACTCGGGCAACCAGTTTCCTCCCACCCCCCCACCCCCCGTCAGTTGCTTCGTCAGAGTCTCATTATGTATAATTTTTACCCACCCACCCAACAGGAGCTGACTCTGCTGCCGGGCCACCACAACGACATCGTGTTCATTGAGTTCAGCCACGAGGGGCGCTGCGTGGCGACCGCCTCCAAGGACGGATGCGTCAAGGTAGGGGGTGTAGGTAGGGGGCGGGGGCAGCGGGGAAAGGAAAGCTACTAGGTAGGCTGGAGTAGGTAGTCTGTGGAGGTGTTTTGCACCCACATGCATGTCGGCTGGAGTCCCATACACGTCGGCTGGGCTATTGAACATGCACCGCTCGCCCCCCCCCTTGTGTTGGCGTGCAGGTCTGGCGGCTTGAACAGCGGCAGCCAGCTCGGCGCGAGGGCCCTGCTGCCCCGGCTGCTGCTGCTCTCAACCAGGGCCCGCATGAGGGAGGCAGTCTGGGAGGAGGAGGAGGTGGTGGAGGTGGAGGTGATAGCGGCAGTGGCAGCCAGCCCGGGTCGCTGCAGTGGCTGTGGCGGGAGGCGCTCAACCTGACATGTCCGCCAACCGAAGAGGAAATCCGCAAGGCGCGACTCAAGCGGAGGCCGCCGCCGCGCCCCGCCATCAACCAGGCAGGTGCCCCCATGCGCCCCCACGTGCCCCCATGTGCCCCCATGTCACGTGTGTAGTTGAGTAGAACAAGAGCAAGCAGTTGGGATAGGTTCGCATGTGAACCGCGAGTACCGCGAGTACCCATGTCACGTGTGTGTGGTTTGGATGATGAGGATTACCAAGGCAGGCTGTCAGCCAGGCAGGAGTGAGCGTACCGGTACCGGTTGTCATCTCCCCTTTTGATTAACGAATTTGTGTTATTTTGTGTTGTTTGCGTTATGCACGATGTATGAGCAGCAATCCCGAGTAGCCCCTGCTGGTACCGGTAACCGCAGGGGTCACCACAGGACTCGTGAATCGCACGTGACAGCTTCCTTGTGACCTTTGCGACCCACCCCCCTTTGTGACCCCTGCCCTCAGGTGGCCTGGAACCTGGACGACTCCCGAGTGGTGGCTGCGGTGACGGACAACAGCGTGCGGGTGTGGGACGCGCGGTCCGGGGAGCCAACACACACGCTGCTGGAGCATACGGCACAGGTAGGTGGTACACGACAACAGAGATTCGGTGTACGACAATGCAGACAGATCCTGCCCTGCAATGTCACGTTTACAGATGGAATCGTGCAACCGTCAGACCCCCCGTGTTTCTTCAAACGTCAATAACCGACTAATTGTTATGCCGTACAACATTGTACGGCACGCAGGCGCATGTGGTGGAGGGGCATCCGCACGACCCGCGACTGGTCATGTCGGGAGGCTACGACGGGCGGACCATTCTGTGGGACGTCTTGGCAGGGACAGCCCTCAAAATGTGGGTACGAGGATACGGCACACGCGTCGTGGTGTGGTCAGTAGAGTGCGGCCTGAAGTGCGTATTCGTTGCTTCTGTTGCTGCTGGTGATTATGCGGACCTGTTGTTGTTTTTGTCTGTTCGGCAAGCCATGGTCTGTGACAAACATGAAGCAAACATGGACTGAAGCGTCAGCTACCGGTACCGTGTTCGACCCCGCCGCCCCATGCATATGCAGATTCAGCACGCAAGACACCTTCCCGGGCCGAGGCCGCTGGACTGACCCCATGCAACTGGTGGATGGGCACTTCTCCCCCGACGGCGCCCAGCTGGCCGTCACGGATACGGCAGGCCAGCTGCATGTGTACGGCATCCCCGTGGCGGCGGCGGCTGACGTCATGGCACGTTCGCCGTACGATCAGTTCCTGGCGTCCGACTACAACGGACTGTTGCGGGACGCCAACGGGTATGTGGGAAGACGAGGGCGTGTGTGGGGTAGGGGTGTGTATTTGCGACAAATGGAGGGAGAGGTCTTGTTGGGGAACGTGGCGGCTTCGCAAGTGGCACCACTGGCTGGCTGCTGCTGCCCACGACGCTCATTCATCTCGTGTTTCCTCGCTCTCAGCTCCGTTCAGACCTCACCCGCCCCACCGCTCCCCTCCGCCCCCCCCCTCCACACCTCCTCTCCCCTCAGCTGGGTGCTCGACGAGCTCACCCAGCAGCCGCCCCACCTGATGACCCGCCAGCTGCTGTGCGACTACGCCAATCACCCGCACCCGATTGAGCTGCAGGCGGCATACGCGGCCAGCAGGCTGGGCGGGCTGCCGCGACCGCACCCCGTGGATAGGGACCACCCGCTGCCTCCGGTGAGAGGGGGGGCAGGCAGGCATGGGTAACCAGCGGAGGGGATTACAGGTCGCTGCCGGTGCAAGGCAAAGACCGGTAAATTATCCCACTGCCCATTCTGCTCTCCCCTTACCTTCTTCCTTCCCTCTCCCCTGCCTTCCCCCTGCCTTCCCCCTCCTTCCCCTGCCTCTCCTCCCTCCCTCCCTCCTCCCCTGCAGGCCCTGCTGACCCACCCGCCCACCCTGGCCGCTGCCTCCTGGCTGGCGGTGGAGCAGGGCGGCGGCGAGGCGGCGGTGCACCAGGCCGTCAACCGGGCGTACGCGCGACACATGGCGGCGCTGGAGGCGCTGACGAGGCCCGACCTGCCGCAGCCCAGGGGTGCGTGCGGGGTGTGGTGTGTGGGTGTGGGTGTGGGTGTGGTGGTGGTGGGGGTCAAAGACCATACCAAACCATAGGAGACCATAGGGGTCCATGTAGAGCATGCATGTGTGGGGTGTGTGCGGGGTGTGGTGGGTGGGGGGTGTCCAATGACTTGCCGTGAGTCGGAACGGGGGGGAATGGCATGCAGAGCATGTATGTGTGAGGGCGTCGTGCATTTATGATCGGGGGGCGTGCATGTAGGGTCGTGCATGCATGATTTGGGGCGGCGTGCGTGGGTGGAGGAGGAGGAGGTACAGGGTTGAGGGTTGTTTTGGCGAGTTTCCTTTGATGACTAACCGTGGGTTAACATGGGCGGGGCTTGTTCCCATGACTTACTGGTATACAACAGGAGCAAGGCGGTCAAATGGTCGTCATGGCGGTAGTGGCGTCGTCGGCACTGGCCGGCCTGCTTCAGTCGGCGCCGCCGGCGCTACCAACGCAGCCGCCGTCGGCGCCCCTGTCACCGTCCCCCGAGGTGTGTACTTGATAGTTGACGACCCGACGGCGGCGCCGCTGCCGCTGGCGTTGTACGATGCCGACTCCGACGATAGCCTCGGCGGCCGCCGTCGCCGCTATCGTGACGACCCTAGTAGCAGCAGCGACGACGGCGGCGGCGGCGACGATGACGACGATGATGACGTCATTTACATCAGTGACGGCGGCGGCGGAGGTGGTAGCGTCAGCAGCAGCAGCAGCTCGTCATCCAGTGATGAGGACGGCGCGGGTGGCCGAGACGACGAAGATGAAGAAGAGCTGCTGTTGTTAGATAGCGATGCCGATGGACGTGGCCGTGTTGGTGGTCGGCGACGACCCCGCAGCGACCGCAGACGTCGCCGTCGGCTCCGTCGTGGTGGCGACGGCGGTGGCGATGCCGGCGGCAGTGGCGGAGGCGGAGAGGCAGCCGGTGGTAGCGGCGGGGGTAGGCCTTTGAGACGCAGCAGCCGACGTGAGAGGAGTCAAAGCGAGGGGGTTGAGGGCGAGCAAGAGCAGGAAAGGTGAGAGGGCGTGCCTGATACGGACACAGTGAGGCGCGTGGGGCTTTTGGTCTCAATAAGGCCAGTGCCTGCCTTTCTGCCGTTACGGTAATATCTCGTATCCGTCGTGTGTGTATGTCGTACAGGATCCGCCGCTCCGCTCGGCTGTGTGGACGCAAGCGCCGGTACGGCGCCGGCGACGGCGGCGACGACTCGTACGGCAGCAGCGACGACGACGACGTATTAGCTGAGGAGGCGCGACATCGTAAAGGCGACGAGGAGTACAGCGGCTCTTCAGATCTGGAGGAGGAGGCCCAGGACGACGACGAGTACGACAGTGACGCTGAGGCCGCCGCGCGTCAGCGACTGCAGCGGCAGCGACAGCGGGAACGCGAGCGCGAGCGACGGGCGGCGCTCCGGGCGCAGCGGGAGCTAAGGAATGAACAGCGACGTCAGCAGCGGCGGGAAGCGCAGCTACGGCGGCAACAAATGCAGCAGCAACAGCGGTTGGCGGCAGCAGCGGCGGCAGGTGAGGTCCCCGGTGATGCAGCTGCGGGGGCTGCTGCTGCGGCGGCGGCGGCGAGAGCAGCAGTAACAGCAGCTCATCGTGGCATGCAGCATGCGTATGGTGGTGGTGGTGGTGCTGCTGCTGCTGCTGCTGCCGTAGCGCAGGAGGTTGAGCAGCAGGAGGAGCAGGAGGATGAGGAGGACCTGGGACAGTTGCGTCAGGTGGCTCGGAAGAGGTCGCACGAGGCCGGGGGCTCCCGACCTAGGCCGCTGCAGTGCTATATGTGGCTGCAGGTGGGTGGCGGAGATGGCTGCAGGTGACGGGTTTAGTAAGCTAAACCACCACATGACGATGATGACACATGGCGATGTTGATTTAGGTGATGTCGCAGGGGTTAGATAAACTGAGCCGCGGGGGTGGGGTTCACCCGTGCTCGTTAACCCGTGCTCGTTAACCCCAACGCGCGATGTTCGTCACCCTCTTCCCCTTCTTTCCCCTCGCTCTCCCCCCATGGCGGCGCCCCCCGCAGTGCACCTCCTACCAGCCGGACTTCTACTGCCCTCAGCTCGGGGACGAGCTGGTGTATGTGAGGGCGGCGCATGAGGGGTAGGTGTGCTCTTCCCTAGGGTCTCCCGCGCCATTTGCTCCCGCCACCTCCCTCCTCACAATGCCACCTCCCTCCTCACATACCCTCACGCCGTGCCGCGCCCTGCACGCCCTAGTGTGTCCTCTCTTATCTGTTTCATGGCAAACTACTTCCCTCCATCCCCATTGCTTTGCCCTAACCTGTGGTTCTGGTCTATCTCTGACCCCCCCCCGCAGGCTCCTGGAGTCCTCCTGCGACACCCGCACTGCTCGGCCCTGGCTGCTGCTGCCAGGCATGCGGCCCTTCGAGCCGTGCATGGTGACGGAGCTTGGGTTTGAGGTGCTGCGAGATGGCACCCTGCGGACCGCGGCAAAGTGAGCGTCTCTGGAGCCGCCGATAACAATTGCTAGCATGGACGTTTTGCCGCGACTCAACAATACCGGTAGTTGTTTTCCACATACCGGCACCACTACCTCTGGTATTAACTCTTTCAGATGTGCTCTGAATCCCCATTTTGACCAATTTATTAATCCTTCTTGCAGTCTGAAGCTTCAACTGGGTCCAGCAAGCGGCGGCTCCCTCGCCGGTGTCTCCTTCTCCGTACAGTTGCCGCCGCCCGCCCCCGACCAACCCGAGTTCCTGGTTCCCCTGCCGAGGTTCCTTCGGGCGGTGGGCAAGGGCTGGCGCATTGGGGAGAGATGCCAGGTGAGGGCGGGCGTCCGGGGGGTGGGGGTTGCTGGCGTGGCGTGGCGGGCGATGGCGCCACGGCCACGTGGCATTAGGTGCTGGTTAGGTGTCGGAAATGGAGTCTCACCCTGTCCTGACCCATGGGTCACCTTTCAGCTCTACTACGCCTACTCCGCGTCTACGCTGACTTGCCTAGCGTATCCCTCTTTTTCCTATCCTATTCTCCTAGGTCTATTGGTTGTCTGGAAACGGAGGTACGACAGATACTGCTGTAGCTGCTGCTGATGCTGGCGGTGGCAGCGGCAGTGGTAGCGGAGGCGTAGGAGAGGGTCGTTGGTGCGGCGGAGTGGTGGTTGGAGACCGGCTATACCCCACCCTGACGGCGGCGCAGTGGCAAGGGGTGCCTCCGCCGGTGAAACAGCCCTACCAGTGCGAGGAGCTCTGGGAGCGGTACACGGTGCAGTGGGATGACGGAGGTAGGTGCAGTGTGTGAAGACGGATGGGGCCTCGTGCGTTGCTTTGAACAGCGTGTGTGGGCGGCTGCAGGGCTGCTGATCCAAACCCCGTTGCTTGATCTAGTAGACCCGTCCAAACCACTCTTCGTCCTGGTGGTGAAGCTTTACCACATGTGACTTGTCAGCCCGGTAGAACGTTTCCTGGTTACCACACGCGCTTGCAGATGAGACCTGTAGCGTCAGTCCCTGGGACATGCTGCCGGCTACCTCCTCATGGGAGGACGTCGTACGCTACTCCCGCGCCACCGCTGCCGCCAAGGCGGACGAGATCGTCGCCTCCGCCGCTGCTGCTGACAGCGCTGCTGACGTCACCGCTGGGCCCTCGGCGTCCTCCTCAGCTGTGACGGCCACACCCACGGCGGCGGAACTGGGTTTGGAGTTGGGTGGCGGATGGGCGGAGGAGCAGGCGACGGCGGCTCGACGTGCGCTGGAGCGGCTGCTTGCGAATGAACGGTTGTTCGGGCTGTTCTTCCAGTGCCCGCCTCCTACGGTGCGTTCTAGTTAGGTCTGGTTGACCGCTGCCGGGTCGTCATTCTGGTATATCACGTACCGAATGTGCTAAAAACCCCACGTTTTGTTGCAACAGCAAGATTCGTATATACGTATACGCACCCTTTGCTCAAACCACGTGGCACCAATGTATATGAAAACGCGCAGGCGACCTTCCCCTGCTCCGACGGAGACCGCCGGCCGGTGCCGTACAACGTGATGGTTCCGCTGCCTCTTGGACTGGACGTGGTTCAGAAGCGGCTGCAGGACTCATTCTACCGCTCCTTGGCAGCAGTCAGGTGAGCAGGCGGGTGGAAGGGCGCCATGGATGGAACCGCGCTATCGACAGGGGCTCGACAGGGTTCTCGGCAGGGCTTTCGATAGGGGTAAGCTGGATATGCGGCGAGGGCCAGCTGACCCTCAAGGCGCAGGAATTCAATCGTGGGTTCCACTCCCAACATGCATCTTCCATGCGTCCCGCCTGCATCCACCGTACATGCACCATAAAGCCTTGCCGTACAAAGCCTTACCGTACTCACTGCTGCAGGCACGACGTGGACACCATCGTCAGCAACGCAGAGCGCTTCAACGGCGCTGACTCCCTCGTCGCTCAGCGCGCTCGGGAGATGCGGTTACACTTCACCGCCGCCCTCACGGGACGTTCCGTCGACGACATGGTCCTCTTCGGATCCGACGTTGTCGTACACCGACGGCGGCGGCGGCATCAGCTGGGGGGTACGGCAGGACAGGCAGTGGCGGCGGCGGTGCTCGTACGGCGAGCGCGGGTGGACCTCTCCCGATTGTGGGCGCATGTGGCCTTGGATGTCGATCCCGAGACTGTGAACCCGGCGGCAGCGGAGGAAGTTCTGTACGACATGCAAGATCACGGCGGCAGATCCGCCGCCGCCGCCGTACGAGCTGGAGCTGTACGTGGCGGGGTGGATGCCGCCGGCGGCTTCACGGGCCCGCGGAGAAGAGGCGGTTTGTACTCGGTTCACCCGTCAGAGGAGGGAGGAGAAGGCGACTATGGTGCTGGGATGGCGGCGGCGGCGACGACGGCAGCTGAGGGGCTGTCGGGAGGGCTGCAGCGGGGCCCTGCGGTGTTGGAGGCGCCGGCCGGACAGTGGCTGGGCTCGCCAAGGGGGTTGCCTTTGTCAGCTGGTTTGTACGGCGGTGAAAGCGGTGGTGAGGGGGCGGCGGCGGCGGCAGCAGCGGCAGCGGCAGCTTATTTGCTTGGCCAGGAGCAGGATCGGCGGTTGCAACACCGGCCATCACAGCAAACTCGGGAGCTGCGCCGATTGCAACAGCAACAGACGCATTTCCATTCGCTCCAAGGCGGCGAGGAGGTAAAAGTGGAGAACCTGGAAGAGGGAGAGGGCCGGCGGCCGAGGCGCAACCGCAGCGGCGGCCGAAGACGCGGCGTCGCTGCCTTGTACGGCAGTGACGATGACGACGACGACGGCGGCCATGACGTGGCAGCGGCTCTAGGGGACGATAGCTCGGACGATTTCGGAAAGCTGGGGCTAGGTGACGACGACGATGATGAAAGCTACACGGACAGTGAGGACGAGCGGGGGCGGCGGCGGGGGCAGCGGCGGCGGCCGAACAGTCAACGCTCGCTGCAGTCACCGGCAGCACAACGCCGCCGGCAGCGGCAGCAGCAGCAGCCGGTACGAAGGTCTTCGAGGGCCCGACAACGCACGCGTTTTGGAAGCGACTGGGAGGATGATGAGGAAGCCCAGGAGGGGGACTCAGAGAGCGACGACGGTGGCAACGGTGGCGGCGGCGGTGGGGGTAGTCGCCGACGCAGCGCCCGTTGCCTTCAGAGGTCTGCTGCCGCCACTGGTGCGACGGGAGCAACGGAGACGGTTGAGGCTGCCCGTCATGGCAGCGAGAGGCTACCGCCAACTTTCATGCCGCCGCCGCCAGCGCTGCTGTCGATGCCGCCTTTTGCCGCTGGTCAAGGTACAGCAGCCACACAGCATCCGATGCAGATGCTCGCTTCGTTCCCGTCGGCATCCGCTCTTCCTGCGGCGCCTCACGCCGGTGTTCCGGTGTCCGGCGGAGGAGCCGACGCCGGAGGAGCCGGGGTGGGCGGCAACACCGGCCGCATTCGCATCCGGCTGCGGAACCAGAAGGACCCGCCAGGACCTCCGCCGCTGCAAGCACGTCCTTCTGCCGTCATGCACAGCGCAAGTGCCGTATACGCACCAGCTGATGCCGTACAAGGACTTTATCATCAACTGCCGTACGGGCAACAAGCAGAATTGCCGGCCTCCCGCACGCAGACGCGCGCTGCAGCGGCGGCGGCGGCAGCGGCGCCGTCGCCTCCAGGCGGCGGCCGTAGCCGACGAGCGGCGGCAGTCGCAGCTGAGAAAGTCTTTGCCGCCGCTGCGGCGGCGGCGGCCGGGTCTGACGACGACGACCAAGACGAAGACACGCCGCCGCCGGCGGCGGCGCCGTCACGTAGGCTGCCCCTTACGCACGGTGTTGGCGGCGGACATGCGTACGACAACATACCCGACGTCGCCTCCGCTGGACCATTCGCTCTGCAGCAGCATGCGTTTAACTGGAGTGACCCACTGCAACAAGCTGTGCTTCCATCAGCAGCTGCAGCTACATCCGCAACCGCAGCCTACCATGCCGAGGCGCCGGCGCTAGCGCTAGCGCCGGCGCCGCCACTCACCCAAGGATGGCATTCACATGCAGCCTTCCCTGCGCCTTACCCACCGCCGCATGGGCATGAGGGTCCACCATTCACAGCTGCTGGCGACATGCTAGCCTCCATAACGGCGGCAGCGCACGGCGATTCCTCATTTGTGGCCGCCGCTGACGCCATGCAGGTGTCGTACGACACCGTGCCGCCGTTCCAGCAGCTAGCACCGCCGTTGCTACTGCCGCCGCACGATCCGGCGGCGGCTGCGATGCTGCCGTACAACCAGTGGCCTGCACAGATGCCGTACGCGCAATGGGGATACCCCGGGCCTCAGTAGGGCGCGGCTAGGTCTGGTCAGGCGTCCTTTGGTGCGCAAGGCGCCAAATATGATTGAAATCAGGATGCGAGTAGATAGCACATACTTGGTGGGGCATATTATGTGGGCGGGGCATTTCGTATAACGCGTGCATAGAACTTGTGCACGTGGGTCCTACACTGCAGCAACGGCTATTAGGCATGACTTGGACGTTTAGGAAGCAAACACGGTGGCCCAAACGGACGAGGAAGAGTGATTGGTGGTTTAATTAGCACGTCAGCGGACTGAAAGTACTTTCGTCCTGTCCAATTCAGACTATGGCTGATTTTTCTGGTGCTGGTTTGGCAGCATCTGTGCGTCGCGGGACCCTGCCCACCCTGGTTGCCGGCCCCCGTTGCAGGTGCTGGGTTGGCAGTGGCTGTATGTCGGATTTTAGGGAGCTGGTTTGGCGGCACGTCTGATTTGTCTCTCTGGGACCTAGTCGCCTGTCCCTGTCTCTGAAGGACACAGCTCCCTGCCTTCCCTGCCTTGTACACGGCTTGCCCCCTGGGGTCGACGCCCTGTTAGGATGTACGTCTGACGATGGTCCCTGCTACTGTCCCCCAGTCGTCCCCCAGGCTGATAAGACTGCCTCGCTGATCACTGCCTTCCAAACCCTCCAGGACGCAGTGGTTCCCAGGAAAGTGAACCAAAGTGAACTACACACGTGTGTGGCAGCGGGCAAGTAGGGCAGCGGGCAAGTACAAAAGGACATCTCCATCCACCTTCCCACGATACAGGAGACGACTAAATAGGACGCTGGAGGATTCCCTTAGATAGCGGCGCATTAGCATGCTGAGGTTACTGCTCCATTGCGAAAACAGACCTCGCTAAATAAGAGTGGACAGTGGACAGTGGTCGGTGGGTTGTGTTACTGACCCACGGGTCAACTCCGTAGCATGATCAAGAAGACTTTACAATGAGGTTCAATCTTGGGCCTGAGTCCAGTGGGACAGAGCTCGCCTCAAGAGTTAACGAAATCAGTACCCGGCCAACCATTGCTGACCCCCCGCAGTGCACAATGAGAGAGAATCCTGAGAGGAAGCATGACATGAAGACATCAACTCAAACCCGCCGTACCAACAAAAGCCATGTAGACCAGCATGATGAATTCAACATTAGGTAGAAGAGGAGCAGCAGAAGAAATAAGTCTGGAAACCAAGTTACTATGTACAAGTCTTCATGTCACGTAGGACCAGAAAAATATGACGCGTCATGCTATGCCGTATAGGCTCAGTTGTAAGTGACTCGGACCCGCACAATGGTGCGCAATCTAGGTTCATTCATTCGCAATCACTTGTCACAAGCGTTATAATGTAAATGTTGTGCACGCCATGTCTGTCATCCATGCACTGCTGCTGCGCAACCCTCCCCCTCCTAGGATACCAGAGTCGCAGGACAGCACTTGTTGTCAGAGGAATAGTAGTTCACCTGCGGGGGCATGATGGGGGAGGCACCAATGAGACGAGGCACATGTACAAAGGGTTTACATGCTATGAACTGAAGATCACATGTGGCATCAGGCCCACCATAGATAGCCAGTAACAGCCACACCATAAAACACATGCGTATTAACACCAGCACTACCAGTTATTTGCGGCCAGTTATTTTAACACCAGCAATACCTTTGCAACAGCAAGTGTTCACGACGCACCTGACAGTGGCCATTGTAGCAGAAGGTCTCCGGACGCGCGCACGTGCCCTGACGCACCACCCAGCAGAGACTGCCGCTATCGGGACTCGGCATGTACCTGTTGTTGGACGCAAGAGGGAACAAGGTAGAGTCAACAGACGAGGAAAGGAGTTGGGAAAGTTGGGGTTGCACGACACCGTACATGACGGCCAGGGAACATGAGACACATGATAGGGGGACACATGATGAGGAACCGTGAAAACTCCTTACTTGGTCAAGCTGACGAACTTGAGCGTGGTGAAGGTATCGTAGAAACCTGTTTTGCGGAAAGCAAACCAAGGGACGTACGGCGTCAGTAAACGCAATGACAACGGGGAGGGAACACAGTTGGCAAACCGGGGGACGACTTCTTGACTGTTCGACTACAACGAAGGAGAGGGTTTGTTGAAAAGTAGGGCGGGTCGACTCACCCCAGCTGTACGCAACTGGGGCGTTGTTGATCCGGATCTCCCGGACGTCAGGCTTGCAGGTGCTGTTGATTGGAAGCTCGACCTGTAGTCGTATCATGGAAACGCAACAGTGTTGTCAACCGGATACTGATGCCAAGACTCAAGCGCCGCGGTCACGGCTCAGCGCGTACGCATGTACGACACATGTAACGATCAACGACAGGGAGAATGATACTTCATGTTTTCTGCAACACCCATTGTCTGATAAGGACACAACAAAAACACTTTTCCGCAGTGCATGTAGCGCCGGTTATCCTACCTTGGCAAAGTCAATAGCGCAGCACTTGGAGGACGTCTTGCACGTCTTCTTGGCCACTTTAACGCACATGGCCACAGCGGCGTTTCCGTACATGTCTGTTGTTGGAGTGCTGTACAGATTTCCAACAGAGTACGGCACGTCAACGTTCCCTTGGGGGCAAATGTGGGTCTGCACCAGGGTGGGTGGTGGTGGAGGCTTGGCAGGCGGGGGTGGGGGTGAGGGAGGCGGGGGAGGTGGAGGAGATGGTGGGGGCGGAGGCGGCGGTGAGGGAGGAGGCGGGGGGGTAGGGGAAGGTGGTGGTGGTGGAGGCGGGGGAGGCGGCGGCGGAGGAGGGGTAGGGGGAGGCGGTGGAGGAGGGGGTGAGGGCGGCGACGGTGAAGGAGGAGGAGGGGGTGGTGGCGGGGGAGGAGGCGGCGACGGTGAAGGGGGAGGAGGCGGCGGCGGTGAAGGAGGAGGAGGGGGTGGTGGCGGGGGAGGAGGCGGCGGCGGTGAAGGGGGAGGGGGCGGCGGCGGTGGGGGCGGCGGTGGCGGTGAAGGAGGAGGCGGCGGCGGGGGTGGGGGAGGCGGGGGTGGAGATGAAGGTAGATACGGTGGTGGGGGTGGGGGAGGCACAGGCGGAGGCGGTGACGAGCGGGGGTATGAGGGTGACGGAGGGGGCGGCGGAGGCGGAGGCGGGGGAGGCGGAGGTGGTGGTGGCTGGGGCACATGGGGCGGTGGCGGCCGGGGAGGGGGCGGTGGCGGAGGGGGAGGAGGGAGGGGTGATGGGCTGGGGGGCGGCGGAGGCGGGGGTGGAGGCGGTGGAGGGGGCGGCGGAGGCGGTTGCGGGGGCGGAGGGGGAGGTGGCGGCGGTGGTGGAGGAGGCGTCGGGGGAAGCCCCGGAGGTTTGGAAACGGGTTGGTAGGGAGGCCACCCGTACTCATGTGGCGGAGTAGCAGGCACATCCGGTCTCAGAGGCGCGCAAGAGGAGGAAGCCGCGGCACCCGAAAGGCACTCGTTGGGGTTCTCAATCTCGGCAAAAATGGTGTAGCCTGACGCCCTGGGATCCCAGCAGACCCAAGAATTGACGCCGTTAACCCAGGAGTTGAGACCCGTTAGGTCTCCGGAGATGATTCCCTGCAGTTTGGCGCCATCTTCCTTGGTTGCAAAGGCGCCGCAAATTGTCATGTGGGGATACGTGCGTGGAAGCACGTTATTGTCGTACGTTGGGGAGCAGGTCGCGAGGGCAAAGGGACGCTGAATGGAAGCACCCAGATAGGCGGCGACCTCCTCAATGTCAGCCGCGATTCGTGCGGCCAGATCCTCACACTCCACGCCGTTGCCAAAGGTGAACAGGTCGTTCCCGCTCAAGACAGCCGGGGGCATGATGGTGATCTTGATGCAGGTGTTGCAGGAGGGATCGGCGGGGGGCGGCGGGGGTGGCGGGACTGCTGGGATGGATGGGTAGAATGGCATGGGGAAGGAGGGGTAGGAGGGGTAGGAGGAAGGGTAGGCTGGTGGTGGTGGCGAGGGAGGAGGTGGAGGTGGAGATGGTGGGGGTACCAAGGGAGGAGGCGGGGGAGGGGGAGGAGGCGGAGACGGTGGGGGTGGCGAGGGGGGTGGAGGGGGAGGCGGTGGAGGTGGCGGCGGTGAGGGTGGTGGTGGAGGGGGTGGAGAAGGCGGAGGGGGTGGAGGTGGAGGTGGCGGGGACGGCGGAGGGGGTGGTGGAGGCGGCGGCGGAGGAGGAGAAGGTGGGGGTGGGGAAGGCGGAGGGGGTGGTGGAGGCGGCGGAGGAGAAGGTGGGGGCGGAGGAGGAGGAAGACTCGTAACCGTGGAGCAGATGGGGCAGTAGTTAGTTGCCGAGGTGTCTGCGAATGAGTACCTGCAAGGCAGTTCAGGAGCGGTTGGGAGCAATGCTGAAAAGGTGGTTTGGAAGGTTTCTAACAGTCAACCTCATTACTGAGCCACGGATAATCCTGCTAATCCCAGTCTGGGAGGTAGGAAAGGTAGGTTACCCGACCGCCGTAAAGCAACGTACCTGCATCCCTTGCTCGGTGCTGCCGAGTTAGTGCACAGGTCGCCGGACGAGGCGCAAGGGGTCTTGGTGGTGATGCAAATCTTAGATCCGGAAAAGGTCGCGTTGTTCATACCCAGATCATAGATCTTGAACTCATATCCTGTGTACGGCACGGTGGGTATGGCAAACAGATGATTGAAACACGTAAGCACACCATAATGTGGCCTTGAACAAGGCCAGACGTTCATCCATGCCGGATCTTTTTGCCAATCGGACATGACAACAACAACTAGGAATGTACGCTGCAAGGACGCCGAAGGCGGCCCAAGAGGCCAAACAGGCGGTAACAAACCGCTGTGCAAAACCACCACCCACCACCCACTACCACCACCGCGCCACCACCACGCACCCGTGTCCCGGTCGTAGGGCCTCCATGAGAGGTGCGTTGCGCCGTTGACCGTGACCTTCAGGATGTTGGCCTTGTTGCCGCAGGGGACGGTGGTGTCCAGCGAGAGCTTGTCAACGGAGCCCAGTAGGCCTCGGCAGCAGTCCCGAGAGGTGTCGCAGCCGATGTAGGAGATGCTGAAGCAGGTGCGGGTGGTGGTGGCGTTAAGCTGCGGAAGTATTGAGGGAGGGAGCAGGAAGGGTGGGGGTGGGGAAGGCAAGCCAGGAGGAAGGCTACCTTGCAAGCAGGCAACGTGAGGACATGACCAATGGTAGCGATGTATTACGTGCTGTTGGATGGCACATGTGCTAGGGGATTGATTAAACGGCGTGCGTGCTCTTGGGAGGGCATAGCTCAGAGGTAAGCTATAGCCGCAGGTTCAGTCGGAGAGTCCGGCTGGCGGGCGGCCAGGTATCCATGCGGGAAGTGATGGGTGAAATGGGTGCGCGATCATGCCACCTGCCCCAGCTTACCTTGGTGCTTTCCTGGAGGACCAGCTTGTAGGGGCTGCACTTGCAGTCGTACGTCTGGCACTGGCACCAGGGGAAGCCGTTGGCGGCGAGCAGGCCGCGGAGAGGGTGGGCGCGGGTGTTGGAAGCGTCCAGTCGGGAAGCCGAAGCTGTACGAAGAACGTGGGTAGGGGCGATAGAAAAAAGTAAGTAACCTTATTACGGAAGTATAATATGTAGCTATTAATTGAACTCTAAGCAAACGCTTTTTGCAAGATGAACATTTTTGGTATTGAAAGGCGGCGACAGCTGCCGACAGCTTGGGCAAGGCAGCGCAGTTTCCAGAACATAGAAGAGCAAGTATCAAGCTAGAATGCACTACCTAATTATTGTTATGGTATTGTGCCGGGAACAGCAAATTGCGCAGCATAGGCGAGTGGGCAGCATTGCCTACCAGTAGCAATGCTCAGGGCAGCAGCAGCCCAGAGCAGCAACGCAACGCAGCGACCCATTGGAAGGGTTGCAGAAAGAAGTCAACAATAGTTTCCCTATATGTCGAGTCGCCGCCAGTATGTGGTCTACGTCGAGTAATGGGGATTCAAACTCGCTGAATAAACCTCCTAGTCCCCGCTTTCTTTCAATAAAGGTTAGTGTAATTACTCCGGAGACACAATGCTTTGCAGCTATCGCCCGGGGTGGCTTAGTGGACTTGTTCTAAAACGTTTAATGTCTGATCAGTAAAGTCTGGTCAAGTCAGTACGCCCCGGGCACCACCTGCTCGGAGCCAAGGGCAATGTCACCCTTGTCCTGTCTAAGGTTCTAGTGCTTGCCGCAAAATTAATAGCCATCCATGTCACCCCCCGTGTACGGCCAGTTAACTACCAGCCGTTGAAGAATTCTAGTTCAAACAACGAGCGGTTGAAGCCGCACGGCAGCCTGACAGACATCCTGTCAGAGAGAGATCCGGTTAGAAGTTCACGGTATGAACTTCTATGTGGTATACTTCGCGCACGTACAGTAAGCAGACAGGTGCTCCTGTACATCCCATGCTTGCATTTATCATGCGACTGACGCTAGCTGTCGCCATTCTCAGCGGCTCCTCAACGTAGTAATAGCTGAAGCCAAATTTACACGGCAATCTCCCCCAAGTTTTACAAGGTACATGTCGCGACGTCAGCAGCAACGTCTGTGAAACCCAAAACAGCCTACAACGCATACTTGCATGCACCATTTAACTCTACACCTCGTTAGCCCCCAAAACGGCATCAGTCAGCGACTGAGCGTGGCCGGATGCACGTGCGAAACCATCTTCAGCGATATGCAAGCAGACGCCACAAACCAAACAACGCTTTAGCGAACAAAGTCTTTGAATAGCCCCCAAACCAAACAACGACCAGTGCTCAAGTTACTTTAGCTCCAAGGGTCGCACCAAAGCAAAATCACTGCAACCCGCACCCAATGCACGTCCCTCTTCAAGGACCCACTCGCTCGCAACACTGCACACGCACCAACCTAGAATCGCATTCGTACGGACATGCAGACATCAGTTTGCTGGGCACAGCACACAAGTTGCAACAGCCCCCTTCCCGCAAGTCTCAGCTAGTACCTCGCTCAGCACACGTGAAAGGGGTCTCTAACCGACCACCACCACCACCAACACCTTCCAAACATCACCGGTCACGTGCCCCTCAGCTCACTCAGCTGCCGTACAGCCCTCCCGAGGGCCCTCTCAATGTCTCCAGCTGTCGTGCCGCTGTCGTTTCAAGTGCTGAGCTGTCGTACAGCCATCTCAAAGTCCTCCGGCGGCGGCTGCTCGAACATCATACGCTCCCCGCTGGCCGGATGTGTGAAACCCAGCGTAAGGGCGTGCAGCGCCGGACGACCCAGCTGCTCCAGACACTGCCGTACCTAAACACACACGGCGCAGTACAAACACACACACGCCAGTTCTCTTATACACACACGCGGTGAATACAGGTATATGCAGGTGAAGCAGCACAGAGCCGAACAGCAAAGGAAGGCTATTTCCTGGATACCGGTATTGATTCGTCTGCATGGCTTTTTTCGTTACACGTCCTGCACTACACCCCGACACCATGCGGGATGCTACCCGCATGGCATCCCCTTAGCTGGTCCCCCAATCACCCACCCAAGCCCCCATTCGCCCTGCTGCGCCTGTTGCTTCCTTCTTGGCCGTCCCACCCTCACCAGTCTTCTTACCTTATCCGCAGGGACGGCTCCTCGCGCCGCAACCGCCGCAACCGCTCCGGATCCTGCGCCGCCGTACGTTTCGTCCCCGAACAGCGGATGCCCCATGTGTCTGGCGTGCACCCTGTGGCACAAACAGTCATAGAGTTTGCAACTGTTATAGAGTTTAGAGCTTATTACAGAGTTTACTATTAACGGCGAATCAACAAGGGTGTTGCGTCAGGCGATGCGCTGTTGTCGTGTTACTACGTGATGACCGAGATGGAAAGCACAGCCCTGCGCTTGTGCATTCTGGACAGCAGCAGTTGCGTGGCGAGAAGGTGACTTATGCCGTACAATCGTGCCATACACTGCCGTACGCCCTAACCACGCGTCGTACCTGATCTGGTGTGTACGGCCCGTGTCTAGCTTCCACCGCACAAGCGCCGCCCCCCCGCCAGCTAGCGACGACACCACGCTGTAGCCGCTGGCTGCCGTACGACCCCGTCCGCAACCGTACGGCGCAGCTGTATGCACGACAGGAGGGACGTTGTTACTTAACGTACGGCTATGCAAGCACACTCGCTTGCTTACATGCTCTGACAGCGGCTTCCACCGCCGCACATGCCCATGACGTCAACACCCACGTTCCTCCTCGCGGCCAGTTTGCTTAACACCCACACCCACATAACCCCACACTCGCCTGTCATGCGTTTGCGGTCCCGTGGGTCTCGCACAATGTTGGTTTCCACGCGGCCTTGCGGCGGGGCGGGGCAGCCGGTGGTGACGGACACGTAGGTGCGATCCACCTGTGGCGTGGTTGGGGGGGGGGGGAGCGGGGGCAGCGGGGGCGGAGGTGGGAAAGTGCAAAAATAGGAAACCTGGGGCCGGAGGGTTGCGGAAGGGGAAAGGAGGGGCAGAGGATGAGGAACGGAGCAGGAGGCTCACATGCGGTGTCAGGGCCAGGCAGCAGCTCATCCGCCCATTCCAACACCATGCCAACAAAAGCCGAGCCCCTGCCTTTGTGCCCCAGTTAAATACCGTCCATTAGACCCCGATAGGCATGGTACGCCGCCCAAGTCCGCCCGCAACAGCAGCAGCAGCAGCAGCAGCAGCAGCAGCAGCACGGTCACTTCGGTGACACCGCCACCCCACCCCCACCACCCCCAGCCGCACACGCCAAACCAAACAACGCAACCAACCAACACCCACTAGCTGCTGCTGCTGTGCCTCCCCAACCTCACCGTGCGGTCCTTGAATTGAGCCTGCAGGGGTTGTGAGGAAGGCAGGGAAGCGATGGGGGGTGGTCATCCGCGGGAGTGGGGAAGCGGGGGCAGCCGGGCAGGCGGCAGCGATCAGAACGTGATGGGAACGAATGGCGGAAGGGTCGTGGGGAGCAAGAGGTGACGACGGATGGGGCAGGTGCCCCTCGCCCCTCCCTCCTCCCCACCTGCAGCCTCCGCAGCGCCCCCTCCGTCTTGGCCACCAGCAGCAGCCCGCTAGTGCCCCGGTCCAGCCGGTGCACGATACCGGGGCGCAGGCAGCCAGGGGAAGCAGCGGCAGCGGAAGGAGCAGCAGGAGGAGGAGCACCACTGCTATGTCCACTACAACTGCTGCTGCTGCGGCTGCGGTTATTGCTGTGGGCCCCAGCAGCACCGAGTGCGCTGCTTTCGTGCTGTGTTTTGTCACGCTGAACAGCCCCCCCTTGCTCTCGCTCCTCCTCCGGATCCTCCCCGGACTCCTCTTCACCCCCCACATCTGGATGACCACCACCACCACCATCACCATCATCATCATCATCATCATCATCACCTAAACCAGTCCGAGCCAAATCCGGATCCAAATCCGGATCCACGGTTGCTGCATCCATGAAATCCGCTTCTGGATCCAGTCCGTTGTTATTCAGATCCAGCTCCCCCAGATCTAGATCCAGGGCCGGCAGGGCGCAGTGGTGTAGCAGCGCATTCACCAGGGTGCCCGAGTGGTGTCCGGGAGCGATGTGGACGACCATACCGGCGGGCTGGAAGGCGAGGAGAGGAAGGGGAGAAGGCGAGGGGTGGAAAGTAGGGGCGACGGATGGAAAGTAGGGGCGAGGGGCGGAAAGTAGGGGCGAGGGGCGGGAAGCAGGATAGTTGGATGCTTGGAGGGTGTTAAGGATAGGGAAATGAGGGGTGTAAGGAGGTCATGTGGTGTAAGGCGCGATGAGCGCTGCAATGTTTTTGAGGCTTGTTAGCAAAGGTTCATTCATTCGCGCGGTACACAGTTACCTTGTTAACTACCAACAGATGCTCGTCCTCGTAACGAATGTCCAACGGTATCGCCTCCGGAACCGCCTGTGTACGGCACAACAACACCCAACAACGAGTCACAAATCACAACCGTGTAGCTAACTCACAAACGCCCAATGTTAGCCTAAGAGGTGATTAAATCCTTTACACGATAGTTCCGTCTAGCCGCCTCTCCTCCGGGTCCTCACCCTCACACCGGCTCAGTTCACCAGATAACCCTAAGCCCCTCCCCCCAGACAAAATTCCAGCCCACCAATCCAGCGTATTGCGGAACAGGTATCCTCATTAATTACGTCCCCTCCTCTCAGGCCTCAGCCCCACCTGCAGCGGCGGCGGCGGCAGCAACGAGGCCACCACCGCATCCCCCGCGCGCAGCTGCTGCGAGGCCTTGCAAGCGGGCCGTCCGTTCACGGCCACCAGCCCCGCCGCGATGCTGGCTTGCACCTTGGCGCGGGACACCTCCGGGAGCGCCGCCTGACAGCAGGTGTACGACAGGGTTGCGGTACGAGTACGGTGTACGGCAGGGTTGCGGTACAGGAACGAGTACGGGACAGCAGGGCAGACAGCGGTAGCAGCGGTGGCAAGGCTCATCAGGGGGCTTGCACCTTTGGGGTCGGGAGACCTCCGGGAGCGCGGTCTTTGGGAATGGCAGTTAGGCGCGGTAGCACGGTTAGCAGCTTAGCACGATTGGAACTAAGGTTGGGTTTTGGAGCTAAGGTTAGGTTGGTTTTATATTCCTAGCAGGATGAAGAAGTAAATAAATCCAATACGGCGCGTTGTACTCCTGCTGCGTGCGGGTTGCATGACTGGTAGGGTTCATGGTACGGAACCGCCGGCGCACATGCCACGTCCCGTAACGCCAACATGGGCCCTACCTGCTGCGCGGCTGCTGCTGCTGTTGGTGCTGCTGCTGCTGTTGGTGCTGCTGCTGCTGCAGGCTGGAGAGCTGCAGGCCGAGCGGCGATGGCGGCAGTGGAGAGCTGTGCAGAGATCTGGGCGACGAGGAAGGAGTCCAGTCTCAGCTTGGAGGCCGCCTGGCGGTAGCGGCGGGGGAGGTGGGGGAAAGGCGGGAAGGGGCGGGGGGATGGGCACGAAGGAGAAGAACAGAAGTGAGGGAGGGCAGGAGGGAGAAGCGGAGGGAAGGGGAGGGGGGTGAGGTGCGTGGCGGCTTGGGCGTATGGTTGCATGAGGGGAAGGGAGGAGAGGGACGTGGAGGGACGCATAGAGGGCAGAAGGGCAGAGAGAGAGAGAGGAAGCGGCGGGAATGCGTTGGGAGGCGTGGGAGGTACGGCGGTCGCTTTACTGTGAGGTGTGGGGAAGAGGGGGGTTGAAGGTTGGGAGGATGGTCGGAGTGGGGTTACGACGTGCCAATGCAAGAGACAGCACACGCCCCTCATGCCCATTCCCATTCCTCTAGTTGAATCCGGTGCCGCAGAACCCCCATCCGTAGGTGTGATAAGAAAGCATGTTGGCTTGGCATGCTGCGGTGAGGGCTCATCGAAACATGCGGCCGGCATTGCTGTGCCCATGGCTAAATAGGACGACGTCAGAAAGAGGGCAGGAGGAGTTGATCATCGAAAAGTACCTGCTTTGCAGTTACACGGAAACTGAACGACTGGGGCGAGGAATTCGATGCTCCTGCCAGCGCGACTGGATGGGCCTACAGCAACACCAAGGGCCGTCGTTGATGGCTTGGAGCTTCAGTAGTTTCAATTTGGGTGTCTCTGTTAGTGTACCTGGCGCTGAGCTGCAAACCGCAACTTGCGACAACATGTGGTGCATTTATAGCCTAACTGCTGTCGCCGCCAAAGACCACTTTGTTTCGTGGATGTCCTACTTTGTTGCATTGTTTTCAATGTGGTATTTGGTAAAACAGGAAGTCGACCGTGAACGGCTAATAAGATGTCTTAGTCCAGGCAGGGCACTCAAAAGCTGCTGAGTGCGACCGTATATCCAAGTGCGTTGAAAGTATGAACAGCAGCAGCGTTCATGTTTCGTCCTTGAACGGCCAGTCATTCACGACGGCCTGTGACCGGTAACTGGTTACAGTTAAAATCAGCTGGGAACTTCGTAGGGGCCATCGTCAACAGCATGCAACCGTACAGAGCCGAAGGGGGTTGCCTAGCAAAATCCGGAGCGCCTGAGCGTTCCAAGCGAAGACCGACTGTGCCCATGCCCAAGGGGAGGAGGGAGCGAGGAGCAACCTGGTGCCACCAATTGGATGCCATTGGCACAAAAAGCACCTGTTCCGGCCTTTAACCTAACCACCAACCTGCCTTTGACTCTGTTTCCAAGCCGGGGACACAGTATATGCAAAAGTCGTTCATCATCATTACTTGAGCAGGCTCCCCGGTGCAAGCTTTTGATGGTCGGCCCCTCTCACAGTTGCAAACTATCCAAGACACCGTCTGGCATAACCATGGCCTTCACCAAATCTGGCGTGCCACGTCGCCTAGTGTACAGCGCAAATGTGATGGGGCAGGTATCAGAAAGCATCGGCCGCGTTGACGTCCCACGAGTTGAGTTATTGAGAGGGTTCATGTGAATTGTTATCGCTGTCGTCGTCACCAGGCAGGTAAGCTGCACCTCCGCGCATCGCCAATACATGCACGCATGTACAGAACGCTGCTCAAGTGGAGTAAGCCATGCGAGTAAGTCTGATTAAACGCCACTGTCATTTTATGTTGAAGCTGGATGAACATTACGCTAGAAGCAACAAGGCTCGCAGTCAGCGCAGCCTACGCCTGCATGAATAATAGCTGTACGCATCCTTTTAATGCAGCTTATGAGATGACATGAAAACAATACGGACAGCCACGCTATGCATAATACACTCCCAAGCGCTTTAATGGCCCCATTATCTCGGTGGTGGGCGTACGGAGCGTCACTGAACTGACAGGCGACGCAGAGCCGCACCAGGTCGCTTGTTTGATAGACAGATAGGCAGGGCGCCACTCACTGTAATGCACGTCTTACTTGCGTATTAGGGCTCCGTCACCATGAAGTTACCAAAGACATGATGCAAGAAAGGGGGCAGACATCTTGCACAGGAAGGTAGCTTTAGGTACTCCAAAGTGCAAGAGTTAACTTTGGAGACCTTACACATCGTTAGCAGCAATTTTCTTCTCTCGCTGGCAGCCGTATCCAGCTTACTGATAGCACCGTTGGCAGCGTGACACACGCGGCGGCTGGGAGGAGTGTTCTTGCGCATCAATATTAAAGGCTTTGAAGGCTAGCTCAATGGCGCGAGGAGTTAACATCCTTTTCGGGGCTGCCTTGGTCGCCATGGTGGCCGGTACGTTACAGCCCGTTAGCCATACATGTATAGGAGTGTCAGCAGCGACATTTCCTTGTACACTGTGTCATTAATGGGACTCCTAGCTCGGACCCATTCGGTCGCCATGCCATGGCGAGCGACAAGTACAATAAAGCACTTTCGCTCGTCGTCACGCATCTCCTCATTGTCCTTTTGTGCACAAACTTTAACTCTTTGGTCTTTGCATAAAACTTTGGCATTTCGACTTTCTACACGGGTGTGTCAAAGTCCCAATGGCCCTTCGCCATGTAAGCAGGGATAGCGGCGGCATCCCAAGAAGGATTCTCAAGCAGGGACGGTCGCAGCCTGTTAGCGCCAACCACCTTCCCATGGTGCAAGTGCATGGCGTACAGTTGCAAGTGCAGCCCGTACACGCTTGAGCTTGTATCATCGGAGCCCATTTCGGTAAGCGCAACCGGATCGAGACCTTTCATTGTACCCCAGGCCGGATGTGCCCGGGCTCCCCCACCAGTCATACATGCCCCCTGCTGCGCCAATGCAACATTGCATATTAGCATGTCATTGGCTTGTGTCGTTGTGTGCTTTGCTGGACATTCCCCTTAACCCTTGCTCCTTCCCCGTCTGTCCCTGCCATGCATGGGTGCAACGCTTGGCTGTTCACTACGCTTCAATTACAACGATTACCCTCCCTCCCCCCCACCACCAGAATGGCACGCAAGTCCAAACCTGCTTCAAAGTTGGCTACAGCGGCTGCGATCGAAGCCTGCCTTGCTGCCGCGGCATGCTGAGGAATGTGGACAAAGTTGCGCTTGACACCACCTCGCATTGCTCCAAGTCAAACATCATTCAGGTGGCGGTCAACGGGAATATCTATCCCTCTTGGGCAACCTACGTCCATACCACAGGTGGGTGACCCATGGGTCGTGCGTCGTCATCTGAGGCCGTTGCAAGAGCTGTGCAGCGGCTCAGGCTAGTGCATCCTCGCGACACTGAAGAAAGGTTCTGACCAGGCTGTACGGCCGCTACGGGTAACTAAAGTATGGTAAAAGTAACCTATAGGATCATCAGGTCGAGACTGCTTGCAGTGCGTCATCCGCACGCCGTGTCACGCGCAGAGATCCAATCCCCGCCAGTCGGATGGGCCGTAACCGGGTAATAAACTGCATCCCCTCCCCTACCGGTACTTGCATTGCGCGCCTCCCGCATGCATGCATGCATGCAGGTTACGAAATCAAGGTTTACAATCTGGGCATGAGCAACGCAACCTTCCCAGGCACCAGCATCTGCGTCACCTCCCTGGCCCCCTGCTCCACCATGTCGGACGTGTGCAAGTACTACACGAACAGAGGCTGCAGGTGGGTGGGTCGCCTTGAGCGCATACTGAAACCAACTGATTACACATTGTCCCCATACTCTGTCCCGAAACACAGCTCCCAAATTCCTGGTGCATGCATGCTATTCTACGCCCTGCTAGCTCCTACGCACATATATTACCCGTAACCCAGCCAGTGGCCATACACTCCCCCCATTCACTCCACTCCCTCCCTCCCTGCATGGCCCCCTCCTCTCCTTGCCCCTTCCCCCCCAGGTACTCCTTCGCTGACACAACGTCCACCACCTACTGTCCCATCTGCATCTACAAGCCGGCGTCGCAGTACCCGCAGCCTGCGACGCCACCTGATGCACCACCGGACGCGCCTGAACTCCCGCCACCAATGGCACCGCTTAAACCGGCCATGTTCAAGCCCCCGCCGCCGCCGCCCTCCCCACCACCGCCCGCGCCTCCGCCGCCGTCGCCACCGCCGCCGGCTCCGCCGCCGCCCTCGCCGCCGCCACCGGTGCCGCCGCCGCCAAGCCCTCCGCCGCCGCCCGATGCCCCTCCGCCACCTGATGCCCCGCTGCCGCCCAACCCGCCGCCTCCGCCGCCGCCACCCAGCCCGCCGCCGCCGCCCAGCCCCCCACCTCCGCCAAGCCCCCGTCCTCCGTCTCCTCCACCCAAGCCGCCGCCATCGCCTAAGCCACCGAAGCCCTTGCCACCATCACCTCCGTTGAACCCGCCGATAGCGCCGCCGCCGCCTTCCCCGCCGCCGCCGTCACCACCGCCTCCAAACCCCCCACCCCCATCACCACCGCCGCCTTCGCCACCTCCTCCCTCGCCGCCGCCTCCGTTCCCGCCTCCACCCTCGCCCCCGCCGCCCTCCCTGCCACCTCCCTCGCCCCCGCCGCCCTCACCTCCTCCCCCACCCCCACCTCCGCCGATGCCACCCTCGCCCAAGCCACCTTCACCTCGACCCCCTCCGCCCAAGCCGCGGCCCCCACCACCCAAGCCACCTTCACCGCGTCCCTCTCCCCCTCCTCCCCGTCCTCCCCCTCCGTCACCCCCCTCACCTTCGCCACCATCGCCCCCTTCGCCTCCTTCACCTGTCCCTCCCTCTTCGCCCCCTCCGCCCCCACCGCCACCGCCACCGCCACCACCGCCGCCTCCACCACCTCCCCCGCCGCCACCTGCACCCAAGCCTCCTGCTCCTTCGCCTCCTTCACCTGTCCCTCCCTCTTCGCCCCCACCTCCCCCACCGCCACCGCCACCGCCACCACCGCCGCCTCCACCACCTCCCCCGCCGCCGCCTGCACCGCCTCCTTCACCTGTCCCTCCCTCTTCGCCCCCACCTCCCCCACCGCCACCGCCACCGCCACCACCGCCGCCTCCACCACCTCCCCCGCCGCCTCCTGCACCCAAGCCCCCCGCTCCTTCGCCTCCTTCACCTGTCCCTCCCTCTTCGCCCCCACCTCCCCCACCACCTCCGCCCCCGCCTCCACCACCTCCCCCGCCGCCTCCTGCACCCAAGCCCCCCGCTCCTTCGCCTCCTTCACCGCTCCCTCCCTCAACGCCCCCACCGCCCCCACCACCTCCGCCCCCGCCTCCACCACCTCCCCCGCCGCCGCCTGTCCCCAAGCCTCCCCCTCCTTCGCCTCCTTCGCCTCCTCCCTTAACACCCCCACCGCCCCCTCCGCCCCCTCCTCCTCCACCTCCGCCGCCGCCGCCGCCGCCGGTACCCAAGCCTCCCCCACCTCTCCCTCCGTCACCCCTCCCTCCCTCGTCACCCCCACCGCCTCCCCCTCCCCCTCCTCCTCCCCCTCCTCCTCCCCCACCGCCGCCGGTACCCAAGCCTCCTTCACCCAGCCCTCCCCCACCCCCTCCCTCACCACCGCCCCCTTCCCCACACCCTCCCTCACCACCGCCCCCTTCCCCACCCCCTCCCTCACCTCCTCCCAGCCCCAGTCCTCCCCCACCTCCACGTCCATCTCCTCCCTCGCCACCCCCACGCCCGCCGCCACCCCCTCCCTCCCCACCACCCAACTGTCCGGTCTGCGCCTATGTCTACATCTATCCGCCTAGCGACCTGGCCGGCAAGCCGCTTTTTACCTTCGACGCCGGAGTCTCCTGCCGAAACATGACCAACCTCATCGTCTCCGGCTTCACCAGCAACGCAGCGCTGCGCGGCGCACGCATCTCCAGCCCCTTCTCGCTCTACACCTGCTCCGCGCAGTACATCAACGGTATATCACCAACGGCCGGCGGTATGACATTAACGGTTTATCCGTACATCAAGGTGTGCGGCGCCTTCCTCACTCTGGATGATGCAATGCTGGTGCAGCCCTGGGTGTCGACGGTTGGAGTGTACGGATGGAGGGATTACATTACAGGCGGAGGACCGGGCTGTAACGCTGAGCTGGCTGGTTATACCATATCCAGCTTCGTGTCTGGCATGTATTATGACATCATAGGGCCGTCAAGCGGCTCCTGCATGTCTGGAAATGTTAGCCAGAGCTGCACCCTCTTCGACCCGCCCTCGCCGATGGCGCCCTCGCCCTCGCCGATGGGTCAACGGTCCAAACCGCCGCCGTCGCCGCTGCCGCCTGCGCTGCCGCCACCGTCGACACCCTCCGCGCCGCCGACGCCCCCTGGCCTGGTCAAGACCCATAATTGCGTGCAGAGTACGAGCAATGTGCCGTACAACATTAGCACCTTGTTTACCGTGAACACGAGGGACCAGAGCAACGCAGCTGCGACGGCCATGTGCTTTGTGGTCGGCAAGCAGAGCTGCAGGGCTTCGTCGTACTGCTGCTCTATGGACTTTGCAAAGGTGGGTGGGTCGGTGGAGGTGGAGGTGAGGGTGAAGGTGAAGGTGAAGGAAGCCAAGCTTAAGCAAGCGAAAACATCCGGTAAAACTGCGAATTGGCCGTTGTCTATTGCCCTGTACGGTCATCTAGGGTTACGCACGGGGCTGTTGGGGGAGCTTGTCGCACTTGCGCATGGATACCAATGTGTATGTGCTTCGTCGTCACTGTCACACAATGTAACGTACGTTCCTAGTGACTGTGTTATTCACATCTATCCCCAATGCCCTGATTGGTGCAGGTGGAGGTTCCAATCTCCGAGAGCTGCAAAGGCGACCTACGAGGCATCACCATTAACAGCTCGCCGGTTTCGTACAGCTGGGGTGAGTCTTGGGCCGTGTGACCCATGGGTCATCTTGCTGAGAATCCCTTCTGACAGCTCGTTTCGAGTACCTGGCTGACCGTTAGTTGCTGGTTATGATTGGCATGTTTTCAGAAGAGGAGTACTGGACACAATGTTATGGTCACAGCAAGCTGCAGGAAACAGCATGACTACTCCGTTGGGTTGTTGCACGAACATTTCCAACGAATCCTTGTTTGCAATCCGCTGCTGCAGGCTTGTACGACTCCCTCAACGTTACGACCATTAAATTCACCAAGCTCACCACGTAAGTCTAGGCAGAGCGAGGAAAGCGTTGCACCTTGCACGCACTTTTCTTGGGAACGAAACTGGACTGGGACATCTATGGTCGACGTACCAGGGGGCCTCGTATGCACGCCATGTTACAAGGCTTGACCAGGCACGTGTATCTCTCGGCTAGGCATGTCTTTCCACCTCGCTTGGTTTACCTTGCAGCCTGGGAAGTAAGTAAGGCCCACCATTAAACGTGCAGCAGCAGCAACAGCAGCATGCGATACGGTAATCAGTTGCGACAGGCCAAAAGAGGAAACATGCCTTGTCATGCGCACGCAGGTACCTGCCGAATCCTGATCAGGCAGTTCTGTGCTGGTTGGTCCGCCCCGGAGTTTGCTCCACTCCCGAGCAGTTCTGCCATAACGGACTTTGCCAGGTAAGGCTTCCAGCGCCTTTTGTTTCGTGCAATTAGGCATTAATTATTAACTGCGGCTGCTGCTGCACTCCTCCTCGCCCATTGCAAGACTACAGTTGCTTATCTGTGTAAATCGCACTTAATTGTAAATCGCACTTAGTTGCTTTACTGCTCAGGTATCTGCCTTCCTTGAATGAATGACCGTTACAATGGTTCTCTAAAAGGGAACACGGGTGATGAACCCAACCCTACACTGCAAGAGAGCTTGATGAGGTGCTGTCCACGAGTCCAGGCCCATAACGTTCTTCCTCCCATTACGGCGCTGTCTTTCACCCTCCAGGTTAATGTCTTCTCAACTGATAACAAGTGCTGCCCGGCTACCATTGCCAACTAAGCACAAGCTCTTGTCGTCATGGCATGGGGAAGACCAAGCTATGTGCAGCACCCTGCCCAGCCAGCGAAAGCCAAAGCTTTTTATGCTGTAGTTTGTTTGCATTCTTGATGAGTATTGTTTATACATAATCACATCGCTAGCTCGTGACAACTTCACGGCTGACTGAGACATCTCTCTTTCCCTCTTAGCGACTTAACAACAACACCTCAAGAATACTTATCAGCAGAGGTCTACTTCTTCTGCAATGATGTTTGCGACGGACGTGTATACGATGGACGTGTTGGTTGTGACTTTACGGCTTTCGTCGGCTTTCGACCTCCCGTGCTGACCTTCAGGACTTGAAAATATTGGACTTGACACCATTTCTTTCTGTCCTTATCGTTCCCGTTATATATGCAAATCATAATGTTCGGCGGAAGTCCTGTGCGAATTGGTCACGACCCGGGGGTCATTTATCGGCTTACTAATGATGCCGTCTGTCGTACTCTTCGCCTGTGTCCAGGGTACAGTGTTCTTATGCATGCGCCCTACCGGTATAATATCGTGTTGCGAAGAGTTCTCCTGAACAAAGGAGTGCAAGCACGGACAGCCATGGTGTCCATAAAAATTGTGGAAAATGTAAGCACAGAGATACTCAGCCCCCGCCCCCTCGTCTTCCGGGCGCGCCCACCCTTCTTTTGCCACCAAATGAGGTCGAACAAAATGGCCTGATGTGTTGAAAAAGCTGGCCGCGAGTCGGAACGTACTGAGATTGCCGGAAGATGAGGATCTGGCCTGGCGTGTGTGCCCCTCATCGTTACATGCCGTACTTCCGCAGCAGCCGCCCTCTATCACTCTCATCAGCAATTGCAAACAGCTCGAAATCTGCCGGTACCGGTACACGCTACAAAGGAGCCGGTCAGCTACATGGCCTCCTTGGGGCTGTTCACACGCTGACAGCTTTGTCTCCGTAAATCACATGATCCTCATGCAAATGCAATCAAGTAAGCCCCATGCGGATGACTTTAATCGTTCTTGGGGGCACCCCAGCTGTGCCGGCTCAGCTGTTGGCAAGCTCGCTGACGACTTGCGGTTGTTAGGATGGGCCCGGAAACGGAAGCATGGTGACCCCGCAATACCAGTACAAAACCGAAACAAGCAAGAACAAAACTAAGCAAAAGACAACAACACAATCCGCCGTCGCCCCTAACACCTTTGACGTTTACGGATCTCGCCATTCGGTACCCGTCTACCTACATACCGTACGTACATGCACTGCTGCTGTTTTCATTACCCCCACGACATTCATCAATCTTCCGAGCATCAACAATGACCATTGCATGCTCCCACACTGACGGGCTGCCTAGAGCTACATTCCCAGCAGGCAGGACAGCCGCCGGGTACTTCTTCACAAGTCACAAGTCACGTCCGGATGTACGGCAACACGGGCTCGCCATCCGTGTTCCCTTGTACGGGAACCATCCGTGTTCCCTTGTACGGGAGCCACTGTAAGACTTGTAACGGTCATTCATTCAGCAAGTCAGCGTCATACTCAATGCAATCCTGGCAAGCCGCAGCGCCGCTTGCCCACGTGTGTATTGACCACATCATGCAGTGGTGTGCTGGTGTCATGTCATCTTCTGTACATGGCAGCACGACACAACCGTAGCTAACCACCTTCCGTATCCTGCAACAAACCACAACCGTCAACCTCTTCCAAGTACGGCACATACATCATCGGAAAAGAAATCCAAACCAAAACCCCGCTGGCTAGAGCATCCTAGTCATCGCTATTTGCTTCATACCGGTATTCCCCTCCCCTTGGTGCGGTTGCCGCAGCCCGCATCACGCTGCTGTTCAAGAGGCAACCACCTTCCGCGGCCGCCCTCGGGCCCGCTTCGCCGGCGGTACCTCAAGCACTGCGCCCGCCTCCGCTGCTGACGGCGCCGCCGCCGGCAGCAGCGGGTGCTTACGCGGCCGCCCTCGGGGGCGTTTCGCAGGCGTCAGCGGCAGCGCTGAGGCCTCAACAGCCGCCGCGTCGGGCGCAGTCGCCGCAGCACAGCACTTGCATGCGGTGGCAGCAGCGGCGGTGGCGGTGGCGGCCTTGGGCGGCCGTCCTCGTCGCTTCGGCGCCCCTGCAGCGGCGGTAGCGACAGCGACGGCAGCAGCCTCTGGCGGCATCGCTGTCGTACCCGTCGTGCCCTCTGCTGCAGCCGGGGCCACTCGTCGGCTGCCTGCCCTCCCTGCTGCGGCTCCCCTCCCGCGGGTAGCGGTTGTGGCCCCGCCGCGGCCTCTGCCGGCGCCGCCCCCTCGACTCACCGCGGTCCCGCGGCCCCTGCCCCTACCGCCACGGGTGCTCCTGCGCCCTTCCTCCCCTGCAGTGTCGCCACCGCCGTCGCCCCTGCCGCGACCTCTGCTACCGCCGCGGCCTCGACTGCTGCCTCCTCGCTTTGCGGCCGCCGCTCTTTCACTTCCTCTGCCGCCGCCGCTGCTGCTGCTTTCCCTGGCCAGCTTACCCCTCCCGCGCCCGCGTCCCGCGCCCTTGCGGCCCACCTCCTTCTCCGCGTCCTCTGAGTCTTCCACTTCTTGAAGCTCAGAATCGGAGGCGGAGGACGACGAGGCCTCCTCCTCCTCCTCCTCCTCTTCCTCGCTGCTCGTGTCCTCAAAGATGGAGGGAGGCAGCAGCCGGGCAGGAACCAGGTGCCTGGGGGGCAGGGGCGCAGGTAGGGGGTGGGGACAGCGGCGTTACAGCCCCTTACAGGCATGAGGAAGGGCCGTACTGGGTAGTACCTGTAACAGGAAGGATCAGGCGAGCACACCCGGCGAGCAGGCCCTGCAACACACACCCAGCTCAGTGCAGCCCAGGTCCCATCACCAGCACCATCACCCCAACCCACTCTTCGAGCCTCCCTTTCCCCCTCCTGAACAGCATGGGGTATTTTGTTCTTCTTATTTACCGTCCCCCCCTTGCCTGGTTGTTTTTTTCTTCGTTTTCTTCCCTTTAAACCCTTTACCCTCCCCTTCCTCCAGCGTAATGCGGATTCTGTTTCCAAATTAATCCCCTAATTAAACCCTTTACCCTCCCCTTCCCCCACCTGAACAGCCGCATGTCTATGCTGACGCTGTCAGGGTTGCATTGGCACACCGCCGCCACCGCGCCCAGCGGTATCCAGCGCCGAGTGCCAAAGTTAACCGACTCCGCGCAGTTGTATCCCATGTTGTATCCAGCGTGGTAGGCGCCTGCGTGCGGAGGAGAGATGCGGCACAGCAGATGAGGTACCGGTTCGGCACTTGGTACCGGTACGGCATCACATGCGTGTGCTCAGCACGCATGCGCGCGGCACGTGCATGCGTGCGTGTGCTAAGAAAACTGTCCGCGTGTGTGCAGGCATGCCGTTACGCAGCCACCGCGGTACGGCATGGTTGGATTGCGGTTGGGGCAGGCAAGGGCAAGTGTTACCCGGTGTACGGCACCACCTGTGGGGAACCATGTGCCACGCTACCCGGCGCACTCAGAAGGCGACGCAAACACACACACACACACACACACACACACATGCACACAACTGCTCCATAACTGCCGGCCTCCTTGCCTCGGATATGGGATAGAGACTCCGATTGCTTCACTTGCTTCATTTATTTTCCCGGCTCCATGCCGCCGTGCACTGCCCCCTTGCGCCCACCTCCCACCCGCAGCGCCTACCCGGGTAGTTGATGACAAACTCGCGCGGCCGCTGCACACTGCGGATGTAGGGGATGGCGAAGGTGTCCAGCAGCTGCGGGCTGATGATCAGCTCCTGAGGAGGAGGGGGGTCAAAGATTATCCCGAACCATAGGGGAAGGAGGAGGAGGAGGAGGGTAAAAATAAAGAAACACTGACAAACTGAAGGAGGGGGGGAGGTGGAGGTGGAGGTGGAGGGGAAGGAGGAGGAGGAGGGGGAGGTGGAGGAGGACATCATTAGGTGTCATGCCGGCATCTTGGGCGTACCGGTATACCTAACTACCGATGCAGCTCGGTGCAGATCAGCGCCACAGGGGTCTGTACCGGTAACCTAACCCGCCACGTTACGAACTTGGCGTGACGTTTTCCACTTCACGGAAGTAACGACGCGCGTGAGGGGCGTCACACACTGAACTGTCGTATACCCCTTGCCGTACACTGCCGTACCCCCCTGTGTCGTACACTCCCCACCTTGTGTCTGAAGAACTCTGGGCAGGTCTTGAACAGGTCGGGCAGCATTCCCTTGATCAGCCCCTCGAAGCGGCGGCGGCTGTCTGGCGGGATGCAGTACCACTGCTTGGGCGCCCCGAAGTGCAGGTAGTTGACGGAGTAGAGGTCCACATCCTCGGTGTGCCTGACAGGGGGGGATGGGGGGGATGGAGTTGGGATGGGCGCGGAAACGCTGTGCGATACGCGGGGTTGGATGCGGTACCAGTCATCCACTCATCCTTCTAACCGTCGGAAGAAGGCAAGCCAGCCTGCCCCCCTGCACCCATGCGGCTCGACCAACACGGCACACAGGCTGCTGGCGCCCCCCACCCACGACCCACCCACCCGGCCTACGAGTGCTTCGTTCCTGCCGTCTCAAACCCCACCCAGGCACCCCCCTCCCTCTCCCACCCACCCACCCACCCACCACGCGAACAGGCTCCTCCACATGCCGAAGTACAGGTAGGGCTCGCTCACCCCGGGCAGCGTGTGCCCCGCCTCCCGCAGCACCCGCGACAACACCGTGTCCAGCTGGCGCAGCGTCCAGCCCTGGGCGGGGTGGGGGGGGAGCGGGCGGGGGGGGCGGGCAGGCAGACACATATGCTTGCATGCAGGCCAGCCAGTTTCCTTGATAACACATGCATTCATGCACGCACGGCCAAAGGATCTTAACCTGCACTGACGACTGCTGCTTCGTCCGGTTCCATGCCCCTGCCAGTTTGTTTAACATGTGGCATTCCTTTCCTGTGCACTTCCCCGCCCACTGCTTTCACCTCCGCCGGCAATCTCTCACAACCCACCTTGCAATCCTCGTCAAACAGCGAGCCGGCCACGTCAGCGCCGTACAGCGGCGGCCGCAGCGTCACATTGCGCCAGTAGCGGCGCTCCAGGTCGGCTGGGGTGTCGGCGGGCGGCGGCTGGTTGTCGGGGGCTAGGGCCTGAGTGGTGAGCGGATGGGTGTGGGTGGGGGAGGGGTGTTGAGTGGTGGTTAGGTGGAGACAGGAGCGCTTTGTTCCGTTGAAGGAACACCCAGAGTGGGGGGGGGGGCGGCGCATGGCGACATGTGCTGATACAGGTACAGATCCGGCATTCGGCGCGCGGGTCAGGCGTGGAGATCCAACCGTGGCAAGATCCGATCGCAGTACCCTTCCATGCATGCCCAACCGGCCTCCTCTGCCGCTCAGATGCCCACCCCGGGGTTGCACGCTTGCACCCACCATCGGCCTGAAGTCGTGTCGCAGGCTCATGGGCTTTTGCTCGATGTACAGTCCGCGGAAGAGCCCCCGGCTGCCGGTGACATGCTGCCGGATGGGCCGCTCGATGGTGAAGTCCAGGTCATCAGGGTAGCCCTGGGGAAGCGGGGAAGAGGAGACGAGGAAGGTGAGAGAGGGCAAGTGGGGAAGGGAAGGAGGGAGGGAGTTACGGTGAATGGGTGGGTTGGAAGGGAAAGCAACATGGCATGAAGGAGGCACAGGAAGGCACGCGGTGGCCTAAAGTGCAGCACGAGTAAAAGCGGGAGCGTGGTTAATATTGTACTAACTCAAAAGCAACAACGGTCATGTGGCTTCAACAAGATATGGCGACAGGGTTGTAGCTGCTGCTGCGATGGCTCCATACGAACGGCGTCAACAGCTAAAGGCATGCACGCCGCGAAGCCAGTAAATCATTAAAGTTTTCACCAAAGCTTAATGCACGCAGTGCGGCTACCAGAATAACCGGAAGGCGGTGCGGGTCAGGATGGACCCACCTGTCGTCGCGGCGTCCAGCCCTCCGGCGCCACAATCTTCGCTATGCCCGCTTCCGCAATCTTCTTCTCATGCTTCTCTATGTAGGCCTCAAACGGCTTTTTAAGGTCTTCCAGCGTCGGGTACAGGACAGGGCATTCTCTGCTGGGCATTTCCCAGTGACCTTGCTTTGGATATGTAAATGGGTCCTAGCGAAATTAGGGGGGCCTTCTATGTGACGTCCGGTGCATTTGACAGTGTTAGTTAGGAAGGCTTGCCCCTCAACGTTGTCCCTTTCGATAAAAGCTTACAGAATGCGGTATGTCGTTTAGGCCTCTTAACAGTTAAGACAACCAGTATGCACAAACGGAGTTGGGTCAGTGTGCTTGCTTAGTAAAGTCAATCCGGTGGTGGAGCACGGATATTGTCGTACGCGTAAGGGCAGGGCCGCAGGAAACACGCAGGTGCCAGTAAATTAATATTACGGTATACTATCGAAATCTTTGTATACGTTGGTTGTGACTTTAGCTTGATCGGTTTCTTGTAGCTTGAGATGCGACTTCGCAGGGCCATGGCAAGCGTCCGTCTGCGCCTTGCCATTATCGCCGTGTACATTTGCATCTCCCTAGCAACAGCAGTATATGGAGCGGACGCGACGACTTTCAACGACGATGTCCTTCAACGGGTGTTGCGACGCCTCGAGGCGCAGGCCGACAGGTGCGGCCTCCTCCGCTTACATCACGCAAGCACCCAGCCCCCATCCAGTCCACTTCCTCACAACTAGCACCCATTCACACCGACATCGTTATACCTTACGGTACTCCAAATCGTTAATGCAGTGTACGGCACACCGGTAACTCGCAGGTACGACACAGACCTCTCGGAGCTTGTGAGCTTCCCCTCCGTGTCGGCGCTGCCAGAGCACGCGGGGGACCTTCAAGCGGCTGCTGAGTGGTTGGCCGCACGACTGAAGACCGCAGGGCTGCATGTAAGCTGACTGGAGGGCGAGTGGGAAGGCCGCGCGAGGGAGTGGTGTGTGAGAAAAGCGCAACGATAGCGTTTTGTGCATCTCTGGGCTACTGCTCATTCGGTACTACCATACGTTTATGCCGTACATGTGCCATGCCATCTGCAGGCGGTTGAGATCCTGCCAACCGACGGACCGCAACCCGTAGTGTACGGCGAGTGGTTGGGCGCCACTGACCCACGGGTCCCAACCGTCCTGGTGTACGGCCATTACGACGTGCAACCCGTGGATCCCATTGACGCCTGGGAGACACCGCCCTTCCAGGTGATACCGGTAACTTGAAACCCACCAAATCCAGTGGTCGCAGAGAATTCTCGAACCAGCTCATGTCAAAACAGTCCAATGCGTCCTTTCTCACCCGGTTCCCCCACTCACTCCATTTCCCTCCCTCCTCCTCATCAGCTCATCAGTCTCTCCCTCTTCACCTCCCTCTGCCTTCTTCACCTCCCTCTGCCCTCCATGTCCCATCCCTCCTCCGCACCCAGGTTGTCAAGCGCGACGGCTACTACTACGGTCGCGGGGTGGACGATGACAAGGGCGGGCTGCTGGAGGCGCTGCAGGTACGACAACATGGATCTTGGTTCGGGGGGGTTTGGGTGGGTTGGAGGTGGAGGTGGAGGTGGCGGTGGCGGTTTTGTTTTCGATGAGGACTGTTACAGAGGAAGGACAGGAAGACAACAAAAAAGAACAGCGGAGAAAGAAAACCACTGGATACCAGGGAAGCCAGGGTAGTGGGGGCGTGGGGTAACCAAACGAGGGGAACCAGACAAAGCGGCAGGCCGGGGGGCGGATTGCTGGAGGCGCTTTGCAGGTGCCGAACATCCGTACTATTAGGAACTTGGGTGCGGGGGGTTGGCATGCTAGTGTAATGGCCGTCCTAGCCGGACTTCCTTTCCGCCCAGCCAACCGCATAGGCGACATAGACTCCACCCATGCTCCTCGCTGCCTCCCTGTCTGCCTGCCTCCCTTGCTCAGGCGGTAGAGGCCTGGCTGCAGGAAACGGGTGCCGTACCGGTCAACGTCAAATTCCTGTTGGAGGTTGGTGGTTGGTTGGTTGGTTGGGGTAGTTGGGGCAAGTGCGTCAACTGTCAAGTCGCTCGCAACGGGAGCAATCGCCTTGTGACAAATCAACACAACTCCCTCCCGTCCCCCTCCTCCTCAGGGCCAGGAGGAGGTGATGTCACCGCACCTCAGCTCCTTCCTGCGCGCCCACACCGCCCGCCTGTCCGCGCACCTCGCGCTGTCAGCGGATGGCGGGCAGCCGGGGCCGCAGCGGGGCGGCATCTCGCTGGGGCTGCGGGGCATCGTGAGCGCGGAGCTGCAGGTGGGTGGGCGACACCAAGGTGTGTTTGTGGGGAGGTGGCCGATCTGCACAGAGGCATGGAACACGGAGGCTGCGACCGCTGCTACTAGAGCATTAGCAGTGCTGTTCTATGCTGTGCTGTGTTGTGCCGTACTATGCCGTACTATGCGTTGCTGTGCTGTGCTGTGTGTTCCCCCCCTCCAGGTGACCACCGCGGGCACCGACCTGCACAGCGGCATGAAGGGCGGCTCGGTCGCCAACGCCAACATGGTGCTGGCGGAGCTGCTGGCGGGCATGCGGGAGGCGGGCAGCCGGAGGGTGGCGGTGGAGGGATTCTATGAGGTGCGCATACAGTAGATAATTATTACGTGTATGTACCGGTGTGTTAAAAATCTTGTTTGTTTGTGTGTACGCAGGATGTCGTGCCCATGACGGAGGAGGACCGGCAGGATGTACGGCAGTACGGCTTTGACCCCGAGCAGGTACGGCAGCCTGCTGTGCTGCGGTAATGCTGGGATGATGATAATGTTGATGATGATCACAATAATGCTGCCCAAGCAAGCTGCTGTTGCAATTTGAGTGCGCTCCTGCCATCTCCTGTGTGCTTCGTACGGTAGAGTGCTGCTCCTTCCTAATCGCACATTCTCCAGAGCCTTGCTTGCCGGACCTTCTGGCATTCCCCATCCATTAGGAGGCGGCCGAGCTGGGGTTGTACGGCTATGTGGGTGAAGCCGGGTACGGCATTCTTGAACAGAGGCAAGTACGAAATGACTGCCGTACAATATATGCCGTACATCATCACCGCATGGCTCCTTGAACCTTTTCGCCCTTCCATCCTCCCAGTCCATTTCCTTCCCATTACCCATCCACCTTCTTCTCAATCGCCCTCCCGAAAGGTATCTCCCGGCCGCCTTCATCCCATCCCCATTGTCTAGTTTACCTAATCCCCACTGTCTTGCCCTCAAGGCTTGCGGTTTGGTCCTCCCTGCTGTTCCCAGGTGGCACCGGCCCACATTGGAGGTGGTAGGGCTGCAAGGCGGCTTCAGGGGCGAGGGCATCAAGACCGTCATACCCCGCAGTGCCTCCGCCAAGATCAGCTGTCGCCTGGTGCCGCAGCAGTCGCCCGAGGGCATATTACACAAGGTAACGTGATCTACATGAGCTGCGATAGATGCATTATTAGGGGAACAGCTTGGGACAAGGGACACGTCTAGGGGTACCGGTAACAGCAAAGGGACGGGCTACCCGGGGACCTCGGTCACTAGCTAGGAAGACGGCAGAGGCGGGTTAGATAGATAGGGTTTTGGTTTTACAGCGACTGTGATGCACACTATGTATACGGTAATGTGAAAAGGCATTCGGCCAGAAACGAGACTAAAATTAAATAAATAATCATATCTTAACGGCTTTGCAACTGCCTAATAACCCCAACCGTCGCAACAGTTGAAGCGTCACGTGGCTCGTCACTGCCCGCCGTATGCGCGATGCAACCTGACGGTGCTAGGCGGCGGCGCCTTCCCCTGGACTAACCCACGCAACTCTCCGGGCAACGCCGCAGCAGCTGCCGTTCACAGGGCCCTCAGCGGCCGAGATCCGCTGTTCCTTAGGTGAGTGGGTCGAGAGGAGGGTAACGAGGAAACATCAACTACTAACGAACCGTGGGAACGAACCGTGTGGCAAAGCTCTACCATGGGCAGCATCAAGGTTACGGTGCCAAATCATGGTTAGTGTCGCGCCCATGAACCGGCTTGCACCAGTGATGTTACCGGAATCCGCATGCATGCACATGCAGCGTTCCTAAGCAGGTGGGCCGGCTACGTTAATAGGTTACTCGGCGGATGTTTCGTCCTGACGCCTTCTTTTCTCACTTTTCGGTCCAACAAGTACCGGTACATTTGTGATGCCTCTGACTGGGAGCCAACTGCGGGGAAAAGTGTGGTTTGTCGGGGACCATGGAAGAGGGGACTAGGAAGGGCGCATGCGCTTGGAACCCATCCTAGCGGGCTGCCCGGTGACGGGCAGCGGCGCTGGGGAACACCACAGCTATGGCGGCAAAGTGGGACTTTGCGCCGAGCTGTTGGGATGGGAATTGTTGCGGTAGATAGGGCCGTGTGTCACGCCGACCGGTGAGAGGGATCGGCCAGCAATCGGTTGCCAGCGCTGGGTTAGCCGCGACAGGCATTATAACTGTATGGTGTATGGAATTGTACTTGCTGGACCGAAAAGTGAGAAGAGGAGGCGGCAGGACGAAGCATGGGATGGGCCGTGGAGGATGTCTGCTGCGGGAGTAACTTGTTAGGCAAGAGCGGTACAGGTACTGGCTTCATACATCTATCCACTGCCTTTGCTGCTGCTGTCGCTGGTTCCTAGGCTTCCGGCCATACCGGTATGTATGCCCCACCATTCCTGCAGGGACGGCGCCACCATCCCCGCCCTAGCTGCATTCCAACAGCAGTTGGGACTGCACACCACAAAGTTCGGCTGGGGGCTGAGCGAGCGCATTCACGCGCCTAACGAGCGCCTGAGGGCTGAGATGTACGACAAGGGTCGCCGCGCATGGGCCATGATCTTGTACGAACTGGCACGGCAGCAACGGTTGTACGACAATGGCAGCAGTACAGATGCAGTTGATGGGGTTGCTGGTGATGAAGGCATTGCGGATGTGATGGGTGCTGATGCGAAGGGTGCGGCTGACAGAGGCATGGGGGCGCGTGAGGAGCTTTGAGCGTACAACAATGGTGGCGTACTTTCCGTTCCTGCTCACTTGAGCTAGGCTCCTAGTGAGCGGAATCGGTATTCCCGCCAGGAATGTGTGGTCCATGTGAGCTCGTACGCCTGATAGCCGTTAAGAGCCGACTAATCAGGCCTTCAATGGACGTGGTGCATATGACCCATCTGCGCGGCATACCTGCGAGTGTTGAACAATATCCGTTGTTGAACAATACGCGTTGCCCATTAATCATATCTATACCTGCCTATACGTTTGCTTCCATGCTATAATTTGTTTAAATCCTTCAACCGACACTGTATGTAGACTATGCACACAATCCAACCGCTCACAGTTCTGCCAGGTAAGGCTTTGCGAGGATACTATATGCCGTACCCTTACCTGTAACCGTAGTACTGTGCCGTTGAGCCGCATCCGCTCTTCGGGCTCTTATGGCCTGCAAGCTGGAATAAGTTGAGGGAAGGTAACTGCACCATAGACCCAATAGGGGCGTCGTGCTTGATAACCGGTATTCGTAATAGAGGTTGTACTCGCAAATATCTCCTACATCCGCTAGGTCACCGCTCGTGGCCTATCAGCGAGCTACGTATGTTGTTTCCTTATAGTGCTATAAGCTGTCATGCCTACTTGCCTGGGAAGCCTTTTAACTTGCTTTGGTGGCTGCGTTTATGTTGAAAAGCATGAGCCGCAAGAAGACAACTCAAGATCATTGAAAGTTTGCAATGCCACTGTTGGGGCAGCGTTTGGGACGGCGCGGAGCGGACGACCAACGATTTTGTTGTCTGATGCGCAGTTTCAAAGGTTTGGAGGGCAGCAACCCGCGCTGCTGCTTGTACCTCATAGTAGCATGGGAGGATTGGAGCAGGATCTTCAATCTTACGCGGCGTCGGGTCATGTGCCTCACGTCCATTGCTACGTCAACGGTCCTGCGTCCGCGCTGCTCAGCGGTAATGGCTACATGATGTCACTTTCTGTCCCAGACACGGCGGCCGCTATGCGCGTTCTGCAGGAACGCGAGCCCATTTTGGCAACGGAGCTCATTTCCCAGTTGACGCAGTGGGCTAAATCCTTGGCTTCGAATCGCAGCGACCCTGGAAGTTACTCATTTTATTTTGACTCGGAAGCCTATAGCCAAAACATTGCAAGCGGCTCAGGCGGCTTGGCTAGGGCTTGGTCTTATGTAGTGGCTCAGCCCTGCTTTGTGCAAGCGGCCGAGGGCGAGTCGCTGGACCAGACATGTTGCCAATCCCAACAACTACAACAATCGCTGTCAGCGAAGCAGCCGCGTCCTGGTTTAGGGCCGCAGCCCCGAAACCAGGGGTCCACATCTGCAGCCCAAGTTGACGCCAGTAAAAAGAGCGATCTACTAGCGGCGTTGCTTGTAAAATTCACCCTAAGCGGAGACGGTCTGGCGCCTCACCATGAACAGCAAGGCGCTCAAGCCCCTGTGCTGCACCTCGCCAAGCATCCTCATCCTACAAGCAGCACAGGCGGGTACCTCCGACCATCTCGACCACCCATCCTGAGCGAGGACGTCGTCTTGTCCGGCCTTGCCTGCTCGGTGACCGCTATTTCCATATCCAACGGCAGCGTTTTGTACCAAAACGACGCGAGTCGGCTGTTCTGGGGCGACATGGCTGCCGAGCATGACATGAGCACAACCATCACCACCCAACCAGCGAGCTCCGGCCGCCGCAGCTTCCACTTGCATGCCGCCTCAGTCCTGGCTGCTACTGCTGCTGCTGGTCCTGCGGTTGCAAACCCCCACCAGCAGCCCAGCATGGATGCTATTGCTGCCAGCGCTGCGGGCAGGACTGCCGCTGCGGTAACCGCAACCCACACCGCCTCAGCAGCAATCGCAATCGCGGCGGCCACCGCGAATACGCCTCCAGGGCGAAATTCTATATCGCAACCAGGGTCCGCTAGGTCCTTTAACACCCTCTGCGGCATGGGTTTGCAAGGTCCGCAGGGCGCCGGCATGTCGTCATGCTCGACCCTGCCAGCAACAGCAGCGGCAACAGCAGCGGCAGCAGCAGGCGGTGTGCAGTTGCCGTACGCTTCTCAAGCTCAGACAATGCTGGGGAACGCGTCGTCGTTGCTGAACCAAGCGCTGCAAACCAACACAACGGTCGGCACCAGTCAGCGGGTTTCCGTAGCTGATGGGGCATGTGTGGCGGCGGGCGGTGGCGGCGGCGGCCCTGCCGGCGTACTGCAGCAGCTCTTTGCATTCGAGCCTTTCAAGTACGAGCGGATGGTGCAGGAGACGTGCATTGAAGGACGGCCGTGGAAGGGTGGGGCACACGGGGCTGGGTGGGGAGCTGTGGCAGCTGTGGCTGGGGAGGAAAGGAGGCTGGCGTGCATGCATGGATGCAGCAAGCATCATGACAGGGGTATTATGCCATTAGTGGCGAGGCGACGACGTTTGAAAGTCCTGCCAGCTTTCATGTTTTAGGTCTGCGCACGGGAGGCATGGACACATGCGTACTTGGCTAATGCATGTGCCAGTTGTGCCTCGTTCTGCATGGAGTGGTTCCAAGTGGTTTCTTGATTGTCGTACGTCAACAGTACGGCAGTACGACAGCCTAGCTGGCATTACCACCTGCCTTCCCTTCCCTGCATCCAGACCTCCCCTTCCCTTCGACCCTTTACCTTGCCCCTTTGCCCTTCCAATCGCCCTTCCAACCAACACAACAGGTATCATTCGTATGGTCGCACCTGCAGGACTGTTGCTGATGCAGTCCGCCCTCGGGCCCCACATGCAAACACACCCGCACGCGCACCCGCACGACCTTCCCGTCGGCACCCCGTCAGCCCACATGAACAGCCTCCCTCCCAGCAGCGTAGGCCTGCTCAGCAATATCTTTCGGGGCCAATCCCGTCACTGCTCTGCTGCCACTGCTACAGCCACCGCCTCGGCAGCTACAGCCGCAGCCGCTGTCGGCGGCGACAGCGGCCTGCCCTCGCCCAGCCAACATCAACAGCACCAATACCAACACCACCAACAGCAGCAGCAACCTCTGTCCGCTGCTCCGTGGGCGATTCCCTCCGGTCGGCGCCACTTGCATGCAGGCGGCTCGTTGCCGCCACACTTTTGGTCGCTTGGAGGTGCCAGCTGCTCCCACCAACAGAGCCTACATGAGCCAGGCAGCATTGATCGGTCCTCCGCGCTCCTGGCGATGGCGGTGGAGGAGGCGGCGGCGGCGGGGGCGAGGGCCACGCGACGCAGCGGCGGCGTGGCAAGTGGGACGCGTACGGCAGGGGGAAGTCCGTTTGAAACGGCGGCGACGGCGGCAGCAGCAGCGGCGGCGGCGGCGGCTTGCGGCGGTGCTGCCGGCGGCGGCACAGGGCGTGAAGTCGCGTCGACGGCGTCGACCTTACCGTCCGGGTTTCCGGTAGGCCGCAAGGGCTCCATCCTGTTGCTCGACGCGGACCCCTTCGCCACGAGTGTTTGGGGGCTGCTGAGTCAACCCACCATGAGCAGTTCTGGCATTGTTAGCGGAGCGGTTGGTGGCGGATCCGGTACGGCAAGCGTTACGGGGATGACTGCCGCCGCCGCCGCTGCTGCTGTTTCTGCCGGCAAGGCGATGGCTGCGGCGACTACGGCCGCCGCCACCACAGCTGACGCTACGAATATGGCCTTGTTCGCAGCAGAGAGCAGTGGACCCATGGCCCCGCACGAATTGTCGCTGTCGTCGTCGCCGGCGGGTGCTGCATACGCGGCAGCAGCCTTACGAGATCCCTTCACACGACGATCTGACACCTCCCGTGGAGGATCTCAGCTGCATCTTGGTGGTGGCGGTGGCGGTGGTGGATCCCACCGGGAGCCGTTCACCCTCGGTGGGTCGTTGGTACGTCAGTTCGAGGGGCCGCTTGGGCGTCAACTGTTGGCTCCCGAGGCTCCCACGCCGCGCCTTAGTCAGCCGCTGCAGCACAGCCCGCCGCAGCAGCCGCTTTCAGCTGAGCACAGTCGTCAGGCGGTGACGGCTGTTCAGTCGGGAGCACCCGGAGGCCAACAGGAGCAGCAGGGCCAGGGGCAACAGCGGCAGGTGCAGGGCCAATCGCAGCAGCAGCAGCAGCTGAACCAGCAGCAGCAGCGGTCCACGGGAACCTGGGCCTTGTCGGCCGCGGCCACAGTGGCGAGGCACCGGGCGAGTCTGCGAGGGAGGTCGCTGTTGCGACACAGCAGCATTGAGCGGACGGATAGCGTCAGGTGAGGAGTGAAGGCCAATATTCCTTTTTGAGTATATGGGTATAGGTAAACTGGGTTTTTGCCTGCGCTTGTATGGAGGTCTTTGTAGCATGAGTAGCAATCCTTGGCTTCTCAGGGGTTTTCATGAAGATGGTAGAAGGATACAATGTATGCTCAACACATGAATTTTGGAAACCGCGTGTGTTGCCCCGATGTTCCCTCCCTCCCTCCCTCTTGCCGCTCATGTTAACCTTAAACCCGTACCCTCCCTCCCATATTCTCCTCCATCCCTCCCGGTCACCCTCGTCCTCTCTCTACCACGTTCCCACTACCTCTCAACTCCGATCCTCTCCACTCCACTCCGTTACACCGCTACCCGCTACACCACTACCCGTTACACCGCTACCCGCTACACCGCTCCGTGACCTGCTCTCCAGCCCTAGAAGCACCACCACCGCCCAGCACAACAGCTCCCACCAACACCACCGCAGCTTTGCTGAGATCTTCCGTACGCTTGCCTTCCCACGCGGCTCGGATGTCGCCCCTCCCGCCGGCCGCACGCGCAGCAGCGGCAATGTCTCGCTAGGCCTGGGCATGTTGGGCACGTGGGTCGGTTCCCACACCGGTCGCAACCTCACCGGCACCCCCACCAGCCAACACGGAAGTCACACCAGCCACGCCAACAGCCCCGGTCATAGCCCCAGCCACCATAACCCCCACCACCCCCAACACCACAGCTCACGCCTGTACGCACGCCTGTACGCGCATCACCACCACAATAAACACAACCAGCAACCAGCGCACAACCAGCACAACAGCCATGGCCCCAACCACCTTCGCAGTGGCCATCAGGCTTCGGCTGACGTCGAGGATTCCGTGGATGACGTAGGCAGCGTACGCAGCGCCGTGGGTGGTGTGTATGCCAGCGAAAAAGGCAGCCGGAGTTATACAGCTGCTCGGTCCAACCGAAGCTTCGTAGTCCCCACTCCACGCATCCCCAGCTCTCCTGCGCTTCCGCGTGTGGTTGCTTTTGCCTCTTCGCTGCGTCATGCGCCGCCGCCTGTGCAGCAGCTGCAGCAGCAGATGTCGCTGAAACGAACCTCCAGCCGCACCTCTCGCGTGGACAGCTCGCACTTGGATAGCCGGCAGCTGGACAGTCCCACCTACATCATCAACATGGCGATGGGGGCGGTCGTAGTTGGCGGTGGAGCAGGCGGCGGAGGGCAGCAGGGCAGTCGTCCGGACTCTGCTATTGCCTCGCCCACGTTCACAGAACGCCAGTCGGGTGCTGTAGCGTCAGGTGCGATGGGAACGGTGGTGGTGACAGACGAGAGAGCGCTGCAGCCGTCAGGTGGCTGTGCTGGACCCTACATGCCCATGTCCCGTAACAGTGCCGGCAGCGGCGCGGTGCTTCCGCTGTCGCGTCAGCAGCTGACGTCACCTGCTGCCGGCGGAGGTGGCGGATTCCAGGGTAGTGCGCCTGCGGTCGCTTGTGGGAACGCAGCGGGGGCGGCAGATCTGCGGGATGCCTTCCTAGGCGCGGGCGCGGGACAGCGCCTGTCAGTGAGCGGGCCGGCCGCTGCCGTCGCGTCCGTCGCCACCGCCACAGGTAGCGATGTAGTGCTTTCTGTGGCCGCTGGAGGACAGGGGGAGGCGGAGGGAAGCAAGGCGGCAAGCACAGGCGTGGGAGGCGCGAGTGACGCCACGGTGGAGGTGGAGGCGGAGGAAGAGGTGGAGGGAGAGGGCGAGTTGGAGGTGGAATGCTGGCAGGAGGTGACGGCAACACGAACCGTGGACACGGCCACCGGGCAGGCGGTGTTGTTGTTGACGCAGGTGGGTGCGTGGGTGGAAGGGTTCATCGTGGTAGGCTGCATGTGTTGCATTGTTGCTTTTGTGGTGACCCATGGGTCGTGCGGTTCATCGAGTTGCATGGCTTGTTGCGCACGCCTGAACATTCCGACGGTCTAGTGAACTCTGTGCTTACCAGACGCTAGCTTTAAGGTTGGGCGTTATGCCGGATTACGCAGTCTATAACTCCCAAGTTACTCTTGTGCGTATGTCCTTTCATGAGAAAGGGTGTGCTGCTGTTGCTGCGTGCTGCTGCGACTGCTGCTATTTCCATAACCCCCTCCCTTCATTGTCTTTCCTTCTCTTCCCTCAGGTGGACGTGACGGCCAAGGTCCTTGCAGAGCGGCACATCGCACGTGTTTCGGAGACGGAGCATCGACTTTTAGAGGAGGTACGCTATGGCAACACAAAAAGATCCCCGTATTCCTCCCTTTACACAATACATACGCCTCCGGCCCCACAAACATGCACCCGCACGCGCTTGTCTGGAGCACCGGTACACCTAACCGCCAACCACCTAAAACCGTCACCCTAACCTCCGGCCCCAGATCTTCCCTCGTCACGTGCTGGCCTACATGACGGAGGAAGGTGGCCCCTGGGCCGGCCACGGCGGTGGCTCCCTGCACCACCGGACTGCCGGCTGGCGACCCGTGGTTCGCGACATTAACAAGCTGGCCACATCGCATGATGAGGTAGGGCTGCGGGAGAGGAACGCAGCAATACCGTGCTGTGTTTGAAGCGCGATGCCGCTGCCGTGCACGGAACTTAGTGCTCGCCAGGGGCGAGAGCGGTTAAGCGGTGCGGGGCGCGGCTAGTTCCTTGTCCCTGTTGCTGTCCTTCTTTCTGGCCGTCCACATCCCCCAACCTTGACCTGCCGTACCCTGCGTGCCTGCTGTGTTTGTCTCGCTCGCAGGTTACCCTGTTGTTCGCTGACATTCAAGGTGGGTGAGCGGCTGGCGTGGATGTGGATTGGCGACCCAATAAGCATGGCAATCGAACAAACACCGCATCACTCCATGCCACCTTCCCCCACCAGCTTCATTTTTCTGTGCCATGCAAGCCCCTTCTCCACCTACCTCATCACATGCTATTACAACAGCCCGCCCGTCTCAACACACGCAGGCTTTACGCCCATGTGCAAAATCCTGGAGCCGCGTGTGGTGATGACATTCCTCAACGACCTCTTCACTCGCTTCGACCGACGACTTGACGAGTTTGGCGTGTACAAGGTGGGGGTATGTCAATGCCTTGGCGAGTGCCTGAGGGGTCCATACACGGAGAATGGGCTTCCTTGTACTTAGACTGTCAAGTCGAAGTGCATGCATGGAATATTGGAATTGTTAAGCCCCATGCACTTGCGGTGCTGCTGCGTATGTTCGCTACGGGCTACTGAGAGGTACGTGTGAATTGTTGCAATCTTCCAACTGAGTTGTATTAGCCGACTCAACTGCTCATGAAGTTGATGTGTTGCGTGTCGCCTCGCTCCTTTCCATGTAACACCACATGTAGGTGGAAACCATCGGCGACTGCTACTTCGTGGTCGGGGGACTTGTGCAGGAGGATGAGGACGGAATGCTGACTGTCCGGGAGGGCGGAGGTCGGGGGGATCGACAGCATGCGGAACGCGTCTTCATGTTTGCAAAGGCAGGTTGCAGGCAGCAGGTCGATGCGCAGGCGCCGTTATGTACGGTACCTTGATCACACGCTCTGCATGCAGGATAGCCCACACTTGTCAGTTCCATGGAATGCGTAGTCTTGTGAATAATCCGAGCTTAAGCTGCATGAGCGCGCGTATCCCAATAGCCTGAACCGGTAGACACGTCAAACTCCCCGGGGTCTTTGTTGATCTGGACTAGAGCAACCCAGACGAGTGTTACCTACCTACAAGTCAACCCGTACTGACTCCTTCGTTTGGGACGCTGGGCTCGGCCTTCCCCGCGTGTGCAGGCGATGCTACTGGCGGCGTCCCAAGTGACGTTGCCCACCACGGGATGTCCAGTGCGCATGCGCATCGGCATTCACTCGGGGCCAGTGGTGAGCGGAGTAGTGGGGCAGCGCATGCCTCGCTTCTGCCTCTTCGGTGAGAGGTCCGCCGTGTGATCAGAAGGCTGACCGTGTGTGTGTCGTGCCGTGTTATGTGTTCGTATTTCGTGTGGTGCCGTGCCTTGTCGTGGCGTGTGACGGACGATTTTTCCCGGCAGCAATGGGGCCGCTGTGGATGCTGGGCTTTGCTGGCCAGGGGCACTAGTTACCGGACTGCTCTCTTCCCGATTGATGGTCTCACTGGGTGTATCTGGGGCACATGCATGTCACTGAAACCTGCCTTACATTTGTCAGTAGGGAGCTGTGATTCATGATGTGTTTTAAACCGTTGAAGTGTTCTGTTGTTCCGCCTCACCGCCTCCCTGTTTCGCACCTGCCTTCGATCTGCAACGCCGGCGTTCCTCAACCCATGATGCTGTGGCGTTGGCGGCGGTGGCAACTGCCATGATGAGTGAAGGCGATGCCGTCAACACGTGAGTAGTGGATGCATGTGCAGAAGCAGCCTTTTGTCATCATCCTGCGTGGTGCCGTGTGCCTTGTATGTTCTTTCATTTCTGCAAAGATTGTCACTCTTCGGCGCCCTGCCGCCCGCCCCCTCGTTGCCTGCCTTCCCACCTGCAGAGCCTCCCGCATGGAGAGCACGGGAGTCGCGGGCTGTATCCATGCCTCTGATGCCTCCTGGCGACTGCTTAGCAACGAGGCGTGGGTGCCTACCGGAGGCATCGAGGTACGGTGGGCCAAGGGCAACATGCCCTCGCGGAGACCTGTGAATTGCTTTTGGTCTTTCCTTATTACCAGCTTACCATCGACACAGTCCGCACAGTCCGCAGGTGTAAACAAGTGTTTGTCGGTGTTCTTGTTCTTGTCGGACGCAGGTTAAGGGCCGCGGCCTCATGCAAACGTACCTATGGGCGCCCCCATATGCGGACCTACCTCCGGAATCTCAAGCCATCCTGCAGAAATGCATGCAAGCAGCAACCGCGTCCGGAGCGACTATGACGTCGTCAGCAGCAGCCACAACGTCAGGAGCTGCGACGAACATAGCTGCTGGGGCCACAGCACAACAGCCCATGCAGCGGCAAGGCTCTCGACAAGAGCAGGGACAGCAGCAGCAGCAGCGAGGGCGACAGGCGGGTTGGGTCGACTCAGTCGCAGCTTGCAGCCAAAATGGGCAAGATCAGGTTCTGTTAAGAAACCGTTCTTTGGTATCGACCGCTGCTGCTGCTGCAGCTGCTGCTGCGGCTAGTAGCACCGTTGCTTCTTCCATCGCTTCCTGTGTTGGCGGCGGCGATGGCCGTAGTCATGGGGCAGCTGCAGCAGCTACTGCTGCTACCGCTACCGCTGTTGCTCGAATGACCGCTCCGGCGACCGCCACGTCGGGCAGCAATGTCCAAGACGCTGCTGTGGATAGCTGCAATACACTCGCGGCGCTGCTACTGTAGGCAATGAGCCTGGGTGTCCATTTTGCGCTATGCCACTTTCGCAGTGCAAGGTAGGACAGGCCAGGATACCTAAATCTCTCACCTGATGCTGTGATTTTGAGCCCATGCTTGGAGCCCAGCACGAGAGTACCGATAGCAAGCAGGGGAGCAGCAGGAATGAAGCTGGCCCATGAATATTTTGCCACGGTTGCCTCGCATCTGAGTTTATTTCTATGCTGTGAGAGAATACGCCTGCTGTGGCTGTTTGTGAATGTGCAAACACCGACAGTTAATGCAGCAACTGAAGATACGGAAGATTTTATGACGGTTGGGATGTTGTCTATCGACGCTATCGGAACACCGCAGATTGCGGTGCAACAACAGCCTAGGTACTAGAGTGCCCTTGCAAGCTGTGGTGCAGCAAAAGTTATAGGCGCATCTCACCAGCTGCAAACGCTTTGATGTGCCATGAGCGAGTGTGTCGACTGGGGAGCGCATTGGGTGCCATAGTTGGGTAAGGTATACTACCGAGCGAAAACATATGCGGCAAAAATGCATTGGACAGTAGTTAACAGTGATGAGGCCGTACTAAGCGAGGAATAGTGTGAGTGAACTTGTCTGGAGCTCACGGCGTGCAGGATAGTGGAACGGGATGCGAGGAGAACAATGCGGTGTGTTAATAATGGCTGTCGACGGAGGTCTTGAGAAGGGTATTTTATTTGGGAAGAGGTGGAGAGGTGCTCGGCTGAACTACTGCGAACTTAACAGGCGTGGTGAAAAGCTACGAGCATTGATGTGCACTCTCGTACGTTTGTACGGCGGATTTTGGTTTCACTTTTGGCTCGGCAGTCCTTGCCTTTGCTTGGAATCTTAGCCTCATGTGCGCCGTGATGGGCCATCATCTATCACCTTGGGCCTTTTGGGAGCCCTCAAAAACTGCTGCTGCTCCTACCACCATGTATGCATGTACACACGCGGGTTGCTCAAGGCAAGGCCCGGGGCGGTGCCCTGGACGTTGCCCTGGAGTCACATTTAGGGTTTTAGGGTTGTCCCCTTGGTCGCCGCGCGCGGCGAGATTAAAGCAGTATATTTATGGAGAGGTACCGGTATGCGTGAGTCGTTTGGGCTTTGGGCGAACGATTTTGGCACCATCTTCATATGTATCCATTTTTGGGGCGGAGCCCATAGGCTTGGTTCTGTCTAACTTCAGTAAGGCACCCGCCATGAACTTGGGCGCATTGCGCGCAATGGAAATTACGCTGAAAATGGGATGGTTGCGCGCAACGGTCCCGCGCAACACGCCCATGTTCCTGGCTTACAAATTCGCCTCGTTTTACACCGCAGAGCGTATCTTTGGGCATAATATGGTGTCCTCTTATTTTAGCGTAAAATGGGACATTGGGAAATGTAAGAAACGGTTACAAAGTACACATGGGCTGGTTGCGCGCAATGGTCCCGCGCAGCCAGCCCATTTGCCAGGCTCTGCCTGGCTTTCAAAAAATAACTTCCAATGGAAACACCACTGCCTAGTAGGTGGGCGACGAGAGAGCCTTGCCAATGGTGACGTTTTGTGCATTAGGAGAGGGACGCTGCAACGCTACATACGCCCTTTGCTGTGCCAGGCATAAAAGACGCTCACGAACACTCAAGTTCTGCTAAACGTGGCCTTCCTACAGTAGCGGTATATGCACCGTTCCCTGCATCCCCTGGCCCCCGCCGACCTACCGGTACCCCGGCCGACCTAGCATTCACCGACCTAGCACCCACCGACCTAGCCCCCGCCGACCTGGCACCCACCGACCTAGCCCCCGCCGACCTAGCGCCCACCGACCTAGCACCCGCCGACCTAGCGCCCACCGACCTAGCACCCGCCGACCTAGCGCCCACCGACCTAGCACCCGCCGACCTAGCACCCGCCGACCTAGCACCCACCGACCTAGCATCCGCCGACCTAGCACCCACCGACCTAGCGCGCACCCGCCGACCTAGCACCCGTCGACCTAGCACCCGCCGACCTAACATCCGCCGACCTAGCACCCGCCGACCTAGCACCCACCGACCTAGCACCCACTGACCTAGCACCCGCCGACCTAGCACCCGCCGACCTAGCACCGGCCTAGCACCCGCCGACCTAGCACCCGCCGACCTAGCACCCACCAACCTAGCACCCACCGACCTAGCACCCACTGACCTAGCACCCGCCGACCTAGCACCCGCCGACCTAGCACCCGCCGACCTAGCAACCGCCGACCTAGCACTCGCCGACCTAGCACCCGCCGACCTAGCACCCGCCGACCTAGCCCCCACCGACCTAGCCCCCGCCGACCTAGCAACCGCCGACCTAGCCCCCGCCGACCTAACCCCCGCCGACCTAGCCCCCGCCGACCTAGCCCCCGCCGACCTAGCCCCCGCCGACCTAGCCCCCGCCGACCTAGCCCCCACCGACCTAGCCCCCACCGACCTAGCCCCCGCCGACTTAGCCCCCGCCGACCTAGCACCCGCCGACCTAGCACCCGCCGACCTAGCTCCCACCGACCTACGCACCCGCCGACCTAGCCCCCGCCGACCTAACCCCCGCCGACCTAGCACCCGCCGACCTAGCACCCGCCGACCTAGCACCCGCCGACCTAGCTCCCACCGACCTACGCACCCGCCGACCTAGCCCCCGCCGACCTAACCCCCGCCGACCTAGCACCCGCCGACCTAGCACCCGCCGACCTAGCTCCCACCGACCTAGCACCCGCCGACCTAGCGCCCACCGACCTAGCACCCGCCGACCTAGCGCCCACCGACCTAGCACCCGCCGACCTAGCACCCGCCGACCTAGCACCCACCGACCTAGCATCCGCCGACCTAGCACCCACCGACCTAGCGCGCACCCGCCGACCTAGCACCCGTCGACCTAGCACCCGCCGACCTAACATCCGCCGACCTAGCACCCGCCGACCTAGCACCCACCGACCTAGCACCCACTGACCTAGCACCCGCCGACCTAGCACCCGCCGACCTAGCACCGGCCTAGCACCCGCCGACCTAGCACCCGCCGACCTAGCACCCACCAACCTAGCACCCACCGACCTAGCACCCACTGACCTAGCACCCGCCGACCTAGCACCCGCCGACCTAGCACCCGCCGACCTAGCAACCGCCGACCTAGCACCCGCCGACCTAGCACCCGCCGACCTAGCACCCGCCGACCTAGCCCCCACCGACCTAGCCCCCGCCGACCTAGCACCCGCCGACCTAGCCCCCGCCGACCTAACCCCCGCCGACCTAGCCCCCGCCGACCTAGCCCCCGCCGACCTAGCCCCCGCCGACCTAGCCCCCGCCGACCTAGCCCCCACCGACCTAGCCCCCACCGACCTAGCCCCCGCCGACTTAGCCCCCGCCGACCTAGCACCCGCCGACCTAGCACCCGCCGACCTAGCTCCCACCGACCTACGCACCCGCCGACCTAGCCCCCGCCGACCTAACCCCCGCCGACCTAGCACCCGCCGACCTAGCACCCGCCGACCTAGCACCCGCCGACCTAGCTCCCACCGACCTACGCACCCGCCGACCTAGCCCCCGCCGACCTAACCCCCGCCGACCTAGCACCCGCCGACCTAGCACCCGCCGACCTAGCTCCCACCGACCTAACTCCCACCGACCTAGCACCCGCCGACCTAGCACCCGCCGACCTGGCACCCGCCGACCTGGCACCCGCCGACCTAGCACCCAGCGACCTGGCACCCGCCGACCTACGCACCCGCCGACCTAGGCACCCGCCGACCTAGCACCCGCCGACCTAGCACCCGCCGACCTGGCACCCACCGACCTAGCTCCAACAGACCTAGCACCCGCCGACCTTGCTCCCACCGACCTAGCACCCACCGACCTGGCTCCCCCCTGCCACCTCAGAACCCTCGCCCCTGTTACCTCAGGAGACGACTTTGCCAACGCCGTAATAACGTCTGGGCTAAGCACCCAGCCCTTACATTCGAAGAAAAACCAGGAATAAGTGAGGCTTCAAAGTGCCCTGCAAGATTTCTATGTACCGGTACTAGCTCCCATGCAAGAATCTGACGGGCGCTTGGTGGGAGGCATAGTTGGTCTCGTAGAATGTTTCTATCAGAAAGATCAAGGGTAGACAGGAGACCCAAAAGCGTTGTATTCGGAGCTGCGAACCCATTGTCTTCAAAGGCTATGTACGGCGAGCTTGTACGACTTTTGATCCTGGTACCATGTAGGCTCGTCGACTTTATTTTAATTCCGTACTGCCTGGCTTAAGGCGTGCAGTTACCTGACATGAGTTCTACTAAAATATTTCTACAAGAATAGGTTAAGTCGTAAGGGATGGCGATCCGAACTCTGCAAGGAAGTGACAGCTTGCACCGCCGTTCACACCTACTTGCTCTGTCTTCTAGCGTCTGTTATGTTCTACCCAATGAAGTCAAACTACCGAACATCATGCTTCACTGAAGGCCGCATACTTCGTATGCTTCACTAGCCTCTCTGCATCAAACCTGGATCAGCACCTGGCAAGAAGCTGGCACGCTCAGCTCCGGCATGGCAACCAAGGCGCCGTACCGCCCCCCTCCTCCTCCTGCTCTCAAGGTCGCTTTCATCTACAAGTTAACCAGCATACAGCTAAGAAATCGCCCGGAAAAGCGCATTCTTCCTCCTTCCTCCGCCACAATCAACGACGGGTCCTCCCATGTGGTCACAGCCAGTGTTTCCTCGCGGCTTAGTGTACCTAATCCGCCACAACGCACCGTCCGAAGCTCAGTCGGGTGTCACTCCTCCTCCTCCTCCCCCTCAACGTACCTCATACACTAACGCGGCCAAAGGGCGCCCAAAGTCACCTACACGAAATCAACCCCAAAACAGAAACGTGTGCACTCGGAATTCCACCGAACCCCCTTACACCCACGAGCCTGGACCCCCACAACGTTCATACTACCGGTATTGAGGTCTACATGGCTCCCGTGTCAGTCCCACATCCCCTCCCCCTCCGCACATGCGCTCCTCGCCCCCCGCGTACACATCTGCAAAGCCCCACGCAACATCCCCCCCCCACACACCCTTCCCGGACTGCGGTACTCAAACCCAAACCCTCAGCAACCCCCGCATCCGCCCCTCGCCCAGCCCGATGCGGAATACCCCATCTCACCCCCCACCCCCTTGCCTCGTCATCCAGTTCGTCAGTTTTCCTTATTTTTGCTCCTTCTCTTCAGGCCCCCCCCCCTCGCCCCTCCGCTCTCGCGCCCCTCACAGAGTCTTGTCGAGAACCTCGACGAATTCGTCTTCATCGTCAAATTTGAGCGAGTCGATGGTCTTCTTGAAGTAGGTCGAGATCTTGGTCATCACCTCCACGTCCTGGGGGTTGTGTCGTACGACAGTGCAGTACGACAGCAGTGCATCAGTTAGAACACCAGTTAGTACGAGAACAGTACGACAGTTAGGACATCAGCAGTACGACAGTTAGGACATCAGCAGTACGACAGTTAGGACACCAGCAGTACGACAGTTAGGACACCAGCAGTACGACAGTTAGGACACCAGCAGTACGACAGCTGTACAATAGTATAACAGCAGTACGCCACACACACGCCACCAGCGTCTTCTACCTCTAATTCCATCCCTCCCTCCCTCTCCTCATTCACACAGCACGGCATTTCCACCCTTCGGTGCATTCCCCCCTGCCCCTTCTCCACTTCACCCTCTCCTTACCTGCCCCGTCTCCCCCTCTCCCTCTCCTTACCTGCCCCGTGCTCATGAGGTTGAACGCCGCGCCCTTGCGTCCGAACCGCCCCGAGCGGCCGATGCGGTGCAGGTAGGTCTCGTAGGCGGGCGTGACGCCGTCTCGCTCCACCGGGACATCGTAGTTGATCACCAGCGTCACCTGGAGGCGGAGAGGGGAGGGGGGGTCCAATTAGATTAGGGGGATGAACGGGTGGTTTAAAGGATTTCCGATCTTCACCCTCCATCAACCCGCACCCCTCCACTCCTCCATCCCGCATGTGCCCCCCCTCTTCCGCACCTCCTCACCCCCTCTGCCGTACCTCCTCCCGCCCCCCTCTGCCGCCTACCTGGCTGACGTCGAACCCTCGTGACAGCACATCCGTTGAGATGAGGATCTTGGTGGTGCCGTCCCTGAACTCCTGCACCACCCGGTCTCGGTCCGCGTGCTGCATGTCTCCGGTGATGGAGGTGCACTTGTAGCCGTCGCGCTCCATCTCACTGTGCAGGGACTGAGGTAAGGGGGGGGAGGGGCAGGGGAGGCGGCAGATGGGGAAGGGGTGGAATTCCAATGTGTGGTGTGATGAGGGAAAGGCGTGTGGGGAAGGGGCGGAGCTAGGTAAGCCGAGCCGCGATAGGGCGGGAGAGGGAGCCGGGAAGGAGACCCCGAACGTGGATGAAGGTGGTGGGGGATTAGATGAGCAGAGCCGCCGATACAAGAGACACCAAGGTGGGTGGGGGATTGCAGAAGGCAAGCAGAGGAAGTCAGCAAAGCAGGAGGGAGGAGCAGGGGCTGAGATGGAAAGTAGGAAAACAGACCAGCACCCCAAGCACCCACAAGCAGTGCTGCCGTTGCAGCCTCACCTTGGCCGTATCCCGGGTGCGCACGAAGATCATGGTTTGCCCCAGCCGCTCGCAGTTGGGGAAGATCATCTCCTTGAGTACCCGCGTCTTGGCGTTGCGGTCCGGACACCTGCGCGGCCGACAGGTGCGCAAACACGCACATGGAAGGAGGGGAGGGGTTCCGGGGTAAAAGGAGGAAGAATACCGGTATCCAATGTGTGGTGTGATAGTGGTAAACTAGCCGACATCCGGGGTAAGGAGGAGGAAATCAACGAACCGCACGACACGACTCCAGCATAGGTTTGTTCGGAGTGGGTGAGTGGGTTCCCGCACTTCCTGACGCACAGCCCGCCCCACGTCTCACCCGTACCATGCCATCCCGCCCCCTCTAGCGTCTCCGAGCGCGCTCAACACATGAGTCGGGATAAATGGGGTTGGGACTCTGTTGCAGCACTTATCTTTATAATTCCCCCGTCCTTCCACTCCCTTTCCACCCTGCCCCATGCCATAACTCTCCCAGCCCCCTGCTCCCCCTTGCAGCCCCATGCCGTGTACATCTCTCTCACCGCACGTTGTACTGCGCAATCACATCCAGACTGAGCTGCTCCTTGGCCACGAACACCTGGTTGGCTTGCGGCGCGATGCTGACCGCGAAGCGCTTCACAATGTCGTTGAATGTGGCGGAGAACAGCAGCAGCTGCACGCCCGGGTTCTTCTTGCGTATGAGGCGGATGAGGCGCACGGAGTCGTCTGCGAAGCCGTCTGCTTTGAGCATCTCATCGGCCTCGTCGAAGACAAGGATGGCGACGCGGTCCAGGTCGAGCAGCCGCTTTTGAACCCAGTTTTTGAGCTTGCCGTGCGTTCCGATGATGACCTGCGAGTTGGAAGAAGGGGTGGTGGTGGTGGTGGTGGACGTGGACGTGGTGGTGGGGTAGGAGGTGGAGGTGGGTTGCTTTGCAGGAGGGTTTTGACGGCGGAGGAGGAGGAGGTTGTTCGTACCCTCTCAACTTCCAGTACCGCCCACCCAGGAACCCAGCCCTTCTCAAACCGTTCAATCCTCCACCCAACCCCTTCCTCCACCCAATTACCCCCCACCCAACCTCCTCCTCCTCTTCTCCCATCCCACCTCCCTCACGGGTCACGTGTCACCACCCCCATCACCCCCGCTCCCCCCCCCCGATTTGGGATTGGGACTCCGTTGCTGCACTTATCTTTATATTCCCCCCTCTCTCCCCTCACCTGTTCGTTGATGGGCTCCCTGCGGATGCCCCCCGCCCCGCCCGCCTCCGTCTCACTGGCGGTGGAGGTGGCGGTGATGGACGTATACCGAGCCATGCGGCGCAGAACACTCAGGTTCTGAACCACCAGCTCGCGAGTGGGGCAGATGCAGAGCGCCTGGGGGGCCTTCAGGGAGGGGTTGACGCTGCATGGGGAGGGAAAAGAAGAATGGGGAGCCAATGTGTGCGTGGGGAGGGGATGGGGATGGGCGGGAGGTAAAGTCAAGGAAAGTGACGAATTCGTATGAGGAGGTGCTTCAGAGGAGGTGGGAGGGCGGGAGGTGGGGTTGTGGGGGCTTGAGGGTGCTGACTAGTGCTGTGCAATGCGACGATAGGAAGGAGGGGGAGGGGAGATCATAGCTAGGGGGAGCACGTATCACAGGGAGAAGGGAGAGCGGAAAGGCAAGACACTGTTTTCTTCTCCTTCCCCTCCCTTCCCTCCCTTTCCCCTGCTCCGTCCCTTTCCCTCCGGCCCCATCCTCCACTGTTCATTTCATTTTTTGTTCGCCTCCGTCCCTCCCACCCACCCCCCTACCGAGACAGCATAGACAGCACGAAGCAGGTGGTCTTGCCGCTGCCGTTGTGCGCCTGCGCGATGAGGTCCTTGTGCGGGGGTGTCAGGATCATGGGCATGGTGAGCGCCTGGATCTTGGAGGGCCGCTCGAACTTCATCTCCACGTACAAACCCTGCAGCGGCGGGGAGACGGGTGGTTGTGGGGGATTAATAGGGACACAATTTCCGAATTAGGCTGGATTTTAGGATTGCGCATAGTCAAACTTGTAGGGTCAGTGGGGGGAGCGGTAGTGGCGGGTAAGAAGAAGGAAACGAGAGGGATAAAAAGGAGGGGGGGAGTAAAGAAGGCGAAAAAGGGAAAAGAAAAAGAGAAGAAATGGGTGTTGTGATGGTTTGGTGAGGGGGGTGGACAGCGGGGTGCACACTGCACACGAATTGGGACACGGGATTGAGCTTTCTACTCCCCCCACACACCACCATTGGTTAGGTCGGGTTCCTCTTTATGACCACCACGACCCCCTCCCCCACCCCCCCACCCGCGCACCTTTAGCAGCTCGGGGCTGAGCGGTAGCTCCTCAAACTTGTGTGCGGAGGAGTAGATGGAGTCACCCTGAGGGAGGGAGGGAGGGAGGGAGGGGGGAAAGAATGAAGTGAAGAAGTGAAGCAACTGGAGTCCCGATCCCATATCGCGACTCATGGAGTTAGCGCAGGGAGGAGAGGAGGGAAGGGGTAGAGGGGAGCAAGCTCTGAGCCCAAGCTGATTGACAAGGCTTCAAGAGCCAGAGAGGGAAAGCATGGAGGTAGGAAAGATCGTCTGCATGTCCTTACGAACCACACAGTAAATCAGAGGGAGGTGACGTTCAAGCTCCGTGCCGCGTTGCCAGCAACGGAAGCAGCAGCAGCCCGCACACGCAACACACCAGATCACATCCTCATCTTTCGTCACCTCATTGCATCGGGGGGATCGAAGCTCGCACCCTATTGTTGGTTTGTTTCTCACCACAAACACCCCTCCCCTCCCCACCACCCTTTGCAGAAGGGGTTAGGCCGGGTTGGCTTCCCTTCCATGCCCCACCACCCTTGCGTGCCGTACCTCTGTCTTGGTTGTGATTTCCGCCTCGGGCCGCTCCCGCAACCCCTCACTCTTGAGGGACAGGTCGGGCTCATCCACGTCGCCCTCCTCAACCTGCGGGATCACAGCAACGGCGATGCACATGCATTCCGCATTAGGCAGCTGTGTGGAATGAGAATGGCAGGCAAGACGCGACAAGCTGAGCCTGAGTGGGGGGGGCGGGCGGGGATAGGAGAGGCCCGTGGAGGCGATTGAGGGGGGGAGGAGAGAGATCCCCGGTGTTGCTCCTCCGGGGTGTTCGGGACCCTGGGGAGGCAGGAGCCATGCGGTGTGTGGCGGTGTCGTGCAGTGGCGTGCGATGCATGCGACATGCTATATACACCCCCTATAGCATCGTATACGCGTGTTGCCTTACGTTTGGCAGCAGGGACGACGTAAAAGGTTATTCAAGGTAGCGGTAAAAGACAAAGCACAAAATTGCGAAGGGTGGCGCGGGAAGGCGCACAGCGATGCGCTGCTGACTCGACCAATTGGGTGCTCAGACACGCACAAATCATTTGTTATTGCGCCCTCACAGGGAGGGTGGGCTGTCCCGGGGTTGGGTCGGGAGGACACCCCCCTCCCCAGGCGCCCCGTGGCAGCCCTCCGAGTGATCCCTCAGGCAGCCAAGATTGCTGTCATCATTGCACCTCAGGCCTTCCTGGACCTTGTCGTACAATACGACTTCGGCCCCCCTGACAACAAAAACATCCACAATGGAGTAAAAGTACATGATTCATGAACCAGGGCGGGGACGGTGGTGGTGACAAACGGACCTTGGCTGCTGTCTCCAGCTTCTCCGTTAGGCCTTTGACCGCATCCTCGACCCCGCTGAAGCCGGGAGGAGGGCCGCTTTCGTCGGCCTCGTCCGCCCAGAGCTTCTTCTGCGGCTCCGGAGCGGCTGTGCGTGGTGGGGCACCGTCATGGGATTGAAAAAAGGGGTTGGGAGTACGGGTTACAACGGCAGACAGGGGAATTGCTAGTTCAATGAATGTGGGTTTGCTGAACCGGGCCACCGCAGACGACAAAGAGGCATACTGTGAAGCATGTGAGGGGGATCGAGCATCCGGGCGGCTGAGTAGATTGTGACAGGAAAATGAACGCAGTCGCCGATCTGGTATCAGAACACATCAAACATCTACAAGGATGTCATACCTCCATCGCCTGGCCCTGGAGACGCGGCGTCGCCGGTCGATGCCTGCATACCGCGCCAACATGCTCAGCACTAATATACCACAATTCCTAAGCCTAAACGTGCTATAGCGCTTTTAAACGCACCATTTACAGCCCTAGAGGTGTGCAACCTCGGCTTGGGTCTTCCCTGTATTACAAACTTGCTTGTCAGGAGCCACCTAATGGAAGTTTACAGCGGAAAAATTTGATCGCAGTATGAACGTTATTCACGAAGTAAGTGAGCTAGTCCCCTTTCAAAAATTAATGCTTTTGCTTCAAGCTCCGAAAATTCGTACTCAGAGCTTTTTAAGCCCATCAGCCAAGAGCCAACGCCTTGCACATCTGCCGACAAGCACGAAGTGTCTGCCCAGACTAATTATACAGAATGGAACAAACCATGAAAACTTCCAGCACCAACGGTGACAATGCATCAGCCATTGAGGTGCGTTCCCGACTCCCCTCCGTATGCTTCCGTCTCCTTGACTTTGCAGCTTCTCACGCAGGGAAGCGAACAACACACTACCTTCCTCGGTCGACCAGTTACCATCTTGACGCTGGGCACCGGTAATTCCAGCGGTGACGGCGGCGAGCGTCCATCTAAACGCGCACGCGGTCTGAACAAAAACGACAACGCTAGCGGCGACGGGGCTCCAGGGGAAATACGCCAGGCAAGTGCACATCCAACCAACCCGCAACACCAGCTCCCAGAGGAACTGTGTTTTGCATGAGCACCACCGGCAGTAGCAGCTGCGCGTATACCTCCTCTGCTCTTTCTTACCAGCCCTCGCCTCCCTTTCATTGCCCAATCCCTTTCCCCGCTTCGGTCTCATCCCTTCTGCAGTTCTTACTATTCCGCTCCTTGCGCCCATGCACCTTTTACATTCCTCTTTTTTGAAGGCTTTTTTAATACCTCCTCCCTTCCCAGGTTGTCCGTTGCATGCTGCGTGCCCACAAGCTGGGGCTGCTGGTGCCGCTGGTGTATTCCGCGGACCCCCTCAGCGGGCAGCTGGTGATGGAGCAGCTGGGCGCGGCTGGCAGCGGCAGCGGTAGCGGTAGTGGCAGCAGCGGCAGGAGTCTTGGGGATTTGCTAGCGGAGGAGAGGGAGCGGAGGAAGGAGGGGAAGGGGCAACTGCAGGAGAGACAGGAGGAGAGGGTGGAGACGGGCGGGGCGGGGGCGCAGGTGGCAGGGGGGACGACGACGGACGGCTCCAAGCCATCAGGAGTGCAGTTGACGGAGGGTAAGTGGTCCGGCTGGTGCCACCTAGCCACACTTGCGTGTTTGCAGCAGCCGCAGTGCGCGCCTGCTGCTGCTGCCACTGCCTGCCTTTGCCACTGGAACATCCAACCCCCGGCTTTCGCTCCTTTTACACGCGAAACACCTTTACGAAACCCATGCATTGCCCTGCCCCTGCCCCTGCCCCTCCTCCTTTCCTCCCCTCCCCCGTCGATTGGGACTCCAATTGCTGCACTACTAACCTACTTCTTCCCCTCCTCCTTCCCTCCCCTCGCTCCTCGCATGCAGAGCTGACTCGTGTAGCGGGCGATCTGGGTCGCTCCCTGGCTCGATTGCACGACGGAGGGCAGGTACTGGGCGGCGTGGGGCCCGCCTCGGTGATACTGCGGGCGGGGGACGGGGCGGTGGTGTTGGCGGACTTCAGGTGCTCGCACACATCTAGCTTGGCGCTGGACAAGGCGCGCGATCTAGTGGAGCTGGAGGCGGTGTTGTTGAGGCTTGGAGGAGACGCAGCTGGATCCCGGGGGGAGCAGGAGCGGGGGCAGGAGCAGCGGGAGGCGGAGGATGCGGGGCTGGCAAGGGCGATGGTGAGAGGTTGGGGGGGCAGGGAAACAAGGGGACCGGAGGTGGGAAGCTGCAAGCCTGCAACACATCCTCATGTGGGCAGCTGGGGGACAGAAGCGGGGGGCTTGCGTTTCAAAACGGCATGGAGCCAGGATCCCATGGCGGAGTGAAGATGGTGTTTATGATCCACGGGTCGGCCCTCCGAGTGCTGCGGGGCATGGTTGTTAGGAGGGCAGGCAGTAGGGCTCCATACCGACTGTTTCCCTTGTCAACGTGAGCTGCAACTCCGCCCCTCTCTCCATCCCCCGTAGTTCGAGCGGGTCCTGGCGACCTACCGCTCCTCCTCCCGCTTTTGGTCCGCCACCCATAATAAGCTACCGGAGGGTAGGTGCGCGGATGGGAGCTGGGGATGGGGACGGCTGAAAGGCGGAGGGAGGAGGAGTGGAGGAGGTTATGCCGTTTGGGTTGGGGAGTAGGGGTATTGCTATTAGCTTGCCCTACCCTGCGAGTGTTGTGTATTGCTTACCCGTGTGTCGGGACCTTGAATGGCGGGTGGCAGGGGGGCGACAAGGGTGTGTATGCACGGTATGTGTTTTCGAGTGCGGCAAGCGTGTTGAGGTCGGTCTCACAACTGCCGGGTGCTGCACCTGCTGACCTTTCGCCCCTCCCTCTCAATGCGTTCCCGCTTGCCCATGTGTGTTCCCCACAGCACGTGCCAAGCTGTTGCAGCAGCAGCAGCAGCAACAGCAGCAAGCCAACAACAACAAGCGCTCCAAGCTGGCATCGGAGCCAGCGGCGACTGACAACGGCAACGGATTGGTTAGCGCTGCCCCCCTGGCAGGGTAGAGCGCTAAGCGGTGCTGTTCATTTACTGAGACACGTCGGTGCTGCATGCATGACTCAGGCGCTTGAGGGTGGTTGACCACGACAAGGGTAGCGCTTTCAGTGGACCGCTTTCGGTGGATCCCGCCAGCAAAAGAACCTACTTTATGTCGGCAACCCATTTCACGGTAGCAGCAACGCGATTCGAAACATGCATGCATGGTACTCGGGCGGTAGTGACGGCTGCTGTGCGGTGGCACGGGTGGTGGCGGGTGTGCGTTGGCAAGGCCCCAAGCGGCATGTGCTGAGGAGACCAGGTGACCAGGCCGCTGGGAAGATGATGAGAGGCTGGCGTTTAGCTGTAAGGTGGAGGCCGCTTTCCCCCCAATACGGCAACGCAGTGCCCTACCGATAGTTGAGACCACCCGAAGCGAAACACACTTGCGAGTCAAGGCGGAATGCCAAGTGTGTGTCACACGTTATTCCCCATGCCACCTACATGCCTTCAAAATCCTCTCCGCGGTCACAAATATGCACGGCAACCCCCGGGTCGTTCCAAATCACGCATGAAAGCATGATGCTCCGAAACACGCCACAAACCGGCATTCGACAGCTGGCCACTGGCCCTGCAGCAGCATCCAAGCACCCAAGCAGCTTGCTGCTACAAGTTCCTCAAGCTCCCCAACGCGCTCTCACCCAAGCCCCGATCGGACCCGAATGCTGCTTGTCAGCATGTCAAAGGGTCAGCCAACGTCGCTGCTGCATGCCGTACACACAGCATCGTACTTCGTACAGCATTCACATGAATCACCACTGCAATCACCACATCCATAATCAACCGTCAAGTGAATGGATCACCACTTACAAGCCCCTCCATACGCAACCGCTGCATGAATTGCAAAGGAGCATACCGCTAGTCTGCATGCAGCCGTCAATTTCTCTGTGCCGTCGCACACCCCAGTCGCTTTGCAGTTCAATCCGAAAGCACAGTCCGCGTCAAACGAAGAAAGCCTCTGCGGCTCCCTTACCCGCCCAGGATAGAGTCAATTGAAGTCCATTGACGTTGCAAGACGGCAAGAGTCAAACATTGGACGGCGCCCCAAGAGGCGCTACATACACACCTTTAGCGGGTACACATACACATCCAAGGGAAGATACATTTCGTACGCATGTGTAAAACTACACATGTGTAAAACCAGCCGGGGCCACGTAACATTACCATGTGTGCGCAGTACCAACCGACCCATGGGTCACACTTGGGGTCGGTCTTACGAGTCCATATACTCCAATACCACACCACAGCAATGTGGAGAAATCAGCGTACGTTAGGGCCCCACAAAGCCTTCTACGCATGATGAAAACACAGTAACGTTCTCACGACCTTGACCTTTCCTTGACACAGCAGGGGGTGGTCCAAACTTACCGACCCCATTCTTCCAGACATGTCAACCTCCGAACCAATTGGGTTGGTGAAATCGTGGTGAAGTGGTGAAATCGGTTGGTTCCAATCGGTAGAAGCCAGGTTCCGTAGGAGCATGTTCCCTAATTCTGTCCCGGATTAAACGGACAACATCACATGTCCGTGTCGTGGGTTGCGTCTATGCGTTAAGAATATGTTACCACACGTGAGTGGTTAAGGGCAAAACCGAGTATAATTGATGTGCGTATGCGCGCACATGCACACAACGCAACACAACGCGACGCGGGGGTCTCATGCACAGCCGAGCCACATGCATCTCATCGACACAACCCCGAATCCCACCAAACCCGGGGACCCGACGAGCACGGACGTCGCTACCAACCAACCCCAGGAGCCACCACGACCCCTACACACACACAACCACACTCCTCGACTCCTGTGGCGTTTCTGTGGGGACTTCACCTTCCTCCGGGTCACCTTCCGGCAATCACACAGTACATTCCGACTTGCGGCCAGTTTTCTGAACACACACACATGCAGCAACTCCATGACTCAATCGCGTCCTGCTCCACAATCACCGATAGCTCATATCACCACACCACCACCACCACGTGTGGCAGAATGGTGACGGCACCCCACCTCAGGGGGCACTACCTGCGGCACACGGGTCGTCTGCTGATGCTGGTTGCATCCCCGAGGCCGAGCTCCACATCACACTCTATCTGCACCACCCCATGTTAACGCATCACCAGCATCAACAATTCAACATGCTACAAAAGCGAGCATCACCCCCTTCGGTTACCCCTTCCCTCCCAAACAGCGCCCCCCTGTCATTGCTGCAACACGCCTACCAGCCAAACCACCCTCCTCAACGCCACCCTGCAGGTTTCCGGACGGGTGATTCGGGTTCCCCCATGCCCGAGAATGTGAACGGCCGGACCTCATCCGTGCTATCCGGCACCGCCGCCGGCTCCACCACCGGCGGCTTGTCCGGCTCCTGCCACCGCTGGGAGGGCCGCGGAGGCATCCGCTCCCGCTCGAAATCCCGAAACTGGTCGCCTGCTTCCTGGCCGCCATCATCCTGCTGCTGCTGCCCTTGTTGCCGTTGCGACTGCCTCCGCTGCTGAAACGCTTGCTGCTGCTGCTGTTGTTGTTGTTGCTGTGGTTGTTGCTGCTGTATGGGTTGAAGAGGTGTGTATGGCTCGTCTGGAAACATTGACAACCCTGCTACTGCTGCTGGCGGCGGCGGTGGCTGTTTCCGACCGAGGCTGTTACCGGCCGGCATGAAGAGACCCGGGGCGCCCGACTCAGCTGTCGCCTGCTGCCTCCCCTCGCCCTGCTGCTGCGGCCCCTCCTCCACAATACCCACGTCCACGTCCTGTCAGGGAAAACGGCGGCAGCAACACACGTCCGTGTCGCCCTTGGCCAACCAGCCAGCAGCGGCAGACACATCCAACACGCGAGTACCCAGCACCCCTACAAACCGCGGTTCCCCTGCCTTGCCTCCGCCAACCCGCACACCCCCATGAGCGCTAATGGCTAACTCGGGCTGGGCGGGTCGGGCTGGCTCACATGTTGCAAACCATGATGACGCCTTATCACATGGTTCGTTAGTCGCTTCCTCTTTACCCCCCATGCATGCTCCTGCGCGCGCAAACCCTCCCCCTCCCCCTCCCCCTCCCCCCCACCCAGGCCTCACCCTGGGGTCCTCCCCCTCCTCCTGCTCGCCCAGCAGCAGCTGCTGCTCCCCCTCCCCCTGCTCCCCCTGCTCCTCCTCCTCCGCCGCCCTGCCCCCCAGCAGCCCCAGCTGCCGCATGTCCTCCTCCTCCTCGCCCGCCGTCTCGATGATGATGCGCTCCATGCCCACAAGGTACTCCTTGAACGTGATCTGACCGTCCTTGGACCAGTCCAGCTGCGGGGGGGGGGGGGGGGGGGGTGGGCGGGGGAGGGTTGGGCGGGCGAGGGGTGGGCGGGCAGGAGGAGGGGTAAGAATGAGGAAACTGGGCGATGCAGCTGACGGGTTGTATGACATGTAGGCTTCACCATGGGGGTGGGTGGGGGAGGAGGGGAGTAATGAAGGAGGAGGAGGCGGGGGCGAGGGGTTGGTCGGGCAGGAGGGGATGAGGGAAGGAGTGGAAGACCAAGTGGCGCCCCTAACGCACCCCTCACCGCCTGTTTTCCGTCCTCATGTCAACCCCCAACCCCCAAGCCTTGTTCCTATCCTTCCTTCCTTCCCTCTCCGCCTCCCACCTCTCCATCCCCCACCTGGTCGAACAGCCGGTCCGCCAGCGTCTTGGAGGCCTTGCGCCCAAACACCTTAGTGCCGCTCTTGAGTGCCAGCGCCAGCTCCTTGCGCTCGATGCAGCCGTCCGCGGAGGAGTCGAAGAACATGAAGCTCTTCTCCATGAGGTCCAGGCATCCGCGCACGTCGGGGGAGGCGATGGTTCGTCGCTTGGAGGCATCGTCCAGCAGGAAAACAACCTGGGGGGAGGAGAGGGGAGGAGAGGGGAGGAGAGGGGGAGAGGGAGGAGGGCTGGGAAGGGGGAGAAAGCGGGGAGGAGAGGGGGCAAGGGAGGAGGGCCTGGGAGGGGCGAGGGCGTGGGTAGCAACCGAAGCGAAGGTCATCCCGCCGTCGGGGGTAGGATGGGGGGTAGGTGGCCAAGAGGACGGGCAAGGCTGGGCTCACCGTGAAGAGGACGATGAGGTCGGCATGGGTGACAGGCACGCCGGCATCCACTTGAGGCAGGATGAGCACCTCCTTCAGGGTTTCCGAGGTTGGGTCTAACCCGAGCTTTGGGCCGCAAAGTGCTCGGAAGGTGCCCCAAGATACCTGCGCATGCCCGTGGGAATGGCTAGGGTTGCCGCGGGGTCCAGCTGCCAGAGAGGCTGCAGGATATCGTCTGATACGGTCGTATGCGACTAACCTTTCCTGTAGGTGCCGTCGCCGTGGAATACGCGTCGCGTATTTTCTTGAAGCCGGATGTTAGCTTGGGCAATTGCAGCATAAGATTGTTGAAGCTGCTTTTCTTAACAACATGGCCCTTCCTCTTTTTTGTAGTGATGACTGCATCGATGAGTTTGCGCTCCAAAGCTTCACTAAGGGGGGACTCCCGCGTAAATATAGACTTGCTGCCTGAGCAGCCCATTCCAGTTGCGCACCCGCCGCTTGCGGGACGCAGTTCCTTGACGAAGTACTGCAGTCCCTGCCGCCGGGCAGGTGGCCTTCCACCCAAGCTAGGCTAGCATCGAATGCCGGGTAAGCGATAACACCGCCGCGTGAAATCGACAATTACTAGATACCATCTGCAAGAGCTACATATGTTCACCCTAAAGTCATTCCTAAAGCCCTTCCTCTATCTGTCACAGTCTATCGGGTTAGTCGTATGTCGCGAACATGCACAGGGGTAAATTGATTTTAGTAGTATTGGCACAGTTTTACCCCTGTATACGTAAAGACGCAGGGAAAGAGGAAGGCGTCACGGTTTACAATTCGCTTTTTGTTCTCGGATGATACGTATAACCAAGCTAGTTCTAGCAAAACGTGCGTTACAGTAACGTGCAAAATGTTAACTTTTCACGTCTCTCTAAGCTTGCGGAGAGCTGTGACATGTGACCCTCGTACGCTGATCTCGTACATCGAGCAGTAGCACCGCGCTTGTGCCATTTGCAAGCCACGGCTAACACACATGCCTACACACCATGTTGCATGCACATCCAGCCTTCGCCGTTGCCGGGTGGTGTGTGCAGGCTTTCCTCCATCCTTCGGCCATCGACAGACCCCAAACCAGTACCGCTTCTTCAAATACCTGCTTCCCAATCTCACCGCAGTTGCCAATGGCTTTTTTTAGCACTGCCCAACAAAACAGCAGCTGCCGTCGCCTTGACTAGTCAACGGTCCAAACGCAATAGCAGTAAAAAAACGTGTCAATGCCACTTTTTAGCGCCGAACCACCATACCGTGGAGTTGACGGTATGCCCAGCATTGTGACAACCAGCAACAAGCTGCAACGCATTCGCTGGCTCGGCATTCAACTTAAGAAATCAAACAAATGTCAGGGCTTAGGCAGCATCGGATGCGAAGTATGCCGTAGCTAGTCCCAGCCCTCGCCCTCTCACGCACGTGCCTTCACCTCACGCCAGACACATACCGTACAACTTCCCTGCACAGGCACCAAGCTCTCCTATCCAAAAACCGCTATCACCAAAATTGTGCGACAACCCTCAAAACACCACCTCAATGTAAAGGTCTTCCGCATGCGCCTTTCCCCTCCACCTTTTTCTTCATTTTTGTCTCCATGCAAAACAGCAAGACCCCAACCCGGCGTGGCCATGCACTCCACCCTACCCCCCCCCAAACCACTACACCGTGCACCCCCCCCCCAAACCGCATGCATGCATGCGAACACCAAAACGCACGACACCCGGGCGCCACCGCCCCTTACAGCCTCGCTCTCAGCCCTTCCTGCCCTCCGCCTCAACCGTCGTCGGCCCTGCTCCCGTCCCTGCTCCCGTCCCTGCCGCTGCCGGCGTCTGTCCCGCCGCTGCTCCCGCCCCCGGTGGCCCCACCGCCGACCCCGGCCGCGACCCCGACCCCACATCCGACTTGCGCAGCACATTCCGCAACCCCGCCACCAGACTAGACGACCTACTGAAAGCCGAGGAGCTGCTACTGCCTCCACCTCCTCCTCCTCCACTCCCAGTCACGGGCGCTGATGCCGCAGCTGCCGCAGCAGCACCCGTCATCCCCGTCGCGCTATTCGCCCTCGCCCGCCTCTCACCTCCTCCTGCTGCTCCCCCTGCTCCTCCTCTTCCCGCTGCTGAAGCTCCCAAAGCAGATCCATCCGAGCAGGTAGAGAACCGCGGGGCCCGCGGCTCGGAGGCGGTGCCGTGCCAAGAGGCGCCCTCCGCCCCCAGCCTGTCGCCTGCCTCGCCCTGCCCCGCCCTGCCTGCCTCCCCTTCCTCCTCCTCCTCCTCCCCGAATTCGTCCTGCACCAGCTGCAAGATGCCGCGCAGGAAGTTTTCAAAGGAGATGGTGTTGTCGTACTGCGGAGGGGGGGAGAAGGGGAGAAGAATATCCGATTGGGGGGGAGGGGGGAAGAGCGGCGGCTTAGGGTTTAAACTGGTCAGGATCGGTGGTTTGCCTAGCCCTCATCCCCCTCCCAGTCCACAATCCCCTTCACCCCTTCCTCTTCTTTCTCCAGTCACCGTCGGCTCCCCGCGGCTCAGTGCACCTACCGGTAACCTCCTTCTCTTCCATCCCGCTCTCCCCCCCCCGCTTCCCTCAGTGTACCTAATCCCCTCCCTCCCTCCCTTCCCCCCCCCACCTCCCTCAGTGTACCTTCTCCCCCCCCCTCACTCCTCCCTCCCTCCCTCCCTCCCCCCCCCCCTCCCTCACCTCCCAGTCCAGTCCCTCGAACAGCCGGTGCGCCAGGCGGTTGCTGGTGCGGCCGCCGCGCCCCTCCCGCGCGTGAGCCTTGGCGGACTCGTACTGCAGCGCCTCCGCGACCTGGTGGGGGGAGTGGGGAAAAATTATATAAAAGTGAAACAACGAATCCCAATCCCATAGCCCGACTCATGCAGTGAGCGCATTCGGAGGCACTAATAACACGCATCTCAAATGGGGGAGTGGGGGAGGTGGGGGGGAGTGGGGGAAGGAGGGGGAGGGGATGGGAGGAAAAGAAGTGAGAAATGGGAGGAGGGGCAGGAGGGGAGAGGCGGGGGTTGGGCAGGACAAGAGGGAGGGGGGAAAATGATAAGTGCAGCAACGGGGGTACAGAGGAGGAAAGCCAAGGAACTCCCCATGCCCCGAAACCCCACCCAGACACACAAGCACAGACCCACCTCCCTCCCGTCGCCGCCCCCACCCCACCCACGCCCCCACCTCACCTCTCGCTTGTCTAGTTTGCCCCTTCGAGCGGAGTTGAAGTGCGTGAACGCGAGCTCCTGGGGGGCGGGGCGGGGGGGGGCAGGAACGGAGGCGTGCGGTGGGAGGCAGGGAGGGGGGAAAGAAGTGAGGAGGGAGGGGAAAAAGAAATTCCAAAGTGTGGTGTGAGGAGGGAGGGGAGGAGGGAGGGGAGGCGCCATGCCCATACCCACGGTCCAAGGTACCAAAATCAACTCCCTGTAACTTGCAAGGCAAGACGGCACATGCATCCTCCACGTCGCATGCATCACCTGCCCAGGGGGCAGAGCCCAATGCCAGGCAAGCACCCCCTCCCCTTCCACCCCGCCAACACCCATTTCCCCCCCCGCCCTCGCCCCCTCCTTCGAAAAGCCATCTGCAACCCGTGTTTCTAGGATTATAATATCTCCGTATGCGCTCACTGCATGAGTCGGGATATGGGATTGGAACTCTAGTTGTTTGACTTCTAAAAACTTCCCCCCCCCCTCCCCACCCCACCAGGCACCCCAGCATGGTGCGCACGCCCGGGTGCAGGTGCGCCAGGGCGGCGGGCGGCTCCGTGAGGTGGACCACCAGCAGCAACATCACAAGGCCCACAAAGTCAATCTGGGGGGGGAAGGGGGAAAGTGGGGAAAGTAAATGGTGGTAAGTGCAGAAGCGGAGTCCCAAATCCCCAAGCCCGACTCTGGGCAGGGAGGAGCACAGGAGGAGGAGGTGTGTAGTTGAGTAGGACAAGAGCAAGCAATTGGGAGAGGTTCGCATGTGAACCGCGAGTACAGGCAAAAACAGAGGTGACCAAACCTGAACCGTAATTCAAAAGCTGCTTAATTAGCTGTTGCTGGATGTAAGAAGAGTGGCGGGTGACGAGTGACGACGCATGTCGGTGATGCTGATGGTTGTCGGAAAACTAAAATACTACCGAGAACTAAAGCCCGCTGACCAACTCGACGCCGGGAGCCCCCGCTCTGGTCACGCAGACGAGACACCACAATGGAGGTGTGTGTGGAGGTGTGTTTGGGAGGAAGGGGCTAGGAAGGAGGTCTGAAAGCGACCGTCTGAAAGCAGGCAGCTGCTCGTTATCATACCCGCTCATCGCCATCCCTGTTGCTGCCCCGAATTCCCATGCGAACGCCGTCTCATATGACACCCGCCTAGGGGCCTTCCACCTTCCAAGCTTTCCCACCTCACGGCACTTGTGCGACAGCGCCTTGCTGCACAACTCTTGTACGACAGCCGATGACTCATCCAGTCCGAAATCCCTAGAATTGGATCGCAGCAGCTCCAGGGGCAGTGGGCCCTCGCGGCTGCCGGTACGGCTCTCCAGCTGTCGTCGCAGCACTTCAAATCCGGCTTCAAGCTTTGGGAATTGCAGCCAGAACTGTGTGAAGACGTGAGGCTTGGCCTCGCCCTGAAGAGAGAGGAGAAAAGGGAGTGGAAGGAAGGAGGATGAGTGGGATGGGTAGAACGGTAAAGGGGGGGGGGTGAGGACGTGAAGGGTGGATGTGCGGTGTGAGGGTGAGGTGGACAGGGCAGGTCTGAGGCCTACGTCCCATGCTGCCGTGGTGAGCTAGCATGAGCGCGCCTTTTATATTGATACCCGTTAAGGACACACATACTGACCGAAGATGCGATGTCGAGTGGAAAAAGAACCAACAATCCTACGACGGCAACTCCCAACCAAAGCTCTGACGCCAGAAGCAGCGGGCGCACCAACCTTGTCGAACTTCTCGCGGACAAAAGTGGCTATTGCATCCTTGACGTGCGACTCCAAGAGGTCTATCGATACGCTGGTTGGACGGTTCCCTCGACTGGACTGCTTTTGTAGACCGCGACCTAGGAACTCACTACTTCTACGGCTTTGGGGCTCTGTAAATGACACCAAGCCTTCTTTAATTCCAGACGCTAAGCGCTGAAGAAAGGCCATCTTGACCCTTGTCGGTGAGTCTTGCACACGACCCTCCCAAATTAGGTATAGTCGCGCAAAATAAAGCTATGCTATCATCTTGTGAGGTAGCTAAGATTATAAAGCCGCCGCAAACAAAGCTGAGAGGCTTCTGCCAAGCAAACCGCCGTGTAACGAAAAATAAGGTTCCTAGTACAGCAAAGGCCTGTAAAAGTGTGATCCAAAAAGCTTATGGGAAGGTTAGCTGTATTCCGCATGTCGCAGGCTGGCAGCTCATCAGTAAGGCGTGTACATCTGGCCAGAACGGCAATTGCCAGAACCTGTACTCTGATTGGCTGGTGATCTCTGCCTTCACCTGTGAATGCCAACCTACTTGATTTCCTCTCCTCGTACACCGTAACCTCACAGGCTTGTTAGGCACCGAAACCAGAGCCAGTGCGAAACTGAACCGACCTGAGCACCACAGCGCTGCTGCAATAGATCTGCATGCATACCAGTGCTAGTGATCTGGCTCAAAGCACTGAGTTTCAACTGTTTGCTACTCTTTCCCGCAACATTCGTGTCACCATTTCGGAGGTCCGCCCATCCGTAACAGCCTTAGTAGATCCCAGTAAGTTATCTATGCCCTAAAACGGTTGCTGGGTCTAGACTGGAGTCGCGGCCTCAGCACGCTTACCTCATGCTATCAGTTGCACCCTCAGAATAATCCGAACGTTCTCACAATATCCCTATTATGCGTGGGCATGGTTTCTACGCACACCGAGCACTGCCTGGGCAGCCTCCCGCCTTGCTTAACCTGCACAACCACTGACACCTCCCTCCTCTGCGACCCCCACCCTCCTCTCTACCCCCCGCCGTCCCGCAAAATCCTGGACTGTCACAAAGGCTGATCCAAGCTGATCCAGGAAGATTCAGGAAGATCCTGGAAGCGCCCCATGTACGACAGCATCCTTCCGGCCCTGCCGTAGTCCTTGCTCTGCTACCCACCCGTACCAACCAACCACAGCCCCAGCCTCAACCAACCAGTCCCAGCCCAACCCCACCACCAGCAGCAGCAGCAGCCGCAATCAGCAACCGGCAGCACTGGGGTTTCGCACAAGCCTTCAGCTCCTCACCTCCACCTCCACCTCCCCATCCTCCTCCGTCTCCATCTCTCCCTCCCGCTCTCCCTAACCGCCCCAGCCAACCGCCCCCATGCCCCCACCTCCTCCCCCCGGCGGCATGGCCTCCCTAGCGGCCTCCGCCGTACAATTCCTGACGGGAGCCCTAAAGTACGGCACATCCGCTAGCAACGTTAGCAGCGCTAGCAGCAGTGGCCTTCTAACGGTGGTCCCGCTGACGAGGTCGTTGACGGCCGTTGCGGCTGTTGCCGATGGCTCAACGGCCATGGCAACGGTCAAACTGATGACGAGAGGCGGCGTAACGGCTAGGGGTATAAACGCCGGCGGTGGCGGCGGGAGCGATGCCTGGTCCAATGCACCTGCACGGCTGTGGCGGCGACTGTTCTTCTCTTCTGCAGCTGGCTCCGCACGGAGTAATAAGGCGGGGGCGGGAGCAGCCGCAAGCCAGCTACTGTTGCCTGGTGCATGGCGAAGGGCAGTTGGAGGAGGCGTTTGCGGCGGTGGCGGTGCTGTCATCAGTGCTGGAGGCTGGAGCCGAGTAGGCCGGGGCTGGACGCCAGGGGTGACGGGCTGGAGTGCTGCTGCTGCTGCTGCTGCTGCTGCTGCTGGCGGTGGTGGTGCTCGCAGTGTTGGTGCCAGCGGCAGTTTCGCCTGCGCGGTTCGGACTGTGTGGCAGGATAGCAGGTGAGGCGGGTGCTGGGGTTGCAGAGGACTGCCGGGGGGAGCTGCAGTGCTGCCGTGCCTTCCTCATCCCGTCCCCCTCCCTTCCCGCACCTCTCCTCTCTTCTTATTTTCCGTTGGAAGATGCGGGTTTGTGGTTGCTCTTTGGCCCCCTCCCTCCCATCTCCCCATTACCATATGGGCTCGACTCACGGTTGTTTCCACCAGGGATTGTCAGCAACTTAAATCATTATCACAACACACATTGGAATTTCTTTTTTCCCATCCCCCCACCTTTTCTCCGCCTCCCACCTCCTCCCAACCCACCCCCTTTTCCCTCCCTCTCTTCCCCCTCCTCTTCTCACCCTTCCCTCCTTTTCCCACCCCCCCCCTCCTCTTTTCACCCCTCCCTCCCTCCCCCGCCCCCTCTTGCAGGGGCTACCAGCATTTCAAGGGTCGTGGAGGCGGCTGGTCGTTCACCGGGCCCCGCACCGCCTACACCCTCACGGCGGTGGCGGCGGGCGGGGTGCTGTACTACGTGTACTGCCTGGAGCAGGTGGGGGAGGGCGGGGCAGGTGGGGGAGGGGGGGGGCAAAGAGGCAGAAACGAACGGGGGGGCATGAGGGTTGGGGGCGGTCCCGCGGGTCACGAGGAAAACCCATGTCACCGTGTCAAACCAATCTCCGTGCCGGACCCATCCCAGCGGGCCCGAAATGGGGCCGGTGGGGGCAGAGGGGGCGTGGCGTGGTCGCGGAAAATGCGGAAGCTGGCTTGCCGCAGCCGTAGAGAATGCTGTAGCTGTAGCTCTCCTCATTTCCCCCTGCTCTTGCACTGTCGTAACTTACCCATCCCCCATGTCGTATACACCCCCCTGTCGTACACTTCCCCCCATGTCCTGCCGTACACCTCAGGTGCCGTACACGGGTCGGTGGCACTCCATCATGCTGGTCAGTGCGGCCAACGAGCGCTGGATGGGTCGCACGACGTTTGAGGAGGTGGGGGGGGGAGGGGAGGGCGGGAGGTCGCAATGTGTAGGGAGGACTTGGGTGGGAGGGAGGGGAGGAGCAGGGAGGGAGAGGAAGGAGAGGTGTTCTCTCGGGTCCTCCCCTACACAATGAAAACCGTTTACCCCAAAATAGGTTTATCCCTTCCTTACACCCCAACCCCCTCCCCCATACACAACACCCCCACCCCCGCCCCCACTATCACCAACAACAACCGCACAACGCACAACAGCAAAAGGCGATCGCCCGCGCGGAGGGTCGTCTGCTCCCCGACGCGCATCCCGACGTGCAGCGAGTGCGACGACTCGGCCTCGCCATTGCGGCGGCGGCGGTGGACGGCGGCGGCGGCGGGCGTTACGACCACATGCGGGATGCGCAGTGGGAGTTCGCGGTGGTGGATAGCGCCATGCCCAATGCATTCGTGGTGCCGGGGGGAAAGGTGAGAATGGGGGGGGGGTAAGAAGGAGGATTGTGAAGGGTGGGGGGATTACCGGTAGGTGAAGGGTGCCGTGGATACACCGACCCGGGGGTAAAGGTGAGGGAGGGACGGATGGGGTGGAGGGGCGAGCGGAGGTGCGGTGTTTAGAAGGTGGGGGGTGGGCTGGCGGCGAAGGTGGGGCTCCCGGGGAGCCTCTTGGGTGTGCGGGAACGTGTGTGTTTTACACACACGTGAGAAACCACGTAAGCTTTGCCCCGGCCCCCTTTCGCAAACCCCCTCCCACCTTTCCCCCTCTCCTCTGCAGGTGGTGGTATTCAGCGGTCTGCTGCGGCTGCTGGGCGGCAGCGATGACGAGCTGGCGGCGGTGTTGGCTCACGAGGTGGCGCATGTGCTGGCTCGGCACACGGTAGGGGGGAAGGGGGTGAGGGGGGGGGAACATGACGTGTGGGGGTAAAACCCACACGGTAGGGGGGATGGGGGTGGGGGGTGAGGGGGAAGTGGGTGGGGGGAAAGGGGGGGAAGGCATTAGGAGGGAGTCAAAGACCATACCAAATCACAGGAGACCACAGGTTAGGGCAAAGGCAAAGGTTATGAGGCGGCAGGTGTTTTTTGGGGGGGGGGGCCACACGCAGTAGGAGGAAGGGTGGGGGGTAATTTGGAAACAGAATCCGAATTAGGCTGGATATTTGGGTTAGCATATAATTGTAGTTGTTGTATAGTTAGTAGCATCAATCAGTAACAAACCGTATTGTAAGCTCCGTGGCGGCTGGGGTGATCTGAGATCACTCTGCATTGGCGAATAAAAGGCGGCTGCTACTGTGATAACTGGCTCCACTGCGCTAGACCTGATGTCTGTGCTGCAATGCTGTCAGCAGCATAACGTATGTAAGCTCCGCTGCTTAGCTGGGGCTGTCATGCGGCTGTGTGCACCAAAGCATCCCACCCTGCCCGACCCTCGCAAATGACCCATGGGTCTAACAAAGCCCAGCCCACCCACTAGTCCGAACCCTGACTAACCTGCGTAGCAAGGGGAAATTGTGCAACGAAGACGTACCAAATTTCGTTAATAGTGAGCGAAAAGCGTCCAGAGACACAAGAAGGCGGCGCGACGAGCGAACAGAAAGCAGGCATGCGTCCCTGTGCTGTGCTGGTGCTGCGAGCTGCGCTGTATATCGACGCAGGCTGTATGACAATGAAGATGGCTGGCTTATCATGATTAAAGAGAAGGAACTATGCCGAGAGTTAGTATTTATGCGAAAGACGGCGATGCGAAGTACGGCATGGGACGAGAGCATGCTTAATTAAGCGCAAGCGCAGTATGGGTATTATGATCTAGATATCAGAGGGTGCAAAACGTGCGGTGCCAGTGAAATGACAGCTAAAAACAATGACAAGGGTGGGGGGTACGGCACGCGGTCTGTGTGTTTAGCTCGGCTTACCTCATCCTCTACTTCCCTTTGTCTTTCCTACAGCACCATGTGTCCAGCCCCCTCGTACGGTTACTTGGGTCTTCCTGCCTAACCGCTTCCGCCCCTCCCTCCCTCCCTCCCCCTCCCCTCCCCTCCCACCTGCAAAGGCCGAGCGCCTGAGTACCCTCAACGTGTGGACGCTCCTCAATATGACCCTCCGCCTCACTCTGGGCTTCGGCCTGCCCAATGTGGCAATGTACATGGGTATATTCCTGCCGTACTCCCGCCTAGCGGAACACGAGGCGGACGTGATCGGGCTGCGGCTCATGGCACGTGCGTGTTTCGACCCCGCTGCCGCGCCCGCCATGCTTGCCAAGCTGAACAGCAAGGAGAAGCAGATGCAGAAGGTGTGTGTGTGGGTGTTAAGAAACTGACCGCGAGTGGGGGTGGGGGGAAAGAGCCAATGGGAGGGGAGGAGGTGCACAAGGGCGGTGGAGCTGTAGGTGCGGTCACGAAACTGAAATAATCCCCTAGCGGGGTGGGTAGAGGTGTAGAGAAGGGTGGGATCGATGTTAGGTCGTGGCCTCAGCAGGTGCTCTGACCCATTTTCTGCCGCATTCTCACCGTTCACACCATTACAAGCCGCTCCTCTCTTCTCACCTGCACATACCCACACCCTCCCCTCCCCGCACACCCTCCCCTCCCCCAGCAATCCCACGTCGCCTCCGTGCCCTACTTTCTCCGCACGCACCCGCTCACGGATGACCGTGTGAGCCTGGTGGAGCAGCAGCTGCCGGAGGCGATACGGATGTTCAGGGACGCCGGCTGTGCCGCCAAGCGAAGCGCCTTCAACCGAGGCTGGTCCGCTTGGGGTGGTGGAGGTGGGGAGGAGGGTGGTTACGGAGATGGCACAGTGGCTGAGGTCATTCGATTCGGTTGATTGGTTGTGGTGGGTGCGTGGGGGGGGTTACTGCTGGGTCACAGCGCGTGGGTAGGTTTGGTTGGTTGGTAGCAGTTGACGTGAGCATGGGGTGCAGGTAGAGGGGTAAAGAGGAAAGAACAATCTTAACTACCTAACAACTAACTGGCCGTGTGATAAGGCGTCATCATGGTTTGCAACATGTGCAGGAGGGGGGGTCCGGGGTACGGACAGTTTGTACGGAGTGTACGAATGTAATGGCCGGATTGTACGGCTGGAGTTGTGTATAGGATACAATTGGTCCTGGATCCAAACATGGCAATGACAGCTGGGGAGGGTGGCCACGCGGGAGGTACGGGGGGCCCGATGTACGGAAGTAATGGCCGCACAACATTATGTACGGTGAGAGGAGGAGGAAGAGGAGGCGTCCTTTGTTCATGCAGGTTAACTCGAGCAGCGAGGTTTTGGGATAGCGGTGCCCGTTTGGAGACATGCAGGCAATGTGTTAGTGTCATGCAAGGGAGGCCAGGTTGGTTACTGGGGTGGGGGCGATGTACGCTGCCTCCTCTCCTTGCACGCACAGTTTCGTACAACTCGGTGGGATCGTGGGATCTGGGGTTGGGTTGGGGTTGAGTTGGCAACTTGGCATTTATTGGATGCCAAGACAGAAAGGAAGGCCGATGCATGATTGCGTTGTGTTGCTCTTCGACCTCTTTCCTGCTGGTATTGCTTCTTGCTGCTTCCGTTTTGAAGCTGTTGATGGTGGGTGCGGATGGCCATTTGGGCGTCGTATTGAAGAGGTGAAGCTTTGACGCTTTTGCCGCGGAGGGCCCATTCGGAGGGCAACACATTTGTTTGGTTCACCGTCAAGGCCAACGAACAGGGCCCAACATGACATGTGCCGTTAGCTGTGTGGATGTAAGAAGAGTGGCGGGTGACGACGCATGTCGGTGATGCTGATGGTGTCGCTAAAACACTACCAAGCAGAACTATTCGGAATCGAAAGCACGTAATAGCACCTCCCCTCTTGCATTGCCGCCACCGGCGAATGAAGGAAACACACGAAGATCGCATGCTCCCAGGCAATCAATTTCCCAGGACAGGAAACCGATTTGCCGCGCCTACCACCAGCCTCAGGCGCGCCACACCTCACACAACATTACCGAGGATGCACAACGACGTAGAAGAACCGACGTAGAAGTACACGATACTACCGGTAGCTGCCGTCAGGACAAAAGTTGGAAAGCCACAGCAACCTTGGAATTCATCAACAAAGCCCCCAGCATTGTTCACAGGTCTGGTTAGTTCCTTGACACCCCGTCAGCACCGTGCAAAGCAGCAGCCGTTCAGGGATGATGGGCCTTTCACAGGCTGTAAGCTCAGCCGGCGGTTGACAGTGCCGTTCGCTCCACGACTAACCGGTTCAACTCCTCAGTCACTTGGTACGCCATAAGACTAACCGCACGAACACCATCCTTACAGCATGCAACAATACCAGCATGCCACCGGTGCACAGCAGGAGGCCACCCGGCAGCAGTTAATCCCATTACGAGTTACAAGCTTATGACCCAGCAGGACGGTGCCATTCAAGCTCCCCTGTATCCCTTGTGGGTCCCCCACGGCAGAAGAAACCACAGCAACACGTCCTAGCGCCCAAGCCAGGGCGTACAGCAACAGCAACTTCATGCCCTGGCTTTACTAGCTCCACATCCCTCTCCATGCATGCGCAAACAGTGCGTCCCTCGCCATCATCACCCCGGCCCCGTCCCATGTTGGGATATGGGATTGGGAATCCAGTTGCTTCACTTTCCATTCTTGTTTTTTGCCCCCGTCTGTTACATCTGGAGCAACCCCAGATAGCTACATGCAGTGCAGCCCACCAATCGACAAATGCAGCGCAGGTATAGGTCGCTGCAGGCGTGTGGAGCTCCATCTCCCCGGCTCATCGTAGCAGCAGACACCTGACAGGAGATGGAGGGTAGAAGTGGAAGCCAAGCAGATGGGAGGGAAAAAATATAGATAGATGCATGGGAGGGAAGATGGGTGGGGGCAGCGGGGGAAAGAAGAATACCCAATGTGCTGAATAAGAATGCCAAACACATTAGGCCAACCCTGGGGGCAACTGTAACTTGTTTGTTATACCAAGTCAAGAAGAGCGAGAGCACCTAGTTGAGCACCCAAGGGTAGGAGCAGAAGCAACAGCGCCGTACACCTTCCACAGCGTCCATTCACCTCCGTGATATCATTCCTGGCCCTTCCGCTGCTGCGCAATGGCGTCGAGCTGCGCCCGCAGACGAGCAATTTCGGCCTCCGCCGCCTCTGCCCTGGCCTTCTCCGCCTCTGCCCTGGCCTTCTCCGCCTCTGCCCTGGCCTTCTCCGCTGCCATCGCGGCCCCAAGGTCCGCAGCCGCCTGGGGTATAGGCGGCGACAAGGGACACGGGTAGAATGCAAATGAGGAGGAACCGCATCCAACTTGAGGAGTGCTGCTTGGCAGCAGCTCAAATGCCTTTTTCAACACCCTTGAGCTGCCATGCAAAGGTAGCACACCTGAACCTGGCGCCATGTATAAACGGAACCAGGACACTCCTTGCCCTCCTCACCTTGGCAGACGCGAACCATTCCTTCGACTCCTCCTGAATGGCCTTCGTACTCTGCTCGTAGTCTTGCTTAAGCACCTCGATGTCCTTGCCGGGGTATAGGATACGGTACATGTACACCAGCAGCTGCGGAATATCCACGCGATCAGGTGTCAGGTCAACCCATATGGCAAGTGCATCGGGACACCCTTATGCTGGTGACCCTGTCATACCCGCGTAAGGCCAGCATCTCCTGTGACCGGACGCCGAAAGTCGGCCTTGAATCCCCCTTTGCGCTCCGCTGTGTATAGGAACTTGGATACGTGGGAGCCGTAGCCCTCTGCCCGTGCTGGTCTCCTCTTCACCCGCCGCACTTGATAAAAGTGCCACTTTTCCAAGTCGGTGACCAAGACCCAAACGGGCTGGTCCGTCTCCGTATAGTCTGCAAGCTCCAGCGCACAAGCTAACGGCTGCCACACCGCCTCCGTGGAATCCTGAATACTGTGTTTGACTTTAACAACTAGGACTGGCTTGCTCCCCTGATTGAGTGCATCCTCGAGGCTATTAAATGTTTTTTCCTTGGCCCCGGGCGAGCGCATCACCACGAACATGCCGAGATTGCCCACGTCATCGTCGTCCTCGTCGGCGTCTGAGTCTGCGACTTGCTCTGCAGTCTGGTCTTGGTTTAACACATGCAACTGCAGAAGGTTACCTGCGCTGCTAGCTTGTAGCATCAGCAGGTTCTTGAGCAGCTCCCAAAGGACCAGGTAAAGGCGTTGCACCTCCTTGGTGGACAATACGAATCGAAGCGCCACCAGCACATTTCCCAACAATTTCGTAAAGAATGCGAAGCAGTGATCCAGCATACCCTGCTCATACAGAGCGTCGCCAGATCCCCAATATGAGTCCAAACCAAAGTCATAGTCGTCGGGGTTTTCGAACCAAATTTGATAGTTAGTATCTAAACAGCCCTTGTCTGTGAGGGTTGGAAAGCCCCCGCAGGGGATGGTCCCCGTTTGGTCCGACGAACGCTTTCCCAACATCTTTGGCTGCGTAGACCTGAAGTACTTCAAAACATGCGTCGAGCGTAAGCAAGTTTGGGTACTGGGAGCTGCATTTGTGGATGAACTAGAAGCGACCTGCCGACCTAGAGGATGCCGTCAAAGAGTCAAAAGAGAGTAGTCCATGTACGGGCAAATTCCAACGCACGAGGGTTGCGCGGTAGGGCGGAGGCACGTGGACACATGGACCACGCAGCTATACTATTGCTTCTCTCTATTCCTTTGACAATTCTATGCATAAGCCAAAGTTCTTCTTGGCTGTCCCGCGGAGGCGCGAGCATTGAGCTGCACAATTGAAAAGCAAGATTGTTTCCGCGGCTGGAAAGCCTGCACATGACATCAAAGAAGCTCTGGTTTATAATGGTCATCCTTTCCTTACTGTTTGCGGCTCGACCGCGTATCAGTTCTACCTACGCTAGTTCCACCGCGGATTCAAGGGAAGGGTCTCCCTACCCTCAGAAGTCATAGCCAGCGTCCTTGTCTCTGCTATGTCTGCCTCCACTGCGTCCCCATCGCCTCCGTCACCGCTCCTGCCGCTGCCGCTGCCTCGGTCAGCTACCCAAAAGAGTGCATCTGATACGGACATTAGCCATGAAGGCCAAACGGCCACCGGCTGCCCATTGGCTCTTGTTCTGCTACCACCTGCCACTGTCCTAATCCATTACCCGTGCTTGTGTGAATCTTTCCTTCCCCTCTCCATGCGTGCATCCATACCGTACAACGGCAACTTAAGCCGTTAACCGCCGCCCTCCTGCCCCCGCCGTCCGTGCCCCTACCAGTCCTATCCCGGTAAATCCTACCCCGCACCTTTGACTTGTGCTGCAGAACCTAATCCCCATCCAGCAACCATCACTTACTTGTAGTCTCCATTCCTACGGACTGGTTTTGCTTTGAAGCATCTTGCGCCCACATCCTCTCATGTTCTCAACATTCTCTCTGGCCAAAGCTGCTGACCTAAAGCTCATTGTGACAGACAGTTAAGGGGGCACTACGCCACCACAACGTGACTGATCCGGAAGCCCACCAAGCCCTCCAATAGCGCTTCATCCACAACTTCCCCACTACCACCAACAACACTCGCTGCTGCTGCTGGTGCTGAAAGCTTTAGGTCCGCCTCCGCTATCGAATCTGCCGCCGCCGCCGTCGCCACCACCGCCGCTCCTGCCGTTGCCGCCGCCACAGCCTCCGTCGGCTGCTGCTGTTGCTGCTGCTGAGGGCTGCCCGCCCTAGCATCCGCACCCTCGTCGCCGCCCCCGTCTCCCTCACCGCTACCTCCGCCGCAACTGCCGGCAAGCAGCAAGCGAGCGTACTCTTCCGGCCCAATTTCCTCATACTCACTCTCCTCCTCCTCGCTCTCCTCCTCCTCCTCGTCGCCATGCAAATCCCCCTCCTTCTCATAGCCTTCCTCGAACTCATAATCATAACCGTAATCAAAATCCGGGCCGAAATCGAAATCCGGGTACGGCACATCATCAGGGAACGGCAGCAAACCTCCGTCAACATCATCAAACAACGGCATTTCGTCGTACTGCCCGCCATCTGGGTCATCACCCCCAGCGGCGGCTGAAGCAGCATTGGCAACCCCCAACCGCCCGCTACCCGCGCCACCCCCACCAACGCCACCAAGAAAACCCCCGCCGCCACCACCGCCGTAACGCCCCTCCTCCTCATCCTCATAGTCATCATCATCGTCATCATAGTCATACCCAAATTCGCCGTAATCCTCGTAACCCAGATCGTCGTACTCCTCCTCATCCTCCCAACCCAGATCAAAATCGAACCCCTCCGCGTCCGGCACCGGTGGTTCCAGCTGGAAGTCGGGTTCCGGCGGCAGTGGCATGGGCATCCGGGCGATCATCTCCAGACTCTGCGTCTTCCGGAACAGCGCCAGAATGACCCGGGAGTAGAGCTCCGGTTGCTCTAGTGACAGCGCAGCCAACCGCGCCCGACCCGCCTCGCCCTCCGCTAGCGCCAATTCCACCGCCGCCACTGCCGCATCTAGCGGAGCAGCGGCGTCCGCCGACGCCGCAGCGCCAGCGGCAGCGGGACCGGCTGGCGCCGCCAGCGCCGCCACTGCCGCAGCGGTGACGGCAGCCCAGCTGTCGCTGACGCTGTTGCCGCTGCCGCCGCCAGCACGGCCCTGGCGGACGGACGCACGGGCCGCGGCGGCTGCCCGAGTGTTGTTAGCGGCGGCGGCGCCTCGGGGCCGTACGGCAGGCGCTGCCGTACGCTGTTGCTGGCGCTGCCTCCGGAGCTGCTGCTGCGTGAGGAAGCGGGCGGGAGGATTGGGCTGGGCACCGCCGCCGCTGCTGCTGGCGGTTGCGGCGTTGGTGGTACCGATGGGGACGCTGGGCTTGGAGGAGGAGAGGGAAGAGGAGGTGGCTGCAGGTGCTGCTGGGCGGTTCTGGGGTCCGGGCGCTGTAGCAGCAGCAGCAGCAGCAGCTGTGGAGGAGGCGGGCCGACTAGGCAACGAGGAAGACGAGGAGGAAGCGCGTGCAGCAAAGGGCCCAGCTGCTGCTAGATGACTTCTAGAGGAGCTAGCGGGTGGGGGCTGTGTTGGAGCGTTGTCGCCTTGTTGCGCGTCGGCAGGCTCTTGAGGGCTGAGGATGTGAGGCTTGTGGGCGATGCCATGCCGAGCCTTGACCTTCATCGGCCGAAACCAAGCGCGATGGGGACCCTAGGGGATAACGAGCTCAACGGAGGTACTCGGCGTGCAGTGCTTATTTGCTGCAGCGCGCAAGTGGCGGTCCGGTCGTGGTGGATAATTGCGGTCGAGACGAGCGGTAGCCGCTGCGCGTAATGCATAAACACCAGGGCTGATGTTCTTAAGTAGGCTACAAGTATTGTGAATTACGCGGAGTCGGCACAGGGTTCCGGAATACGAGTGCGAGTTGAAGATGAGGACACAATTGGGGATTTGGGTCGAGTGCTCATGCGCTTCATAAATTAGTCACTGCATTATACGGCCTGTCTTATTATGTCTTACAAGTAACATTATAGGAGGGCTCGCACACAATTTTAACCAGATACCGACTTTCAACGGCAGTTGTCTTTGTCACTGACTTCCCAGGTTTTATACCATCACGATATACTAGGATCACTTCATAATTTACTAGGAAAAATGACAGAGGTAAGCGCAGGACTGGAACGAAGCTTGACCTGCGCATCGCCCCACTTCTGCCTTCAGTTCAGCAGCCTTTTGCTACGTAGCCTGGAGCTAATATGGAACATTTCCTTCTGGCTGCAGTACTGGAAAAGCAATGCCATGCACTGGTGCGACATCTGCAAATGTTGGATGAATGACACCAAGCAGGCGCGGCTAAACCATGAAAGAGGAGCACAGCACCAGGCGAAGCTTGAAAAGAGTGAGGGGTGTTGGAGCTCAACCTCTTGGTTTGGGGGATCCTCACGATACACACGATTGGGATTGTCTCCCCCACCCTCCCCCTGGTGTTCCTAGAGTGGAGTCTGCCAAAGAGTTCACTCCATGAGTCGGGACACGGGACTGTGCTTCACTTCTCACTTCTTCCCCCCTAGTGATGGCGCAACCCATGGTGGAGGCGCTTGGAGCCTCGTCACGTGGTGTTTCCACCTTTCTCTTCACCTCACCCTGCTCCCTTCCTGTCCCCACCTTTTCTTCCTTCCACCCCCCATTCCCTTTCCCCTGTCCTTGCCGTTTCTTCCCTTTCTCAGAGCTCCGCGATATGGCCCACAAGGCCGACCAAGAAGTCAAGACCAAGGCTGCTAACGAAGCTGCCATGGATAAGATCGAAGCGGCGGCTCGCAAGCAGTTTGCGAAGGACCAGGCAGCGGCGGAAGCGGCGAGGCAGGCTGCCAAGGAGGCGGCGGGCGTTTGGAGCTGGGAGGCGGACAGCAGCTACTATTACAACGCGGCGCACAGGTGGAGGGGGGTGGGTGAAGAGGAAATAACTGACTGACCATGTGATAAGGGCGTCAACATGGTATGCAACATTTGAGCCAGCCCAGGGGTGGGGGCTGAAGGAGTGACGGGGTGTGGCGTGCGGGGGGCCGTCAAAATGCGATGGCGGGGAGGCGTGCGGGATCACACAAGAGTGAGGGGGGGTGACTGGATACAAACGCAAGCCTCCTGAGTCCTGACCCTGTCACAAGGCCCGCGTCCACTCATGCCCTAGCACGTTTACCCCCCCCCCTCCCGCCCGCCCTGTGTTACCCCCCCACCCTCTGCCGTCCTCTCCCCCCTCCCCCAGGTGGTATTACGACCCCAAGACCAGCTGGTACTACGGCGGGGAACCCAGCCCGGAGTGGTCGCATAGCCCCCCGCTGCCGCCCGATGCCTTGTTCGGTACGGCACCGCATGAGGGCGGCCCCGTACCGCAGGGGGCAGCAGCAGCAACAGCAGCGCCGCAGCAGCAGGGGCAGGGGCAAGGAGGCGGCGCGGCGGGCAGCAGCAGTGGGAGAGGGCTGCCTGAGGGATTGCCGGTGGTTACAAAGACGGTGCAAAGAGTGGTGGCCATACCCAAGCATCCGCTGGCGGCGTTGGGGGGCTATCAAGCACCGACAACAGGGCGGGTGGGCGGCGGCATGGGGGCGGGGGTGACGGTGGAGGCGGCGGAGGAGGCCGGGGCCAAGCGGAAACGAGAGGCGGGTGGCGGGGGTAAAGGCGGCAAGGCGGCGGGGGTGTCGACGGAGGAGGCGGCGGCGCTGGCGCGGCGAGAGGCTGCAAGGCAGCGGGTAGCGCAGCGGACGGCAGCTGGGTTCGGATACCTTTGATGGATGTGTTTGAGCGGGTGCAGGGCGGGACGGGGTGGCGTTGCGTGTTGGTTTGTGGGTAGTGGTAATGTGTAGGTGGCGCGCAGGGGTGCATGTGGGGTAAAGAGGAAACTAGGGGGTAGAGAGGAAACAACGAACGAACCGTGTGATGCATGGGTGCAGGCGGGGCGTCACAGTTGCATTGGGGGGGTTCGTTGGGTTGAGTTGAAGGATTCCTTGCTGGGGGTTGCTGGCAAGAGGGAGCGGAGCGTGCAGGTTTGAGCACGAAATGAGGCGGCTTGCATGCACAGCGACAAGCGACATACGACGTGACTGGGAAACGGACGAGCGGAGGCTTTGTAAGGTCACAGGGATTTCTGCATGGAACGGTGCGGCACGGTTGTTGTTGTGAAGTAGGGCGCAACAGGGTCTTTGCGAAGCTACGACAGCCTTCGGGGCCACCGTAATTGTTTGCTACTGTACACGTATCCCATTCCCGCCGAGCACGTTTCTGGGACCTCTTCTGCGCTGTGTACCATTGTGTGGTTCACGCAGATGCCCGTTTCGCTGTAGCCCTTGCGTGTCGTGTCGTACAACGTCGGTCCTGTCACGTTCCTTCTAGCGTGCATGCTGCTGTAGGATGGGCCCATGTACAGAACATTCCTTATCCTGCCGTAAGCATCCGTTGTTTCCGTTCCCCAATGGAGTGATGCTGACGATGCAAGGGAGGAGGTAGTAGCTGCAACTGGTGTACCTGCAGCACTCCTCCACATGTCTGATTCCGTAGACCCGTCGTCTTTTGAAACCTTTACAAAATGGACCCCCCGCTGCCTACTCAAACAGCCGGGAAGGCGTCCATAAGGCCCAACAAGAATGAGATCGAATGAAATGTAGCTAGCCGCTTCCATTGCCAGGCTGAAATTCGGACAATGACAGTAAACGGCCGTAACCGGCGCTGAAAAAGGTTCCCAAAACGCCGTCGAGCTGCGCAAGAGAAGACAATTGGGTCATGAACACAAAGACACACGCTTTCTGCACTTCGACACATCCAAGAAAACAATTGCGCAAGCAGCAAAACGGAAAGGCAATCTCCTGTGTTGGTGGTTTTGCCTTCCTGCCTGCTTGCACAGAGGAGCCCTGCAGCATGCACTGCCTCCCTTCCGCCGCTGTCATGGCTCAAGGGATCAAGCTCCATATGTCGGGTCCGCGACTACGCACCCACACGGGTTAGGGTTATCAACAGCAAACAATGCCCGGGCCATGCTCTCAAAACCCACCGGGCTTATACTCTCATGATGAGACACACCACACAAGCCGAAACACCAAGCAAAACACGCACAATGAACGCGCTCTGCACGGCTCACGCCGCGGTTCCGTTTCCCTCCTTGAGACGAGTCGTCAAGTCAGAAATTCACGTCACCTCCTCCTCACCCAAAACAGCACACGGCCCTATCCAACCCTCCACTTCTGCCCAGCAGAGGCCCTCTCATGCTCCGCGCTAAGCGGGCGGCAGCACGGACGCCCTCACTCGACCGACCTCGCACGCTGGTTTCAACCACAGGCCTCACACCCACATCCGCACCTCCCAACCCAGGCACCTGCGCACCTGCAGAGTGCCTAATAACCTTGCACCATCCTCAACTCACCCATCAATCCAGCTCAGCCGCAACACCATACCCTCTTCCGGCTCCCTGATCGTGCTTCTTCTCCCCCTCTAGAAGAGGCGAGACGAGAGAATGACGACCCCGCCGCGCGCCCCTCTCTCAACGAGACGAGAGACCAACGAGAGGCACCGCAGCCGCACGCTCTTCAGCTACAGCGCATCACCCTGTCAAGCAGCTAAAGAAGCGACGAGCCGCTTAGTACATGTCGGGGGCGGGCATGCCGGGGGTGGCCTTCTCCTCCTTGGGTGCCTCCACAATGACGCACTCGGAGGTGGTGATGAGGGAGGACACGGAGGCGGCGTCCACCAGCGCGGTGCGCACCACCTTGAGGGGGTCGATCACACCGGCCTTGACCATGTCGACGTACTCTCCGGTGGCGGCGTTGTAGCCCATGTTGGGGTCGCTGAACTCGGAAACCTGTTTTTTTGGGGGGAGGGGCGGGAGACGGACGAGATGGAGGGGAAAGAGACGTGAGGCACGGCAGGAGAGAAAGATGATAAGATAGCAGACACCCATTGCACAGCGATACACAGTATAAGAAGGATCCATGCCCTATGGTAAAGTACACGAAGAGGGATGCAGTGAAGCGCAGATGGTGGGTGTAACATGTAAGCCGCCCTCTTCACCCTCCTCCGCCTCCTCTCCTACCTTGCCCACCACCACGGCGCCCTCCACGCCCGCGTTGTTGGCAATGGTCTTCATGGGCACGCGCAGCGCGTTCTGGATGATCTGCACACCGATCTTCTGGTCAAAGTTGTCCAGCTTGACCTTGACGTCGTCCAGCGTCTTGCTGGCGTGGAGCAGCGCGGAGCCGCCGCCCGGCACGATGCCCTCCTCCACGGCGGCCTTGGTTGCGTTGAGCGCATCCACCACGCGGTCCTTCTTCTCGCCCACCTCCACCTCGGAGGCGCCGCCGATCTTGATCACGGCAACGCCGCCGGACAGCTTGGCCAGACGCTCCTGGAACTTCTCACTGTGGAAGGGGGAGGGGGGCGAGTGGGGGTAAGTGGGAAAGGGGTGAGGTAGAATATGGCACCCAGGCAATGCGCGTATGTGGGTTTTTCAGTAACGGTAGCAAGGCTGCTGCTGCTCTCCCTCCCTCCCTCCCTCCCTCCTTCCTCCCTCTCCTTACCGGTCGTAGTCGGAGGAGCTGGCCTCCATGGCGCTGCGGATGGTCTCGCAGCGCGCGGCGATGTCCTCCTTGGAGCCGGCGCCGTGCAGGATGATGGTGTCGTCCTTGGTGACGGTGATGCGCTTGGCCTGAGGGCGGGAGGCGGGAGGGTACAGAATGAGGGGAAGAGGAGGCACGTGGATGAGGGAAAGATTGAAATGGATAAAGCGGCTGAAGACCAAGTCCTATAGTCTTTTTCCCGGCGTGCGTGCGTCCAAAGACGAGCCGGGAGTTCCCAGTAATTCGAGCGTGACCTCCCATTCCTCCCGCCTCCTCCAGTCTCCTCCCGCCTCCCCCCACTCACCGATCCCAGCGAGCGCACGTCCACGTTCTCCATCTTGAGGCCCAGCTCCTCGCTGATCACCTCGCCGCCCGTCAGCACCGCCAGGTCCTGCAGGTTGGCCTTGCGGTTGTCTCCGAAGCCGGGGGCCTTCACGGCGCACACCTGGGGGCAGGAGGGGGGGAGAGGCGGGTGAAAAGCAGGGGGGCCGGGGAGTTATATTGGCGATGTACGGTTATGCAACAGGGGTTTACGGTAGCATACTACAGAGGGTGGGGTTAAACAACTGTTCAGATGTTGGTAGTGGCAGCGGGGGTTGCAGGAGTGTGTCCCGTAGTGTATCCTTATTTTCCTCTTTCCCCCCCCCATCTCCGCTCTGCCCCCCCCATCTCAGCTCTGCCCGCTCCGTCAGCACTCACCTTGAGGCCGGCACGCAGCTTGTTGACGATGAGGGTGGCGAGCGCCTCGCTCTCCACATCCTCCGCGATGATCAGCAGCGGGCGCTGCACCTGCACCACCTTCTCCAGCACTGGCAACAGGGAGGCCAGGCTGCAGGAGGGGAAAGGGGCCGGAGGAGCATGGGTAAGGGGGAGAGAGCAGAAGCAGGAATGGAGTCAGGATAACGTGACGAGGTTGGCAGGCTAGCTAGCGCGAGTGCTGTACAATTCACATGCGCCGCTCGCTGATTACAACACCCCCAAGCCAGCCCCTGCCGGCATGCCGCCCTCACTACCCAATTGCACAAGCTGGGTCTTCCTCTTTCATGCCAGCTGCCGCCCTCTTTCCTCACCCGCTGACGCGCTTCTCGCAGATGAGCACCAGCGGGTTCTCCAGCTCCACCTTCATGGTCTTCTGGTCGGTCACAAAGTAGGGCGAGATGTAGCCGCGGTCAAACTTCATGCCCTCCACCACCTCCAGCTCGTTCTCCAGCGTCTTGCCGTCGTTGACGGTGATGACGCCCTCCTTGCCAACCTTCTCCATGGCGCGAGCGATGAGCTCGCCGATCTCGCGCTCACCGTTGGCGGAGATGGTGCCGACCTGGTGACAGTTGGCGGTTGGTGGTTGGTGCGGGTTAGGAGTTGGTTCGGAGGTGTGTTTTGGATGGGTAAGCGAAGGGGGAGTGTGGTAGCGAGGGAGGGTGTGGAGTTTGGCCAAAGTGGATGTGAGTAATTGATCTGGGTCAGCAGTAAACGAGGCATGAGCCATGTGGGCCAATTATGTGGATGAACCTCTTGAGCCGCTCGTCCTTTCACGATTCCTGCACCCAACTGCAGGCTTATCAGGTCAAGCGCCCTCGCACCGCACCCGCCCCCACCTGCGCGATCTCCTCGGTGGTGGAGATCATCTTGGCGCGGCTCTTGAGCACCGACACCACGTGGTCCACCGCCATGTTGATGCCGCGGCGCAGGTCCATGGGGTTCATGCCGGCGGCCACGCTCTTGCAGCCCTCAGCCAGGATGGCGCGGGTGAGCACGGTGGCGGAGGTGGTACCTGCGGAGGAGAGGCGGAGGGGCAGAGGTGGTGAGGAGAAGGGGTGGTGAGTGGGGGCGGTGGGGTGGTGTGGTTTGGGCGAGGTGGGGTCCCGGGTGGGAGTGGGGAGTGGCGGGAGGGTCGTGCGGTTGCGAGGGCGATGGTGAGTGGATGAGGGAAGGTGGTCGCGGGGGGCGGGGGGCGCGGGGAAGGGACACACATGCGTGCGTGTATGCATGCATGATGCATGAAGAGCACAGGGCAAGGTATGCGCGTTCCATGCGTGCGGAGAATGCACTCCTGTCTCTGTAATGTCCGACATCTGGAAAAAACACTCACCATCGCCAGCCACGTCGTTGGTGGCGGAAGCGACCTGCTTCACCAGGGAGGCACCGATGTTCTCGAACTTATCCTTCAGCTCGATGGCCTGAGGCAGAGAGGGAGGGAAAAGAGGGAAGCAACAGTGGGGTTAACAAATGGCGCGAGTGTGTGGAGGGTGGGTTGAAAGCAGGGGAGTCCCTAGCTGTATATGACACCGAATCCCGGCAAGGCAGTCCATGCATTGGTTGGGTGTGGCCCACTTACCTTGGCCACAGTGACACCATCCTTGGTGATCTTAGGGCCGCCGTACGCCTGCTCAATCATGACGTTGCGGCCCTGCAAGCAACAAGCGGTGGGACAGTAGGAGTTAGGGGCGCCCGGGAAAGACGTACGTGGGGGGTGCTAATGCTGGGCTAGGATGGTAACCGCCTATGCCAACAACCATAGTGCAGCGCAGGCAAAGCAAAAATGCCCGAACACATTGTGTGCACGCGTATAACAGAAAGCTTTTACTTTTATTTTAACACCGGCGACAAGCAACCTTGGTAGTAAGAGTCTCACTAATCGCCGATGTTGGTGACGAAGTAACTGAAAATGGCCGCCAACAAGTGTAAGAGTGCCCTGCTCACCTTGGGACCGAGGGTGACCTGGACTGCGTCAGCAAGCTTGTTCACGCCAACGAGCACCTTGTCGCGGCACTCAATGCCGAAGCGCACATCCTTGACTGCGTAGTAGCGCACGGCCTGCAGGAACTGGGCCTGCAGTGCAGGAAATAACAGATGATCAGCGCCATATGTAAGAATACTCGAATAGGTGGGTCAACAGATCCGCCGCACGACGCGTCATCAATCAGCGCCGACACTGCTCCTAAGCAATACTAACTAAGCTGCAAGCTGGTACTAAGAAACATGTATGCTTACGTTCCTCTGGCCGCGGCGGGCCGAGCCCAGAAGCGCCTTGCCGACAGAGTGCATAGTGTAGAGTCTGCTTTATGCAGCTGCGATAACTATGCCCGTGTTACTACACGGTATTATACGCTGCCAAGTCGCAATGGACGCAATAAGAGAGGGCTTCGCAGGGGGAAGGAAGTATTTCGGCACGAGAAGCTCCTCGAACGCCGTACAGTCGGCTTGGAAACGCACGACAGACTTAGCGGTTACCCACGTATCTATTAGAAACGCCTAGACGTTTCATAAGGCCACGGAAGCTCCTTCACCTAACCGCGCTTACTGCTTGGGATTTCCACCGCACTGGGCTTGCTTCCGGCATGGGACTTATTCACGGGACTTGCAAGTCTGTTGTAGGCCGTGGAATAGGTAATATTGGTAACCATGTTATTATTAGCACATCATGGATGGTTGCAGCTGGTTGCAGGGGCTTTGTCGATGAAAGCACGGAAGTTGTAGTAGATTCCTACCTCGTGCACATCACTGCGGTGTGTACCACTTTATCGTGTCTGTCTCGGTGACCGATGGCGTGTTATGACGAGTTATAGCTAGGTCTCGTAACTGCCCTTACCCGCGTCGTTCGATTTGCGTGCTTGCGGATGTTGTTGCTTCCATCGCCCAAACTTGTCCATGCGCCTAGGCCTCTGTACTTGCCGTGTACTTGCCGTGAACGAGTAATTTGGGGGTACTTTACTGTCCTGGAGAATTGTCTTGGTCATGTTGTGGGTTATGCCACTTTAGCAACTCCCAACGTGCCCAAGGTGTACACCACCTAGCGGGATCTCTTCATTCCGAAGCATGACTGGCCGTGCCCCAGGAATGGGAACCATGACAACATGACAATACCGAAGATGGCTGGGGCTCTAGGCGCGTTCCAAGGGGTTTGGTAGCTGGGCCCGTTGCGTATGGTTGTCACGGCTTATCGGTATACCGAGCTGTCAACAACAAAACCATGGTTGCATATGTCCGTGTCAGAAACCCCACGGGTCCATGATGGAAGGCACTGGCAGTGCCACTTCGAGGGACATCAGAAATGCACCCAGCAGGCATCTGTTTCCGACTTCCCCAGAAGTCACCCACGAATTAAACGCGAACATGCCATTCGGTTATGTCCCGTGGGTCGGAAAGGCCCTTCCTATACGAAGAGTGACCCAATTATTGCATTTTCTTTTACTTGACTAGTACGAGTCCGGACGGCTATCAAGTTCAAACCTAGCCATGCCGTGTGGCAGGGAGCCTGCCTTAATCACGCGCCTGAAGCCCCGCCGATTGCGAGGGACAACCTGGCCTCGCAGAAGAAATATCGATAGTATGCATTGTGCACGCCAAGGTGTGCTGAGTTTGCTTTTGTGCATCTCTAAGTATCGCTTCATCCCGCTTGCGTCTAACCATCAACCTGCTGCCCAACGACCTGGAAGCTTTTCACAAACTTCCCAACATATGCGGGGGTACTGTCTTGAGGTAAAATCCGATTTACAGTAACAACTGTTAAATGGGGCCTTGCCCGAATTGACTACATGTACTGCGGCATCGTACGCAGCGGAGGGGCTCCATCTCCTAGCGGTAATCTGATAGTCCTTTGCCGGTGTCCTACGAATAGTTGCGTAAGAATAGCTACATCTCTGGTTATCAGCACATTGTTTGCCGTCCAGGAATAAGTCGCTTTTCCTGGCCTTTCCCAACACCATTTTGATTCCGTTGGACTTTACCTTGAGCTAAAGGGGGTACGTGCTGGGCATCTGGCATGCGCAGGGCTTTGCTATCGAGCGATCTTTCTTGTGGATGCACAGTTATCCCACTTACGTGTGAAGCTGACCAACATTTGGACCTGTACATGACAACGGAATGCTTACCTACCATCTACTACGGCGTTGCCTGCCGATTTTGTAGCCCGGTGAAAACATGCTTGCTCCTTTCCCTTTTGCGCAGACAGTGCAACCTCATGCTCAACCCTGGCGGCTTGGATCCTAGCGGGGCTAGAGGCTTTGCACAATATGGGCAACAGGGCCAAACAGCGGGCTTTCCGCTTGTCGGTAAGGCGCAGGTTGCAGCGGCCCCTTACTCCATTTTCGCTCGGGCTAATAAACATACATACATGCTTGCGAAGGTGCTTTGCAAGGAGGAATGCAGGGCGGATTGCCAGGAGTCAGGTAGCTGGGTCTCTCTGGGTATATGCATTGCGGAACGACGCGCTGACTCGTCGCTTTCTTTGCAGAACGGGCATTGCTGGACTTCAGGCGGGTGCAGCAGGGCCACAACAAACAGCACAAAACAGATTTGCTGCCGCTAGCACGCTCCAGTCGAACTTACAACAGCAGGTAGGCTCGCTGCTCCGTCTCCCAACCCTTGCGCAAGCAGCTACACCCTTGAAGGCATGCTCCTAGCTGCTTAACAACACGTGCCACATCAGCAGTCATGCCGCGTTTCATCCTCTAACGCCACGATTAACCAAGTGAACCCTCCTCCCCCGGGTTATCCCCCTTTCCCCTTTTCCCCCCTTCCCCTCCCCCCATCCTCACCCCTCCTCCCCCCAAACACAGCTCGGACAGTACGCCCAAGCGCAGGGGAGACCCCTCACCAACGCCCAGATAGCAAACGGAGTCCTCGCCGGAGCCGCGGGCGCCGGCGTCCGCGCCCAGGGGATAGGCGGTCTCGGGCCCCTAGCCGCCATGCGGCAACCCGGTGTTGACCGAGCGGCCGCCGCAAACCTGAGCCTCGCAGCCAACCTCAACGCCGCAGCCGCCGGCGCTGCGGGGGCCGCTGGGCTGGCCAGCCTGCAGGGTTACGCGGCGGCTCAGAACCCCCTTGCCGCGGCGCTCCAGAACCCGCAGCGGCTCACGGGGCTGGGTCTCAACGCGCAGCTCACGGCGGCGGCAGCGGCGGGACTGGGAGGGCTGCAGGGCAGCAACCTGCAGAGCAGGTTGCAGATGGCGAATGCGGGTGCGGCGGGGCTGGGGCTGCTGCAACAGGGGCTAGCGGGCGCGCTGCCCACGCCCAACACCAACACGCATGAGCTGCTCGCGATGCTAAACCGGCAGAAGCAACAGCAGCAGCAACAGCAACAACAGCAGCAGCAGCAACAACAGCAGCAGCAACAGGTCCCCGGTGGCGGCAATGCCTTTGGGGCTGCGCTAAATAACCTGGGCATTTCGGCTGCTAACTTTGGTGCTGCGGGAGCGGGAGGGGTAGGGGGGCTTGGGGGGCCGGTAGCGGGCTTGCAGGTGGCCAACCAGCAATCCCAGCAGGCCCAGCAGGCGGCAGCCGCCGCAGCAGCCGCGCAACAGCAGCAGCAGCAGCACGGGCCTGGGGACCAGGACGGTGCGACTTTTGACAACAGCGACTTTCCTTCCCTGCTGGCGAACGCGGCCGCACGACAGGGCCGTGCCGGAGCCGATGCCATGTCGGCAGCGGGGGCGGCTGCGGCCAACGACCCTTTTGCCAAGCTGGGACTGCGGACAACCGCGGCAGCGGTCGCAGCGGGCGGCCATGGCCCCAGCACGGCCGGCGGCGCTGGCGGCAACGACTTTCAAATACAGAACGAGGACTTCCCCGCGCTTCCCGGTTCCTCACAGCGTGACGCGCTGGGGCCGGGTGGTGCCGCGGGGATGTCGCAGCAGCAGGCGGCGGCACGTGGGGCCCCCACTTCTGGCGGTTTCGGAGCCGAGCATCTGCAGCAAATGGCGGGTCCGCCGGGTTCCGCTGAGTACGAGGCGTTCTTGCGGTTGCAGCAGCAGCAGCGGGGCATGCCGCCTGGGTTGCTGGGGCCGGGGCAGGCGGGCATGGGCGCGGGCAAGGGTGGCCCGGGCATGGGCGGGGGCCTGGGAGGCGAGTTGGGTATGGGACAGCAGCAGCAGCCGGGCCCTGCGTCTGCGGTTTCGGCGGTTGCTAGCAAGGCGGATCGTTTCGGGCTGATGGGGTTGCTGCCGCTGATCAAGATGTCGGACGCGGATCTGACCATGCTGGCACTGGGGACGGACCTTACGGGACTGGGGCTGAACTTGAATGCGGCAGGTGCGGTGGGGGGTCAAAGACCATATCAAACCATATGAGGTGGGGGGGGGGAAGCGGGATTGCGCGGGGAGGGGGTTTGGTGAGGAAGGAGGATGTTAAGAAAACTGGCCGCGAGTAGGAGGGTGCGTATGTTGGGAGGAGGAGGCGGTGTGTGTGCGTGTATAGGGGTGGGTTGGGAGGGGGGGTTAGGGTTAGGGATGGGCGCGTGATGGAGTGTGCACCTGTAGGCACGTTTGTGGCATGTCGCTGGTGTCCATATTGTGGCATCATTGTGGCTCGGAATGATGCCAGGACACGCTAGCAGAGTTTGTCTCCTCTCACGCCTGCTACCGTACATGTAAACAACCCTAACCCTGCCTGCCTCCCCCCCGTGTTGTGCTGCTGTCCTCGTCCCCCCTCCCTCCCTGTGCTTCCAGGCGACCTGCACTCCACTCTGGTGTCGCCGCTGGCGGACAACCCCATCAAGGCGGAGCCCGACTACGAGCTGCCGTCGTGCTACAAGTTCAACCCGCAGCGGTTGCAGGTGCGCTGTCGCCGTCGTTGTTGCGTTTGTGTGTTGAGAAACTGGCCGTTAGTCGGAACGTACTGTGATTGCCGGAAGACCAGTCCCCACAGAAACGCCACAAGTGCGCTGTCGTTGTTGTTGTTGCGCGGAAGAGACACGAGCAGCTGCTGCGCTATTGCCGCTGTTGCCCGTTCAATCTGTTGGGCCACAGTTCACGCCGCCACCCACCTCATGGCTTCATTGCGCCTTGCTTGCTGCCCGCAGCATGCGCATGTCCCCTTTCTTTACCCCTGTTGCCTCCGTGCCGTCCCGTCAACCGTCCCTTCATCCTCCCCGCTTTCTCCTCCACTTCCTCCCCTTCATTCCCCTCTCCCTCCTTTTCCTCCTCCTCCTCTTCCCCCCCTCCTTCTTTACCTATCACACCGCACATTGGAATTTCTTCTTTTCCCCTCGTTGCCTCGTCAGTGTCTGATTATATCCCCCCCCTCCCCCCCACCATCCCGACCAGCCCGGCTACCTGTCCAAGTTCAAGGAGGAGACCCTCTTCTACATGTTCTACTCCATGCCGGGAGACGAGGCGCAGCTTCTGGCGGCCGACGAGCTATCCGTGCGGGGCTGGTGGTTCCACCGGCGCTACAAGCTGTGGATGCTGCATGCACCCAACACGGCGGTGCAGAAGAGCCAGCGTGGGGAGCGCGGCTCCTACCTCATCTTTGATATTAATCAGTGGGAGATCGTGCAGAAGGCGGACCTCGAAATCCTGTACGAGGACATTGAGGGCGCGCCGCGACTGCCGAGGACCACGAAGCTGCAGCAGCAGCAGCAGCCGGGGGGTGCGGGTGCGGGGGGGCAGCCGCCGCAGCAGGGGCAGGCAGCGGCGGCGGCAGCTGCTGCCACGCAGGGGCGGCATTGAGGCTGTGGGGGCGGTGGGGTGGTGATGATGACACCCGTGTGAGTGATGACGCCCGCGCACTCGGGGGATGGAGGTGGACGTGTGTGTTTTGCGCGCGTGATGTGCGGGCAGCGGCAAGGATGGGTGGCAATGCGGCGTTGCACCCTGCCGCATGGCCGCATGTGCACATGGGCTGATGGCGGATCTCCTGCGGTAGCCGAAACCGGCACCAGGCACGTATCACAGCAGCAGTTGCAGGATGCGAAGCGCTCAACACGGCGGGCTTGTGTGTGTGCGGAGGGTGTGCTTACTCAGTTCAGAGGGGATGTGGCATGGCAGGGGGGGCGATGGTTAGGGGGAAGGGAAGGGCCCCATGGGCGTGACGCGCGGCATGTGCCTGTAGGTGTCAACGGCTGTAGGTACCGGTATCCACGTCTGGAGCAAGAAGCGGGCTGCACAGGGAGGGGCGAAGTGTCATGTGTGCTGTGGTAGGAGTCGCATTGAAACTCGAATTGTTGCCTGAGGGCTGCTGGTTTCCCTGCTACGATAATGTGCGCGCCCAAAAGGTGGAGACGCATGGTGAGAGGCCGGGGGGCAACATACACTGTGCGGGACTGCACGGGGATCCCGTGCTTGCAAGGGCAGAGGGCAAGCAAAGCATGCGCTCGACAGTTTAGAGCTTGATAGGCACAGAAGAGTAACACACGCGCCTTGCTGCTTTGATGGAAGTTCTTGTCGCCCTGTAAGGCTGTTCATGGCCTCCTTTGATACGCCCCTCGGCGTTGTGAGGGACGCCACGGACGTCTCCCCGTGCCGCCGCTGTTTCCAACATAGTGGTGTTTTTATGTTTTGCATGCGTGTAAATGTGCCGCTGTATGTGAGATTGAAAGTAGCGAGTTGTTCTGTATTGTGAGATGGCTATGGGCGCGAGGCTGATAGCATTACAGGGGGCCTTGTGCGGGGATGGAGGTTGCGTTTTGAAGAGGTTAGTACAGCAGCTTTTCATTGCTCGGTGGTTTTGTCAATGCACGCGCTGACGGGTAAGGAACCGTCCTTGTTCTGGGCGAGGAGGCCGTTCCGTATAAAGATGTGTCCTTTCCCCTGTTCAGGTGTCACCTCTGCGGTCACGAACACATGCGCGGTTTGGATTGTTGGCTTTTCGGAGCATACCTGTGAAGCCTCCATCACACACCTGTGCTATCTGTTGAATGTCTGGTGCTCGCCATATTTCCCTCTTCTCCTTCCCTCTTCCCGCATTAGGCATTACCATTAGCTATAGCACGGTGGCTGCCAGGTTGCACAGGCATGTCCATGCTATTCGCCACATGCATTGTGATTCGTACACCACTAGCCAACAGGGATATTCCTTTCATGCATGCCCCGGTCAGCACGTCATAGAAGATAATGTATGTTGGGTATGCTGTCCGCACACTGCGAACCGTTAGCAATCAAGTATAGGACTGAGTTTCCGTGCAAGTTTATCTGTCGCACACCTCCCTTGCGTTGCAACATACGCACATGGCTCCCGAATGGGTTCCCAAACCGCCTCATGACCATAACAGTGCACGCACAACACGAGGAGGGGAGGGTTCCTGTCGTTCCCCAGTTAAATAGAGGAATGTCGTACACCCATCCATCATGCTGGTACCGCATGCCTCACATTAGTAGTAACTGACCGCACACTCGTACAGACATCTTGAAGACCTAATCCTCCCATTTGCCCAGGAATGCCAGGGTGGTCATCAGCTTTCATGGCCGTGGGTATCGAGACACGCCGCGGGGTGTCCTCCTGTCTCCATCACCATGCATTACCCCCCACCACCAGTCCACAGCTATCCATCACGTGTAGGAACCCACACAGGGAACCACACACGGTCAGTTAGTCGTTTCCTCTTTACCCCACCGGGGACCGAGCGGGCCCACTTCACGCGGACTTGCGGAAGGCCTTGCCCAGCGCCCCGTAGCTTATGGAGTAGGCGCAGGCCTGGTTTGGAGGGTGGCAGGTGGAAAGGAGGAGGATGGGGTGTTTGCGTGAGGTGAGAGCACATCGTGAAAGGACCGAGGAAGTGTTCCATTACAGGCAACAACAATGGAAGCTGGACAGCTGTACAACAACAACAACAATATGAGCAAGCCACCAGCCCAGGACCATTAGCAACGATATACTGCAACTCCCAACCGAATCCCTTCAACCGAGTCCCCCAACCAACACACCATGAGCACCACCCCACGCACCATGAGCACCACCCCCGCGATGGTGTTGCCCAGAGTCACCGGCAGCAGGTTGCTCCACAGGAACTGCTCCCACGTCACCTGCGCGCCCAGCACCATGCCCAGCGGAATGACAAACCTGCAGGCAGGCAGGCAGGCAGGCAGGCAGGCAGGTACCCGGATGGCACTTCACGTTGAGGGGCCATCATGGATTTGAATATGCCCAGCCAGCAAGCCACGGTTTGAGTGGGTTGCGGGAGGGGTTTCGTAGCAGTGTTCCCAACATGCACTAGCGAAAACCCTGGCTGTCCTGATGGGGCAGTATGAAAGCTAATCCTTCAACTCTGAACCCAGCGCCATAAGCCTCCGGCACATCTCCCATCGTCCACCCTGCATGCAACCCTAGCCACCACCCGCTACCACCCCAGCCCCAACCCAACCTCAGTACCCAACCCAACCTCAAGCCCCAACCCAACCCACATGTTGGCCACCGAGTGCTCCAGCCCAATCGCCACGAACGCGGTAATGGGCGGCCACAGCCCCATCACGCGCCCTGGCAGCGAGGTGGCTGCGGAGGCGGACCACACTGCACAGCACACCAGCCAGTTGCACAGCACGGAGCGGGTGAGGACCTGGGTGAGGCTGAGGCTGGTCTTGGCGGTGGCCATGGTGACGGGCAGGGAGTTGGAGGCGAGGATGCCGGTGGCGTGTACGGCGGCGACCATGGCAAGGCTGCCCACGAGGTTGCCTGCGGGGGGTTGGGGTTTGGGGGGTGGGGGCGAGGAGGAGCAGAGGAGGAACGGGTTCCTTAGTAGGATAGTAGACCTTGGTGTTGAGGTGGGAGGGAGGGCTATGGGAGGCGGGGTAACCGTACTAAAGCTGTGAATGAGGAGGTCAGCAGCGCAGAGTACTACGGGCGTGCAGGCTGGTTATAAAGCCATGCATCAAGCACGCATTGCAGAAGTCCGAAGCAAGGGAACTGAGCTACCGGCCCACTCCCGTACGCTCAATCTCAACCCGTTCCTGTGACTTATCCTTCTCTTACCAGCATACGACAGAACCCAGTTCTTGAGCAGCTGTCGGAACGTGGCCTTCCCCTCGAATACCGCACACGTGAGCTTCATGGTGTTGCCCGTGTACAGCTCGGCCCCGCAATTGGTCACCAGCGCAAGACCCACTGGGAACACGAGAGCGAAGAGGAGCTTGGAGAGACCGGGGTTGGAGGCGGCGAGGCCGGGGACGGTGCCCGCCACAGCGCAAGCGAGGAAGGCGCCAAAGGCGATGTAGACGCCGGCTTGAATGCCTTGAACAAAGGTAGCGAGCGGAGGCAGGGCGGCCTGCAAGGACGTAAGAAAGGAGGGAGGTAAAAGGACACATGCAGTTGGGGAGAAGGAGAGTAGGTCAGGCATGAATGCAAGGCGGGATGACCTCGACGGAATGTGGTTTGCTTCCAGGTACAATGGCAGGTAACTGCGTATACGACAAAGTGAATATACGACAAAGTGAATAATTCCCGTACCGGTAAACGGTTTTGGCTTGCTGGCCAGGGGATGCTTTGTGGGGAGCATGCAGCAGGCTGATGCTGCAGTCGTACCTTTGTAGCGCCCAAGTTGGTAACGTTCTCGTACGCTTGAGCCGGTGTCAGCACTGACACAGCTCGGACGGGCGAGGCGACTGAAACGGTGGTTGGCGCAGCAGGCGTTGTCGTTACCACGCCTGCAAACATACGTGTACATAGCGCTAACAGAATTAGCTGTGCAAAGCCCAGCTTGGACTTTATTTAGCAAAGATGTGCTGGCGCAGGGAAGCTAGCTCTGGTACGTTGAACGATGCAACCGACGCACCGTTGCTGCCGCTGCCGTAGGAACCAGTAGTCGCCACCAATGGCTGAGCGGAAGCGCAGACAAGCAGCGGAGACCGAGCAAGTACGCGACTCGGCAGCAGACGGCGAGGCCCAAGGCAGGGAGTGCGAGTAGCGTTCATTGTGACTTGCATGTTGCTTAGGCTACCTGCGATCGCAGCTGATCGGCGATTTAAAAGAGATGTTGGGTCTCTGCTGTCACCTATGGCACCTATGATGGCCGCATAAATATGGATCAGGCTACCGGTGGAGGTTGTAGAAATCCAAGCGTCGTACTCGGACGAGCTCAAACCCTCTCACACACCAACAGTCACCTATGGTCCTGCAGGCTTGCATATGTTCACGCGCTTTCCAATTTTGCTTCCAGTGGACGTGTGCCGGTCGACAAGAAACTACTGCTTCAACTAACCACCTTGCTAGACTGGGTTACAAAGCAATGAAGTAGTTGCTGTCATTGTGATGAATATTGTTGAAGCAATGCTGACAGATGGACAGATTGAGTTGCTTGAGCGTTGAGGGCAGGGTCGATGGCATGCATGGGTACGCACCGAAAGCGTCACCGTCTCCTTCGCAATAGGCAATGTAGGTAAAAATAATGAAATCAAGCTTGCAAATTGCGGCTTTCCACCAGCCAAAAGGCTGGCGAAGGCACTGCTTGCGAAGTCGACTCACCAAGCAACGGCAGCGGTTGAATTGTATAGCAAAACGCACAGCGACTTGCACCGTGTTTTGTAGCGCATACACGTAAATAACCTACTATTCAATGAGTATTTGCTGGCTAAATGAACATAGCCAGCAAAGTGATGTTGTCGAAGAAGACGACGCAATGATGGAAATTGCGTTGCTCAAGTCCCAGGCGCAGGCGCATTGACTAACTGTTTTGGGGTACTTAGTCTGTTCATTCATCAATAAAGCAGCCAGTTGGTTCCGGGGCGGTTGGCGTGCCCGCGTACGGGCACCCATAGTATTCGGTACCCACTTTTTTGGGGGCAATGTCATAGTAGTACATTGCGTAATTGTGCGCGGCTGCTTGTCACAGGCAGTGTAACCTCGGAATGTTGATGTACGAGTATTGAAGACTGTAACAAGGTCAAATCGCATTTTGTAGTGACGAGCGACACAAGTGATGATGCCCATAAACTCGAGAGGCCGTCCGCGTTGGCGAAGGTGGTTGTGTTCATGGCCCTTTGTTGCTATATTTTTTCAGGAGTTGTGTTGGTGCCTTTGTGCATGTATGTATGTATGTATGTGTTACAAGCTTCGTACCGAGCTCGTAAGATCCGTCCGAGCCAGAAGGCTCATGGATCGCGAGCACAAAACGCGAAAACAACCAAATGAAGAAAAAGCAAACAAAAGAGACAACAAACAGAACGCTAATCATATGATAAACCCTGTCTGCGCAATCCTGCGACTTCGCATGCTAGTGATTACACTAGCAAGCAATGCCTGATTCTCCATGCCCATGACAGCAATCATATCAGCATCCCGTGAGACACCACTTTCCCATATCTTGTCACGCAAATCATCGTAAGCGGGACATTCAATGAGGATGTGCTTCTCATCTTCCACTCTCCCCGGCGACCCCTGCACGGCACACATAGGACAGACACGCGCTACTCGTTGCCTACCCCTAGGGCGATTGGCTTCAATGCCCCACACACACAGCCGAAAACGCATCAGGTTCACATGCTGCCGCTGAGTAATGTACCCCCTGTCAACCGGGTCACCCATCCAATTTTTGTACCTGCACATCTTAACTCCAACCCCAGGTACGGGGTCTACTGGGTTGAAAAGCCGCGGGTCATCTTCCAAACTCCTATCCTCCCAATCCGCATCCATTCTATCAGCAAACTTTTTAGTGAGAGTAGACACATTTAGCTCCGTGCCAGCAATACGTTCCACACGCGCATTCAAGTCCAACTCACCCCCCAAGGCCGTCAAATCCGTCCCTAACATTTTCAGAATCTTCAACACCTTAGAACCCCAGCCATCATAATGCTCAGTACTGAGGGCCGAACGAATTTCACCTCGCAACGCCTGGTGGTAGACCGTGTCCTTCTGCTTGACCAGGTCATTCCAAAACCTCAGAAACAGTTCCAACCAAAAGACATGCAGGGGGCGCTGGTTAAACTCCTTAAACAGCAACTTATCCGGCGAGACTTTAACACCCGCAATCTCCCGAAGAAATCCCCTTTGTAACTGCACCATTGGGTCCCGCAAGGATCTGTCAAAGTACCTCGCGGCATTCTCGCAGTCCGTCATTAACTTCAGCACCACATCAGGCCCCCACACCTGGACACCGTACGACAAGATGGAGCGGACTTGCACGTCGAAGCACTTAACTGCAACAGCAGGGACCAAGAGACCTAGGCGTTTTAATTTACGCTGAAGAGAAAACATAGCACGTCGGCCAGAGGTCAACAGTTCCTCTGTGCAGGAAACAAAAGGTGTGCCAGGACCAAAGTGCAAACCAAGGTAACGGGCTCGTTGTACCCAGGGAATAACCATAGGTACTCGCGCATTTCCCTCAATAGAAGTCCACACCACGGGGCAAAGGGAAGCAAAAGCCTCACGGATATTGGCACGAGGGTGGAAAACCATCAATTCACATTTACGAACATTCACCCGCATCCCAAAGGCCTCACACCACTCTCTCAAATCAGCGAGCAACACAATCAGCCGTCTGTGCGTCGTAGCGAAAAGGCTGAGGTCGTCGGCATACAGTTCCAACGGGATACGCCGGCCATCCGCATGAGGAGTCTGCTGCTTGGCGCGCATAGCATCAGGGAGCCACTTATCCTTAGCGTCAACATAGTCAGCAAACCCCTCGCCAAAAATCCCGTAGAGCGTAGGGCTGAGAGGGCAACCTTGCTTGACTCCCTGCGAAGATTCAAAAGGATCCCCCGTCACTCCGTCTACCCTGACACGCATCATGACCTTGTTGTAACAAGTCTTGAGAGCCTCCAACATAGCGCCATGTACACCCCGTTCCTCCAACCTTAACCACAAAAGATCACGTGGCACCTTGTCAAACGCTTTCTCAAAGTCAATCTGACAAACGAACAGGGGGTCAACTGCGTCTCGCCCCCCCTTATGTTTGTCCGTCAGGTGACGTAACAGAAACAGATTGTGGCAGGTACCCCGCTTGCGTCGGAAACCTCCCTGATACGGCGACCTAGCTCCCACCAGCTCGCCCCAACGAGACAGCCTATGCTCCAACATAAACGCATACAGCTTAGACAAAACACCACCCACTGCTAATCCCCTATAGTTACCCTTCTCCATCACATCGCCTTTCTTGTGAATGGGCGTAAGCGCAGAGATCTCAAACTGCTCAGGGTAATCCCCCGTGCTGCGGATATGCTCTAGTAGCTTGAGCAGGTAAGGAGCTAAAACGTACATCCTCCTACCCTCAACCTCTCTCGTCGCACACTTGAAACATTCAGCCGGCACTCTGCCTAAACCACCAGACTTGTTATTACGCAGGGACTTCAGCGCAGCGATGACTTCAGCCAAAGTAAACGGAACGTTAAGTGCGGCAGCAGCAGTGACTCGTGCTACCCGATCGCCTGTCGCCCTGGCCCATCCTCTCCCCCTCCCATGTGGCACACCGTTGATGGTACTAAGGATGGTGTCCGCGGAAACTTCGTTAAACGCATTGACTTCCCCATTAAACAGCGCGTTGAAATAGGCTCCCCAACTATTGACATCCGTGATAGGGCACCCCTGACTAAGCCTACTATTCAGCCGACCCCAAAGCGCCCGTGGATCCCCCCGACATTCTTCGATAACTCCTTCAAAATGCATGACCCGGAACTTGTCCTTAGCCTCTCTGCGAAAACGTTGATACTTCGTGCGCAACCGACTGAACTCAGCTTTGGCATCCTGATCCCCCAGCAGACCGTTAGCACGCATGAGCGCCTTTTGAGCAAACATAGCCTCCCGGGCCTCCGCACACTCAGGTGTCCACCAAGGCGCATCCTTGTCCGTCCTGCCTGCACTGGAACTGGCCCCCTGCCTCCTATCCAGGCGAAACGCGGCGTCAATAGCCTTCTTAAGAGCCCGACAGACCACAGTAACAACCTCCGTGCTGTTGAGACCATGCCCCAGTTGGTTGACAGCCTCGTCGATCTTCTGTACGACAGCAGCATCCTCTACCTCAAACAGGCGCGTGAACCGCTCCCACTCACGCTTCCCCATGCGAGAGGAATCCCTGATACCACCCCTACGCGTTCCTCCTAATCCGACGTCCAGAGTGAGTGTCACCGGGCAGTGATCGCTGAGCCTCGATCCCACTTTGGGCCCCTCCGTAGCAATGGGAATGCCCAGCACTTGCAGTTGCGATGCCCGCGAAACCAAAGCAGGCGAGCAGATAAAGAGGTCAATCATACTACAGGCCAGGCCGTGGGCGTGATAGAACGTGCACTCACCCTCCATATCACCGGGCACACGACCATTCATAATAAGCAGCTCTTTGTGCAAAGGTTGTGTTGGCCCCTGTCGTACGAGCTTCCTAGTGGGACCTGTTCTCGGATGTTGAAAAAGCGGCAAGCTTGTCGCGCGGCCCTCACAACACGCTACTCCCTGCACCCATTTTTTGGTTGCGTTGATTAATAACAGCCCTGGGCGTTACTCGCCCAGTGGCTGCGTACCTGACCACGATCCTGACCAAATACCTGACCATGTTCCCGACCAAAGACCTGACCATTTTGCTGACAACCTTCCTTTCAGCATCGCCAATGGCCACCGCCACCGTTCCGGCAAAGTCAAAGCCTATTGTTTCGTGTCCACTGTTTACTGTCCACGTACCTGACCACGCTTCTGACCAGCTTTGCGTTGTTTTGGGCGTGCTTATGGGCACTGTTGTGCACGATCATAGCTTTGGACATTGTCGAGGCCACTTGTTTGTTGGCTTGGCACAAACCCCGTTGATCTGAGCAAATGCCTTCTTGAAGAGGTCAAAGCTGCCTTGCGAAATCGTCAAGGCTCCTTGCCTTCTGACAAAATGCGCACACTGTGGATTACTATCACAAACGCCAACCGGGCCATGGCAATGAAGCGTCACACATGATCGCCAAGGAATTCGCATGTAACACAGCCCTCGTGCACACTACGCTACACCTACATATCAAACCAACACGCGCAACATGGGAGGGCGGGGTCGAAAAGGGGTCGTACGCTTGCACTCAACTCTGCACTCTCCGAACTAAAAAAAAAACAGGACCTTGAGGGCACGCCTCCGTCACGAACTCGTTCGTGATCTAGTTTGTGCTAAGGAAAACCATACCGCTCGATGACAGTACAGAGTCCTGGTTTTGATGTGTAGTCTATCTAAATTAACAAAGCTCCCCGGGCAAGCAGTTCGGGTACACACACGCGCACACGCTAGCTAAGTTGCCTACTGTGTCAGCCCGGCCACGTCGGTTTATGTACTACGGCATTGTCAACCATGCAAGGGGGATGCTGGGTGCGGGGCAGGGCAGGGAAGTGAGGGTTGCAAGGATAGGCACATATCTGTAAATATGGTTCAGGATTGGAGGCACCGGGTACCGGTAGGTTTGTTACACATGTTCCACGAGTTAGCCAAGAGCCAGTGCCCAGCGAGGTTCAGCAGTACGTATTTCCCGCAATAGCAACGAGGCTCGCCACGTACACCGTCTTCACCCGCACAGCCAAATACTGGTCGTGCCACAATTTGGCAAACGTCGCTAATGTACAGGGCTCCATGCTCTGGGTGCATGCATCGGGGCAGAAAATACCAGTGAGCAGGAACGCGTATGTTGTGTTCGAATACCACCTGCAGGTTCCATAGATAACATTTGCACCAATCCACAGCTCACAGACAGGCCGCCGCCGCAGCACCAAATAGAACATGATATGATGGCACTTTTTAACGCACACTTCGAGCAAACAAACAAGCGAACAGGCACCATTCTTATTAGTCATGTGGAGCCACACCCTGTAAAGCAGCCGAGTATGGCCCGCCTTGCGCAACATGGGAGCTCCTTATTCAGAGTTGAGCTACTGCCACTACGCCACATACAACCGGCACTTAATACCCACCCATCCTTCCTTACCATCCGCCCACCCTATGCTATCTATAATACACCTGACCCCAACCATCCTCCCTCCCCATCCGCTTCGCGGCACCAGCGCCCATGCCGCCAACGGCATCAGCACAAACCACCTCCGATGGCTAGTCCTGCATTCTAGGATTCACCCCGCCGCGACCCAGCTATTACCTCCTGCCGTACCGTACCCCCCCCACCGCACCATCACCCCTCACCCTCACCATCACCACCATGCCTTCATCACCCATGCAGACCGGTACCGGTACCACCGCCGTCGCCGCTCGCCTCATCGCCCATGCACACATCTACCGCCGCTCCCGCCGCCGCGCCTCCTCCACCGCCGCAAAATGCTCCTCCGCCATCTTCCGCAACGCCGCCGCCGCCGCCGGACCCGTCTTGTCCACCAGCTTGGAAAACATGGTGCCGCGATCCGCCAGCAGCTCCGCCGGCGCCGCATACTCCTTCAGCTCTCCCGCCTCCATCACTAGCACCTTGTCCGACTCAATAATTGTATCCAGCCGATGCGCGATGGTGATGGTGGTGCGGTCCGCAAACACGCGGCGAATGGTTTCCTGCACCACCTGCTCCGTGTGGGGGTCCATGGCGGCTGTGGCCTCGTCCAGGCACAGGATGGGTACGGCGCGCAGGGCGGCGCGAGCCAGGCACACCAGCTGCATCTGGCCGAGGGACCAGGCCTTGCCGCCGGTGCCGTCCACGTGGCCATCCAGACCGCCAGCGTGCTGGGCTTGCGCCTCGAGGCCTACTTCGCGGAGGACCTCCCACAGCACGGCGTCGTCCTGTGGACGTGGCATCAGGGCGGTGGGCGGGGTGGGGTGGGCGGGCGGGGCGGGCAGGGTTAAGAGGTTATTATGGGCTACTAGCAACGGTATAGAGGCGCGCGGATAGGAGACCTAGCGGGGCGAAGAGTAGACACATCATCACCTTGTGTTTGCATGCACGGGCGTTTTGGGATGCATGCAAGCAGCAGCTTTCTTCACGAGCCCGCCAAGGCGCCAACAAGCATGCATGCATGCATGCATGCATGCAATCACGGAAGCAGCGTCCCGCAGCACCACTCACCACCTCCCCCCATCAACCCACCTGGAACTCGCCGAACGGGTCGAGGTTGGTACGCACGGTTCCGGAGAACATGACGGGCTCCTGAGGGATGATGGACAGACCTGCGGGGGGGGGCAGGAGTGGATGGGCAGCCAACCAGCGTTGGGTGGGTGGGTGCATGAAGGCCGCAATGAGCACATACAATACTAGGCAGGTAATGGGGCAAGTACCACGCTATAGTAGACTTCCACGCTTGCCATGTCCGCCGCCCTATCTAGCAACCGTCATGATTACCATTCAGCCATTTACTCTTTTAGAGCTTCCCATCGCTTCTCATTACACAGACACGCACGCTGTCCCCCCCTTCACCCTGCCACCTTCTCCCACCTGTCCTCAGCCTCTTGAGCGGCAGGCTGGCAATGTCGATACCGTCAATCATGATGCGCCCGCGTCCCAGCTCGAACATGCGGTACAGCGCCATGAGCGTGGTGGACTTGCCGCTGCCGGTGCGCCCAACCGCGCCCACCTTCTCGCCGTCGCGCACGCGGAATGACACGCCCTTGAGTGCCCAGGGCGCGTCCAGGCGGTACTGCATCCACACGTCCTCGAACTGGATGGTTCCGGAGGAGGGCCAGCGGGCGAGCGCGGTGTCGTCGATGACCACCTGGACCTTGCTGGCGGCTGCGGGGTGTGCATGCGGATGGAGGAGGGTGGGGATAAAAATAAGGAAAACTGGCGAACTGAAAGACGGGGCTTCTCCATGGGTTGCTAATTGAACCCGGTCCATCCCACCACAGGGTCAGTTTGCATGGAGCCAGGATGTGGCTTAGGTGGGGGTAGAAGGGAGCGGTAAAGGGGGGGGGACACCAAAGCGTGGGAAGCACGGTATGGTAGTCTTAGAAGACATGCATGTGGCGAGGTGGAGGCTCGATGGAGCTTACCGGGGACGATTTGGCCGTCCGGCAGCGTGACGTTCTTGGCCACGCCCTTCTCGGCCTTGGCGTCGAAGAACACTCCGTCATGCGGCACATACTCGGCCAGGTATGCCATCTGGGAGAGGGCACGAAGGGGAAGGGGAGGTGGTAAGGAGGTAGGTTAAGAGGGATGGAAGAGTGTTAGGGTGTACAGCAGAGGCAAGCAGCATGCAACGGTTAGCGCGACGGTAAGTGTCCATACACGGCTACCATCCCTTCCTCCCTGCTTCCTTCCTCATGTGCATGCCCCGCTCGCCACAGCAGATCGCCTCGTGCCTCACTCAATCCCCAACTCGCAGGCCCCCCCCCAGCCCCCCGCCCCACCCCGCCACCACTCCGCAGCCCCCAGCAGCGCCACTCACCCCCTCCACGCTGTTGAACAGCGAGATGGACTCGGATATGAATCGCACAACCCAGGTGTAGAACACCAGCATCTGGATGATGTTGGAGAAGGCGAGACCCACCGTGGCGGCACCCAGCTGGTCTGCGGGAGGGGAGGATGTGAGGGAGGAGGGTAGGGAGCGGGGTGGGGGAGGCAGGGTGAGTAATGCGGGTATGACACACGGCCATGCGCAATGCCATGCCATGCTGTTAAAACGTGATCTTTCGCATGGTCACTCGTTGCGCAATGCCATGCTGTTAAAACGTGATCCCCCGCCCACATGTCACATGCACCCCTATCTCCAATCATGCGCATGTTGCCCTCAATCACATAACCCCCCAGCCGAAACCCCCAAAACACACACACACTCACCCTTCATGCCCACCGCAAACGCCGACACCACGCCCACCAGGCACGCTCCAATCAGGTCGCACCAAAACGCAAGCCACAGGTTGAGCGACTCGGCGTTGAACACCGCATTGTTGGTCACATCGATGCGCCGCGCCGCCTCCCGAATGAAGTAATCTTGCTTGTTGAACGCCTGAACCACACTCAGCCCCTCCAGTGTCTCCGCCACGAGGCCCACCAGTGCTCCGCCGCTGGTGGCGCGCGTTTTCTTGAGGCCGGTGGCCGCGGGCAGGTAGATGGAGAGCATGAGCAGCGTCATGAGGATGAGGGCGCCGGTGAAGGCGGCGAAGAAGTTGATTGTGACGGAGACGGTGATGGTGGTGGCGATGAGGATGAGGCCGTAGATGCCCATGAAGTGGATGGAGTCGGGCAGATTCTCGTCCATCAGGTCCTGGGCGGGTGGGGAGGTTTGGGGTGGGGGGAGGGGAGGGGGAGGGGGAAATTGTAGATAAGTGCAACAACGCAGTCCCAATAAGCGAATATAGGGAGGAGATGGATGCACGGGGCCGGGAGCCGTAGCTTCACGTCGAGTCGAGAGGCGAGGAGGTAAGAATTTCTGTAAGGCAGCCGTCTCAAGCCCGTCATGAACTACAAACCTCTTAGATACTCCCCTCTTCCTTCCCTACCTGGTCCTTGGTGAAGTTGAGCAGCAGGTCGCCCACCGGCGTCACCAGGAAGAACCCCATGGGCGCGTGCAGCACGTTGTGCAGCGCGCGCCGGCGCAGCCGCTCCGAAGCCCGCAGCACCCACCACAGGAAGGTGGCGCCACGCACTAGCATGGTCCCGAAGAACAGACCGACCAGCAGCAGGAACAGCAGCGAATAGAACTTGGTGGCGGGCGCGTGCTGCTGCTTCTTGTTGGGAAAGTAGTTGTACTCGTCGTTGACCCACCATCGCACCCAGAAATCGGAAATTTGGCGGGAGGTCTGCGCCGCCAGGAAGAAGAGGAAGCAGACGCCGACCAGCGCGAGGTTGCCGTACCAGACGTAGATGAGCGCGGCGCGGAGGGCGCTGACCTGCTGTGCGGGTTTGCGCTGGGGTGCCTTGCCGGAGGTGGGATTGCGGCCCAGAGAGGTGGGGGCCAGGGTGAGCTGCATAGACTCACTGAGAGGGGGGGTAGGGGGGGTAGGGGGGGTAGGAAGGGAGTGAGGGAGTGAGGGATGGGGAGGAGGTGGTAAGTGTGGTATGCAGGGTGACGGAGGCTTACAAAGGCATGCCTGCTCGCCAGATAGTTTGTATATCAATGCAGTCACACCGTCAATCCTTCATGTATGGCATACATTTACCCCTTTTTCATCCCCGCAGCAGTCTCCCTCTTCCGCCCGCCCGCCCCTCCCTCCCTCCCGGGCCGGCCTCACGTCTTCTTGGGCACCATCTTGCTCTCTTTCTCCTTCTTGGGCGCGGGAGGCGGTGCGGGCGGCGCCTCCTGCGAGCCCGCCGCATGCAGTAGGTGGGTTGCGGGAAGCAGCTCGCCGAGCAGCTGCTGGGCAGGCTCCGTCCACTTGCCTGCGGGGGCCCAGCAGCGGCAAGGTGGGGCGGGAGGGAGCAATTGTAGCAGCAGGAGGTGAGGGATTGCAGCAGCAGGGAGTGTGGACGAGTGAGCGAGTTAGGGGGTGGCAGGCATTCATCAATCCCGCTCTGTCCTCCAATGCCAACGAACCCCGACCAACCACCCCAAACCCAACCACCCAACCACCCACCAAAGTACAAGCAGCGCCCCTCGTCCATGATTGCCACCGCATCGCACCGCGGCAGGAACTCCACCTGGTGCGTCACCAACACTACTGCCTTGGCCGCGAACAGCCCGCGGATGCAGGCGTCGAAGATGTGGTGGGCGGTGTGGTGGTCAACTGCGGACAGCGCGTTGTCCAGCAGCACCAGGTCGGCGTCCGCGTAGGCTGCGCGAGCCAGGTTAACGCGCTGGCGCTGGCCGCCGGAGAAGTTGACACCGCGGATGCCGGCCCTGTCGGGTGTTGTGGTGATGCGTGAATGACCGTTGTGTGGTGGTGAAGGTGAAGGTTTGCGGTGCACGGGTTCTACTTTCTGTGCAGGCCGTGGAATTGGGGTTTGACAGTGCGGTATGCATCCGTTGTAACATGCCTTGGGAGGGACATACCAGTTTACATTTGTGCTGCCTGGCCGTACATGCATGCATGCCAAGTGCCACCATCCCCACTGCTGTACTCAGCATCAGTTGCAGCAGCAGCAGCAGCTCCTCACTTACTTGGACAAGTCGCCTTGCGGCAGGATCTGCAGATCCAGGCTGAGGGCGCACGCCTCGATGACCGCGTCGTACTTGGCCTGGTCCCACTCCTCTCCGAACAGCACGTTGTCGCGGACGGAGAGGTTCTGGAGCCAGGGGTTCTGGGGCACGTAGGAAATGCGGCCGCCCACCTGCATGTGCATGGATGCATGGATGCGCGGTTGGGAGCAGTTAGGGGCGGTTGGGAACATGGAGTGGAACATCATCATGGGTAGCAGCAGGTGGGGATTCGCAGGTGGACAGCAGGGGGCTGCTGTGTCCTTAACAACCTGCCAGCAAAACCCTAAAACCCTAAAACCCTAAACCCCCCCCCACACACAGACACACGGTCCAGGCCCCCAGCCCACGCCCACCCCTCCGCACCTGCATTGCTCCGTGCTCCTTCACCATGTTACCCAGCAGCGCCTGAATGAGAGAGGACTTGCCTGCGCCGATGCGACCCACCACCGCCACCACCTGACCCGGCCGCACGTCGAAGCGCGGGATGTGCAGGTGCCAGTTGGGGTTGGCGGGGTGGTGGAATACCGTGTTGTCCTGCGGATTGGGGGGAGGGCAGAAGGCGGGCGGGTGAGAAAGGATATTGCGTCCCACCAGCGATCCCCACAGCAGCTACCCAGCACGGCCCTCCCATGCACCACGCAAGCAAAACCCACAGCTAACCCGCACAACCCACCAGGTGAGCGCCCGCCGCCGCCGGCAGCCCGCAGAGCTTCGCGGAGGAGGGGGAGGCGGAGAGCGTCCCACGGGTCGCTGCTGCTCCGGTTGCGGTGGTGGCCGGGGTGTCCTCCAGCAGGTAGGCCTCCAGGCGCTGCAGGGAGGCACGGGCCTCTGCAGGGAGCGAGGGAGGGAGGAGGCGGAGGGAGGGATTAGTACGGATGGCGAGCAAGCAGCAGGTTATTATTCGTATTCTAACTCCGTCAACTGCCGCTGCCGCCATACACACACGCAGTAAACTACCCGTAAGACCTGTATGATGACCCACATACACCTGACCCATGGGTCATCCATCCGACCCACGGGTCATCAACATCACTCACCCGACGCCGCCCTCAGCGCCTTGGGCAGTACCACCAGCGGGAAGCGCAGGATGTTGAACAGCGAGAGCGTGGTGAAGGCCACCGCGGACACCAGCCGCGCCTTGTTGAACTCGTAGTTCACGAAGATGACGAAGGCGGTCATGGGAGGCACGCAAAACACACACGCCACGTTGACGACCTTCATGGCGGCGTTCCAGAAGGACAGGCGCAGCTCCTCACGGCGTACCTGCGGGTGGTGGGTAGCAGGGCGGGGCGGCAGGCAGGGGTGTGGCACAGGGGTGGCAGGCAGGCTTGCAGCACCCGGTACAACCGCGTTGTGCATACCAGTGTATCTGCTGCTGCTCGGAGGATACCGTACACACAGAGTATGGTCAGATGGTAGGTAATTAGAAGGTGATGGCTGGTAACTAGCAGCAGAAGTGGACACCACCACCGGTAGCAGGATGTTGATTAACGAACGCCGTTACAACCCCAACCCAACCCTGCGGGAGCTACACTGCCGTGGCGCTACCAGCGGCACGGCCCAGCAGCAGTCCCAAGCAGACCCACCCACCTTGTTGATTTGCTCCTCGAAGAAGTTCTCCCACGCGTAGTACTTGACCAGCTTGATGGCGGGCAGCACCTCCTGAATGACGCTGCTGCGGGACGCCACCAGCTCTGCGCCCTTGAGCTTCAGCTGGATGATCTTCCAGCCGAAAAAGTACTGCAGCGGAAGCACCAACAGGATGACGCCCAGACCGGGAAGCATGGAGTCGTTGGTGAGGTAGCCCAGCAGGCCCAGGATGGCGGCGGCCTCGAAGGGGGCGGTCCACAGGTAGTGCAGCTCCTGGGGTGGGGTGGGGGAGGGGTGGGGGAGGGGTTGGGGAGGATGGGAGGATTAGGTACATGAAAAGTGAAGCACACTGAAGAACGGGGGGGGGAGCAAAAGGGAAAGGGGGCGGGGTGGGGGCGCGGAGCATGGGAAGGACGATGGGAACGGGAATCGGGCCGGTTAGGGTCAGTATTTCTCATGGCTCAGTTTCTTAACCCGCACACCCCGGCGCACGGGAATGCATGCGATAAGCGAGGCGGAAGAGAAGCCGGAAATGGAGGAGGAAGAGTTCAGGAGGAGAAGACACGCATGTATGCATGCCGGTTGCGTATGCCGGTACGCACACCCACCATGGCACCATCGTAGATCTTCTGGATGTCTGATGACACGAAGTTGACGATGCCGGCTGCCTGGTCGGCGCGCACGGTGTTCAGCCGGAAGGCCTTTTGCGTGACGGCCTGCACCAGGGCGGCGCGGGCGCGGATGCCCACCTGCATGCAGATGTAGCCCATGCGCTGCAGGCACAGGCCTGCAGGGGGGTGGCGGAGTGCGAGAGTGGAGCAGGGATAAGCTACACGGCTGGTCATGTCCATCCAGAATTGCTTGATATGGCAGTGCGAGAGGGGATGTAGCTCTAGTTGGGCAAGCCATGGAGCCTGCAGACCGGTAGATGCCCCATGCAGGAAACCCCATGCACTGCTGCACACCCATGCATGCCCAGGCCCCCAGTTAGGACGGATCCACGGACTTTCAGCAGTTCGGTATCTCGCCCCGCCCCGCCCCGCCACGTACCCAGGAACCAGGCATCCAGGAAGAAGCCCGCCGTGAGGAACCAGCCCGCCTTCTGCTGGCTGTACAGGCGGCCGTCGGTGATGCCGTTGACATGGGCCAGCAGGCTGCGGGAGGGAGAAGGGGAAGAAGGGAGGGAGAGATGGGGAGGGGGATGGGAATGAGGGGAGGAGAGGAGGAGGAGGAGGAGGAGGAGAGGAGGACATGTAAGCATCTGGGGATGTGACCAATGTATGCACGCATGACTTCCCAATTCCCTCGAAGTACCGACGGACGGCCGGTAAGTTAATCCGCGAACGCGAAAACCTCGAACATACCTCGGCATGGGAGCTTTCGAAGCAATTACAGCACAGCTTGAATTAATATTACGATGCATGACTTACCTCCTCACGAAGTAGAAGGCGCCGGTGATGACAAAGGTCGACCAACCGCACTTGCACAGCCCGGCCAGCAAGTAATACCATCCGAAGCTCTTGCACAGCGCGCGGCTCAGGCTGGGATGCTTGCCGTTGTCCGCATCCTTGAGCTTGAGCTCCGCGGCCCAGTTGGCCGCAAACTTCTGATAAGCGTTGTCCGCGAGGTTCTCGCTCGGCATGCCGATGTCCTCGGGGTCCGGCTCCACGCCCTTACGAGCCGCGGAAACATGCTTGAACATCCATCCAAAACTAAACTTATTTAGAAAACCGACGGTTGGGTCTGAAGGCGCCATGCTTGACCGAGCAAGCGATGGCGGTTGGAGCAGTTGATGGTCGGCCGACGGCGCCTAAGCAAGACTGGGGGCGGGAAGGTTACAAGCTGAGGCTGAACACCTCGCTTTTAGATTATATACTAGTGTTAGATGCTAGTCCTGGCTGGGACCAACGGTGGCAAGGGCTGGTACTACAGCCTTCGCAAGTTGTCTGCACTTTTGTCGAATGGTTGCCCTGTTTATATTGGTTTTGGAATATCCATAGTATGTTAGAGGCCATGTACTTCTTCCAATTCTGTAAACCACCAATGAACCCCTCTTCCCTGCTGGAAAAGCGAACCGCCAATCCTAACCATCCAACACGTGCAAGCGTACGAGTCTGACTGATGAGCCAGAAACCTACGCCGGCTGAAACCGTCAATCCCTAAACCGCAGAGATGGTTGCAAAATGATACTCGCCGTCTGCATAGCACATGCGTGCGAGATTCTTCGGTCCGTGATGCAAGGATGCGGGCTGTGGGGTTGATCGTCCATGTTAACTGACTCCTACAACACACTTTCCTAACGACCAGGTCTACCGGCTCAACGACCCAACGATCGACGACGGGCTGCAACCGGTAGCATCCAAACCCACGCAGCAGCCTCTCCTTGCTTAAGCCGTGTTGCCATTGCAGGGCCAGGCAAGTCGCGGCTGGATCCGAGTAAGCTCATGGATCGTCGCTCGTCCTGATTCCAAAGCTACCACAATGGCTTTGTTACCTTTGCCGAGCTGTCATAGCCCCTTGCTCGTTCAGGCCTGTGCTTCATAAATAGCTTGATAACGCGTGTGTTACAAATGGCAATGTAGGTCAATGGCTGTGTCGAGAAGTTTCGGGGCTTCGCGGCCCCATCGTAGCTACAGAATACGGTAGCATGCTAGCAACCCTTCGCAGCCCCGAGCCAACAGCCCCTCTCTGTTTGCAGAAGAGGTCCCAAACCGATCCTACCACGGAAACGAGCCACCATTAACACGGCCCTTCCTTCCGCAATCCCACCAAAAGGCCCACCCCCGAAAACAAACTTACGTCAAGGACACAACCAGTTAGATCGCGTTAGATCTTCTCAACCCCCTTTGCGCGTGCCCACGTAAATCTGCATGTGCCCCTGGCGCCCCACACCTGTCCCCTGCTCCCTGCCGCCCCCACCACCTCACATGCCCCATAACATGCAGCCCCCTACAGCTCCAGCTCCCCAACCTGCGCCCGGTGCAGCTGCCAGGCCAGGTCCACGAATTGCGGCAGGGTGAGGTCCTGCGCGCGCGCGTCGGCGCTGAGGCCGCATGCGGACAGAGCAGCTTCCACCTGGGGGGGAGCCAAAGACCATACCATACCGGTACCATAGGAAGCCACAGGTTAGGGCGAAGCAAAAAGGGCACGGAAGGAGAGCAAGGAGAACAGAGTAAGGAACTTCCAGCAGCGAGCTTGCCCTGGAAGGGAGGAGGGAGTTGGTTTTGGGAAGCCCAAGCTGGCACCCCACGTGCCCCACAGCCCCCATGTCCGGGTCTTGTCGCACCTTGTACCCCCCCCCCACCCCACCCCAAGCCCCGACACAATGTATCCTTCCGCACACGCCCCCTGTCCCAGCCATATTGCCGGGACCATAATACAGAGAAGCGGTGCTTCAGCCTGGACGAGTTCCTCTTACTCTTCCGTACCCTCCTGGCAGCCACTTTCATCCGCTTCGGACCCGCTCTGGTCCAGCAAGTGTGCGGCATCCCCATGGGCATCTCCGCGTCTCCTTTCATCGCCAACCTCTTCCTGGCCTGGTACGAGTTCGACTTCATGTCACAGCGACGCACCTGCTCTGCGAGCGCCCGGAGTCTCCTCGACGGCTTCAAACACAGCTGCCGCTACCTCGACGATCTCATTTCCCTCAACAACCCCCATCTTACTCACCTCCTTTCCACCACCCAGCAATACGAAGGGCTCCACGGCCTCTATCCCCCGCAGCTTCAAGTCGAGGCGCAACAACACCCTCAGTTCCAGCATGGCGAGATGCCTTTCCTCGACCTGCTCCTGGTCCCGACCACTACCACTCAGGGCCGCAGCCGTATCACTACACGGCTGTACGATAAGCGCGTCCAGCCTGCCTTTGAGTCCGTCCGCCTCTCTCGGTTTGTGGGGCGCACGTCTAGCGTCAACGAGGCCAGCAAGCGCAACATCTTCACCGGCCAGTTCCACCGTCTCCGCCGCGTCATCCTGGACCCACACAACTTCTGCTTCGAGATGGCGTTCCTCATCTGTGCGCTTGTCCGGCAGGGCTACGCCGAAAGCCACCTCTGGCAGCAGTACGACCGGCTACTTCACAGTGTACCTTTCCTGTACAGCCTCCAGCGCAAGGAACTGTCCCTGGACCTCTACAAGCGGACGCAGGAGCTCTACAACCAGCACTGGAAGCGGCACGCCCACCTCTAGCGTTTTCGGGATCCACGGCCTATAGATAGGGGCTTCGGCTTTGTGCGGGGCCATGGTTCGGTCGAGTTGGGTTGCCGGGTTAGGTCACGGGTCGGTCGGGTTGGGTTGCCAGGTTGCCGGGTTAGGTCACGGGTCGGTCGGGTTGGGTTGCCGGGTTAGGTCACGGGTCCGTCGGTTTGGGTTGCCGGGTTAGGTCACGAGTCCGTTGGGTTGGGTTGCCGGGATGCCGGGTTAGGTCACGGGTCCGTCGGGTTGGTTTGCCGGGATGCCGGGTTAGGTCACGGGTCAGTCGGGTTGGTTTGCCGGGCTGCCGGGTTAGGTCACGTCAGGGTCGGTCAGTGGGACGGGCCGGGTGGGTTACGTTTCAGCGGGGACCGGAGTACGGTGGGACATCGCGCCGTTTATCGCGTCCGGACAGGACGGCTTCTGCGCTGTACCGACGGTGTACGGGTTCGGCGGGGTCTGTGTCCGGCTTAGTTTTTGTTTTTTCAGGCATAGTAGGGTCGGGCCACGGGCCTGGTATGACATCGCGGAGCTTCGTCGGACGGCTACGGGGATTTTTTCAACAAACTTGCACAACTGTTTTCAACCCCGGTTGGGGCTCCCTATTTGCTCAGGGATTCACCCAGGGGGGACATGCCCGTGATCCAATGTAATGCACCAGCCTTCCAACTTTGTCCACCGCTCAAGACCTCCCCAGGCATCTTCCCCGCCTTCACGCATCCCCCATCAGCCACTACCTGCCTAGTCATCCTGCTACGTGTCTCTAACCTCCCCTTCCCATTTCCCAGCTCCTGCACCCTAGGCGGTCCCCATCCCTGCTGACCCCTAGGCTTAGTAGTGATGTGGGGATCCGGGACCGGACCGCACACTGCTGCCATCCCTGTCTTCCTGTCACACCCCCTCTCACCTCTCTTGTCCCCTTCCGCCCATTCCTGTCCCCATGCGCCCCATGACTTGTCGTATTCCGCATCCCGCACAACTACTAATTTTGACCCTCCCCACTTATTCTTCCTTTCCGTTGCCGCGCCGCCGTGTCCATAGGAAGCCCTACCACACCATCATCGCATGTTTCTCGTTTCCCGTCTCGCCTCCTGACTGTTCCTCACCACCTCATTAACGCGCCCTGCCTCTCTTCCTTCCCTATTTTTCCGCATATTGACCACCTCTTCCTACTGGACACTGGAACCCTGGTGCGGCTCTGTTGGTCTGCGCCTCCACTCCATCGGACCATGGAACATGGCCTTCCCTCTCCAGGTAAGTTTCCCGTAACGCGTCTCGATAAAATGTATGCTCGTATACCCCATATGCGTGTTGCTTTGCTTTTCGTGACCGGCGGCGCGGCGCATGTCTCCCTAGTGTTACCACGCAAGGCGGCTTCTTCCTCAAGTCGTCTCGGTTTCCGGTAAGCAACGATTCGGTAAGTAATATGAGATGCGTGTTATTAGTGCCTCCGAATGCGCTCACTGCATGAGTCGGGATATGGGATTGGGACTTAGTTGTTTGCATTTCTTATATAATTTTCCACCCCACCCCACACGCCCCTCAACCCTCACACCCACCTGCTCCGGGGAGTGCAGCGGTTGCAGACTGTTGCGCATCTTCTTGCGCCGCTCCGAAAACGCCTTGGCCACCAACACATGGAAGCCCCGCTCCGAGGGCACGTGCGGTCGGCGGGCGGGAGGCACCAGCGCGAAGGTGACGAGCGCGCCGTCCACCCCAGGGACGGGATCGTACAGGAGGCGGGAGATGCGGAAGCGGTAGCTGCGGGGAGGGGAGGATGGAGGGTGGATGGAGGCGAGAGTAGGTGCCGGGGGTAGGTAGGAGAATAAAGAGGAAACGACAAACGAACCGTGTGATGAGGAGGGGTTGGGAGGAGGAGGCGTCCCTGAGAAAGGGGACAGAGCCGGGACAAGCCATGTTGGGGCATGCGGGACAGTGTATTCCCCTAGACCGCGCAGACATGGCTGCATGCACCCAACACGAGTATCAACGAGTATAACGGACCTGGGTTTGGAGTAGAAGAGGGTGCGCAGGTTGGCAGCTCGCCACTCGGGACCACCTGTCACCACCACAGCAGGGCAGTGGCAGTGGCAGCAGTGGCAGGGACCAGCATGGGTTAATTAAGGAAGAACTACCAAACAGGCCCGAGGACGGCCGAGGGAGCATACCAGGACTGTATGTGCTAGAGCTGGCTGTCTACGGTAGCAATCTAGTACCGTTACTCGTGGTGCGTCGTGTTCAAGAGAGTGTTAGAGCACGCTGCCTCGATACAATGGTCGGGTATGACAAACCCTTGGTTTTGCTTGTGAAATTCGCGACCTGTGACCCACTCACCTGGATTTCGCTCCGTTAACCGTACGGCGGCCTCGTGTTGGATCATGATATGAAGCTCTGAAACCAGATCTCCCAGCGGCAGTAGCAGCAGTAGCAGATCCTTTGTAATGTTGTACGGCAGATTCGCCACGACTTTGACCTTCCGATTGCTTGTTGGAGGACCAACAGACGTGGATAGCGATGATAGTTTTCCGCTACTGCTACTGCTGCTTCGGCCGCTGCTGCTGCTGCTACTGCTAGCCACATCCTGCCTGCTGCCTGCGCTGCTGCCTGCGTCACCCACAACAGTGCTGCTACTGCTGCCAGCAACCCCGCTGCTAGCTTCACTTAGCACAGGCGGTGAAGGTACCGGAGAGGATGATGCTATTGCTGCTGTCCCCCCTGTGGTTGCTTCCTCCTGCTGTTGTTGTTGTTGCAGCTGCTGCTGCTGCTCCTCCTCCTCCCCCTGCTGCTGCTGCTGCCTGCCCTGGCCCAGCATTCCGCGAATGACCTCCTCCAAGCCCACCTGAACAGGCAGCAGGAAGCAGCGGCATTCAGGCCGAGGTTTGTTCTATTTCCCCCCTCGTCTCGAGCTCCTCAGAACACACCCCTGGCCACCCCAGGGGACACCCCTGAGTACCCACCTGTACCGCGTCTCCGTGGACCAGCATCAGCTGCTTCCTGTCGATCTGAAGCGGGAAGACAAGGGGGGTTGTATACGTATATAAGGCTAACCCGTTTTGTACGGATGCCACTACGGATGCCGGAATATGCATACGGTGCATAACATGTAGCGTACCCTAGCAGGCGGGCCGCCGACCCAATGGAAGTGTACCTCGCACGTTCCTGATCGGCAGTAAGGGCCCCACCGCCCCATGGGGGTGCGTGCGACTCACGACAAGACCCCAAGCATGTGGCTCGACAACAGCATGTCAGCAGCAGCAGCCGCAGGGGTAACATCGCTGCTGCTGCTGCCCCTGCTGCACAACCCTGCATGTGCCGTACCTCCGTACGGTACTCCTCTCGCAATCTGCCGTACAATGTGTCATCTTTCTCAACCGCCGTGACCACCGCCCCACGGGTCATCAGGTGTTTGGTCAGGTTGCCAGTGCCGGGACCCACCTTGGGGGAGGGGAGGGAAGGGAGCAGGGGAACAGGGAAAGAGGCAAAAGAGGGTTGCGGGTGTAAAGGCTTAGGAGGACGCTCGCCCTGAGCTCCGTTTCACGTTCTGCGTCGCAAGCTGCCCCGAGTGTCCTCTCCTCCGCCCCCACCCCCAGCTAGCTAGCTATCTCGCCTCCTCATCAAACCCTCTTTTCCTCCGCACCCTCAGCTACCGTACCTCTAGCACCAGGTCCCCGGGCGCTACTCCCGCTGCCGCCACGATGTCCCGCAACACGCCGTCGTCCGTCAGGAAGTTCTGACCCAGCGATCTGGAACCCGGAAAGCGGTGAAGCAGATGAGGGTAGGGATTCATGGAACGGGGGACGAGGATGTGGTGTGCATGTGTACGACAATTGAAGGATAGCGGTGTCCATTGGGTCGCTTGACGCAGGGCAAGGGCAGCGCAAGTGGGTGAAGACATGAGCAGGAATTTGATCGAATAACTAACGCACTTTTTGGCTTTGATTCGGTCCTCGTAGAGGTTCGCCACAGTAGACCTCGCGGTCGGCATCGGCCGGGAGTTGTCGTCGCTGCTGACGTTGTCGCCCTTCCTGCCTACCTGCCACATCCATCCAATGCTCGGCACTTCTATCGGCTCAGGCTCTTTGCTTTCTGAGTTCGTCGTGGCTGGTGCTGTAGGCTTGCGTGGCTGCAAAGGTGCCTTCGGCGTCGGTCGCGTTCGGTTGCGACCGCTGCCATCGGTGAGGCGACGTCCAGCATGAACGCGTACCAAGCAACCCCGCGCCGAATGGCGGGACTCGCTGTCGTTGAGCAGGCACCTCGAGCAGTTCCGGGGTAACATTGCTAGCAACGTTGGATGTGGGCAATTAAATAAATACGTCTACTGAATTTTACCTCTACGCCTCATACGGATGCAATTGAACTCGTATGCTGCAAAGCAGGGTCATGCATGCAAGGGCTGCCACGATTTAGGCTATCTGCTGGGAGGCAGCACACCAAGTTCCTAAGGCTAGTTAGTCGCATTTGCATTCCAGCTGTCCTTGGGCAGATTGGCGTTGATGCGCGGCATGTACGGTTCGCTTAGTACGGGAGAATGAATGAAATGGTCAAGCAGACGTCAACCCGTCTGCTGACTTGCTAAAGGTTAGTGTTACAAATAACTTGCACATACAGCAGTTTACGCGAAATCAACTCGGGGAAATCTAATTGTTTTACCACTGACCACCGTGGACTTGCGGAGCATTCCAGCACCGGCACAATGCCGGTGAATCCTTTTACTATGGATGCTGCCCTTGTAGGGGGCGGCATCTTCCATGTACTCTCGCGCAAGCTGCTCCTTTGGAAACTGCTCTGGGACAAGAACTGCCGAGGAGTTAGCTTGATCACACAAGAATTATACCTCATAATCTATATATTCCGCTACCTAGACCTCCTGTACCTCTATGTCTCTCTTACGGACACGATCGTCAAAGTGTTCCACCTCGTCGTCGCCCTCACTATCGTGCTGGTTATGCGCTACTCAGTTGCTTCCCAAAGCTACGATGCGGACCTCGACACCTTCCCTCGCGCGGCTCTGATAGCGCCCTGCTTGGTCTTGGCGTTTTTCCTCAACCGTGTGAAACTCATCATCGAGATATGCCACTCCTTCAGCATCTATCTCGAAGTTCTGGCGCTACTACCGCAGTTTGTACTCCTCTACAAGCGGCAGGTCTACGAGAATTGGGTTTTGGTCTTCACGGTGCTGTGCGGCTCCGAGCGGCTGTTGCAAGGCATCTCGGTTGTGACCGATTGGCAGGAGGCTTACAAGGAGGACCCGTACGGTGAGCTTACTTGGCGTGCTGACGGTCTCTTATGGACAAGAACCAAGGGAGGGGTGCGAGGTGTCGAAAAGCCTTCGCTAGGCATGTCGCCAACATGAGCATGGCTACCCTCTAGGTTATCATCAATCCTCATTCCCATTGTGCCCCCACATGCACCACCGCAACCACTATGATGCTAGTATGTCACACCCAACTCTCCCGCCCTCCTTGCCGCCGTACAGCCTCCGTTCCTAAGCCCCACCTCCACCCCAGACTCGCAGCCACCTATCACGCCGCACCATTACCGCCCTCCTCCCATGGGCGACCTCTGCCGCGCCCTACCTCATCCCTCCCACCACAGTCGGCCTTCCCTTCCCATCCCGCCCCGCTACTGCCTGCTCCCCCCTTCCCACGCCTGCTCCCCCTCCTGTGCCTGCTTCCCTTCCCACACCTGGGCTTCCCTTCCCTCCTGCACAGCCGTGCTGGCCGACATGGTTCACGCGGTTGTGTTCCTGGTGGGCCTCGCGGTGGTGCTGCTGCAGCGCTTCCAGACCAAGAAGCAGCAGGGACTTAACGAGTCGGGCGCGCCGCTGCCCAACTTTGACGAGGTGTGGGACGCCAGCAAGTTCAAGTTTGAGGACCAGGAGGCGGTGCGGGACGGCTCTTCATCGGTGCAGGTCGCCCTGATTGGAGGGAAGTAGGCTTCCTATGAGACGATGAAGGAGATTGCAGAGGAGAGAGCGGGAAGATGGCGGTAGTTACTATTAGGGTTAGGCAGGGGAGTTGCAGAAGGAGCTGGAATGGCTATGGTTGATGACGGTCGCTGTTAGGTACGGGACACCGGTAGCTTGCCTGCGGCACAAGGGTGCCGTGCCCTGCCTACGCGCAGCCGTGTGTTGCGATGGCGGACGAGTCTTTTCCTGATCGGCGGCTCCTGTGTTAGCAGGCGTCATGAATGAGGGTGGTAAGGAGGGTGGGGCATGTTGGGTGGCGGGGAGGTTACCGGTATCCTAGAGTTAGTACCGGTATTAGATTAGTGCATGATGGCCTGTGTGTGTGAGCGCATTGGCCATTTAGCTGACCCGGAGGAGCATGGGAACGGTATCAGGGTCGAGTAGCACCTCCCTTTGTCCACCGAGATAAACTTGATGGAGCGCACCTGTTCCCTCCTGCATGGACGCGTGACACGCTAACACCGACAGAGAGGGCAGGGAGGATCGGTGGCAGGCAGCACCAGTCAGTGGCATGGCTGCAACACAACAAGGGCTGACAACTCGACATGCTGTATAGGTTTAGATGGCCTGATGGCTGATGGTTTACCGGTAGGTAGGTGGTGCAAGTACTTGAAGGTGGTGTGGGGTTGGGGTCGCAAGGGCGGTCAGGGAGTGCGGGGGTGCACAGTGGGGTGCACAGGGGGGTGCCCCCGGTGGGTCTCACGTTTGCACACAACGCAATGCAGAGCAGCGGCATGGGCAGGGCCGGAAGATCCGCGCATGCAGCGAGGGGTGCGCGGAGTTGCATTGTCGGTTCTTGGTTCTGAGCAGAGCCCTAGGCAGAAAAGTGTGGTTAGGCGGCTGTAGGTGGTGCGGTCCGCATGTTGATAAGTGATAAGGAACTTCACCCTAGGCGCCCAGAGCAGGCATGCGGCATGGCAAAGGCAGCATGCGGTACACTCGGATAGACCGCCAGGCTTTCTTCATTAGTTGGTGACCTCGTGTGCAATTATGTTACCATGCACGGTTCTGGTTTCGTAGCACCTGGCCTCCTGCTGTGTGCTTGTTCGATGACATGATGTGGGTGGCTACCTGTTCGTCGAGCGAGGAGTGACCCGGCTGGATGTCCGGCCTCAGATAGACTGTTGCCAGGCTTACATACACTTTAGTAGCTCGGCCCCGGTAACTTGATGCAGCATACAAGACCCTCCGCGGCTCAAGGCACGACGAGGTGCCCCAGCGCGTGCTTTTGCATCTCCTCATGATCACGAGTCCTCATCCTCAAGGGTCCTCAACCACCAGTGATGTCCGGTGCTGCGACCTCGCTTGTGCGCGCCAGCCGCTCTGCCTGGCCCCCATCACCATCCGCATCCGGCCCCGCAGCAGCTGCTGCCACGACTGTATCTGTTCTTCGCTAACTTCCCTCCTGCCGCCGTTGCCGCACTCGCCGCTACTGCTCCCCCCCTCCCCGCCACCGCTGCTGCTACTGCTGCCACCACCACCAGCAGCCCGCACCAACCGAGGCAGCGCCCAAGCCACCTTCCTCAGCGTGGTGTGCCCAAACTCCTCAATCAGCGCCTCCACCCGCGACATCACCGCCTCCACCCACGCCACCTCCGGCCGTACCCCAAGCAGCGCCAAGGCAAACATCACATTAGCCAGGTTCACATACCCAGCCTCCTCCAGCTGCCCCAGAAAGCTGTGCAGAAACGCACGGACCCAATCCTCATCCGGCCTCATCGACTCTGGCGGCTTGATCTTGGAGATTGCCCAGATCACCCGTTCGAGCCCTAGTGCCGTAAACTCCGCAAAGCCCTCTTTCGCGCATGCACCGTACAATGATTGCAACCACCTGCCCGACGGTTGCTGCTCCAGCAGCGCGTAGGAGTAGATCAGGAGGGAGAGGCCTTCCGGGGTTTGCTGCTCCATGCGGAGCAAGGTCACCTGTTCGAACCCGGCGAGCCACTTCTGACTGGGCGCCTGACCCAGCTGCACGCAGCTCCAAAACAGCAGTGAGAGGTCGCGCGGAGAGAAGACGGGAAGTCGCTTGTACGACACAACCCTGCGTATCAGGGGTGAGATCGGGGTGATGAGGGGCGTTATGGTGAGGCAGCAGTACTGTACGGTTGTGTGCAGGCAGGGCAGGGCGAGTGTGAGTTCACATCCACATTCCATTCTGTCGTATGTTTGCGACCAAAGGTACACAGAGACAACAGGGATGCGGGGGTGTCTCCCTGAGGCAATGGATGGTACCGTACACCCCTGTGTGTTGTGTTGTCTGCTTGTCTCAAACCCTCCACCCACCAGAACTCATCCATCCAAGCGGCCTCAGGCGGCCGACGGCACTGCGCTAGCCCCCACATCAGCGTGGCCAGGTCGTCGGGCGAGAAAGAGCGCAGCGGCGCCTCCCACGCCGAGACCAGCAGCAGATCAGTCCACGTGCGGGCGGGACGAATGCTGCAGATGCAGATATAAAGCGCACGAAAAACGATGAGCACGCATAAACGTTAAGGACAAACTCGTAACGTCGCACGTCAGGCAATCTGATGCATTACAGAGCAGTGCACAGCCCTCCAAAGCCCCACCCAGCCACCCACCCAGCCCATTCAGCCACCCAGCACACCCACCTGAGCTCCGCTAGTGCCCACATCATGCACGTCAGGGACACGGGGTCAGCCTCCAGCAGCCGCATGTACGACATGTTGAGCCACATCCGGATCCAATCGGACGGCGGCGTAAGGCCCAACTTGGCAAGGCACCACAACATGCGCGCCGCATGCTCGGGTTCCGCGGAGGGCAGCTTGCGGTACGTCGCACTGAGGTAACCTGCCAGCCATGCGCCATCCGGCTCGTATCCCATTCGCTGCAGCGACCAGAGGACGACGGATAGATCGAAGGAGTTGAGTGAGGGCATGAGTCGCAGGCAGGCGGCCGAGACCTGGGTGACCCATGGGTCAGGCGGGACGTAGTGGATGGAGGCAAGGCCCCAGAGTGTGTTGGAGAGGCCCTGGGCGGTGAAGGTAGGAAGCAGGCGGAGGGTTTCGGAGCAGAAGGCACGCATGAAGGGGTCTGGTGGGAGAAAGCCGAGTCGCGCGAAGCCCCATGCGAGCTGTGAGAGGCCGTGGGCCGTGAAACGCCTGGGCGGCGCGACGGGGGCTGGCGGCTCAGCTTCCGTTGAGGCGGGTGCTACCTCTGCCGCCTGGGGTTCCCCTGGAACGACCTCAAGAACAGGCTGCTGGTGCTGCTGCTCCTGCTGCTGGTAGTGGAGGTGTTGCTGGTGCTGCTGCTGATACTGCTGCTCCTGCTGCCGCTGGTGGTGGCGGTGGCGGTGGTGATGTTGTTGTGTCTCCGAGCCCTTAATCGCCACGTCCACTGCAACGGGACCGCCGCATGGAGTCCACATCGCCACCAACGTGTTGCCACTGCAGCAGCTGCTGCTGCTACCGCCCTCGCCTCCGTTGGGGACCGCCGCCATGGGAGTGGGCTCGGGGCAAGAAGACGCCCCTGCGGCCACAGCCTCCACATCCACATCCTGAGTCGCCTCCGCCGACCTCGGCCCAGTGCTGCCGTCGTCCGCCCGCTCCCCCCTCCCTGCTGTCCTCCCAGCTGGTACCAGCTCCGCACCATCCTCCTCCCCCTCCTCAGCTGCTGCCCCCCCTCCGCCACCATCATCCTCCTCCTGCTCCTCCTCCTCCTCCTGCTGCCTCCCCGCAGTCCCCTCCAAATACACCGCTACGGCGCCGCAGAGCTGCAGCATCCGAGTGACCCCTGGGTCGTAGTTCAGCCGCCCCAGCGAGGCGAGCACATTCGCCAGCTCACGCGGCCCGAAGCCCCCGACCTGCAGGTGCCGGCCGGCTGCATGCAACCATGCAGCCATCCAACCGGGAGGCGGCGGGAAGTGAAGCGCAGACAGGCTGTACAGTACGGCAACTAGCTGCTTGGGTGGCATGGCGGAGAGGTGATACCTGCGAGGAAGGAACGAGTGAGGAAAATGAGGCCAAGACAGGCAAGGTTGGGCAGGATGTGTGTATGTGAGTATGCTTGTCAGCTGTTTACGTCTACACACAGTGGAGCAGGGTGATTGTCGTACAGGTTGTAGCGATCGTCGTACACTCTCTTACCCGCACAACTGTACGAAGCCGCTGAGGAAGCTCCGAAAATGGCTCCGCTCGCTCGCCATCCGCTTCCCGAGCGGTGGCGGCGCTAGTACACGTAAGCGTCGTGCAGCAGTCGCCAGATGTACGGCATCTAGTACGGCACCATTCGCCGCTAGCAGCCGCCGTACCTCCCTCCACTCGTACGCCTGACGTAGATCCCTGGTTATCAGCATCCGGCCTTCTGACCCCGCCAGCCCTGAATCATCAGCATCAACGTCATCATCATCATCATCATTATTATCTGATGCGGCCGCTCCGGACGGGGTGTCGGAATGTCCGCCGGCGTCGGAAGCTCCGTCAAAGCTCAGTCCGCATTCGGGCATTGGGTGCAGCTGCAGGATGACACCGTCCCCGAGATCGATGGTTGGCGATGGGGGCCGGGGCGCCGGCGGCCCAGACATGGTGCTGCTAGCGCCGATGCCGCTGCTGGTGCTGCTGCTGGTGTCGCAGCTTCCGTGGTTGTTGCTGCTGGTGTCGCAGCTACCATGGGTATGAGAGGTGGCAGGCAAGTCGGAGGCTTGGCGTGATTCGCCGGGAGAGGCGAAAGCTTCTGCTGCTGAACTGGCATTGACCGCGGCTGGGGGTCGCGGCCAGCGGTTTCGCTTGCCACGGCCGTGGGAGCTGCAGGAATGACTGGATGGAGCTGATGGCTGGGATGAGAGCAAGGCATTGGGCGAAGCAAACTTCACGACTGGCGCTGATGGGTGTGGAGGTCTTAGCGCATCCATGCGATAGGTAGTGGCGGCGGTAGCTGCTCCTGCAGGCGACACCAAGGCGGCATGCTTGCATGGTGGGTGGTTGCCCAAGAAGGGCGTGCTGGGCTGACGGATGTAGGGGCGCAGGTGTGCAGGAGCTGGTGGGTATCCATGAAGCCGACCCGATGACCCCGCGCTATAATGAGTTGCAATCCTCAAATCGTTTGCCGTCTGCATGCTAAGTGGCTATCGCTCGCAGATGCCTAGTCTAGAAGCTTAAATTGTTAGAGGTCAACGAATTGCCATTTGCAAATGTCGAAGAAAGCCTATGTTCAAACAGGTAGGTACAAAGAGCATCCGTCATTGGGCTTCGGCGTGGGGCCAACACAGGCATGTACCTACAAATCCTAATCGATTTACTACACGACTATGCCAACTAACTATAACCAACTTTTCAGAACATTGACGGATACATGGTCACTGACAGAGTTGGAGCGCTCCGATACCTAGATTCATCTATAAAGGTTAGTTAGCGTAAGCGTATGGGTTGCGTGCTTTAAGTGTCAGTTGCCTTAGCTGCCTGAATGATGCTACTGAGGGACGGCGATTGCTGTACGATACACACATGTTTGCAAGTAAGCATTTTGGCCGACAGGAGGTTGCTGTTGGTTTGAGTATCGAGTTTTGACGTGCGCCTAATGCTTATGACAGTTACTACTGTTTGATTTAGTCTGTGTAAGTCAGCACGGTAGGTCGGGCGCCCATCACTTGACTAAACTTCACACAGCTCACGTAACGGCGACACCATTGAGTGAATGCCGGGATATGGAAGCCGTTATTGCAAGCATTAGGCGTCTTGACCAATGATTAGCCCATAGAGTGTAGGGCTTTGCTTTCCCGCGCGCGCGACACCTTTCAGCTTTAGGAAAGCTGCCCCCTTGCCGCTTATCGGTCATGTCAATGAGTCATGTGGACAAGGGTAGCAGACCTTCGTTCAAGCTCCTATGTTCGTACATAGTTCTTTCGTTGCTCATCTCCCGGACGACATCCAGCGAAACACTGCTGCGCGAAGGCGTCGCATTGCCGGAGAACTGGCTGGACATCCTCCAAGAACCAGGTACCCGTTCAGCTCGGGGGATCACTCTTTGCTGCAAACCTGGACCTGTGGGCCGACATCACGAATTCCCACCGCCGTCGCACATGGATACGACCTATATACCTATTGCATTTTCGCGACACGGGAGTCAGCACAGCTTTGCTTTCTTTTACCATTGTTACACCAGGGCTCTGAGTATTCGTCCTAGGGATTAATGTTGTGCAATTTGGATAGGGCTCATAGGGCCCTCTTCGAAAACTTCGAGTCCCATGGCCGAATCCCGAAGCACCCCTTCCCACAACCCTCTCCCCCCCCGCAGATGGCACCTCACAGCTGGCTGCCGCTATTCATGAAGCATCAGCCTCAACCGCGACCGCAAACCAACGAACGTCGTTGCCACAACCGCCACCGCCTCCGTCCCCTGCGCCGTACACCGTGCTGACTGCCACTGTGAAGGCCGTTGCCACAACCGCCGCACCCGCCAAACGGAAGTCACCGCCACCACCAACCCCGCCCCCGCCTCCCTCGCCTTACCCTAAGGCTCCCCGCTCCCCTCCATCTTCACGACCATCCCCACCTCCTCCCACTCCGCCGCCCTCGCCGCCGAAGTCAGTCGCCAAACGCCGACCACCACCTCCCAAGCAGCCTCTCTCACCTCCCTCTCCACCCCTCACTCCCGCCATGCCTCCGCCAAAATCCAAAACCAAGCGCCCTCCGCCCCCACCCCCTTCACCCCCTCCAGCCCTCCGGCCTCCGCCCCTCCAGCCCCCAACCACACCGCCTCCACCTTCCCCGTCTCCTCCTCCTCCTCCTCCTTCATCACCATCACCACCGGTACACACGTCATACCCGCCTCCACCTCCTACCTCATTCTCTCCGCCATCCCAACCCCCATCCCAGGCCCCCCATGCGCCTCCCACGCCGCCCCCCAAGGCGTCTCGCAGCCCTAGATTCCGGTCGCCGCCGCCCGGCCTCCCGCTGCTGCCGCCCCAGTCGCCGCCCTCGTCTCCCTCGCCTCCCGCACAGCCCGCTGCACCGCTGGAATACCAGCTAGACTGGGCCTCCTACCCCTCCTTTGAGGCCATCTCGCTGTTCTTGGCTAAAACCGCGGAGTTCAGTCGCGGGCGCTGTTCCCTGTCTAGTCTGGGCAAAAGGTGCGTGTTGGTGCAAATCTGGCCGCGACAATGAACGTACTGTAATTCCCGGAATGGCATGGAAAGGTCTCTGAAGAGCAGGGTTGCAAACCCCCTTACTCCTTGCCCGCGGCTTCCTTACTACCGGACGTTTACCATGTATCTTTGTAACCCCCGGCTGCTCGCACGTATGGCTTTGAACTAGCTCAGCCAGTCCAAGAGGGCATGCATCCCCACCATGTGTCGCGCACACCGCTCATGTGTCGCCCAGCCACCGCTCCCATGCGCTGTCCACCCATGTGTTCAGTGTGGAGGGTCGCGAGCTGTGGCTGGTGGCCGTTGGAAACGCCTCCGCGCCCGCCTACCCCGACCCGCTGCGTCCCTCGCTGCCCTTCGCCAAGCCCAAAGTCGCGGTGAGAGACCTTCCGTCCCATCCTTGCCGGCCTGCTTGCCTTAACCTGTGTGGCTTTGGTGTACCTCTGACCTCCCGCTCGGCTTAAGACGGCACCGTGAGTGTGTGTTTCCTGAGTTGGTTTCTTCAACCGCCGCCCACAACTGCTCGCCGAATGTCAACGCTGAGCACGCCATGACGGCGGGGCGTTTGGCCGTTGCCGCAACCAACTAACCACCTGCTGGTCATTAACGGTGTTAACGGTCATACATATGCAGTACATTGGCAACATGCACGGGGACGAGAAGGTCAACCTGCTGCTGCTGTTGCAGCTGGTAGGCGAGTTATGTGGCGACACAGCCGCGGATAGCAGACTGCAGGTGCGGTGTCCGAGGTCGCAATCGTACGGGATGAAACGGTGCTGCTGGGGGAGCCTATGGTGATGGTGATGGTGTTGGTTACGAGAAAGAGGGTGGTACCAAGAGAGTAATGAGAACTGAACGCACACAGCGCAGTTAGCGCAGCACTCGTGTGCAGCACTAGTGTGGCAGTGGGATTACCAAGAGACGCAGGGTGGGGTAGCAACAGGTGTGTGTGCGGAATTAAGAACCACATGAGCTGCTGCTGCTGCTGCTTGCACGACGGGACCATATATACACAACGGGTATATGCATATTGTGTTCTGCGTGCCTGTGCGTGCTTTTTTAAGGACAAGCAGCTTGCATGTTCTCCTTGAGGCACCTTGCCGCACTTTTCACCGCTGTCCTCCCGATATACGGCCCATTCATTATCGGCTGTTTCCCCCCCCCCCCTTCCCTTCTCCCGTACGTACTGCTTCCTCCTTACCGCCGGTTCTGCTCTGGGGCCCACCACATGACGGTGACCTCCCGCCCCCGACTGCTAGGCCCTGGTGGAGAGCACGATGGTGGGTTTAAACCCTTTAAGGCCCTGGAAAACTGCATGAATGGATGACCGTTACAGTGATCCCGAACCGGAAGGCGAAGGAAAGCGGAGGACATGCATGCGTGGGGGCGAGCGGTCCATTCATCCCATCCATAATACCCATGAGTTGTATCCGTTGTCCCATCCGTTTGATCCCAACGTTCCCCTGCCGCCTCCCAACGCAGATCTACATCGTCCCCTCCATGAACCCCGACGGCTACACGAACTCCTACCGTTGGAACGCCCGCGGTATCGACCTCAACCGCAACGCCCTCACCCAGGACTTCCCGTTTGGTGAGGCTTCTGTTGGTTTGTCCCCGAACGATCCTTTGGGCGAACCAGAAATGGGTTCCTGATGGCTAATGACGCCAGCTGCTCCCTCCTGATTATGCGTTTTATGCAACATGCCTCATGTCTCCTCCCCGGGTCATCGCCTGTTCCCCTTCCTCCCGATGACTCCTCCTCGCAGCTCGGCCCACGCTGAAGGACGTCGCGGGGGGCAGCAGCTACAGCGAAGCCGCCTACTTCCTGTCCGTCGGGGGCACAAGCATGGAGCCTGAAACCGAGGTCTGCTTGACAGAGGGACGACAGAGGGAGGGGAAACACCATGACTCCATGTGCGAATGCCGTACAGGGCACTCACCCCACCTCAAGCTCCTTGACTTCTTCCTTACGTACTTGCCCCACGCTGTTGCTCTACCCCACCCTGCCAGGCGGTTGCCTCCTTGACTTCGTTACCCTACTGGTTTTCGCATCGAGAATGCAGGATTCCCTCGTTCCCTCTATCCCCCCTCCTCACGGTTAGCGTTTCCTTTCCCACCCTGTCAGGCGGTTACCTCCTGGCTGGCCGCCCTGCGCCCCACCGTGAGCGCCAACCTGCATGGCGGGGCGCTGGTGGCGGGCTACACTCTGGACGCATGTGACACGATGGTGGGTGGGGCTGGGGGCTTAGATAAACTGAGCCGCAGAAACACTGGGGCTGGGGGCGCAGCGGGGGGCGGGTGTCGACGCATGTGACATGATGGGGGGTGAAAGACCACACCAAACCATAGGAAACTACAGGTTGGGTGGGGGCTGGGGGCGCAGCGCAGGGATGCATGTGGGAGAAGAGCATCGGGGGTGGGGCGGGGTTGTCGGCGGCCCTGCTAACACGCCGTGTGAACCGAGCATGCTATGTTAATTGTGACACTAACTAAACGCCCTTGTTGCACTGCTGTTGTTGTTGTTACCTTACCTTGTCGTACACCTTAATTATCTGTCTGTAGGGCCTCAACATGGACTGTGACAGCCCCGAGAGCCCGCTGCCCGGCTTCCTGGCCAACGCCTACGCCATGAACCACCCGCGCATGCCGGCCGTGAGGCGCGATAGCAACGGCTTGGGGGACTTTGTGAACGGAACCACACAGGGGGCAAGGTGGGTGGGACATGGCCATGCATGGCGGGGTGCAGGGGCTACGGTATATGTAGGTGCAGTCCGTACAGAGATCCTTACACAAAGTGCAGTGGTGCTTGGGAGAGGGCCGCTGCCAGGTGCCCGGGGCTGCTGCTGCTGCTGTTACCTGCTGCAGTTGCTTGTCGTCACGTCCTGTCGCGTGCTCTTCCTCGAACTTACATTCCAATGGGCTGCACCTCCGCATCACCGCCAGCCTCCTACCCTCCTCAGGGTCCTCACACACCCGCTGTCTTCCGCCGCCGCTGCTGTTGCCGCTGACCTCCCATCCCCACCTTTCACATGCACGCATGTATGCACGCAATCACGGCAGTTGGTACACCGCTCTGGGCATGCTGCCTCCCCCACCATGCATGCATGCACCACATAACGGTTAACAAGATCCCCGTGTCTTGCCTGCCTGCCTGCCTGCCTGCAATCACCGCAGTTGGTACACCGCGCTGGGCACGCTGGCGGACTGGGTGCACCACGCACTGCGGCTGCACATGCTCACATTGGAGTTGCACGCCAAGTGGGTGTGATTGGCACAGTGCGGGGATACGGGGCTGGCATGTACATGCATGCATGCATGTCTGCTTGGCTGATGCTCCTTGGGGTTGACGTGCGTTACAATTACCGGGATTGGTGTTGTTGAGCTTCCCCGATCGATCTCTCTGGTGTGGCCGGTGTACCCTCCCGGCGTAGAGCCTCCTCCTTCCAGTCCATTACCACGCACCTCTCATCCCACCTTGCTCCTTTCACCCCGCGCAGCAAGATGCCTTCACCTGCCTCCACCAACTTCCCAACCCTGTATGCCAACAACCGGGCCTCCTTCCTGCGCCTGGCTGAGATGGCCCACTCGGGCCTCCGGGCGCGGCTGCTGGACGCTGTCAGCGGGCAGCCGCTGCTCGCTAATGCCACACTGCAGAGTCCGCCGGGCATGTGGGCGCCGCAGGTGAGATTCTTTCATGGCGTTCATTGCTTTAGGGAATGAATGTCATTGGACATACGAATCTTATTGTAATAATAAGATTGTTACAATGGCTCCCCCAAAGTGGGACGCAGGTGGTTGGGGACACTGCTGTGGCAGCCACCAGCCATACCTTGCATGGCGGGCTAGCTGTGTGCTGCTTGCCTGCCGTGAATTGCCTGTTGCCGCGCCAGATTGACGGAGCACAATAGGTGAAAGGCTGTGAAAGCCTAAGGGATTAGGTTCTGAGATGTGACATATGACAACCCTGTGGCTTCTCTCATGTGGCTTCTCTCATGCGGGCTGCCCAACTGCTTCATCATGCGGGCAGGTGGAGCCCGATGGCCTGATCTGGAAGCTGGGAACCCCCAACTTGCAGTACAACGGAACCCTTCTGCCGTACAATCCTGCAAACACCTCCATCCGTTACGCGCCGGTGCCGTTTTCCTTTCGAGTGGCGGTTGGGTGGGACGATGCAGTGAACGGGGAGGGCCTGTCGGGTCTGTCTGTGGTGCAGACTTTCCTTGCTCAAAGGCTGGGCTGACTGGATAGCGGTGGGTAGCGGAGTAGCGACGTGTTTGTGATTGTGTGTGCTGCAGCACATTCACTGCACCTCTTCATCTTCCGGCAATTACAGTACGTTTCTATTCGAGGCCAGTTTTCTTCATACACTGCGGCGTCAGTTGTGCGGATTAGGGGAGGATTAGGAAAGGCAGCCAGCATACCGTGTACACGCAGGAAGCCTTTTGCACATACAGATTGGAGCTCAGGTGCTGTGTCCTCCCTGGTCTTGACACCTGGGTTATTCTTTTACAGCGATCTTTTTCTTTCTAGCGCATCCTAGGGTTGTGTGTGCCTAAGGATGAATGTATATAGCGTTCCCTGGTGTGTTTGAGATGATTGGGGTTCAGAGATATGCTAAAAGTTAGGAGTTGACGACCTGGACAAAAGTTAGTTTAGCTGGTTGGCAACAAGCTGGTGGCTTTTTGAGGTGCCGCGTTTGGGCGCAGGCAGGAAGTCAAAAGCACTGCCAAGGCTGCATTGTGGACCGCTGTTGGCAGCTCCTCAGGAGAAGAAAGAAGGGCCCCATGCGATGCAACAGCATGCGTGCAGGGATTGTGGAGGGGAAAGATTAAACAAGTAAAGGGAGGGGTGGGCAGTTGTAGTGGGTACGGCATCCTCCATTGTGTGTTTAGGGCGGTTATTTAGCGGTGATATGAACGACACTGGTTAACACATACATGCCTCATGATTCCTTTTGCTGGTATTTTTAGCCTTTCTGGTAGTGGGATACCCGTAGTGACCAAACCCAAGTGGCAGCTCCTGTGTCCATGCCATGCCCCGCCATAGCGGTGGCTGCTCCAAGTTAGTTACAGGCTTTTAGCACATGGATTCGTGGCCAGCTGAACGAATGACCGTTACAATGGTTTCCCTAAAAGGGAACGCTGGTGACACATGGTTAAAGACCGCAACAACTATTAGACATTGCTGAAAACCATGGGACTTATTATTCTTTTCCTGGTGGCCATGTCGAGCTGTCGTCGAGAAGTGGGCTGCAGATTCTGCGTTGCGTTTGCGGCAAAGTGATTGTGTTTATGATTGGGCCCAATGGGGTACGGCACTTATGCACGCGGCAAGATTCTGAGGCGTGTTACGGTTCTGGACTACCGATATGCTGTCATGTTTCAGCAGCTCGATAAAGGGCAAGAGTCCTAGGGATCTGCCGCATGGCGGTCTCAAATAAAGAGACAAAAGGCATTTGTCCGCTGCTAGTGCAGGGGTAAAGCGTTGTGGTGGCAGGTCGTGGTGGCTGACCCAATGGCTAACTAACATCCGAGCGCTGAACGTCAACTGTTAATCCCTGAGACCCTTGGATCTATATCGCTGTATCGCCCTGTGTGCACACCAAGACAGGAGGTGTGCGGTTCAGGAAGGCTGGTTGATGTAACGTTGACACACACGCAGCTTTGCAGCTTGCCTAAAGCATGCATGCATGCTCTCAAACACATACGCAAAGTCAAGGTTGGCTCAAAGCTGGGTGCCCAGTACCCACAGCGTCCGCAAGACCCCGCCTCACGTTCTCCAGTAACGTCAGATACACCACACACAACAACCAACCAACCAACCACTGACCCCGCACACTTGCAGCAGCCTCGTCAGCACCAACAGCAAGCCGAGGAGCCCCACTCGCCGACCCATCCGCAGCCCTCTTCACTCCCTAGCGGTTTCCACATCGCCCACCTCAGGACGACAAGCCCCCATTTCACGAGTTTTCACCATGCAGCACCCATCCATTCCCAACCCTCCTCCAAGCCCTCGTCATCTCCCCCCCCGCACGAAAACACGTCGGGCAGCAGCCGTTACACAGCCGCCAGCTTTCGCCCTTTCGCCCCTTCCAAACAAAGCCCTCACAAGCTCAATTCCCCCAACTCCCAAAACTCAACCCGCGTCCCTCCTACCTCCTCCTTCTACCTCCCAGGGTGGAGCCCCAACTTGCCACATGCTCCGTTTCCCCTCTCTACCCCTTCTTCTCCTCCTAACCCCCTCCTCCTCCTTCTCCCCCTCCTCAAAACCCGCCGGCCGCGAAGCCCAGCTGCAGCCCCCGCCTCACTCGGTCGTGCTCCTGCGCCGCCAACACCACGCAGTAGTTGGCCTCGAAGCGGCCCACGGGGGTGGGCAGCACCAGGCCCAACCCGCATGACCAGCGGAAGTTGGAGCCCATCTCAGACAGCAGGGCCTTGGGGGTGCGGCCGGTGCCTGAGCGGGGGAGGGGGGCGGGGCGGGGGGAGAGGGAAAAGAAGAAGACCCAGCGGTTAAAGAAGAGAACGGCAAACAAGATAGATACGGAGGGAGGGAAAAGAAGTAGACAGTGGCAAAACAGGAGTGAGGGATGCAGGGAGGGGTAAGGGCATGTTGCCGGGATACCCGGGTACTTGCACCCTTCTGCCCCAGCGCAACAAACCGTGGCCCCAGCTGGCCCCACGCCTGCTGCTGCTGCTGCTGCCTGCCAACTCACCCGCCAGCTGGATGACGTTGCCGCCGTTCACGAAGGCGTGGCCGTGCGCGCGGATGAGCTTGAGGGCGGGGTGTGGCAGCTGGAACATGAGCTGAGGGGGGGAGGAGGGGGAGGGAAGGAAGAGGGGATGGGGGTTGGAAGGGTCAATCAGGATCAGGGCCAACAGCCATGCGAGGGGTGAGCACCGGGCGCACGGGCACCACCGAAAAACAAGCGGCACAGCGGCAAGAAGAGGGCGCCACCGCAGTCTCCCCACGGGGCTCCCCTCCACCCCAGCAGCCCCCCAACGGGCCCCAGCCATCCGCCACCCACCCGCCCGCTCCCCCCTTCGCCGTATCACACAGTCAGTCAGTTGTCTCCTCTTTACCCCCTCCCCCCCTCACAACTGTCAGCAACTTGTATCATTATCACAACACACATTGGAATTTCTTTTTTCCCCTCACCGAAGCAAAGATGGAGGTGTACGCGTCCCCTCCCAGCGCGTCCTGCCGGGCGGGCGGCTCGCTCTGCCCCGGGGCGGGGCGGCGCACGTCGGAGGGACCCACTCCCTGCTTGCGCGACACAGCATGGAGGAGGGTGAGGGGGTGAGGGGGGGGGGGTTGCGATGAGCGGCATGAGCAGCGTTTGTGTGAGGCATCACCATCCTCGTGTGTCAGCAGTGACTGGCACAGCATGCGGCAGGGCCCCCAACCAGCACGGCAGGGAGGTGTGGTGTGGTGGTGCCAGAATGGTGGGGTGTGGCCCCCCCCTCCCACACACACACACACCTCGACGTACCCCCCAGCCTAACTCACCCAACCACCTCATGCAACCATCCCACCCAGCCCACTCCCCACCTTGAACTTGAAGCCCCGCAGCGAGGAGGGGCCCCCCAGGAAGAACCGGTCGGCGATGCAGGTGGGGCGAGCCATGGCGCCCTCGCCCCAGGGCAGCAGCAGACCTGGGGCAGGGGGAGAGAGGGGGTGGAGGAAGGAGGGGGTGGAGGAAGGAGGGGGTGGAGGAAGGGGGGGGGGGTGGAGAGGAAGGAGGTGTGTTGTGCGACATCATCCCCGGCGGAGTCTTTCGTCCTCAATCCCCTCCCTCCCTCCCATCCCCCCCCTCTTTCACATGGCATGTTCCTATCCCCACCCGCTTCCTTTCCCCCGTAAGTGTTTCCGCGGCTCAGTGTTTATCTGACCCCCACCCTCCCTCCGCCCCACCCCCTCCCAGCCTCCCCCTCCCTCCCAGCCCCCACCCCCTCCCAGCCCCCACCCCCTCCCAGCCCCCACCCTCCCACCTGCCGTCAGCCCCAGGCTAAACACCACCGCGCCCGTGTCGTCCATGGGCACATTCACCACCGCATCAACCTGCTGACGAACGAAACGCAACTCGCCACCTGCCGCTGCTGCTGCTGCTCCCGCACCCCCTGCCCCTGCTTCTCCCGCTCCTGCTGCCCCCGCAGCCGCTCCCAGCCCCAGCGCCTGCAGGCTGGAGGGCAGCAGTCCCGCCACCTCGCTGGTGGAGCGGACCGCCCAGCCTGCACCGCCCAGGGTGGCTGCGGAGCCGCCCGCGGAGGGGTCCCGGCGGTCCAGTGTGGCGGTGTAGCGGAGGGAGGACTTCAGGTAGTCGCCCATCTGGGTTTGGGGGAGAGGGAAAAAAAGAAATTCCAAAGTGTGGTGTGGGGAGAGGGAGGGGGGGAAGGAATGGGAGGAAAGTGGAGGCAAGGAGCCGGGGTATGGGTCATGCGGCTTTGGCGTGCCTTGTCTTGCATATCCGGTAATCCGAAAGAACAACCCCCTCCCGCTGCGACTAGCCACCACCCCACCGCCACCCCTCACCACTCCCTCAGCTCGCTAGTTGCCTCGTCAGCTTCCTTAATGTTACCCACCACTCCCTAACCTGTGGTTTCCTATGGTTTGGTACCTGGTCTTTGACCCCCTCCCACCTGCGCCATGACCGCCCGTGAGGCCGATCGCGAGGGGTCCAGCAGCCGCCGCCAGCCCAGCTCGTACTCCAGGGCACGGGAGCCGTCCATGCTGGGGGGGGAGAAAGAGGGGGGTAGGAGGAAGGTAGGGAGGAGTGGGGAAAAGGATGAAGAATGGCAAACAAGTCGAGGGGAGGAGGAAGAGAGGCAGGAGACGGGCGCTCAATAAAGGAATGGCTGCCTGCGGCCTTTCCAGATAAACTTGCAAGCGCTAATCCCGCCGCCCGCTGCCAGCCCCCTTTCTCGATCTGCACGGCCCCAGGACGGGCCCCCCTCCACCCACCCACCCACACAACCCCCTCGTCAGTTTCCTTAATTATAACCCCCCCCCCTTACCTCCTCAGCCCCAGCACCGCCCCCCTCACCTCCTCAGCCCCAGCACCGCCCCCCGCAGCTGCTCCGTGAAGGAGGAGGCCTTCTGGTTGTTGCGGAACAGCTGCGAGCCGCGCACCTCCAACTGGGGGGGGAAGGCAGGGAGAAGGGGGGGGGAGAGTTGGGGGTGAAGTGGGAGACGAGAGGAGAGGAAAGAAGGGCGGGACGGGGACGGAAGAGGGAAGCGGCTCTACCGCAACATGGCGCATGTTGCGGCTTCCCCCCCCCCAAGCAAGCACCCCAGCCACCCTCCTGGCCCTCCGACCACCGGTATTAACCACATGCTGCTGCTCGACAGCCTTCAGCCTACCCCACCACCCCACTCCCACGCCGCAGTGTCTCCGTATGCGCTGGCGATGCATACGTCGGGACATGGGATTGGAAAACTCCATTTGCTCCACACTTCACGTCCTTTTCCACCTCCACCCCCACCCCACCCCATCCTTTACTTTCAATTATTTCCCAACCCCATCCCAACCGCCCCCCCTTACCGCCAGCGGCAGCCCCGCCACGCGCGGTTGGTTGTACGACAGCCCCGCCGTGTGACTGTTCTCCGTGCCGTACTCCACGTCCGCCCGCAGCTGCTCCGCCCGGCCGGTGACGTTGGCTAGCCCCAGCCCCACTTCCATGGTGCTCTCGCCGCCCTGCACGTAGGTGGCGGCGCGCAGCTTGAACCAGTTGAGCTCCTCCAAGCGGAGGTCCACGGTGCAGGCGGTGGGGTCGTTCTGGGGGGGAGAAAGGGGAAATTCCAATGTGTGGTGTGACAGTGGTAAAACAAGCTGACAAGCCCTGTTGGAAACAACCCTGAGTCGAGCCGAAAAGTGGTGGTTGAAGGCGGGGGAAGGAGGGCGGAGTGTGAGATGATGGGGGGGGGGAGAGGTGCATGTGGCGGTGCAGGTCGTGGCATGCGGCATGGGAGGCAGCCTGCAGCACCATGTCCCTGCACACAGCTACACATACGTCCTCAGCTAGTGCTGGAAGCGGAGCTGGGAGGCGGCTGGGTCGTGAGGTAGTGTAGCTGGAGGTGTAGCCCACGGTCCCCCTCCTCATCCTCATTAAGCGACTGCTGCTGCTGCTGCTTCCACGCCACGCCACGGCCCCCCCCTCCCCTCAGCACTAAGAGGGGCCCGACACCTCATGCCGGGCATGGCATACGACAACACCACCCAAGCGGGTGAGCGACCACAGCAACAAAGCACAGGTAGAGGAACCAGCTGCTTAAGGCCTGGATTCAGGCTGGTGTAAGGCCCCCAAGATAGGGTGTCCGTACGGCATACGGGATTATCCCTGACGCGCTTCAGGCCCCAACGCACCAGCGGCTCCTCGTGGACCAGCATGTTGACTTCGTCAAACACGCCCAGCTGCTTCAGCCGCCGGCCCGCGGCATCCAACTCCTGGTGAACCTCAGCCAGCGTCTCAGCCTTGTAGATGGGCTCCAGCTCGCGCTGCAAAATGTCAGCCCGCGTACGGAACGCACCACCATGGAAGCCCTCAAGCCGCTCGTTGATCTGGACAACCCGGCAGGGCTTGTCCTTAATTTGCTCAAACAGGGCCACGTAATCGACAGGCGCTTGCGCGGCCGGCGCGTTTTGGGCTGATGGCGATGGCTCTGGGGCGCTAGCATCGCTGCTGGTGGCAGCAGGGCTGCGCTCGGCGGGCTCCTCGCTGGTCATTGTCTTCCGTCACGCTGATCGAGTTGTGTTACCCCTTATCCAGAAATGCAGCCTAAGCCTGTTCTGTCCTAACAATGAAGAAACTCACGGAGTTACGCAAGTAAATAATTCGCGTATAGTGCGCAAGGCAAAATGTAAAGCCGACTGGCCGGCTAGCAGCGCCGAACGTGTCCCACCCTGTTAGGAGCCCCAAGCAAAAGGCATTCAAGGGATACGCTTTGCTCATGCGCTTGCCTGGACATCGCAGTAAGCTTGCCGTGCGAGGATTCCGTACGACCCCTACCTCTTCTCCGGGCACCACGCCTGTACCTTCCTTTTTGCCCTTCGGGGATTGCCTTACTGAACTAGTTGCATTTGTAGCTATAAATCCAACTCGTTAGCAGCATTTGTAACGCAGTTTCTGTATAGGCTAGCACCGTTACCTCCCAACCTTTACAAAAATGTCTGACGACGATTGGGAGACTGCTGATGTTGAAGCCTCTCTTGCCAAGCCTGCACCTGTCGCAGCTAGGCCGGCGCCGGCGTTTGAAACAAAGGGCGAGGCTATCTTAGCAAAGATCAATGGGCCAGATATGTCCCAATTCGAGGACGAGGACAAGAACTTTACAGCGCCAGTAGAGCACCATGTCCCCGCTCCTCAGGTAAGCTTCCATGACCATCGACCTCTAGCCGGTGCCAAAATATTGCCTTGGGTTGGGGTTTGGGATGACGTTGCTGTTCTGGCGTTCTGAGGTCGCGGTGTCTGGTTGCAGCCAAAGAAAAAAGAGGAAAAGAAGTATCGGGAAGAGCGAGGAGTTGTCATCGATGACACGCCTCTGGACGACCCTATCGCGGAGAAGCTGCGGCAGCAGAAGTAAGCCAGGGAGGTTGAGGGTATCATTGGGGCAAGGTGTCCTCGGGGCGGAATAGAAAGCGAACCACGCTCTTTCATGCAACAGTCCCTCCCAACTGTGCCCAATAGCCCCATGCTGCCGCCCCACGCACAGGCTGATCAAGCAGACGAATTCCTTCCCCCTCACTTCCTCACCAAACCTTCCCCCGGTCCAACCCTGCTACCGCCCATGCGCCAAAACGTCCCATAACCCGCGCACGCCAACAAAACGCCCCATGCCCCCCACCCACACCCCACAGGCTGGTTGAGCAGGCGGACTACGAGGCAGCTCGGGAGCTCTTTGGGGGTGTGTCCACCCTGAGGCCGCTGGACAGCTACCTGCCCAAGACGCTGAAGGAGTTTGAGGACTTTGCGGCGGAGATTGTGGCACGGCACGTGGCCACCCACCGCGAGTCGAAGCACTACAAGGCGTTTGTGAAGGCTCTGGTGAAGGCGGCGGTGGAGCCGCTGGGGCCGGATGAGGTGAAGGACGTGGAGACGAGTCTGGCGGGCATCCGGTCAGATAAGACCAAGGTGGGTGGATGGGGGTTGGGTTGCTGGTGCTGGCTGGGTTGCTGGCTGGGTGGCTGGGTTGCAATTGGGTTTACTGAGACTCCCCAGGGCAAGAGGCATGAGCGTGGGTGGGTAGACAGACCTACCTTTCAACAACATCTATAGCCCGTCCTGAGTAACCGCGTAACACCGCACGTATACACACCGCCGCAATCCGACAATCACAGTACGTTCCTACTCGCGGCCAGCTTTCTTAACACACCGCCGCGGCCAGTTTTCTTAACACAACGCCCTCACGGGCCCCCTTCACCCTCCCGCAGAAGAAGAAGGAGGAGGAGGACAAGAAGAAGGGCGCCAAGAAGAACCTCAACATGGGTCGACAGGGGCTGTCGGCCGGGCTGGATGACTATGTGTACGAGGATGTGGACGGAGATGACGACTTCATGTAAACGGAGTGGTGCCAGTGCTGAACACAAGGTGGCGCGGATGCTCGGAACGGTGGTGTGGTGCGGCGGCGGCGCTCCTTGTCATGCGGCTGCATCGATGTGCGGCGAGGTCGCATGTGACACGGGGGGGTTCGTGCAAGGGATGGGTCATGGGTGGGAGGCGAGGCGATGCGGGGGCGGGAATTGGGAGTTGGCTGTGAGGGGCGTGCATGCAAGGAGGGGTAGGGCAACTTGTGGGTGATGGGGCGGGATTGCTGCGTCTGTCAGGGGCGGCGCTTCAGGAGGGGACACGGGTCGCCGGTATGGGTCGGTGACCTCTGCTTGATGGCCCCCGCCAGTAATACGCTGAGAGTCGGGAGTTGGAGCGACGACATCGAGTTGCTGCCTTGGCACGTTTGGAGGATTGTGCAGGATTTTAAGGACTTGTACTTCTTGTTGCCACCGGAATGGTCCTCTCCTTATCGCTTTTTTGAGCTGGGTCTTTCATGTTCGGGTTGGTCAGGAGTCACTACTGCAGTGTGCGGTTTGTGGCGCAGATTGCAGCAGCTGGTAGTGATTTTGTTTTGCCCAGACTGGCCCAGATAACGGCAGGAGAGCACGGAGAAGCTAGGCTGTTTTAACCTCTGGGTTTCGGGGTTTGCCACAATTCGGCTGCGGACGCGTCAGCAGGGCGGGATCACAACCCAGATATATCTTATCCTATCTGTCCCGGATGTCGTTTGACAGCGGGGTCTTGACACCTTTCCTGCTGCTGCATATCCTGTTGTTGTGGGCGTTCTTGAGGGCCGGAGGCATCAGTGTTGACTACGCGGGTACGTGCAAGGTTGTAAGCGGGCTTTTGGCCCATGGTCGCCGCGCCAGCGTGTGTTTCACGCTTTACAAGTTGTTGGAAAGCAGCAGACAAAGCGACAGACACGCGAGCCAAAGCTGCAGACGTTAGCGAACCCTGGTGGTGGTGCCATCACCCCATTGTCGTCTTAGCCACAGCTAGCCTCGGTTCGTTCGTTCAGAGGGTCAAAAGAGGCCGACAGGCCAAGGAAGGTCATTTTGAATGCAAGGAGGAACAGATGGCCCTGTTGAGCCGACACACGACAATAGCCCGTAGACCCAAAACAACGAATTCGGTTGGCTTGCCGTACCTACCCAACCATGGTGACTATACCCATATGGCCCAGATGCCACATCCAGTATGCTCAGGATGCACATCCGAAACGACTGCGGCGGCACCTCGCAGCAGCCATTATTAATACGGCAAAATGCACAATCACTCTCCTCACAATCAACCCCCTTTTTCCCCGCCCCTTCCTGCAATGGCAGTCCCCGCCTGACCAACGACAACAACCAGCAACCCATATGCACTGCAATCCAACTCAACTATGCCAGCCTCTCAATCTAAATAATAGTCAATCACGTTATTACCTCACGCAACACTCCCTATCCCTCCGCACCTCTCCCTGCACCTCCTCCTCCTTCTCCTCCAGTCCCTAGCTCCCCGCCTCCAGCCCCCCTCTCATGCAGTTTGCTCTCCCTCTCTCCGACCCCTCACGCTACACCGCCTCCATGCCGGTTGCCGACTCCCCTCGCATGCTGCCCCCCGCCGCCGGCTGCCCCGAATGCTGCCGCTCCTGCCGCTGCTGCTGCTGCTCCTGCCTCTGCCCCTCAACCTGCCTCTGCTCCTCATGTTGCTGTTGCTGCTGCTGCCGCTGCTCCTCATGCTGCTGCTGCTGCTGCTGCTGCAGGTAGTGTTGAATGCCCTCCAGTGCAGCTGCTAACGAGCGGGTTTGGTGCCAGGTGCGCTCCGTGCCCTTCTCAACCTGGCAGGGGGGATGAGGGGGGGATCAGGGATGTACCAAAACCACAGTGAGGGGAGGTGGAGGTGGGCCCAGCAGCATGATAGGGACGGAGCGGTATAGCGGGGAGCCAACAGCAGCAGTGGCCGAAGCAACCTCCCGCGCCCTCCTACTGCAACAGGAATACCCCCATTGCTTTAACCACCATTTCGGCTCGACTCACTGTTGATTCCACCAGGGATTGTCAGCAACTTGTATCATTATCACACAACACTTTGGAATTTCAATTTTCCCCCACGAGGCCAACCAACATGCAAGCCATGTGTGCAACCCATACAGTAGCGGCTTGTTCACATGCACCCCCACTATCCCCCAGGAGTGTATCCTCAACATGCAAGCCGAGTGCGTGCAGCCCCCATCGTAACCCACATGCGAGGCGGTGGGGTGGCGCGGGCCGACGGGTGGCGCATGCAGCGGGGGGGGCGGGGGCGCACCGGGGCCCAGCGAGTTACCCGCGGAGCTCAGGTCGCCGCTGTCGCCCGGGAGCAGCAGCCCCTCGTCTGCGGGGAGGATAACACATGTACGGCAGTCAGTGAGACAGGTACGGCAGTCAGTGAGACAGGTACGACAGGCACGCCAGTCAGTCAAATGGGGGACGTTGAGGGGCTGTTTATGTTGATATGTTCAGCAGGACTGCTGGCTCTGAGCCCCCTGTCGAAAGTCAAACACCCTATAAGTGTCCCAATCCGTCAACCGCAAACCGCGGCTGCCTTTCACGTTCCTCCCCAACACTCCCTTACCTGTGCGCCTCGACCCCAGACCAGGAGTGACGCTACCCGCCCGTGAGGCGCCCGGCTCGTACCCTCCTCCTGCTCCTCCCCATCCTGCTCCCCCTCCTCCTCCCCCTCCCCCCTGCTGGTACAGCTGATACTGTGGCGTGTGTTGTTGCTGCAGATGCAGCCAGGAGGGTATGCGCTGCAAGGCAGCCCGCTGCTGCTGCCCTCCCTGTCCCGGTTGCTGCCCCTGCTGAGATGCCAGGGGTGGCGGGGTCAGCCGCATGCCAGGCGGGTGGTGTGGCGGCAGCAGCATTGCTGGTGTTGCTGCTGCTGCTGCTGCGGAGGATGTGGAGGTAGAGGCGGTGGAGGTGATGGAGGGGTGCTGCTGCTCGGCAGCAGCTGGTGGAGGGGGTGCGTTGGGATCTGGCAGCAGCAGTGGCAGTGGGGGGTTGCCGTTCCCGTTCGCATGGGCGCCATGCAAGGGGGCTGCTGCATGCGACATGCAGGGCTGGGGTTCAGGCGGGGCGGTCTGTGAGGGAGGGCCCAGGGAGCCGGTGGAGGCGGAGTGGGGCAGCATGGGCAGTGGCACGTGCTGCTGCCGTACCTGCAGCAGCTGCGTGTGTGTGTTTTGGGGGGGGGGGAGCGGGGGAAGGGGATGGGGGGAGGAATCAATGCGAGCGTGAGGGTAGGCACGCAGCACGCCCCGCGCGCGTCCAACAAGGAACACCACATTTGGCGGTGCACCGATACAGGGGTGGTCACCCGTATAGAGCTGCTTTCTCAGCCCCCCGCCCCGCCCCGCCCCACTCCCAATACCAGGTGCTCACCAGTCGTGAGGCTGCTGCTGCTGCTGAGGCTGCTGCAGCTGCTGCATGCGGCGAGGCACGGCCGCCCGCGGAGGGGGGCGCAGCTGCCTCCGAGTAGCCCGGGTGGCTTGGCTGGGGGGAGCTGCAGGCCTGGGGGGGCGGACGGGAAGGAGGGGGAGGAGGGGGGGAGGAGGGGGGGAGGATGGGGGGAGGAGGGGGGGAGGAGAGGGGGGAGTGAGTGAGGGGGCTTTGGGGCTGGGATTATCGGGGATTACCAGGGCAACACAGGACGCGGGGCAGCACACCCCGTGTTAGCGCTGCACACCGTTGACCCCTAGATCACCTAGTGCTGGTCTCGGTGAAGAGAAGGTCACCATAAGATAGTATAGCGAAGCCCCCACCAAGACTGATAAGCCCACACCAAAACCCAGCAATGCTCGCACCCACCGATCCAGACCGCGCCAGGTGCAGTCCGGCGAACAGCGACTGGTGGGGGTGCGGTGGGGGGGGTGGGGCGGCGGCAACTGCATGCATGGCTACGGGCGCAGTGGCGTGAAAGTGGCTCCACTCCACAGCGGCGCCCAGACGGGTGGAGGCGGTGGAGGCGGCGGCGGCAGCGCGGGGTAGTACCACTGGCAGGAAGGCGTGGCCCCACTGCAGGGGGGAGGAGGGGTGGGGTAGGGAAGGAGGGCGGGTGGGGGTGGAGGGAGGAGGGGAGGGGAAGGGTAGGGTCCAGGTTCACTGCTGTGGGCTTTCGAAACCAACCCCGGAATATCCTCCTACCACCAGCAGCTCCAGTAGCAGTCACACGCATACACACACTCCCTCTTCCTCCCCCCCTCCGCTACCTTTATATCCCCCATCACGCTGTACACTCGGGTGCGTGTGACCACCTGCTGGCTGGACACCAGCGTACCCTGGGGGCCGGGGGGCGGGGACACATGGGGGGTGGGGGGGCCGGGGGGGACACATGGAGGAGGGGGGGGGTTGGCAGCAGGCGATAGGCGGCGGGGTTGGCAGCAGGGACAGCAGCAGGGGGCAACCAGGAGGGCAATGGAGGCACAGCGCGGCTGTAACCACCACCTACCCACCTCCTCCCGCTTCCCCTTCCCACCTCCCCCCCCCTCCCCCCCCCCACCCACCCTGACCGTCAGCACCACCTCCCCCCCTCCCTCCCCCTGCATGAGTCGGGATTCGGGATTGGGACTGTGTTGTTGCACTTATTTATAACCCCCCCCCCCACCCCACCTACCCTCACAGTGACCACCACCTCCGCATCCGCGTCCTGCCGCATGCCCTCCTGCCCCGCCCAGTGCGCCACCGGGCTGCTGGCGTCCAGCTCGTGCAGCAGCGTCACGGGGTAGCTGAGGGGGGTTGGAGGTGGGGGGGGGGGAGAGGGGGGGGAGGGGAGGGGGTAGTAGGGATACATATAGGGGTGGGGGAGGGGGCGTAAGGAGGATGAGGGGGAGCAGGAACAAGGGTAGGAGGGTGAAGCCAGTAAGGTGGGGGGCAGTAGACATGTCAAGAAGGGAGGAGGCGGGGCTTCCCCGAGGTCAGTCGCAAGAAGGCGCAAGACGGCGTCACGCCCCCACCCCACCCCACCCCACCCCCCTCTCCTCACCGCAGCATGGGGCTGGTGGGCTGCAGCTCCAGCTGGTGCTGCTGGAAGGGCAGGAACTCTCCCTCGGGTGTGTGCGCGGCGTGCCAGCGGTACAGGCAGGCGCTCACCTGGTGAGGGGGGGAAAAAAGAAATTCCAAAGTGTGGTGTGATAAGTGTGGTGTGGTGTGGTGTGGTGTGCAGGGGGGGAAAAAAGAAATTCCAAAGTGTGGTGTGATAAGTGTGGTGTGGGGGGGGGGGGGGGAGGGGGGAGGGGTGGTAGGGGGGCAGGTGAGAGGAGGAGGAGGAGGTACTGGGGAGCGGGGGGGAGCAGGACGGTCGGGTGCTCTTCGCGTTTACAAGCAGGAGGACACTGCCGAGAGCCGCACATGTAAAGTGTGTGTTCGTGTCGAGAAGCCATCCTGGCCCCCACAACTGGTCAGTTCGGGCTTGCGTCATCACCACCTGGGCCCTAGCCCCCCCTCACCCCCCTCCCCCATGCGCTCACTGCATGAGTCGGGATTCGGGATTGGGACTCCGTTGATGCATTTCTCTACATCTTTCCCCCCCCCCTCCCCCTCCCTCCCCCCCCACCTGCACGTCCAGCACATGGCCCGGGAAGGTGTCGCCCAACCTGCAACAGCAGCATGTGGGCAAGTGGGCAAGCGCGTCGGGCAGCAGCAGGTGAGGGGCCGCTTTCCGGCGGGTATCCGAGCCGGGCGAATTCTTCAGGTTTCCCCCCTTCTTGTGCCTCTCCCTACCATGCCCAGCCCCCCCAGAATCCACCTGAACATGAGGTAGGGTCGCCCCCGCCTGCAGCCCACCACCGCATCGTCCCCCAGCACCAGGCTGTTCTCCTCCAGCAGGCGGGAGGGCACCACGGGGGTGGGGGTGCTGCCGGACACAACCTGGGGGGAGGGGGGGGGACCATACCGAACCATAGGAAACCACAGGTTGGGGCAAAACAATGGACAGAAAGCGATAGAGAGGGCAGGGGGCAGGGTTGGGGGATACGGTAAGAGAGGGAAGGGAGGGGAGGCGGGGTTCGCAGGGCCCCTCCATCAATGTCCCCCAAGCCTCTCTGCATGCATAGTCACCCTTCTTCCCACCTCATCCCCTCCCCTTCTTCCTTATTGATACACCCCACCTTGCGGCTGAGTCGGTGGGGCTGCGTGAGCGCATCCCCCAGTCCGGGTTGCGGCTCCACGTCATGGAACCTGCGCGGGGGCGGGGGGGATGGGTGGGATGGGAGGGAAGAGAGAAAGGGGAGTTGGGAAGCCGGCAGCCGCAGCAGCAGTAGCAGCCGGATCCGGCCATCCAGGAAAGCAAATGACCACAACGAAGCAGGTACGACCTCCCACCCCCTTCCCCCCCCCAATCATAGTCAGTGTCTCATTACTTTGTGTTTACCCCCTCCCCTCCCCTCCCCCAGCCCGCACCTGGACAGGTCCACCTCATGCTGCGTGCCGCCCCCCACCGCGGGCCGAATGACGTTTGCAAAGGTGTGTCCCCAGTGCAGCTCGGAGGGCAGGTAGCTCTGACGCGCCATGAAGGTGTCGCCCAGCTCGGAAGAGGCCTCGAAGGTGACCACGATCTCCGCACCCAGGGCCTTTGGGGAGGGGGGGGAGGGGAGGGGAAATAGGAGAGGGAGGGGAGGAAGAACCATGCGGTGGTGGAGGGGTTGGCCATGGTGCGTGAGGCAGGGAGGGATTAATTTGGTTGGAAGATTCCTCATTAAGCTGGAATTTAGGATTGCGCATAGTCATATCGTTGGGTTAGGCAGGGAGGGAAGGAAGGTAGGACGAAGCCAAGAAGGAGGGGGCCCGAGCGCTGTCCTTCCAGGTGAAGCAGCCCATGCCTTCCCATTCTCCCATCGACCACCTTCTCCCTGCAAGCTCTGTGCAGGGTATGCCCCAGCAGCGGCGAGGCTCCATCCCCTCCCACCGACAGCTTCTCCCCCCCCTCCCTCCCCCCCCACCTCCAGGCTGTGCAGCGTGTGCCCGAGCAGCGGTGAGGCCTCGTCGATGTTGTGCTCCACGGTGGCGGGCAGCAGCAGCGCGCGGTCGAGGTGGACGGACATGTCCTGGGGGGTGGAGGGAGGTGTGGGGAGGGCAGGAAGAGTGGGGAGGGCAGGAAGAGTGGGGAGGGCAGGATGGAGGGGCATGAAGCGGTGCAGTATCGGTAGTGTGCTTCTTTTGTCCCTTCCATGTTTGCCCCCCGGCACCTTTCCTCCCAACCCTCCCCCCAAACACCGCTTCTCCCATTCCCCTCCCCCACCTGCGCCACCACCGGTATCTTCTCGCCCTCCGCCGTGCGCCGCCCCGTCCCCCAGCTGTACATCACCACCCGCACCCGTGGGTCGATCACGGAGCGCAGCTGGATGTCAGCCACTCGGAACATGCTGAGGGGATGGAGGCGGGGGGGGGGGCGGGAGGCATGGTGAGGAAGCATGAGGCGAGGAGGGAGGCGGCATGAACGCGGCATGGCGAGAGGCAGCGATGGTGGCAGTGCCGGTCGCAGGGAGGTGGCGGCAGCAGCGGCAATGGCCACGGTACTCACAACTTGAGTTGTCCGTCCCGCCTGGCAATGCACGCGCAGTCGCTGATCATGACGGTCCTCGAGCGCTGCTTGGGGTGCGAGATGCGCGAGAACACAATGCCCAGGATAACACTGTCCAGCAACACGGCCTGGGGCGGGGTGGGGGCGGCAAAAATGCAGAGCTCTAAACGCAACTTGTTGGTACTTGGTGGGTGGGTGGGGACGGCCGGAGGGAAAGGAACAAGGGGTGCTACTGGAATCCAAACCCTCCCCCCTCCCCCCCTCCCCCCCCCCCTCCCCCCCCACCTGCAGCGAGTGCACCGCCACCCCCAGTGCCGCCAGCCAGCACTCCCCAGTGGCCCGCTCGCCGTAGCCTGCAGTGCCGGGGGGGGGGGAGAAATTCCAAAGTGTGGTGTGATAATGATACAAGTTAGGGGGGGAATATAGATAAATGCATCAAAGGAGTCCCAAACCCGAATCCCGACTCATGCAGTGAGGGGAGTCAAAGACCATACCAAACCATAGGAGACCACAGGTTAGGGCAAAGCAATGTGGGTAAGCCGGGGGGACCAGGGCAAGCAGGACTTGGCGGCAGAGCCAGCAGCTCGAGGGGGCAGGTGGTTTGGAAGTAGGAGCCGGAAAGCAGCCCAGACGGGATACGGTTAACAGGAGCATCCCCTCAGCCCCCCCGCCCTCTGCCCCCTGCCCCCCGCCCCACCAATGGTTTGCTGGGTCTCCGTGGCGTACATGAAGGCGGAGCGGAAGCCCTGGAAGCCGATGAAGCACTCGTCGTTCCACCTGGGGGGGGGGGCAAAGAAGACCAAAACCACAAGGGGGCCCAGTAACAGTTTTGGGTTACTCGCCACGGGCTGTAATGTCTATATAGATTGGAGGGGTTGTGGCTGCGGAGAGACCGGGCACCGGTGCAGGAGAGGCAGGGGCAGGAGAGGCAGAAGGAAAGCGGCTGTGGTAGAAAAGGGACAGGTGCGGTACAGCGGCGGTACGGCAGCAGCAGCAGCTGTCGTACCTCCAGACGATGTAGTAGAAGGTGCTCCAGCTGAGCAGCATGCAGAAGTAGGTGAGCACCAGCACCGCCACCAGCTGGATGAGCTGCGCGTTGACGGCAGTGGTGTAGAAGTCTGAGGGATGGAGGAAGAGGAGGAGGAGGAGGAGGAGGAGGAGGACAGATAAAGCAGCAGGTGGACAGGTAAGGGGTGCCAGATGGGAAGATAAGAGTGAGTTTCGGGGCCAGGAAGGAGAGGGTGGGGTGCTGAGAGGGCGGGAATCGTGCCGCTGAGGACGCTGGTCTGAGCAACCTCACAACACCAACAGCCCGTGGGGGCCGGAGCCCCCGTAGGGCACCATATGCACGGTCAAGGTGCAGGGCCAGGCCCTTTTGATAGGAAGGTTGCGTTCCCTTCCATCCATGTGTCTGCCGAGAAGGTGACCCCTTCCAGCACGGGCGCTACAGGAGGACAACCCCGGCCTAATCGCACCTCTCCGCAAGATGTGCGTCCAAAATGTCTGGAAATCCACACCCACGTAGCGGACGCGCGATCTCCCCGCATGTCTGAGGAATCAAGCGATCGAGACAAGACGCAAGCAATTGCAAGCAGGAGGAGAGATGTTTGTGAAGTATAGGCTACTTCGACGGTGTCACGCACAGCATGGGGTACAACGCACGTGGGCCATGACCTACTTTCCCTTTTGGACAAGGCAAGCGAGCTTCTTTTTGATGCGTTCATTAGCATAATATCCAGCGCCCCTGTCCAGAGTCCAGTCCTCCATGCGCATCCTCCGCCGAATGACTTCTCGCTCCTCGACTGTTACAGACCGATCCTGGTCCCGGACTGCGGGCGAGTTTGCTAGCAACCATTCTTGTAACCCGAACATCTTTACTGTGAGACCTCAGCATAGGGAGTAAAAATATTGCTGAGCGTGGGCTCCGTCACTGAGCAAACTAGATAACGGATTATGCCTACGTGATGCAAAACATTCTCTGACGTTGGATCGCGAGATGCGTTAGACGGACGTAAAGGAACGGTTGTACGGTGATGGACGACCCAGTGGTTAGCTTCAACTGCTGATGCTGACCACCCTCTCAAGTCGCTGCAGCTTTCTCAAGTCCATTCATATATCTCCAGTCGGCTACGGTCTTTCGCATAGACACTGTGGAAGACCAACCACGAATACTGTGTGTACGGGAGGAGAGTGCAGGCCATACGACTACTGTGGAGGGGCATGGGCAGACATCAGGGTGTCATGCTGTTGCCACAGTTGGCAATATGCCGAGCTGCAGCCAGCATCTTATACTGTGTGCACCGTAGCAGTAGCGAGTCACAGCAGCCAACGAGTTCTGTACCAGCTATTACATAGGCGTCAGGCAGCACGACCCGCCACCCCCTTTTCACTTTGGAAGCGTATCCCCGCTCCGGGTTAAAACAGTTCCGAGTCTACACATACACTTTGCGTTGGCGACGAGGCTAGCATACATACATCATGGAGATATACTATCACGCACGTAACCAGGCCCAATCACATTCGGTGGGCACATACTCTGCATGCCGTAAAGGGATGAAGGCACGAGCTAGCAACACATGTGCGCATCCAACCTGCGTTGGCGACTTGGGGCACACCATGCATAGTCAGGTAAACTGTTCATTTCCTACAAGGTACATACGCGTGCGAAACCCTCCTCACTGCTTTCTGGGCATGCACAATGAAATGTAAGTGTCAGGCTGTCATCCATGTAAATCCCAATGCAAGCATCGCTCTGCAGTAATTACAAAGCTCTAACCCCTCCTCATCCGCGTATTCAATTTAACACCACGGAACCCGGTTGCACAGCCATGGCGCAGGTTATAAGGCACGGCGTGCCACCGCAACACAATCCTAGACCTGGCAACGATGGGACTGTACGTGAACAGCGCCCTGGCAACAAAGCCGAGGCCTTAGGCAATACGCAGCGCTCTGCGAGACTTAATGCATGTCGAGGCGTGTGTTCAGCGCTGGCTCCGGTCGTCCGCCTGGGCGTCGTGCTGCTCTCTCTTGAACGCGGCAAGCGACTGACGCAGCTGGTCCACCGCGTTGGACCGAACCCTCTTGTCCCCGCGCATAGGGCTGCTCACCGTCTTGTGCTCTCGCTCAACAGCCGTCAGGACGTTTGACACTGCCTCCATGGTCTGCGCAATTCGGAAAAGGGATGTGTCGGTGGTGATACTTGAGCCAAAGCTTAAGCTGCTCCCAAGCTTACCTCCGTAAAGTTCGCAATCTGCTTTTGCAGCCGCTTGGAGCGCTGCTCTTCTGCGTGCAGCCGGCGCTGAAGCTGCTGGACATTCTTGTCCATAATGCGTTGCTGGTTGTCCCGCTGCTGCTTCTCCTTGGCTAGTTGTTCCTCAAGCCTCAACCGCTCTCCCTCCGTCTGCAGTTGCTTCGCTTCTGCCTGCCGTCGCTGCTCTTGCTCCTCAGCAAGCGTCGCTTCCAGCTGTTTTATCAGCTCTTGCTGCTGCGTCATACGGTTTTCAGCTTGCTGCAGTTGCTGCTGAGAGGATGCTTTGAGCTCTTGGTTCTCATGCTCCTGCTCCTTAAGCTGCGCCTCCAACCTTGCACTGTAGGCTAGCTGCTCTGCTCGGGTCTTCTTGTTGGACTCCTCCTCCGCACGCAACTGCTGTATTTCAGCGTCTTTCTTGCTGAGAAGCTGCCCCAAGGTATCAATTTGCAACTCTGACTTCGACGGCCCGAAACAGCCGACCATTTTGCCTCGAATCCTTACTGGTTAGGTTGTTGTTTCGATATGCATAAAATTCAGTGTGTGTGTCTTTTTGTATAAAGTTTTACGAACGTCTCGGGAGAAGAGGTCCCTCTCCTTACTTATTATTTGAAAGTGCCCGATCCGGGTTGGATCCAGGCCAACCACCAAGGGGCAAGAGAGACGCTAAGGTTCATAAAGCATGTTTGTGCTGAAGACAGTGTTACCTTCACCCCCTATAGTTCTATAATAAACAATCAGAGTTGCATAGCATGGCTTGTCCCTTCCAGCAGCTTCTCGGCAACCTAGAGCAAACCATGTCGACCCCTTCGGCATGCTGGTGTACAGTCCTTGATGATTTGCTGTATATTCACAACCACGGGCGGCGCATATAGTTCCGGACATTTACAGCATGTTAGACATGCGCACGTTACCTGACCGCAATCCTAGCTCGCGCAATACCGCATCACGCACCAGCGGAACCAACTGACCCTGCGCATCCAGGGCTGCAGCCAATCGGTGACTATCCACCGAGAACACGCGCACGCTCACAAACCCCTGAACTCCACTTTCCTCCTCCCCGGAACGCATCCTAGCGTCGCTAGGTACATCACCGCCAGGCCCCAATGCATCATCGCTGCCAGCTGTCGAGGAGCCGCCTTCTCCATTACCGTCATCCCGCTGCTGCCATACCCAAGGACTTCGGTGAACTGCCGCGCCAACCGCTGCTCGCGTCACAACACCTCCACCCTTGCCGCGCCCCGCCGCTGCATCCTTCCCGGCCTTAAGACCTCCTCCTGGCTGCTCCCGCGCCTGCTCCCTCCCCCGCTGCTGCGGTAGCATGTTGGCCTGCGCCAGGTCGTGCTGCCAGCTGCCCACCAGCACCTCCAGCCGCCCCCGTGAAGCCCGCACTGCCGACAGCAAGCGCCCCCGCAGACAATCCAGCCAGGCGACCGGGCGGCCCGGACGAATGGACGCCGCTGTCAGGTCAACCTGCGTTCGTGGCAATGCCGTATGAACGTCCACAACGGTTACGAACTGCCGGAAGGTGGCAGACAGGTAGGACCGGCTAAACATTGCGCCTAACTTGGCCTGCCCAGCCCTCTCTGCCTGCAGCCAAAAGCCCACCTCAACCCAAATGCCCTCCTCCCCGCTCTCCCTTGACCCCCTTGCCCTGCCCTGACTTGCGGTTTCACTCAGTCCGCCCCCCCTTGCTTCACGGAGTCCGCCCCTCCCCGCCCCCTTCCCCACCTGCGGACAGAACGCCATCACCGCAGTCGCCAAGTCGGCGCACAGCAGCGCCCCCGTGGCGCCCATGGAGTCGCCCAGCAGCAGCACGCGACGGTAGGGGCGGGTGTAGGCGGCCAGGCGGCAGCGGTAGTAGGACAGGGGTGGCAGGGAGGAGTGGGCGCGGGAGGCGGAGCTGCCAGTGGTGGAATTGCTGCTGGCGTCGGGGACGGCGTCGGCGGCGAGGATGTCGTGTTCTTCCTCCTCCTCGTCCTCCGAGCCGCCGCCGTACCAGTCTCGAGCTGGGTCGGCCACGTAGAGCACGTCAAAGTACCTGGCAGGAGGTGTTTGGGAAGGGGAGGGTGCAGGGGAGGGAACACAATGGTGTTAGCCACAGGGTGCAACCTGCGGTTGACCAGGCTGCGCGAGACGCCGTACCGTGCTGGCCACCGTACGCAACAACTGCACCACAATCAATGCATGTGCCACTTCTGCCACGCCCTGAGTACCCACCTCTCCGCATCGCTGGCCGCCGCCTTGTACACGCTGCCCAGCAGCCCGCCCCAGTTGGGAGTGCCGGGGGCGCTGCCGAACGCCACCACAAGCAGCTCATTGCTGCTGCTGCATTGCTGGTGCTGGAGGAGCCCCGGTGCACCGCTGACGTCACCGCTTCCAACCTCACCCTCGTCCTGGCCCTGGCAGCCGGCTTTGCTGCTGACGTCACCATCTTGACAATCTGGCTGCGACCCCGCCGCCGCTGCCGTCACCGGCCGTTGCGGCCCGTACTGCAATTTGAAGTACCCCGGACCCGAGCCCAACACGCAGCCCACTCGCACGTTGCTCGGTAGCGCCTCCACCAGCCCGCCGCTGCCGCCGCCGTTGCCGCTTGTGGCTTCACGGCGACCTGCTGCTGCCGCCTCTGCCGCTGCCAGCTGCGTTTGGTCCAGTCCTAGTGCCTTCAACCGCGACATGCTGCCGGACACTCCTGTTTCCGCCGCGGCCGGCCCCCCTGTTGTTCCTCCTGCCGCCGCCGCCGCCCCCCCTGCCGCTTCTATCAGCTCCGCCACCACCTCCCCCCTCAGCGGGTTCCCTTCCAGCCAGCACCTGGACAGGGCGGGCAGGGCGGCCCCCAGACTGTGCGGCGGCGGCAGGGAGGTGAGGCGGTTGCCGTACAGGTGGAGGCGGGCCAGGCGGGGGGCGGGGGGCAGGTCGGGGGGCAGGGCGGCTAGGCGGTTGTCAGCGAGTGAGAGCTCGGTGAGGGACTGCGGAGGGGGGTTGAGGAGGAGAAGGGGGTTGAGGGGGAGTGAGGTGCGCGGTGAGGTGAGGAGGTCCCGGAGACTCCAACCAGACAGGCAACCTGAACCCGGACATCCTAACCCGTAGTCCCCAGCCCAGACACGCCAATGAAAGACCGCTTACCGGGCACTCGAATATTGCGGGGTCCACCTCCTCCAGCTGGTTGCCCTGCGCAGGTGCGGGGCCGGGGGGGGCAGGCGGGGCAGGGGCGGGGGCGGAGCAACCAGCAGGCGGCACCTCAGTTCGAAATGGCTGATAGAGGGAGAGGCCCACACCCTCCATGCACCCGCCCATGCAACACCCGACCCCCCTCCACCTCCCCCACTTCCACCCACCTGCAGCATCAGCTCCCGCAGCTCCCTGTGCTGCCGCCCAAGCCCCGACCCACCGCTGCCCCGCCCCATCAGCCCCTCCGTGGTCAGCCGGTTGCCGTTCAGCGCCAGTCGTGTGAGCGCTGTGAGCGGCTCCAACTCCCCGGGGGGCAGGGCGGTCAGGCGGTTGCCAGCCAGGGTGAGGTCGGTGAGGCGGGTCAGGCCGGACAGGCAGCCGGGGGGCAGCGACTGCAGGCAGTTGCCTGCACGGAGGGGAAAGGGCGGTATAGCAACAGTAGCGGTCGGAATGGGGTCGGCTTGGCGTCTTGCAGATGCGGCTGCATGGATGGACGCAGAGCATGAGGTTGCGAACCACAAAACGCACCAGTCGTCCGGTCCGGTTGCAAACGCACCCACACCAGCACAGCACGCTACGGCCGCGCCCTACCCGCCAGCGACAGCACCCTCAGCGCCGTCAGCCGCCCCAGCTCCCCCGGCAGGCTGGTCAGCAGGTTGCCATGCAGCCACAGCCCCTCCAGTCGTTGCAGGCGGTCCAGACCCGGGGGCAGGGAGTTGAGGCGGTTGCCCGCCAGGCCCAGGCGGCGCAGGGCGGTGAGGCGGGAGAGGGCGGCCGGCAGGGCGACCAGGAGGTTGCCGGAGAGCTGCAGCTCCTGTGGGGGCAGTGAAGGGGAGGAGAGAGGGAAAGGAGTTTGGGAGTGTAAGGGCTGTGCCTTCCCACACAATATACCGGTAACCATAGCATTGGTGCAGGAACAAACATCAGCTGGGCTACGTATGTCAACCTCAGCCCGTGCCCCAGGTTCCCTCAAACCTCCTCATCCAAGCCCAGCTCCAGCTCCTTCCTCAGTCCTTCCTCTCTCAAAGCCTCCTCTACCCCAAAGCCCCCCCCTTCAAGCCCACCTCCAACTCGGTCAGTTGCAGCACCTCCTCCGGCACCTCCAGCAACCCACACTCCGTCAGGTCTAGTCGCCCGCTGCTGGCGGCCAGGGACAGCTTGACACGCAGCTGAGCTGCGCTTATGACATTGCTGCTGCTGATGCTGTTGCCATCGTGGGCAGACTCGGCATCATCGTTGACAGTTCCAGTTGTTGGATTGTTAAGTTCCGCATCGTTTGCGTTGTTGGAAAAGGGGCTGGAGTCGCGGAGGGAGGCTGCCTCGTTGACGGAGCTGGGCATGTCACTTTGCGGTTGCTCATCCTGGATGACGGACCGCCATGAGGTGCGGGAGTAGGTGAAGGTGGAAGCTGCTGGCGAGGAGGAAGGCGTCGTTATGGTGAAAGACCGGACCCTATGTGCATTGCCGCTGATGCGTATCGAGATATCCGCGGCTGCCCGGTTGTAGGATGGGGCGGTTGACTGAGAACCCGGGACCCTCCTTAGGCAAGGCGACGAGGCATTGTTAACTAGATCCAGATGAGGCTTAGACGATGTTGCAGTGTGCGCCGCGGCCATCGTCAGAGGTAAATAGAGCAGCGCGCAATGTGGGCTGAGGTGCGACTGCCAAGCAGCGGATCGGGAGCTTTTACTTTTTCAGTTTACGCGCCGCTCCGTGAACCTCCTTCCAAATTTGCGCCTGCCACACGCCCTTTGGTGGCGTGCCGTCAGGCCGTGGAAGCTGCTTTGGCTCCGCAGCCGATGCGCTGCCCTTGCCGGCTTGGTCCTTTCCTGTAATTTGCTTCTCTAAGTAAGTGTGAACTGATGCTAACACAAAAGCTCCGGCGGCAATCGCGCCCAACTGCAGCCACATTGCTGCGCAACCAAAGGCACAATAGATTTTTTATACGGTGACGCTTTACGTGCGTAAGTGTATTGGGGTGAACAAGTAGGCTTGAAGCAATATGCAGCAATGGACAACGACGTGAACGACTTCGGCTTTTTTCAACGACCAAACTGTGGTCATGTGCCGTACATCGCTAATCTAGCCACGTCGCGTCGCCAGCACGCCATGTCGCCTAGCAATACGCTCCCATTGCATTCTATAGGCATTGTTCCTCAGTGCAGTAGGTAGGGTCTGCCAAGAATACTGCTACCTGCGCAGGATGACGTTTCGAGCAGTATGCCTGCTCGATGGACAGGGCTTACATGAAGCGCTAGAAGCTACCCATGACTTCGTAAACGCCCTCTCAATGCTACCACACCGCCCCTTCGAAAGTCTGCAAGCAATTGTCACCCATGGGTCGCCATTGGTGCTTGCGGAGGCTTTGGCGCTCTCCGCTGCACTGGTCTGCTGGTTGTGGTACTTGCTGACCAGGAATTGCTCGCACGTCGACCGTATGTGGTGAGTGGGAGGCATACAAAGACTCGCGTCGACTCTTGTGAGTCATGTCCCCAGATTATGACACATGGTGCAGACTGCATCGCGCGGGCGTATCCATCTGCTAGGCATGTCAATGACTCAGCACATACAACGATCGCATCTCCGAAGCCTTCACGGCTCGCTTCGATTGCTTTCACCAACCGCCTGCATCCCACCACGTCCCTTCCCTGTTCTGAACCCCGCACCCCGCTCTTCCCAAACCACCTAAACCCCGCCCGCTTCCACCGACACCGCTCTCCCCAGGTCCATCCTACCGCCCATCTACGTCGCCATCTTTGCGCGCGACGACCTCGCCGCAGCAGCAACCGCTGCCGTACGACACCTCAGCGGCAGCGACAGCACCTCCTTCTCCTCCTCTACCGTTGCAAGCGGCGGCAGTAGCAGTTCCGCACCCCTGCTGCTACAGCCACTGCTGCTACAGCCCCTGCTGCTACAGCGGCTACCGGGACTGGCTGCAGCGCTAGCAGCCTCGGGTGCGGACCCGCGGCTGCTGCTGGCTACGGCGCTTGCTGCGGTGTGGGGCTGTCGGTTGACGTACAACTTTTGGCGCAAGGGCGGCTACAACCTGCGCTACGAGGACTACAGGTGGGCAGCCCAGGGGGGCTGAAGTACATGAAGGCGGGGTGGCGTGGTGGTGGTGGTGGTTGGGTGAATTGCATGGTTGGGTGAGTGATATGACATTGATTGCCCCTGTGTATGGCTGTGCTGCCGCCTCTCTCTGCGCCCCCCCCAGGTGGTCGGAGGTGCGCAAGCTTATGTCACCGGTGAGCTTCGTACAACCTGTGGACTACTGCACTGCACTGCATTGCACTGCACCGCTCCTACCTGTGGGCTAGGGCGGTGCAGTCCCCACCACTTCTGCCGTGCTGCGGGGTTGGGATGGGGGGCCGTCCGGGGGTTTGGCGTGTGCTGGATGTTGAGAAGGAGCGGCGGGTCCTCTCCCCTGCCTCTAGCTCTCCCTTGCCCTGATCAAACCTTGACCAAACATTAACCTCCCCGTCCCTCTGCCCCTCCCTCCCTCCATTCTCTGTCTCTGCCCCTTACCTGCCCCCCCTACCTGCCCCCTCTGCCGTCAAGCCCCTGTTCGAACTCTTCAATCTGGTGTTCGTGGCCCTGGCGCAGCACCTGCTGTGCATGCTCATCACCGCCCCCGCGTTCGTTGCGCACGTTATCAACAAGACAACAGCCGCCACAGCAGCCCGCAGTGACAGCATCAACATCAGCACTAGCAGCTCTAGCAGCACCAGCGGCAGCGGCCATGCAGCCCCTCTCACGGCCGCTGACTGGGCTGCCGCCGCGTGTTTCGCGGTGTTGCTGGCAGGGGAGGCGGCGGCGGACCAGCAGCAGTGGGTCTTCCAGCGGAGGAAGCGGCAGCTGCTGGAGGGCCGGCAGCGGCGGGAGGGGGACTACCGGCGGGGCTTCCTGAGCAGCAGCTGGCTGTTCCGCTTCTCACGTCATCCGAGCTTCTTCTGTGAGTGGCTGGTTGCTGGTTGCTTGGGTTTCTCTGGTTGCTTTGGTTGCTAGGTTATCATCATAGGAGAATTTCTGTGAATTCTTCACTGATTGCTGTTACCCGCTGTGAAGAATGAGCACGTGCCCTCCTTCTACTAACCTACCCACCGGCACCCCTCCCCTGCGCCCCTCCTCCTCCTTCCTCACCCCCAGGCGAATACGGCATGTGGTGGGCCTTCTACGCCCTCTGCGCCGCCCTGCCCGCCCGCTGCGCCCTGCACTGGTCTGCTGCGGGTGCGGTCGGCCTCACGCTGCTGTTCCACGGTGGGTCCGTGTGGATCACGGAGCGCATCAGTGCAGCGCGCTACCCGGCCTACGCCGCCTACCAGGCGTCAACCAGCGGCATCGTGCCCTGGTGGCCCGGACCGCCCCTGACGGAGGCGGCGCAGGACTGATGATCTATCCGACGTCATGAGAGGGGGGTTAGGACACAATGAAAAGAAGTTGAAGGATTCAAGGATGGCGCTGGCTTTGGTGTGTTGAGGAAATCGGTCGCGACTGTGACAAGAGGGGGAGGAGCTGGAGGAGAGTGTAGGAAGGGGGGACACGGTTGGAACGGTTTTGAGTACCGGTGGGTGAAGCATGTCATCCGGCGGACAGCTCGTCAAATGAAGTGTGCTGGCAGGGCGCAGCACGACGGGAGGGAGCCTTTAAATTTGAATTTTAAAGGCAGCTGTCACCATTCATGTTCCTGATTAGGGAATTATTGCAACGGCCACACATTCAGAAACTGCTTCACTATTGTCATTACTAGGAGGCCCATGCCACATCAGCACACTGCTATTCAATAGCCATACGGCAGCCTGACAACATGCTGCAACAGCACAAAGCACGGTAACGCCTCTATGAGGTCATCATGTATTCACCGGTATTGCCCGGGTTCACCAGTATTGCCCGGCTTTATACTTATACCTAAACAACCCAAACAATTGAACCGAAATAGCTCGCCCGAATCCGAATCCGAATCCCAAAATCGCTCCCCCAGCCACCACTTGACCGAGTAATCACATACGGAGTGCTCGCTCCTATAGTCCCCCGCTCGCACGTCCAATCGCACGCCCTCTTCCTCGCTCTTCCTCATACATACCCCATACATACATCGCCCTTAGGATCCCTGGTCAAGCCACACCCAGCTCCCTCCTTGGCACATCATCATCTACTAACGAACGTGCGCCTGCCCCCAATTCAACCATGGCCCTTTACATGCTCCGTTCTGCTACCGGACAAACCCAACCACCGCCTCCTCCTCCTCCTCAACCTCCCCCTCCCCCGCTTTATCACCTTGTATCCGGTATGCGCGAGTGCAGCCACTGCAAGATAGTGTTAAATGCGTCATCATGCACGGGAAAGGCCGCTCGCTGAGCCAGTCGTTCAGCTATCTTCTGCCGCCGCTCGCTGCTGCTGCTGCTGCTGCTGCTGCCGCCACCTCCGCCCGCCCCCGCACCACCGAAGCCGCCGACAAAGCCATCGTCGTTGTCATCGTTGTGTGGTTGTTGCTGCTGCCCGCCGCCCCTCACCTTCCAGACCTCCACGTTGCGTTTGATGACCTCCTTCATCTGCTTGGCGAGGAGCGGGTGGCTGGCGTAGGCATACCTGGTGGAACGGGTGCCGCCAAGGTGGGGGGAGGGGGGGGGGGGTAAAAGGTGGAAACCACCAACCATGTGACTAGGGAAGCAAGTGGAAGGAAAACACACAGCTTTGCTCTTACCCCCTCCCCACCTAACACACTTGGACCTCTTCTTTCCAGTTACCCGCACCCAGCCCTCCCACTCGCCCTTACCTACCTACAAACACCAACACGAATCAACTCCCATCCCAATCACCTTCCTATCCCCATTGCTTTACCCCAACCTGTGGCCTCCCATGGTATGGTATGATCCCTTGATCTCCCTCACCCCCACAGGAGCTTGTCGTCTGGTTTGCATTCTCAATCAACACTTTGGGAATCCTTCTTTCCCCACCCTCACCTTCTTTCCCCCCACCCCCACCCTCACCACCCTCACCTGTGCCAGAACCTCCTCAGCCGCCGCTGCATCCCCGCCACCACCCGCTCCGGAATCGCCGCCAGCCTCTCCGGCAGCCCCTCCAGCTCCCCCTCCCGCACTCGCACACTTGCCCTCGCCAGCGCAAGCTGCTCCTCCCACACCCCCGACACCCCATCCATGATGATCACGGGGATGCAGCCATGCAGCACCGCGTCCTCCATCCGCGCGCTCCAGCCATCTCCGGGCGCCACCACACAGAAACGCGAGCTGGCTAGTTGCTCGGAGTAGCTGCCGGGGACGTCTGAGCCGTCGCCGATGAGGACGGCGTAGCGGGAGCGCCAGTCGTGGAGTTTGCCGAGCTCGTACAGCCGTTGTCGGATGCCCCTGAGAAGAGCGTGGAGGAGGGAGAGAGGGGGGGAGAGGGGGTGCAGTGTCAGAGGGAGGGGTTGGAAGAGGGAGGGGTTAGCGTCGGCAGCTGGGTTGGGAAAGCAAGACGCGCGAACAGGCGAAGTGTGAGACACATACGCGCCAGCGGTGGGGTGGGGGTGCTTCTCCCGAACTTCCTTCTCCCTTCCCAACCCCCATCCTCGTTCTCCCTCCTCCCTCAGCCTCCCCCCCCCCCCCACACACACACACCGCGGCCAGCTATTTTAACACACCGCGGCCAGTTCTCTTAACACACACCGCGGCGGTTCTGTGGGGACTTCATCTTCCGACATCCCAGTACGTTCCTACTCGCGGCCAGTTCTCTTAACACACCTGCTGTAGTTGGGCAGTCGGGTCTTCCCCACGTCCCCCCGCAGGAACAGCAGCGTGGGGCGGTGGCGGGGCGGGTGGAAGAGCAGTGGACTGGCGGAGTAGTGGGGCGGCAGCTTGAGTGCGGGGATGACCAGGTCCTGGTAGGGGGGGAGGGGAGGGGGCAGGAGGAAGAGGAAGAGGGGCGGAGGATTAAAAACACACACAGTTAGCTCGGAGTGCGGCTTCCTTTTTCCCCACCCTTACCCCCACCCCCTTACCCCGCCAACACCTTTTCCGCCCCTTTCCACTACTCCCTTTTCTCCCCACCCTGCCTTCTTGTCACTCCAGTTGGTTCGCCCTTCACTTTTTTCCTCCCCTTGTCCCCTCCCCTCCGCGTGTTTCTAGAATAGGGTCTCCGAATGCGCTCACGGCATGAGTCGGGATTCGGGATTGGGACTCCGTTGATGCATTAATCTATAATTTTCCCCTCCGCCCTCACACCCCCCACAAACACCCACCCCCCCACCTTCCCCGGCGTGTAGCAGGGGTGTCCCGCAATGCGACCCAGCCAGCCGCCCGGCTGCTGCGGGTGCAGGAACTCCTGTGTGTAGTTATCGGGTGTGTATGCGGTGTTGCTGGTGTGGGAGGGGTCGGTACGGCCCCAGTGGGTGAGCAGGATGGAGGTGTTGTAGATCTCTGGGGGGGGGTGGGAGGGGGAGGGGGAGGAGGGGAGGGAGGGGATTTGGAGGGAAGCATTAGGAAGGAAAGTTGGTGGGAAGGAGGAAGAGGGTTTGTGAGGGGTGGGGTTGGGGGGCCCGGGGAGGGGAGGGCGGTTGGCAGGTGTGTGGGGAAACCCTCTCCTCCTTCTTATGACCGAGCAGGGTACGAGGTAAACAGCCCCCCCACCCCCCACCCCCCACACCACCTGTGGGTGCGTAGCAGGCCCCTTCGTCATGCGTCATCAGCCAGATGTGGTCCCGACCACCCCGCCTGGGGGAGGGCAGGGGGCAGGTGGCAGGGGGAGGTGGCAGGGGAGAGATCAGAGGAGGGTTGGGGCAGGGAAGCGGCAGGGCAGGTGGACAGCGGTTGGCAGCCAGGAAGGTACAACCCCGGTGCAACCCCCAGACATCCCAAGAGCCCCCGCGCCCGCCCGCCCCCTGCTCCTCCTGCTTCAAGACCTACCGTACCCCCTGGCCCCGCCCCCTCACCCCCTCACCCTCCCCCCGCCCCACTCCGCGGCTCAGTTCATCTAGTCTTCCACCCGCACCTGTCCCAGAAGGGGAAGTGCTGCCGAATCCAGTCGCGGACCTCCAGCATCATGTTGGTCACATGCATCACTCGGGGGCCTGGGGGGGGGGGGGGGAAAGAGGAATACCCAGTCCTAGGACCACCTTTCCAGGAGCTTGCTAGATTTCGATGGCCATGCGGGCATGCAGGCATGTGGTGTCGTGTTAAGAAAACTGGCCGCGAGTAGGAACGTACTGTGATTGTCGGAAGGTGACGTCCCCCCCACAGAACGGCTACCATACCATACCGAACCACAGGACACAAGGGGAGGGAACAAGGCTGGGTTTTAGGGTTTTAGGGTTTTAGGGTTTTAGGGAGGGAACAAGGCTGGGTAACTCAGCGCGTTGCACCCTGTCGTCAACTCCTCCGTAGTCAAGCTCGCCCCCCCCCCTTTATGCGTCCCCGCCCCCCAACCCCCACCGCCCACCCCCCCACCCGAAGGCACATGCCACCAGGGCCCATCCGCGTAGCAGTGGACGGGGTAAATGAAGCAGCTGCCGTACACCGGGACGTAGAAGAAGTCCGCTTGGTCGGGGTCAAACGTCCTGGAGGGGGGGAGAGGGGGGAAAATATAGATTATTGCATCAACGGAGACCCAATCCCGAATCCCGACTCATGCAGTGGGGGGGGGGCGGGGTATCAATGGGAAACTAAGTTTCCTCTTTCTTTAGCCCACCCCTCATCCGTTTCCTTATCTTCAAACCCCCCAACCCCCCCTCCCCCACCTGTGTTCGCTCTGCAGCATCATCTCATGCATCAGCACCTCCAGCCCGTACGTCCAACCGAACGTCTCGCTGGCGTTACCCGACCCAAAGGTGCGCCAGGTGCACAGCCCCCGGTCGTTGCGGTACTGCAACATGCGCGCGTTGTAGGCGGGAGGCAGGTCGTACACGTAGATCAGCGGCCGCTTGCGAGCCACCGCACCACCACCAGCAGCACCAGCCGCAGCAGCTGCAGTAGCGGCAAGCTTTGATGAGGCTTCGGTCGTTCCCGCAACCGCAGCTCCGGTGGTGGCGGTGGTAGCGGTGGTTGCAGCTGCTAGCGCGGCCTCCGGAGATACCCGTACGGTGTCGGTTAGCCAGGGCCGAGAGCCGGTCTCATGCAGACCTGAGTGACCCATGGGTCAAAATGAGCAGGAAGAGGCGGCGAGGGATGCGGTTTACGGTTCGGAACGCCATTGGCGGGGCGACGATAAAGAAACAACGAAAAGACTGCAATCCACACACTCGCGGCCAGGTTTCTTAACACACAACCCGCACAGCAGAAATCGGAGCAGAAGTCGGAGCTGCATTGCACCCTGATAGCACCCTGATAGCACCCTGATAGCAAGTGTCCGTCCCTGCTTCCCAGACTAGGGAACCCCACCTCCCCCCCCGCATACACGCACACACACTCAATCACAGCACGCTCCTCTTCACGGCCAGTTTTCTTTACATACACACATACCAGTTTCCAAAACACACCCAACCCCCCACCCACCCGGCTCTGTCCGCAGCCCCGCCGCCTTCCTTGCGCAGTCGGTGCCGTACCAGCCCGCATGGCACTTGCAGAAGCCGCTGTCGCACTCGCCGTGGCCCGAGCACTGGTTGGGGCACATGGTCTCCGTCACCTCGTCGCACAGCTCCCCGGAGAATCCGTCGAACATGCAGCCGCAGCTGTGCGGGCGGGGAGTTGCATGCGGGCGGACAGGGCAGGGGGGAGGGCCAGGACAGGCAAGGGTCGGGAAGGGGAAGAAGGAGGGGGTTGGGACGGTTTGGGGAGGTCGGGCAGGCGCTTGGGGTGACAGCCAATCGTAGAACGCGCCTCTGTTCATGTCTAGACACGTGGACATACCCCCCCCCCCACACCAACAACCCCCCCCCACCACCCGCGCACTTGATGACCGGCTTGTCCGAGTTGCACCAGCCGTCGGGTCCGTAGATCTGCTGCCAGGGCACCTGACCCCACTCCAGCTTGTTACCCTTGCCGTCGTCGCTCACCTGCACACGTGTGTGGGGGGGGGGGGCACACATGGGGGAACAGACCATTGGTGGTGGTGGGGGGGCACCGGGGGGGGGGGGGGACATGGGCCAGCAGCAGGAGGAGGGATGCAGCAGCAGCCACCATACCACGGCTTGAAGCAGGTGACCCCAGGAAGCGGCACACAACGAAGCAGCAGACGCAGCGGGATGTGGTGGTGGTGGTGGTGGTGGTGGTGGCAGTGGTGGCCGCACCCCGCCAGCACATGTACAGAGGTACCCCACACGTCTACCCCGACATGCTACCCGTATTCTTTATACCATGGACCCGGCATGTACGGCACACATTTACCGATGTACGGCACACGGTACGTAGTGCCGCCGTACCCAGTTGTGTCGTACCCACACCCCACCTGGCACACGTGGTTGGGCAGCGGCCGGCCCCGCACGGGCGCGGGTGTGCCGGGGGGGGAGCCGGGGGGCGGGTTCACTCGGCGGTACTTGCCGTCGCAGAAGCATCGGGCCGTCACCGGGTCGCAGATGCCTGGGGTGTTGGGGTTGTGGTGGGGGGATGAGGGATGGGGGGGGTGGTTTGTTGTGTGCGGATCGGTTTCGGGACTATATTCCCCACCTCCCTCTTCCACGCCTCCCTCCTCTCTCCCCTCCCCCCGCACCCCCGCAGCTCCCAACACATTGGGTACACTTCCTCCCCCCCGGCCCCTCCTCATGCGGAATCTTTATCCCTTTTAACCCCCCTCCCTGCCACCGTCAGTGCCTCATTATCTTTTTTTACCCCCCAGCTCCCACCTGTGCACTGGGACTCCGTGTACCCCCCCCCCCCAGCTCCCACCTGTGCACCGGGACTCCGTGTACCCCTCGTCCGTGAGCCCCAGGTCGCGTCCCTCCGCATCGATGTGCCCCGCCGGGACGTCCCCGCGGTGGCGGAAGTGGGTTGTGCAGGGGCGCAACAGCACCGAGCCGCAGTCGGGACCCTGCGAGCCTGGGGGCCGAGGGGGGCAGGGGGGCATGCATGGGGACAGGAGAGGGAGATAGAGGACCAAGGAAAGGGCGGGGCATGGGGCAAGGGGCATGCATGGGTGGAGGGAGAGAGGGAGCAGGGGAACACGAAGGCCAAGCTGATAGCGCTAGAAGAGGCTAGGCGGAGAGGGAGGGGAGGGCGGGGCATGCATGCACCCGCCGCCTCCTCACCCTCCCACCCGCTCACACCCCCACCTGCAGGGCAGTCGCAGGTACCCGTGTCGTGGTTGCAGTTCCCCACACCGCTGCAGTTGCGGGGACAGGTGCGGTTGCCGCGGGGGGCTGGCCGCGGCGGGGGAGCGGGGGGTTGGCTGTTGTAACCCACACACCAGCTGCCCTGCGTTCCCCGGCACCGCTTCTCCACCGCTCGCTGGGAAGTCCTGGATGTGGCTGACCGCTGCTGATGTTGCTGCAACTGCTGCAACTGCCGTGTTGGACCTGAGGGCGGCGAGGTGAAGAGGTAGGTTAGGATAGCTGCTGCGTACGAGCGCAACTTTGCCGTACGGCTTAGCCTTTCGAGTACCTGTGATAGGAACTAAGTCATCCACCACAGTCGAACCAAGCCATGTTAACGCATCGTCCAGGTCGAGATACCTCGCTTCGCTGGCAGTAATCACATCCTGAAAGGGATTTAATGACTTTTGGTTTCCGCCCTAGACCTGACGGGCTTTGATAGTATTCCGTGCGTGATCTTACTGTGCTATGGTTTGCTCCTGCGCTCAGTTGCAAGAGTGTAAAGAGAAAAGCTACCAACCACCCTGGCATCATTTCTGCCGTCACTCGTCAGCTTCCAGGCCTTGCAATGCAGCTATACCATAAGATTCAAATTGTCTACGCTTATTGCTTTTGCGTTAACAGGATTGGACATAGCGGCCCATTATTTTGCTCGTTCAGTTAAGATAGGTGTAGCTACGCTACCCACAAGGACATATACCCATCTAAATGATGCATGGTTTGGTAATTTGGGGATCCTATAAGAAAGGTCTGCCTATGTCATAGCATCTAGCCATGCGAAGCCCTTGTGTCGTGCAACGGTGCGACGCCTTTCATCAGTTGTCTCTCGCACGGTGACTGCGAGGCTGTATGACACCATTTACGGGGCTAGCTGTAAACTGATTTTAGCTACTGTGAAGCTAGCGGGTTAGCGGCCCAAGGTAGCGTCACGCTTGCTTCTTGGTATCCCCGACTGCCTAGCGTAAAGAGCCATCTAAAGGATTTAGTTGTCATTTTGGTTAGCTAAAGGAAAAGATGTCGACGATGAAGAAGCGGCGCCTGCTTAAAGTTATCATCCTCGGCGACAGTGGGTGCGTGGGGTTGTTTAGCAACTACGCTCTGGCGCTGCCTGTCGCTCAGCAATGTTAACGTGGCAATTTGGCCGTTGGACAGTGTGGGCAAGACGTCTTTAATGAACCAGTATGTGCAAAAGAAGTTCACCAAGGAGTACAAGGCGACGATTGGCGCTGACTTCCTTACCAAAGAGATTGAAGTGGATGATAAGAAGGTCACCATGCAGGTGCGTCAATCAGCACCTCACCAGCCTTCCTTTTTGCCGTCCTGGTTGGGTACATTATAGCAGCATGCTTACGCAGATCTGGGACACGGCTGGCCAAGAGCGCTTCCAAAGCCTGGGTTCGGCGTTTTACCGAGGGGCGGACTGCTGTGTGCTCGTATTCGATGTAAACAATGCGAAGAGCTTTGACGACCTGGACAACTGGCGTGATGAGTTCATCATACAGGTGAGGAAGGGGAGGCTGGGGTTTCGGGCCAGGCAAGCGGATCGCCCTGATGTCAACTCTACGCTTAGCTCTTGGCCATCTGTTTGAACAACCCTTCTAACTGTCTGGGCACTTGGAGCCCAACTTGGCAAATCCCTTCCTGTCCAGTGCGTTGTACGGTCGTTGTACGTTGTAGTACAAGCGCGCTGATGCTGCAACTTCCCGTTTCCAACCCTGCTGCCCCCTTTTGCACCCCCTCTGACCATCCCACCAGGCTGCCCCTGCCGACCCGGACAACTTCCCCTTCATGGTTCTGGGCAACAAAATCGACGAGAGCGGCGCCAACCGGCAGGTACGACCCTCCCTGCCCCTCTCCCGTCCCGTCCCTGCTTCCCCTTTGTCCGCGCCCCAAAGCGTCCCTTTAGCCCTTTTGGGTTAGCCGTCCCACTGTCAATCGAACGTCCCAACCCACGACGTTGGGACGGGGTCCCAACGGAATCTTCACCCCTACTAACCCAACACCCCGTACCACATGTTGTCAGGTGACCGAGAAGAAAGCCAAGGCCTGGTGCGCCTCCAAAGGCAGCATCCCCTACTTCGAGACGTCGGCCAAGGAGGACATCAACGTGGAGGCGGCTTTCACCTGCATCACCCGCAATGCACTGCGCAATGAGAAGGAGGAGGAGCTGTGAGTGGCGCGGAGCGCGGCTTGTTATGTGGGGGGTGGGATGGGGGAGGTAAAGAGGAAACAACGAACTGACTTTGGGCTGGGCAGGGTGGCTGGGCAGACAGGATGAGGTTGGGTTTGGGAGTAATGGAGAGAATGGCGGGGGGCGCAAGCATGCCGCTCTTGTGGCTGTTGTGGCTGTTGTTCCATGGCTGTCCTGTGACATGTGTCGTACTCTCCCACCTCTTGCCCACACCTCCTGCCCGCGCCTCCTGCCCGCACAGGTTCATGCCGGATGCGGTGGACATGAACACCTCCGCCACGCAGCGGAAGCGCACCGGGTGCTGCTGAGGGGGCAGACAGCAGGCGGAGGGCAAGGGGAATTCAATTTGTTTGACAGCTGTTGCAGCGTTGACGGGGGCTCGGGCAGGGTTAGTTAGGATACTTCGTTACTAGGGTATGAATTAGGAGGATACCATATGTGGGAATATGCTTTTGGAGAGCGTAGGCTGTCGAAGGCACAACTTGACGCCATATGCGTCGTACGCTTTAGGGACGAGGCATCGTACCGTACACGGAGTGGGCTGCATTGTGAGTCTTTCACCTTTAGTGGATGCGTCCTTATTGTCTTTGGTGGTGATCCACTACATCCACGTTACTTTTATGCAAGCGGCAAGCCGTTTTTGTGCAAATTGCAAGTTGGGGCTGTCGCGCACCCTGTCGATTACTGAACATCATTGCACAGGTTATTCTGTAGCAAAACCGCTGGTACCTCTGAAGGTTACGTCCGCACGATTACGCATACATACAACAGTTCGAGCTTCGGCAGTGACCATCACAGCTCAGGGCAACTGCCGAGCCATGCCGTCCGAAACAGCTCCAGTAACAGTGATCAGCTTCGATGTTGATGGAACGCTAATACATTCAGTAGGAGAGAGCGCTAACAAATTACACAAAGATGCTTTCAGCCATGGGTTCAAGGCTGTGTTTGGCCTTGATACAAACATCGATGTAATTCAGCATCATGGATCGACCGATCCACTCATCATCATCAAGGTGCTGGAGCATCACGGGATTAGCAAGGAAGAGGTTAGTCCGATTCCTGATGCACTGGACGACCCAGATTCACCCAGCCCCAAATGCGCTTCCTCATCCGTTTACTTTACACCACGATAGTCTTCGTCAAATCACTACATGCACCTGCATGCTTGCCCAGCCTCGAAACCCATACTGTACGGCCATCCGCTCATGAGGCATGCAGTGCCATACAAACCGCTCTTTCCCTTCACAACACCGCTGCACCATCCACTTCTCCCTTCCAAAGCATCTCCTGAAACCCAAACCCACTTCACCCCATCCCCGTGTCGCCCAACGCAGGCCATGTCCAAGCTCCAAGCGGTGCAGGCGGAGATGGAGCGCTACTTCACAGCGCACAGGGACCAGGCGGCGGTGGGCCTGGAGCTGCTGCCGGGCGTCAAGGAGCTGCTGGCCCGCCTGCAGGTGCCGTACTTGGGCTACCTTAGGCTACTTGGGAGATCGGACTGGGCCATTGCATCTAGCTGGCTACCGCACACGGGCTACAGCGGTGGCTCATGAGATCCCGACAGGCTCATTCGGCTAGCGGCTGCTCAACCGCTGTCAGCAGTGATGCAGTCGGTGGTGAGCCAGCCATGCCCACCAGCGCCCGGCTGGCTGGCTGGCTGGCAGGGGCTATGCGGCCTCCCCATCACTTCGGCCTCCCCATCACTGCGGCCCCGCACCGCCCGGCCGTCAGTTAATTAGCTTCCCCTCCCTCCCTCCCTCCCTGCCCTCCCCCCCCGTCCCGCCCCCAGTCTGTGCCCCGCGCCGCCACGTGTCTGGTGACCGGCAACTTGGAGCCCATCGGCTGGGGCAAGATGGAGCGACTGGGTGGGTGTGACACTGGGTGTGGGGGTGCTGGGGTGGGGTTGCGGGTGTCCGGTTGGGATGTATCACCAGCTGGGTAGGTCTGGTTTACCCCCGCTTTTTGTAACCACCTACTTTGTGCTGTTACATGCTTTTCAGCTACCGGGGCTTCTCCAAGCTACCCTCCAAACCACCGTTTCCACCTCCTGACCTCCTGTGCACTCATGCACTCACGCACTCATGCATGGCTGGCTGCTGCCCCCCGCACAGGCATCCTGGAGCTCTTCAGCCAGCCCCGCTTCGGTGGCTTCGGCAGCGACTTCTGCTCGGGCAACACGGCGGAGACGTGGCGGGACCGGGGGGAGTTCGTGCGCATCGCGGCGCGCAAGTGCGAGGAGCGACATGGTGCGTGTGTGTTGGGGGGGGTGCTGCGGGGGTCGGCTGCTGGGCGGGGACGGAAGCAGTGTGTTTGCGGAAGCTGTTGGGTTCCTTTTTAGAAGTAGACCAGCTGTCTGTTTAAGGGCTGGCATAAACTGTCTCTTTGCCGACAGCCCAGTCTTATTGCGCTCGTCTGCGTTGCTGTTGCAGTGTGGCAACCCGTGCGTCGCGTTGACTCATTTATACTCCATTGCTCCCAGACCGAACTGCCCTTCCTGTACGGCACCACATCCCAAGCCGAACCCTTCCCCTCCAGCTTTCCCGTGCGCTGCAACTGCTCCCTGCCAAACTGCCCCCGCCTCCTCCTCCATGTACCCCCCGCCCCCGCTGTCCACGTAGGCCCGGTGGGCGCTCGCTTCCATGTGGGTGACACGCCCATGGACATCCAGGTGGGGGGGGGAGGTGAAAGAAGGGTACCCAATGTGTTGAAAGAGAATGGAAAACAAGACGTGGGGTGAGGGTGGGGGACGTGGACTCGTGCAGAGGGCTGGGGCCGCATGGCACGCATATGAGGGCACCGTAGCTGTACCAGTCATGCTGGCAACACCATCCTGCTACTAGCCTGTACGACCGCCCTAGGCTCCGCTCCTCAGCCCGTTCCGAATAACCCAAGAAATGGTACCTTCCCCCCTTTCTGTCAACCCCTGGCGAAGCCTCGTCATACAGCTCGTCAGTTTCCTCTTTTTACCCCACCCCCCTGCCTGTCTGCTTGCGCAGGCGGCACTAGATGCGGGTGCGGTGGCCATCGGAGTTGCCACCGGCATCTACAGCCGTCAGCAGCTGGAGGCGGTGGCGCCCGGGGCGGGGGTAGTGGTGCTGGACTCGCTGGCTGACGTGGACAGGGTGATGCGGGAGATGGGGCTGGGCGCGTGATGCAAGAGGATGATGATGACCCGTGGGTCATTACACTGGCAGGGGGGGACGGTGTACGGCAGGTGGAGGGCTATTCGTAGCCCTCGTATAGACGCCCCGGTAGATAGTAGGTGTATGTATATTTACAAATACATGAGTGACAAATGTCGGCTATTAACTGTTACTTGTTGTGAGGCTTGAGCCCCTTGTTACATGCGGCCAAAGGAAGTGATGCTAAGCAATGCATCCACGCGTGCAAGCATGAGATGTTACCGGTAGCAGTATGTGTCATTTCTCCGTGGCAGTACCTGCGCGGCTACAGTAGTACAATCCAGAAGCCTCTCGTACAATCGCGCAACCTCTCCAGGCTGCAAAGCCCACAGTTGCACTATCAGCCGAGTACGAAATGTCCTTTCGGTACTTTTAGGTTCAAATTGTCAACGGTCAAAAGCGTGTGCAATACGCCAATGCCAGTCCAACCACTTTCATGCTGTACAAAGCTCTCCCACCCAGCAATTCTTCAATTGTTTTTCCATGCTGATGATGAAGCCCTCCCCGCAATACACGTTCCACAGGGGCAGCATGCAGAGTCGTACCCTCCGCCACACCCGCTGAAACAGCTCTCAGGTTTCAGTCCCTCCTGGGGGCTGCCGCCGCCGCCACTGCCGCCGCTGCTGCTGCTCCTCTTACTCGGTCTTCTTGGCCGGGGATGCCTTGGGGATCCGCCCCACCACCCTGCGAGGTGCCGTTGGGGGCCATGCGTTGTTCGCTACCATGCAACGTGGTTCGTTGGTCACATATCGGGCGCCAGCACACAGCCCCCCAGCGAAGAAGCGCGCCGCTGCCGGAAAGCATGCAACAAACAAACCCGACATGGGATCCCACCCCGACAGCGCAGTACCGTACCGTGTTGCTCACCCTCCGCAGCGCACCAACCAACAAACACCAGCGCCCCACCCAAAACCACGACACCCCGGGCACCCACTCGTGTAGCTTGGCCGCCGTCTCGTCCATCTTGGCTCGTGCGGTGGCCACTGCCCGGTCCACCTCCGACTGCTTGGCCTCGTAGGCCTTGGGCAGCGTAAAGCCCAGCAGCAGCACTGGGCAGCAGGAGGACAGCAGCGGCGACAGCAGCAGCAGCAGCAGCAGCAGTTGGGAGGAGCGAGGAGAAGAGGGAAGAAGAGGTAAAAGCGAGGATGGGTAAAAGGAAACACCCTGCTGCCAACAACCCAGATGGCAGCTCATCCCAACCGGCGTTCGCCCTCCCCCGGATCCCTTCACCCAGGGTCTCTGGACCCTGGAAAAGTGTGTTCGCGCCTACCTAGGTAGGCCAGGGTGACGGGGCTGATGACGGCGAAGATGCGCGCCGCGGCGTAGGAGCCGCACGCCACCTAAGTGGACCAAGGTGTGAGCCCGGGGGACAGGCAGGAGGCATGCACGGCGAGAAAGAGGAGAAACTCTGTCAGGGAAGTGGGCGCCGTACGATCTGAGCATGAGGCTGTCCCCTCAGCATCAGCCGCCCCGCCCCATCCCCAGTCAACCATGATGACGCCTTATCAAAAGGTCAGTTACCGGTAGTTGATTCTATCTTTTCCCCAGCACCCAGGCCACCCACCAGGAGGGACATCTTGAGGTCCTTGCCCGAGGCCAGCACGCCAACCGTGGCTGCATGCGAAGGAAACGGGGCGGGGAGATGAGGTTATCGGCGAGGACGTGATAACATGGTTTCACGGGGTCACGGTCCTTCGTTTTGGTTTGGCACAGGATTTTAGTGGGGATAGGGGAAGAACGCGTGCAACACCCCAATGCCTAGGATGTTCATGGGCAAGACATTTTTCCCTTTTCCCACCAAGAGCTCTGTTGACCACGGGAAGCATCTCATACGCGATGTTCCTGGCCTCCTCCTCGGTCAGCCCGCGCAGCATCAGCGCGGGTACAGGCGGGCCAGACCTGTCAATGGTACATGGGCTTCTCATCATGGCTGCAAATTTCATGCTTGCATAGCAGCACAGCGAAACTCGCCTGCCAACGAGGTGGCCCATCTGTGACCAAAGAAATGCCGCAAGAGACGCGATCGCGACTAGATAGCAAACGATGGTGACTGCAGGGAATGGGTTGAGGAGGAACGCGAGATACGCAGCGGTAGCCCCGCCAAATACTGCACCACTGCTCTTGACATCTCGCCAAAGAGCCAAGTCTTCAACTGCAAGCGGTGAAGCCCCGTATGTTCATGTTCAACTGTGCGAGTGCCGAGGGACTGACTTCGGACTAACCCTTCTTGCTGACAAACGGCAGATGGACCGCGTGGGTCATGGCTCCGATCGCTGTAGTCAATCAAAAATCCTAAAAGAGTTTCACAGTAGGAGCTGCCCTGGAAGTTGGCCGAAACGCTTGCGAGCGAAAATGACACACGAACTCCTTACTATGTATAGATCTTAGCCACAGAAGTGGTGTATGCCGAAACAAAGCTTGGTGGCGACCTTGAAGACTATCAACGTACGACCCAGGCGCGACCCCCCGCATCCCCGGAAGTCGCGGCGCCAAGCGTATGGCATATGCAGCCTACCTTGGCAAACTTCATACATGCATAATGCATAATCCATGGTCGCAGCAAGCTCATAGCGAAACAAGGGTTTCTGCTGCAGTCGGTCTTTCCGAGTATACCTACCTCGGGCCTCTTCGGGCTTTCCATCGTGATAACCGCTGCAAAGCCATCCTGCTTCTTTTCTCAAACGCCACTCCCGGAAGGATAATTCTCAACCGTCCTATCTCCCGTTCTACAACCGCCCATCCTGCCCCGGCTCCAAGACGTTGACCGGCTCCTGACCATCCGTTTCCTTCTCTCGTTGCTGGTCCGCGGAATCCTGATGCCCATCCTGCTGCAGGAAGGCGTCGTGCTGCAGCGACGCCAGCGGCTCGCAATCCAGCGCTGCAATGCTGATTTCAGCGTCGCGATGTATGCGTGCTACCAGCGCCTCCAGGCTACTGAAGTTGGCTTCGGGCCGCACGTAGCCGCAGATCACCAGCGACAGCGTCTCGCCGTAGAAAGACTGTCGGAAGGCATGGCAGGATGGATGCAGGGATTTACGGAGGAGGACATAAGGGCAGCAGCATGACATACAACCCCAGCAGCACAACCTGTACGTGTAAATCGTTTCTCTACTAAACCTGCTCCTGCGCCCCACCGAGCACCCCGCACCTTGTCGAAATCGTGCAGGATCCAGGGCTCCAGCGTCTTCTCCTTGTTGCCGAAGAAGGGGTTCCAGCCGATGCTCAGCACCTGCAAGCACCGCCCGCCCGGCGGGGTAGAGTAGCGGGGGTGGGCACAGCGGTACGACAGGTAGCAGCACGAGAAGAATACAGGAGCTAAAGGTTTTGAAGGTATGAACAGCATACCCTGTGATCCCGAGGATGCTGGCAATTGTGCCTTGTTTCAGCGCCGTTGGCTGTGCTGTGCCACCAAAGATCCTCCTCCGCCCCCTCACCACGTCGTGCGGTTAGTTAGTTGCAGCAACCTCTTTACCCTCACCGTCTTGTACACCCCCGGCCGCCCCTCCAGTCGCGCCCAGCCCGCGTAAATGCCCGTCACCGCCTCCGCCAGCGCAGCAGCCACCGCCGCGGGGTCGATGTTGGCGGTGGGGATACCCAGCTCCTGGGGGGGGGCGTAAAAAGAGGAAACTCATGAGCTGTATGACAAGGCTCCACCATGGTGGGTTGCTACATTGGACCATTGGGGGATGGGCGGGGTGTGTAGGAAACGGGTACGAAGGAAGGACTACCGGTATAAAGGGCTTGAAGCGAGCGTCGGCGGGGCAGTGTGCAAGGCGGAAAGGCCCCCCCCCACCTTCGTCAGTGTCTCATTATATATTTTTTACCCCACCTTGGATCCCCTGCCGAAGCCCCGCACCACCGTCCCTCGGATGCGCAGCACCCGATCCATGGGGATGACACCCTCGTAGGGGCATGGGGGTGGGAGCGGAGGTGGCGGCGGGGCAGCAACATCACTGCCGCAATCATTACAACTTTGCTGCTGCTGCTGCTGCTGCTGCTGCTGCTGCTGCTGCTGCTGCTGCTGCTGCTGCTGCTGCTGCCGCTGCTGTTGACCACCCGCATCTTGCTGTCCTCCTTCCTGCGGCTGTTGCAGCTGCGCCTGCGATGATGCCGCTGACGCTGCCGGCAGCATCCCTACCGGTGGCAACGGCGGCGGCGGCGGCAGCAGATCAGTAAACGGCGGCAGTCCAAACACCTGCGGCTGGAACGCCAACAACGACGGCAGCAGCTGCACCAACCCGACCGCCGCATCCGGCTGGGGGCTGCTGCCGTACAGCTGGGCCTGCGCCTGTGACTGCGAGGCGCCGCCCTCACCCACCAGGCTGGGTACGACACAGCAACGCATGCCGGCGGCGGTGGCGGCGAGCAGCCCGCTGGGGGCGTCCTCCAGGACGAGGCAGGCGGAGGGGGGGACGCGCAGCTGGGCGGCTGCAGCCAGGAAGACGTCGGGGTGGGGCTTGCCGCGGGGGACCTGTGGGGGGTGGGGGGAGAGGGGGGTGAGGTGGGGCTAGGGGGCTAAGGGGGCAGGGGCATGGGGCAGCCGCAGCACGTTGGGGAGGGGGATGACGTACCGGTAGCAACACTGTAACCCCCTCCTGCACGCCCCCCCCTTTCGGATAGTGTCTCCGAATGCGCTCACTGCATGAGTCGGGATTCGGGATTGGGACTGCGTTGTTGCACTTATCTATAATTCCCCCCCCCGCCTCACCTCATCCCCGCACACCACCACCGCCCCCCGCCTGCCCGCCAGCAGCTCCCGCAGCTCGCCCTTGCGACTCAGCTTGGCTGCGAAGGTGGAGCGCGGGGTGCTGGTGGCCACTGCCACACCGGCAAGCAGGGGGGCGTCAACATGCCGCCCTCCTGCTGCTGGATCCGCGCCGTCAGCACAGCAGTTGGACACCAGGTGGCGAACCAGGCGGAGAGCACCGGGCAGCAGGGGGGCGTCAGACCACCTGGGGCAGGGGCAGGGGCAGGGGCCGGTCAGGAAGGAGGAACCGGAGGGTAAGGAGCATGTGTGTGTTAAAATAACTGGCCGCGAGGCGAAACGTACTGTGATTGCATGTGTGTGTGTGTGGGGGGGGGGTTACGCTTGCATGCCGTACCCATGTGGCACTCCCTCCTCCTCCTCGCGTCTCCCAGTCTGGACCCTGGGCAATGCACCCCCCTCCCAAAACCTTCATACCCGCCCACGCATGGTTCTTCTTGTCCATCTTGCCGCTCCCCTTCCTTCCTCATCTTGCCATCCCCCCTCCCCACACACACTGGGTATCCTTCTCCCCTCCCCGCCCCACCTCCCTCCCCCCTCCCCCGCACCTGGCCGCCATGAGCGGTTCCGACTCCGCCAGCAGCTGCTCGGGGGGCACCGGCAGGTCTAGGATCTGAGGAAGGGGGAAAACAAATGATGAGTGAGGGAAGCGCGAGACGGATAGAAGGGGTTGGGCAGTCGACTGAAACACATGCATCTGACTTTTTATAAGGTTAGCCGCCCACACCTTGGCTACATCGGTCCAGCATTCAAGCGGCCGCTTGCCCAGCGCCGCGTGTTGGGCTTCCAGCGTGAGCTGCTTGCCATGGCGTGACACCACCTCGCGAGCAACCTCAACGCACAGTGATTCTGCGGGGCAACATAGTAGTGTAAGATTCCGAGGGTTTGAGGTGTTGTTCTGGATGGTTGGCTTTGGCTATAGGGTATAGAATGACCACAAATGGGAGCAGCTTGTGACAGCCAGAAGGTCCGCACCGGTGTCCAGGATCAGCCCGTCGAGGTCCAAGATGACTGCCCTGACTGGGAGGGCGGCTTGCAAAGGCGCGTCTTCGATCATAATGGCTCTAAAAGGCGTTACAAGCTTAAAACTACTACTGTAAGCATAAGATCGTTGTCATACGGCGAAAGATATGACCCATTTGATGTGGTAGCTGTCCCAAATACTTGTAGAGCGCATCAGGGCTGCACTGCCCACTCAACGACGGCAGGTATACGGCATTTGTAAGGTACGTGGCCTACAGCCCCATCACCTCGCAGCCGCAAGCAGATCGCACAAACCCGTTCAATATCTGCAGAGTAATTGCTGCTTGGTCGCGCGCGATGTAATATTAAGCTCGGCAGTTGAACTTGCTGAAGGCCATAATAAATCTGGCGCTCCAGCACTATACAAACATACTGTGTGCAAATAATAGCGATGTCTGACTAGGTACCATCAACGACGCATCGCGCAACATGGAGCATGCTGGGAACCCTGCGGAAGGGCCGCACGGCCTCAGTGAAGTGGATCTTACTGGTAGGTAAAACATTATACGGTTGTGACCCGGTTCATAGCCCCTCACACGTTGCCCTTCCGGAAAACTGCAGCAGATGGCGCGACCCATGCGGGCCAAGCAGAAGCGCTGGCGCTGTCCTCACCGCTCCTGCTTCCTTACGAACGACAACTTGTGGAAGACGCCCTCCAGGTGTGTGCCCTTCCCCCACAAGCAACAGCCTACAGCAGGCTCCCGGCTCGCATTCGCCGTCAACCTCTTCGCTTCCTGCTGCTCACCCCACCCATCTCATCCGGGCTGTGTACGGTAATGCTCCTCCTGTTTACTCGGCCCCTCCTCCACCGCCTCGCACCCTCCTCATGTGTGTTCTATCCCTCTCTCTTCCTTACCTCTCCATTCCTCCCCAACCCTCTCCCCAACCCTCTCCCCAACACTCTCCTTCCTCTCCCCAACCCTCTCCCCTCTTCTCACCCCTCTCCAACCCTCTCCACCCCTCTCCAACCCCCTCCCTCGACCCCCCCCCCCCAGGATGACTGCCTCATCATCACCGCCGCCGGTCTGGGCTGGCAGCGCATCGCCGCAGTGCTCCTCCGCATCACCCAGCGAGCCCTGCTGGCGGAGTGGAGGCAGCAGCAGCAGCAGCAGCAACAGGAGGAGCGACACCAACAAGCAGCTGGAGCAGCAGCAGCTGCTGCTGCTGCTGTTACCTTACCTCCTGCCAATCCCTCCAGCAACACAAGCAACAACATCCCAAACAACGGCGGTGCTAACGCTGCTAACAGCAATAACATCGGCGGTGGCGGAAGCGGCGGAAACGGTGGAAGCGGAAGCAATGCAAACAACAGCGTAGGAGGCGGTGGCTGTGTCCTGGTGCTGGGTGCCTCCCCCTGGCAACGCGCCCTCCTCACCTCCGAACTAGCCCGACACGATCCCTCCCTGCTGCCACCACTCGACATCACAAACGAAGTTCCCGCCCTGGAACGCATTCAGCTCTACCGCTCGCGACCCGCGGGTCGGCCGCTTTTCATTACCTCCCGCATCCTGGTAGTGGATTTGCTGGCGGGGCGGTTGCGGGGACGTCACGTGGCTGGGGTGTTGTTGCTGAATGCACATCGCGCGAGTGACACAAGCGGGGAGGGGTTTGCGGTGGCGTTGTTGCGTGGGGAGGCGGAGAGAGAGCGGGGGCGGGGGCGGGAGAGGGAGGTGGAGGGCTGGTTTGGAGGAGGCGGGGGGAGGTGCTGGATAAGGGCAATTTCGGATTCGCCCGTGGCGTTTAACCAGGGTTTTAACAAGGTGGAGAAGGTGATGAAGGCGCTTCACCTGAGGCGGCTGCTGCTGTGGCCTCGGTTCCAGGAGCAAGTACGACAGTGCCTGGACGCGAACAAACCCGTGGTACGGCAGCCGCCCACGGCCTGGGGGTTAAGGCACTTTCCTAGGGGAGGGGGGGCAGAGGTAATGGGTACCGGGGCCCCGGGACCGACGTGGGAGCCACGAGGGAAGCGTGCGGGGAACGCTGGGAGCCGGCCCGCCTCTCTCGCACCTCTCTCTCTCAGCACCTACCTCCCGTACCCCCCTCTTCCTCCCCCCTCCCCCCCCCCCCAAACAGGTATTCGAGTGGGATCAGGAGCTGAGCGCCCCCATGCGGCTCATCCAGGCGGCCCTGCTGGACGTGATGGAGGGGCTGATGCGCGAGCTGAAGCGGACCAACAAGCAGCTGGACGCGTGAGTGTGTGTTAAGAAAACTGGTGTGTGTGTGTGTGTGTGTGTTTGGGGGGGGATTAAATAAGTGAAACAACGAATCCCAATCCCAATGTTTGTGGGGGGAAGGGTCAAGGGGATCCTAGCCCTTCCACCTCACTACTGTTCTAACCAGGATCTACCCCCTTCCCTCACCACCTCACCTCCCCCTTCCCTCCTTTATACCCTCCCCCCCAGCACTTCTAAGAGAACGGCGGGCTCCCTACCCCATGCCCCCTACCTGCGTCACCCCCTCCCCTCCCCTTTTGTCTCACCCCCTCCCCTCCTCACCCCCTCACCTCCCTTCCCCCCCCAGCACCGAGCTGGTTCTAGAGAACGGCGTGCTGCGCTGCTTCGACTCGCTCATCCGGCGGCAGTTGGAACCCATTTGGCACGCCGTGGGCTGGAAGACCAGGAGGATTTGCAGGTGGGGGGGGGGGAAAGAAGAATACCCAGTGTGTATGTGTGTTGAGTGAGAGGTGGGGGGTGGGAGGGGGCTGGAGGGCGGGCGGTGGCACATGGGGTTGTTGGTCAGGCCAGCAACTTGACGATTAAAACGTACCGCAGCTGCGGATGTCAACTGATGGAGAATGCTCGCAACATCACCCCTGCATCACCCTTTAATTGCTCTACCTCCCCTCCCCCCCCTTCCAAAACACACAGCGACCTGCGCACCCTGCGTGAGCTGTCGCTGCTGCTGCTCTCCACCGACTGCGTGTCCTTCCTGGCGCACTTGGAGGGGCTCCGGCAGAGCGAGGGGACCGCCTGCTTGTGGCTCTTCCACGACGCAACCCACGCGATATACGAACAGGCCCGACGGAGGGTGTACATCTACCGCCAGCAGCAGACCGCTGGTGGTGGTGCTGCGGGTGCTGGTGCTGCTGCGGGTGGTGCTGCGGGTGGTGCTGCGGGTGCTGCTGCGGGTGGTGCTGCGGGTGCTGCTGCGGGTGCTGCTGCGGGTGCTGCTGCGGGTGGTGCTGCAAGCGGCAAAGCCAGTGGGGGTGCTGCAGGTCGTGGCGGTGGTCGTGGCAGTGCTGCTGCCGCCAGTGGCAGAGGCGGCGGCAGTGGCACTGGTGATAAAGGTGGAAGTTGTTGCGAGGTGGAGGCGGTTCTTGAGGAGCCGCCCAAGTGGGGGCTGCTGGCGGATGTGCTGGCGGAGGTGCAGGGGCAGCGGAGCAGGCTGAGGAGGCTGGGGGACGAGGGGGGCGAGGGGGGCGGGGAGGGAGGAAGGGCTGCTGCGGCGGCGGCGGCGGCAGCAGCAGGCGGAGGTAGCGGAGGTGGGAGGGGTGCAGCCGCGCCCGGTGCACAAGCGGCGGCGGCTGCAGGGGCGGCAGGGGCAGTGGAGGTGGTGGATTTGGCAAGCAGTGGGGATGAGGTGGACGAGGTGGAGGAGGAGGAGGGGGTCGCTGAGGCGGCCCACGGGTCAGGACAGCAGCAGCAGCAGCAGCAGCAGAAGCCACCAGAGGGGGCGGGGTCCACTGCTCCGGCAGCAGCAGCAGCAGCAGCAGCGGCCAAAGCGGACGGCACCACTACTGCCTCCGCCTCGCTTCGCTCCCTGCTGGAGGAACTGGGGTTGTGGGGCGGAGCGGAGGGCGAGGGCGGTGAAGAAGGCAGCAACGCTGCTGCTGGTTCTTCTGGCCCCCCTCCCCCTGCTCCCGCTCCCCCTCCTGCCCTGACCCCCGCTGACGTGGCGCGGCTGCGGGCCGCGGGGTGCGCCCCCGTGTTGGTGGTGGTGCGGGAGCTGCATGCAGCCCGCCTGCTGGAGAGGGTGCTGAGGGAAGGTGGGGGTGTTGGGGGGCCGGGGGGGGACCGGGGGGCCTCTTCGTTCTGTTTCGCCTTGTCATGTGCTCATGTGTCATTTTCACGACCTCGGGACATGCCGCACATGCCGTACATGCAGCTTCCCATGTCGCCAATCCATGCGGAAGGCTTGCGACCTCCCACACCCCCAAGGGCCTACATGGGTCAGATACCCATGCTGAAAGTCTTCCTGACCCGCGTCTGTCTTCCGTACACTCCCCTCCCCCCTCCTTCGCTAACAGGCGGTCGGTGTGTGCTGCGGGACCTGTACGAGGCCTACCTGCTCAGCAAGCTGCAACCGGGGGGAGGAGGGGGGGGAGCGGGGAGGCCAGCACGGGGAGGAGGGGGAGAAGGGGGAGCGGAGGGAGGAGGAGGAGGAGCAGGCAGGGGCCGCGGTGGCCGAGGAGGTGCTGGTGGTGGTGGTGGTGCTGGTGCTGGTGGTGGTGGTGGTGGTGTTTGGAAGCGCTACCGAGGAGGCGGCGGAGGGGATCCGGATGAGAGCGGGCGGGGGCCGGTGATGCGGCCTGGGGAGCACCAGGTGGGGCGGGAAGGGGGAGAGAGTGGGAGGGGGAGGAGGGGGACGTGGGAGAGGGAGGGAAGGGGGGAGAAGGCGGTAGGTGAGCTACGCTGTGTGCTGAGGGCGCTTGCCTGCCCTAGGGCACCCTTCTTCCCAACCCGACCGGCGCCCAGCCCAGCTGGCATGCCACCCACCCGCCTCTCATGGCGCATCAGCCCCCGCCTCGGCCCTATCTCGTCCCCTATCCCCATTGCTTTGCTCTTAACCTGTGATTCCATATAACTCTGACCCCCTCCTTTTGCCCGGCCCCCAACCGCCCTCAGGCTCTTCTGGCGGAGGCGCGGCGAGTTGGGGCGGAGCAGCCGGGGGCGGGCGGCGGCGGGGGGCCACCCGGCGGAGGCTCGAGGAGGGGATCCGGGCGGACTTGCAACAAGAGGGCGCGAGTGGGGGCCAGGACGACAGAGGAGGAGGAGGAGGAGGAGGAGGGCACTGCTGCTGGTGCTGGGATTGGGGCTGGTCGGGGAAGGGGAAGGGCGAGTAGGGGGAGGGGGAGGGGTGCTGGTCGCAGCCGGCAACGTAAGCCGGATGACTCACCGGTGCGAGTGGCTGCGGCTGCAGAGGAGGAGGAGGAGGAGAGGGGGGGAGGGGGCGGAGGAGTGAGGCGTGACCTGCTTTTTTCCGGCAGTGCCGACGGCGACGGTGACAGCAGGGGTGCTGACGAGGGGGGTGGAGAGGCTGATGAGGAGTTTGTGGGCGGCGGCAGTACCGGTGGAGGAGGCAGCGGAGGCGGTGGCGGTGGCAGAGGGCGGCGGAGGGTAACGGTGGCGAGGCAGGCGGGCAGGGTTGCTGGCGGTAGCCGGGGCAGGAGCGGGGGGCGCGGGCGAGGGCGAGGGGAAGGAGGGGTGGCGGGGCGGGGGGCGGCTCCTGAGGCTCTGCGGCCGCAGCTGGGGGCGTATGGGGCAGTTGTGGAGGGGGAAGATGACGCGGAGGAGGAGGAGGCGGCTGGGGGCCGTTCCCGACCCAGATCAGCAGCGGCAGCGCCTGCAGGGGGCAGCGGCGGCAGCGGTTGCGAGGGAGGAGGAGGAGCAGGAGCGGCCCCTGCCCCTTCCTCCCCTGCTCCTCCCCTGCTGCGTGACGTCCACTTTGTGAGTCTGGACAGTCACGACGAGTTCGTGCTGTGGCGGCTGCAGCCGGGGTGGGTGGTGATGCTGGAGCCGGACCTGGCCTTCCTGAGGCAGGTGGGCGGGGGGGGGAGGAGCGGGGGGGGGGGTGGAAAATTATATAAGAAATGCAAACGGGGTGGGGGGTGTGGGGGGGGGGAGAGCGGGGGGGGGTGGGGGTGGGGAATCACAGAGGGGCCAAAGAGAGGGGTGGGAAGGAGGGGTTGGGCGGATTGGGGGCGTGAGGGAGGGGTGAGGGGATGGGCATTCCGCACAGGACGGGAATACTCCCTCGACGCCGACGTGAGGGCGAGTACTGCCTAACCTTGTATCCCCCAAACCCTACTTTACCCTGATCACACGCAACCCTCCCTGCATTACCCCTCCCTCCCCCCGCGGACAACTCCATATGCGCTCACTGCATGAGTCGGGATATGGGATTGGGACTCATTGTTTCACTTATTTAATTTTCCCCCCGCGGTCAGCTAGTTGTTTCCTCTTTACCCCCGCGCTCAGGTGGAGGTATCGTCAGGGTCTCTTCATCCCCCCCCTCCCCTCCCCCCCCCTCCCCCCTCCTCCCCTCCAGGTGGAGGTGTACCAGGCGGAGCGCTCCCTGCGCGGCAGTCCGCCCCTCTGGCTGCACACCCTCACCTACTCCGCCTCCCTGGAGCAGCAGCGCTTCAGGGCTGCAGTGGAGAGGGAGAGGGACTGCGCGCTGAGGCTGATCGCAGCAAAACAACACATCGTGCTACCAACCACCGCTGCTGCTGGTGGTGGTGCTGCTTCTGGTGGTGGCAATGCCATACAGTCGGTTGCTGGCAGTGGCGGCGGCAGTGGGGGTGCAGTGAGTGCGGACCTGTGGTTGGATGTGTATTCCGCGAATGCGTTGACACGGGCGGCGGGCGGCAGGGCGGCGGGAGCGACCCGTGGGTCAGCGGCGTCGGCGGCGACGCCTCGGCGGTTGGTGGTTGATGTACGGGAGTTTATGAGCAACCTGCCTGCCGTACTGTACAACAAGGTGGGGTTGGGTTTGGGTGGTAGCTCGACTGATCCTGCATCCAAGGGCTTTCCAAGGGCTTTCGTCACGAGGTTCCCTCTTCTCGTTATCCATTTAGTCTTGATTGTTTTCCCTTCCTCATGTTCCCCCCTCTTCCCCCTGGGCCCCCCCACGCGCCCTGCAGGGTTTCGATCTCGTGCCCGTCACACTGGAGGTGGGCGACTACGTGCTCTCCCCGCAGACGGTTGTGGAGCGCAAGAGCATACCCGACCTGCACGCGAGCCTGGCCAGTGGCAGGTGGGGGGAGGGAGGGCGGGGGTGATTGCGGCTCCTAACCCTTGCCTGCCGCCCCCCCTCCCCCACTCCCTCCCTCCCTTCCCCCAACGGGATCGGGATTGGTACTCCGTGGTTTCACTTTCCGTTTATCGTTCCCCCCCCATTCCCTCCCCATTGCTTTGCCTGTGGTCTCCTATGGTTTGGTATGATCTTCGACCCCCCCCCGTTTTGGTTGTACCCTATCACCCTCTCCCCCTTCCCTGGCCCCCCAGGCTGTACCACCAAGCCGAGTCCATGTCCCGACACTACTCCCGCCCGCTGCTGCTGATTGAGTTCGACCCCGACCGGCAGTTCGGGCTGCAGGGGGCCGGGGAGCTGGGGGACGACATAGACCCGCGCCACGTCATCAGCAAGCTCACACTGCTGACACTGCACTTCCCCAAGCTGAGGTGGGTGGGTGGGGTGGGGGTGGGGTGGGGGGAGGATGCGGGAGAAAAGAAAGCTAGGACTGGGGACACCAGTGCTAAACCATAGCAGAGTTGAAAGACGCCGACCTTAGTCACACTTCTCAGCCATAGACCTTTCCACCTCCCACCTCCCACCTCCCACCTCCACCCCCCCTCCCCCAGGCTGCTCTGGTCCCGCAGTCCGCACGCCACCGCCGACCTGTTCGCCTCCCTCAAGTCTAACCAGGACGAACCCGACCCGCAGCAGGCGGCTCTGGTGGGCCTGCCGCTGGGGCCGGATGGGGTGCCGCTGCTGGGGGGCCTGGGGGCAGCGGCTGCAGGGTCGGGAGGAGCGGCGGGAGGGATGGGAGGAGCAGCGGGAGGAGCAGGAGCGTCGGGGAGTGGCGGGCAGCAGCCTTTGGAGGCTGTTGTGAACCAGTCAGCCCTGGAGCTGCTGCGGCGGTTGCCCGGGGTCAACGACTCCAACTTCCGTTCGTTGGTGTCGGCGGTTGGTAGTTTGGCTGAGCTGGCGGACCTGCCGTTGGCTCGGCTGGAGGGTATCATGGGGAGCAGGAACGCGAGGGCGCTGCGGGAGTTCCTGGATGCGCCATGTCCCAGGATATGAGGGGAATGAGGATCTGAGGGGGAAAGAAGGAATGTCAATGCGTGGTGTGATAGTGGTAGATATAGGGGGGGGATGTAGTTCACATACTGACAGACATACCAGGATGTGAGAGGCGGGGTGTGTGAGTGGCGTGCTGAGGGCGGGTATAGCAGTAGGGCAGCAGCAGTGACTGCAGGTTGAGGTGCATGCGCATGTGGGGTGATGCACGCGGGGTGATGCACGCGGGGGGGCGCTGAAGGGAAGTAAAGTGGTTTGGGAGGTGCTTGGCAGCCCTCCCTAATGACCAGGTGGAGCGAGGCTGCAGTAGAAGCGTCCTTTTCGGACCTTTCCTACACACGATCGGTGCCACCACCCGACCTCCACCTGCTAACTGTTACCGTGTACCATGTAAGACATGCATGCATGCGCATTCTCTGTAAAACATGCATGCCTGCTGGAAAGCTGCAGAAATCTCCATCTCGGTGGCATCTCAGGACAAGCGCGGGGTTGCTGTCTCTCACATCAGCAGCACAGCACAACCTTCATTCCCGCTACTGAATCGATTATACACCTTGACGTCCGCCCCTCCCCGAACTAGCAGTCCGTTACCCAGTAACAGCCACCTTCCCGCTCCTCCATTACACGTCAAAACACAAAGACTGAATCATCACACCACAGCATGAATCGCCTCTCTTCTTGTACAAACCTACATGCAACAACTCCTACGAGATGACAACTTTCCCCCCGTACATGCCGGCTGGGAGCCACCCCCATCCCCCCATCTCAATCCTGCTGTGTTTTCTAACTTTCCTCGACTCACTCCCTCTCTGCTTCCTTTCAATCCTCGCTTCTCTCTCTCCTTCTGTCTCTACTCGTTCTCCCTCTCCTCCTTCTTCCTCCCACTTCTTTCTTCCCTCTCGTTTCGCGTCACAGCTCAAACACCTCGATCAACCGCGCCAGCATATCTGAGGCGGGGCGGGGCGGGGAGAGCCGCGGGAGGGCGGGGGTGAGGGATGAAGAGGGGTGTTGAAGAGAGGGATGAAGAGGATTGCGTCATGTTGGAGGCCAGGCGGCAGGACGGGGCGGGACGGCAGGGGAGTGTGGGAAGGGCCGAGATGACACGTGAGGGGGCGGGGAGAGAGGACCACAGGAGGACCGAGACGACCCGCCAGACCGCCACACACATGTATCCCCTTCCCATCAAACACAACACACAGTCTTCTGAACACACCCTCTCGCCCATGCAAACCCCCCCACTACCCCCTACCATCAGCCATGCCAAGGTGCCACCCACAACAATCCCCCCTTCCCCTCACCCCCCTCCCCCTCCCCCTCACCGGCATGCCTCTGCCGGCACTCCTCATAACTGAATTTGAACCTGCCGTACCGCCCCCGCTCGTCCAACAACGGTCCCGTAAAACCCGGCAGCGCCGCCGCCACCCCCGCCCGCCGCCACAGCCCCGCCTTGCTGTCGTACTCGGCTGTAGCAGCCGCCGCACTCGCTATCGTGGCCGGCAGTAGCACCAGGTTGCCTAATTTGGCGTGCCAATGCAACCGCTGGACTTCGTACCAGTACTTGACATCGTACGACACCGTTGGCGGTTGCGGTTGCGAAGCAATTTGTACGGCATCCATATCTACATCAGCGGGCTTCATTCCGGAGGCGCCGGAGGAGGAAGCGGCGGAGGTGTTGGTGTTAACAGCAGCTGCGCTGGCGGCGGCGGCGGAAGCAGCAGCTGCAGTGATGCAGGTATGAGGCCATGGGCCCTGTGGGTCGCAGGGGGAGGAGATGCGGGTTTTGCGCCACGCGGAGCCCTCGGGCGCGGTCTGCGGTACCATCTTCTCCACGATGAGGCCCTCCAGAGCGGAACCGCGCGACCCACGGGTCAGTTGCTGCACCGCTGCGGGTGGCTCGAGGCGCAGCAGCAGGTGGCGGAGGGTGCGTTGGTCGGCGCTGCCGTACAGGTCCTTGGAATCCAACAGGGCCCTGGGGTGAGGGGGGTTGGAGGGTGGGGGGGGGGGTGTATGGATGGGGGAGTGGGGGTGAAGAAAAAGCAATTTGGGTGTGTGTATGTGTATGTGGCAGGAAAATACCGCCTCGCCCCTTGCCCACTCCGTTGGGTTGGTGTGGGTTGCTGCTCCTGATATCACAGGAGTGGTTTAGCCAACCTCCCCTTATCTACCTCCCTTTCCCCTTCCACGCTCATCCTCTCTCTCCTCTCCACCCTCCCCCTCCCATGTTGACGCCTTATCCCTCAGTCAGTTAGTTGTTTCCTCTTTACCCCCCCCCCCCTCCTCCCCTCCTCCCCCCACCTGAACTCCCTCTTCTCCTCCTCCGTCAGCGCCAGCACCCGCAGCACCCCCCGCGGGTCCAGCGGCCGCCGCAGCAGCGCCCCCGCCACCTCCCCCCACCGGGCGGCACGGGAGGCCGGGCAGCCCCGTAGCTCTAGCAGCAGCTGCAGAGCCTCGGCACGCTGGGGGGAGGGGGAGGAGAGGTTGGGGGATGGGGGGTTGCGGGGAGTGGGTATTGCAAGTAATGCGCGGTGGATTACTACCTTTACTCCCCTCACTTCTCCATCCCAAGCAGTCTCCCCCCCTCCCGCTCCCCTCCCTCCTCCCCCTCTCCTCCCTCCCCCCTCCCTCCTCCCCCTCCCTCCTACCCTTCTCCTCCCCCTCCCTCCCCCCTCCCTCACCTTCATGAACTCCGCCCGCATCTCCAGGTCGTCCACCTGATAGCAAAACTCCAACAGCGGGGGCAGCCACCCGCACCCCCCCTGCCCCCCACCCCCCTGCACCGCCCCCTCCCCCTCCTCCTCGTCCTGTCTAAACAGGTTGAGGTGGGTGCTGCGCTGCGACAGCTCGGACAGCAGCTCGGGGATACTCCTCCTCCGGGGCCTGATGCTGGTGGTGGTGGGGATGCTGAGGAGTGTAAGGGAGGAGGAGGAGGGGGAGGAGGCCGCCTCAGCAGCAACCCCAACAGCAACCCCAGCAGCAGCAGTCGGGGCCAGGGGTGGGAAGTCCGCCGCAGCCGCAGTCACCGCGGCATCTCGCGATACCGCTGCCAGGGGCTCAGGCAGCAGCAACACCGCCTCCTCGGCCTCCTCCTGCATGCTGCCGCGGCTCCTCTCCTCCTCCCGCCCCTCCCCCTCCCCCTCCCCCTCCCCCTCCCCCTCCCCCTCCCTCGAGAGGAACTGCGCCTCCTGCCAGTGGCGGTGCTGGTCATGTAGGGCGGCTAGCAGCGCCTTCTCACCCTCCTCGTCGTTGGCAGCCGCCACCACCACTGCTGCTGCTCCTGAGGGGGGTGCTAGTGCTGCTGCTTCCGGTGTTGCTGCTGCTGCTGGAGCGGATAGCTCCCCCAGACGTCCCCCTCCTGCTCCTCCCAACACCGCTGCAGCCGCACGCGCCACCCGATCCGGATACTCCACCCCACTGCCGCTGCCAACACCATCACCACCACCACCACCGCTGCTGCTGCTGCTGTAGCCGTCGTCATACGTCAAACTGCCATCACTCTCCTGCACCGCCTCCTCCTCCTCCACCTCCTCCTCCACCTCCACCTCCTGGGGTGTTTCCGCCAGCGCCGCCGCCACCTCCGGCGCCGCCCACTCCGCCTGCCTCAGCTGCAGGAGCAACCTCGCATAGTCAAGCGCCACTCGCAGCACCCCCCGAATGGCCCGTGGGTCATCCACCTTGCGTGTAAAGTACTCCAGCAGGGGTGTGTCGGCGACCCGTGGGTCGCTGACTGCCGCCAGCTGCCGCATGTAGTGGAACACGCGGTGGAAGGCGGGGCGACCCAGGGTGGCCTCCATGTGGCCCCAGGCGTCGGCGAGGTGGGCACGGTCGGAGGGGGAGAGGTCCTGGGGGCGGGGGGGGGGAAAGAAGAATCCCAAGAAGGGGGAGGGGGTAAAGAGGAAACGACTAACGACCCGCGTGTTAGGAGGGAGAGGAGGCGAGGGGGAGAAGGAGGGTGAGGGAGGAAGGGCGAAAAGAAAGCGCAGAGATGTGAGGACTGAAGAGGAATCCAAGCCAGCGCTTCCTATGCTTGGCAGCACTGGTATGTTTGTGATGCCGCTTCTGCGAGGCGCTCCCCATGCATGCACCCCTCAGCCATGCACAGCCCCTCAGCCCCGTGCAGCCAAGCAGCAACACCGCCCTGCTTCGACACCCCTCCCTCTTACAATGGGCATCCTTTTCTCCTCCCCCTGCCCCGCCCTTCACCCCCCTCCCCCTCTCCCCCTCCCTCTCCCCCTCTCCCTCCCCCCCCCGTGCACCCACCCCCGCCAGCAGGTCGGCTTTCAGCTTATCCACCACACTGAGGTCCATGCCCCGCCCGTTGAGGGTGGAGAAGATGCGGAAGGAAGCGCTCTCGTCCCGCGCCACCATCAACACCACGAAGCAGTTGCGCAGCACGTGGAAGGCAAAGTCCTGCAGGTTCAATCCCACCCCGGCTCCAACCCCACTGGTTCCACTGCCTCCAACCGCACCTCCCCGCTGATGCTGATGCTGAGGTGGCTGTGACTGAGATTGAGGTTGAGGTTGAGATTGAGATTGAACTCCTTGCTCCGCCAGCTGTGTCAGGTGGTCTCGGAGGAAGGCCGCGTTGTCGTACAGTCGCCACCAGGTTTCATTCGCCAGGGGCAGGCAGGAGCGCTCGGCAACGTCCTCCGCCTCCTCCTCACCACCCTCACCCTTCCCACCCTCCTCCTCCTCCCGCTGTTGCTGCAGCTCCAGCCCCCCCGGCTGCTGCTGCTCCTGCTGCCGTAGCGGCTGAAATCCCACCCATGCAGCGGTAGCAGTAGCAGGGCCCGCAGATGCAGCAGCCGCAGCCGCCGCTCCCTCCAGGCGGTATTGGACGGGCAGGAAGGCGTCGAGGACGTTGGCTCGGAAGAACGCGTCATCCGCTGGACGCAGCCGCAACCTGTATCTACCGCCCCCACTGCCGCTGCTGTCGCTCATATCGCCCCCGCTGCTGCTGCTGTCATCACCACCGGGGCCCTCCATGAGCAGCGGGTCGGCCTCCAGGTACAGCATGCGGTGCAGTCGGGCCTGCAGACCCGCGTAGGGGGAGGAGGAAGAGGAGGAGAAGGAGGAGGAGGAGGAGGAGGACATGACAGCACCCCCACCCCCACCTCCATTCCGCTGCTGCTGCTGCTGCAGGTGCCGCTGGTGTTGGCTGGCGGCCCAGTGGTGCAGGAAGGAGAGCAGGATGACCAGACTGGTCAGCCGCTGCTGGCCGTCAATCAGCTGGAGGGGGGGGAGGAGGGGGGGCGGAGGCGGGGGGCGGGCATTACGGGAAAGGAGAATAGATGAGCTGAGCCTGTGGCAGTGTGGTCCAATCCCCACCCCTGCATCTCCCCTCCACTCCGCACGACACACACACAGTCCGATACTACTCGATAGCTCTATTACAACATAGCCAACGGACTTCACTTCACCTGTGGCGTTTTTCGGTGGGAGGACTTCATCTTTCGGCAATCACAGTACGTTTCGCCTCGCGGCCAGTTATTTTAACACACACCCCCACCTGGTACGGCACCCCCTTCACTCCTCACCACGCCCCTTCCCCGGCCCCTCCAACCCCCAAAACACACACGCTCCCCCCCACCTGGTACGGCGCCCCCTCCGCTGCCCGGGTAGCCACGATAGCCCCCAGGAAGTACTCCTGCCGGTTCTGGTAGGCGCGGAGAAAGTCCTGGTGGTTGGGGTGGTTGGGGTGGTTGGGGATAGAAGGGGAGGAGGAGGAGGAGGTCGTCAGGTTGATATAACCCCACAACTGTACGACAAGCACGCACCGGCCACCGGTCCCAGGCCCCAACACAGCTTCCAAACCCACGCCTCCAAGTCCTCCACCCGTCCCGCACCTGCAGCAGCTCGTACATTTGCTTGTTGCGCCATGCGTAGGGGCGCTGGTAGGGCGGGATGTCGAAGCGGAAATCGGAGGAGTCAAACAACTGGAAGAGAGAGACCTGAGGGGGCGGGGGGAGGAGGGTGGGGGGAACGGAAGAGGGTGGCAGGGTAAGAAGGAGAAAAACACCGTGCCTTGGACGATAGTGGCGGAGGAGGGAGGAGGAGGAGGTGCGGGAGGGGGGAAAAGAAAAGCGGCCCGAGGGGCCTCCGTACCTGACGAGCTTCAAGAAAGTCGCGCTTGGGTGCAACCTTGGGTTGTGGAGCTGGCACGGCGGGCTGAGGGGCAGGTGCTGCGGCGGGCTGCTGATGAGATGGCTGTTGGGATGGCTGCTGCGGCTGCTCTTGAGTTAGGGTCTGAGGAGCCTTGCGCTGTTGTTGCTGCTGCTGTACAAAATTGTTGAACCAATCCTTGAAGGCGGTTACGCGCAAGCGAGGTTGCCTTGGCGCGCGGGGCCATCCATGCCCGGGCAATGGAGTGCGTATTTGCCGGCTCGCTAATCCACGGGCGCCGAACTTCGGATCCATTTGTGACTTCTAATGGCGTAAAACGGTAACCAGCTGATGGAAAGGCGCTCTTAAGAGAGCGGCATAAAGCTGTCGCGTTTGGCACAACAGCCCACGACTTCCAGAAAGACAACTAACAAGGCAAGCCGTTACGTCACTACACTATAATATTATTAAGCCGAGGCATAGGTTGCTGATCGGCCAGAAGACTGCAATCGAACAAGAAATGCGCCTTTCCCGCCCGTCTTCATACGACAATGAACACGGCAGGATCCTCGTGCGACAGCGCCCTTGTTCCTAGAAATTAAGCGCATGAAACGTATTAAGAGATTCAAATGGTAATGATAAGTTTGGACGTCTATGGGCATCCGAGAAGGCACTGGACAAGAGAAACATGGCATGCAACATGTACGCGCCGGGCCGAGGGCATGCTTCCCCTTCCCAAACAGGTAACCCAGCAGACACTTGAGAACATCCTGCATATGGTGCTGCCTGCGCTGTCTTGCATACATTTGGTAGTTGGCCGCGTGGCCAGCTAGGGTTAGCTGGCCCCCAGCTTAGACGAAAGCTTCCTGAAGGACCCCCACGAAACCCACATCTGTACCAAGGCTCCTCCATTTCGACGTAATGTTTGAGGTTTCATAGCGTACCTGCGGAATGGTGCACGCGCATGCGGCATCCTTGCCGTACAGGTGTTTCAAAGCTTAATGTGGCAACACGGGTTCCTCTCGCCTGGGGAAACGTGAGTGGGAGCGGTACACGCGCCTATTTGAGGTAGAAGATGCTGCTGTCGTACAGAAGATTGACGAGGCTGTTAGCCAACTGGGCCATGGTCTTAACAGTACGGAGGTTGTTACAGTGATCTGTCGGGCTCTTAAGAAGGCTATTGACGCCACGTTTCGTCTTGAGAGGAGGCAAGGGTCCATTCCTAGTGCAGGCAGGACGGACAAGGATGCGCCTTGGTGGACACCTGAGTGTGCGGAAGCCCGTGAGGCCATGTTTGCTCAAAAGGCGCTCATGCGTACTAACGGTCTGCTGGGCGATCAGGATGCCAGAGCTGAGTTCAGTCGGTTGCGCACGAAGTATCAACGTCTACGCAGGGAGGCTAAGGACAAGTTCCGGGTCATGCATTTTGAAGGAGTTATCGAAGAATGTCGGGGGGATCCACGGGCGCTGTGGGGTCGGCTGAATGGCAGATTTAGTCAGGGGTGCCCTATCACGGATGTCAACAGTTGGGGAGCCTATTTTAATGCGCTGTTTAATGGGGAAGTCAATGCGTTTAACGAAGTTTCCGCGGACACCATCCTTAGTACCATCAACGGTGTGCCACATGGGAGGGGAAGAGGATGGGTAAGGGCGACAGGCGATCGGGTAGCACGAGTCACCGCTGCTGCTGCGCTCAATGTTCCGTTCACCTTGGCGGAAGTCATTGCTGCGCTGAAGTCTTTGCGTAATAACAAGTCTGGGGGTTTGGACAGAGTACCGGCTGAATGTTTCAAGTGTGCGACGAGAGAGGTTGAGGGTAGAAGGATGTTTGTTTTAGCCCCTTACCTGCTCAAGCTACTAGAGCATATCCGCAGCACGGGGGATTATCCTGTGCAGTTTGAGGTCTCTGCGCTCACGCCCATCCACAAAAAAGGCGATGTGATGGAGAAGGGTAACTATAGGGGTTTAGCAGTGGGTGGTGTTTTGTCTAAGCTTTATGCGTTTATGTTGGAGCACAGGCTGTCTCGTTGGGGCGAGCTGGTGGGAGCTAGGTCGCCGTATCAGGGAGGTTTCCGACGCAAGCGGGGTACCTGCCACAACCTGTTTTTGTTGCGACATCTGACGGACAAACATAAGGGGGGGCGAGATGCAGTTGACCCCCTGTTCGTTTGTCAGATTGACTTTGAGAAAGCGTTTGACAAGGTGCCACGTGATCTCTTGTGGTTAAGGTTGGAGGAACGAGGTGTGCATGGCGCTATGCTGGAGGCTCTCAAGACTTGTTACAACAAGGTCATGATGCGTGTCAGGGTAGACGGAGTGACGGGGGATCCTTTTGAATCTTCGCAGGGAGTCAAGCAAGGATGCCCTCTCAGCCCTACGCTTTACGGGATTTTTGGCGAGGGGTTTGCTGACTATGTTGACGCTAAGGATAAGTGGCTCCCTGATGCTATGCGCGCTAAGCAGCAGACTCCCCATGCGGATGGCCGGCGTATCCCGTTGGAACTGTATGCCGACGACCTCAGCCTTTTCGCTACGACGCACAGACGGCTGATTGTGTTGCTTGCTGATTTGAGAGAGTGGTGTGAGGCCTTTGGGATGCGGGTGAATGTCCGTAAATGTGAATTGATGGTTTTCCACCCTCGTGCCAATATCCGCGAGGCTTTTGCTGCCCTTTGCCCCGTGGTGTGGACTTCTATTGAGGGAAATGCGCGAGTACCTATGGTTATTCCCTGGGTACAACGAGCCCGTTACCTTGGTTTGCACTTTGGTCCTGGCACACCGTTTGTTTCCTGCACAGAGGAACTGTTGACCTCTGGCCGACGTGCTATGTTTTCTCTTCAGCGTAAATTAAAACGCCTAGGTCTTTTGGTCCCTGCTGTTGCAGTTAAGTGCTTCGACGTGCAAGTCCGCTCCATCTTGTCGTACGGTGTCCAGGTGTGGGGGCCTGATGTGGTGCTGAAGCTAATGACGGACTGCGAGAATTCCGCGAGGTACTTTGACAGATCCTTGCGGGACCCAATGGTGCAGTTACAAAGGGAATTTCTTCGGGAGATTGCGGGTGTGAAAGTCTCGCCTGATAAGTTGCTGTTTAAGGAGTTTAACCAGCGCCCCTTGCATGTCTTCTGGCTGGAACTGTTTCTGAGGTTTTGGAATGACCTGGTCAAGCAGAAGGACACGGTCTACCACCAGGCGTTGCGAGGTGAAATTCGTTCGGCTCTCAGTACTGAGCATTATGATGGCTGGGGTTCTAAGGTGTTGAAGATTCTGAAAATGTTAGGGACGGATTTGACGGCCTTGGGGGGTGAGTTGGACTTGAATGCGCGTGTGGAACGTATTGCTGGCACGGAGCTAAATGTGTCTGCTCTCACTAAAAAGTTTGCTGATAGAATGGATGCGGATTGGGAGGATAGGAGTTTGGAAGATGACCCGCGGCTTTTCAACCCAGTAGACCCCGTACCAGGGGTTGGAGTTAAGATGTGCAGGTACAAAAATTGGATGGGTGACCCGGTTGACAGGGGGTACATTACTCAGCGGCAGCATGTGAACCTGATGCGTTTTCGGCTGTGTGTGTGGGGCATTGAAGCCAATCGCCCTAGGGGTAGGCAACGAGTAGCGCGTGTCTGTCCTATGTGTGCCGTGCAGGGGTCGCCGGGGAGAGTGGAAGATGAGAAACACATCCTCATTGAATGTCCCGCTTACGATGATTTGCGTGATAAGATATGGGAAAGTGGTGTCTCACGGGATGCTGATATGATTGCTGTCATGGGCATGGAGAATCAGGCATTGCTTGCTAGCGTAATCACTAGCATGCGAAGTCGCAGGATTGCGCAGACAGGGTTTATCATATGATTAGCGTTCTGTTTGTTGTCTCTTTTGTTTTACTTTTCTTCTTTTGGTTGTTTTCGCGTTTTGTGCTCGCGATCCATGAGCCATCTGGCTCGGACGGATCTTACGAGCTCGGTACGAAGCTTGTAACACATACACATACACATACAATGTGATAGCGTATTATGAACATATATTCCTATCTTTAAAAGTGAGCTGGTACATAATTGTTCCTGGGTCCACTCCTTCCCTATCAACACCCTTCGCGTTATACTTCGACTTGCGCCATGAGCAAGAAGAACAACAAGTCGACAAAGCGGAAAGCCCACGAATTTGACCTTCAACGTGAAAAGGCGGAAGCCGATGAGCGAGCCAAGAAGCTTGCGAAAAAGCAGAATGCCGGCGTTCAGAAAGTAAAAAAGAACAAGGGCGTTCGGATCCGCAAGGGAGTGGTTGTCAAGGGCATCAAAGTCGTTGACGCGGAGACGAAGAGCAAGGTCAAGTCCGTGCTCGCCAAGGCCGCAAGGGCGAAGGCGAAGGCCCGGATGGATGTCGATGACGCGGCGGCGCCTCGCGTAAAGCGCACCAAGAAGACTTCAGGCAACTCCAAGAAGGCCGCTGGGAAGGACATGATGGATACGCAGTAGGCGGATTGCGGCCACTTGCTTGGCCGTGTCCATTGGAGCCTGGGGAGATGGGTTTCGTGGGCGCACGCAGCGTGGAAATACAGAGTCAGGCCAAGGGGGCTCTCCGCTTAGGAGGGAGATCCTGAAATGTTTCCTAAGAGGAGGATGGATTGCAGCCTGCAGGGTTTTGGTGGGTTAAGGGGCCAAGTTGGTACGGGGCCAACGTAGCTACCGTGTGCTAGAAGTTTAGCTTTTACCGGCCTCCGCAGTGCCCTCCTAAATGTCATTCTTGTTGCCGGGCCGATGTTTGTCGTGCATATGGCTAGCGATGAGGCGGCAGCTCCTGTAAGATGAACTCTTCACACGTGTGGCTGACTTTACGGTGACATGCTTGGTATCAAGTTTAGTTAGTTACCCGGGTTATTAGGGTTGGGCTGATGAGGGAGAATCTGACGTTTTGGTGCTGTAAGAACTGATATGGAACGTGTAAAGTACGACAGGTTGGTGGTGGGTGGTTCGTATCTGTGGGAGTTGGTGGTCGGGTGTGGGACGTGTTGTGCTGTATGGCTCGTAGGTGGTGTGTGGCCCTGGGTTTGAAGGTGTGCACGGCAAGGCTGCACAAGCGATGTTGTGCAGATACCTGTACGGTACTGTGGGTTGTGTAGCGAATCACCATGCGCCGGTGTGCAGTTTCAAGCGTACCCTACCTGGGCTCAGACCTACATGGATCCATGAAAAGTCATTCACTGTCGACAGCTTCCTTGATGAATGAATGACCGTTACAATGGTTCCCGAAAAGGGGACACGGCCTTGCTGTTTCAAACATACGGAAACCCCATGACCATGCCACGTGCCCGTGCGAGCCGCGGCCAGACCAGCAGTTCGTCATCATCCTCACGAAACCAGCCACAACCTCCTCGTCAGCAGATCCTTACTGGTCTAGATCACCCAGCCGACTAGACCCAGACATGGGGACCCATGTGGGTTACATCACATGATGCACACCACCCACATGCTGACGCCGCCTATGGAGTGCCGCAGCGAAACCCAGGACGCCGCCCGACGTCCTTTTCTCCCTTAGTCCCGCTGCGCCATCACGCTTGCTGCTGCTGCTGCTGCATCTGCATCTGCATGGCCTGCTGCATCTGCCGCTGCCGCTCCCGACCCCCTTCCAGCAGCCGAACCGTGGTGGGGGTCAGCCGCACCTGCACGGGCAGGCAGCAAGGAGGGAGAGATGGGCGGCGGGGGCAGCAGCGGGGAACTGGTGGGAAAGGTGGTTGTGTGGTTTCCCCTAGGGAAACTGACTGCGGAAGCGTACAAGGATAGCCAAGGAACCGTCTTAGGGATCCCCAACCGACCCATGGGTCTCGGCCATCCGCCCACAACCTCAAACCACCCTCCCAAGTCCCAACATGAACCCATTTGCACCCACCCCACTGCACCCCAACCCGCACACTCACATTCCGCTGCACCATCGCACTCGCATAGTACTCGGCCTTCTCCTGCTCCCCCGCATTGACCGCCGTACGGATCACGACGTACGCCGTATCATGGCTGTACGGCAGGCCTCCCAGCGGCATGGCCGCCAGCACCTCCTCTATCTTTGCCAGCTCGCCCTGCTGCCCCCAGTGCTTCAGCAGCTCGTGAAGCCGAGTGGAGCTAAGCAGCAGCCCCAGCTCCGTGGCGCGACGTAACGCCTCCACTAACACGTCGGGTGCGTCGGCGTCGCGAATCATCTGCAGGGGGGTGCGGCGATGAGATCTGCGTCATGCTGGCTCTAGTACAGCTAAATAAAGATCCAGATATTGGACAGCATGACGTGATTGGTCATTCAGTTGGTAATTCAGTTGGTTGAATGTTCGGTTAGCGCTGATCAGATAGCGTGGATAAGCATATCAGCACGAAGCCGTGTCGCTCCTCGCTCGCTGTTGGGGAACTGCAAACCCGCCGATGTTGGCGCCTTATCCCTCAGTCAGTTAGTTGTTTCCTCTTTACCCACCCCCACCCACCCACCCACCCGCGCGAATGCAGCCGCCAGGTGCTCGTCAAATGGATCCGGTCTGCCTCGCCGTACACGTGACGCCCGTACGGCGGCGAATGCGTTGAGCGCCACTCGCGCCTCTTGCGGCGAGGTGGCGAGGCGGCAGATCATGTGCAGGGCGTCAACGTCTGGGAGGGGCGGGGGGGAGGAAGATGGGGGGTATTACATGCGGGGGGGGGGGAAAGATGAGGGGAGGACTTGACTTGTGTCCTATGCGAAGTCCGACAGGCAGCGGGTTGGGGAGCATAGAGGGCAGGTAAACGAAAACGCCTCCCACCGCAGCGCCCACATGAGTTGGTGACAACCGCAAAACAACCCACCAGGGATCCAGGGTCAAACCGCACACCCTTCCTCTGCCCTCTCCACTGCTTCTCCACCTCCTCCCCCCCCCTCCCCTACACCCCTCCCCTCCTGTGGGTATCCTCCTTACACCCTCCCTCCCCTCCCCTCCCCGGTCCCCTCCCTCACCGCACGTGTTCCTCTCGCACCGCTGCACGATCTCCTCATACAGCGCGGCAGGCGTGTAGTCCGGCCGCGCGAACCAACCTGCGGGGTTGAACGGGTGGAGGGTGGATAAAAAATTGGAAAACCTGACGAACTGTGTGGCGAGGCTTGCAGGGGGGGCGGGGGTAAGGACGAAACCAACCATGTGACAAGGCCCCATGTGACAAGGCAGTGGCAGGGGGGCAGGGGCCGTCAGAGGGACAATACGGCAGTCACACATTTCTTGATAGCCCGCATTGCCCCCCTGTCAGCAACCCGGAAGGAGTGAAGGGGGGCGTACTTTCCCCCCCACATACGGTAGCTGCCACCCCTTCCACCCATGCACCGCACGTTCAGGTGTGCTTCGCCAGTAGCTGGGCGAGAAGGGGCGTTGCCATTGGCGTTGTTGCTGCCGTTGTTGTTGTTGCTGCTGCTGCTGCTGTCGATGGGGTTGTGGCTGGAATTGCTGCTGTTGTTGTTGTGCTTGTTGCTGCGACTGCTGCTGCGGTTGCTGCGCCGCCGGGTACCGCTGTTGAAACGGCTGTTGGAATGGCTGTTGGTACGAGTGCTGCTGTGGTGGTTGCTGGTATTGCTGCTGCTGCTGCGGCCGCTGCAGTGGCGGCTGTCCTAACCGCGATGGTGGAGGCTGCTGCTGCCCCGCTGCTGGTGGTGGTGGTGGCGGTGGTGGTGGTGATGGTGGGCTCTGTTGCCGCCTGCGGAGGGGCAGAGGGAGAGGCGGGTGATAAGGAAAGTCAGGGTAAGCTGTGCCGCAGCGCTTTGCTGTACGACACGGCTAGGCGCACGAGGACTTACGCGCGAGGAGCGGGTTGAGGTTGTGGTCTGTTGCTGCTGTTGTTGCTTCCAACGCCACCGGCTGGGTTGCTGCTGCTGCGTATGGGTGTAGGTTGCCCATCCCGACCGCTAACAGCCGTTGGACGTGCCGCCGAAAGCTCACTCCCATCCTGGTATTGTACATCACGCTGTTGACCGCTACGAAAACGTCTGAACTGGCCTATTCGGGGGGCATCTCCATCGTACGTCGCCGAAGCGACCACAGAATCGCGAATCCACCCGCTCCTTGTCGTGTCGCCTGAGGCAGGTGCCGCGGAGCAAAAAGATGTATAATTATGGTATAAGTACCGATTGGAAAGCAACGGTAGTTCTGCGATGCTTGCTCGGCGCACCTGTCGCGCGCTCGCCGGACGGCCAGGACCACAGAGGTCGCGACGATGCTAATGGGGTAGCACGTGTGACCTTGCAACTCGCACTTGCGTTATTGACACGCCAACATGTGCAGGGAGTCCTTGTGGGCAGCATTGCTTTACGGTTGAGTCCTCGTCAAGCCCTACAAATATGGAATGAACAGCTAAGGGCAAATTTAACATGTTCAGCGCACACGAATAAGGTTCTTGCCTGTGTCGGAACCGCACGTATTGACGTCCATGCATGCCGTGCCGTGCAAGCAGCAGCTCGGACTGGTGCCGCATACCATGATCATGCAACGGAAGAAAAGAAGGAACATGTACAATTATTAAAGATCTGTTTCACGTGTGCTTTGTTAAGACCTTTTGTGAACAACCCCGCCAGTACTCTGAGAAGCGGCACTCTGAAGCATGTCTGAGCCATCGCCGAAACGGCTGAAAGCTGATGATAGTAATGTAGCACAGTTGAAGCAACAAGATGGTGATCTGGCGACAGGGGGCCTTGGTGAGGGCGCTCCGGAAACTATGGAGGAACGCTGGGCAGTTGATCTCGAGGAGTGCCAAAGGGCTCTGGACAAGGTGAGTTGCCGCATGTCATTATAGCTTTGCGCTGTGCCCGCGCGGGAAACGGTTTGCCCGCCCGACACAGGTCAACGATGAGGCCAGCGACCGCGTACTGGCGGTGGAGCAGGAGTACAACAAGAAGCGGCGGCCCATTTATACCCAACGCGCAAGCATAATTAAAAACGTGCCATTGTTCTGGCAGCGGACACTCTCATCACATCCCACTCTGGCAGACCAGCTCACAGATGACGACACGGCGGTGCTGGAGCACCTTACGGAGGTCCGTGGTTGCTGATCATGGGTTGGATTTGACAGCAGAAAAAAGGCTACCGCAAAGCTTCCAAAAGAAGCATGGCCAGCTTGACCATTTGTACGACACCAGAAACTGAGCCTTCCTTTCCTTGCCGCAATTCCCGCCCTGCCCCTGACCCTCAGCTCGAGGTCGTTGACTTTGACGACATCAAGTCTGGGTTTAAGATTGTGCTCAACTTCTCGTCGCGCAACCCATTCTTCAGCAACACCACCCTCACCAAGTCCTTCCACTACGGAGATGACAACGGTGTGGAGGTCCGCGCGGACGTCATCGAATGGAACCAGGGCTTCGTAAGTGTTCTGCTGCCTTGCGCCTGTGTGCTGTTGTGCTGCTTGCTGGGTGCTGGGTGTTGCTCTGCTGCCTTGCGCCTGGGTGCTGCCTACGTGCCTGCCTGCCTGCCCGAGCAGGCACCCAGCTGCCTGCCTGCCCCCCTTCATGCATACACCCCCAGACCTCATGCATGCACCCCCCATATCTCAGTCATCTCATGCATGCACCCCCACCCACCCCGCCACCCCCCCCAGGAGCCCTCCAGCACGGGCCTACCCGGGGACCCGGGGCGGAGCTACATGGTGGGTGCGGCAGCGGGGGGGGGGAGGCGGCAGGGAGGGGGGAGGGAGGTGACAGGGGGGAGGCGGCAGGGAGGGGAGGGAGGAGTTAGAGGGGGGAGAGGTGAATGGGAGGGGAGAAGCCAAGAATGGGTTGAGGGAAAATAGAGAAGAATTCCATGCGTTGAATGAGGTGCGGGAGGGTGTGAGGGGGTCTGCGCCGAGGGCTCCAGGGAGGGGAGTGGCTGCCCCCATGCCGGCAAGGGGAGGGCGAGGAGGTGGCGGCATGCAGAGGTGTCCAGGGCGCCTCCTGCCCGCCTACCTATCCCACCTCCTGCCCGCCCGCCCCCCCCCCGCCCCCACTCCCCTGCCCCCCCACCCCCACCCCACCCCATCCCCCCCCAGTTCTTCCTGTGGCTGGGCGAGACGCAGCCCATCGGGGAGGGCACTCCGGACGAGGTGAGGTGCGGGGCGCCACTGAGGGAGGGAGGTAAAACAAATTCCAAAGTTGTGGTGTGATAATGATACAAGTTGCTGACAATCAAGTTGCTGAGGTGGGGGGTTAGGATACTTTTGAAAGGAGAAGAAGAGGGGCAGCTGGGCTTGGGAGGGCAGCTGCGTCGGCCGGCCCGGTCGGGCGGGGGGGTGCTGCGGGTGCTCACTCCCGCGCGCCCTCACTCACCCACACGGTGGTGGCTGGCGGTCCGAGCAAGCGGCCTACCTACCCCCAACAGCTGACGGCCCTGGGGTGGGCTGTGGCTTTAGGGAGATGTGTGGGGGGGGGGCAGCTACCGGTATGTACGGGCAGGGGGGCGCAGCTGGTGGGTTGCCCTCACCCCTCACCTCAGATGAGCACCTTGCGGCCTCCGCTGCTGCCTCCTCCGTCACCCCCTCCCACTGCTCTATAGCTATCCCCTGCCCTTCCCCTGCCTGCCCCCACTCCCCCTCCCCTTCCTCCCCTCACCCGCTCTCCCCATAAGATCTCTGAGATCCTGAAGGAGGAGATCTGGCCCAACCCGCTGAAGTACTTTATGAGCGAGCTGCCGCTGCTGGAGGCGGGCTTGGAGGGTGAGGGTGAGCGGGGGGGGGAGGGGGGTAAAAAGGAGGAAACCGGCGACCTAAGTGGGGGGGGGGCGGGGATGAGCGGAGGCGGGGCCCGCACGGGCATGTCAGTGGGGTATGTCACTGGCGGGCAGCGTCCTGGCGCACTCGGTTGGAGGGGAGAGGAGTTGACGAAGCTGGACTGCACCTCGTGCCCCTTTAACCACTGGCTCCTTGCCGTCCCTTGCCCCTTTTACCACTGGCTGCTTAAGCGCTGTGTCTCCTCCCGCTGCCCCTCCCTGGTCCCTGTCAGCAATTTGTGCCATTATCACACCACACATTGGAATTTCTTCCCCCACCTTGTTCCCCCCACCTATCCTGACCAACTCGGTCTTGTTCCCCTGCTTCCCCATGACCGCCTGCCTCTTTGCATGCCCGCCCGCCTGCCTCCCTGTTCCCTGCCTTCCCGCAGAGCTCGATGAGGGAGCTGAACTGGAGGAGGATGATTTGGAGGGGGCGTTGCTGGGTGGGGCCGGCGAGGAGGAGGGGGAGGAGGAGGAGGCGGGGCTGGAGGGGGAGGAGGGCGCGTTTGAGGAGGAGGCTGAGTTGGGGGGCGAGGGGGAGGAGTTTGGAGGGGCGGAGGGCGACGAGGGGGCGGAGGGGGAGTTGTAGGGACGTACTGGTAGGGAGCGGGGTAAGTGGAGGGGCGAGCATGGCTATTCTTAGATGATTCGGGATTTAGAGGGCTTGGATGTATGTTGTAGGGCCGCTTTTTGGCTGGAAGAAGGAGGAGGAGGAGGAGATCGCGGGGAGGGGTGTCCATGACAGCATGAGAAACGCCGCGGGTGGGAACAAGACATATCGGGGTTGGGGCAACACCGCTAGGTGTGCGGGTTTGGACGTAGCACGTAGGTAAGGGAAGCGCTGGAGGGTACAAGGTATTGAGTTCTGGGAAGGCAGGGGTTTGCGGGGTAGGCGGAGAGTACTGCAGGGGTGGTGTGTGGGATGCAGCAGCGAACCCTGATGTTGGGTCAGCAGCGGTGGGTCGGGCGGGGAGGCAACGGAGGGGGCAGTGGGCAGGTGGGTGCAGCCTGGGAGGGTTGGGCGGTTACGGCAATTGGAGAGGCTTTCGGTTAGGGGGTCCACGGAACTGTGGGGTGCGGAAATTTAGACAACCCTTTGGCAGGGGCTTAATAAGGGCTCCTTGTCTCCCCCCCACTCCCACCTAATGAGCACTGGGGTGTACCCTAATGAGCAGTGGGGTGTACAGAGGTACGGAGGGGGGGGGGTTTGGCACAGGGCTGGCAAAGGAGCCTGTCATCCACCCGTCAGCATTTGTTAACTGTTGACATGCGCGTCCGATGTGGCAGCTGTACAGCTGTACAATCTGTCTATGTTGGGGGGTGGCGGCGAGCACGGCTCGGGTGCTGAGTTCCGCTGGGGAGCGGAAGACAGGCGGGTTGGTCGGGCGGTGGGGCTAAGCACACATGAACCTGCTTACACCGCACACAGGCCAGCAGAAGGAGCAGATGTCTGCGGGATGGCTGAAAGGTGCTGCCAATCAATCCTGTTCCCAAGCATACCGTGCAAGCATGACCACGACACGGCCCTGCTAGATGCCGGTACCTGAGGACAAACACGGTGTGGGTGGTGCAGCACGGGCCCGAGGAACCCGCCTCCTAAAACACCACCACCACCCGGGTATACTCAGTCCCGCTGCTCAATTCATTAAACAGCCGCGGGCCGCTTGCCTCGGTGCCCCGCAGGCCACTTGCCTTTGCCATTACATCATGCAGGTCATTAACAACAATGGCATGTGACTGCGGGCCGCTTGCCTCGGTGCCCTCTCTCCTGGACAACTAAAGGAACGATCTACCTGTCTCGCTATAGCACAGGGTTAGGCACACCAGACTTGGCTGGCTCGCTCGCCGCTCTGAACGCCCCCTCATCGGCCATAACATGCACCTCACCACCTCAAGAAACACACCTAAACCAGTGGGTGTTTTCTCCGCTGGTTTTTTCTTGGTGGTCTTCCTGTCCTTCCTCTGTAACAGTCCACATCGGAAAAAAAAACCTAAAGAAAAGACCACCGCTCAGTTGGCATAAGTACATAAGAATAAGACACAGTGTGTCAGGCGGCCGCCTCGATAGTATCTACTACGATACTGGTATTAGCCCGCGCGCGAGGGAGGAGGGGGAAGGCGCACAACTCCCCATGCTGACCCACGGGTCTGTGGGACGCATGGCGCATGCAAGGTACGGCGAGTGTACGGCACACGTGGATCCCGAGGGTAGACAGCCTGCTCCCTGCCCCTGCTCAACCTCTTTCCTAAAACATGCAGGTCATTAAGATTTATAATGGTACATGTAGCCGCCGCTGCCATTATTCCGCCGCCATAGTCACCAAGGGGCAAGGTGGAGGGGGAGGTACGGGGTAGCTCCTGACATCGCCGCTCGGACCCTCCATTCTCAAGAAAACAACGTGGCATGCAGCAGCCCTCCTCCTTAAGACGACAACGAGGCGGCGTGCAGCTCCCCTCCTCTGCTCTGCCCCCCTCCTCAACCCAACGAGGCTGCATGCAGGCGCCTCCGCTGCACCATGTGAATGGCGAACAGCCACTCCACCGCATGGGCGCCCGCCACCCCCAGGTGCATCAGCTGCTGGGCGGCACCCTGCACAACCCCGGGGGGGGGGGGGCGGACGGGGAGGGAGGGGAGAGAGGTATACCAAAACCACAGCTGAGGGCAAAGCAATGGGGATAGAGGAAAGCGCCCTGCACCCCAGGGGGCTGTGAGGCAGCAGGGCGGGGGCCGGAGGAGGGTACGGCAATAGCGGAGACCGACAGAGGATGGGCGCACTCCGCAACTGATGGGGGTAACTAACAATAACAACCGTCCCGGCAGTTAGTAATGAATTGGGAGTTTACAACCGACTTACCACATGGTCGAAGTAGCCGGGAGCGTAAATATCCGGGAAGCAAGACACGTAGGTGGCCCCCGCATACACAAAACAGAACACGATGGCCGCAGCGCACTTGACGCTGTACAACCTGTCGTACAGGGGCACATGGGCGTACGACAGATGGGCTGCTCCGGAACCGCTGCTGACGAGGATGTCGTTGTCTGCTGCTGCTGCACCCGCTCCGTCCCCACCGCCGCCCCCCAGCCCCAGCACTGCAGCCAAGTCGAGGGCGGCTTGCAGGAGGATGGGGAAGGTGTAGACCAGCACCACATAGCCCTGCGGGGGTGGGGGGGGGGGTTATTAGCAAGATTGCAATCTTACAAACCCAACGGGACAGGATGCGGGTCCAAAGTCCCAATGTGTTCCAAAGCAGGCGTGGCCCGCTGGGGAGAGGCTGGGGATTGGTAGAAGGGGAGCTGGGGGTCGGCGCATGTGTCGGAAGAGGACAGCAGAGGACACCCTAGGAAGGGTGAACAAGAAGGGCAAAGGGCCTGTGCCCTGTGTTCCCGGTGACACGAAGCCCCGCCAGCCGCACCCCACTTCATGTCTGGGAGGGCCCTATCTGCACCCCTACTCCAGCGCCACCTGGTGCCTCATCTCTCACGTCTCACCACATAGCGTGTATTCGCCTTCTTGTCAATGTCCGCTGCAGCCGGCAGCGCCGCCGCGTTGTGCCAGGCATGCAGCGACAGCCCGAGCGTGACGGCGGTGAGGGCGGCGCTGTACGGCAGCGGGAGCACAAAGTACGACAGGGCGAAGGTGAGGGGGATGGAGGCGATGAAGATGAAGGCGACGTCCAGGGCCCTCCAGCGGCGGAGCACTTCGGGGCTGATGCAGAGGAATTGGTGGTAGCCTGGTGGTATGAGTGGGTGGGATGGGGGGGGGAGGTGGGGGGAAGGGGATTAAACGGAAGGGGATTAAACGGGAGTGGTAGACTGCTGCACGGCTCCGTCCCTTTGTCCCCTCGCTTGTCATAAACACACAACCCGAACGCCCTCACCCACCCACTGTGAAGGGCAGGTGCAGGGTGGGGCACAGCCACAAGGCGAGGAAGGCGACCAGGTCCATGCCGGATGGCCGCAGCTGCTGCCAGCTCCAGCTCAGCATGCAACAAGACACCAGCCAGCCTGGTGTGTTGGGAGTTAGGGACGGGGCAAGGTAGGCGGGGGGAGGCAGATAGGGGGTTGGGGTTAGAGAACTGGTAAGGAGTGGGTTAAAATAACTGCTGCGGAGTAAGGAGAGGGAGGGGAAGATGGCAGCTGGGAGGTTTGATTTGGGTCAAAGGGGGCTTTGACCGGGTCAAACCCACATCGCAAACACCTACTGGTCGGCCGCATGCCGTTGGAGTGCCCAAATCGTGTTTAGCTAAGACTGGATGGCCCATTTCCGAGTCACTTTCTCCTTCTTACCAAATATCATGGTCCAGCTGTTGAGCGTTTGGTTGTGCCACGTGAACAGCGTTTTGAGGCAATCCATGTAGGTGCCGCCGAGTCTGTAACCGGTGGTGATGCCAGCTAATTGCAGTCCATACGGTACTTCGTGAACCCGAAGACCTGTTCGCATTGGAAGCACCACATCGTGTGTGTCTTCCTGCTGGACCGGCGATGACCGACCGGATGCGCTGACTGAAAATATGCTGCGAGCCCTGCCGCCTTGCCGCCTCGGCTCAGCCTCCTTAGAATGCAGCTCTTCATACATTGTGCCACACACTTAGCGCGGCTTGCGCCTGCTATGCCTTTTGGACTGAGCAGCACCTGTTCCACGGTGCGCTACAAGGACCCAATCGCGACTCAAGTTACTCAGCACCGCGGGGCTTAACATGCGTTTGGTGGTGGCTGTTGCCATTTGGATTCCCAGTATACTGTTTGACGGTTAGTTCGTTACTTTATGTCTTTTGCTTATCCACAACTTCCAGATTAAGCCTCGCGCATAGCTCTATACGCGCAAGCGTAAAGTTGACTCCTATTTGTTGCTAGAGGCGGCTGCAAGGCTTGGAGTTGGGCACATGCAAACCTTGCCAAGACCGAAGGCGTCCGCAGAAGCTGTTTCAGGGGAAAGCTTAATGCGCTTAAAGGGTATCTGAGTAAAATGTACTTAGTAGAAAGTTTGGGCACTCGTGGCACTCTGGCAGCAACCCGCTCATCCGCGTATGTTGACGCAATTACGCCCAACCTCGGCTCAATTGGTGCACTTGTTCCTTTATGCGGTTATATGCGTTTCCATTCCCGGGACATTTTGCGTCGTTGACCTTCTAGAACGTCACTAAAGAACAAATTTAGGCAACACCGGCTGCCCCTGCATCCTGCCAATAGGAATGTCGCTTGCAATTTTGGCTGGCAGCAGCTTACTGCTTGCGGTATCCGCATACCATGCGTCAAAACGCACGAAACCCGGCTTCCTACGAGCAGCCATCATGCTGCCCATGGCAGTGGCTTACTTCGCGCTTCCTGCTCTCACTGTTGACGGCAGGGAGGAGGTACTCTTGGCTCAGACCCTCTGCTGTATCTTGTCAATGTCGGCGTTTAAGGTGCGAACCTGTGACTTGGACTGATGTGTGCATTGTCCCGTGGTTCTCCTCCTCTTAGCCTTACCTTTAAACCTTTGCGGCCCCAGCTCGTTGCATTATCCGCTGGAAGAGGTTGCCTGGCTGACAAAAGTATGGACTGCTGGACCTTCCTTGGCGTTTGCTTGCTACCTGTAATTCCTATTTCCATATCCACCAAGAGCGAGGGTAAGTCGCAACTGCTGTCCTCTTGAGAACAAAAGTGAATTATGAACAGAGAACAGATAGCAAAAACAAAACATAGAAGTACTAGCAGATATTCAAGGCTTCAAACTGCGCTTGGCGTTTCAAGTTGCGCGAACTGGGCGTTTCCAATAGTGGGCGTTTCCGATACGGTTGCAGGCGTCACCACCACAACTGACCCACTTTGCCCTTTTCCCTTCTGCTCTGCCCGTTCCATGCATCACCTCACGCAGACCTGCCAAAACGCATCGCGGTGACTCGCGCGAAGCTCCGCTCCGGCCTTACCAAACTTGGTAAGCGTGTGCAAAGCGACTTAATATGGGCAAGCTTGCCCTGCCTTCGCTTTCAATAATAACTGCTGGTCTTATTCTGTCCCTTTCCCCTCCCCCTTACTTTCCCCTCCCCCTCTCTTTCCCCTTCCTCCCCCCCTCCCCCCTTCGTTGTTTCACTTATTTAATTTTTCCCTCCCCCCCTCCACCTTCCAGCCGTGTTCCTGCTCCTCGCGGCGGGGTCTCTGGCCGGCTTCCATGCAGTGGAGCGAGTGCGGCAGCAGCAGCAGCCCCCTCCCTCGCCCTCCTCCTTCTCGCCCTTCTCCCTGTCCTGCTGGGCCACGGTGCTGCCCGCCAGTCTGACGGTGGTTCAGGTGTTGTCGTACTTCTTTGCAGGTGAGGTGGTGGGGAGGCGGGGTGAGGTGGTGGGGAGCAGTCTGGGGTGCTTGCTGCTGCGGAAGGGAGCGAGGGCAGTCGATGGCTCTGATGCTGTGATGTGCTGCTGTTGGTGCTGCTGTTGGTGCTGTTGGTGGTGGATGTGTACCCCCTCCCTCCACCCCCAGGGCACGGGATTGGGACTCTAGTCTTCACTTCACAAATATCCCTCCACCCTCCCAGGAGTTGCGCTCATGCACCAAGTGGACGGGCTGGGCGACTTGGTGGATGCGGCGGCGCTGCGGCTGTGGGGGGTCACCGCGGAGCCGCACTTCAACCAGGTGCACAAGGTAGGAGGGGGAGGGGGGTAGAGAGGGGGCTGGGGGCGGGGGCGACGATTTTTGCTTTGGGACGTGGTAGCTATCTAGGGGGGGCGTGCGACGTACCTGCCGTCCCACTACTGCCGTACATCGCTCTGCCCTGCCCGCAGGCGACCTCCTTCGCCGAGCTGTGGGGTCGCCGCTGGAACATCACAGTGACCTCGGTGCTGCGGGCGGCGGTGTACCTGCCGGTGGTGGAGGGTGAGGGGCAGGGAAGGGGGGTGAAAAAAGAAATTCCAAAGTGTGGTATGATAATGATACAAGTTGCTGACAATCGGGGTGAGGGGGGTTGAGGGTTGAGGGCGGGGGGGCCGGGGAGATTGCGGGGGGGCCGGGGAGATTGCGCTCTGTGCAACAGGGGGCCTGGGGTAATGGGACATGCAAGGGGCTGCGTTACCGTACCTTCACGACATCATCGCGCAAAATTACATAATTGCTGAGAGGGGTGCGCGAAACTGGGGAAACCCCTCGGGACCCTTCCCCGCATCCCCAACATGCCCCAGCACCCCGTCAGCTCCGCTGCCCAGCCCTGGGCTGCATGCTAGTATGCCCCATGGACCACATAGCGGTATTTTTAAAGCTGTCTTGGCGATCTGGGCTTACATGGATGGGTTCTTACAGTCAAAATGCAGTGGTGGACATGAGCTGCGCGAAGCTGAAAAATAATTCCTGACACCCCTGCGCGAGCTTGAAAAATAAATCCATCTAATGGGGCTGCGCGATGATCACCCAAAGGTACGGTATCGCTTAGGTAGCCGTTCTTGGCCGATTCCGCACAACTACAAAACCTGAAGACTCATGACACATATGCATGTTTGTGCGGCGCATGCTGGCCTCAGGGCGGTGGGTGGCTGCTGCGGATGATGACCCGCGGGTCGGTGACCCGCCGCCGCCGCCGTCCCCAGCAACCTCCCTCCACCGTCACCGCGACGTGGACCGACCGGAAAGCAAGGGAGGCAACGCCAGCAGGGAAGAGACGGTGAGGACTGCCGATGCTACTGCTGCGGCGGCCGAGGTAGCAGCGGGGGCGGCGGAGGTGCCGGACACTCCCTTCAAGACGCCCCCCAAGCAGCCGCAGCAGTCGCAGCCGCAGCCGCTTCTGGACGCTCCTGCCTCGCCTGCATCCATGATCGGGTGGGCGGCTACCTCTCCTGCCGCCTCTCCCGCCTCCTCCGCTGCGAGTCGCGGTTCCACTCGGGCTCCGCTTCCCGACGGCACTGCCAGCGGCACCAGCAGCACCAGCAGCGGTGCCAGCAGCAATGCAGCCGGTGACATCCCCCACCAGGAGCTGCAACCCAAGCCCTCCGTCTCACCTCCAACGCAGCACCCGCACCCGCACTCCCAGCAGCGCCCCAACCGCCCCCGCTCCCGCCCCAGCACTGGGCGCCGCTTCCTGGGTTGCCTGCTGGCGTTCCTGGTTTCGGGACTGTGGCATGAGCTGGTGTGTTTCACCATGACCCGCTCCACCAGCGGCGGCTGGTGGCTGATGTTCTTTGTGCTGCAGGTGCGGGGGGGGGGGGGGGGGAGGGGGGCGTGCAGGTGCGGTGCGGTGTGTTAAAATAACTGTGTGTGTGGGGGGTGTGTGTGCAGATGTGCGGTGGGGGTGCTCAGGTGCAGGGCTGCTGCTGGCACACCGGGGTATGGGGTTGCTTGGACCGATGCGGTGTTGTTGACGTCCCGTGCCTCACGTCGTCATGCACCGTACTCCCTGCTTCCCTCCCCGCCTCCCCACCCCACCCCGCGGATATGGGATTGGGACTCCGTCACTTCACTTTTCATTACTTAATCTTTCCCCCTCATCAATCTTTCGCCCCGCCAGGCGCCCCTGCTGCTGGTGGAGTCCCACGTCGTAGAGGCCGCACGCGCAGTGGGACTGGTGGCGCCCCCGCGCGCAGCCTGCCTCATCACGCACGGGCTGCTGCTGCTGCAGGTACGACACGGTGTGCGCACCTGGCTGCCGTACCGAGGTTGTACGGTGTAGGGGCTTGGCGGCAGCTGTACGGCAGCGTGTGCGTGCACCGGTTTGATGGGCTGCCGTACGCTTCTCCACCCTGCCTCGCAATTCGTGGATACCGTAATGGCGCTTACGATGCGTTTTCCTGTGTCCGCATGCAAGTTGAGTTACTGGCCGGCAGGTTTCAAAAATATATATATTCTTGCGACCCATGGGTCACTCGCACGCCTCTCCGCCCCGCACACCCTCCCTCTCACCCTCACCTCCTCCACAGCTAACGCTGATGTGGTACCCGCCCATGGTGAGCACGGGCATGATGGCGTCAGTAACGCGCAAGGCAGATGAGACGGCGGCGTTGCTGAAGTCGGCTGTACAGCAGGTGTACGGCAACCTGATGTGATGTTGTGAGTCAAATGGGACATAATGGATGGTGTACTGCTGCTGCTGCCCTGCTGGACTGGGTGGCGTGGATGCTGTCATTCTCGCCTTCTTTTGGGGCAACAGGGTCAGCCGTTTGGGGCAAGAGGGTCAAAGCGAGAGAGAGAGATTGAACTAAGTGGGACCGCAAGTTTTGGGATATTGCATCCGCTGGGTGATAACAGGAATTGCAGGATGTGCCTTTGCTAGGTGCTGTCTGATAGTCTGTATAGTCCTTTGCATGTTGCTTCATTCCAGGCGAATGGTTGAGAACGTGTTGCTTAATACGATATCAGGGTTGCGGGGGTGGCGGTTGGCGTTGGACGTTGGCAGTTGACGTGAAGTACGGGGTACGTACCGGTCCCTGCGTCGTTGGGCATGTGCCGGCGCCGACCTATGTTGCATTTTTTGCGCCCGGAGACCCCTGGGGGGTTATCCCAACCATTATTGGTGTTTAACCATGTTGAGGCTTGTGTACGGTATTCGTATTACAATTTGCGGCGGGGAACAAAGTTGTTGCCAGAGTTGCCAGAACACACACGACGCACGGGGCTTTGACCCCGGGGTGCATAAGGCCCACGCGTGCACCCCGCGTGCCTCTTTTAATGGGGCGGTCGCCTACCGTTGCTGCCATCCCCACATACATATAATCACACACGTAATGTCACATGGAAAAAAAGGACGCGGTGAGAGCCATGTATGTGGACGACACGGACCAGGTAAGGGGCCTAAACGCGCCAAGGACACCAAAGACCTGCCAGAAAGGTCACCGCGGTGGGAAGAAGAGGACAAGGAGTGAAAGAAGGGAGTGAAGAAGTGACAGACGCAGAGCTAAACGGCAACGGATAGTAGTCTTGCCGCAATTCCCAGACGTCGCCCTGCAACAACATTAACAGCGCGGCTAGTAAGCAGTTCCGATTCTTACAAACGCCCATCTTTATCATGTTTCAGCTCACTGCCCTATAACCCGCATGCTTCACCCTCGGCTAGAGCTACCGGGGCTGCTGCAGGGGACAACCAGGAAGCATGCGCAACTTATCAGGTTTAGCAGCAGCAGCAGCAGCACAAGGTGTAGCAGGTGCTGCAGCCCGCACCGGCCAACGTCATTTCATCCTCCATCCTCTACCATTGACAGGAGGCCTGACTATCAGATACCGCAGACTCAGGCAATACTTACTTTCACAGTACCCAGCTTTTAGTTTGTATAGTAGAACAGTAGAACAGTAACTAGTAGAAAGCGAGCCCACTGCTTGTCCGACACGGTACGGAAGGTACTGTCCCACGGCCGTGTCTTGACCTTCCATAAAAACGGTTCAAGAAAAGTACGACATTACTGTACGATTCTGTACAGTACATGCAGTGAGAGCATCATTGCATTATACCACCATGCCATGACCCGCTACTAACACCATCAAACGGCGAATCCCAAGCATTCAAACAGTACCAAGCAACGAACCGTATCAATTCTACACAATCCAAATACCCAAGAGTCCAACATGCATTACACGGGGTGTAACTACTACTACCTCTTCTCCTGGCGTCTTCAAAGGAACGCCCTTCCGTACCCTTCCGTACTGCCACACACCTGAAGGAAGCCTGTGCCTTACTGTTAGCGCTCTCCATACAACTACTCCCGCTCCCGCTCCGGCATTCACAGAACCCGCTGCAGTTCACATCCCCAGCAGCACCAAATCGGCTACACCGGCCGCATCGACACGAGCAGGTACAATTGTGGGGGAACTCGAGCATTAGGCATCAGCAGTGAAGGTGTTGCAAGCGGGGTTTGAAACGAAGACGGCACATATCTTCCCGGCTGCATCCATACCCAGGCTGATGTTCGGATCATCCGTTTTCACGCTGCTGCTTACAATGCCTTCCACTGAGTCCCACACGCTAAGCAGCACGACCAGCTGGTTGCTCTTAGCGTTGTAATGCCAGTTGACGGCGAGCGGCGGCTTGCCATCAACTACTTCAGCAGTGTCGTAAAAGTGACACGGGGTACTGCGTGGAGCCGAACAAACGTCCAGCGAAACCAGTTTGCCGCCCGCATCATAGTCTGCGACGACGCTGGGGGCGAGGTGGTCTGTGTTGGCGATCACACCTGGCATGGCCTCCGTGAAGTAGAGGGCAAGCGTGTCTGTGTCGGCATACGTTTGTACGACAATGTTGAACCTGTAAGGAGAAGGCCGGAGGGTGGAGCTGCGGTTGGAGCGGGAGCCGTGCGTTTAGGAGGGTTACCAGGGAGAGGTCAGGAGGTTGAGAGCTCTTTCTTTCCCCTCTACACCTGGAGGTGTCTGGGTTGCGTTTCGGGTCTGGGAACACTGGTTCGGGCTTCTACTTCTTTACTCCCGCTCTTCGCCCATGGCGGAGCCTTGTCACAAGGAATTAGTGTTTGTGACCGCGGCGACCAGACAGTACAGAGGATTTGCCTAGGACGCGGTAAAGTGCAAGGAGGCACCCACCGTCCATGGCAAGTTAGCATCCTGCGCTCACCGGAGGTCGCTAGAAGACTGGCTGAGCTGCCGGTGCAGCGCGACGACCGCCTTGTATCCCAGACACGGTGGCGGGCTGCTCCCCAAACTGCACCCACACGACGCAAGCTTTGTTAACGCACTGTGCAAAGGGCCATGGGTACTGACAAGTGTCATACCTTGCGCAGTTGCTTTGCACGGACGCCATTGTTGGTTAAGTAGCGGGGTGTTTTCCGCGCACTCAATAGTCGCAATCGTCAACTCCGTCAGAGGATTCGGCTGTGTTGGGCTGTCGTTGCGTAGCTCGATTTGCGATGTTTTGAAGTGCGCTTCGTAAGGCTCCTAGTCCGCCACCACTTGCGTGATAAAATACCTATTCAGCTTGGCAATATCGTCTCTCGCGCAGTGAGGTGCAATCCGCTGTTAGGTCCGTTTCTCGGTTTCGTTACTTGAGCTACAACATAAATTGCATATAAATATACATAACGAATCGTATAATAATTAACAGGAGGAGATAACCCAGTTAGGCATTCCAGTCCTGCGGTACGTTTATTTGAATCCTAGTTAGCGAGTCGTACATCTGCCGTACAGCAGGGCGGTCAATGGCCTGTCGAGGGTCAAAGAAATACCAGACCACTAGTGAGGGTAAGACCAAGGGGACAGGAGGTAAGTGATAGTTACAACCACTTTCAGCAGCTCCTTCGCGTGACGAGCCCCTGATGCCCCCCTCTCCGGGAGGGTTATCTCTGCGTCAGGAAAAGCTGACAAACCCTGCGAACGCCCCACTGCTAAGGAGGAACACACGAACCACATGCAGGCGCCCAAGCGCACTGCTGTGGAGTATCTTTCTGCTTTGCTAAAAGCTAAGTAGGCCACACGCCTCTCACGGCAATTAGCTATACACCTATACCATGCATCCACACCCACGCAAGCACGCGCTCCAGAAGCACTCCACACCATGACACATCCCTCCGTTCCTACCATCTTATAATCCCCTTCATGTCCCACCATCTTAACATCCCAACGGGGAAGCTCGTTCCCTCGACCTAGGCTGTCGCATGCCCTTCTTCCGCCGCCTCCCCATCTGGCTAGACCACCGGTAACCAGCTAGCTCTCTTACCTCCCCGCCCCGTCCCTCCCAGCTCCACAGGCTTACTGCTCCCCCGCCTGCTGCACCTCCAGCCAACGACCCCAAGCAGAGGAAGAGGAGGAGGAGGTGGGCGAGGCAGCCCCCATCTCACCCTCACCATCCACTCCGGCACAGCCTTTGGAACCCGTCCCCTCTCCTCCCGCGCCCAAGACCACGGTGAAATCCTCTTCCTCCTCTTCTTCCGCTTCCTCCCCCTCCTCCTCCCCGCCTCCCTTGCTTCGCTCGCCCTCCTGATGCGTGGCATCGTCCATACCGCCACCGCCCTCACAGGCTCCGCCGCCGCTACCGCCGCCGCCGCCGTCACTCTTACTGCCGTACTCTGCCCATGCCGTACTCTTCCCCGAGCGACGCCGCCACCTCCACGTCACCTCCCCCTCCTCCTTCTCCTCCTTCTGCTCCTCTGCTTCGCCCTTCCGCCCCTCCACATCCTCTTCCTCCTCCTCATCTGCTTCCTCTTCCTCCTCCTCCTCCTGCTGCTGCTGCTGCTCGCGCCACCAGCCAGCAGCGTTTTCCTGCAGGTCACGGAGCACCGACGAGCCGATACCACTGCCGCCGCTGGTATCACCACTGCCGTCGCTGCCCCTGCCACCGCGGCTACCACCGCTGCTGCCGTCGCTGCTAGGCGGCGTCACAGCAGCAGCAGCAGCCGCTTCACCATCCTCCTCCGCCCCAGCCGCAGCCGCCAGGAGGGGCAGCGAGGCCCCCCACTCGGTGCCCGCCTCCAGCTCAGCCAGCCAGCCCTCCAGCAGGTCTGCCAGCCAGCCCTCTAGGAGCGGCGGGGAGGTGGCAGGAGGGCTGGCGGGAGAGCCCTCGGCTACCGGGGATTTGGGTCGGAGGCCAGGCGATTTGGGTCGGCGGGAGGAGGGCGATTTAGGTGGGCGGGAGGAGGGCGATTTGGGTCGGAGCCCAGGCGATTTGGGTCGGCGGGAGGAGGCGGAGGAGGGGGAGGCGGAGGAGGGGGAGGCGGAGGAGGGGGAGGCGGAGGGGGAGTCCGGGGCGGCGGCCAGGGCGACCGCGGGGGTGCCCAGATGGAGCGGGCTGATGGGGAGCTGGGGCGGCAGGTGGCCGCCGGGGCTGCTGGGGGAAGTAAGGGTGGTAGTGGACGCGACGGCGGCTGCAGCAGTAGCAGCAGCAGGTGGTAAGATCGGCAGCTGAGTTGTCGTACCAGGTGTTGTCGTACTGTCGTACAGATGCCGTACAGGCGGTGGGGTGTCGTACTGGGTTGCAGCGGGTTGCAGCGGCTCCGTGTCGGGAATGGCGGAGGTGGAGGCGGGGGCTGGAGGGAGGCTGGGAAGGGTGAGTAAAGTGCTGCATGGGGGCTGCTGCCGCTGCTGCAGTGCTGGTGGTGATGATGGTGGTGATGGTGGTGGGGGCGGTGGCTGGAGTTGTGGATGTACGGCAGGATGTGACGGCGGCAGCGGCTTCGTCAAGGCGTGCTGACCTGGCGAAGGCGGCGCCTGCTGCTGCTGCAGCTGGGTTGTTGTTGTTGTTGTTGTTGGCGGTGGTGTTGGTGTTGGTAGCAGTGGTGATGAGGGTGTTGGTTGCGGAGGTGTTGTGGTGGTGGTTGGCTGCAGCTGTGGCGGTCCTGGCTTCATGGAAGCGCGGCGCAGCAGGGCATCCGGTGTATCGCATACGTTGCGAGGGCGGTTGAAGCGGGATGGCGACAGTGGGGTGCGCGTTCCTTGGGCGGCGGCGGAGCCGGTTTTGTTGGTCTGGGTGGCGGATTTGGGTTTGGTCGGGGATGTGAAGCAGCGGCCATGTGTGGTGGTTGCGGTGATGTTGGCGGCGGTGGTGGTGTGCGAGGCAGCAAGCGGGCCTTGCTGGGCGTGGGGCCGTGCGGGCGAGGCACCTGCGAGGTCGGGGCGTTGGGCGAGTCGCTGGGATGTTTTGCTGCCCGCTGGAAAAATGCTTTGCTGGCTTGGGGTTCAAAGAGAAACCAGTTGACTTTGGGGGGAGCAAAGTCATGCGCCGTAAACGTACCGTCATCCTGGGCCTGCCAGGAAGGCCCATGCGAACATGCCAAGGCAAGTTGCATGTTTTTGTGGCGCCTTGCAGATGAGCTAAAGTACCGACCTTTATTGATGGCAGGACCGTCGACCGCGGGCGATGCTGCGACAAGCCCGCAGACGGAGCTCCTCTGAGGTGATGAGGAGCCGACCTGGCTGTCTAAGCGCTGCTTTGGTATAAGAGCTTCGCGCATCGTGCTTTTTGAGGAGGAGGTATCCGAAGGTGCCGATAAAGAGAGAAGGAAGAGCTTTATGCTCTGTAAGCCAAACGTGTATCAAAGCAGCGCAGCAGAAGGAAGGATTCCTGCCGTTGGAGAAAAAATGTGTAAGCAGGTTGTCTGGGTTCATATATAGGAATCACGGTTATTGTGATATGCTATGCGCTGCAACCGTTGGACAGGAGCAAGCGGATTAAGCGCGCGGGGAGGCAATCGTTGTGCATGGAAGTATACAAGGCCCCAAAGACGAATATGTTAACCGCCGTAATATACTCTGGTACATGTTACTAGACGTTTACAGCCTGCCCTTAAGCGCACAGCTGGCTGCGTCTGCCGCCGCAAGGCGTAGGTAAGATGTTCTTGTTCGCGGCCCATGGGACGGGAGACTTGAGTTGCGACTGCGTCCTCTTAAAGAATGTGTAGAGCCATATGCGACATAAAAAGTATTAAACGGGTTGTAAAGGCACACCTCCTGGCGGGGATCAGGGTATGCCAGTACACGTAATGGCTTTATGAGGACTGTCGACCAGTATTATGCATAGCCAATGTGCAAGGCTTGCTTGCATTCCTACTTGCATATGTATGTGCGTTATTATCGGAGATAATTACCTTATAAAGGATGCTTTGCTTGTAGTTATGCGGTTCATCCATTACCGAGGCAAACTTCGAGCGCCAGGAAAGTTTGCCGTATATGAAAGACGCTAAAGGACAACATAATTAGTTACTAGCCTAGCGCGAGCATGGAGGACGGCTCGGACGCGCTTAAGGAAGGAATTGCTCCAGACAGCGTCGGGAATCCAGAGCTTGTGGCCAATACCTCTATAGAAGCCGTTGACGCTGGTCCTAACACTGGAAATGGGTCAGCCGGGGGCGATGAAGGGTCTGCGAATGTAGCGAATGAGGAAGGGAGACTAGAGGGAGCCAGTGAAGCCGGCGACGATAGCAATATGAACGGGCTTGCTTCAGACAATGGACCCAGCGGGGCCGAGGACGCGGTTGAGGATGCGAGCACCACCGTCGCTGGGCATGGAGCCGAACACAGCGGCACAAGAGGGGCGGACGAAAGCGGCACCGCTGGCAGCCCTGGAAACGAGTCGGGCATCCAAGGTACATCCGAAGCTCCTGAAACCAGCGGCTTTGCTTACGTTACGGCTGAGGAGGCAGACACGGCAACCATGGATGCTGCGCTGGCATCTGCAGAAGCCGACGTCCCAGCAGCATTAGCAGGCGTCCCAGCGGCGTTAGCAGAGGCGGGCGTGGATGATAGCAGGTCCCCAGGCACCGACAGTGATGCCCAGCAGGTAGAGGCCTTGACAGGTGGCGTTGCCGCCGATGAGGATTCAAGCGCATTGCCAGCAGATGTCTCCAGCAGAGGCGTGGACGGGCAGTACGACACAAGTCCTACAGCGGACGCCTCAGCCGCCATGGATGCTGCTGACCCTCAGCCGCAACAGCAAGCCGCTGATGGTGACGGCGACGGCAGCGGCGACTTTCGCCCAGTAGACGCCGGCGAGTATGACACAGGGTCAGAAGCTTATCCGTACGGCAGCAGCCGCGGCCCTGACGCTGACGTCGGCGCCGACGGCGACGGCGCCGCCGACTCCGCTCAGCCCAGCAGCGGCCTGGAGGAGGCGATGTCGGCGGGGGCGAGGAGCTTCCGGTCAATCTACAGTCTACCGGCGGAACCGAGGGAGACGGAGGGGGATGGGGCGGGGGGTGTGCTTGGCGAGCGCTCCGCAGGCAGAAGTACGGCAGCAGCTGACGCAGACGCAGATGACGGCGATGCGGGTGAGGGCGAGGCTGGCGCTGGTGGTGGTGGTGGTGGTGGTGGAGGAGGTGGTGGGTATGAGGAGGAGGAGGGCTACACGGGTGAGGCATTCCATGAAGACGAAGATGAGGGCGATGGCGGCGGTGGAGACGGAGGCGAAGCTGACGGGGAGGCGGCGGCTGCTACCGCGGAGGAGGGCGGTTTCGGAGCCGAAGATGAGTCTGCGCAGGATGCATCACCTGACGCCGCCGCCGAAGAAGAATACGAGGCTGCACGAGCTGCTGCTGATCCAGATCGGGGAGCGTCTCCAGATCTCCAAGCAGCAGCAGCAGCGGAAGAAGGAGCCGCAGATGGCGAAGGCGACGGCGACGGCGATCTCTCGTCCACTCGCTCTCCCCGAGTGTTCACATACCTCTCACCAGATTACAACGAGTACGAACGATCCGAATCCGAATCCGCCGCGTCACGGGCCGCTGCCCGCCGTACAGAATCAACTGCCGCCGCCAGTGCTGCGCCCTCCGCCGCTTACACCACCGGCGGCGGCACCGCGGCCTCTTTTGTACGGCGGCTCAGCGGTGGCAGCGACCGCTCCGCCGCCGCCGCCGGTGCCGCAGCAGCGGCCTCGGAGGGCTCCCAACGCCGCCGTAGTACGGAGGCCTCATCATCCTCCCAACGCCGCCCATCTGACGAAGGCCCCCTCCTCCCGCCGCCGCCCTCCCTGCCCGCCTCCCAACGAGGCTCCATATCCTCTACGTCTGGAGCAGCGGCGACGGTGGCGGCGGCTGGCGTCGCCGCCGACGAGCTGTCGTACTCCCGCCGCGGCAGTTCCGCCTCCGCCAGGCGCAGCAGCGGCGTCGGCGTCGGCAGCGGCGGAGCTGCGCCGACGTCACGGCCTGACAGCTCGGACGCGGGTGCCGTACAACGCGCCTCCGGCTCCTTCACCTCCGCTGCAAGTGCCAGTGCACGTCGCGCCTCAGGTGCCGGACAACAACAAGAGTCCTTGACGGTGGTCACGGCGACGGCCGCCGCCGTCGCCGCCGTCGGCTCCCTCGCCAGCATCCCCGCCGCCAGCACAGCGACGGCGGCGCCGCTGCTGCCGCCGCTGCCGCTGCACTCCGTCGACGCCGCCTCTCTGTACGGCAGCAGCCCACCCGACGTACGGCAACCGCCGCTGTCACAAGCGCCGCCGCCTCTGCCAGCCTCCACGGCGCCGCCAGGGGGCACCACCACGCTGCCTCCGCTGCCCCGAACTGGTCCCACCTCCGTCGCAGGTACCTCCGTCGCCGCCGGTACCGCCACATCCATCGTCAGCCCCTCCGCCGCCGCCACCTCCGCTGCCCCGCCGCCTCCGCCGCCGTGTCCTCCCCCCCGCAGCAGCCGTAGCGGCCCTGTGCACCTGCTGCCCACGCATGTGCAACCCAAGGGCCCGCTGGACGAGTGCGCCACGCAGGCGGCTAGCGAGCACGTGAGGACGGTTTGGTCGACTGGTAACATCTGCGGCATTCGCTCCCTGCCCAATGCGTTAAGCCCAGATTTTAGGTGAGACAGAGGGGGCGGAGTTGCAGTACAGGTGCGAGGAGGAGGAGGAGGAGGAGGGGGAAGCACTCGGGTGGGCGGCAAAACTTACAAAAACAAAGCACAGCCGGGTATGCTGAGGCACGGTGGTTGCCAGAATGCTGTGATGACAGGGGTTCCAACTCAAGGACTTGTTTTCCTTACCCCTACCAGCTCATGGCTTTCCGATCTCCACCTACTCCCTACCTCCACCTCCTGTACGGCTTCTTAAACCTTTTTCCCACCCCTCTGCGCTCACTGCATGAGTCGGGATAACGGATTGGGACTCCAGTCGCTGCACTTAACCATTTTTCCCAACCCCCCCGTGTTTAATCCAATTGCAGGGAGCGGCTCTACTCGGAGCTGCTCAACGCCGCCCAGCGCGAGCGCTCCTCCGCGCCCCCCGGCACTCGGGGGCGGCTGGCGGATCTGTCGTACGGGCTGCAGGGGGGCCTGCTGGCCATGCCGCTAAGTGGCATGGGGCAGAAGCAAGTGGCGAAAGTCAACCCGCTGAGTGGGGTGAGAGAGCTGAAGGGAGGGGCCGAGGGCTGGAAGGGGCGGGGTCAATGACCATGTTCTGATGTTTGGGCGCATATCCTCGTCCCATCCCAATCCCCATCTTCGTCCCTATTCCCCCTCCCATCCTCACCCTCCTCCTCCGCCAATTAATTTGCCCGTTTGGGGTTCCATGTGGTTTGGTCTAATTTGACTTCCCCCTCCCCCTCCACCTCCACCTCACCAGATGTTCACACAGTACGAGTACCTGCCTTCCGAGTACGACAGGGCCAAACTGACGGGAAAGTACGACCGACTCAAACACAAGCTGGCGCAGGTGCGGGGGGAAAAGAGGGAGACGGGGGGGGCAGAGGGTATGACGGGGCGGGGGGCGGAGGGTAAAAAATATATATATGATGGGGGCGGAGGGGGGGAGTCAGGAAAGACCAAACCCTAGGAGCCATAGGGCGGAGGGGAGGGGAGCAGCTAGAGGGGGGTTTCGTGGTGACAGGTAGGGGCTATGGGTAGGCATGATGGCCCCTCCTTTGCCCGGCAACGTGCACCCCTTCCAAACAGTGCAGCACACATGGAAGACACTGTTCCTTCACGAGGGCTTTGGGGCCATCCGTCGCACCCATCTACCCTAGGGTAGCTACCCTTACCTTTCCCTGATCATTACCTTCATGACTGTCACGATACCCCCTGCTCCCTTCATCCAACGCATGGATCTCCTCTTCCCCCACACCCCAACCCATACCGTTAGTTGCCTTGTCAACTTTCCTCATTTTTACCCCTCCCCCCGTGCATTGCCCCCTTCCCCCCCCCTGCATGCAGACCTCACCCTCCGAGTTCATCGTACGGGCCACCCCCCAGGCGCTCCGAGGCGCCCCCGCATTCACCGAATTCAACTACGTAAACGACCCCGCCGACGCCTTCTCCTCCACCATGCACGCGGATGGCGACCTGGCGAGGTCCAAGTAAGTACCCGTCAAAGTGCGCGTGCGGCCTCTCGCGCGCCCTTCCCCGTACCGGTAGTGCCCCTGTCTGTCTGCATGTGGTCTTCATTGCAGCCGTACCGCAACCTCTCCCCTCAAAGCCCATCCCCTGCTACCGGTAGGCCCCTCCCCCACACCCTCTTAATTTGATACACCCTGGGCAGGGCGGGTCGGGCTGGCTCACATGTTGCAAACCATGATGACGCCTTATCCCTAGTCAGCTATCTCCTTCCTCTCTACCCCCGGGTCAGGGTCAGTGCTTCCGCGGCTCAGCTTACCTAGCCCCCCCACCACCACCACCCTGCCTCTGCCTTGCGAGTCCCTGCCTTTTTCCTCTTTTGTTCTGTATGGTTTTAATTGGTCCAAAAATTGACCCACCCTGCAGGGTGATGGCGGGTCCCTTCTACCCCGCCGGCCGCTCCAGCCACCTGGCTCAGCTCAAGGGGCGGCTGGACGAGTGCATGATGGGGCTGTGCAGGCAGCTCAGCGAGGACTGGCCCACCAGCTTCCTGCAGGTGCGGGCTGGCATGCTGAGTGCAGGATGAGTGCAGGAGGCGTGCGTCAAGAGGCCTCTGCAGGAGCAAGCGGCAGGAGCAGCAGGCCGCTCCTTTTCTTTACTGAAGAAGCACCCATGAGACGATATCCGCACCCCGCAGCAGGCCACCCCTGTCGCCGCTTGATCCACCAACCTTACCGCTAACTTACTTACTAACGCCCAACTCCCCACACGTCCACGGCAGGAGGGGTCCATCTTGCACTACAACATCAGCCATTCCATGGCACCTTACACCTCCCTCCCTCCCTCCCTGCCCTCCCTCCCTGCCCTCCCTCCCTGCCCTCCCTCCCTGCCCTCCCTCCCTCCCTGCCCCTCAACCCCCCACCCCCCCGGGTTGGATTGTCAGCAACGTGTATCATTATCATACCACACTTTGGAATTTCTTTTTCCCCCCACCCCCCCACCCCCCAGGTATTCGAGGACCGCAACGGCAGCGTGGTGGTTTCCTTCGACAAGGCGCGTGCGGTGTGTGAGGGCGACCTGACCTCCTACATGAACACCCTGGCCAAGCGACACCACCTCATCTCCGCCTACCACCTGCTCAAAGACGCAACCCAGTGGGGCCTTGTGGACGCCGACACGCAGGCTGTGTTTTTCGTGCTGTGGCCGCCTTGGGTACGACACCGCTACCTGGGGCCGCATGCGGCGGCGGCGTTTGGGGAGGCTGCGAATGGGCGGCCGGGCACGAGAGGGAGCAGCAGCAGTGATGAGGAGGAGGGTGCGGGGGAGGAGGGGACGGGGAATGGCGGGGATTCGTTTGGGGAGGGAGGGTGAGCGGGGTGGGGTGGGGTGGGAAGGAGTGCTGCTGCTGGGAGAAGGGAGGAATGGGGCATGGGAGGGTGGTGGTTGTGGTTGAGCGTGGGAGGCTCTTGTAGAGTAATGACTTGATGATATAGACAGAGCGGGGATGGGGGTGCTTGCGGTGATGGTGGTTGTCTCGTGTCGGAGGGTGCGGGGGTTGGCATTTGAAGCCGGGTAGGCTTCGGACTGCTGTTTCGACTCCGGCTGCCACCGCTAGTGCCGCAGGCTTGCTTGTACCAACAGTTGGTTGGGTTCGCCTTACTTATCATTCATTGTTGCGCTGTTCAGGTGTGGCCCTAGCGTGTGTTTAAAAGGGGGTAATAAGGCTCTGAAGGGTGTGGCATCCCTTTGGCATGCCAGCACCCTACCACCGCCGGGGTTAGGTGGTGTAGGTGGGGATTAGCCGCCCGCTCTAGCATGGGGGTTTTTGTGCCCCGTTCCAAGACACGCCGGCACAACAGGACAATCCTGTTTGCATGGTGGATCGCACGGTGACGCAGGTTGCCACAGCATGTGGAGGCATGGCTGGGGGCTACTCCCATGGCAACTAGGGTTTTCCTGAGGTCAGTGCGCGACGGCGGATCCCAGCAGGGATGCACAGCCTCCTGGAGGGACGACTGGACTGCCCATCCGTCCTGGTGTAGGAGAGCCGCAAGCCTTGCTGTGCCCATTTGCTTTTTGGTGCTGCTTTCTGGCGTGTCGGAGGTCTCCTCATGGGGACGTTTTTTGCCAGCAGGAAGTGCGTTATTGGCTGCGTTTATGAATGCGTTATGCAACTAACACCTCATGCCGCTGATTACCACCCTTGTTTTGTATACTAAACAAGAGTGTAATACCGATAAGCATGACGTTGTGGTAAGTGTAAAAGTAAGAAGTGACTAGCCGTTTGGCATACTAAATAAGGGTGGTAATAAGTATAACGTTGTGGCAAGTGAAAAGGTAACGAGTGACTACCGGTAGTCTTTTGGCACATGGCTAGGAAGCCTGCAAAGGCGGTTAGCTGTATGAGACGAGCCGCACAAGGCAGGACTTATCATTTCCTGTGATCATCGGCATAAGTGGCTGGGCATGCCCCATCTTCTTAAATGTACGGGCTATTGGGACGAGCTATCGAGTACCGTATCGACAAAGCGCAAGGGTGACTTGGCGCACACTTCACCTGACTTTTCGTATCTTGCTGACCCTGCACCTTCCGTTTCATTGAAGAGCCTCCAGCATGCTAGCCCTCCAGCGCAACCGGTGTGCAACATTCGCTGGCCATACAGGCGTGCCTCGTTCACGCTTGTCAGTTATACGTTCCGCAGCTCTTGGTAAGCTTATACGGATGGGCCGCGGGAGTGTTTCTCGTCGCACTTGCACGTCGGGAATTGCGACGCACTACCGGTATCGCGCGACTCTTTCCTGGGTATCCCGACTTGGTGCCGTTTAAAGATACAGCTTCTATTTATTCGGCTGTTGTCAATGGCTGCAGGCAATTCTATCTCTACACGACCGCTCGTGCTTCATGCGGGTGAGACGACCCTCTCGGTGCCCCTCACCTCCGATGAAGCGCAGCAGCTGCAGGCAAGTGCTGATCCGAAATGAGTTGCCAGATCTTGTTGATATGTCAGACATGCGCAGCCCAAATGCCTCCATCCGACCTAATCTTTGCACTCAACTCACGTTGGGACATAGATCCTCCAACCTCGCATCCCTCCACCCCCATGTGCTACTCGAGTCTCCGTCCCCCGTCCCCACCCGCCCTCCCGCCCTCCCGGCCCCCTCCCGCAGGCCGCCTTCCAGCAGCTATTCCAGACATTCGCTGAGAAGCAAAAAGCGCAGAGGCCCAAGCGCTGGGACATGATGGAATGGCGCCATGTGACCGACCAAGTGGGCATGGAGGTGGGGATGGGGCTGAGTGTACGGTAGCATATAGCCCTAAATGGCAAGACAGCGGCAGCACCGTAGGCGGCACCCCTTCCTCCTGCCCTTTCTCCCTCTTCGGCTGCCCTCCTCTCTGCTTCTGCGTATGGGCATACTTCAACTCCTTTCTCGCTTCCTTTCCTGCTCGCCTTCCTCCTCCTCCTCCGCCCTCCTCCTCATCCGCCCTCCCTCTCCTCCGCCCCAGGTGTTCTGCAACCCCAACGCGCACAGCACCGCCTTTGACGCCAAGCTGCTGATCACTGTGTGGAGTCAGCAGCAGGGGGGGCTGCGGGTGACTACGGAGGCGCGACTCAGCGCTGTGACCAGCGACTTAGACAACTACCTGCAGGGATAGGAGAGGATGAAAGGGGGTTGCAGTGGAGGGGCCCCAGCCGGGGCGGGGACAGGAGTGGCCAGGGATGGGGGCAAAGGGGCATGGGGATGGGGGCAGGCGTAGGGGCAACCATGAAGAGGACGAGGTTTGGCTGGGGGCGTGTAGTGCCTTGGAAGCCGATGTATCATACGTTCTTTGTACCGGATTGTATTGCCAATGTTTGATGGTGTCTGGGTTTTGCGAACCGCTTGATGTGTGGGGACCAGTTAGGACGTTGGGGGGCAGGAATACCGTATGATCTGGGCTGCGGCCGTGTGCCTGCTCAGGGCGATAGCATCCTAAGGCTCTGTTGCCATTCATCCCATTACTGATTCGTTTGTTGTTAGCGCCTGCTAGGCGGCGTTTTGGACAAGTCACGTGTCCGCAAAGTATGACGCGTGAGAGGAAGGTTACGAAGGCTTACGAAGGTTTTGTCGTTTAGGAAGATCGCACAACCGCTAGAGCTGCCGTACACGCCTGGAGCCGTACCCGTACGACGGCATGACCCATATAGCCATGTTGCTATTTCAGGCAACCGCAGGACTGTAACAGTCGTGCTTGAGCAAGGCAAGGGCCCCGGAGCCGTTAAAGGGTTTCAATCTTACAGGCAAAGGACATGCAACTACAAAGTATCCTTTAGCGCCGTGCAGGCAAACAGTCCCCACTCTTCCACAAGCAATGCATAGACGTCACATGCACAGCTCCACGCAGGAAAATTCCCCATTCGCGCATAAGCAACCTCAAAACATGCGCGCCGGAGACGTGGGCAGGCAGTAACGTGTGGCATTGCGCGGCTCTTCCATCCACCTCCAAGCCTGTATAGTGCACGGTAGCACAACGTCCTCAAGCAGCTTGCGCAAGGACGCTAACCATTGGCACACTCCATGCTAGGTACTCCATGAGGCCTCTCGCACTTCCACAACCCCACCTCCATCACCCTTAACAGCCAAGCTGGTAAGGCTTTGTGCGTGAGCAAAACTTAACAACACACCACAACCTCTCTCCTCGTGAGCGTATCCATTCTATACCACTCGACCTCCACACGTGCCGTGAGCACATGACAGGTGCATAACTGGGCTGTACGGACTATCCGAAATACATGCCGTACCGCCCCCTCTCAGGCAGCGCTAGGGATGAGCCCCAGCTGGAAGCCGCAAGTGCCGTGCCCGCTCCACTGCCTCAAGCGGTGAAGCAGCTAAGCTTCCATCCAACATCGCACCGCAGCTCCTCACTTGGGGGCTGAAATGCGGGGCTCTTACTGGCTCTCACTCTTGGCCTGCTCCTTGCTAACAACCGTGAACTGAGGGGGCGGAGTGGGCAGGGGCTCGTACTTGGCCGGCCCGTGGCGCTTGTCCGCGGGGCAGTACTGTGGAAGGTAAGGGTCAACCAGGGATGAGCCTTAAGTGTCCGCTAGCTGTGTGGCGCAATGTAGCTGCAACCGCAACATTGTGGCTTCTATGCTTGCATACGTGTAGCTAGTAAACGAGTATTTGCGCTAAAGTGATTTAATCATGAGATTAATTGCTCAGCTCTCCTATAGGACAAGAGGTTGTGCGCCACGAGCGCGACCTTGTGGTTGTGAATGGACAAACGGTGCGGTGAAGCCTATGCCTAATACCTTAATTGGTCGTGATCGAGCGTGATGCTTGGCACCCTTATGCCAGGGCTTAGTGGCATTACAGGCGACGTTGCGCGAGGTGGCGGCCTGAAGAGCAAACATCCTTCTTTTCTAGCGACCTTAACCTACGTGTTCCGCTAGCAGTTATCAAAGTAGGTCCTTCAGGTATAGAAAGGAGTAATTGAGCGGAAACAGGTTCGTGTCGGTCTATCGAGCAAGATAGGATGGCCGAGCTCCGTACAAGACCAACCTGCCGTTAACTTGGACTGGCCATAAGACTACCCCGGCTACCCATGATACGCAATTGCACTGTGGTTTCAAACTGGGTGGTCAGATTCTCGTGCGTTTGGAGTGGACGCGTTGATACAAACACAGAAAAGCCTGTCGTGAGAGTTACAAGGAAGGGCCGCCCAGTGGCAATACACCCCCTGAGCCAACAGCACACTTGCTCCACAACCCTGCAGTGCATCATTGGATGTTGTTGTCCTCTTGCAAAAAACAATTATTACGCACACCGCATCGCAGCCTTGAACAAGTGAAGCTGGCTCCCAGGGCGCCCTCCCATTCCCTCTTGAAAACCCGGGGGACAAATCTCTAATGAAGGGATAAAAACAAACACCATACGTGCGCACCCGTATAAGCGGCAAAAATGCCACACTGCATCTTACAGCGGGAACTAGCGCAGCGCGTTGAAAGCTCTTCTCTACTAGGCATGTGCTGCCGCTGCGCCCCAGCCCCTACCCCGCTTGGTTCATGTACCCACGCGCACGCGCTCTGAGCAAAAAAGCAAACATGAATTAGGACGTGCAAGGCCTGCAAAGACCAGGTCACACCCGTTTCTCGTCTACAGCGGCCATCCAGGCGACCTCTACACAGCCCTTTTAGCTGCGGGCCCGTCTTCCTGCCTGCCCTCCTGCACCACACAACCGACCCAACAGATCTGCAAACACAAGCACAGCAAGAGCGTCAAAAGCCTCCCAGCCTCACACGGCTGGAGGGAGAACCGTATTCCGGTGTGCTCAGTAGTATCGCTCGGCTCGGCTCAGCTCGGCTCGGCTCGGGGGGTAAAAGGCACATCCGGCTGGCAAGCTGGCGGGCTCTGCCTGGCTGCGGCGGCGGCCTGCCCTCCTCCTGGCAGTCAGGCCCGCAGTCCGGCGCTCTTCACAGGCGCGCCCTTCACACCCGCTCCGCGCGCATCATGTCGATGAACTGCTCGAAGCACACATCGGCGTCGTGCGGCCCGGGGGAGGCCTCGGGGTGGTACTGGATGGTCATGGCCTTCTTATCCTTGTACACCATGCCTGGGAGGTGGGGGAGGGGAAGGGAGGGGTGATACCGCAGGTAAGCCAACGGGTGTTAGCAGAAGGCACACCACAGCCACCACAGTGCCCTCCTCCACAGCGCTGCTCTCGGCTGGCCTGGTGCCCCGTGTATCTTCCCGCACCCCCCCTGCATGCAGCACCCCTTTGCACCCTGGAAGAGGGTCACCGCCCTTCGCTCCACACCCCACGAAACACCCTACACTTCACAGCTCCGGTCCTACGTTCCTACTCGCGGCCAGCTTTCTTAACACGCAATTAGGTTTCCCCTTCTTTACCCCATGCTACCCCCCACCGCGCGTGGCGAGGTTCCGAGCGGCCCCACCTGCGCACGTCCCGTCGTTGAGGTTGATGTGGGTCACCTCCACTCCCGCCGGCAGCGTGGCGGGGTCCACCGCGAAGTTGTGGTTCTGAGCCGAGATCTCAACGCGGCCTGCGAGGAGCGGAAGGGAGCAGCACAGGCCAAAAGCGAGGTATGAGCGCGAGGAATGTGCCGCTACCGGTTCAACGTGAAGCTCAAAAGCGTGCATTGCACAGTTGCAGCCCCCGGCATGCGTCGGAAAGTGTGCGACGCAGGGGAAAGTCCCTTCAGCCGCAAGTCAATGATTATCCGGCCTTCGGGCGCCGATGAGCGCGTCGGGGAGGAGCAGGGCCCGACGCATGCCATGTTTAGGGCAGCCAAAACAAGTTGGCACCACCGGGACCACCGGGGTCACCCCCCCCCGGATTGACCCCGCCCCACGCACCCGTGGGCATGTAGCGGATGGGGTGGTTGCCGCCGTGGTGGCCGAACTTGAGCTTGAAGGTCTTGCCGCCGAACGCCTGGCCCAGCACCTGAGGAGGCGAGGAGGGAAGGGAAGGCAGGGAGACGATGAAGGCGGGGAAGTCACGGGGAAGTCCGTTCATTGATGATTAAAATTCAATGCTTGTTATGGACTGCCAAGTAAGCAGGATCCGCTCTCGCAATCGCTGCCGCATGCATCCATCGCCTGCGTTCTTGTAGTACGAGGTCAACACCCTGTCCCCAGTTTCCTGGCCCCAGCTCCCTGTTCCGACCCCTGCCCCCACCCTACCTGGTGCCCCATGCAGATGCCGAACACGGGCTTCTTGCCCAGGATGGCCTTGGCGTTGTCAACGGCGTAGGGGGCAGCCGACGGATCACCCTGCGAGCAGCATCCGGGGAGGGAGTCAAGAGTTGCAGGCGAGCGGCGAACTTCCCTGTTGCGGAAGATGACCCAAATTCAATGTTCCTTAACTTCAATCCTCCGAAAAGCCCCATCCCATCCGCGAGCTCCTCCACGCAGCCGCTCCCCCAACAACCCTTCCCCCCCACTGCATGAGCCGGGACATGGGATTGGGACTCCGTTGCTTCCCTTTCCTCTTCCCCCCCTCTCCATGGGTGCGCACTCACGGGTCCGTTGCTGAAGAAGACGCCGTCGGGGTTCATCTTGAGGACCTCGGAGGCCGGGTAGGTGGCGGGCACCACGGTGATGCGGCAGCCGAAGGAGGCCAGGCGGCGCAGGATGTTGGTCTTGATGCCGAAGTCGTAGGCAACAATCTGATTGGTGCAGGGCGGGGGGCGGAGGGGGGGAAATACTGGTAAAAAAACCGACCAAGGCAACTAAGGAGCTGTGTGACATATAGGTTTCACCATGGAGGGAGGGGCCGGGAGAGCGGGGGGACGGAGAGGTGAGGGAAGTGGTGAGTGTGGCAGGGGTTTGGGGTTTGGAGCGCGGACAAGAGCCGTGCGGTGTTGGACGGGTGGGAGACAAGTCAGCAGGCGTGGATGATGCGGGCAAAGTGGGTTGTGCTTGGGGGAAAGCAAGGAGGAATCGAGCGTAGAGGGCATGAGGAGGTGAGTTGCGGTCATGCGGCTTCATGCCGTGGCGGGTGCAGCGCTTCCTGCCTGTCCCCTCCTTGCAGGAAACACAGGACAGCAGGTAAAGTAAAAAGCGGGCGGTGGAGCGACTGTTCAACAGCCGCCTTGCTTTGGGGCAGGCAGCGGTGGCCAGGCGGCCCTCAGCACGCCGTGGCCTCCGCTGTAGGTATGCCGCATGCGTCCCGCGGGCACACCCATGCTGTGATGTGCGGTGTCTACCGGAAACCACCAGGCGGCTGTGCGCTAGGTAGCTCGCCAGCCACATGGCACGGAGTAGCCAAGCTCTTCGCCCACTAGGAACTAGCCCAGAAGCTGTGATGGTATGGAGCGCCATCGCATGCACTCATGGCGCAGGAGGTGTTTCCCACCCCTCCCCCTGTAAGTCCCGCCATGCCACATTGCCCCGAAGCCCGCGCACACCTCCCGGGGAGCATCTCAGCAGCATACAGGGGACCACCGGAACACCGGCTTGTAGGGCTGTGTGAGATAATCGGAACACACCACGCAACATGAAGAGGTCAAGATTCGCAAGATGTGTCCAAACCGCGCGGTGGGAACACAACGCATGCATGCCCCTGACCCAAATCCCAGCGCGCGCGCAGCACCTACGTGGAAGGGTCCGTGCTGCTTGGCCTGCTTGGTGTGGCCGTTGAACTCCCACTCCTCCGTGGTGCCCTTGCCCCACTCGTACGGCTCCGTGCACGACACCACCGACAGCAGATCCTTGCCCACGATGGTCCACGACTTGGCCATCTCCACGAGCTCGGAATCCGACTTGGTGGCATCGGTGGTCACGACGCCAACCAGGCAACCAGTCTCGCGCAGCACCTTCGTGAGAGCGCGGGTGTCGATGTTGGCGAGGCCAATTACGTTCTCCTTCTTGCAGTACTCATCCAGGGTCATCTTGGCGCGGTAGTTCGAGACCGCGCACGAGAGGTCCCTCACAATGATCGCACCCAGATGGCACTTGGAGGACTCCATGTCCTCTGCAAGTAAAGGGCCAACAAGGTTGGCGGCAGATGCTAAGTTTTGGAGCAGGCTTGCCAGAATTTTTTGCAGCCAGGGCTTGCTCACCGTTGTTGATCCCAACGTTGCCGATGTGTGGGCACGTGAACGCTACAAACTGGCCCTTGTAAGAAGGGTCAGTCATGATCTCTTGATAACCTGTGAGGGAGGTGTTGAAGACCACCTGCAGGCGACAAAGGCAACCCCAACAAAGAAGATAGGCGACTGCTCGGCATGTCGGGACGAGCCATCGGCGGCTTGCAACTCATATAATTTGCCCCAATTAAGCAGGTTAGGTATCAGCTATTAGAATTGACAAGCTTTAGCGAAAAAGCGTGGTAATTTTGAGGTGCCACCCCAACCCTAGTTCAACCCAATGATGCCGCGCCCACCTCGCCAATATCCGTGCCGCTAGCACCGAACGCCGTCGCATGCCAAACAGACCCATCCTCAAGGACGAGACGAGCATCGCGCTTTGGGAAAGGAGAAGCAGCAGCTGCGGCGCGTACAACGACGGTGTGTGCCCTGCCGGCGCTAGGGCCCTTGGTGACATTGCGGAAGCCCTGGCACGCCCGCCGGCTAGACACACGAGCTACCACGGGCGTCAGCACTACTTGACGATTGCAAGAGGCATGAAGGTCCGCAACACCGCACACGGCGGTGCGGCCTTGCAACTTATTTTGCAAGGCTTGCATTCTCGAACGGAGGTGCCTTCAAGGTATCCTATGTGAAGGCGTACACCCACAAGGAATACAAGGAAACCTTTTTAACAAGAAGTCTTGATGCAGTGCTTTAGTCGTGACGGTACGGCCACAAGTCAAAGCCCTTGCATAAGGAACTGCACTTTTACACTAGTAATGAACATCTAGGAACAAAAGTAATAAAATTTTGTCTTAATCCGCGCCCAGTTTGCATTTGCATGGTTTCATATCACGTGAGGGCATGGCTCCGCCTTTATAGGCAGCCAGCTTCACGTATGGTTGGTGTTAACACGGAGTTTGCTTGCATCACGCACCACGTGTAATATTTTTCATGGCATCAAAGCCCTGGGCGTGGAATACCGTTGGCAGCATTAGAGGAAAGCGGCGTGGGGGGCTTTCTGCTTTCCTTGGACACCTTAACTACAATGAATAGCACTTCAGAGCGTGCAGTCTGGAAGGCCCGATCGCGTATAATCGTTAGACAAGTCAAACCCCAGAACCAGTTCCCCATCATTACCAATGCAACATCAAGGCCAGGCTGTGGACGCCCAAAACAACAACCTACACAGAAGAGAGCACGGCCACTACATAAAAAGGTGTTATATGCAGAAAACCATAAACATTGGCCACAATTGGCCAAGACAATTACGATGTCTTTGCAGCAGGCCATTAAGCTGGAGTGGGCCATTTACCGGCCGCAGCCGGCGTCCATCACCATCTATGCGTCCAAGCTGGCAGCCTGCGCGGGGATGAACCCATATGCCAGCCCAGCGGAGCTGAAGAAGGAGCTGCTGCGTGCCCTGGGTGCGGCACCAGAGTACATGACACCCTCCGAGCAGGCTGACGACCTCATGAGCAGCCTGCCAGCAGAGCAGCAGCAGCACGTGCAGCAAGCGCTGCAAGCGACGCACGACGACCCCACGGCGGTGCAATCCACGCTGGACGACCTCTCGCGCCTCATCACCAGCACGCCCAACATACCCACTGAGAGCAAGGACCTCCTGGTGCATGAGGTGCGCAACCGGCTCTTCGTGGAACATGGAAAGCACTGCGAGGACAACGTCCGCCACGCCTACGAACGCGAAGCGCGGACAAAGGTCGCCACAAGCGCCCAATTCAAGGTGTCCCGAGAGCCGCTGATGAGCGTGCGAGGGGTCGAGGTGTTCCTGGGTGGCAAGCACGATGGTGTGGTGGAGGATGATGTCATCGTGGAGATCAAAACACGACTGCGGCGCTTCTTGGGGACACCCACCTACGATCTGGTGCAGCTGCACGCCTACATGCACATCTATGGAAAGACACGGGGGGTGCTGGTGGAAAGCTTCAACAAGGAGGAGCGCTGTCACGAGGTGGCTTTTGATGGCGAGCTGTGGAAGTCTGTGCTGGCAGGACTAGGAGCCTTCCTGGACGATGTGTTTGGCAGTGTCCCGGCTGTGCTCCAGGAGGTACCGCAGGACTTGACAACAACATAGCAGCGTATATTCAAGCGTAAGCCTAGCAGCTAGCGTCCTGTGCAGCTTGCGTAAATCCCTGTTGTGGGTAAATTGGGTGAAGCTTGGCTACATACGGACATTGATTGCCCGCTTCAAGTGGTTGCAGACTGAAGAAGACCCGTCAGACTTCAGTCGGGCCCATACCCCACTGCAACTGACTCTGTAACAACCAACCAAAGCAATGTACGGCAACGAATGACAATTTCCAAGCAACTCACAACCGCCTTGTGAATCCAACAGCCATGCGCATCTATCTAGCACTCAACAGAGACTTCAGTCGAGCAACACACCATACCTCTCAAACCTGCGGCTATAAGCACACACCCCACTCTGCCCTGACAAAATTGCGGGGTAATCTACCAGTATATGTGCTTCCGGGAGTTTGTTTGAACTCCTTCCAAAACTTGCATACACCCCTTGCCAGGGATATACCGCTAACGTAGCGCCCTTCACCACCGGTTACACGAACCTGCATGCTGTAAAAGGAAATGCAGATCGACGCTAATCAGCGGAAAACACACTTAACTCAAAAGCCCTCTAAGAACCGCACCGTACATGCCATGCCTGCAATACGATAATATACCTGTGTAAACAGATCGCATCCGACCCACATGCTGTTATGGTGGAACACCTGCTTGTGGTTCCAATACCACCCATTGCCTGTCCCCGGACAAAAAGGCATTTCTGCAATACACACCTCGTCACTATCTCCCTCACCACCACGTTCACGTCCTTCAGAACTCTCCTCCCGACTTCTTCCTCACAACCCTCCCATTTCCTCACAGCTGCAGCAAATCCGTACCACGATCCGCTACCTCCATGACCGGCGGCCGGGCCAGGAACAGCACCGATGCGAACAGTGACCCGCGGGTCGCCAGCGCCGCCGCCTGCCTGCCCTGCACCATCTGCAGCGCCCGGGCGCCCTCAGGCACGCCCAGGTACCATGCCGACTCGTCCAGCGTCTCAAACGTGGCGGGGGCCTTATCCACCACCAGGATTCCCGGGCCCTGCAGCCGCCGCTTGTCGTCATCCGTCTGCAGGCGGCAGCAGCGGGTGTGGGTGTGGGTGTGGGGGAGAGGTCGGGGAGAGAAACAAGAACAACATAACCGTGCGAGGGCAAACGGAATATCAAGTCGCCCTCTTTAGTCTTTACCCCCTGCCCGCCCACTTCCACTGCGGCTCAGTGCACGGCACCCAAACCCCCCTCCCCCCGCGCACCTTGGCCCTCGACCCCGCCAGCACAGCCTGCACCGCCGCGCAGTCCCGCAGCGTGAGCGCCAGCGGGTGGCGGGACATGGCCAGCGCGCGCCAGGCAGGCAGCGCCACCCAGGACCAGGAACGAGGGGGGGAAGAGGCGGAGGAGGAGGAGGAGGGCTGTGTGGTGGTGGAGGGGGTTGCTGTGTGCTCCCGGGGTGCTTCTTCTTCGTGCTGCTGCTGCTGCTCGGGCTGCTGCTGCTGCTGCTGCTGGGTTTCCAGGCAGAAGATGCCGAATGCGCCACTCTGGGTGGTGCGAGGGGCGGCGAGGAGGTCCTCGGGCTGCGGGTTGGGGTGGGGTGGGGTGGAGAGGGCGGGAGGTTTGGAGGTATGGGGGTGGTGGAGGGGCGAAGGAAGATAGGGGAGTAAGAAAGGGGAATGAGTGGTTCCATGTTCCCTTCATGCAGGTAACACACACCCGCCCAGCCCTCCCGCGCCCGCCAACCGTGTCAGCTGGTCACGTACTTCCGGTTCACCTCCTCCGGCCTGCCCTGCCAGCGACGTCACTAACTTTTCCCGGTCCCCACGCCCCAGCTCCCCCACCCCCTCACCTGCGCCTGCCCCAGCTCCCCCACCACGCACACCGGCCGCACCCCCAGCTCGTCCGGATTCAGACGCAGCAGCACCAGCGGCGCAGGACTGCCCGCAGCAGCAGCACCAACGGCGCCGGTGCCGCCCCCAGCTGCGGTGCCGCCCTCGCCCGCCTCCCCTTCCTCTGCCAGCAGCTCCAACTGCTCCCCGGGGGAGCGGGCAGGGAGGAGAGGAGAGGGGCAGGCCCAGCGCATGTTAGGTCTTAGTCCCCTTAGATGATGGCAGCAAACTAGACGGCTAGGAGCGGGAACAGGCGGGGCAGCGGGTTGGGTTGCTGCCTTGGGTAGTACCCACACGTGGGGGAGGGGGGGAGGCAACACTACCCGTAGGGGAGGCAAGGCAACACTAACCCTGGGTACCGACACCTCCCCCGGCGCCCCCAGACTGCCGCCTATATCCTTCATGATCTCTTGTCACACGGAACGTTGAAGTCGTTAGCTTCCTCCTCTCTACCCCTCCCTTCCCTTCCCTCTCCTCCCCCCTCCTCCCGCTCACCAGCCGCTGCCGCGCCTCCTCCGTCACCGCCACCGCCAGCCCCTGGTCCACACGCAGCACCGCATCCTCGCGCTTGCGGCACTCCAGAGCCTGAGGGGGGGAGGGAGGGGGGGAGGGAGGGATGGGAGGGGGTACGAGGTAAGCTGAGCCGAATGCGGAGAAGGCGGGAGCGAAAGGCCATACACAGCCTCACATCTCTCAGATATTTTCCCTCCCCGCCTCCCCCCCTCCCTCCCTCCTCACATCTCTCAGGTACTTGAAGGCCAGGCAGTCCCCGGGCGCCTCGCTGAATCCCGCCCGCTCCTGAGGCCGCCGCTCGAACTCCTTCATGGCGCGAGCCAGCACCTCGCACATCTGCGCCGCCGGGAGGGTGGGAGGCATGATGGAAGGGCAGGAGAGGGGTTGTGGGATGGGTGTGGGGAGGCGGGGTCTGGCAACGTTGGGATCGGTTGTGGTAGTCGGTGGACAATCCTGACGGAACAAATGGCTGTACAAAGCTACCGGGCTGTTTGAAATTGCGATACTTACCGCGGCATCTAAGTTCTGCGCGACGATGTACTGAGCTGCGGCTACTCGGCGCTCGGCGCTTAGAAAGCGGAAGGGGTAGAGCAAATCGACGCCCGCGCCATCGAAGCGGCTCAGGACCTCGCGCGGGACTGCCGGTGATGCTTTAACGGATTCGTAGACAGTCCCTGAGACGACCCATTTGTTCTGTTCCGCTGGCGTGATGCCAGTCAGTTCATCAATAACAGCTGCGCTGTAGCCTTTGGAATTGAGGGCTGGAATGAATTTGGCCAGGTCGTGCCAGTGACCAGCACGAGAGCGCAATTTGTTTAGCATTTCCTGAGGATCCGTGTTGGCCGTGGAGTCGTCTGGCAGCGTCTCGTTCATGAAGCCCGCTGGTGGTCGGTACTTGTTTAACATGGGCGGACCGCCAGGAAGGGCCTGATTCGACACCAGGCCAAGCGAACTTTCATCTGGTAAGAAGCTGCCCTCGCCACCGGGCCGCGCCCCTTGCTGCTTATCGGGCGACAGAATGCGCTGGGGCCGACCACCACCAGGCGCAGGGCGCTGCTGCCCCGGGATAATTAGCCGCGCTTCTTTAGCGCGCTGGAAATTGTTGCTGCCATCATTGCCTCCAGGGCCTAGGATCAGGCCAGAATCGCGGCCGAAGCGTGCATGCACAGAAATGCTATGGCACCGGCCACGCGCTTGTACGCTGGGACAGGCCTTGAAGGACATATTTAAGCCCGGCATTATAATTGCGGCAACGACGGAAATTGAGCTTCCAAGACCTTCTAAGAAAGAGCCATGGGTCGGCGAACGTCGGTGCGCTATTACCAATGTCGACAACAGGTCAGCTATTCAGCTATTTCCGTATTGGCGTAATTTCCAGCTTGAGTTGAAGGGAGCCTATGATGCCTAAGATAATTCTCGTGCGTTTGCTGCACGTACTGAGTCCCATCGCCCGACCGTACCGCAACCTGCGAGTCCGGCCGGAACAGTCGCCAAATCTGCCAGGTGCTGCAATCCCACGTTTAGCAAGGGTCTAGTACAACTGTGAAGGAGAAGGGCTTCGCTGCAATGATCCACCGCTGCCGGTGTTCTCATAGCCAGCAAGGGTCTGCCGCCGAACGCCGGCCGCCTCAACTTGAGCCAAGACCCTTAACGGTACCCGCCCAGTCCATCTCCTCGACTGCCTTCACCGCCAAGTCCAGATCCTCCACCAACACCAACACCGATACGCGTTTGTCACCCGATTTGATGCACCAGGGTCTTAACAATTTGATGCACCAGGGTCTTAACATTGGGCAACAACACACTGCCGTGAGCGCCCTCCACCCCGGGACACCCGCTGGCCTCTTCGTAGGGCCCTCGCAGAATAACGTAATCATCCATGCATGCATGCATGTACACGTGTGCACATATGGCTTGTCCACGCCATCCCGAACCCAAGTACCAAGGGTACGGGTACAAAAACTGCATGCATGCACAAAAACCCCGACGGTGTTCCGCAAGCCCACACCGCTCCAGGCTCCCACCCCACCACCAGCGGCAACACTAAGCACTAGCTCGAAGTATGAAGCACCAAGAAACCCAAATCCCTGTTTCCAGATAAGGCATATCCTAGCTTGCAAGGATGCATGCACCCCTGCACCTCCGCCCACTCTAGCCTCATACGCACTCATACTCCACCACCAGGCCCACCGCTCCCCGCCACCGCCGCAGCGGCTTGCTCAGCTTGTCGAGTTGCGTGCGACCCAGCTCCAGTGTACCGACCCGTGGGTCCAAGAAGGCCGTGTTGACCCAGGCGCTGAACTGCGTGACGCGGCCCTTGTACACATCGGCCGTAGCGCCTGGGACCTGTCCGCGGAAGAGTTGCACCTTGATATCGCCCTCCACGATGGGGCCCCCCATGCGATCGCCCTTCTGACACGCCTCGCTTCCCCCGGAGTCCTTTCGCGGCTCTTGAGGCGGTGGTGGTGCTGAGGCTCCCCCCTCACAAGCACCCTGGGAGGCCCCGTAAGCCGCCTGGGCAGTGCAGGGAATGGGCGCAGGCGCAGCAGCACCTGCATGCATTGCCGTCAGCGGCGGCAGGGACGGCTGCGGTAGGGTGATGTACGGAAGTGGCGATGGCGGTGGGGGCGGCGGCAGCGGCGGCAGGCGGGTTAGCTCCATAACTAGCTCTACGGAGGATGATGTCTGGTTGGCGCTGTCTGTGTAGGGCTGGATGACCCATGGGTCAGCAAATGCCTCCGCAGCGCTGGAGGAGGTGTCCCGCTTTGCTGATAAGCAGCCTGCTCCTGCCGTACGCGTAAGTACATGGCAGACTGTGTGCGCCTCGTAGTGGCCCGTGGGTCGCCACCAAACACTCGCGGTGCAGTTCTGAAGCAGTGACGTCGGCAAGCCACGAAAGCGCAACCGAAGCAACCGGACTGCGCGATGGGGTATCTGTGCAAGCCGGAGCGCATGGGGGCCACCGCCGGGGCTGTTGTTTGTGGGGTGGGGTGGTGAGCATGACGCTGGGTTGGCCGCACATGGAGTCTGGGTAGGTTGCGGTGACTGCTCCAGTGCCCTGGCTGCTGCTGTGGCTGCCGCATTGTCGTCATCGTGCGCGGTCGTCGCGGTGGATGCAGCAGCAGGTGCGCCCTGCAGTGTGGACAGGAGCAGACGGTGGAAGTACTCGACAAATCTGTGGGGCACGGAGCGAGGAGAGGAGTGAAAGGGGGACACATGCGGGTTGGAAACGGGAAAGGCGCACAGCGGCACAGGTAAGCGGAGCCCGAGTACCGGACTGAGCAACAACGAGGACTTCACAACACTCAATTAATGAAACACCGGCAACCCGGCGCCGCGTCCGTTCTAATACTTGACACACACCACAAACCCAGATCCCATCCAGTCCTACATAATAACATATAGTACGCAACATCCCAAGTACGGCTGCACTACTGCCGTACCGTCGCTGGCTGGGAATGGTGAGGCCCTTGCCATCCCGTGTGCGCTGCTGGGCCCAAAGAGCTAGGGTGCATTCCAGGGAGGCTGCGCCCAGCTGGGGATCCTGTCGGGGGGGTAAAAAGAAATTCGAAAGTGTGGTGTGATAATGATACAATTTGCTGTCGGGGAGGTGGGAGGTTCAGGGGATGCGTAGCAGTTGTATCGAGCAAGAGGCCTCACCAGTCCACGGTCCCGGCATCAAGCCGCCCCATGGTTCACTGAAGGTCGCTGTGGACCAACAAGTTACACCCCTCCCATTGAGGAATGGCGCCCTCCAACTTCCACGTTAAGCCTGATGCTGCACAACGCCAAGCGGCGCGACGCACACTGTACAGGTGTACTGCCTGTGACAGTAACCGTATACCACAACTGCAAGCGACGCTACCCACCAGCGCAAGCAGCAGCGCACACACCGCCACGCCCGTGCGCCCCTTGCCGGCCTTGCAGTGCACAGCCACCACATGCTCGGGGTGCGCGGCTAGCCAGGCGGCGGCGTCGCGACACAGCTCCAGCAGCAGGTGCAGTGGTGGAGCCTGCGAGGAGGAGGTCCCGGGACGCCGGGAGGGTTGTTTTGCTTAGAAATTTAGGAATGAATTAATGGCATGCCGGCTTTCCTGCAGTTAGGTTTGTTGCGCTAAGATAGCCCAGAGCCATCGGCAGGCCGTCGTGAGGCCTTCGCCCATGTGCTCCGCTGCTCACCTGCCCGTCGTACATGGGCAGCCGCATCACCCGCCCACCAAACGCCGCAGTATCGTAGCCGCGCTCGATACACAGGTTATACAGCTTGTAGCGGCCGCTGTGGCGTTCCTCCAGCAGCCGTACAACTTGGTCAGCTGGGTTGCGGTACAGACCTGCAGCGCAACCGTGCAATATGGGATGTGGTCCGCTGCTGTTGCAACTGTTCGTGTCCGAGTAATAGAACGGCCATAGCCAGCTAAGCCTTGTGCAACACGTTCCCAAAAGGAGTGGCGGGAGCGAGGTGAAGCTTTCGTGGTGGCATCCGGACTTACGTGACACGCCATGGTCACACGGGAAGCCCATAGCGATGATACGTGGCGTAATATACGATAGGTCCAAATCGTAACCATCCTGCTGGTACCTCCTCTTGTTTGTGGACACGAGACCTGGGCAACAAGAAACAGTAGGATGGACCTGAGGGGGCCAGCATATGTGAACCTGGATTTCTTGGCTGATGTTATGTAATCTTAGCTCAGTAATTGAAGGCTTCAATACTTATCGGCAACGCTTTGATAACGGCCTTTGCAGTAAGTCTGAAGAGTTTGGTAAGACATAAGTGCTTTCTCTGCTATTCACGAAATCAGACAAAGAGCAACGATGTTTTTCATCGCCTAGGCTGTCCTGATCTGTGATACTCACGTCTTGCAATGAAGGCCATCAGGATAACGCCGTTTGGGGCTTTGACCTAGTGTAAGGAGCTGCATTACGCAACAGGAAGTGTACGCAGTAAGGAGGGAAAAAGGGTGCACATTATTGACATAAATTCGACCAGCATTAGTAACATTGGATCCAACAATGCGCCGATATCGAATAGGATAGGGACGCACCTACTCCCCATTCCGTGAACGAGCTGCAAGCTATACACGCACTCCAGCTGCGCAAAGCCAAACCCTTTACCACAACCTGGCACAAGGCCGCCCCCAACGACTGTCGTACCACCACCGCAAGCCTATGTGCTAGCAGATGCCGAAGCCAACGACACACACCCATATCAGTACAAACCGACAACAATGGGTAAGTCGTGCATGCCGGAAAGCCATGGATTATACACGGCAACAGGCTACTTGGAATTATCATGTGCTAACAGACACAACATGCGTGGCTTTGAGGCGGCATCAGTCAAAACCGAACGTCCGAAGACCAACGACCAAACACAGGCCGGTGTCGCACGCCGGCAGTCCAGTTCAGTGACATTGCGACCTCACCCTTTCCATCCCCTTACCATACACGCTACTTATGTGCACGCGACGGAGGTTACAGTCTACGGCTACACAACATACCCAAACCCGTGCGGCAATCTACTGACCAGCACCCTGACGCATCTTCCCTTGCTGCTCATGCCCCGCCGTTTGCGTAACCTGCCAGCTACATCATGCAAGAAGCTGACACTCAAAGCTGCACAAACAGGTTACACAGCCAACTGAAAGTAATAGTCTCACATTTCTGACACCCTCAAAAGGCACGCATGGTGCAGAGGTTGAAGGTCACACTCCAGCAATGCAAAAGCGCTGCCGCTCGCTCTCATGCGTTGATGTTATTATCCCCTTTCGCCACCCTTAACACAACCTAGCCTTCCTGACCTACTTGCTACCCCCCATCCTGCGTGCATCTACCAGAAGTACCGTGCGGTGGCACGCGGCGCCATCATGTTGCTGTTTTCCTGCGTTTCCGTGAAGTACCGCACGTCCCGGTTAAGCTTGTCATCGAAGATCAGGATGGAGGCAACGTTGCCGCAACGGTAGCAGTAGTTGGGCGCTGACCACACCGTCACGAGCGACCGGTCAGGGAACATGTACTTCAGCCCCTCTTGCACGAGCTGGTGCGCGCGGCATATGAGCTCCAGGCCATTGATTTGGTTGAACTCCGCCGTCACCTTGCTGCCAAACAGCCAGCCGGCACCACGCGGGCTGATGGCCCATGTCTCGATGTCCTCCGGGTCCGACCACATGAGGTCACAGAACGGCCCTTCGTGTGGAATCTCACACACGCGGTCGATCGTGCGGATTTGGTCGAGGGTGCGGATGTCGGGGGATAGACCGCCGTGCACGCACAGCACCTTGCTGTCGATGAGCGCCGAGAGAGTGAGGAAGTCAAAGACTTCGGTGCAATACCGCCACGCGTTCGCGTTTCCGTACTTGCGCTGGCACTCATCGTAGAAGCCATACACCTGGGTGATTTGTCGGCTTTCATGGTTGCCCCGGAGCAGCGTTATGTTGGCGGGGTAACGAGCCTGCACCGCGTCGCCGCCGTCAGCGATTTGCCCTTGTACATGTAAGCGCTCTTTAGTTCTTAGCTTAACTATACCTTTAATAGCATAAGCATGGTGAAGACCTCCAGGCTGTTGTACCCCCGGTCGACGAAATCACCCATGAAAATGTAGTTGGTGTTGGGCACCTCGCCTCCCGTTTCGAACAACCGCAGCAGGTCGTGAAACTGCCCATGAATGTCTCCACACACAGTCACCGGTGCGTTGACTGGCTGCACGTTAGACTCCTCGACTAGGATCTCCTTGACGTAGTCGCACAGCGTTTTAAGCTCCTCCTCCGCGAGATGCTCGCATTTCCTAACTTTCTCTATCCAACGGTCTAGGTCACTGTGCATAGCAGACATGCCGGCGTTGCTCGAGATGGCCTAGCGAAAGAAGCGGGCTAGTATCCCCTTATGGTTACTTTTAGGTGACACGCCGCCAGTAAACTAAAGACAAAAGCACGATAAAAGTTAAAGACTGATTGTTTCAGCCAAATTTGCAGAAAGTCAGGCCTGAAGTTGCAGGTAGGGGCGTATGCAGCGATTAATCCATAAACCTTTACAGTGAATTTAAGTATGCCAAGTATGCGAATTAGGCAAGGTTTAACAAGTAATTGTTGCAGCCAGACGTGTTCATCCAATGTTTGTACGGCGCCATGAAACCAGGCACGTTACCGTAATATGACACTTCTTCCTTTATCCTCCCTGAACCTGTATGCTGCCAAGGCCAAAGCAACGGATTGCGTAGGCATCCCGGATGGCGATCGCACGATAGGCAGCTATTCCTGAACCGGGGAAACCGTGGCAAGCTGCCTCCCCCATGCCGCCCATTCCGGTGATGATCATGCCCATGTACCCATTCCCAACCAAGTGAATGCCAGCGAATGTCCAGAGGGCGTACCCCTTATCTTGGCTCAATTAAACACCGCTACCTGAAGTGGGCATGGACCTCCCACCAAATGTGGCTGTGGATGCATGGCAGGACAGGTGTGATGCAACAACACGGACGCTGACCTCCTTCTGCCAGCTTGCCGATCCTTGCACTTGCTAAACGTCCCGAATGTTCACACCGTGCTCTTAAGCTTCGGCATTAGCCTGAGATGACTGCGCATGCCCATGGCCTTGGGTTCCTTACTCCGCGCCTGTGGCGTTGCCTTGGCACATAGAACCGTCACTACCATGGAGGGGCGCCCATGTGCCTCCTGATGGCCGCCGGGGTGCAGGTCGTGCGTTGCGAGACGATAACAAGGTGGTGTTGGTCAATACGATTTGTCGAGTTACCCAAATGCAGTCAAACGCAGGCTCCAGCGATGCAGGCAGCTTGCCTGGTGCACCCACCTTAAACAGCCAGAAGAGCGCTGCGGATATAAGGACCCACAGGTTCACAATAAACAGTAAAGACAAACGAATCTAAGCCGTTGGTATGTTCCAGCAACCAGTATTGCGTGCGCATTATAACGCACGCTTTAAGCGTCCGCACTGCAACAGCTTTACTACGTCGCGCTCGAGAAAGTAAAACACAACAGCAGCTTTCGCTTTCCGCCGTCGTAAAGGTTCATGCCTCCACAGAAGAGGTCCCACGGGACAGCAGTTAAACGCTGGAAGCCAGCCTGTACAGCACGTCATACACACCGTATGCCTACACGTCCCACACACAATCCGAGCAGTTAAATGGACGAGGCTGGGCAGCCAACGCCATTGCCGAGGCATGGCCCGTCCTCGGGCGTCCTATTCACGGTGAAGTCACCTGCTCAAAGTCGCAAGAAAGACTTGGCCGCATGCATGCCAGGTATACGCACTCGGGAACGCACGTTAAGCAACACATATCCATCCCCGTTCCAAGTCGACCAACGGTAAAATTACCCCTCCTCCCGCTACCTCACCATCGTCGCCTAATGACCGGGTGGGCAGCGCAGTCCCTGCGCCGAATGCTAAGTTGGTAGTCAAGTCAGATTTAGGCCCACCTTGCCACTCCCTGCAAAAGACGCAAAGGCCCCGCCGGCCATCCACCATGCAGCGCCAACAGAACACACACCGCTCCTCAGGGCTCGCGCGCACCTCATGATACTCCCCTACGTGTTGCAGGCACAGCGCACCAATCTAAGGCTCGCAAGGCACTTTCCACGTGTCAGTACCGACCTTGGCAACCGTCAAAAAGAAGTTTCGCACCACCCGGATTGTACGCCAATTGCTGCGCATTACGTATTCTTATGCAAAGCCAAACTCCTTGACATACCAGATGCGTTGCTAGGACGGCAGCAAGGAAAGCAAGCAACAATCGACATTCCGCAATCATGGTTTGAATGCCCGAGACCCATAAGTATCTATTCGCGTAAGCAACATACCTCCACCAGGACCATTCACTCTCAACCAGATGGAGCTGCATGCACTGTTCGCACACTAACCCCCGGCAGCCCCTCACCCCACGACAACACGCAACCTAGCCTCGTAATACCGTCCTCACCCCACGACAACACGCAACCTAGCCTCGTAATACCGTCTAAATAACCCTCTCCACAAGTGGAGCACCAGCCTACCTACAGCCCGCAAACAAGCACTCAACACGCGCCCCGTCATCCCCCGGTGCTCATCGGCTGTCCTCAATCCAGTCCCAAAGCTCCCACTGCTGGTTGTGCTTTTCCGCCCGGTCAGGGGGCACAGGGGGCGGCTCGATGTCGACACTGTCAAAGTTGTCAAAGTTAGACGTGTCAAGCGGGTTCCGGACGCGCGGGCGGAAGGGAGCTGGCAACCGTTTTAGCTCGAGCGCCTTCCAATCGATGCGGCTGAACCAGCGGTGCCGTTTAATCTCCTCGGCCCCCAATCGCCGGTCGCTGCCAAGGCGCTTATCCGGGTTCACCTGGAGCATAGTAACAAAAGGGGGCGCCGCAGCAATTACTATCATTATATGGGGTCCATAGGAAGCATGTTTTGACATGAAGCAACAACCTAGCTTCTCGAAGGGCATTAAGGACAGTATGTTTCCGATAGTACCTGCAGAAGCTTGAAGATGAGGTCTGCAGCCTGGTCAGAGATGAAGTTGGGCACATAGAAGCGGCCCGAAAGTGTGCGCCTGAAGGTGTCCCATGGGTCGCCGGTGAGCGATTTGAAGGGCGGGTCACCGACCAGCATCTCAAAGATGAGCACGCCGAGCGCCCAGTAGTCCGCAGCCTTGGTTGTGCCGCGCCGCATGATGACCTATGTGGAACGAACGAAAGGCGATCTTAGTTATTGTAGGCGCCTCTTGGAAGCATGCTCATATTACTGATCACAGGCAAGGCTCACACAAGGCTCAGGCTAATCCTTGACTTCCTGGAAAATAAGCTTACCTCGGGTGCCTGGTAGTCCGGAGTCCCGCATATTGTGAACGTCTTCTCCCCGCCGATGTACTTTGCAAAGCCGAAATCCGCCATCTTAATGTAGCCCTGCAGTAAGCAACAAGCGATTCCAGCCAACGCGTGTAACATGCCTGATCTTAACTGTGCCACCAGCACTGTGCCGCATTGCATGCTATTTGCAGAGTCCTCGATAGAAGCATCAGCGACACCGTGTCTCGACGCGCACGCACTACACGCTGGCTTCCAGGGCCGGGGCCGTATCAACCGCATGTCCGTCAAACCTAGCAAAACCCACCTGCGTGTCGAGCAGCAGGTTCTCCGGCTTGAGGTCGCGGTACACGATGCCCTTGTTGTGCAGGAACTCCAGCGCTAGCAGCACGTTAGCCGCATAGAACATGGCGGTGGGCTCGTCAAACGCGCCCTCCACGTCTAGGTGGTGGAACAGCTCTCCACCCGGCACCCACTCCTGCAATGGGTGAGGGTTAAGAAGGGCGAATGCAGGGAAAGGTGGATGCATGCGACGATGCGGAAGAGACGGAATAACGGACAACGGCATCACGCGCAACAACCCAATGCGGGCCCGGTCTGCCGTGCATTCACCTGTAGCAGGTAGAGCGACGACTTGTCTTGGTAGGCACCGCAGATCCGTACGCAGAACGGGTGCGTGCAGGCCTCCTCCAGGATCTTCCGCTCGTTGATCACGTGCTCAATCTGCTTGGACTCCACGATGGGTGCCTTGTGCATGACCTACGCGCCCGGGCAAACAATGCAAACCATTGAGTGCAGGTCAAGGGAAAAAGGACTAGACCATGCCAGAGAACTAGGACCTGTGTTTATCCCCGACACCCGATAATCAGGTCCCTAAGCAGCTTTGCATGTGCACTAACCTTGAGGGCATACACCTCGTTCGTCTTGATGTTGCGGACGACTCGGACAAGGCCAAACTGGCCCGTGCCAATGATGCGGTGGCACTCCAGCTCTGTGAACTTTACCTTGGGGAACTTGGGCTGCTCAGCGCCGCCGACCGTCAGGGCGTTGCGGCTGCGGCTCATTGCGCGGCCTCCCATGACCTGCGATAAGACCAAGGGCGACAAACACGATAGGACCGTTGGAAGGGCTGGCAAATTGGTGGTTTTCGGAAGCCTACAGACAAATTTAAAGAACGAGGAGCCCGTCCACATGCCTTAGTTTGGCACACTTGCGAGATCACCACGCTCTGCCGCACCCACCCCCACCTCACCTTCTCCACATCCGAGGTGGTGAACGTGATGATGCTGCATGGTGTCGCTGCGACCAGGGACGCCTCCAGGGAGGCCGTTTCCGGGCTATTAAGCGCCTTGTCGTTGAACACATTCCCAGCCAGCAGCCGCTGCCGCTCACTGCCCCCCAGCTTCCGTACGTCCACCTCACCGCTGTCCGGCAGCGCCAGGTCCGCCGCCACGACCATCACCTCCCCGGACTTGATCAGGAAGATTTTGTTCGTGACGGAGCTGTTGGCGACCGCAATCACCTCCCCGGGGTTGTACGACGTCAGCTCGCAGGCCTTCAGCAGCTCCTTGAATTCCAGCTCCGTCATGTTGACCAGGAACTTGGACTTCTTGAGCGCTGCTACGACGGCCTCATCCGACTTCAGCCCGGTGTCCCGGCCCATGAAGGAGTCCACTTGCCTGGAGGCGGGGAACGGTGGGCGCGGGCTCAGCGCTGTAGCTTACAAACACTTTTGGCTTACAGCATCCCGTGCTGTCTTCAGAAAGGGATAAACACAAGGAAGTGCTACTGTCTGCTTAGGAGCTGACCTGTGACCCAAGGACTGCTCGCAGCTCACAGTTCCAATAGTTGTTCCGTGTCGCATCCCTGGCCGTGACAACGCTGTGAAGGCGGTACTCACCTCTTGGGCAACCGCAGCAGGTGCGCCGTTTCCGATGCGACGCGGATGGTGTACGGGCACTTCGCGACCTGTGCTATGGAAGTCTCGCCGAAATAGCTGAAGCCTGCAATTTCGTGCAGGAAGTTCGGGTCCTCCACCTTCTCGCTGTTGCGGTACAGGGCGATCTCGCCGATCTTGACCACGTACAGCTGGTCGAGCTGCGGGCACATGAGCCGGAGCAGACGTCAGCGCACGCATTCTACGCCTAAGTTACGCCCAAGCATGTATAGCTAGCGATTTCAAGGGTTGAGGCTCCCCATGGGGGGTACCCCGCCCCTGCTTCTAAAGTAACTTCGTGCCATTCGCCTCTTTTTACGAAAACGTGGGCAGGCAAAGTGCACAGGCAACCCTCAGCCGACGATGCGCACCCAACATGACCTGGCTAGGCCAACCCGGGGGCACGGCAAGAAGACGTAAGGGAGCGTGCTCGTATTTCAAGTTCGCCCATCGTGCGGAGAGCCCATGCAAGCCACGCCACTGCGGCCAGGCTAGCCAATGCCCAGTGCTACAGGAACGTGTCCCATGTGGTACCCCACCTACCAGTTCGCCCTGGTTCAGAATAGTTTCCCCCTCCGACAGCTCCTGCCGCGCGTCGAAGCGATCCAGAATGTTCTCCATCTGCTCCTGCTTTAGCCCCTTGAACTGGGGCAGCGACTGCAAGGGGGCCGCGAGTTAATGGGGGTGGGAAAGGTTGGGTTAGACGGGCGTTGTCCAGCCCGCATAGTCATGCTGTCATGTGATCGGGAGCCGCATCACAGGGGAACTGCCCCCGTTTCCTCGCTGCCACCGAGGGAAGCTGCCTTGTAAAAGGACATTTACATGCCGCTATCGCCCCGTCAGGCAGCTAACAAACTCTTTAAATACACGCTACCGGAGCTTTTCCGACAACCCGCAAGCTGACCCTGGCCAGCAGGAACCCACAGTCCAGAAACAGTCCCGGGCAGGCCGTCGTGTACTTTGCCCCGAGCCCTACCCTGATCACAGCTGACACGGCATCATAGTCGAGCATCCACGCCAGCAGCGGGTTATCCAGGTCCATGAACTCGCGCTTTTTCAGCACCACCACCTGCACCTGGCCCTGCGCCACGCAATCAGCACTGCGCAGCTTGTCGTTGATGACGGCACGCTCGCCAACGAACTGACCGCGACCCAGCACGGCCACCTCCACGCGTCCGCCATTGCCGTCAGGCCGGAAGACGCGCACCTGAGGCGGGAATTGCAACCGTGTGTTGGGTTTTGTCAAACGAGGAAGGAGTTTCGTCTTAGGGGCTTTGGCAGTAAAAGGGTCAGCAGCAGAGGTCAATTCAAAGCTTTCCAGTCCTCCGGGTAACACTGCGGTAAGGAATCGAGCTACAGTGCCCAACCCACCTTGCCGTATCGAATAAGGAACAGCTCATCACCGCGCTCTCCGATGCGGATAAGCGGCTGCCCGTCCTCATACATGCGCTGCGGCATGCGTGACGCCGCACGAATAAGGTCGTTGTCCGACAGACCCTTCAGCAGTGGCAGCTTGCGCAGGAAACGAAGCGCGCGGGCACCCTGGGCATGCTTCATGACGAATTTAAGGAAAGTTCTCCGATCCATGGCCCAAACCGTGATGTTCGTCTTCGCCATGACGGATGCAGTACGCGGGGAGTGGAAGAGGAGTGCTACATCTCCGAACAGCCACCCCGGCTTCTGCAAGATCCTGACAGTGTGCCCCTCGAGAATACGCTCTTCGTGGGTATTGTTCTTAGCGACCGCATCGGCACCGCCGCTGATGACCACCTCCGCCTCCCCTGACTGCAAGTAGTACATGCAGTCATCCTGCTTGGGCAGCGCGCCCTGCTGCAAGACAACTGCGCCGGCCCTGAAGCTGATACCATACATGCGCCCAACCACCTGCACAGGGCACAAGGTGTGAGATAGGACACGGCGGCAGTTTATGCGCCATTGTAAAGGCCTGCCTAACGCCAGTGCTGACCTCGACGAGGTGGTTTTGAGGGATGCCTTTGAACACGAAGTTCCGCTTCAGTGCCTCAAGGATGGCATCTGTAACCTCCTGCGGCTTATACCAGTCGCCCGACAAAGTAGACCTGCGCATCAATTGGAGGTTTTAGGTCTATGTTGTTACGGACAATCTACCGGCGCAGACACAGGTAAACAACCCAACGTACCGCTCCTGCGGGTCGTCGTCAAGCTCCTCATCCTCAGAGTCGCTGACTTCGTAAATCTTCTCCTTCTCCTCCTTTGCTTGAGGCCCACCTACAGCAAGCTTCCTAATCTGGTCCCTAACAGCCTGCAAACACACACCGAGGTCAGCTCCTTCTCAACAAGAGCGACAACAGCGGCTGGTAACATACCTCTGAGCCCGCTGCCGCGCGACGTGTTTTTGTACCCGGCTGCTGCTGCCCTTGAGCAGCATTCGAATGCTGCACAGGTCCAGACTCTGGTTGTCCTCGATTCATGCTCTGCAAACGCAAGCTCAGCTCACACGACTGCTAACGAGCAAACATAATAGGTTACCCAGGTGGCCTGAAGTGTAAGCTGCACGCCTAACCTGTGTTTTCTCAACAACGGCGTCTGAGGGCTTGGTACTCGGCAACTCAGGCTTCGCCTCAACCCTGCAGAACACCCCCAGCGTCATGCATGTGCAGACGAACATATTTCGAATAAAAGACGACACAAACGACCTCTTCGGCTTGGAATATGGAAGTACTGCCCAGGACATGTTCCCCTGCCAACCTGGCTGGCTCCACCGGCTTTGGCGTCGGCGCTGGCTTCGGCTGGACAGGGTTGGACTGTTGCCGGACATCGTCCACATTGGGTGTACTGCTGGCGCAGCCCATAGTCCCGAGCGCTGCCCCTGCTAAGCGCTAGGCGGGCCCGGGACAGCGTTGATGGGTAGAGGAGAACCTCCTCCTCCTCTCACTACAAAGTGGCGTCAGAACGCCAATTTAGAATAACTTCTCTTCCTCACATACGGCAGGAAAGTTGCAAAATATTCGGAGAGGACTCAGGCCATGTAAACCATCGTTGAATTGTTAGAGGTATAAACTATCAGCAAACAGCTAAAAGCACTTCTTATATCTGTGCATGCAAATACTAGGAATAGAACTGCTCATCCAGCCTTGGAAGGTTTGGTTCCTAACTGTACGACCAGAAGCACACGAAGGCTCCTCATCCATGTTGCGCTGTTATCATTGCAATCTCGGCGTGTGTACTCTTTTACTGCTACTTTCCGTGTAAAGGGACCACCGCCCAGGGAGCCTTGGGGTACGCCTCAGGGTGCGCCCTACTACGCAAGCAGGGTACGCCAATCACGTAATAGATACGGCCCTCTAGTCGCAGCACAAGGGTATACGCCGCTTAGACGTCGGCGTTGGAGCTGGCGGTTGGAATCACTATGACCCGGACTATGACCCAGTTTGCCCAGCTCACCTGATGATTATGCACTTTCCACCATAAGCATTAATACTGCCGTTTCCGGGTACGAAGAAGCATTTACGGCGAAATGGCGAGTGTAGACCCTGTCCAAGTTTTGCGTGGGCATCTTGGCGAGGTCCAGACCCTCGCTTTTCTATCGGAGGATCACTTATATTCCGGGTAGGGCTTGTTAAGTTGCACAGCGCTGCCCGCAGTTCGGTCGACCCATGGGCCATGCGTACGCTCCCTTGCAGGGATAACAACGGAGAGCTCCGCTTCTGGGACCTAGCAACATGTCGCACTGAGTACATGGCAAGGTGCGGAAAGAAGACTTTGGCGCTAGGTCATGGGTTACACTCACGTCCCGTCAGGAGGCTACACCCAAAGGAGGTTACACTCGCGTCCCGTCAGGTCGATCCGCAGGGCCGGTGGGGTCGTGTCGCTGCTTCCCAGCAGGAATTCCTCCTAGTTAACGGCAAGGCCGCCGCAATCGATTCTAACCGATCGTCGGTTTGGGCCGCAGGCTGCATGACTCTAATGCGGGGGTGATGCACCTGGTGTGCCTGCCCGAGTACCGAGCTCTCGTAAGGTAACGTTCCTACCACTGTTTGTGCATTGTTGAATGCCCACCAGCAATGCGGCTACCACCCCAGATAGGTCGAAGGTGCTGCTGGCACGTACGCGTTTGCATTTGTCTGCAATGAACCCAATGATAGAAAGATACGTCCGCTGTCGCTGTTTCCACATGTATTCTTCCCATTTGCGTGGTGTTTGTTGCCCCGAAACAGCCAAGGCAGAGACGGCTGCGTGCGGATGTGGGCAGTTGGAGAAGCAGGCGCATTGGACAGGTAACAAGTGGTAACAACATTGGTACCGGTACATTAATGAAAAATAGGGATCACAGCCTAAAGGCAATGCCCGGTACCGCTAGCAGAAGAGCGGCTCGGGCAATGCAACGGCTGAACGGTTGAACCCTTGGCCGCCATACCGGTACGTTACGCCCTCCTGGACGATCTCCATGCCCGAGCACGGCGCAATGATTCGTACCTCAGTACCACATGTCCTCCCCTTGCCCGCTGCGCCCTATCAGTACGGCATTCTTCGCGGCTTACAGGAACCACCATCTGCCCGCTAACCTTCCTCTGCCTCCCTGTGCCCCTCGTGCATCTCCGCTGCCTCCTGCTCTTCGTGCCGCTGCATCTTCGCCCCCCCTCCGCCCTTTGTACCCTGCGGTTCATGCCGCCACCGTCACCGCCGCCGCTGCCGCTGCTGCTGCTGCTGCCACCGCCCCAGAACACGGCCGCTGTGCGAGATCCGGACCGACTCCTTCAACTTCTGCCGCTGCGCTGTGTGGGCCCCCGCCGCCCCGGCGTGCACCTCAGGGGCTGCTGCGGCGCTGCGGGTGGGAGCGGGGCGTGTTCGGTTTGGGTGTTCAGGCCTGTGCGATACGCCTGGCACAGTTCAGGCGGCCCTTCAGGAGGCCCGATGGCCATGGCATGCACTCTCGCTCTGGGCCCTGTCTGTTGGCGTCGGGTTAAGCTACGAGTGGCTCCACCACATTGGACGGCCATCAGCTGTGTAAGCCTGGCCAATGAGCGCTGACCGCCGGGTTCTGACTTGCGCTCGCTTCCTGCCGCAACTGCTGCTGCAGGGTGTCGCTGTGGCCTGCGCCGCCCGGGATCCGGCGGAGGTGGCGGTGTGGCATCCCGCTGTAAGACGGTACACGCTGCTGACGTGACGTGACTGTAGGGTTAAGGGAGGGGAGTCGTCCAGATAGGATACATGGTTCATGAATCATGATATAGGAGAATAGGACCCGTCCGCTGACTCCTGCTGTGTTTTGTCACCTGTACTCTTCATGGATTCGTACCCTTGACGCGTATTGCAGTGTCCAGTTCTAAACATAATCCGCTTGTGTAGTCACGGTGCTATCCAATGCTGGCCGGTGGTTGGTCGTTCGTTGCTTTTCTGTCCCTCGCTACCACACTCGCTACCACCAATACCATACCGCATGTGTGTACCCTTCCTCGCTTCCCCAGGAGGCCCCCACTGCTGTCGTACATCTCCGTCAAGGCAGCTTTGAAACCAAGCACGGCATGTGTATGTCCCTGGCGTTCCTCCCCACCGACGCCCCGGCAGCTATCCCGCCGCAACCACCCCTGCCGGCATCCCCAGAACAGGCCCCGGCCCCGGCCCCATCCTCACAGCCCTTAACACAGACCAATAACAGCGAAGCAACTGACAACGCACGGGAAGGCGAGGAGCTCAGGACGGGCCATGCCATCAGTAGCTCGGAACAGGGCACCGGCGGGGATGGCACCGGGGACGGCAGCGGTGGTGTTGCTGCCGCCGCCGACCCACGGTTCATCATGACAGGCTACGAGGACGGTGTGCTGGCGCTTTGGGACTTGCGCAGCCCGGGTCGAGCACTGGGGTCCATCCGTGCGCACCAGGAACCCGTCATGTGCCTGGACGTGCGAGCAGGTGCGGGTCAAAACAGACTAAGTTATAGGAAACCAGTTGGCCTGCGAGCAGGTGAGGGGCGAAGAATTACCATAGGAAACCAGGTGGGGTGCGTCGGTGCGAGCAGGTGGGGGTGAGAGAAAAACATCAAGCCACAAATGAAGGGCAAGACAAAGGGGATAGGAGGCGGCAGGGTTCCATCAGACGAGGGAGGTGCGAGCAGGTGGGGTCAAAGGTATGTCCCGAACCATAGGGAACCAGGGGAGCAGGTGAGGGCGGCAGAGCAGCGCGGGTCGCAGCTTCTGCTGCTGGTACGGGTGGCAGCGGCGCCAGCGATAGCATTGAAGGCTCGAACTGTTGTGTAAGTTACTCTCTTTCCGCTCTGGACCCGAACCCATGCATGCAGGGGGCTCCAGGGCCGGCACGTACGACATGGTTTCTGGATCCGCCGACGACCAGCTCGCCTGCTGCCGGGTCCGCCCCGGTGAGGCCCAACCGCTGGGGCCGTCTCCGCCGCGGGTGCTGCGGCTGCGCGAGGCTGGCTGTGCGGATGTGCGCATCCGGCGGGATGGCAAGCTCTTCGCAGCCGGCTGCTGGGACGGCTGCACGCGGCTGTACTCGCTGCGCCGGCGCGAGCCCCTGGCGGTCCTCAAGGTGGGCTGCTGGGCTGCTGGGTTGGTGGGTTGCTGGTTCAAGCCGGTCATGTGTTCCGTATTTTCCGTTACTCTTGCGGTGTAGGGTTGGGATTACCACCCGTGTTCCATTCCATTTTAGGGAACCTTTTGCAACGGTCATTCATTCATGTGGTGGCATGCGAAGCCATGCTTCCGACACCTCTGCAGCCTACTGCCACTACTCACTACTACTGGCTCGCGTTGTCCCTTTCACCCTTCATCCTTTCACCCACTTCACCCGCGCCCCGAACCGCAGTACCACCGTAACCAGATGACCTCGCTGGCGTTCAGTCCGCTCACGAACACGCTGGCGACGGCAAGCAGAGACACCACGGTGGCGCTCTGGTCGGTGTACGCGAGCAGGGCGCAGCAGCAGCAGCAGCCCTGAAGCAGGAGCGATGGATTGCAAGGGGCATGCCACAGTTCGTGAGGAGGGGGATGAGGCTTGAATGGCGCGTTCAGGGGGTCTGGCATTGGGCCTGTGGGAGCAGGGTGCAGTTCTGGCGTGTGATTATACATGGCATGTCGTCGCAGGGTGTGTAAAATTGAAGATGGTCCGTTGAACATGTGATACTGTTTGTAAATGTGAAGCAATTTCATGCAGACGTCGATTTAGCAAGAACTTATTGCATTTTATGGGTGTGAAGCGCTCCGAACCCGCGTCTGGTGTGGCTATGGCAACACGTTTCATCAATGCGTAAGTGGTTATAATTGTTTGATAGGCGAGCTTTTAACAGTATAGTATTTAACAATACTCGACCTCCTTTGGGTGGCAACTGCTTTCAGCTGCTAATCCCACCGACCGTCTGTCGAGAAGGGAAATCTATATCAAAATCACTGCCTTTGGCACTGCACAATACTATAACGTATCAAGTATCCGGCGGTAGCCAACATTGCCAAATATGGCGGGCAGCGCCAATCGAGAAAAGCAACACTTTGAGTTCTTCGGTCCTCATGGACCTGCGATCTTGATGCTTGCGCTACCTGCTGTCGTTTATGGGCTTGTCATCGGGTGCAACAAGGAGTCCTGCCTGCAACTATGGCCTGAGTTCAGGCTGCCGTCGCCTCCATCCGGCTTGCGATTGTACACCCATGAGGCGTTCCTGGCCTTCCTCGGGTGGTTCTTCGGCCTGGTGGCGCTCCACCTGCTCCTGCCCGGACAGAATGTACAGGGCGTGTTGCTTTCAAACGGAAAGCGACTGACGTATAAGCTTAACGGTGGGTGCCGTAGAACGGTGGGAGCATACGAACGTGGCCATGGTACAGTTGAAGGTGGAAAGCTTTGCAGCCTATTCGGGGGTTTTCCTGCTAGCCACTCCTGTCTTGAAGCCCTTGGGCCCCTTTCATTCTCAAGCCAGAATCGCCAGCACGAACCGCCTGTCTTGCAATCTCACCCAACAATTGCTCTTTCCTTGACTCCACGGCGACCACATGAACCAATTACCATCCGGCAACACGGAAATTGCTGCGGGACACAGCTTTTCGGCTCCTCGTGCTGACGTACGGCGCCGCGCTGTACTTTGGATTCTACACCCGCCAGCTGGATCTCGGTTGGCTGTACGACAACTTTGCCCCGCTGCTGACGGCCTCCCTGCTGTTCAGTTCCGCTCTGTCCGTCTACCTGTACGTCTCGTCCTTCAAGAAGGGAGCGCTCCTGGGCAGCATTGGCAACACGGGGTAAGGCCCGGCGTACTGTTACTGCGTGCATACAAGCATGCAGACGAGATAATCAATGTACGTTCCTACTCGCGGCCAGTTTTCTCAACACAAGCATGCACACGAGCCGTCATTGATACCGGTATCGCCGCGTTGACCTGAACAGATCGACAGCAACAATCAGAGGGCGAGAGTCGCCCTTCGCCCAGTTCCCGTTCCGGCGTTTCGGTCGTTCACGGCCGTGCTAGACACCGCACCACCGCTGCCCTGCATATCACCGTACTCCCACCTCCACCTCCCGTATGCCGTACTCCTCTATGCCGTACTCACTCGCCGTACCCGCCTCAATACTCCGCACACCCCCTGATGACCACCCCCGCTCCCGCCCCCTGCGTCCCCAGGTACCCCGCCTACGATTTCTTCATGGGTCGGGAGCTGAACCCCCGGCTGCTGTGGGGCACGTTTGACCTTAAGGAGTTCTGCGAGCTGTACCCGGGCATCATCGGTGAGCCAGCCCGCCTGCCTGCCTGCCGGGAGGGGGGGGTCAAAGACCAAACCATGTCATGCCAGGGAGGGGAGGGGCCGGGGAGGGTGAAGACTGGTGAAGATGAAGGGTGGTGATGAATTTAACAACTGGCTGTTTTGCAGCCATGAAAGCCGCGGACTGTTTGGAAGTGTGGGAGGGGTGAGCTGCCGGTACTACTCTTGCTGCCGCAGTACCAGCCAACTCCAACCAACACGCCTGCGTACAGCAACCCCGACACCGACCCCTCTCGAACCCACCCTTTTTTCCTTCTCCTCCCCACCTCACCTCACTCCATTCCTTCCTTCCAATCCATCCCACCACCCACCCCTCCACCCATCCAGGCTGGGCGCTGCTCAACCTGGGAATGGCGCACAAGCAGCTCTCGACCCACGGGTCGCTCTCCAACTCCATGCTGCTCGTCAACGCCTTCCAGCTGTACTACGTGGCTGACGCGGTGTGGAACGAGCGCTCGGTGCTGACGACCATGGACATCACCAGCGACGGGTTCGGCTTCATGTTGGCGTTCGGCGACCTGACCTGGGTGCCCTTCACCTTCGTCACCACCGCGAGGTACCTGGTAGACCACCCGCAGGTGAGCGGGAGGGGGGCTAATAATAAGGAATACTGACGAGGCAACTAACGAGCTGTATGACCAGGCTTCACCATGGGGTGCAAACATGGGAGCCGAGGGGGGGGGGGCAGCGGGCGGAGCAGGTGAGGGGTCAGAGATATACCAGATCCACAGGTTAGGGCAAAGCAGGCGGGGAAGGGGGTGGCAGACAAGGGGGGCGGGGCAACGCGGGGTTGTGGCAACCGGCTTGATGCTCCCTCCCCACACACGTGCCCCATGTTGGGTTCTGCTGCTTTCCTGCACCCGCAGCACTTGTCCCTGGCGGGTGTGCTGCTGGTGTTGGCTGTCAACGCGCTGGGCTACTACATCTTCCGGGGCGCCAACGGCCAGAAGGACCTCTTCCGGTCCAACCCGAACGACCCGCGGGTCGCTCACCTGCGCACGCTGAAGACGGAGCGCGGCACCTCGCTCATCGTGAGCGGCTGGTGGGGCACCGCGCGCCACATCAACTACTTTGGAGACTGGATTATGGGGTGAGCCTAATGCTGCTGGGGTTTGGGTTGGGCTGGGTTGGGGACTTGGGGTGCCGGGATGGTGTGGATCCTGGGAGCGAGGCGTGAATACTATGTTAGGATTTGTTATGGGGTGGCCGAGGCCCGATGCATGCTTGTGATTCAGTAGGGCTCAAAGGCATGTGGGAGGTCGATAGCAGGTACCGGTAAGCCGTAACTAGCTTGGCAGCGCATTGCCGACAGGCCTGTTGCGTCTATTGCATCGTTACGGCTTGCCTCCATCGGGCTGGGCGGCCTGTGTCGGCAAAATGATGCAAAATGATGCAACCCAGGATGGAGCACACAGTTAGTTTATTCCTCTTTGCCCTTCCTGCATGCAGGCTGGCTTGGTGCATGCCGGCGGGGCTTACCGGCCTCTCCGCTGTGGTGCCGTACTTCTACTGCATCTACTTTGCATCGCTGCTCATCCACCGGGAACGCCGCGACGAGCACGCGTGCAGGGTCAAGTACGGCAAGGACTGGGACAAGTACTGCGCCCTTGTGCGCTATCGCATTGTGCCGTACGTTTACTAAACGCATCTTGGCTGACAAGAACAAAGGCGGTTTTGGGAGCACCAGGTTCTGAATGCTGGAGCTAGCCTCAGATATGTCGAGCGAGGATTTGCAATTGTTTCAGTTGCGTGTGCGTTGGCAGTTGGATTCAGTGATTTGCATGTTTGTCGGCTGTTACCGGGGCGCCTGGTTGTTGGAATTGTGAAATTAAGGATTCATATGAAGAAAGCTATGCTGCACCTTTGACGTGGTGGTAACTTAAGCTACGAATTCAGCCATTGCTCCTTAACGAAGCGACTAACTAGTTGTTATCAACATATGATCATTGAATTTATACATGGCATGCTACTGACCCAATGAGTGCAGCTAGGAATGGGAGCGGCGGCCTCCTTCGGCGCGCCTGGCGTGCTGTCGATAGGTTCTTGTCAGGTCAGCCGAGGTGCAGCAATTATTACCGTTGCTAACACGCTTCACGAAACGATTGTTCCATCGTAGTCGACCTCACACCGGAGCCAAAGTTAGTTTATTCCTTCAAGGGCCAGCGCGATGTGGATGCCTGGAACGTGTTTTCCGACTCAACCTTTGGAGGTCTTTCGAAAGCGGCATTTGAACTTTCGGAGAGCAAGCAGGTAGCTTTATGCGACGCAATATCTCGGCTTGCATCTGCATCTGGAAGCAACATGCACCCTATCGTGTTGCAGACAGCCATATTTTCGGGGACCTACTCTAAGGAGGTCCTAGAAACGTCGAGACTTATTCGCTCGGGCTACTGCGGGATAAACCAAGTGGTAAGCCGGTTACGGTGTCCATGACAAGCATTACAGGTGTGCTCTACCAGCTATCGGAAATTGCTCGCAGAGGGCTCTCCCCCTGAACCTGCGGAAGTACGACTTCCTTGACTTCCGGGTGCGGGGCGACGGCAACACCTACCTGGCCAACATTCGACTAGACCAGCTGACAGGTGGCGATGAGGAAGTGTGGCAGGCGACGCTGCGGACAAGGTGAGACTCCGGGCAAACCAGTAGGAACTGTACTTCATCACTTAACCCAGCCCAGATCCGGCAAGCGAAGAACCCACGCCCCACAAAACGGTGTTAGGCTGCACCCTTGCAACCATGCTGTCCCATCCCGGGTTGAAGTAGCTGCCGCCCCGTGTTCCCCTGCCCCCGTCCCCCTTCCCCCGCGTGTTCCCCTGCGCCCTTAATCCCCCCTTGCGTCTCATTCAACACATTGGGTATTCTTCTCCCCCCTTTTGTGTCCCCAGTCCGGACACCTGGCAGGATGTGCGACTTGACTTCCGTGACTTTGTGTTCACATTCCGCGGGCGGCTTGTGACGCACCATGCGCCCACATCCGCCGGCATGCCGCGACACAACATTATTGCGGTAGGAGGAGGGTGTTAGGGGTAGGGGGCCCGTCCTTTGTTATAGGTAAGGTAGTCCAGGGGTATCCGTCAATAGAATGTCAGGGGGGGCAGCATGGCTTGAGGGCCAGATGGCAGGTAGATGTGAAGCTCGGAAGGCGGGTGTGGTGGGGAGCCCGGGGAAAGGGCGGGGTGGGGCGCCCGGAAGGCGGGAGAGGGAAGGAGCCCGGGGGCATCCTTGGGGAGGGAGGACGACAAGGGGGGCCGGCCAGCGCGCCAGAGGATGGGCAGGTCGGCTCTGGGGCCTGCACGCCTGGCAGCGGGTTGGGCAGGGCAGGGAAGCGTGCGCGCATGGGCGCCGAGGTCCTGCCCAGTCCTCGACGCCCCCCACTCCTCACCCTAACGCCCTATCACACGGTTCGTCAGCGTTTCCTCTTTACTCCTCACCCGTGCGGCCCCAACCCAGCCGCTCACCCACCTGCGCCACACCCGGCCGCCTTGTCGGCATTTGGACTGCGTTGTTGCACTTTCCTTTCACTTCATAATCCCCCCCCATTGTCTCACTCACCATCCAGCATGGTGACGCCTTATCCCTCAGTCAGTTAGGTGTTTCCTCTTTACCCCCCACATTGTCTAGCCCCAACCTGTGGTATCCTATGGTTCGGTATGGTCTTCGACCCCCAGGTGGGCCTCACCATGGCTGCCACGGAGGAGATGCCGCGCGAGGGGCCCTTCCGGTTGGAGCTGGAGTCGGTGCGCGCGGGCGCCTACTCGCTGAGCGGCCAGGCGGCTGCGCGGAAGGCCTTTGCGGGCTACCACCGATTCCGAGAGGAGGAGGGGCTGGGAGAGGACGTGATGCCGCGAGTGCAGCCGCCACCCATTAGCGGGCCGGAGGACCCGCGCCCGCCGGCGTAGGGAACCGGGGGTTAGGGTACGGGGTGTGTGCCAGGGTTTAGGGCGGATGGGGTTTCAGTTGGCTGGCGGATTGAGAAGACGGTAGGAATTGGCGGTGAGGATGGAGGGTTATTTGGGTCGTCGATATGGCAGGGTGTTGCGATTGCGATGCGCTTGGATTGGAGGCTTGCGCGGGTAGGGTTCTGGTGCTTGGGATCGTCGCGGCTCTTTTGGTGACACAAGAACGAGTATGGGCGGACATCCGGCTGCATTACAGTGCTGCTTCTTAGGACCTGCAAAGCAGGTCGTGAACCGTAGCTGTTTTAAGCAAGGTGGCCAGGACACCTGGGCCGCTTGCTGTCTAATTCTTATGGGTGCGATGATCAATATACATGCAAAGTGCTTTGCAAGGAAGCTGCACCAGTACACGGAGTGCCGTGGCTGCGGCAACGGTTGGCCATGTCTTGCGAGAAAGTTCTGTGTAGTAGCAAAGGGTGCAAGCATTAACACAGACGTATGGCGTCTTATAAATATTGTACAGATCATGCACCGTCCGTATAGGGCAGCTTCCTTCGGGGTAGTATGAGCGTGGCTTCCGACTGGCGCCTTGGCCAGCCTAAGCCTTCCAAACAGAGAAAGCTACTTTACCTCCCACCGTTTACTTTACCTCCCACCGTTTTCGTAACAATCCATCTTTGACAGCTGCCGTCTCGTTGCTGCGCGCCACCGGGCAGTCGATGCTTGTCGTACCGCTTCCGCTCAGTGCGCGTCAGGCGAGCCCTTGGGTATGGTACTTCGCCTCAAATGCAGATAGTTACATGGAAGCACAGTACTGTTGTTCGGTAGTAAGCTACAAATTGCAAACATTCGTATTGCTCGGCGCTCTGCGACTTGCGCGCCGAAAAGCCCTCATAGGTTTCTCATTGCCTCTCCACGACACGCTTGAGTACATTGCTGAAGTTACGCGACTTCGGATATCACTACTCAACCTACCTCAACGCCCACCATCAGAACGACATCTCTACCTTCTCTGAAAGCGAGGCCTCGGCTTGCAAGCTTTTTAGCACCGAATAGGTACCAAGCTTTGAGCCGAGGCAGTCGCACCAAAGGTTCTCCGCACTGAAATGTGCTTGCGAGGTGGAGGGCAGCACTGCTGAGGGCACCCGCAGCCCTCGGTGGTTGAAGTTTTCCGCGGGCAAAGCCGAGCATGCAGAAACAGGCTTCAAGAGTATGTGCCGGCCGTTTCTTGCTGGTCGTGCTTGTCTGGCTGGGATGGGCAAGCAACGGTCTTGCTCGCCAAGCCATTACACGCCAATCTCAGCTTCGGCGTTACAGTAAGCTTGCACAGCCTTTCCAGTACGCGGGGCTCCAAGATGTCTCGACGACGGACGACGTGCTGACGGACCGCTTTCTGGTAAAGCTTAGGCCGAAGAACAGCAGCCAGTCTACAGTCCAGAGCAGAGCTATCGAAATCGTTGACAGTATACGCTCAGCAGAGGTACCTGTGCAGCTTATCCATGAGTTCAGTCTGGCATGGGATGGGTTTAGCCTGCAGACGGACGATGTCGACGGAGCGCTGTCTGCTTTAGAAGCCGAGTTTGAAGTACTTCTAATATATCCTGTGGTAAGCGTGGGGCACAACTAAGCATGCTGCCGCTCCTTTTGTACCCCTCCTTGCTAACGAGCCAACGTGCACCTCCACAGGTCTGGCTCCCCGCCCCGGACAACAAGTTTGATGATATCAACGCCACGGCGCTTCGCGGGGCGTACCTAGTAGCGGATGCCTCAGCAGCCACAAACGGCAGCACGGCGCGGTTAGCGGCCGGCGGCTATAAGCGGCTAGATGGCTGGGGCGTTAAGGTACGCATGAGCTCAGCCTCGTCGTGTTACCCTGCTTCATGGCAGATTGCATCAACGTATGACCCATACCTGCCAACGGGTTAGGCAAAGCATGCAACGGATGCCCGATCTCTCCTCAAGCCATGGCACGCCTGGCATGAGGGCAACCAACCTTGCCAAACGTTGCCTTCCAATACCGGTATCCATTCGTTTGCCTCCACAACTGCAATCCCAGGTCGGCATCATCGACACGGGTGTGGATTACAACCACCCCGCGCTCGGAGGCGGCTTTGGATCCGGATTCAAAGTGGCGTACGGCAGGGACTTTGTAGGCGACGCATTTCGCCCCGGCGGCGTGCCCAGACCCGATGCAGACCCGGTGAGGCCTCCCCCCTCCACGTTTTCTGATATGGGTCATTAGCAATCTTGACAATTGTAGGATTGGCAGTTACCTTGACAGCAGCGCTCGGCTACATACGTACCCTGCCATGCGAGTCCTTACCATCAGTCCATCACCCTTCGCCCTCACCGTTGCCCGCCCTTCCTAGCCCGCATGAGCCCAACACCTCCAGCCCATCTCCCGTTACCCTCCTCACCCGTTCCTTTCCCTGCCCCTGCCCCCAACCCCGACCCAGATGGACTGCGCGGGCCACGGCACCCACGTGGCAGGCGTCATCGCAGGCAGCTGGGCTGGCTCGCAAGCACAGCTGCACTCCTCCTCCTCCACCTCCAGCAGCAGCAACCTAACGGAGACCGAAACAGCGACCTCCAGCAACACCAGCAGCAGCACCGCCTCTCAACAACCGCTGTTCAGCTACCAAGGCGTGGCGCCGGGCGTCACGCTGGGCGCTTACAAGGTGTTTGGCTGCAGCGGAGGCACCACCAGTGAGCTCGTGGTAGCGGCCATGGACCAGGCGGCGCTAGACGGCATGCAGGTCATCAATCTGTCGTTGGGGGACGAGGGCGCCTGGGGCGGCCCCGTGGCGGAGGCGGCGAACCGGCTGTCGGCGCTGGGGATCCTGGTGGTGGCGGCGGCGGGGAATGCAGGCACCTCGTCGGGACTGTTCATGCAGAGTGCGGTGGCTAGTGCTAGCTCCGTGATTGCGGTGGGTGCCGTACAATCGTACGCGGCACCCGTGACGAACATGACGCTGCGAGTGCTGCGGTCGCCGTCGGCGGCAGCGGAGGCTTTAGAAGCGACGGGAGCTGCAGCAGCGGAGGCGGCGGCGACCGGGAATTCTAGTAACGTTGTGTCTATTAGCGTGCAGGCGGCGTTTGGCGATGTTGCGACACTGCTGTCGACTGTCGTACGGCCTTCAGCGGCGGCGGCAGCTGCGGGTGTTGCCGCCGCCGTTGACAATGCAACTGCCGATGGTTGCGACCCACATCAGTTGGGCGACATGACGGGCGTGGTGGCGCTGCTGGCGGCCGGGGGATGCTCCATTCGAGACAAGGTGGCCGCCGCAGCAGGCCAGGGGGCGCTGGGGGTCGTATTGTACGGAAACGACTCGCTTGTAGATGACGTCATTCGTACACCGCTGCTCGGGTCGCCCGGCACCTGGCCGTCTCCTTCCAACCCCTACGAGGCCCCGGTACTCGTAGTGGACTTGGCAGCGGGCCTGATGCTGTATGGGGAGTACTTGGCAGCGGCCGCCATGACGTCAGCCGTATCGCCCAGCCCGCCTGCGGAGCCCCAGCCGCCGTCGATGGCGGCCTGGTTCCCACAGCAGCCGCCCTTCGACGCATTCGGACCGCCGCTTTCGCCGTCCATCCCCCCACCTCCGTCGTCTCCGCTGCTTACTCCAGGCGCGCAGCTGCAGCTCCTGCCCCCAGCCCTGCCCCCTCCCCCACGCTCGCCTCTTGCACCCTCCACCCTAGCGCCCATCTCACCGCCCACGCGGCCTCCACGGCAACCGGCTGAGTCCACTCCTGACTCCCCTGCTGCTGCCGCCGCCGCACCTCCCATGCTGCCCGGATCGCCCGGGCAGGAGTCCTCGCAGCCTCCCTCGCCGCCTCGTGCGTTCCCTTCGCCGGCCCCCCCGGGACCTGCAAGCCAGGTGTCGGCGGGGACCGTTGTCCCAAGCAGCCGGAGCCTGCCGTCCCCGGTGCCCTCCACACCGCCGCCTCGGTCTGCTCCTCGCCCGCCGCCCCGGCCACCAACCACCAAGCCCTCGCCACCACCGCCGCCATCACCTGCTCCTTCACACCGCCAGCCCTCTCCAACGCCGCCGCCACAGCCGTCACCGCCGACCCCCTCCGCACCAAAGCCGCCGACCCCTCGGCCGCCGCGTCCGCGACCCCCCTCACCCTCACCCCAGCCCCCGCCGTCGCCGCGGCATGCACCCATTAAGGCCCAATCCGTGTCTGAGCTGCCGCCTGTCTACTCGTCTGGCTCGGTAGTGGGCACGGTACCACAGCCTGTGACGTCTCCCCCGTCGTCGTCTGGTAACCCGACCCTCCTGCAGACCGCGGTGGTGGACTCCAGCGCTGCGCCGCCGCCGGTTGACGCCGACTCGGGCAGCGTCGTGGGCACGGGCAGCAGCAGCAGCAGCAGCAGCGGGGGTTGGGATGGCGCCACGCGGGTCGTGTCACAGGCACGGCAACAGCAACAGCAGCACCATCGCAGGTTGCTGTCTGGGTGGAGGAGCATGTCAGGCCGCGGCGGCGTCAGGCCGCGGCGTCTCGGATGGGCGGGTCGGCGGCAGCTGCTGCTGCAGGAGGAAGAGGTGGGGGGCGAGCCGTCGGAGGGCCTCACGGAGCCCGAACGGGCGCCACAGCAGCCTGCGGACGAGGAGCCGCCAGGGCAGCCACCGCAGCCCTTGCAACCGCAACAAGTGCAGGAGGAGCTGCAACCACCACAGCAGCCGCAGCCACCGCAGCAGCAGCAGCAGCCTTCCCCAGCTCAGCCGGAGCTGTCAGTGGCGCAGCCGCCTGCCGAACAACAGCCACCCAGCCTGCCGCCGCCGCAGGAGCCCCAGGTGCCTGAGATGCCCCCTCCGCAACTCCCGGCGCCGGCTCCCCTAGGCCGGGTTTCCATTATGCGGCCGGCGTGGCCCAGGATCCAGGGTGTGGACGGTACCCTGGCGTCGGCGTTCTCCTCTTGGGGCCCGGTAAGCAGTTGGGAGCGGGGGTACCGGGGAGGGGGCTTCCAACAATTACCAGTGCCGGGGAGGAAGGGGGGCTAACCGCGATGTGAACCGAACAGCCACCGGTGCGTGCGCTCTACCTGGTTGCTCAGCGTGCATCCGGATAACGCCCGCCCCTCTCCTTCCCCTTCCCCTTCTCCTTCCCCGCGTTCTTCACTTCCCCCTGCCTCCTACCCTCCCCTCCCCTCCCCACACAGAGTCCCGACCTGCTGCTGAAGCCCAGCCTGGCGGCCCCCGGGGGCGCCGTCCTCAGCACCGTGCCGCTCAAGCGCTCCTCCGATGGCGCACCCAGCAGCGGCTTCGCCTACCGCTCCGGCACCTCGCAGGCGGCGCCCCACGTGGCGGCCGCTGCGGCGCTGTTCCTGCAGGCTAACAAGGCGCGGGAGGTGAGGAAGTGGGTACAAAAATAAGGAAAGCTGACGAGGCAACTGACGAGCTGTGGGACGTGTAGGCTTCACCATGGGGTACAAACATCGTAGCCGGCCCATCACGCCCTGCCCGAATTAGTCGAACCAGGAATGGGTGGGGAAATGAAGAAGAACCATTCGTTGATTGATAATGGTAACAGCAGGTGACAATTATAGTTTTGGGGGGGAGGGTTTGGGCGGGACGGAGGCCGGTGCGCTTGCCAGGACGTGGGAGGTGTTGGGGCATGGCTCCTTGTCGGCATGGTTCCCACTATCGCTTAAGACCCGTTTGTTTAATGGAACCATGTCTTTGTTTTCATAACCACTACATCCCTCCTATCCTACGCACTGCGCAGGTGACGGCAGCTCAGGTGGCTGCGGCCCTGCTGACCACTGCCAGGCCCCTGTTTGACCTAGTACCCTCCTCCGCCTCCACCTCCACCTCCACCTCCTCGGCGGCGGAGGCAGGCAACACCACCGCTAGCTCCTCCACCTCCTCCACCGCCACCTCCTCCACCACCACCACCACCACTACTTCCATCCGGCAGCCCGTCAGTGTCATTCATGTTGGCGGCGGTGTGGTGGACATCGCCGCCATGGCCACCAATCTGGTGGACCTCACCCCATGCAAGTTGGAGCTGGGCTCGGCACTGGCCGCTGGGGGCAACGTGTCGTACACGCTGGAGGCAGTGAACCGTGGGTCGGCGCCACTCGCGTTCCGGCTGCTGCACCACGCGGCCGCCTCGCTTGACGCCTCGGTGCTGTTGAAGATCGATAGGAGCCCGGGGGTGGCGGGGAGCAATAACTCGCGACGGGCTGTACCGTACCTTGGCTTTGGAGCTTCTACGCTGTCTGATTCTACTGCTGAGGAGGGAGGGGTTGGAACGACGACGACGGGAGCTGCTGCTGCGGCGGCGGCGAATGCGGTTACGGTGACGTTTATGAACTCCCGCGGCAAGCCGACTGAGAACCTGACGCTACCTGTGGGCGGCAAGACTCGCTTCCGGGTAGGTTTGGGGGTATGACAAAATGACATGCTGGCAGGATGGGGCGGGGTAAGGGGTAGAGCAGGAGCAGGGTCGGGAATGCCTGGTCGGCAGGGATATGCCTGGCCGGTAAGAGGTACTAGATGCGGCTGGTAACCCAAGTAGCCAAACCACGTGCTTTGCCCGTTACCTCCCTTCCCCAGGTGAACCTGCAGCTCTCCCCCGAGGTGGCTGCCAGCAGCAGCAGCAGCCTCATCCTCTCCGGCTACCTCCTCCTAGAGCCCATCATCCCCTCCGCCGCCTCATCCTCCTCGGACCCCGCTGTAGCAGCAGCAGCGCTACAGCCGCCCCTCTCCCTGCCGTACCTGGGTTACAGCGCTCCTCTCATCAGCCTGCCCGTGCTGCTGCCCACCCTGCCGGGAGGCATCACGGCTCCGAACGGCACTTGGTGGTGGGACGAAGAGACCACCGGCTACTCGGTTGACGTCATCTCCCCGCTTGTGGTTGTGGACGGCCCTCCTGCGGAAGACGAACCGCCGCCCTCCATGGGCGATGCCGAACCGCCGCTGTACAGTTTATATTCCGTGCCGCCCTCGCCGCCGGTTCAGCCGCCCCTGTTTTCGTATGCGTTATCGGGTGCTGGGGCCTCCTTACCGTCGCTTGCATTGTTCATTCAACGTCAGCCCGCGACACAGGAGCTTTGGCTGTATTCGGAGACGTACGGAGGAATGCGGTTGGGGTACGTGAACCTACAACAGCAAATCGTGCGGAAGCCTACGGGCGGATCTCCGCTGGTGCTGACATGGCGTGGAACGTATTACGACCTGTCGATTAAACGTGAGGTAAACGTGAGTCCTGGGGATTACTACTTTGTTGTGCGCATGACCCGTGCCGCAGCTGCGGCGGATAGCACGACAAGCGGCGTGTCGGACACGATTGTAGACCTGTGGCGGACACCGGTGTTTCGGTTGACACGGTCTTGAGGCGGTGGTGAGTTGTGGGCTGGTGGCGATGGTGTCTGGAGGCAGGGGTGCCGACTTGTCGTGCATGCGGTGGTTCTCTCTCTGGTTGTTTACTAGTTGCGTTGACATGGCGTTGGCGTTTGCGTGTTGATTCCACCGCGCGTTGTGAAATGCAATGAAGAGTTGTTACGTGACTTTGGCCATGAGGAAGTAATGCAGGTCGTGACCTGCCAGTGACCCATGGGTCTTGCAGCAGCTGCAATTGGTGCATGTGCATGGATGTCGAGCAGAATGCAGTGGAATCCATCCGTTGTCCATCGCTTTGTCCATTGGCAACCATGTTGACCGCGTGACAAGGGCGCTTAAGGGGGCGTACGTGAACAATGAACGCTCTCGGCAATGCGCAGGGTGCTATGGGCTATATAGGCTCGCTTGGGTGGCGTGTTGGTTGCGGTGGTTGTGGTGGTTGCTTACGAACACGGCGGGTGTGTCGTACGAAGGGGGCAGGGTGTACGACAACGACTAGTTTTTTGTGTCTGGTGGGGGCGCATGTGGGTGCTTTCACAGAACTAGCAGGAGGGTACGCAGGCTAGCTTACGAACGATGGTAACGAGCGAGTTAAGGCGTGGGTGGCGCCCTGGATTGAGACGTCTCCTTCTTGGGACATCTCTCTCTGTTTCTTCCGGCGTGCGTCTTTCTTTTTCACCTTCCACCGCCGGCGGCCATCCGCTTGGTTTCATGGAACTAGTATTTCATCCTAGAGCCTTCTTTCTTTCTTTTATTCCTTGACGTGTTGACTGGTTGCGCGCGGGCGTGGTTTCGGGTAACCCTTTGCCCTGCTCTGCCCAAAAGCCCGGTGTGGTGTCAGACATGCGAACATGGACATGATCCCCGCTTCCGTCGGGGCTTCATTTTGGCATGACACTGTGATAGCCGCTGCAGTGCTTCATACGGTTGTTATGGGTGCGTGGTTTATCAGTTCTGGCTAGGTTCTTGCATGGGAAGCTTCCGAAGTTGTCGGGGTTTAAGCCCGGTGTTAGGGCGGTGGGAGAGGCTCCTCATATCACTGAACAAGCCAAGCCGTGCAAGAGAGGCTTAACCGTACACTGCTATGCGACGTGCCGCCCTGGGGATGATTGCACCCCGGGTGCCCGTGGCGTGCCCACACCTCTCCGGTATGAGAGCGGGGTTGGAAGGTTTGAGGCCGTGTTGGGGGTTTGCCGCTGGCTGGCCCACACTCGTTGGCACGGTTCCCCACGAGGCGTGCCTCTTGATTCTTATGCATTGAGTGGTTTGTGAACAAGCTTTCTTAGTATGTGTAGATGTCATGTTCCCTATGTTGCTTTGGTTGCACTAATATCCTTATGGATATCCAGTAGTAATGAAGTACTGATGAAGGAATCTCCTCGAGTCTCTTCGTATGCATGGGACCGCTGGAGGTGAAATGTAACAACACCAGTTTGGCAGAAACGAGTTTGTCAAGAAAGCTTGGAGCACACCAGCTTTGGACATCCAGCTCACCGCGTGCCGTACCTAACGGAGAGTAGGAGTTTGGGACGAACGTCTCGGTTCCCATGCGCGCACATGCTGCCAGACATACCCGCCAAGCACCGTACCTGCTCACCACCATGTCCTAACTAGGCAACCGCTGCATGATTACCGGAGCCACCATTCCAACTACAAACCCTCCTCTACACCCAACAACAACCCTCAACACCCATGCCACGCAACCTCTCCGCCACGCGAAACCCCAACACCAGACCCGGCAAACCCCTACGCCCGCCGCTCCTTGCTGCCCGCCTGCACCTCCGCTGCCGGCGCACCCTCGCCCTCGCCCTCCTTCCTGCCACCGCGGAACATCGCCCCGTCCGCCGCTTGCTCCACGGGGTTCCCCATCAGTCGGCGCCGCAGCTCGTCCGGCTCCGAGAGGTAGGTCGCGCCTGACACGCCGTCCTTAAACCACCAGCGAGGCGCACGTGCGAAGGCGTACTGGTGGCCGAAGGTTGCCACCTTGCTGACATTGGGCATGCAGTTGTACTCCATGAGCTTCAGCAGCTTGGCGCGATCCGCGCGGTACCTGCCACGCGGAGGTGTCGTACATGTACGGTGTGCGGGAAAGGTACGGCGGTTAGGTTAGGGTCATTCAGGGGCTCAGGCGTGTCGTTAGGAGAGGGATGGTGGAGGGGCATGGGTGACGGGCAGAAGGATGGCGTTGGGAACATTGGGGTACAGTCCGTGCGGAAGGACGTCATGGCTGCGGGAAGAGAAGAGGAGTGGCCACAGTGCGGCCAACTACATGGGGAAATGCTGGGCGTTCCAGATATGAGAACACACTGACGCTCACACCACCTCCACTCACATGCTGGCGTAGGGCTCAAGGTCCAGCGCTTTCCCCTCAACCGACGCCGCGGTTCGCGCTTCGAGGATTTCCCGTATCAAGTACGACTGCAGACGCCCTGGTTGGTCGTCAGCAGAGACGACTGTACGCCAAGCGGCAGCGTCAGCTGCCCGAACCGCCTTCGCTGGCCGTGCCGGTGGCATCTGCACCTGGGGTCGTCCGCTCGTCGACGCCTACCATGGAGGGGAAAGCACTTGTAAGAGACTTCTCCGACATTACGAAGGCTTATATGTTACTCTAACCTGTGATGGCTCGTCAGGAGACAAGTCACGCCCCGAAATCGAGCCTCCCAGCTTCGACAGGAATTGATCCAGGGTAACATCCTTAGAATTAAGCTCCTCCATGCTGGGAGGTTCTCTCATGCGTGCCTGGTCCTTCTCTGCCATCCGATTCAGAGCCTCTGTGGCGGATTAGGGCACGACTAAGCGTGAGAACATAAGCAAGATACGACCAGCATATTCCCTGAGCTTTCCTAACCTATTTCATCGGGGCTAAAAGGTTTCAGCTTTCGGCCGGAGCTCGGTGCGGCCCTCTGGGCGACCTGTCTTGCGCTTGAAGATAGTGACGATCCCATGTTTATGCACAACGTAAGGAGTAAGCGACTGTGCTCTGATTAGGGAAAAGGACTGACCTTTGTCAGAAGCCTGCGGTTAGAAACCGCAAGCATCTAGTACGGTGCACTAAAATGCATGTACTCAATAGCAGTCTGCGGACAGACCGTTGAGGCTCTTACCATAACGCATTTGTGCTGTATACCATGGAGTTAAGCGTGCCATAGCGCATACGGTGTTGCATCACCGGTAACAACTCGACAACGACGCATAGGCTGCGTTTAACTGCAGAGCAATTCTGCGTTGCGGTAGAGTAAAGGCGGCGTTCCTTGCGTGGGATGAGGAGATGTCCGCTCTGCAACGAATACCGCGTCGAGGCTGTCGCAGGCATTGGCGTAGCTGAGGCTCTGTCGCAGCACCTAGAGAGCAACCATGCGCCTAACGTAGATAACAAGCGACCTTGGCGCTGCACACTATGTCCGAACGGCAGACGGAACTACGCAAGTAGCAAAGGGCTGGCCAAGCATCTTTTGGATGTGCACGGGGCCCAGCCCGCGCACACGGAGGGCCCAGCGCCCGAACCAGCACAGCGAACAGCAGCTGAACGCAAGGGAGTCTCATTAAAGCCTACAGTTTCCGAAACGGAACCATTATTGGAAATTCCCTGCTTGCCCTGGTTCCCTAGACCCAAATGGTGGTCCAGGCCCCCAGCAGGTGAGCACAGCCATGAACGCACACCTTGCCTTCCACTTCACCCCATACCTTACCTTATCCAACGTGCGGCTTATGACATCACACAGAAGAAGACACGCTCCTAACGCCTTGCGTAACCCGCTCCCGCTCCACCCCTCCTTGAACCCCCTGCCAGCCACCGTCCTCCTAGCGACATGGTAAGCTGATCGGCAGCGGTGACGCGGTGGCGAGGGCGAGTAAAAGCGTGCCAGGAAGCCTTTGCATGCGTGCTCGAATGCGTACCTGCAGCCGCGCGATTTGGGTCGGCAGGCTTTAGAGAGGAGCAGCCGGGGGTGTGCGTGTCGGTGTGCACAAAGCCTTATGCGCACACGTCAGGGCTAGTTACCGTCCACTAGGTCAGCGGCGACAACCAGCCCTGACCCACATGCGGATATGCGTGCCCGTCTCCTGCATGTACACGGTGTTGCTAGCGATGGTGCTGTTTGGCGTGTGCTCATACCACGCCGGTGTTCCCTCGTGTCATGATCTTCATCGTCATCGTAACAGGAATCTGGAGACCTTTTCGCACACGGCAGCGGACGCGCGAACTGCCGCCATGAAGGTGCGCCGTACCCTCGCCTCGCCTCCCCTCTGTAATCCGCATGGATGACCCACGGGTCACATTCATCATGTCACATCATGACTCCCCTTCCTTCCGGCAGCTGGGCAACATCTGTACGACATTGCTGGATCTCTGCGCGAGGGAGGGCCCGCAGGCGAGCGTGGTGGTGGCACTGCAGGTGGGGGTGCAGCATGGCAGCATGGCGGCATGGCCGTGGGCCGTAGCGGCCACTGCAAGTTGACTCCTGGGGACTGCCCTCGCTACCACTGCCGTACACGCACGTTGCCCCACCACCACTTCCGTACATACACGCTGCCCCCCCCCATCACTGCTGTACACGCACGCTGCCTTCTCACCGCCGTACAGGAGGTGTTCAATCCCGAGGCGGTGCCCTTCCTGGCGGACCACCTGAACCGCAAGTGCGCGGCGGCGGGCGGCTCGGGGCGCACCTGGCACTGCGTCACATCGGGGTGAGGGGGCGGGGGCAGGGTGGGGGGGGGGAGGATTAAATAAATGAAACAACGAGGGGGGGCGGGGTGAGGGGTGAGGGGCGTGAGGCGCACTGAGGGGTGGCGGCACTGAAGTGATGCGTAGGGGGCAGCAGGAAAGGACTGAACCCTCCCTCCCTCACGCACGCACGCACGCACGCATGCACGCACGGGCGTTTGGTTTCTTCCCTGCCCTACTTAGGCTACTTCCTCGGTAATACCGCCCACCTCGGGCCAAGCCCGCAGGCCGCTAGGTAACAACTCGGAGCGAGCCGGCTTCCTGTGGAGCGGCCCGCCGCGGGGCGCCGCGCAGGCTGCAGGGGGGCAGCGGCAGGGGCCGCCAGTCCTGCTGTCGTGTCTCGCATGCGGCAGCGGCGAGGGCGGCGGCGGGGGCGGGGGCGAGGCAGGGAGGGGCGCGGTGCAGGCGCCCCTGCATGCGGACCCCTCCCGCGGCTTCCAGCTGCTACAACAGGAGGACAGGCAGACGGTGGGCGGAGGGCTGGGCTGGGCATGGAAGGGCAGGGCAGAGGGCTGGGCGGGGGGTGGCTGGGCAGAGGACAGGGCAGGGGTCGCGTGATGACTGGGGGGTGGTAAAGAACTAAAGACAATAGCAGGCAGAGGGCCAGGTAGTTGACGTTAGGGAAGGGGAGCGACTGGGCGGGTTGGGAGAGCAGAGGAATAAGGAGGAGGGAAGGCAAGGAGGGAGGAGGCAACCCAGGAGCCCTCTTGTCGGGGTATGAAGGCGCGCCCGTGTGCCGCCTGTGTGGCAGGTGCTACGGAGCAGGCAGCAGGATCCGGGTGAGGGGCGCTTCCTGCGCAGCCCCTTCTACGGCCTGTTCAGGTAGGTGGCAGGGCGGGTGAGGGGTCGGGTAGGTGGCAGGGCGGGTGAGGGGGCGGGTAGGGCCCAGCAGTGTTGGTGTTGAACGAAGCCATGCGGGGGGATGTGGAGCAGCAGCTGCTGCACGACACACGCCTTGCTTGCCGCCGTGCATCCCAGTTGGCTGCTCGCACACACCAGTTATTTTAACACACCAGGGGCTCGCAGCCATGGGGGGTTGCGCACACCTCCTGGCTACGGCAAGCTCCTCTCCACACGCATCGCGATGGCAGCCTTAAGCTGTTTCCCAACCCCCTGTCTACTACGGTGTCAGCCGTGTCACCCCATCCCCCATGTTGACGGGCTGGCTCACATGTTGCAGACCATGAAGGCGCCTTATCACACGGTCAGTTAGTTGCTTCCTCCTTACCCGCCCACCCCCCATACAGCTCGTCAGTTGCTTCGTCAGTGTCTCATCATATATATATTTTTTTTTACCCCCCATGTTGCGGCGGCTGCCGCTCCCGCCCCCGGCAGGGTGGGTTACGCCAACCTGCTGCTCGTCAACGTGCATCTGGCGGCGGATGCGCGCGCGGCCAGTGAGACCGGCGGGGGGGGTCAAAGATTACCAAAACCACAGTAGAGGCGGGGCGGGGATGTAGGCGCCGCGGGAGTCCTTCCTTTGCTTCTGTTCCAACCGACGTAATGCCGCAATACAATGTCGCGAAACACAAAGAAGGCCACCCGCCCCCCATCATCCCTCCACCCCATATTTAATTTTTCCACCCCATGTGCCCCGCTGTGGGTGTGCCCCCTCCTTATACCGGGTAGTGTTGATTTGACTAATTCGGGTAGGGTGGAATGGATCGGCTGCCATGTTTGCACCCCATAGTGAAGGCTTGTCATACAGCTCGTTAGTTGCCTCGTCAGTGTCTCATTATTTTTTACCCCCGGCTCCGTCCTCGCCCCCCACCAGACTCCGAGCTGGCTGCTCTGCACCGCCTGGCAGCAGCCATCCAGCAGCCCAACGCGCGCCTCTTCCGCCGCCACTTCTCGCTGCTGGGGCGGCTGCGGGGGCGGCGGCCCCGCGGGGTGATGGCGGTGCTCGGCGACTTCAACAGCCCCATGGGACCCGCCGTGGGCGCCGCCACAGCTGCTGCCGCCAAGGCTGCAGGGGGTGCTGGTGGGGGAGGGATCGCTGTGGCTGCAACAGCCACCACCACTGCTGCCGCCGCTGCTGCTTCGCCCGCTGCTGGTTCACCGCTGCAGTCGGGGAAGGTGCCCAGCGGACCGCTTTCCGCCGCACTGGCGGCTCGGGGCCATGTGGTGGTCGCCGCAACGGCAGGGGAGGCAGGAGGAGGAGGAGGCGGGGAGGCAGGCGGGGGAGGTGGTCCTGGCGGGAGCGGCGGCAGCACCGGCAACACGCCGGACAACAAGGAGAGCAAGCGCAGCCGCCGTGCCATAAATAAGACCGGTGATAAGGACAACAGTGCATGCGGTGACGTCGGCGGGGGCGGCAGCGGCGCGGCCTCCGCCGCCTCCTCCCGCCGCGCGCTGACCGCTGCGGACAGCAGCTGGGCGGCCTTCCAGCGCCAGGGCTGGTACAACGCACTAGCCGGCGGGCGCGAGGGAGGCGGCGTGCTGCATGCGACCAACTGGGGCGCCAAGAAGGACAAGGCCTACGATGCGGTGTGCCTGCAGCGGGAGCAGGCGGGGCTGGTGACGGGCTGCGGCGTGTGCCCGCCGCCCGCCTACGTCAGTCCCGACCAGCCCGGCACCTACCCCAACCACCTGCTGTGCTGGGTGCGGCTGGAGCTGCGGGAGCTGCAGCGGGCGCCGGGGAAGGTACGGCCGCTGGTGCAGCCGGATAGGGTGGCGGTGGCCGGGGGGGAGGGGGGGGTAAGCATGGTGCGCGGGGGGCCCGATGATGCGGGGGGCAGGGTGATACGAGGGATCGACGAGGGAGGCGATTTGAGCAGGTATTAAGTAACTAATGGTGTTCTGAGTACGCTGCATCTATGTTATTGGTTGCATGACGCACGTGATGTATGTATGTACGAGTAGGGGGTCAAGCGAGCTATGGTTTGAGACTCAAGGGCCGGTACATGATCAGGTCGAGAGGCTGGTAACGAGATGGCGAGCTGCTGTATGTAGGAGGCGTGATCGAAGTAAACAGAGCACGTCAACAAGTGCTGACGTTGTTGATAACCAGGTGTGTCGTAACTCGCAAGGTCATGTGCACATTGTAAGCTGCATGCTACTCTAACCTAGTCATGATATCCTAATAGAAGCGGGGAGAGGGGACGATCACTTGCCAACATTTGTATTACCCGTGTAGTGTCCGGTGCCTAGACAGCACCTGCATGGTTCCTCCCAACGCGTGGGGGAAGAGGCCGCACGCCAAACGGCCTGTATGAGACAACACGAGCTCAATAAACGGCAAGCGTCCGATAACAACCACAGCAACCAACTCTCTTCTCCACCAAGACCGTCATGGTTGTTCTAATACCCCACATATCGTCAGCAAGGTAGCCTGTCAATGCACAGGTCCCACAGTTTTGGGTCAGGACACACGTCGTCGTCGTAAGTCGCTTTGCCAGTTCGGCAAGCCTAACTGCAAGTAATCGTAAAATGTCAAATGGCTTGGTCTTCCCCGCAGTTACCTACACCCTCTGGCCCCCACAAGCAACCCGCACCACACGACGCCTGCGTGCATGCCATGTCAAAGCAAAGGTTAAAGGCACTTTTGCCTTTTGAGTTCCTGCCCTATGCTAATCCCGTGCGTCCCGTCTGTAATTCAAATAGTACAGTACCCCTAACCCATCCCATTAGGTGCCAAGCGCTCAAGCAATCTCCCCCTTCCCTTTTCCCCTCCCCTTCCCACCACAGTCGCCGTTCCCAAGGCGTCACAACCGCCGGGGCATACGCGTACGATAGATGGGCAACGCCACACGTGCGCAACACCGCTGTTAACATGATACATCGCTTATGCAAGCGTCAGACAGCACCTGGCTCGCTGGTCCCCATCCAAGCATCTTAGCCCTCTCCTAGCCACCCCGCGCACAGCCAACCGCCTAATCCTTCTTCTTGGGGGGCGGGCGGTAGACGCCCACAACCATTGCGTGGTCGCGCTCGTAAGGCTCCAGTGTTACCTGCTCCTTGGGTTTAAGCTGCATCTCCTGCAGCTTCTTGACCTCGCGCGCGAACACGGCCTCCGGGGGCGCCGTCGAGTCAATGCAGCTGGCCTTGATGGAGATGACGAAGTTGCCGCCGTTCTTCAGGAAGTACTGAGCGTTGTGGCCGACAATGCGGGCCTGGTCCGGCTGCGCGACATCCGCGAAGATGACGTCCACCATAGGCACAAGCATGCGGTACTTCTGAGGGTGGCGAGCATCCTCAATAATCGGGATGACGTTTGGCCGCTGCTTGGCCATGTTGACGAGGTCGCGACCGCTGCGATGCGAGAACTCGACGGCGTAGACAGCGCCCTCTGGTCCCACAAGGTCGGAGCAGTGCGAAACACTGGTGCCAGAAGCAGCACCAAGGTAAAGGAGCTTGCTGCCGGGCTTTACGTAAATGTTGTCCACGCCAGCCAGAATGGAGGCGGCCAGCTTGGAACGGAAAGGGTTCCAGACGCGGTACTCCACCTTGTCGCCCTCGTTCTCAACAGCAATACGCTTCTCTCCGTAAACACTGACGCCTGGTACTAGGTTGCGCGTGACCAGGGCATCCTCCTTGCCGCGCGCAATGAAGACACCTTCATGTCGGTGAGCCTCGATAACTGCCTTGGCGCCGCCCTTCATGCCACCGCGGCCACCGCCGCGACCACCTCCACGGCCACCACGACCACCCTTGGCAACACCACCGCGAGCGCCAAAGCCGCCGCGACCGCCTCCACGGCCACCACCGCGGCCGCCAAAGCCGCCGCCACCGCGACCACCACCCCGGCCACCAGGGGGTCCTCCTCGGCCACCACGGCCACCACGACCACCACGGTCGCCGAAGCCCATGGTTGAAAAAGGAAAGTTACTTGTACCTAACTACGATGACTGGCCTTTAACGCGCTAGGGCGCTAGGCTATTCTAGTTGGATTAAGGAAAAACAGTAACAATTTCCTATTGTCAGGATACGTGTTAACGTTTGCTAGCAGCCGTCCTTGATAAGTCGTCGCCGTTTTGTCGTACAGCAGCCCCCCCCCATGCAGAGGTGGCGCCGCAAAAGACAAACGACTACATCTAGTCGTGATAAGAACTTGTTAATATTATTATTAGCGGTTTGTAGGGCGTTTTGCATATCAAGAGCAAGCAGCTTTTGCGACAGTAACTCACCCAAGATAGCAACGCGAGAACGGGTTGGGGGATTTTGCGTGAAATGTAGACAATACCTCGAGCTGTCCTTGCTATTTGTCTTTTTCCGTGAATGTTTCAATGCATTGCCCCATGGGCCATACTTGTTGCTTGGGCACGACGGGATTGCTGAGAAACGCAATCAATACGTTAGGTAGACAGATTGCATGCGGTTGATAAATGCTTCATGCTTGCGACCAAGCGGCCACACTCGTTACAGCGCCAGGGCGGGCCCAACAGCACTTTGGTCTGCCCTATGCATATTCAGCTTTCCACCATACCCTTGGCATCCTGTGGCCCCCTCACCAAACCCTCCTTGTTCACGGCTGCTTTTCCTGCCACCAGCCCCCTTTAACCCCCGCACTCTCGATGCCCCCCTAGCCATGGGGACCCTGCATTTCACACTATCCACGCTCGCTCAGTCGATAGCAAACAAACAACCCCTCTTACGACTTACGCCTCTACCCGTACATTGCACTAACCCCCAACACCTCGTCGGCACATATGGCAGCTTGCCTGGTTCCCTCTCGCTCCTAGCTCTACGGTATCTCCGACACACAAGAAGTAGCATGGCTCCCCAATCGCCTCCCATGGCCCCAATTTCCCCGCATGCCCCCAATCGCCCCGCACTCGGCCCCCTCAGTCCAAGCCCAACCGCAGCGTCACCGCACGCCGGTGTGCGTCCAGGCCCTCTATCTCGGCCATCTTGGCCACACTGGGGCCCAGGTTTTGGAGTCCCTCATAGGACAGGTTCTGCGCGGAGGAAAGGGCGCATGGGGGGATAATGATGAAGAGGACGCGCGCGCACATGGACAGGGGAGAAAAGCATTTAGCCAGGCGCACAGCAAGGCAGGGCATATGGGTCAAAACAAAGTACCAAACCACAAATGGCATTCCTTAACCTTGTTTCCCCACCCCCCCGCAACCACTTCTCACTCATCTTCTTATTTCTCCCCCTCCCCCCCGCAAACCACATGTGGCTGGCTCACATGTTGCAAACCATAATGATGCCTTATCACACGGTCAGTTAGATGTTTTCTCTTTTCCCCCCGCAACCCGCCCAGCTGCCACCCCCGCCCCCTCCACCTGCACCGTCATCTTCTTCTGGAAGGAGTCCAGAGCCACTCCGCTGTACATGCGCGCGTAGCCGTACGTGGGCAGCACGTGGTTGGTTCCGGAGGCATAGTCGCCCACGGACTCCGGCGTCCAGCGGCCGAGGAAGATGGAACCTGTGTGCGGCGGCGAATGACCCGCGGGTCGGTGTGCTTAGAAGACTGGCCGTGGTGTGTTTGACAGGATGCGAAGGGAAGGGAACCAACCGTGGTGCTCCCAGTCCTAACACGCCCCTCCTTGTCACCTGGTATGTTCGTTTCTTCTCTTTTATTCCTCTCACGCGGCTAGTTCCCTCCCCTTCTTCGTCCCTGCCTCTCCCTCTCCCACCCCCTCACCCGCGTTGTCCAGCCCCGGCAGCCACTCCTCCGCGTCCTCCACGTTCACGATCAGGTGCTCCGGCGCGTAGGCGTTGGAGAAGCGGATCGCCTCCTCCCGTGAGTCCACCTGCGCACGGGAAGAAGGAAGCGCAGCACCGCGCAAGCGGGGGAGCCAGCAGAGGGAGCTAAGAAGACTGCCCCCGTGTTGCCATGTACCGCTCAACCCGCCCACCGCAACCCACCACGCTCCAAACGCCAGCAAGCCCCCCAGGCTGGAGCAGCAGAACCAGCACAAAGAGCCAAAGAAATCCTGCCCTCCTCCTCCTCCCGCTTCCCGCCCTCACCAGAGTCACAATCACTCCCCCTCCCCCGCCTCATCAACCCCACCCCCACCTCCACCCCCGCCCCTTCCTCCCCCTCCCCCTCCTCACCGTGACCACGTACGAGTGCCCCAGCGCCTTCCTCGCCGTGTCGCTCCGAGGCAGGGCGGCACACTGCGCCTCCACCTGCTCCGCCACCGCGGCCAGGTCTACCCCCGGCAGCGCCACCAGCACCACCTGGCTGTCGGGGCCGTGCTCCGCCTGAGACAGCAGGTCGGCGGCCACGTGGGCGGGGGAGGCGGCCGCGTCCGCCACCACCAGCACCTCGGAGGGGCCGGCGGGCATGTCGATGGACACCATGGCCTCGGAGTTCTGGCGGGAGGGAAGGGGAGGGGAAAAATTTAAAGAGTGTAACAACGAGTCCCAATCCCATATCCCGACTCGTGCAGTGAGCGAAAGGAAAAAAGGGAGGGAAAGGGAGGGATACGCACTGTGTGAGTGGTGAGAAGGGCAAACAGGATGGAGGAAGGAGGGGCGGCGGATCACATGTTGCAACTCATGTTGACGCCCTATCCCTCAGTCAGTTAGTTGTTTCCTCTTTACGCTCCCCCTCCCCTGCAACCCCCCCCCCTCCCCCGCCACCCGTCACTACCGCCCTCTCCACCTGCAGCGCTCACTGCATGAGTCGGAATTGGGATTGGGACTCGTTGTTTCACTTATTTAATTTTTTCCCTCCCCACCTGCAGCAGCATCTTGGCCGCCGTGACGTACTGGTTGCCCGGCCCCAGGATCTTGTCCACCTTGGGGCAGGAGGCGGTACCCCAGGCCATCGCGGCCACGGCCTAGAGGGCGGCAGGAACAACAGGGGGAGAGGCGCAACAGGGGGAGAGGAGTAGGGTGTGGGGAGTCAAGAGGTATACCAGAATCACGGTTAAGGGCAAAGCAGCAGGGGGGAGGAGCAGCAGGGGGGAGGAGCAGCAGGGCGGGGGCCCGGCGGAGACGGGCAGGGGACAGGAGGTAGCATGTCGGGGCAAGGATGGAGCAGGGGTGCGCATTGCGAGTGGCGAGCGGGTGCGAGCCAAGCTGCGCAACCAACAGCGAGCAAGCAACAGCCAGCGGGGCTCGCGGGTGTGCGGTGGTGGTGGTGGTGAGGGGGTGCGGTGGTGTTACCTGCGCTCCTCCGGCCTTCAGGATGTGCGTCACTCCCGCCTTCTTGGCGCAGTACAGCACCTGAGGGAGGCGGGCGGGCAGGCAGCGGGCAGACGGAGGAGAGAGGCGGCTGGGCATCATGACACGACACCGCAGCGGGCTATGAACCGGTAAACCGCTACACGTTGCCTTCCTTGGCAGGGGTCGGTTAAGAGAGTTCCCTTCCTCCTCCTCCTCCTCCAGCACACTGCGCATTTGCTCGGCTAGCATGCGAGCATAGGAGGTGAGAAGGCGGCATGTGCCCGGACCACCACTCGACCCCGCTCCTCCACCCCACCCCAACCCAACCGGTATACTCAGGTCTACAACCGGTACGGCCAGGGTCTGCGTGTTTCTGCGGCTCCGTTTACCCAATACCCTCCCCCCACGCCCTACCTCGGGCGTGACGCTGCCGTCGGGTCGCGGCGGCGTGGCCAGCACAATGGTGGAGCAGCCCGCTATGGCTGCCGGCACCGACAGCATGAGCGCGGAGCTGGGCAGTACGGCGGTCCCGCCGGGGACATACACACCCACGGAGTTGATGGGCCGAGTCACGCGTCTGCGGAGGGGGAAGGGGGGGAGGGTGGCGGGGGGGGATAAAGGTGGAAGATCGAGGATTGGAGGCGTGTAAGAAGGAGGAGGGGGGAAAGAGGCGGCATGTGGGGTCATGGTGACGAACACCCCGCTCTGAGGTGCCGCTGCCGTGAAGCGTCACCAGCCCCTGCTGGCCCCGTCGGCTGCCGGGCGGTGTGAAGAGCGGGGCCCACGCAGGGGTGGCTCAAGGAACAGCAGCAGCAAAAGCGGCCACGCACCGTGCTCCGAAACCACCTGGGTGATAGCTGCATGGGTGCTAAGAAAACTGGCCGCGAGTAGGAACGTATTGCATGGGTGTGTGGCCCCCCCCCCCGGCTCTGCCCTATCCTGTGGCTTCCATGGTTGGATCTATGTTTGACCCCCACCCCCACCCCATGTGGGATGTGGCTGGCGTAACCCAACAAGGCACGCCACGCCGCGCCTGTCAGCACAGCTGTCTCTCGGGCAGAGGGCTGATGCCGGGGGAGGCCACCCGAACGCTCTTCCAACCAGCAGCTCGGGCGGCATGCTGGGTAGTACAGGTATAGGCTGGGTAGTACAGGCACAGGCTGGGTAGTACAGGCATAGGCTGTGTCGGGCCCAGTGGTGAGTCCCTGTAGCATCCCTCGCAAGCCATGCAGCTCCGCAGCCCGTGCCTTCCCTCCCTGCTACCCTGCCCCCCACCTGCAGCGCACTCCTGGCATGGTCTCCACCTCTAGCGGCTCTGACCGCTGCGCTGTGTGGAAGGCCCGAATGTTTTCGTACGCCACGTCGAAGGCCGCCGTGACCTCCGCCGGCAGCACGGGGTCGGGCAGGTCCTGGGCGGGGTGGGGAAAGGAGAAGAAGTATCATGCGTTAATAATAGCGACGGTACTAGGCGCGGGGTGCGGAGGGGCCAGGAGGAGCCTGGGTGGGTCGCTGGTTAGCTGTGGATGGTTACTCGGCTCCCAACATCCCAAGGAACAAGTATGCGCCCGCGAGGCCATGGCAATGATTTTAGAAGCTGGTCAGGAAGGGATGCAACGGCCTATAGCGACATTGTGAAAGAGTCAGGACGCTTTCGCTAAGGTTAGGTGGGTGCGGATGTATCTGCGGATGCGGGCTGGAACTACCTCAGCAACGAAGGCAAATCCTCACCCATTACGGCGCGTTGCGTACTCTGTAGAGCCTCCCACCCCAAGCAATGGCAAAGCTATATAGTGGTTACATTTTGCAGCGACACGCTAACCACTCACTTCAATGCGGACGCAAACCGCATCCAGTTGAACGCGATCGAAAGTAGCAGTGTACTCGCGAACAGCGTCATCACCCTTGGTTCGAACAGCCTCCACAATTGGAGCCACCTGTGACAGACACGTCGAGACACGCTGCTCAGGGCAGGGTCTATTCCTACCCAAATGCATATCAAATTTGGGGCATTTCTTTCCGAGTAATTACATGTTTGCCTTATCTCGAAATACCACAAAGGTTAGCCGCCGGTCCTCACCCTGTTAAGGATGGACGTAAAGTCCACACGAGGCCGTGCGAGAACCTGCTTAAGCTCCGCTGGACTTAATTTACTGTAATCATACGTTTTCAGCGTCGTTGGTGCCTCCATGCTTGCCAATGCTTCTACTCGCAAATGGGGCTGTCGGCGAACACAGCGATTTGAGGCTGGAACTGGGACACGAGCAGATAACACAGTCGTATTGGTTGTGTGGACTTGCTGGAAACACAACCGCTTACTAGCGGTGAAGGTCGCCATTAGCGCACGCAGCGCTTTACGTTCGGTAAGACACTTTCAGAGCTCGCACCAAATGAGATATACAGGAATAATCTACAGATAGATACCTGCCTCATAGACGGGCTTCAGCTTGAACACCGTACCCGCAAGCTGCAGTACCCGTACACTAGGCAAGTAGGCCAGGCAAATCTAGTCATGTCTGTACACATCGCATGGACGTTCTTCAGAGCGCGTTCGTCCCAACCCATAGACTGCCATGTAGCATATGCTCACCCAACCCTCTTACCCGACAAGGTCACTGCCAAACTGCCGGGGAGGACCGAAACCAGTTCAAGACGCCACCTAAAAGCAATATCACTGCGCGACGACCGTAAATAATATTGGGGTTGAACCACCCCGGGGTTTCACTCTCCCAGTAAGACCAGAGATAACCCTTAGATACCCTAGGACTGACAGCACGCACGGTCAGCGAACAGTGAAGGTTCCGCGAAGCTTACACACTTTCAGACCATCAGACGCAACGTACGCTTCACAGCACGCGAAGGAACGTCCGAAATCGTCGCCAGTGAACACAGTCAAAATAAATATGCGCCTGCCCTCTACCACCAGACCTGGCACCCTGAGAGCTCTCCTCCTGTGGGCCGCTCTGGGCGACGTGTCAAAGGAAGGTTCACACGTAGCTCCTTCTCATACATGCCTCCAACGAACCGAAATGCAAAGCCTATGGGCTAGCCTCCAACTGCAAACTAGGTATCTTACCCTCGCTGTTCCACATCCTGAACGCACACGCACGCATTGGCAACCCCCACATAACAAGGTGCAGCAGATCCACATGCATAAGATGATGGTAGGCCCAACACTACTGCTCAGTGGCGTCCCCTCCGCAGTAGGCCGCTGGCAGCATGTCGCACCCCCTGGATAAGAAAAGCACAACCGGACCGTTAGTATAGAAGTCATAGCTTGTGCGTTAACGAGCGTCAAGTAGAAAAACCAACGAACACATTTCACGGGGTCTACTGCCCGCATGGCATGGATTCAGGGAGCGAGTACCAACCTTTATGGCGACCCGGTCCGCCGTGGGGACGCAGAGGTGCTAGGCAAGGGAGACGCCTTGAACTTGGGAATGTGGGACTCCAGTCGCGCCTTCTCCTCCTTCTGCAATAGCAAACGCGTCAAGACGTGTTAACGCACACGCTATGCCCAAATCATACGCTTTGGCTTGTCGCAACAATGTTATACGACGAGGCATGACCGGGCTGTCGGTTTCTCCTCACGATACGACATTATGAACAGGAAAGCGCAGAATGCAGAAACGGTTCCAGGGGGGCGTGTTTTACCTTTCGCGCAAGCTCCTCCTGCGCCTTCTGGTGCCGTTCCGTGGATGCCAATCGGAAGGGCTCCGGGGTGGTAGTCGGCTTCGCACCGCCCCCCGACAGCCCGCTCGAGGAGGAAGCTGCCAGAGGAGTGGTGCACGTCTCGCCGCGCAGCAGGGTCTTGGGCGGGGCCGAGTTAGGTGCCTTGGGTGGGCGGCTTGTCCCCCCCACGTCTGCCTACAAAACGTCATAGGAGCGATAGACATGTCAGGAAAATCTTTCACGAAGCCCCTGAACCAAACACAAATCATACAGGGGAAGCCCATGCCTGATTTATGCCCAATACCAGGCCCACATGCATGCACTTGGATACGGGCAATGGACTTGTGGCTGCTGGAAGGTTCCACTCTTACCGTTAGGGTCTGACTGGCTTTTAGGTCCCCCTCCTTTGAGCCCTTGGTTTTGCCAGCTGTCCACGCCTGGGGGAAATAAAAACATGACCAGCAAAGCATTTAGTCAGAAGGTTTGGAGTGAACTTAGGGAAACCACTGGAGTGGTACCAATTGGAAATCCAACATGATGACATTACAACTTGTCGTATATTCTTTCCTCAAGGATTAACTGGAGCTGTATTGCAAGCACCTCATACCAGGTGCTCTTACCAGGAAAGCCGCCGTTGGCTTCAGTAAGCTGCTGCGGATGTTGTCGAAAATGGGCTTCTTGGGCTCCTTCTTCTCCTCCGGCGTCGTGCTCATCACGCGCGGCGACATGTACACTTGACGCCGCAGCGGCTTGTTGGTGCTGGCAAACGTGAGCGGGTGCGTAGTAGATGAGGAGGGGATATCGCTATCCTCCTTCAGCAGGCGGGCCTATGAACGGGGGGCAAATGGGTCGGTCAGGGCGCTGCCGCTCTATTAGTGAAGCGGCGTGTATACAGTGGCTTCACCAATGAGCCCAAATAAAACCCCCTACACCGCGCGCACCACGCTTTCCTTAAAAAGCGGAGAGCAGGCTCACCTTATGAGAAGCCGTCGGCTTGGCGTAAGACGGCAGACGCGCGTTGGCACTGGGCGGCGTCGGTACTGCTGAAGTGGGTCTGTCCCTGCTCAAAGGTGCTGTGGTGGACGCGCGGGCCGTCAGAGGCGCTGACGAGGGGCGCGGCGGCCTCGCGCTCGGGGTGCTGGTGCTGGCTGTTGGCGTGTGCTTGCCGTTCGCGGACGGGGTGCCCGCTGTCTTAAACCCAAACTCAGACGACACGGATGGGATCTGAGGGGTAGCAGTGACTGGCGAGGCGCGGGTTGCTGGCTTTGCCACAGGCCGGTCCCGGGGCGTAGCTGCCACCGGAGTGACCGGCGTAGCGCTCATGGGCTTTGGGATGTGGCTACGACTTCCAGATGGCGTTACTGCCACTGGAGTGCTTGGCGCTCCATTCGCTCCACCTCCAGATGTAGACGCGTGCGCCGGTGGCTTTACGAGGAAGTTAGGGTCAGGCTGATGCTCCGCCCCGCTGCTGGTGGCCGCCGCCTGAGCCGGCGCTCTCTGAGACGCAGGCGCGGAAGCTTGAGGGGTTACGGCTGCTGGGACAGCGGAGGAAGAGGAAGGGGTGGGCGCTGTTCCATTTGCCGCTGATGCTGCAGCACTCCCTTGCCCTATCTTGCTGTTCTGCTTTTGTGGCGTCACCTCGTGGGCGCCAGACGCCCGTTGAGAAGGCACGCGCGACGACGCCGGCGGAGTTGGGGCTGGTGCCGGTGCCGGTGGAGTAGGAGCCGGCGGGGGCGGGGGCGGGGGAGGAGCGGGCGCGGGTGGAGGTGCCACAGGCTCTGCAAGACAGACATTATAAGCTAGATGTTAAAATGACAAAAGTTCGGCGTACATTTGAAATCTGGCGCCGTAATTAGTTAGACCGTACCATCTTGGTCTTCTTCTGCGAGTTCCTCGGGCGTAAGCTGCGCGCCATCGCCGAAGTTGACCCCGGCACGCAAGCACTCCTTGCGGCACACCTTCACCACCGTGCTGGCCTCATCTTGCATAAGGAACAGTTTTTCAGATGCCTCAACTACGCTCAGCAGGCCGGACCCCAGGACCAAGGCGTTCAAGTCATTAATCTCGCAGGCATCTGCAGTGTCCTGAAGCAAGTCCGCTGTAAATTTTGCTTTCCGTAGGCATTTCATCAAGAACTCTTGCCCTAAGACAAGCTTTACAATATCATCTGGGGTGCCCGACGACCGGGCCAATTCCTCCGCCATAAGGAACGGTCGTCTAGGAGTCAGCAGTTCAGTAAGGATAATACACGCACTCTGAAAAGTAAAGCTCTAAAGCACGTTAACTAAGTAAGAGTGATCAGCTTTGGCACTGGGCAAATTGCTAGGTTCTGAGCCATTCCCTGGAGTACTCAGGGAATGGCGATTTGAACTCTGGAATGCCTATATGCGCCTGATGCGCAGCGCTTGTCTGTCTTCCAAATCCCTTAATGTTTGTTGACGCCTTGTAGCTTTCACTGTCCTGAAGAGCCCTGCGTTGACGACTGATCGTGAACATGTAGGGACAGTAGTTGCCTACCCCGGTAGACACCTTCGACATGAGCACCTTTCGCAGCTTATTCCAATAAACATTTACTACAGCAAAGGGCACGCTTGGAAATGAGCGGTCGCGAAGTCTGTAGGCGCGACTGCAGGTGGTTTGCCAACTGCCGCAGCCTGTTTCTCTACTTCCATGCGCTTGCCCTCAATCATTGTGTGGAGAGGCCTAGGATACCATAATACTTTCACCTCCGGGTCCGTTTCAGCCTTCCAGTATTATGACCCACGGTTCTGCAGCAGTCCTCCAGCCAACTACTGGTTCACGGTTGGCATGTGACAGGCCCAGGATGCCATGTCTGTCCTTTGAAGGCCATTAACGAAGAACGATCGAAGGAGGAGCGTCATCATTTGTACTGGTATCCCTTACATTAAGCTTTGTGAGGCCTACCATGCTCTCATTTGTGTTGTGTCCTGCATCGTGCGCTCAAGCTATAGTTTGCATGGGAAACGATCCACCCTTTTTCCTTTGGCAAATGCGTTTCCCACCGCCCCCACGTCCAATGAAACGTCTCTATTGCCTTCGCTGCCTATAAAGTTTAACCTCCCAAGGCGCATGCTCGTACACCTTCCACATGCCTTGCATCACCTAAAAGTCTGGCCACAGACGAAGGTGTAATAACCAGAATAAAAGACACCCGTGAGGCATTGCGCCTTGAGCAGTCATAGCGCGTACCAGGTGTACTCAGCCGCAGCGTCACCGCAAACCGCCCAAACGCCGAAAATCATTTCAGCCAGCCCTGGCCTAGCGCGTGGCCTCCCGTGGGGAACACGGCAACCGCATCACGATGCCCGCCCATCTTTCCTGGCTGGGCAACCCTTTACGAATCCCGGCGCGCATGCTGCGTACTGGCCCTGCCCATGCGGCCTGCTGCCGGTGCAGCTTACGAAGCCGGGTGCACAGCCCCTGCCTACGCGGCCTGCTGCAAGTAGCGGCGAATCAGCAGCTCCACGTTCTCGTCAAAGAGCTCGCACTTGATGACTTGCTCCGTCTCGTAGAACGGGTTCTTCAGGACGAAGTCCGAGTACAGTTCGTAGATCCTGCGGACGTGGGAAGTCAGGGTTGCACGAGTCAAGGGCGAACATGACGACTTGGGTTCGGTTGGTAGCGCACAGAGAGAGATGGAATGCACAGGTGAAAAAAGCACACAATGTCACGGTGTGTTCGGCATCGAACGCAGAAAGAAGAGCGCCCTGGGTCATTGCCGAGCCTGCCCGGGTGCTAGCTGGATTCTATCAAAACCCCGCAACGCAGCCAGGACGCAGCCATGAAAGACTTTACAGCACAACGGCAGCCATTGCGTACCGGGGGGCTCCGAAGAGGCAAACAATCTAGTCGACACAGCGCCCCAACCCAATCCCGCACGACGCCTGAAGAGGGCGACGAGCGCACCTTTGCAGCAACGTAGGTATGAAGGAGGCATGTGGATCCACGACCAGCAGGAACTTCGTCCCCGTAAGCGTCTGCAAGCACCAGGTGGCACAAGCAGCGATCCCTTTGCACGGCCAGTTGCTACCCCGGGATAGATATGCGCGCATGCTCTACGACGCTTGGAAGGGTACAACGGCAACCCGGCTTCTGCCCAGCAAGCCCACGCATTCCCTATGCCGCGCCACATGCCCTTGCGATCCATGGGCTACGACACCAATGTCTGGACATGCACCAAGAAGGGGACGACACACCCCATCGTTCCGTTCCGTACCCAAATCAGCACAGTCCGAAGGACATCCGTCATGCTGCATGCAGCAGCAGCATGCCCCCCCAGCGCGGTGCATCACACCTGGAAGCAGTGCAGGTTGAAGGTGTCCGCCTCCAACAGCTCGATGCCCGTGCACCCCGGCACGGGGCTCAGCTGGCTGGCAATGGCGTGAAGCGAGTGCCTGCGGGTTGCGTTGGGGGGTGGTTTGGAATGCAGGGACCTGGACAAGTACAGGCCTGCAAGGCTTGGATGAGGACGGTAGGGGGTGGTGGTGGTAGGGATGGCTGGAAAATGGTAGGGAGAAGAGGAACGCATGCCGTTAAGCAAAAGCTGGGGAAAGGAAATCGGTTCATGTAAGGGAATGCGCGCCAACCGATGACGGCCCAAGTGCGATCTGCAAGGTACCCGGCATGGGGCAGTGAGCGGGCAGCGACGGGCAAGGTGTGCGATGTAGAGTTGCTAGCGCCTCATTAAGGGGCCGAGGGCTGTAAGCCCCGTCTGGCCTTGGCATGCACACGACCCAAGGCAACCGGCCCCTCCTTCTCCCTATGCACTAGTCACCACATGCTACTTGGGCTTTACCCCATTTCCTACATCAGGGCCTGGCATGCCGTAAACATCTTTGCTGGGCGACCCGAGGCCGGCTGCAGTAGCATGGCTACCAGTTTGCCAGGCAGCCAGGCAACAGTTGTGCAACGTTCACTATCCGAGCCCACTCCCACAGTCGTCCTATTGTGCGCAATGAGAGGGCTGCGCGCCGAGACCAGAAACGCACTCGGACAGAGTGCCTCGCCCCGTCCGCATCCTGCAACGTACCAGATGCTAGCCAGGCGCAGAGAGTCGTTGGTATCCACGCGAGCCGCTTCTAAGAAGTCCTGCAAGGGGTCGCAACAGTATGCAGTCGGGGAACCCCGGGTATAGTGCAGTAACCTAAGCAGCCCAGCACGTTGACGAGGTTGTCTTTAGGCCATGACGTTTGGTGGTCATGAAAGCAGCGTGAGCGTCCCTCAACAACCCGGCCTCACCCGGTTGTAGATGAGACCACCGGACTTGTTGATAACGTACAGGGAGTAGACCGACATCGTTTTCGCTAACCACAGTCACGCCTCCAGCCCTCCGCTCCAGAGTTCAATGGAATGCTTATCGTGGCTATCCTAGCAGGCAAAGGTTCGGCTAGCGCATTGTGCTCTGCCAACGAACCCTACGTCGAAGGAATCCGACGCCTAAGGTACTCCAGTAGCCTTCATAAGGTGTTAGCGTGAGCTCCTTTTGTCTGGCCGCTCAGTACAATTGTGTCCATCGTTATGCAGTGGATGTTGTCCTACGTGAACTCTGCGTTAATCCCACGGCCCAGTGAGACAATCCGTAGTAGGCATCGTAGTAAGTAATTATAAGTTAGACGTCTGCTGCTTTTGTAGCTTTGGAAAGCAGATCAACGCGAACCCTTTGTCGTCAAGATCGAGTAGTCCTTAGCTATCCTGTTACTATGCGTTATTAAACAATGCGTCCATCAATAGTCCCTGCAACATGAGCGTTGGCCTTTCTACATGCGGAAGCAGATGATGTAGACAGGGAGTACACCACTCGTACAGGATCCTGCTGCGCGTGATGCGCCCCAGCATCGGCATCGATCCGCCTTCCCATGGCAATGTTCCCGCACTCCTGTCTGTCAGTCCACTACAGTACATACTACAAGCTGCGTTCGTGATGCATGTGCAGCGCCGGCATATTGCAAAAGGTGCTAACATGGGCAGCGCTTGATGACGCCGGGCTTTGCGGGGTTTTACAGGGAGCAGGCTCTCACAGACGCAAAGACACATGTGACGATGGCAGGATGCCAAGACACAGCACCGTAGACCCGGAGCCTTTGCACAACGGGCAGTCGTGCCGGTATGACCCTGTGCAAACCCAGTAACGCCAACATGTTGGGCGCCTGGTGCAGTGTGTAGCTGAGTAGAAACAAGGTGCACTGGTGCAGTGTGTGTGGCTGGTACATGGCATAGGCAGATCATGTCCTCAAGCCCCATGATGCGCTCATAACACGTCATCTCGGCGCGCGGGTCCCAATGCTAATGCCAACGCGACAATTCCACCATCGCGTCTCATAACCCTCAAGGCAGGAGCGCAGTGCCAGCGCCGTTGTTCCCCAACAACAGCAGGATGTTCCCCTTTGAACACTACCCATCGGCCGTATGCACCTCAAATCGTCCCGTTTGGCCTTGATGTGGGCGGACAGCGCGAATGCAGTATGAAGACCCTGGCTTGTAGAGTTTGTACGACGCAAGGCTAATATGTGGAGGGAAGAGAGGTATAACCGGTGCGCCAGCCAGCGTATGCTAGTAGGACCTGTAAGTCATGTCGCGTCTTCCTACGACTGATAATGCATGCAAGGCACTGCAAATACCGAGGCCGTGTGTCAACATCGATGACCGGGTGGCCGGTTGGCAGGGTGAGCTGCTGCTCCACAATCCCCGTGTACGATACGCGTATGATAAAAAAGACGACATCTATAGTGACATGCAGGGCTACCATCCCACCAGAGCGCTACTTAGAAGCAAGCGCCATGCGCATAGCACATGCGTCCCCGACACTTGCTTGGTGTAGACGCACATGGACACGAACATTATAAAGACTATGGCTGTGCAAATGATTTGCATCCGTATGGCGTGCACTGTTACCAACCCAGGAATATTGGCCTGCATGTTGGGACGAATGGGACCAGTGCATCCGTCTACATATATTTTGCATTCTGTCGTTGATTGGTACTCAAGTCCTTGCGAACCCAGGTTTGCATCCTTTGCATACCTTTCAACCTTGTTACGTTGGTTGGGGCTGGAGCTGGAGCTTGGTTTCGGAGCTGATGGGCCCTATCACCAGTAGCGAAGCGGGCCGTGAAGAGCTCACCCTCCCAAGAAAGTCCTATCTATTTACATAGCCGATTCAACACACATGCGTCGGTTTAGCGCGCGACTGTCACTGTTTAGCCCTTAGCCCTTAGGTCACACCGACATTTTGTTCCCAAATATATTGAGCCTGCCCAAACCACATAGGCAGGGCGATAGTTTATAGGAAACCCACCATTACTTTGGAGCTCTGCATTCACAGCCTGCTTCTGAGAATATTAAGGTGCGACTGGCTGTTGTTTGGGAGCGCTACTTACAGTGGTGCTACTTTAGCCAGCTTCGCCGCCAGAGGGCGATGCACTCAATAGGTTATATATTACTTCACAGCTAGGGCACCTTTAGTATTATAGACTCAGGGGTTTAGTTCTTCTTTGAATACGCTGTATCACAAATATTGCAAGGACAGCCTACACACCTTTCTATCAGGTTTGCTGCTCATAAGTCCCCTTATCACTTTAATATTAAATACGCTCTTGGGTTGCATTCCACACTTCATTTCGTCGGTCAGCGCAGACGGTCGCCAGGTCATTGCTCGCAGGCAATTCACGCGGCCATGAGGATATTGATCCTCCTTGGCCTATGTGGCCTTTGGCTGGGTTCAACAGGCGGCAGTGCCTTTCCCGGAATTCAGAGCAACTCTGGTCTCGAGTTCATGCCGCGGTAAGCTTGCTGCGTTGTGGCTAAGCCTCCTTTCTTTAGTCCAACCTTTCATGCTTTCTTGGACTTACGAAGAGAGCATTTGCCTTTCCGTAGGTTTACGCGAGTGCTAAAGCAAGACCTGACGAGTGTGGCGACATACTTGTTGCCGACGCAGCAGCCTCAGCTGTGCGCAGGCAACTGCTGCCAGGCTGACTCGTATGCATCACCATACGGGTTATTGTATCAGAATCACAGTCAGCAGGTGTTTGGTGGGCGGACATACACAACCTTCTTTTACCAATTCCACGCGCACCATGCTTGCGACAGCACGCTGGATAGGCAGCAGTGCTGCACGGCTACCGCCGACAACGTCTGGATTGATGTTGGTGAGTAGTGGGGTTGAGACATTTCATTTTCTTAGCGTCAGTCAGGCAGGGTGAAGTTTTGTTCCTAGCAAACCCACATACATAGTCCACCTGTCCCCTGGCACGTGAAGCACCCCCCAATTACTTCGGCAGCTTTTCCAAACGTTTCCCCTTTCCTTAAATCAGAGGCTGGCGCTGTAACATGATGCGTTATGTGAATCCTTTGTCCCCCCGCAGATCCCACGTTGAAGGTCAAGTACGTCTCGATGAATGGCCAGCGGCTGGCAAACTCGGAACAGAATGAGTATGGCCTGAAGCTTGGCGCCTTGAACCTGAACGTCGCACAGGCAGTAAGCGGTGAGTCTTACGGCGAATCCGTTCTGTAATGCCTGCATCGATGAAACCTTGAAACTGGGTAGATTTACAATAACGCACCAGCCGTATTACGTACTGATACCATTCGTTTACCTCGTCCCTGCCTTGGCAACTGCTCCCTGTGGCACAGGCATTCCTATCACCATCACCGTGGAGGGTGCTGCCGATGCTCTCTGCCCACCGCCCGGTCTAGCACCCATCCCTGGTCTGTGCGAGTTGGTGGTCCAAGGGACATCAGCGTCAAACCCGAACGCCTGCTGCCCCTCTACAATTACGGAGAATTCTGACACAGCCTTCCCAGCCCCAGACCACGCCTTCCAGTGCTCAGCTAGCCTTGATAACAGCCCATTCCAACTGGTGTTCGATGGCGTGTCCGCGCCGCTGGTTGTTGCTGGTCAGCAGTACGTGTCGTACAACTTCCGCCTCGCCGCTACAGACTCGTGCACTGCTGACAGCGTCACTGACTGCTGCAACGCGCAGCTAGCCTACATCGACCTCAAGGTCACTGACCTGCCGATCACGGCGGTTCAACTTGACGGCAAGAGCGTCACCTTCACCACTTCCACCTGGAATGAGCCCAACAGCGCATCGTACCGTTCGTTGGTAGTGGACAACCTCAACCTCGTTGCTGACGACTTGGGCAACGCCGGCCTGCCCCTGACGGTCACTGTGCGTCTGCCAACTGGTAGCTCCGGCAACGTGGATCTCTGCGACGCTTCGTCCGACCCCACCCAGGGCGCGTGCAACTACTACCTGCACTCTGAGGACGGCTTCTGCTGCCCGTCAGGCCTGGCGCTGCCGGCCTCGTCGGTCCCTCCGCCTCCCGCCGGCACCTGCGCCCCTGCCACCAACGTGCCTGCCTCGGAGGCCTCCATGTCCCTGCAGTACTACGAGAGGATGTCCTCTTCTGCGACGACTACCTTTGCCTTCCTGCTCGCCAACCACAACCCAAGCAGCGGCTGCGACAAGCCGTACTGTGCGGATGTCTGCTCGTGGACGCTATATTTGGACCCCTCGGTTGCATCCCAGGTGGCTGTGGGCCATGAGAACCCCGCCAACAATGGCCGCCAGATCATTCAGGGCGGCGCTACAGCCAGCCTAACCTTCACGTATGGACCTGCTGGCGAGTCGACCACCAACTTCTACGTCACGCTCCCCGCCGGCGGCAAGGGGCTGTCCGACCTTTGCGCACGCAACGCACTGCCCGGTCAGGGCTCCAAGGCTTGCGCAGCTGTCGTGCGCAGCAGCAGTGTCTACATCATGGTCTTCTTTGACGAGTCGGATGTTATCATTGTTGCTGGTAGCAGCCCGCCGCCTGCCCTGCCCACTTGCGCGGACCCGAGGCCTTTGTCTGATTCGTGCCTCACCGTCCAGCCTGCGCGGTACAACACTCTGCAGTCGTCGTCCGTCTTCGAGTTCGCGGTTTCCCCAGCCTCTAGCAGCGCTGCCTGCGTGCCACCCTCGCCGCCTGGCAACTCGGCGACGGTGCATCTGCTGCTCGCGCCCGCAATCGTTGACCAGCTCACGACTCGCGGTAACATCCTGCCTGCCACTGGTCTCACGCTGGATCGCACCGATGGCGTACGCTGGACTGTCTCGTCTACTTCTGCGGCGAACATGACGTTCCAGGTGCAGGGTCCTTTGAGCATTGCTGAGGTGTGCCGGCAGGGCGTTACCAGCGACCAGCCTAGCAAGACTTGCGTGGTTGAGGTCATCGGCGACAATGGCTGCTTCCGCGGTTATGTTGGCGCCGTCGCTGACGGTCTCCTGGTCTGGGTCAGCCCCAGCAGCTCCGGCAGCAAGGGGGTCAGCGTGGGCGTCGTGGTCCCAGCTGTTGTGGTTCCATCGGTGGTGCTGTTGCTGGCTATCGTGCTGGTGGCTGCTTGGTACCGTCGCCGCCGCAACGCACGGTACCAGTACGCAGGCAGCAACTCTGTCAGTGGAAGCCTCGACCAGCCGTTGGCAGCTCAGAGCGCCAGCATCGCAAACAGTTTGCGGGACGACCTCTCTGTCCAGTCGGCGTCGCCGAGCGATGTGCAGATCCGGGTGCCTGGAGCAAGTCAAGGCGGGGCGCCGGCAGCGAGTCGGCGTTAGGGTTTGTAGTGGGTCCTGTAGCTGTAGTCGACAATGACGTCTTGTACTTCTCGCTAACGATATGACCAAACACACTTGAAGGCGAAGCGTCGTACATGTTGATTTGTTTAGTGGCTTGGTTGTGTGATAATGTGCACGCGAGCGAGCTGGGAGGGGTGAGGTGAGAAATGCTTTAGGTTGAGGATACGGCCTGACAGTGCAGATGATTTGCCTAGATTTGTGCACCTAATCTTTATGATGACTGATGACGTACATGACGAGAACGTTGGGCCGGGCGTCAGGCCTCCGCAGTGTAGCACCAAGGGATTGTGGTGCTCCGGTGCTGTAGCTTGACACGCGAATTAGTTTTGACGTGGGTATCCACGTGTGGCTTTGCGTGGGCCTAGTGGCATAGTGACTTGCATGGGGCATCCGCGCCCCAGTAGTAACACTAGCAATGACTCCGTGCTAGCTCTCGCAATAGAGAACCTAGCAGGATGATGGTTTCGCATCCTGATTATTGACTTGGTTGCTGGCAGAACAAGTGTGGTATGGTGGACTCTTGACTTGCTCCCCTCCAGTGACCCGCGTCTTCCTAGAGAAAGAACTTGGAGGCCTAAGTAGGGTTTCCCCACCTGTTAGGGGGGACTTCGTTGATGCATTAACAGCAGCTTCGCCGTGATGTGTAGGGCGTATTGACATGCCGTCCCTTCGTCGGTTTGGGGCGCAGAGCACACTCTGTTTAACTACTGCAGAGGGCTTGCTCCTGATGAGTTTGCAAAACAACTGCAATCGGATTAAGTGATAGACATTGGCCTAGCCAGTTACGCCAAGTCCATGGGCTAACATCTACCCTGCGAACCTACCCCACCATGTGTGCATAAATATAGTCATCATGACATACCAGCCAATCCATAGGTCGACAATGGGTAGGTTTCGGTGTGGCTAACCTATCTCACAATAGGCTTTGCCCTTCTGAATGCTTAGTGAGGTAAACCTAGGCCACTCCTGAACAAGTGCATGCATCCACATGGCTTGCCGCTTCCCACCCTTATTAGCAGGCCTGGGCTTCATAATTGTCAAATGCCAAACGTCGCATGCACCGTCCGCTCCCCGCCGATCACAGTACTATCCATGCCCAAAGCCACCGCGCAATTGGATGCCCCCAGACCGAAAGTATCACACGGGGATGGAAGGCAAGGCTCAGCGTTCACGAATACTGTTCAACGGACTGATACGATAAGTATAGGTCACCAGACGCCATACGTTGACTAAACACCTAGTCGAACCTAACAAGCACAATAGCAGTGATGCTACCACCGGTACTAGCAAAATCCCTACCAAACCCAGTTCATGAGCATGCCACACCTATATATACTACTGCACCCGCAGCTACATTTGCACCTGCGCTTCCAAAGTTCCGCACCCCTCAAACCCCCGCAGCTGCCCAGCCCCTCTCTAGGCCTCCTCCTTCTTCTCTTCCTGCAGCTTGGCAATAGCAGCGGACACTGCGTCGGGTGGGCTGGCGACCCGGTCCGGCGCCATCGTGGAGTAGCGGGAGAGGGTCGCGCCGTCCGGGTTGGCTCCTGTGGGTTGAGGTAAACAGGCGTCGGGCGCAGATAGGCAGGCGGGGGTATAAACAGGCACCGTTACGTACTGCACGGGGTGGGCGGAGCACTACCATGATGTCCCCTGCAGGGCCCCCTGGAAGACCTGACCATCAAAGCCCACGCATCTAAGCTTCAATGGACACACCCCTGCGGCGCAAGTTGTCTCCCTACTGCCCACACCCCAAGCATATCCCCATTCCGCCTCCACAAGGCCTTCAGGGCTCCCTCATCCGCGGGCTCCTCGCCTCCCCTCCTCCCACCACACTCCCACCTCCCGACGCCCCACCTCTGGGTGCCAGTAGCTTGCCGCTCTTGCGTGCCGCCGCCGCCGTGGCGCCGCCCGTCCCCGACAGGTCGAACATGGCCGGCTCCAGCGTGAAGCGCCCCGAGCTCTCCCGCGACAGAGCCTTGCCCAGGTTCTTGCGGCTGGCGCTGGTCTTGAGCGCGGGGCGGCGACCTGGGGGGAGTGGGGGTGGGGGCGGGGTTGTGAGGTGGGGAGAGGGAAGCACACACCGAGAGGGGGACACTTGGGGGGTCCTTCCCTGCCTGTCGCTGTGTCAGATGACGGCGCAGACCGTTACGCATGTGCATGAACAAGCGGTAAATAGGAGTGAAGGGGTTCGCATGGGAATCTAACATGGCCTTTCTTCACCCACACCGTAAAACACGCTGCAGCTCTGCAGCGCGCGAGCCACGCGGCATGCACCCAGGCACGCCGCATGCACCCCTCTCTTGGCAAAGGGAGCAGCAGGGGTTGTAGGGCCATGAGCCGCAACACTGGACGAGGCCCCCGCCCCCCCACCCCGCCTGCCTCTCATTACCTGCGGGTGAGGCTTCCCGTGACGTCCCGTCCGCCGGCGACGGAGTCTCCTCCTCGGTGCGGGGTCGGGCCGCAGCGGCCTCGCCCTCCTCTCCGGGCGCCGCCTCGGGTGCGGGCACAGCGATGGTGGCACGAGCGCGGCTGGCGTTGAGCAGCGTGCCGATGGGCGGGTCGAAGGGCAGGATCGCATCCACCGCCTGCGAGCAGAGGCAGCAGAGGCAGCGGCAGAGGCAGCGATGGTGGCAGAGGCCGTAGCGGGAGCGGGAGCGTTAGGTACAGTAGACGGCAAAGTACCGCAAACCGATAGTGCAAGGCAGGCGTCAATGCCCCTCCGCTTTCCCAGCTGCCCTAGGTCCCTTGCCTCTCCTCTCCCCGGCTTTCCCCCCCCCCCACACCCACCGCCCGCCCCCTGCCCGCCCTCACCTCCCGCAGCGAGCAGTATGTGGTGAGCAGGCGGCGGTAGGTGGACCAGGCGGGCTGCGGGTTGTCCCGCCCGCCCACCAGCTCGTCCACCCGGCGAGCCAGGTCCACGTAGGCGGTGACGTCGCACTTGACACTCTGCGGGCAGGGCAGGGGGGGGGCAGGGGCGGGGGAGGCAGGGGCAGCAGAGGAGGCTAAGAAGGAGGAGGAATGCGGTGACGGGTAGCAGTGAGGCAGGGGCAGTGAGGCAGGGGCAGTGAGGCAGGGATTACGTCGTCGTACCGAAGGTCGCATGGCCGACATGACGCAAAGTGCTAGCTTCAGGGTATGCCAGCCCCCTGGCCACCCCACCCCCACCCCCCGCCACCCCCCGTACCTCTGTGTGCGTCCTCAGCACCGCCACCTGCTGCTCCACCGCCACCCGCATCAGCCGCCAGCTCTCCTCCAGCAGCTCGAACTCGTCGTACGGCGGCAGCGAGCGCATGGGCTCGTGCCGCGTGACGTGCGTGGAGATGCCCACGAAACCTGCAGGAGGGGTGGAGGCAGGGGAGGAGAGGTGGAGGCAGGGGAGGAGAGGAGGAGGAGAGGTGTGAGGTGGGGCGAGGAGGTCCGCGATCGATGTAATCCATGCCATGCCCTATACAGCTTGCGGCTCCCTTTGGAGTTGACATTGGAGCGGGGGAGTGGTGTCCTGTTCCTCTCGACCCACCCATCTATCCACCCACTGCGCGGAATTTGGGTTTCGTGTACCCCCCCCCCCATCTTTTCCCCTTCGTTCTCCTTTGGGCCCTCCCCTCCCCGCCCGCGTCCCACCCCCCACCCACCCACCGCTGTTCAGCACCGCACGGCACAGCTCCCGACCCAGCTGCTCCGCGTTGGCCCCCGCCGCCCGCGACGCCTCCACGTACATGGCCAGCGCGCGCGAGGGCGGCAGCGAGGCCGCCTTCTCCGCGTTCAGCTGGCGCAGGAAGAGCGACAGGTCGTCCAGCGTGACCAGTTTGCGGCCCACGTTGTCGAAGCTGGCCCTGCGCGCGGGAGGCGAAATGTGAAATGTGGTGAAAGGAGGTGAGAGGAGGCGGCAGGAGAGGAGTGGAGATGAGAGCGGTGTCATCAGGCTGCGCGGAGAGGAAACACGCCTGTGCATGACGGCACGGTTGCTGCTGGCCGGCCGCCCCTGCCGCGTCTGCTCCGCCCACCTGAAAGTGGCGCACAGGGCCTCAAAGTCCTCGTGGTACTGCGTCATGAAGGCCCGCAGCATGGCCTCCAGGGCTAGCTCCAGGTCGATGGCCTTCTCCTCGTCATTCAGGGCCTGCAGGCGGGCAGGCGGGCGGGCGGGCGGGCGGGCGAATTATAGATAAATGCATCAACGCTTCAACAGAGTCCCAATCCCGAATCCCGACTCATGCAGTGGGCAGGTGGGCGGGCAGGCGGGCAGGTGGTGGCGGTAGCGGTCAGGCAGGAAGGCGGTAGTGGAGGCGAGGTTGGTAGCGGCAAAAGAGTGCGATTAGAGGTAAGGGGAAGCGATTGAGCGGCAACGAGCGCTACCCTTACGCCCGCTCCCCCTCTTGATGTCTACCCCGCCACATGCCGTATCCTCCTCCCCCATTTGTTCTCCCGTAAGGATCCCTTCCCCAAGGAGAGACGTGTCATTGTGCGCGTCATTTCCGCTTGTCGTACCATGTGCCGTATGTGCTCGGGTGTTGCCGCCACGTCATCCCGCGTGGTGGCGAAGGAGCCGCGCAGGAACTCCCGCGCGATGCGAGCGAGCACCTTGGACTTGACCAGCGAGAAGCCCTCCGCGGCCTCGGCGATCAGCGGACCCGCGCGCGCGTGGACCCTGCGAGGAGAGGGTGCAGGACACATGCAGTGGCGGGATGCAGGCATGCAGGTTAGTGTGTCCGTGTCATAGTCTTGATGCCAATTGACTTGATACACATGCAGTGGGGGATAAGGGGACGAGTGGTGCAGCCGAGGGGTAGAGATGGGAAGAGGGGTAGAGCTTAACGCCTCCGCCTGCAGTGGGCCAGTGGCATCTCTCTCTGCATGGTTGGGTATAAACAACGTGGCCTTCCCGCAGCAGCAGCAGCAGCCGTACCCATTTAACGGTATGTATGCAGCCGCAGCCGCAGCCGCAGCCGCAGCAGCCACCCGCACACAACGTTACAACTCGCGGCCATCCTTCTCAACACGCACACAAAACACGCACCTGTTGACCAGTGCCAGGTAGAATTCCACGGCGGGCGGCGGCAGTGACCCACGGGTCAGCACGTCCTCCGAGGAGCTGGGGGTGGGCGGCGGCTCGGGCAGCCCCAGCAGTCGGGCGAACGTGCGCACCTGCACACGTGCGCAGCCACCGCTAGGTATGAACCATCAGGCCCACCTCCCACCAGACCCAATCATTCATTCGTCCATTCATTCTTCAGACCCATTCAGACCCGCCATCAGCCCAGACAGCACAGACAGCCCAGACAGCACAGACAGGCCAGCAGCACGCAGCAGCAGTTGGCACCTCGCAAGGGGCGGTGCTAGTAGATGGCGTGAGAGGCGGCAACACAGGTACCATACCCCTCCTCCCAAACCGGCACCATACCCCTCCTCGGCTCCTCTCCCCGCCCCGCCCCGCCCCCCGCCGCCCACCTTGGGGTGCTGCGTCCTGAACCTGCGCACCGAGGCCAGGAAGGCCGCCAGGTGCAGCTCCGCGGCCGGGCGGCAGCCGAAGTGCAGCGTGAAGAAGTCGTACAGCACCGACTCCAGCGAGTGGCGCGGACCCGCCATGCCGCCCAGCAGGCCCTCCTCCTGGGGGCCGGGGAGGAGGGCGGGGGGCGGGGGGAAAACTATATAAGAAATGCAAACAACTAAAGTCCCAATCCCATATCCCGACTCATGCAGTGAGTGGAGGGCGGGGGGAGGGGGGGAGGGGGGGAGGGGAGTGTTCAGGGAGAGGGGAGTGGGGGGTGAGAGGAGGGTCACACTACGATGTCCAGAAGCCTTGTTTAGGGGTAAGCTGAGGGGAGCTATATACATGGGAGAGGAGGGAGCAGGGAGCAGGAGGGGGAGGACGGATGGGAAAAGGAAGGTGGCCCTTCCTAACCCGCAGTATGCACCTCTCCTCTTCCTCCTTCCAGATATCCAGAACAGCCCCCACTCCCCAACTCCCCTCACCGCGCGTATGTCCGCCAGCAGCTTCTCCACATACACCTGACTGATCACCACCAGTGTGATGTCGAACGACCAGCTGCCCGACATGAAGCTCAGCACCGTGTCGCGGTCATAGTCGAAATTCGTACGGAAAGGCATTCCGCCCAGCGCCGCCACCAATGACGGCGGCGGCGCATTGGGCTTGCTCCCCTCCCCCTCCGCCAACACCGCCGCCACCGCCGCTGCTGCGGCTCCCGCACCCCCCGCACCCCCCGCCCCCTCCTGCTGCTGCTGTGGCGTCCTGGCTTTGCCGCTGCATGCCAGTATGGCTTCGCGAATGTGTTCGGGTCGGGCGATGTGCCAGATGAATGCGGGCGGCATGCGGGTTTCCAGCTGGTGCAGGGTGGCGGCAAGGTAGCGGCGCAGGGAGTCGTTGGCGGAGCGGTTGAGCGCCTCAACCTCCTGAGAGGGGGGTGGGTGGAAGGGGAGAATGTGGGGAGGTTTGGAAGGAGGCTTGGTTGGAAGGAGCCGCGCTCTTTGCACCGCCCCCAATCGCCCCTATCGCTGCTCTTCTGCGAGGCGCCCGCCCCCATGCACTCATGCCCTCCCCTCCGGTCTCCGAATGCGCTCACAGCATGAGTCGGGATTCGGGATTGGGACTCCGTTGATGCATTTATCTATATTTTCCCCCCGCCCCCAGCCTCCCCTCACCTTGCCGCCTCCTATTCCCTTTTCGCTTTGCCCTTACCCGTGGTTTCCTATGGTGTGACCTCGTTGGTAGGGTCCTCGACCCCCCCAACGCCCGCCTACCTTCATCCTCGCCTCGCACGCCGCCATCTTGCCCTCCAGGATGCGCTGCCGGTCCAGAGCGGCGGCCAGCGCCTCGCGCTTCTCCGACTCGTACCTGATGCAGGGGGGTGGGGATAGGCGGGGTGGCGTGAGGAGGGGGGGGGGGATGGTCTGGGCAGCGAGTTCCTTTTCAACCACCTCCTTCTCCTTGGCCTCCTCTTCTTCCTCTCATCCAACCCCCAGGCACGAGTAACCCCAAAGGTGGCACCCCTCCCCCCCTGCACCCTCCCCCCCCCTCCCCCTTCACCCCGTCCCCCACCCACCCTGCACCCTCCCCCCCTGCACCCCCCCCCTCCCCCTCAACTTATATCATTATCACACCACACTTTGGAATTTCTTTTTTTCCCCCTCAACCCCGTCCCCCAGCCCCCCGTCCCCCACCCCCCCTGCACCCACTTGAGCTCCAGCCTCTTGCTGGTCGTCCCCACCGCCATCTGAGCCTCCGACACGTCGTTGGTGAGGGCGGTGATGCGCGCGTCGGCGTCCTAAGGGGGGCGGGGGGGATGGGGGGGGGGGCGGGCAGGGAGGGAGGGTAGCGTGTAGCAGCCAGTCAGTCCCAGCGCGGGTACATACACGACCCCGAACACCCCCCACTTCACACGCCCCCCTAGGCCTCCCTCCCTTCCCTCCACCACTCCCTCCCCTCCCCTCCCCCCCCGTCCCCACCTGCAGGTTGGCCTTGAGCGCGTCCCTCTCCCTGCTCAGGCTGGACACCTCGGCCTGCAGGAAGGCCACCATGTTCTTGTACTGCGCCACCTGCCGCTCCAACTCCACCTTGAACTCCAGCGTGCGGCGGAGCCTGGGAGGGGGGGGGATTAATATGAAGATTCCGCATTAAGCTGGATTTTAGGATTGCGCATAGTCAAATTCGGGGGGGGGGGATAAGATAAACTGAGCCGCGGAAACACTGACCCTGAGGGAAGAAGAACATCCGATGTGTCATGTGGGGCGTGTGGAGGTGGGAAGGGTTGGTAAAAGAGGGCAGGCAGGGAATGCACTTGGTTGACACGCTTCGCAGTCACAACTCCCCCTCCCCTCCCTCCTCCTTGGGACTCCAGTTGATGCACTTCTCGTTCATTTCCTCCCCCCTCCCCGCCCCCCCCCTCACTTGTCGCTGAGGTCCCGCAGCTCCGCCTCCGTCTTCACAAAGTCCATTTCCAGCTTGGCGGCGCGCATCTGGGCGGTGGTGGCGGCGGCAGTCTGCTGGTCCACAGAGCCCTGGGAGGGGGAGGGAGGGGGAGGGGGGGAGAGGGGGAGGGAGGGGAGGGAGGGAGGGAAAGGAGGGTGACGAGGAGCGCAAGGTGTGGGGTGACCGGGGAGACAGCAGAGGCATGAGTTGTGAGGGAGTTGTGTGAAGAGAAGGAATGGGACTGGAGGGGAGTCGAGGAGAGGAAGGATGCCAAGGAAAAACTCAAGGCACATTGCTCTCCTCGCCCCTTCCCTGCTTGCCAGCGCCCCCCACCTCCTTCAGCTGTAACAACGACAGCCCCATACCCCCATACACAGTATCTCCTCGCCCCCCCACCTGCAGCAGGTTGGTTCGATCCCGCGCCTCATCCAGCCTACACACCAGCTCGTGCTTCAACGCAAAGTCGGTCTGAGGGAGGGGGAGGGCGGGGGCGGGGGCGGGGGTAGGATTGGAGGTGGTGAGGGGAGAGGGGTGAAGGGGAGAGCAGCAAGCCGCATAACGCGGGGTTGCTGGGATCGCGCACCCTGGTGCGGGCTGCGGGAGAGTGTCAGGGCTTGCCGTACGGCCTGAAGCGGCACCGCAATGGGGGTCAATGGGGTGTCAATGTGGGGTCAATGTGTGTGTTGTCGCTGCTACTGTGTGCAACGGCCGTCGGCTTTGCTTGACGTACCGGTACTGCCTAGCCCGGTCTCACCGTCTCATCACCCTCTCCCCTCACATACACCCCGGGGCTTCACCTTCCGACATCCCAGTACGTTTCCTACTCGCGGCCTCCGTTTTCTTAACACCCCTCTCCCCTCCTAAAGCAGAACACCCCCCCCCCTTCCTCAGCGCGACCAAAAAGAAAGCACCTTGTTGGTCCGTTTGCTGAGCAGCTTCATGCGGATCTTGAACGCCACGTTCTCGTGGCCCTGCATGTGCGCCCGCAGCTGGATCTGCCGCTCGCGCAACCGGTTGAGGTCGGACTCCGTCTCCGCGCGCTCCACTCGCAGCTTGGCCAGCACAGCCTGGGGGGAGGTGGGGTAGGTGGGGGAGGGGGGGAGGAGGGAGAGGGGAGGGGAAAAGATGAATGAGAAGTGCATCAACTGGAGTCCCAGGGAGGGAGGAGAAGGTGAGGGAGGGAAGGAAGGGAGGTGGGAAAAGGTGAAGGGGCGGACACAAGGGAAGGTAACGGAGGAGGGGAGAGGAAGGGGACCAGCCGTGCTGCGTCGGGCGTACCCCCCGGATCCATCCCCTCTCAGCGCCTCGCCGCTCTCCCACCCCCTCCCTCCCTCACCCCTACCCCTACCCCTACCCCTGCCCTCCGGCGGTTTGACATGACCAGTCACTGCAGTTGGTTTTCATCTTACCCCCCTGCCCCTGCCTCCTCTCCACCCGCACGCTCCCCCCCAACCCCCCAACCCCCCCCCCCACCCTCCGCGCACCTCTATCCCCAGCAGAATCGCCTTGCGCCCCTCCTCTGTGGGCGACTCGTAGAAGGCGGCGCGGGCGGTCTCGTACTCCCGCCTCGCCGCCTCCACTGCCCGCTGCTGGGTCTCAAGCCTGCAGCGGGGGAGGGAGGGGGAGGGGGAGGGGGATTAGATAAACTGAGCCGCGGAAACAGGGGGAGGGGGAGGAAAACATTATATAAGTGAAACAACGAATCCCAATCCCATATCCCGACTCATGGGAGGGGGAGGGGGAAGGGGGGACACGCAGTCATGGCAGCGTGGATCACAGCATGCTGAGGCGAATGAAATGAACTCAAACCAGCAAAGAAGGAAGCCAACGCAAGCCAAGGCAAACAGGACCCTGTCCCGCCTGCCATCCAACATGCCGGTCACCGCAAGCACTCCTCCCCTCCCTCCTCCTCTCCTCCCCATCCCTTCACCCCACCCTCCACCCCCACCCCCACCCCCACCCTCCCCACCTTGCCGACAGCTCCAGCATCTGCCGGGTGCACTCGTCCCACTGCAGCTGCACGCCGGTGATGTCGCCCTCCGGCTGTGGGGGGAGGGGGGGAGTGGGGGAGGCGGAGGCGGGAAAAGAGTCGAAAACGCCGGTTTGATGCGGTGAAGGCGGCAGGACTGCGAACAAGGAAAGCAGGAGACGAGGAAAGCCAGGAGGTATCGACAGCTCTCAGTTACACATTCCGGTAACCAAACCTCCCAACGCTCCCAAACTCCAAAATGGTCTGTTCGCCGCTCCCCTCCCAGGTCCCTCCCCCCCTTCCCCCCCCTCCCAGGTCCCTCCCCCCCCCTTCCCCCTACCTGGTCCTGCGCCTCCGCGGTGTCCTTCTCCGGCGCCGGCTCGGGCGGGTTGACAGCGGACATGTCGCGACACCTGTCGTACAGCAGCAAAACACATGCCAGCTTCCTTAACACGAGGTGGGGTGGGGGGTTGATTGGTGATTGGAACACACAGGGGAGGGAGGGGTGTGTGGGTTGCTCCCCCCCAAGTAGACCCACCCTTTCAACTGGCAACCCCCAACCCCCTCCCCATGCGTCCCATCAGCCAACGCATGGTTCTTCTTCTTTCTCCCCCCTCCCCCATGCCCACTTTCCTCCATCCTCCCCCCCCTGCCCCCCCTCCCCCCCCCCACCTGTCCGCCATGAGCAGCGCCACATCCACCTCCAGCGGCTCCAGCCGTGCCGCCAGCTCCGCCACCAGCCCCTCCCGCTCCGCCAGGGCACCGCGCAGGGACTCGCACTGCGCGGAGGACTGGTCGTGCAGGTGCTGCGTGAAGGGGGCGGGGGCGGGGGGAGCGAGGGGAAAGAAGAATACCAAGTGTGTTATTTGAGGATGGCCAACAAGACGACATGCTTGGAGGGGGGAGGGAGGGAGGGGAGAGGGTAAGGTGTATGGGGTTACTCGAGACCAGCCGTTCGCGAAGTCGACGTCCACGAAGAGGAGGGAGGAGGGGTACAAAACCCAACCCTCAATGCCCACTAGCCTTCTCTCAGCCGTGCTTCTCTTTCGCCCCCTTCCCCTGTTCCCCCCTTTCCCCACCAGCTACACACCCCCACCTGCCCCAGCCTGCCCATGTGGCCATGTCCCCACCCCCCTCCCACCCCCCTCCCACCCCTGCTCCCCACCCCCCTCCCACCCCCCTCCCACCCCTGCTCCCCACCTTCCACCTCTTCTTCTTCTCCCTCTTCCGCTCCAACTGATCCCGCACGCCCGCCAGCTCCGACCGCGTCGCCTCCAGCCGCCCGTTCACCGTCTCCAGCTCGGCGCGCAGGGAGGCAATCTCCATGCCACGACGGTTGATCTCCGACTGCAGGGAGTCGCGCTGCTGCTTGGACTGGGGGGCAGAGCGGGAGGGGAGGGGGTAAGGGAAAAAAGAAATTCCAAAGTGTGGTGTGATAACAGGGAGGGGGTAAGGGAGGGGAGTCAGGGAGGGTCCCAAAGGTGAGTTAACGTTACAGTGCTCCTGGGGACGAGGGCCACCGATAACACGAGCACCGGGGGTTTGTAGAGGATCCAAGAACTCACGGCAATCTCCGGCCCCTGCCCCCCACCCTGCTCACCATCCTCTCCACCTCCGCCTTCTCGCTGACCAGCCGCTCCACCTGCTTGAGCAGCCGCGCGCGCTCCTCCCCCGCGGTGGCGATGCGCCCCTCCAGCGCCTGCATGCCCTCACTCTGGCGCTGGATCTCCTCGCGAGCGTCCCTGGGGGCGGGGGGGAGGGGGCGAGGGAGAGGGGGGAAATTATATGATAAGTGCAAACAACTAGAGTCCCAATGGGGGGGATGAGGAGGGTGATGGATGGGTGAGTCCGCTTCGGTGCTGATGTTTACCTCCCCGCCTCCTCACCTCCCTTCCCTTCCCTTCCCCTCCATCCGTCCCGTGTCGGAACGGCCGCGAAAACTGGCCGCGAGTCGGAACGTACTGCAGGCAGGAACGAAAGCACCCCGTGCCCCCCCCCCCTCCATATGCGCTCACTGCATGAGTCGGGATATAGGATTTGGGACTACAATTGCTGCACTTGTTATTTATGTTCCCCTGCCCCCTTCCCCCTCCCCAGCCAAGCCGAACTCACTCCAGCTCCATCTCCGCCGTCTCCGCGCGCTTCACGGTCTCCTCCAGGTCCTGTCGCAGCTTCTGGATCTCCTCGCGGGCGCTGTTCAGGGCGCGCTCCAGGGAACCGATCTGGGAGGGGAGGGGGTGGGGGAAGAAGAATACCCAATGCGTCAGAATGGGATGTGGGCAGGGAGGAGGAGGAGGAGGAGTGTTGCTGGAGAGGGATGTGGGCAGGGAGGACAGGCGCGAAAGCCGCCAGACAGTAAACAGGGGCGTGGACATGGAGGCATCGGCATGACGTATGACCCGCACCGACCCACGGGTCACCCATCCTGCCACCCCACCCCACCCCGTACCCCCTCCGCAACCCACCATCGCCTTCTTGTTCTCGATGTCCATCATGGCCCCCGCCAGCGACAGCTGCACCTGCTCCGCCTGGTGCTTGGCCTGCTCGGTGGCGGAGGCGAGGGTGGCCAGCTCCGTGTTCTTGTGCTCGATCTTGCCCTCCAGCGCGCGGACCTGGGCGGAGAGGAGGGCGAAGGAGGGAACGGGGAGGGAGGAGGGGAGGGGTCAGGAATATATCAAAACCACAGGTTAGGGCAAAGCAATGTGGGAGGAGGGGACGCGGGGGGGAGAGGAGCGTGTGGAGAGGCTCAGAGAGGGTTGGTCCGAACCAGGTGAAGCCGCATGTTGGGTCCAAAGAGGAGGGGGGTCACAGACGAACCAGCCAACCGTGCTGACTGCCCAGCCCCCTTCCCACTCCCGCCCCCGCCACCCATGCACCTGTCTTTCCGCCCTGAATATGCTCCACTGCAGGTCGCCTGCCCGCTTGGAGGCCTCCAGGAATCGCTTCTTGAAGTAGCCGCGAGCGATGTCCTGAGGAGGGGCAATCCCATGGGGGGGAGCAGGGAGGAGGGTACGTGGGTGCATGGGTGGGTGGTGTGTGGGTAGGTGTCATAACGAATCGCAACGCGAAACGAACGCCAGCAAACCGCCCTCCTACAAACGACATGCATCACCCAGCAGCAGCAGCAGCCCACCTCCCACCCTTCTTGTTGTTGCCGCTGCTGCTGCTCACGTTCCTAGCCCCCTTTCCTGCCCCTGTTCCCCCCTTTCCTCCCCCTTCGTTGTTTCACATATTTAATTTTTTCCCCCTTCCCCCTTCCCCCGCACCTGCGCCGCCGCCGCCTTCGCATACACAACCATGGCCCTCGACACCTCGCCCAGCGTGTCCTCCCCCGCCTCCAACCGCCGCTCCAGCCGCCGGATGCGCGTGTCGCGCGTGTCGATGTCATCCTCGGCGGTGCGCAGGGAGGCCAGCAGCCGGTTGCGCTCCACCTGCAGGGGGGGGGAGGGAGGGGGAGGGGTTAAGAGAATACCAAATGTGTTTTGCAACAGTGGTAAACTAGGTGACACGCCCAAACCAGGGGAGAGGGAGGGGGCAAAGAACAGACTAAACCATAGGAAACGTCATCAGGGCGGAGGAATGGGCGGGGCGGGGGGAAAATGATATAAGTGAAACAACAAGTCCCAAACCCATATCCCGACTCATGCAGTGGGCGCATTCTGAGACACTATCCTAGAAACACAGGTGCGGGGTGCGGGGTGCGGGGGGAGGGGGACAGCGGGGCAGTGCGGATGGCAGTGCTAATGCGGGGGGTGGGGGGGTGGGGGGCTTTGTCTTCCGACAAACACAGCATCTTCCAACTCATTCGGGGCCAGGCTTCTTAACACGCTCCCACACCCGCACCCGCACCTGTGTCCTCTCAAGGCTGTCCCGCGTGGCGTCCAGCGAGTGGGTCAGGTCGGAGATGCTCTCGTCAGCGGCGGCCTTGGCCCTGGGGGGGAGGGGTTGGGGTAAAGAGGAAACATCTAACTGACCGTGTGATACGGCATCATCATGGTTTGCAACATGTGAGCCAGCCCGACCCGCCCAGCCCGAGGGGTTGGGGGTATGGGGAGGTTGGGGACGGGGGACAGGGATGAGGGGGCTGGGGAAAGCAGCCAGCAAGCAAAAACGGTCTCATGCGTCATGCCTGCTCCTTGACGCTTCTCTACTTCGTTGTCGTTGAAGAAACGGCGCGGGCTCTCAGCACTACCCATCCGCTGGCTTCCTAACTACACCTCCCGCATCCCATTCATCTCGCCCCCACTACTACCCTTTGCCATCCTACTATTTGCCCCAACCCCCTGCTACCCCCCTCTCTAACTCACTCCTTGAGTGCCTGCAGCGCCGCCTGTGTCGCCTCCAGCGCCGCCTGCGCCCGCCCCCGCCCCGCCTCGCTGTCATCCAGCAGCCGCTGCAGCTCCTGTGCCGAGCTGCGGGTGCGACCCAACTCAAGCTGGGGGTGTGGGAGGTGGGGGTGGGAGGGGCGAGGGGGCGTGAGGGGTTGAGGTGCGGCGGGGCAGGGGAAGAAGGCGCGGGGGTGACAGTCCACGGCTCAACGACTCAAGCTGCCAAGGGCTGATGCGCCAACCCAGCGCTGTTGTCCCATCCCAGCACAGCCCTAATCGTCTCCCTCTCCGCCCACCCCACTCACCGCCGCCGCAAGCCTGCCCCTCCCTCCACCGCTGCCCCTCATTCACCTCTCTCCCCTCCGCCTCCCGCCCCTCCCTTCCTCCCCTTCCCGCCCCTCCGACCCCACCTGCAGCTCGTGTTCCCGCATCCGCGAGTCCCGCAGGTTGTCGCGCGCCTCGTACAGCGAGCGGGTGGTGCTGGTGGCGTGATCGCTCTGGGGGTGAGCGGGAGGAGAAGGAGGGGTGCGAGAGGAGGTGTCACTACCGGTATGGTGCCGCCGCAGTTCGAGAGCTGCTGCTAACACACGCCATGGACTCATGGCAAACAGGGTGGAGGATATGCATTGCGAAAAAGCAAACGTTACCGTACACTCTTGCAAACAGTGTACGCACGCACGGACACAAAAGCTCAGGAGGGAAGCGCCGCTGCTGCCGTACCTGCTCCCGCCACATGCCGTACAACTGCTTCGTCAGATCCGAAATGAGATCCGCGTAGAGCATGGTGGCTTCGGAGCGCGCCGCGGCCTCCAGCGGCGGCAGCTGCGGCCAGGGTTTGGGGCCCTTGAAGCTCAGCGCCGCACTGTTGTTGCCGCTGCCGCCCGCAAGACTGCTCCCCAACCCGCCCTCGTTGGCTGCCGTGACAGCCGCCCCCAGCAAGCCCGTCACCGACAGCCGGCCCCCCGTGTTGGATCCCCGACCGGTGGTGGACGCCCCCCCCGTGCCGGAGGAGCGGCCGGGCGGCGCTGCTCCCCCACTCGCGGAGCCCCTTGCAACCCCGCCAGTTGCCGCTGTCGCTGCCCCCGGCCCGGAAACAGACGCGGCCGGGAGCACCGAAGAAGAGGAGGTGGGGGCGGCTGTTACTGGAACCGCGACCGCCCCAGCAGCCCCCTCGCTCGCAGCACCCTCCGCTGCGCCCTCGCCCGGTTCCCCCGGAGCCGCAGCGGCTGCCTGGGCCTCTGCCTCCGCCCGCGCCTCCGCCTCCGCCGCCGCTATGGCCCGCGCCTCCGCCTCCGCCGCCTGCGTCCGGGCCTCCTGGCTGCCTGACGCCTGGGCGGAGGCGGCTGCGGAGCTGAGCAACGCGTCCAGGGAGGTGACCAGCTGGGGGTTGGGCTGCACGGGGGAAAAAAGCGTACGGCAAAGAGTGAACGGACGAATGTACGACAGGGGGGAGTAAGTACGGTATGAAGCATGAACAATGGATGAGGCTACCAATGCTGATAACCCTTGTGAGGATTGGAGATGAGGAGTGATGGCCCTAGTGTTCAAGAGTGCGTTTATCCCGCCGGCTTGCTTTCCAGTTAGACATGTTCGCCCTGGTCAGCCCGCCCCGCTCCCCCTCCCAAATCCTGCCCTACCGAGAATGCCTTCCCCTCCCCTCCCCCCCTCCCCTCCCCTCCCCCCTCCCCTCCCCCCTCCCCTCCCCCCTCCCCCGCCCCACCGTGAATGCCTTCTCCATGGCCAGCGCGTCGTACATCCCCTTGACGTGCTCCACGATGCGCCCCGCGCGCTGCTCCGCCGCCAGCAGCTGCGAGGTGAGCTGGTCGCGCTGCACCACCAGGTCAACCTAGGGGGGGAGAGGTGGGGGGGAGGGTAAAAAGTTATATAAGTAAAACAACGAGTCCCAATCGCGGGGGGGGGGGGGAGGGTAAGGAGAGAGTTTTGGCTACAGCGCGTCACCAGATGAGTGCATACCGGTACCCGCCCATTCGCGGGGGAAAGAAGAACACCCCATGCGGCGATTGTGCCCCATACGGGCTGCTGCTGATGTTCCTTAGCCGGGAGCTTTGCCGCCCATCCCCCAGGAAACACAAGCCACCAGCACGCGGGCTGAGCTTCCTCCCCTGCTCCCTTCCCCACTCGGGCAACCGCGACGTTGGGAGTCTCCTCCTTCATTCCTGTACCCCTCTCCCTCTTCCCAGTCCTCCCCACACCCACACCACCCCCCTACACACTCTCGCGGCCAGCTCTTCGCGAAGGGCAGTTCCCTACCGAATCCACCCCACCTGCGCCACCGCCGCCTCCGCCAGCTTGGCCGTGGCGCTCACCAGCTCCGCCTGCAGCCGCACCCTGCAGCGTGGGGAGGGGAGGCGGAGGAGGAGGGAGGGTAAAGAGGAAACAACTAACTGACCGTGTGATAAGGCGTCATCATGGTTCGGGGAGGGAGGGGGCCCTGGCAGCCCACCCCTGCTTCCCTTGGCACCGGGCAGCCCACCCCGCTCCTAGGCTGGGTTTCCTTTCCTACCACATGCACCGTACAGCACACTCCTCCCCCTCCCCCTCCCCCTCCCCCCTGCTCACCTCTCCTCCACCTCCGCCACGTACTTGGTCACCGCCGCCTGGTGGGCCTGGCGCTCCCGCTCCAACATACCCTGCAGCGGCAGCAGCGGCAGCATGGGAGATAGTTTGATTTCACTTCTGGAAGTGCGTGTGTTGGGAAAACTGTGTGTTGGGAAAACTGTGTGTTGGGAAAACTGGCTGCGAGTCGGAACGTAGTGTGATTGCCGGAAGTGTGTGCGACAAATACCGGTAAATTTGCCCCCGCGAGTAGGAACGGCCCATGGTAGGCGCGCGTGCTGCCGGTTCATGCGGATGTGCATGTACCGGTATGGCACGGCGCTTTGTACGCCCCCCCCCACCCCACCCCGGCCCATGGAGAAGCCCCGTCTTTCAGTTCGTCAGTTTTCCTTATTTTTACCCCGGCCCCCCGACGCCGCACCTGCACCTCCTGCAGCTGCGCCTTGATCATCTGCCGCGCCGCCCGCTCCTCCGCATGAGCGTTGGTGAGCCACGCGATGGCCTTCTCGGTGTTCACAGAGTCCTGCTGGGCCTGTGTGAGGGAGGAGGGGGGTAATTGAATGATGAGAGAAGTAACTGGAGTCCCGGCAGCTGGAGGGGGTGGGGGGTTGTGTGCATTACACAGGTCTTCATGAGGGTCAGGTCGTCCGGCTATGCGTGCTTACTACGGTTCGGTGTGGTCTCTGAACCCCCTGCCCCCCCTCTGCCCCCCTCACCTCCGTCAGCTGCTCCTTAGCGAACAGCAGCTCCGCCATGGCCACCTGCTGCGACTGGTAGAGCTTCAGGTAGTCGGAGCGGAAGGAAACCTGGGGGGGAGGGCAGGTAAGGGGGGACGAGGCAGGCAAGGGGGGCAAAAAATAGATGAAAAGTGCAGCAACTGGAGTCCCTATCCGATATCCCGACTCATGCAGGCAGGGGGGCGGGCAGGGGCAGGTTAGGGGGGGTGGCAGGGCGGAGGCACAAGCCGACAGCGCAGGAGCAGGGTATACAGGAAGGGTGTGGCACACGTGCAGCGGTGCGACACAGGGCGTCACGGGTCCTTCAGCTTCCGCCCTGACCCCAGCGCCCCTTGCATGGGGGGGTTAGACCGGCGCACCCCCCCCGCCCCACCCACCGCCCCCACCGCCCACCTGCAGTGCGCTCTCTGCGATGGTTAGGAAGCCCTTCCACACGTTGGACAGGATCTCGGTGCGGAAGTCGTTGTGGGAGAGGATGTCCTGCAAGGGGGGTGAGGGGTGAGGAGGGGTCAGCGGGCCACACTGCGGGTACATGCGCATGTGTTCATGACCCCCACCCCTCCAGCCCCCTTCCCTGGAGAGTCAAGGCACCGTAGGGGGGTTGGATCGCCGGCACAGGGCACAGGAGGACTCCCAATCACCGAGCCGACCCTTACCCCACCCCTCCGCCTCGCCCCCAACACATTTGGTCTTCTTCTTCCACCCCGTAACCCCCCACCACCCCATTGGGACTCCGTTGCTTCACTTTTCATTTACCTTCTCCCCCCCCCTTCCCCCTCCGCCCCCCTCACCTGCATGACATCGAAGAAGCCCACCGTGTATACGTACATGCAGCGGTACAGCCGGTCGATGGCATCGTTGGACAGCCCCGCGCCCAGCAGCTCCACACGCGTCAGACCGTAGCTGGCCAGGCCGCGCAGCGCGCTGGCGTCCATCTTCAGTGCGTCTGGGGAGGGGGTAAAGGGGACGCGGATTCCGCATGGGGAAGGGGGGTTAACAGGGATGAAGAGCCCCTACTCACCTCCCCCCCATGCCCCAGGCTTCTGCGTTCGCCACCACCACCCTACCCCACCCCACCTGGGCCCCTCCACCACCATCCCACCCCACACCCCGCCTGACTCCCGCCCCCCGCCTGCCGCCCCCAGCTCCCCACCTGACACCTTGCCTGCCGCCCCCAGCGCCCCCGCCGCACTGGTGCTCTGCGCGTCCAGCACCTGGTTCACCCACAGCTCCAGCAGGATGCGCCCGTACTCGCGCTTGTTGTCGCGGACGAGCGACTGAGAGGGGGGGCAGGGGGGGAGGAGGGCAGGGAAGGGGGGTACATGTGCATGGGAGGGGGCACGAGAGCAAGGGGGAGGGGCGGGTACGAGAGGAGCCCCAGCGGGGCCCTGTGCCGCGGGGGCCGAACCAGGGCACCGGGAGGAGTCCCATGTCGTCGCTGAGCAGCCCGCTGCCTGCCAAACCCCGGGCCATGCCAGGCCCGCCGCTCTTCCCCCCGTCCGCCGCTGCAGGAGGAGCCTGAGAGCGCTGCCGGACCGCCTACCCGAGTACCCCAGCTGTGAGAAAGCCCACCCGCCGTGCTCCGGTCTCAACCCTACCCTGCACCACGAGACGCACTAGCCACTACCTACTACACAACAGGCAGCCCCCGGCTTCCCGGCCCACCCAACCCAGTCCCTCCCAGCCTCCTCCCCCCTTTTTCCCTTCCAAACCCAGGTCCTAGCCCGCCAGGCGCCCCTCGTTCGGCCGCTCGCACCATTTCCCGCTCCTTCTGATCCAACGCCAGGGACGCCTGCAAGGGTGGGTTGGGTCGAGGGTGTGGAGGCACCGAGGGGCCAGGGCTGCTAGGCAGAGCCGGTCAAGGCAAGCAAACCTAGCAAAGATACTGGTATACTGCTATACCCAGCAGAAGGGCGCCCGGTTGGGTCACAGGCTGAGGGGTCCAGCAAGCGGTGCCCAGCCCTTCACAGCTGCTGCTCGCAAGCCCCTCACTCCATGCAGCCACCCCTCCTCCGCAGTGATGTGGGTCGCGATGCCCCGGCCGCCTCCATCCTCTTCTCCGGCACGGCCCTACCCGCGATAGCTCCCAATCCCATGGGCACCGCCCCCATTGACGCACTCCCTGCCCGTGCCCCTCATGACGCTGTCCTCCGCCCCTCCCCGCCCCCGCCGCCTAAGCCTGCTCCAGCCCCGGTCTCCTGCTCCCCGCAGGACGCCCCAGCCTGCGCCCGGGTGCGGGGGTCCTTCAGGGGCCCCACAGCCTCCTCCCAGCCGGGCCGCACCCACCTGCAGCACGGTGCGGTGGTCCACGTCCACGGACCGCGTCATGAGCGCCGCCTTGCGCGCCCGCCGAGCTGGGCTCACACCCGGGCTCACCTCCTCCGCGAGAACCGAGTCAAACGTCTCGCTGGCGGGATCTGCGTGCGGAGGGGGTTTGGGGTTGCTGCCGCATGCTGCTGCCAGGCGTATGTGCTGTCGTGCAAGCAGCGGTGCCGGCAAGGTTGAAGGCAGGAGCTGCAGATGCGACCAAAGCGGAGTTATGTTGACGCTGAGCAGCTGCGCATGTCGCTTGACCCAGATCGCCATATGACCTCAAGCCCTAGCTAGGTGTTGGGCTGGGAGGGTGCGCACCTCGCGCGCGGTTGAGCGGTGGCAGGTGTGAGGAAGCAGCCCTTCCATCCGGCAGCACCACCTGGGGCTCCCCTGCCATCTCCGTAGGAGATGTCCGGCCATTGGCGAACGGCTGCGTACTCGAGCATGGCAGGGCGGGATGGGTGCCATGGGAAGTGCGCGGATGCAGGAGTTCCATAAGAGGGCATGGTTACTTCAATGCGATGCAGTCGTACGCCAAACGTACGCACACAACCTATGGTGGATGCTGTCAGCGTCAATTGGCGATGACATTTTGCAAGCGATACCAACGACCATCTGGTATAAGGACATTATTAATAACGCAACTGAAGTACTATTCGTCCCAAGACTTTCGCGATATAACAGCATGTGCGTACACGAGTTCAGTTCTGTAAAAAGTCATGGCTTCCGCACCAGTGGGTCTAGCCGAGCGCTCCCTTTCCTCCTGGGACCCAGGTTGGTCATTACTTGCTGCGCCATAGCTCCTGACCTATGGAGCGACTGCTAAGTTACTTCAACTTCTTATAGCTTTTCATTGGGAGCCGAGGGCCCTAGCCCTGGCAACGGCGTACACGTCATCAGGCAACTTCCACTCCGTATTGTTAAAAAAACAAAGTGGGTTGGGTGTTGGTAACAAAGTATGCTGTACGTGGTCCTGGAGCGGTTCCTGGTCTTGGGCTCTGCCAGCGGATAATCATTATCGCTATGCCCCAATGATCTCTTTGTCTTCCTGTGAAGGTTATTAGCCCCTCTTGTGCAACGGATCTACGAAATAGGCTATATTCTTCTGCTCCGCGGATCATCATCTCGAAATGTCCTGCAAAGCCGATGCAAAGTATAACTTCGCCAAAGCATCCGGTCAGCGCTTGTGCCTCGAGATGTGCCCTTGTCCTCCTAACTTTGACAGCAATCTTAAGAACCCTTCTTGCCTACAGAGCACGATGAACTTGTGTTTGGCTCTGCACGTCCTGGCGCCCCCCAACAACGATGCTATAACCCGGAGGACAAGGTCACACCTGCAGAGGGTAAGCCCAATCGCAGAGGGGGCATTTGCAACCGGACAAGGTCCTGTCCCGCTCCCTCAACCTACTTTCCATGTACCCATGGTTGTCACAGTCGACGACTGGGCAGCCTTCATGACCAGTCACGGAGTACAGCGTGTGGTGTCACTCCTAAGCGACAAGGAGCTGGACACGTATGAGCAGCCGCTCAGCACCTCGCTGTCCCGGTCCTTCAAGCGGGCCATCAACGTCGACACCAAGGCCCCAGGCGGTGCGGATACGTTGCTGAAGGAGCTGCAAGACGCCATGCAAGCGCAGGAAAAGGCAAGCTCGCAGCTCGCAGGGTGTAATTTAAACGGGCATAACTGGTCAGCAAGGCATCCCTGTAATGAATACGGCGCCCGGGTGTCACGGCATGCCAAGGGACCAAAGGTAGTTTAACCTGCACCCTACCTTCGCATGCGCATGCCAGTCACCGCCGCCCCTTCACCCGTCCACCCGCCTCCCCACCAACACCCTCACTGCCGCCAGGTGGTGGTGCACTGCTGGGGCGGCGGCGGCCGTTCGGGCCTGGCGCTGGCGGCCTGGCTGGTACGGCAGCACGGCCTGACGCCTGAGCAGGCGGCACAGCACGTGATGGAATTCTCCCGGTCGCAGGGTGCGTCGCGGCGGGCGGATGTGGAGCAGCTGAAGGAGTTCCTGGCCACCGCCACCGCTGCCCCCAGCAGCCTTTGAGGAGGGACAAATTAGACCAAACAGTTGAACCAGGATGTGAGGAGGGAGGTCCCGGCGGGCACTGGATGTTAGGTAAACCCTGAAAACGCTAATGAGGTTTGAGTTGTCGATCCCCAGTACAGGAGGTCCTCGTTGGCAGGCATGGGGCCTATGGGGGTCAAAACGTCGATGCCCATTGGGAATAGCAGCAGTGGGAGCAGCAGGATGCAGCGAGAGTTGAAGACTGGAGCTTGGAAAGGGAGGAACAGGGTGTGTTGGGAGGCCTCTGTTGGGTGAACTACATGTAAATCTGGTACGGTTAGGTTAGACGCTTTTGGGGGGGGGGCGTGGAAAAGGCCATGTCGACTGGTCATAATGGTGGCCAGGCACGACTCAGGCGCAGTTCTGAGTCGCACGACTGCTGTTAATAAGCGTGCGTGCGCTGGCTGCGCCAACCTCCGGAAACGGGAATGTAAACGATAACCAAACAGGAGTCTGTCATTCGGAGGCCCGGAAAACATTCGCCCGCCGTATCACCTCTTGTAGCACAGCGTTTGCTGCTTTGCTCTGGTGGGCGACCCATGGGTCGTTCAACGGCATGCCAGCTGACCCTTACCCCTTTCACTTGCATGCCAGCTAGCCTCAACCATAAACCGTCCCGTCTGTGCACCAGCTAACCTTACCGAGCTCCTTGTTATGCCATACCCTACCCGCCCCATTTGCTCGGCAGCGGATGCTTACCCGCCCAGTCTTTGTGTTAGCTGACCCTTACGCCCGTTTCGGATGATCCGACCCTTACACGCCAGCCTGCATGTCAGCCGACCCTTCCTCGCCCCACTCGAGCATCAGCTAACCGTCGAACGCCCACTTTACGCGTCAGCTGACCCTTTGCCCAACCCATCTTCAGAATTCGTTTCCACCCCAAATACGAGTCGGCTTCGGTAACCTTCAGACGCACCAACGTGTCAGCAGACCCTTACCCACTCACATGCGCGTCAATTAGTCCTAACCTGTCATGCGCACCAATGCATCCCGTCGCAGGTCAGCTGAACCTTTCCCAGGTCGGCCTTACCGCCCCACTTGCGTGTCAGCCAACCATCCATCCGTTTATGCATGCATGCGAAGTGAACCCCTACCCATCTACGCGTCAGCAATGCCTTACCCGCCCGATTTGCGTGTCGGCTAACCGTCAAACCCCCCGTCTGCGTCTCAGCTAACCTTTACTCGCCCCACTTCACCACCACGCCAGTTAGCCCATATGGGCCCCACTTGCGTGTCAGCTGCTTAGCTCACCACTTCATGCAAGATTTCGCCAGCCGACCGTAGCCCGGCTCATTTGCGCTTCAGCTGACCCATACCCTCCCCATAACGCACCACTTTGCCTCGTTGAACGCCGCAAAACTAGTTCGCTGGCACTGCGCCTTCCTCTTGGGGGAGGAGGGCTTTAGTGCGCGTGGGCAATGCCAGCTATGGCTGCAAAGCACACTTCAGGCATCGCACAGCATCAAAGTCTCCAACTGTGCATGCCAGGTGGATTGCGCAGGAGAGAGCAGATTGTTGGAAAGTGTCATTCACAAGTCCACACGCTCTCCCGTCAACACATTTTGCACATTGTTTGGGACGTGATCGGCAGACTCGGCTTCTCAGTGGCATCCAAATGCGCGTGACAATGAGGCAATTTAGACGGTGGTCATTGTTCAAAAGGATCCTCGCAATGCTTCAGGACGCAAGTCGGTCATGACGACGAAGATTCTCTGCCCCGTGGCTGTCCTTATAAGAGATGAAATGAAGCGTTACGTAAGGCCAGTAAGCTGCGTTGGACGGGAGTACCGGTACATCGGTCGCAGATATATATGCAACCAGTGCAAGGCAATGGATGTTGTGACACGTCATATCGTGCAGGTATGGTTACCGTGAAAGCAGTTATCCAGGTGGTAATAGTTGCCACAGCAAAATATATAACTGGGCATGGTATACTAGCATTCAGATTGAAGGGTGCATGCAAGCACGTGACACGTCTATGGCAGACCAGACATTCCGTCAAGTGTAAGACGGCAATCCCATAAATGCCTAAATGTTAGGTAGGGCCTTCGAATATTACGAGGAAGCACGCATCTATGCACCTCATCCAAAATAGATTACTCAGACGTAAAGTGAGTCGTACGATGGCTGTTAATTAGCGTGTGTACGACGGCTGTGTCAACATCCGGAATATAAGCGGATACCCAACAGCAGTCATCCACTTGGAAGCTTGGAGAGACACTTGCCAGCTCTTTAACGTATCGTCTGTTCGATACGCTTTGTTGTTGGCTTGTCGTTTTCCTGTGTTGAGCTTCCTCGTCAAGATGTCGGCCAACATGCAGCTGGTTCGTCCCATCCTTGCGGCGCTGCGTGCCGGGTAAGAGTTTCCGACATACGTGCTTTCGTTAACCTAAGTTGGCGACAATTAGTTCCTCTTCCAGGATTGCACATCTGCAGCGGTATTATTACAATTCATGGAGGTTCCGGAATGGTTACCACTTCTGTGTGCATGTCCCTTATGGGCAGCGATCATGTGAACATGTCTTGCCGGAAGTTGTTGTCATAGTTCCGCTGCTTGCCAATCCGTCTGACCGATGCACGCTGCTGTCTTATTAGTCGTTGCAGCAATAATGTTGTTTACATGCAGAGTTCGCGTCGAACTCGCGGATGTCCGAGTTACCTATCCCTCGTCTGTTTGCTTAAGCTCTACTGTTGGCCTTCCTGACATTTCTTGCAGGGCTCGTGCCCCTGCTGGCGCCCGCGCCTTCTCCACCGGCAAGGCTGGCTCTGACAGCATCCTCGTGTCCGACATCACCCCGTCGGGCAACCGCACGTCCGTGGTGGTCGGCCTCATGAACCACTTCCAGAGCGGTGCCTCCAAGGTTGGCTTCTTCGAGCCCGTTGCCGGCAAGAACGGCGAGATGTGAGTTCCGACTGCGTAGTTAAACAGTATACTCGGTAGTTAAAATATGCAGTAGGATATGCCGGGAGCGTCCCATGTATTTGCTTGTCGCCCGGTTTCTATAAGAGACTGCACCTTATTTTTGCATGAGGTTATGGGTTTCGTGCCATGTCCTCGTGCACCGTTTAATTTCCCCTCCTCGTCCTTGCGTTCCCTCACAGCCTGTCGCGCGTCTTCAACCTGGCCGGCGACAACGCTGGTGCCACCGCCGCTGAGGCCTCGAAGGTGAGCTTACCGTGTCCCTGCTTGACTGGGTACCTCCGGTTTCCCAAATAATTGCCGTGTATAGCGTTACACACTCGTCAATTATGGATCAGTACTGACGGACGGTTACCCTTCATTACCTGCAGATGCTTGCTGACGGCAAGAAGGACGACCTGATGGACCAGATCTACACCAAGTTCCAGGCCACCAAGTCTGGCAAGGACCTGACCGTCGTTGGCGGCACCGGCACCGAGCTGGATGCCACCCTTGCTCAGGCCCTCAGCACCCCCGTGCTGCTGACCCTGGCTGCTGACCGCAGCATGTCCGCTGAGGACATCTACACCGCTGCGGTAGGTTTTGTGCATGGGTCGTGTTTCTTTGCCTGTTGCCTGTTGAGTACTGTCAATGTATATGCCAATTCCGACCCTCGTACCTCTTTCCCTCATGCAGCTCTCCAAGCGCCAGGCCTTCGCTGACAAGAAGGTTGACGTTGTTGGCCTGATGCTCACCGGCGTCCCCAAGTGCAAGCTGGACGGCCTGACCGGAGAGCTGAAGGAGAAGCTGGCCAAGAGCGGCCTGCCCCTGGTCGGCGCCCTGCCCGAGGAGGACCTGCTGTCCAGCCTCTCGTAAGTGGGGTCATACTTCGGGCGGATGAGTGGGCAGGTTCTTTGGCTTTCAATAATGTCTCGTGCATCGACTGCCCGTATGAGAGTCAACTTGCAATACCTATTCTTGCTTTCGCCTTCCCCATTGCTCTAATTGTTCGTGCATACTTCTGCTTGCCATAACAGGCTGGAGGAGGTCCGCAAGGCCGTGATTGCCCAGACCAAGGCCGCCTTCGACCAGCACGTCGACGTCAACACCGTCGTGGCTGGCCTGCAGAAGCCCAAGTCCACCGACTACATCTCCCCCAAGGCCTTCCAGTACGGCATCTTCCAGTCTTGCCTGGCCAACCCCCAGCACATCGTGCTGCCCGAGTCGTCCGACAAGCGTATCCTGGCTGCCGCCGCTGAGATCACCCAGCGCCGCCTGGCCAAGGTGACCGTCCTGGGCAACCCCGAGACCGTGGCCGCTGAGGCCAAGAAGCTGGGCCTGGACCTGACCGGCGTCAACGTCGTTGACCCCAACGTAAGTTTCTATTCAGGGCTTGTCCTTGTAACACACGGTATTGACGCCTTTAACCGCTGCTGAAGCAAATGATGCTTACGTGTTCTCTTCATCTGCCTGCGCAGTCTTCGGCTCGCATGGACCACTACGTGTCGATGCTGGTGGAGGCCCGCAAGTCGAAGGGCATGACCCCCGAGGAGGCCCTGAAGACCCTGCAGGGCGACATCAACTACTTCGGCACCATGATGGTTGCCGCCGGCGACGCTGACGGCATGGTGTCCGGTGCCATGCACACCACCGCCGCCACCATTCGCCCCGCCCTGACCGTAAGTTTCATGGACCATTTGCCGCTAAGCTGCTTGTTTCTTGCTCTGGTTTGCCCTTGTTCCATTTCATTTGTGTCGCTTTGGGGACTCAAATTGGCTTTTCCTTTCCCCACTGCAGATGCTCCGCACCCCGGACAAGAACCTGGTTTCCTCCATCTTCTTCATGTGCCTGGAGGACCGCGTGCTGGTGTACGGTGACTGCGCCGTCGTCGTGAACCCCAACCCCGAGGACCTGGCCCGTGTCGCCGCTACCTCGGCTGACACCGCCGCCGCCTTCGGCTTCGACCCCCGCGTGGCCATGCTGTCGTACTCCACCCTGGGCTCTGGCGCTGGCCCTGAGGTCCAGAAGGTGACCGACGCCACCGCCATCGTCAAGTCCAAGCGCCCCGACCTGAAGGTGGAGGGCCCTCTGCAGTACGATGCCTCCGTCGACATGAGCATTGCCAAGACCAAGATCAAGGGCGGCAGCGCTGTGGCCGGCAAGGCCAACGTGTTCGTCTTCCCTGACCTGAACACCGGTGAGTCGTTGCTTGGAAGGCCTATCAGGGTAGTGGAACAAGCATACGGGACAAGCTTATGAAATGCTTGTTAGGGTACCAACCTTCCTATTTTTCGGGCTGTGCCACTGAACGCTCGTTCACCCTCTCCTCGCAGGCAACAACTGCTACAAGGCCGTGCAGCAGAGCACCGGCGCCATCGCCATGGGCCCCGTCATGCAGGGTCTGTCCAAGCCCGTCAACGACCTGTCCCGCGGCTGCACCGTGCCCGACATTGTCAACACCGTCTGCGTGACCTCCATCCAGGCCATGTTCCACAAGAAGAAGTAAAGCCGCAACAGGCGGTTGCAGCTCTTGCCACATTTTGACGTGCCTGGTGCCTATATCCTGATGGAGCGCTTGGTGTTGGCTGTGGCTTGGGCTCTGGCGGGGTACAAGATATGTCATGGCTGATGTCGCTATCAGTTTTTCCCGCCACCTGCTTTTGGGCAACAAGGGCAGGCGTCCAACTGGACCATGTTGGCGTCTTCCTCTCAATTCTGTTGCTCATGCGTTGGGATGTAGCAATGCTCGGCCATGCATGCTTATCAAATTTGTCGGCGCGAATACATGTTCGTCCGGCTTTTGGGGTGACTCGGTTCGCAATTGTATTGGTTTTCAGATCGGACCTGGATCGGACCTAGCCTGTGGCTGCCCCCGCGTGCACCTAGAGGGTCCCAAAAGTGATCCCACGGTTGATCTTTCGTCTCTTCGTGGTTCAGTTCTCTTATGTATCGCCTAAACCGACCATTGTATGAATGGCTTATTTCGGTTCAGTTCGTTCGGCGACCCGCTTCTGGGCTTATGAGCTATGCCACGGAACGGGTGGGGCTAGGGTATTCAGTTGCCCGCTATGCAGGTGGCCCACAACATACATATTGTAACAGGATACAAACGTACTGGGTCTCAGTCGACTTGAACATAGATCCCAACAACTGGGCATGACACTGTCACGCGCTGCGTGAGTGCCCTTCAAATCAGGGGCAGATCCCTTGCAAGGTTTCACTACCGGCATGTAGTGCGTTGATCACGCAGCATGTCATCACAAGATGCCGCTGCATATTGTGGGATCTGCACAACCTCTGCGTATGCTCCTCACCACCGTCCCCTCTCTCCCGTCGCCCTGGCGGTACCGGTATACCCCTCAGTACATACACATACACTCGCCCCTGGGACCCGCTGCCCTGTACTACGGTACCTAAACAATATTGTGAACCATGGTCGACTCCAAGTTTCGAACCGGCGCGTGATCCACCGTCAAACTCAACCACCGCTTCCCGTCTCAGCGTACGGATACGTGGTACGCATCCAGCGCAGATACCACTACGGGATCCGTCACAGATTGCTGTCGCCTTACATTTCTGCGCACTTTGTAGGTGTTACCCTAGCTTCGTAGGTAGAACTCTCGTTTAGCCCTAACGCACTGCCGGCCACCCCGATTGCTCTTTCAGCAACATTTAACGGAATGTATTGTTAAGAATGGATGCTGCGGTCACGGAGTTCTTTTCATTAGAGGATTCGCCAGCACAACCACCGGCGAATGCCGAAGACACCAGCCTGCGAGACCATTACGGGTTCGCGGTCCCATCCGATTACCATGAACTGTATAAGCTATACAGTCCAATATGGGAGAAAGAGGAGACGGAGCGCGAGGCTCACTGGAGCTACTACTTGAGCGACCTGGCGCATTTCACTTCAGACGGTGGCAAGTTCACCAACTTGGAGGATCTATGCAGCGGTTGCCTCCAGGAAGGAGTTACGATGGCGCGCGATGAGAAAGGGCCACCTTGGCCACAGCGCCAAAAGCTTGAAGCGCTGGTACATGGTGGCGTGCCCTTCACAATCCGCGGCACCGTCTGGACTATTTTCTTGGACACATCGGTCCGCAAGCAGCGCGACTACTATCATGTGGGTATGCGCTTGGGCTCTTACGCGGCGCCGGGTTTAGGAGCGAGGGGGTTACCACTCCAAGCCCTTGTAAAAGCCTCAGCTCATATACCAAACAACCGTTGAAGCCTAGCCCGCTGTCTCCCCCGGCATCATTGCACTCATAGTTTTCTTCACACACACCCCCCCTCCGTACGGCAGGACCTGGTAAAGCGCTGCCTGGGCGACCTGCAGTACCGCGGCAGTTTGGAACTGGACGAGATACGTCAGCAAGCGACCCATGCGTCTGCAGCGCTGCAGGTGCGTGTCATCAGCCCAGTGCTTTGCCCGGGGCTCTCCTCCCCCGCCACTCGAACACATGCCAGGGTTCCGCACGCAACCTGCACGCAACCATACCTCAGCCATCTCTCGCCCCACCGCACCCCTTTCCCGCTGCCCGCTGCGTCTCCTCCGCGCCCCCTACTTGCTGCCCCCCCTTCCCCCCGCCCCCCCTAATTGCCTCCTTCCCCCCCCCCACCCCGGCCCCCCCCCCAGGACGCCGCTACGCTGCACGGCCTGAGCGGCTTCACCGCTGTGACGGAGAAGGCGCTGGCCACGTGGCGGGCCAACAGCAAGGTGGGGCAGCCGGGTTGGGTGCTGGCAACTGGAGGGAGGCGGGAGGGGTGGCAGGCAAACCAGCGGGGCGGGCCAGTGCCATCATGCCTTGGAAGGTACCGGCATGGGACCAACCTAACCCCATCTCTCCTCCCTCCTTTCCACCGGCCCCTCCTGCTCGCTCCCCCCCCCCCACGCCAGGTGTGGCTGACCCAGATCGAGAAGGACCTTCCGCGCACCTTCCCCGGGCTGCAGCTGATGGAGCTCAGCGGCCGCCCCGCACTGCGCCGCGTGCTGGCAGCGTACAGCCTGCACAACTCGCGAGTGGGGTACTGCCAGGTGGGGGGGGCGGGGAGGGGGGGGCGTGGGATACTGCCAGGTGGGTGGGGGGTGGGGAGGGGGGGCGGGGGGTACTGCCAGGTGGGGGGGGTGGGGAGGGGGGGGCGGGGGGTACTGCCAGGTGGGGGGGGGTGGGGAGGGGGGGGCGGGGGGTACTGCCAGGTGGGGGGGGTGGGGAGGGGGGGGCGGGGGGTACTGCCAGGTGCGGAAAAACAAAATGAAGCGGGGACGGGAAGAAGGGGGGGGGCAGGGAAGGGTAGGTAGGGCGCGGTGAGGTGAGGTGTGGAGCAGGGGTCTTGGACGGGGAGGTGTGATGCTGGGTGGAGGGATGCGGGGGTGGAGGGGGCATGTGGTATGTGTCATGCGGCTGGGGCAGTGCGAGCAGCCGCAGCTGCACATGCCGACATGCAGCTGGGGCGGCTCCCCCCACTGCTCCCCCGTATGCCCTTACCGGCCATCGGACCTCCCTCTCAGACCCCCTCCTCCTCGCCTAACCCCCTCCCAACCCCCTATCCCCGCCTCCGCTCCCCTTGCAACTCGCAGCCTCTAATGCCCCGCTCCCCCCTGACCTCCTGTTTCTCCCTGCCTCCCTCCCCGGTCCCCCCTGACCTCCTGCTCTCTCCGCCTGCCTCCCTCTCCCCCTCCCCCCGCCTCAGGGGCTCAACTTCGTGGTTGGCACGCTGCTGCTGTTCCTGAACGAGGAGGACGCGTTCTGGTGCCTGTCCGCGCTGCTGCAGGACATCCTGCAGGGCTACTACGATGTGGACATGATGGCCATGCAGGTGGGGGCGGGGGGACCATGGGGGGCTGGGGGGCGTTTCTTGGGGATGCGAGAGGGTAGGAGTACCGGTGGAGGGATGGCTTGGTGGGGACAGGGCATGCGGTGTTTGCATGCGGCAGGCTTACAGGTGATGACGTGACACGCGCTGCTGCTGCTGCTGCTGCATCCCGTGCCTCTCCTGCCTCACCTCCCAAAGTGCCCCTGCTCCTCCCCCCCCCAAGGTGGACCAGCGCGTGTTCAAGCGGCTGGTGTCGGAGCACTTCCCGCAGCTGGCGGCGCGGCTGGAGGGGCTGGGGGCGGACGTGTCGTGCGTGTTTGTGCAGGTGGGAGGGGAGGGGGGTTCGTGTTGCTGCATGCGCGTTAAGGGTGGTGGTGATGAAGTCATCTAGCCCGTGTCAGGATTAGCAGCGCATGGCTTGGCCTGCCCCGCTTCCTCCGTACCGGCCCCATGCAACCGCACGCGTAAAACCCCCTCCCACCCCACCTCCCGCCTGCCGCCCGCACGCCGCCCCCCAGTGGTTCCTGTGCGTGTTCGTCAACTTCCTGCCCATCGAGGCGTGTCTGCGGGTGTGGGACGCGCTTTTCTACTACCGCTCGCCCACCGTACTGTTCAAGTAAGCGGCTGCTGGGAGAGGGGGGCTGGAGGCTGGGAGGCTGACCGACTGCAGGGCAGGACTGGAGGGGCAAGCCAGCGGACGGGAGGGGAGCCTGGAAGAAGGAAACCCTCCCTTTGCTCAGCCGCAAAGACCTCACTCGCTCGGATGGCACCCTCCCTACCTCCTTCCCATTGGGTATTCTTCTTATCCCTCCCTCCCTCCCTGATGCATTTATCTATATTTTCGCCTCCCTCCTCCCCTCCCCCCCCCAGGACCGCCCTGGCGCTGCTGGACGTCTTCTCGCCCGCCCTCTCCGACTGCTCCGATGTGCTTGACGCGCTGGACACGCTGCAGAGCCTCGCGCCGCTCACGTACGACAGCAACCGCCTCATGCAGGCGGCGCTGGGGCCGCGGTTCGAGGGCGTGTCGGATGCGCGGCTGGACACCCTGCGGCAGGAGTACCGCCAGGTGGGGGCGGGGGGGGGGGGGCTGGACCCCGCGGGAGGGTGAGGTGGGGTGGGGCGAGGGTGGGAGCAGAGGATGGAGGGGAGCGGGAGGGTTGTGGTGCGGTGTGGTTGAAACGAGCCGGGTGTTTGAATCCCCAATCCCCGTGCATGCGTCCCGTGCTCCATAGGAGGTGGAGGCGGAGGCGGCGGCACTCGCAGAGGAGCTTGCCTGGGAGGCCTCCTCCGCCTCCTCCTCCGCAGCAGCAGCAGCAGGTCCGGGTCCTCACCCGCACCCTCAGCAGCAGCAGCCGCCGCAGCAGCAGCAACCCCAACCCAGCAAGATCAGCGTCCTTAAGATGCTCGCTCGCGGCATGAAGGAGAAGTTCACAGGAGGCGGCGGGGGCAGCGGCATGGGCGGCGGCGGGGGACCCGCAGCCGCTGCGGCCGCCGCCTTGGCTGCTGCGGGATTCAGTTCAGGAGCGAGCAGTGTGGAGCGGGCGGCGTCGCCGGCGTCGCTGGACCCCGCTGCTGCTGCCGCCGCCGGGCCTAACGCCGCCACGCCCAATGCTGCTGCCGCGGCGGCGGCGTTTGGCTGCACTGCCGCCGCTCACACCGCCGTCTCCAATAACAACAACGGTGGCGGTGGCGGTGGCGGTGCGGAGGAGCCTCTGCTGGTCCGCACCCTCTCCCCCCCGCTGGACGGTCCCTCGGGGGGTGCTGACGTAGACAGTGACGACTACCCCCCCGAGGCCGGGGAGGAGGCCTTCACATTTGAGCAGGTAGGCTACATGGCGCCCTCGGAGCCGTACGGAGAGCATTGTACGGAAAGCGGCGGCAACGTGGCGGCTGCTGGTGCCGTACTGGTGGCGCACCCCGGGAGGGAGGAGGAGGGGTCCCGTGTCGCGTTTGTATGCGTGGGGGCGGCTGCTCCCGCGGCGGCGGCGGCAATGGATCCCCGTCTTCAGTCCTCGAGACAGCAGCAGCCACAGCAGCTACAGCAGCAGCCACAGCAGCTACAGCAGCAGCAAGAGTTCGTGCCGGTAAAGCAGGAGGGTGGGAGGGCAGTCGCAGCGGCGGCGGGAGGGCTTGGCGGTCGAGGAGGGCCCTGCGGTTCGGAGCCTGACTCCAAACCAGCGGTTGCAGCAACGCCGGTGGCGGGGAGCGCGACGCTACCAGCAGCAGCTGCATCAGGAGCAGCAGCGGCGGAAGAGGAAGACCCGCTAGCTGGCTTGTTACCCCTGGCGACGTCCGACTCTGACAGCAGCCGCCAAACGCAGCTTTCCTCAGGCCACACCAGTCGTACCGCCCCGACCTTGTCGTACATGTGGCATGAAACGCCCAAATGGACGAGCATGCGCGTCGGCGCCGCAGCCGACGTTTCATCTTCCATCTCCGCGGCCGCGGCCGCCGGCTCTGCCGCCGCCGGCACCCAAACTGCAACCACCACGACAGCCGCTTCAGCGCCCGCGGCACTACAAACACCCGGCGCTACCGCCGCCATTCCGGATGCAACAACCTCCGCCGGCGCCGTTGCCGCTGCTGCAGCGGCTGCCCCCGAAACCCCCCTGGGCCCCTTGTCGCCGCAAGTGCTCATGCTAGCGGGGTCGCAGTCCCTCGCGGCGCGCCTACCGTCGGAGGTCATCGGCTTGGATCCCGACAGCGCTGCGGACGCCGACTCCGACGTCCTGCACCCGCTGCGGTTGAGCTTCCACGGCGGCATCGCGCCGCTCCTGCCGCTGGCCGGTGACGTCACGGCACTGGAGCTTGTACGGCATGTCAGCGGAGGTGCCGCCGCCGCCTCCGCCGCCGCCGGCAGTACTGCTTCGGAGCTGGTGGCGGGTTTGGTCGAGGGTACGGCCGCGCCTCCTCCAGCGGAGGCGGTGGTGGGGCCAAGGGATGCCGGCGTTCGATGTTCAGTTACCGGTAGTTCGGACTTTAGTCAGGTGCAGGCTGCGGACCAGGCTCGGCGGGCGCAGGGGGGCAAGCGGCGGTTCAGCAAGGCGTCCTTGAGGGCGTGGGACATCGCTTTGGCGCCTCTGAAGCGCCGTCAAGACGAGCAGCAGCAGCAGCAGCAGCAACAGCAGCAGCCGCAAACGCAATCAGCCCAACAACAGCAACAGCGAAGCAACGCACAACCACCCCAGTCGCAGCAGCAACAGCAGCAGCAGAAGCCCGAACGGCTTGAGGCTCCAGGGGGTTCGAAGACACCGCAGGGTCTTCTGGGCCAAGGCACCTTGCCGCCTCCATCACCCTCGCACCCGCAGCAGCAGCCGGCCTCGCAAGCCCCCATGCACACGCCCACACGCCCGCAGCCCCCTCCTTCCCCTCTGCACCAGCAGCAGCCCCAGCAGCAGCCCCAGCACCCTCAGCAGCTGCAGAGCCCCTTCCTGGGAGGAGGGGCCGGCGCCGCTGCTGCTGCCGCCGCCTGCCGCAGCGCAGACGGCCCCTCAGACCGCCGCCGCGCGCAGGGGGCGCATCCTGGTCCTGATGCACACGTCTCCACTACCTGTGGACCGGGGGCCGGCACATGCACCCCGGCCCCAGCAGCATGCCCGCCCGGCCACCTGCCCGCCCACCCCCTACAGGGAGTCAACTCGGGGTCGAGCTCCGGTGGTGCGCTGGGGCCCTCCTCCACCCGCAGCTCGTGTGACATGGGGCCCGGCAGGCAGGCAGGGGACCTCGGTCTGCCCGCTGCCACTCCGCCGGTAACACCTGGCGGCGGCGGCGCTACCGCCGCTTCGCAGCAGCAGCCGCAGCAGCAGCCGCAGCAGCAGCCGCAGCAGCAGCCGCAGCAGCAGCGGCAGCATCCGTCGCTTCTTACACCGTCTGCGTCCCCGTTCGGTATGGCTGCGACCGTCGGCGGAGGTGGAGGCGGAGGCGTTACTCCTCTGCCGGCCCCCGCTGCTGCTGCCGCCGCCACCACACCGGCGGCGCCGATTCCAATGGCGGCGGCAGGGACGGTGACGCGCGGCGGCGCTGCCACCTCCGCGCTTCCGCTGCCGCCTCACTCCTCCTACTCTGCTGCTGCTGCCGCTGCTGCCATGCCGGTTGGTGGTGGTGGTGGTGGTGGTGGTGGCTGTCAGGTGGTTCCCCTAGGCAGCTCTGTGACCAGCACCTGCAGCGCGCTGTTGGTGGATGAACACAGGGAGGCGTCGCCGGTGGGTGCGGAGGGGGACGGGGCCAGTGAGGGATCTCAAATGGGGTTGAGTGGGAAGGCAACGGGGAACAAAGCTTGTGATATAAAGGGGTGGTGTTTTGCCGTACTTTGCCTGGTTTCCTGCCACTGGTGATGCGGTGCGGTGCGGTGCGATGTGATGTGATGTGGCTCGCAGGCTGAGGCGCGGGACGAGTGGGTGTTCATGACAGTACCAGCGGAGGGCAACTACCCGCGCCGTCCTTCGCTGTCGTACACACCCTACGGTAAGGTTGCCGGTGTAGTCCTCTGGATCTGCTAGCCGCATTCGAGGCCTTTGCGCGCCTTGCGCCGTCGGCACGCGCGGGCGAGTACAAGTACGGAGAGTGGTAGTGATGACACACGCGCACGTCTCTCGGTTTCACGTACCACCGGGCTTCTCCTCCGATTTCGACTGCCCCCGGGCCCTGCGTAACGGCTGCTGCCGTGTGTACCTTGCCCTACGTCTCCGCCCTCCTTGCTCTCTCCCCTCACAATTCTTTAGATCCGTTCCCTACCTCCATTCATCTCCCCTCTGCGTGCCTCGCAGGCCCCGAGCAGCAGCACAGCGGCTCCCAAGACAAGTACACCTTGCTGTCCTGCGACATGCGCCTCGACTCCGCAGCCCCCTCAGCTGTCCCTAACGCCGCCCCTTCCGCGGTCCTTACCGCTGTTCAGTCAGCAGCAGCAGCAGCACCTGCTGCTGCTTCCGGCCTCGCAGCATCTCCCTACGTCCGCGGCCCGGCGGCGGCCACGCAGACCGCGCTGGCAGCCGCTGCCAACGGGTTCCCCAGCGGGGCTGCTGGCGGCAGCACCTGCTGCGCGACTCCTCACCCGCCGCCGCCACCTCAACCGCTGAGCGGCGTTGCGGAGGGAGAAGTGGAGTGGCGGACGCCCGCTGCCGGGGGTTGCGGGGGCCAGGAGGCTGCACGTGTGGTGCAGGAGTTGCGGGTAAGGGCGCGAGGCTGCCCGCGGGCCAAAGGGAGTGATGCGGTGCGGAGTGGGAGGTGGATTCGGACCTGCCACGCCATGGCTTCACCTTTTTTCACCCCTGCTGCTAACCCCTGCTTGCCCCTGCTGCATGCTTGTCCTTCTTCTTTCTCGCACACACTGCTTGTACGTTTCTCTTCGCGGCCAGTTATGTTAACACTGCTTGGACATCTGCGACGTCGTACTCTTATGTCAGGACACCGTCACGGTCAGTCTTTATCGCGGCCCAGCTTCTCCCCTTGGGACTGCAGTTGTTTACACGTATTATATAATTTTCCCCTCCCCTCCCCTCCCTCGAAATGCGGAAAAATATGTATCCCGCCTCTCCCGCTCCCCCCACCCCCCCAGGAGCTGCTGGGTGTGGAGGACCTGGCGCTGCACCACGGAGCGCTAGCGCAGCGGCTGAGGGGCCTGATGCGGCTGCGGGGGGAGACAGCGACAGGGTCGGGGGCAGGGGCAGCTGGCAGCGAGCCGGGCCCCTCACGGGCTGCAACGGGAGGTACTGCTCCGCCGCTTGCTGCGGTGAGCAGGCAGGGGAGCTGCGGGGGGGTGTGTGTGGCGGCAGCTGCTCCTGGCGCAGGGGCATGGGTGGGGTCTGAGGTGGGAGCAGCGGGCGGGTGCGGTTCTTGGCTTGGCAGTTGGGCTGGGCGATGTAGCTTTTGCCTGCTGGTGGTGTCCTCCCGTCATTCGCAGCAGCAAGTGTATAGCAACAGCCGTTTCCTGCTGTCGGAACTTACCTATTTTCCCGTCTTCCTGCCGTCCCCCACCCTGCCACCCTGCACAGGACCCCACGGGCCTGTCCGCCCCACTCGAGCGCCTGTCGCAGCTGCAGCAGCTGCTGGAGGGCCTGCTGGCCTCCGCCACCTCCGCTGCTGCCGTGCCGCCCCACGCCGCCTCTTCCTCCTCCGCCTCCTCCTCCTCTTCGAACCCCACTGCCGCCTCCACCGCAATCAGCTCCACTCCCCTGTCCGGCCCTGCAGCGGCGGCGACGCCCTCCCTCACTCCCGCGGCCTCTGCGCCACCACCTGTAGCCGCCTCCATCGCCGCCGCTGCCGGAGGCAACACCGCCACCGCCGCCGCCCCCTTCGCACTCGCGCTCCGTCCGGAGGGCTTGCTGCCCCTGCCGATACCGCTGACGCTGCCGGCGGTGGCGGGGCCCTCCGCCGCTGCGTTGACTCCGTTTGACCAGCTGGTGGTGGGGCCAGGAGGGCAGGTACGACTGCAACCGTCAACGGCGGCGTCAGCGGCGGCGGTGCCGAACAACAACCTGCAGTCGGGGGGCGCGTTTGCAGCTGCCGGCGGCGGAGTTGCCGCCGCTGTAGCGCTAACGCCGGATGCAGCCCCGCTGACGGCGGCATCATGCGCCGCCGTACAAGGAAGTACGGCACGAGGCGGTGTTGGTTGTGACTCGGGACAGCCTGCAACGGCTGCCACGTCAGGTGCAAGCGGGGCACTGTGTGGGGCACCAGGGGGCGGGCAGCAGCAGGCGGCAGCACCGCCGCCGCCGCAGCAGCAGCAGCTTTCCCAGCAGCAGCAGTTGCGCAGCGCGTTGGGTCTGTGCGGGCAGCTCCGAGGGGAGCTGGGCAGCAGTCGGCAGCGGTGCGGGGAGGCGCTGGGGATCTTGGAGCAGGTGGGGTGGGGGCAGGGCGGGGTGGGGTGGAGACGGGGACGGATGGGCGGATGGAGGGGGCGACGGGGGAGGACTGTGCTGTTTCGGAGGCGTCTGCACTTTACCAGGGAAAGCTGGGCGGGAAGGATGCGAGAGTGTGGGTGCGCGAGAGTGCATAAATTTTGTGTTTCCCCGATTGCGACTCTCTTTTCTAGCGTTCTTGCAATTGTGGCCATTAACGCTCTCTCCCCCCTTCCGCTTTCCTCCTCTCACCTCCTCGTCCAACCACCCATTTGCCGCTACATAACCGACACGTCAACCGACATAACCGCTCTTCAGTACGGCGTGCTGTGTGAGGTGCTGTCGGGGCGGTTGGAGGAGGTTGTACGGCAGTTGGCCGAGAAGCAGTACACGGTGGAGAAGCTGAGCAGCAAGCTGGACCAGACAATGCAAAAGTACGCAGCTCAGGTGAGGAAGCGCTGTGGGATGGGGCGGGGCGGGGCGGGGCAGAGGTGGAGTGGGTTATCCCCGTGTAGAGTGGACGGATGCGGAGAAGTGCAGAGGGCGGTAGGGATAGAGTGGATATTGGCCCCCCTCCATATTTCAACCCATGTTGACGCCTTATCCCTCAGTCAGTTTCCTCTTTACCCCCATATTTGATAAGTTTGATTATGTCTCCGAGTTGCGTGTTTCTAGGATAGTGTCTCCTTATGCGCTCACTGCATGAGTCGGGATATGGGATTGGGACTCCGTTGCTTCACTTTTCATTTATTTTCCCCCCTTCCCCCGTGCCTAACTCGCCCCCCTCAGGACACCGCCCTGGCCGACAAGGACCACGCCATTCGCCACTTGCAGCACCAGCTACGGGGCGCAGCAGCAGCTGCCTCCAGTGCCCACGGCGGCGGCGGTGGCAGCGGTGTCATGTCGGGGACCATCAGCGGTCTCAGCAGCGCCCTGGGCTTCGGAGGCAGCAGCCAGCAAACAGCCACGGCGGCGGCCAGCGCTGGCGGAGTCGCCTCCGCCGCTGCCCCCGCCTCCGCCGCTGCAGCTCCGTTGCATGGCACCAGTGCCGGGGCAGGCCGCAACGTCCCCCTGGGGCAACAGCTGTACGGCGGGGGTACGGCCGGAGGTGGAGGCGGAGGCGGAGGCATGTGGACGGATGGGTTGAGCAGTGGTGGCGGTGCGGGGATGTGGCCGGGCGGCAGGAGCAGCAGTCCGCAGCGCCCGGGTCAGTCGGGGCTGTTGTGGCAGTTTGGGAAGAACTTGAAGGCCAAGTTTGGGGGCAAGGATGAGGCGCAGGAGGGCTGAAGAGCAAGGGGTGCGGGTGGGCGTGGAGGGGGCGTGCATGCGCGAGCGTGCATGTGCTGGGCAGTCTGGCCGCGAGTAGGAACGTACGGGGTTGTGGGGCATGTGTGTCGGGGGAATATATAATAAGTGCAAACAACTAGAGTCCCAACTAGAGGGGGGGAGGCGGTGCCGTTGCGAGCCTGCGAAAGGCCGGGCTGCGACCCGCGTAGCATGCAGCAAGGGTGGGTTTGTTGCTTGCGCTGGATTTCCTCGTAGCTAACGAATCTGCGACACGCCCGACTTGGTGGGCACAGCTGAGCGAACACGTGAGGCTTGTGTGTGGACGCAGCTCCAGTGCCAAGACGCACGAAGCCACGACGTTCGACATCGCCGTCTGTATCATTTGTATTGGCGCTGCTCCAAGCTATTGATGGAACTGTAGAGCTGTATGATGACGAAGAAAAAACAAAGCGCGCTCTGGAGTTTCTACGGGACCTTGACAATGACCTTGCGTCGAAGCAGACGCTAAGAGCAGCGAGGTGGAACACGCCAAAGATTATGCGTGCCCGAAGTGCGCTGGCAACACCAATTTCAACTACATCTGGATTGGGGGACCTCGCTGCAGTACACGATATCAATGCGGGGTGTTGCTTATAGCTGACGGTGGAAAACTTAAGGGGCAACGCTGGATGTGATGACGGAGGGGTGGGAGTTGCACTGTTCCAACAACTTGCCACCATGATACGGTACTCCGCATGTCTAGGTGAGGAAACCCTGCGGAGTGAAACAAGTGACGCCAGCAGCACTGCACCACAAATGCTCGTATGTCTTGTGGTCATAATAGGCTACACCAATAACCTGTGGCACACAGGATAACCTGTGGCCGGGAATGATGAGTTCCAATCCCCAGTCTGTTGGCTGTTGCTCACGGCCCCTCTCTCCCTTGCTGCCCCCTCCCTTGTGCACCACGCATGGCGCGCAACGTGTTTACAACGCCACGATGTCCATATAGGGTTGCATGTACCCGTTCATCAATGAGTTACGGGTCATTGAATGTTTTGTTGAACTCTTTGCACGTTAAATAGGCAGCGAAGCGCCTTTAAAGAAGCGGGGCAGGGTGAGCCACGCCATGGGCGATTGATGACCTTGCCCACCTCCCACGCCGCCTGTTCATCACCTTGGAACACACCTCGCCACCCGGGCATATTTTGTTCACCTAGTGCCGTGGGGTCTAGCTGAGTCACATGTGATGTGATGATGTGCCGTCCGAGCCGCCGCATGGGGGCATGTACGATATGAGGCGGACTGGGTACGGTATCGTACCGTATTCGTACTTGTCTGCCCCCCTCTCGCACTGTAACAGTCCACAGGCATCGGAAAAGAAACACGACACTAGTGTGGTGTGGCTGAGGAGTTCAGTGGTTGGGGGTTTGGTTGGTGCCCTACTGCCTTGACCAAGGAGCACACAGGAGTCGTTCTTGCCTTTCGAGGTTGCATACACATACATGCATGGTCCGTGTACTTGTTACCACGTTATTTGCGACGCTTAAGAACGACACCACCGGTAATGGTCTACCTGACCCATTTCACGCGGAACAACACCTGCATGCCTTTTACCTACCTGCAAGTGTTGTCGACAGTTCAAAGGAATGAGGCGTTCAGTGAGCAAGTGATACGGTCGTATGGAATTCACCGCTCTCGTGCCAGCAGCCGTGTCGTCGTGTCAATACACTCCAGAACCATTCGATATAGTCCCCCCCCCGAGGGTGTTATCATTTTTTGGAATCCAGTATTCGAATGCTCAACTCGCGCCAGTGAGGAAAAGGAAACCACCGGTTGCCTTTATGCCGTGTCCTGTATACTTTGACGCGCTGGTGTAGTTATGCTGGGCCCCAGCGGCTCCAAACGCGTTCGCCGCTCAATGGGCGGTTCGCCTCGGGTGCAAAAACGTACATGGCCCGCCCCCCCGCCCTTACACTGAGCATAAGCCTATTGAGTGGCGCTAGCTTTGCGATGCCTGCTTGCACTTTGGCAAATGGGTCCCTAACATGGTCGCCAACATTGCTGTCTTCAAGCCAACAGTTCCTTCAAAAGAGTACTTCTATAGGTAAAGCCTTTAGAGTTATTGTACTGCACGTGATTTTGTGACCCAGGAAAATTGTCGTCACGACTTTCAACGCAAGGTGAACTGCATTTGCATGCTGCGATACACCTACCTAAGAACGAATTCAACACAGCTTTATTAATCGGCATACTTTTGCGCAAGGAAAGCATGCATACTTAAAAAGCGAACCAAGTTTGTTGTCCGTTGCTGTCTGGGAAAAGTATTGCAGACACACGCGGACACGAAGGCACTTTTATTGAATGTTTTTCAATAAAGAATTGTAATCCGTATACAGCAACGTGTTCAAGAGGTGAGAGACGCGAACAACACGCGTGCGACCCAACCTAGAGTTGCTAACATTGAACTCTGGTGCAACCCCTTCTACTTTCACTGCCATATCCGACAAGCCGTTTCTTACATTCTTTGAAGCAGTGCTTTCGTGACGCAAGCTAGTTACCTGACTCGCAATGGAGAACGGAGCAGCAGTAGTTGCACATGTGCAATGCGTGTGTTCTTCGCGCACATGGGCCGAGGAGCGATAATCGCAACGTGCGGCTACCTTGGGAAACCTTGCCACTTGTAAAAGTGCACGTTTGATGGATGGCCACCCGTTGCTCCTGCCCATCAAGAAGGGAACAACATTGATTAAGCATGCACGTTGGCTGTTCTTGATGCACATGAGCCAATCAGCGATAATCGCAACGTGCGCTACCGTGGGAGACCTCGCCACGTGTAGTTGTGCACGGTTGATGGATGGCCATCCGTTTCTGCTGTCTATTAAAAGGGAACATCATCAATTGCGCATTCATAATGTTGCTGTTCTTGCTGCATATACACCATTCGATAGGCGTATGCTCAGTGTAAGGGCGGGGGGGGCGGGCCATGTACGTTTTTTGCACGTTGAACTGCTGGGGCCGGCATAACTACGCCACACGGCGTAAAGGCAACCGGTGGATTTCCGAGGAACAGCAGCGCTTGCCTTCCTTACTACTGCTGTTCTTTGCCCTAAGGATAGACGTATAGAAGCAAGCATCGTTAACAACTGGCCAGCGTGCGGGTGCCAAGCACTTCGTCAGGGGGGGAAGAATTCACCGCCCCCCCGCTGACACACCCAGGATTAGTCGAGGGGGGGGGGGCTCGCTGTAAGTCCCAAGTCGTTTCGGCCCCGTGGTTAGGAATATGTGTCCGAAGGTAGGAGATGTGGATCCCTAGTATTCCGAGACCAGAACGACATTGGCCGGGCGTGTCACTTAGTAATCAGGTTTTCGTGCGGTTACCGGATCTTTAGGCAGCAGAAGTTACACTGGAGGACAGTAGCAAGTAGTAGATCTTTGCCTTGCCGGAGATAATCTCGGCCCAGCTGATATCATCCAGGCAACTCCCACTGTATGTATCACACCCCTCTTGCAGCAAATGCCGTTTATTTCGGCTCGAAATCATGTACCATCATGTAGCTACAGAAGATGATCAAGAAGGAGCTGACACTAAGGGATTTGTACTTTACAATTATATATCTGGCGGCAGTCCAGCCATGCAACCGCTTGCTCGAGACTGCTTGGCACGAAAAACCAGGGCAGGTTGAGCCTGTGAAATTCCAGTAAAAACGTTGTTTAAGAGCGAATCACACTCCAGAAGTCACCGGTCACGCAAGTATGTAGCGAAGTATCGGTTGAAGCTGTCACCTGTTGACTCAGGTCAGCTGGCGCGAGAAACCAGGTTGAGTCCCCAGGAGACAGCCAACCAAACGTAGAAACAATATCCAACCAACAATATCAACAGGACGCAGCGTGTTTGTGGCCCTCACGCGTACATCGTGACCACGCTAAGGGCAACTGTTTTAAAATGTATTATCATGCGGCAGTAACAGCCCTGCAGATATGGCTAGGCGGCGTGGAGAAAAAATGAGCACATTACCGAAACCTTCACGCGAGCCATAGAACAGGGTAATGTCCCGGTCCCAGAACGTAAGCGGCACCACAGATCACCACTCCGCAATCGGTCAATTACAGCATAAACTCGAAGGCCATCATATTTCCTGGACAGCCTGCTAGACAGTGATGCTAACTCACAAACCCGCGTATAACGTTGAGTGAAACTTCATTCCGCTTCAGCAATCGCCTCTTCATCCTGTGCTTGCGCACATCGAGGGGCGACCGGCATCACAGGGTTAGCCCGCCAACCATCTGACCAATGCGGTGCGCGCCGCACCTTGTACAGGCGCGGGAATTGCACTTCAGAGAATTACCTCGTGCAACATACACCTACCCAGATGGTAAAGCGAGGTCAAACACGGACACATCCGGGTCGCTGTCCAATGCTTGTCAAGCACGCCAAACCACACCTCCCCACACCAACGCCGCCGTCTGCACCACCACCGTCATCAAACACCAAAAGGGCATTTTGCAACCCAGACAGTTGGGAAGCGGGCGGCCGTTTCTCGTTTCTTTTGTACCACCGCAATTCATCCGTCAACGGGATGGGCTGCCTGCTCAAACACGCACGCCTGCGTTATATAAAGCCTCCGACGTATACAATACTAGCAATGCATTCGCTTTTCTCGTACGCATCCCCCTTGAAAACGCGCGCACACACATTACCCTGGGCTGCGGAATCATCGTGCTCATTTCTTCTTGGCATACAAGTAAGGAGCCGCATCCTTGGGGTACAACACACGACCGGAGAACTTCACGTACTCCACAAACGGGCCGTAGTTGGCACCCACGTTGTTGGGCCGGCGCATGGTAATCACCACACCCGCGATCGCGCTCTTCTTGAGGGCCCGAGGCATGGCCGCCTGACTGCCGGTGGCAGGCACGGGGACGTTGATGCCGCTCTTCTTGGGCCCCACGGCGATGGGCAGGATGGATTGGCACCTGGAGCCGGACTCGGGAACGTCGTAAATGATACGGCCGGGCGTGGTGCTGTAGCCGGTGGCGCTGGAGGCGTTGTAAACCCAGTTCAGCAGCTGCACCTGGGCCACCCCGATGTTCCTGATCTCCTTGATGTAGACCCTGGAGATCTGGACGGGGTCCTTGAAGTACAGGGAGACGGTGGTGCTGGTGGAGGTCACCTTCCAGGCGTCGGCGCAGGCTTGGCAGGAAGCCGGGCAGGCGGTCTTGTTGGCATCGATCTGCGAGGTAGGTTTGGGGAGGAGCGAGACGAGGGGTGAGCGAGGCATTCGTAGGGACCGGTAGGATAGGTGGAGGGCAAAGAAGTGTAGGACAGCAGGGAAACGGTGGCAGCGAAATGCAATGTACTGCAACGCGTACGGACGTGTGCTGACATAACGATCCGCTGGCATGCGGCTGCAATGTGTGCCTAGATAGGCACGAGGGCTGTGTTCCTAAACGTCTAGGCAAGCCATGCATCCGGGGTGTACGGCAGCATGCGAGTGGCATGCATGGGGTCCGTGGCACTGCTGGCACTGCTGCATGCATGGCTGCCTGAAGGGCCAGTCCGCATGCACATGTCCACCTCCCCAGCCACCCCCGGAACCCCGGTGGCTCTCACCAGCTGCAAGCTGGAGTACTTGGCCAGCTCGGCGGTGAACCCTGGGGTGCCGTACCAAACCAACTTCCTGCAGATGGAAAGGCGCAACGGGAAAGGAAGGGAGGGAGGGAGGCGACAAACAGCAGGTTTCAGTCAACGGGTTTCCTTACGTGTTGCGTTAAGAGGTAGGTGGCTAGGTGTGCATGCGCCTTGTTAGCGACAGCATATAATGCAACTGGAACTGCGCGGATAGATGTCCGGGGTCTAAAGTCTAGCCCAGACACCCCTTTAGAACAGAGGCGGTGGAGTACTGTATACAAATACCCGTGTATATCACAAGTGGTTGTACATCCCACAACTGCCCAGCCATGGGCCGTATCAGGAGGGGTGTGCGTACTGCGGAGCCCGCCCCCGATCCCGCCCGCCTCCACACGCAACTCACCCGGCCTTGCCCACGGTGGCCTGAGCGGTCAGGTTGTACACCCGGATGGCCACAGGCGGCTTGACGGGCGGGGGAGGCGGGGACTTGGGAGGCGGGGACTTGGGAGGCGGCGACGGGGGCGGCGGGACCTCAGGCTCCAGAGGGGCACCGGGCGGCGGCGGCGGGCGGGGCGGGCGAGGAGAGGGCGGCGGCGGGGGAGGGGGCGAGGGAGGCTGAGGGGGGGCAGGGTTCCTCGGGGGACGAGGAGGGCGGGGTGAGGGGGGAGGCGACGGGGGAGGATTCGGCGGGGAGGGGTTCTGCGGCGGCGGCGGTGAGGGCGGCGGGTTCCAGCGTTCGATGAGGCTGGTGGCACCTGAGGGGGGGAGGAAGGAGAGGGAGGGAGGGGGCGGGGTGAGGGTCAGGGGGAGATGAGTGAAGTATGTGCCATTCTCGGGACAGTGCATAGCAAGGATCAGGGCTTTGTTGCCCCTCCTGTATTCGGTAACCGCATGTCCCCGGGTGCTATGTGCCAGGGGGCACTAGGGTGGCGCTCACCAGTGACTGCTGCGAGGGCCTGCACGTTGACCGGCGGCGGGCGCGGCGGGATGTTGGGCCGGGTGGGCGGGTGGTTGGGTACGGTCGGCGGCGCCTTCTTGCCGGGGCTGGCAGGCGGCCGGGGCGGCGGCGAGGGCGGCAGCGGCACCTCAATCGTCAGGCGGACCAGGTAAGCGATGCCGTTCGTCTCGACGCTGTCGGCCAGGGTGCGGCGGAAGGACTCGATCGCAGCCGGCTCGTCGGCCTTGGCCTGGACCTCGCGATCGTGATCATACGGCATGGTGCTCACGACGAAGGCGTCCACCAGCCCCAGGGAGGAGACGATCTGGTTGAGGCGGTTGGCGGTTGGGATGTCGAGGTCCACAAGACTGCGGCGGTGGACCTCCTTGCCGTTGAACATGGCCACGACGTGCTCCTTGGTGGTGCCCTGCATGCAATAGGAATCCAACGCAGAACAGGATTTGAACCTAAGACCCGCAAAATGATAAATGTGTTTTCATGTAGGAAGGCAATGACTGCACCTGGAGGTCATATGAACAGGCAAAGCAAACTAAATATACAGCAAACGAGCAACATGGGTGGCAAGGCGGTATACAGGCAGCAAAACGAAAAGGTTCCCTATTCACACACACAGTCACATCCGCTGGAGGAAGCTCACATATGCATTAGCGACGGCGCCCTTGCTGTTGTCAACGTAAGCGTCGATGCCACCAGCCTTCTGGATAGCGGTGGCAGAAGGAACAATGGTGAGGCGCTCCTGGACCTCAGCCAGGCCAGGGGGCAGCGGGGGCGGGCTGGGGGGTGGTGAGGGAGGTGGAGGAGAGGGGCTGGGAGGCGGAGGCGGAGAGGGTGCCAGCGGGGGGAGGCCGGGCAGGTTGGGCTGGTTGGGAGGAGGTGGGCTGGGAGATGGTGGGGGGTTGGGCGACTGCGGGGGAACGTTGGGCGGCATGGGGTTGGGTGGCGGCGGCCTGGGGCGGCGAGGCGGACGAGGCTCAGGCGAGGGCGGGTTGGGCTCGGGGGATGGCGGCAGCAGTGGTGAGGGAGGAGGAGAGGGGGAGCGGCCGCCGGGGGGATCCGGGGACGGAGGGGGCGGGGATGGGGGCTCGGGCGAGGGAGGAGGCGAAGGAGGCGGAGGAGAGGGAGGCGGAGGAGAGGGTGGTGGGGGAGAGGGTGGCGGCGGAGAGGGGGGTGGGGGAGAGGGTGGCGGAGGTGACGGCGGCTCGGGAGAGGGAGGAGACGGCGACGGTGGGGGTGGAGAGGGCGGGGATGGAGAGGGCGGGGGTGGAGAGGGCGGCGGTGGAGAGGGCGGCGGTGGAGAGGGCGGCGGTGGAGAGGGGGGTGGTGGAGAGGGGGGGCGTGGTGGCGACGGGGATGGGGGAGAGGGCGGGCGTGGTGGCGACGGGGATGGGGGAGACGGCGGGGATGGTGGCGACGGGGATGGGGGAGAGGGCGGGGATGGTGGCGACGGGGATGGGGGAGAGGGCGGGGATGGCGGCGACGGGGATGGGGGAGAGGGCGGGTAGGTGGCTGGGGTAGCGATCAGGAAGCGGCGGACCACCTCGGCGGCATCCTCGGCGATGCTGACGGCTGACTCGAGCAGCGAGTCCACGTGCGTGCTGTGCGCCTCGGAGTTGCCGCTGGCGGGGGCCTGGTAGGCGCCTGCAAGGAAGGGCAGGACGACCACACACAAAACTCAGCGCAAAAATATGAGCAAAAACAAGTTCTGTCGATGGAAACGTATAGGTAAAGCTGGTTCAAGCAAACAAGCCATCACTAGCAGGTTGCAGGTCGCTTAGTAGTACGGGAAAGGGAGTCGGATGGACATGGACAAACACAGTCTTAAGCTCACCCGCAGCGAAGTCCTCAACCAGCTTCTGGACCAGGCTGCCCCACCGGGCCTCCTCGCCGTACTTCCAGTTGTAACCGAACCAGACAACGGCGCCAGGGTTGCCGACCTTCCCGAAAGCCTGTGAGTAAGTTACGTGTAAGTAACCGACGAAAAGGCAACTAAAGAAGCATACACAGACATATATATATATACATATACATGAATAACCAAATCCGAAAAGCGACTAACAATACACCAGATACACCAACCTGGACGGCAACCTTCATCTCATCGTCCTGGGCGGTGTACAGGGGAACGATAGAGGCGGAGTCATCCTCATGGCGGCACCAAGAAGTATAGGTAATGGCGCTTAGGCTTTCGAGCGCCTGAGGCCAAGTGTCGGTCTTGCCGAGCATGAACGACGGAGCATATTCGCTAAGCGCTGGCTCGCTGGAGGCGTCCGCCTCAACCGGCTTGCACGGAGCCCAAGAACCTGCATACGTTAATGTACATTAAACGATGCTCATCCTGTACTAAAGCTCGGTATCTGGCGCGTAACCGCAATGGCGGGCGCCTTCGATAAGGGTGCGCAAAAAACACTGCACTCGGTGCCAACACACTTACCCTTATAGCCTAGAGCCCTGGCCACGAATTCGCGCTCGGCGCTCTCGTGGGCGGAGCCCATTAGGAGGACAAGCCCACCAGAAGATACATACGACGCGACAGCGTCCATGTCTTCAGCGTTAATGTAAGGCGCCATGCCACCTTGCGTAGGAATGATAAAGGCGTCAACACCGCCAAAGTCGGCTTTGCCGTCGGACTCCATCACGTCGAACCCGGAGCCGCGTAGCTGGCTGAGAAGGTTCTTTGGGCCATGGCTCCAACGCAAGTCAAGAGCATCGGTGGCCTCGCTTGTATAGACGGCGACACGAGCCGCCTCAGCCCGGGCAATGGTCAGCCCGAGCACTAGAAGCAAGGCGCCCAGGCCCCGGGCCTTCATCCCGGCGCCTGGTGCAAGCATGGGGCTACTGAGGGGACAAAAGTCCCTACTAAAGGGCTGGCTCAAGAAAGTTGGCTAAAACAGTCGATGCCGAACCCAAATACTGCGGTGGCCTTGTATGTTTTCGAAGGCGTCCGCTTATCACCGCCAGCCAATGGTGAATGGCCAGGGTGTTTTGAGAGTAACGAAAAGCTTGCTGGGTTATATAACCGGTGTCCGGCGGGCTCCGTACATGTTTCTATGTCATGCATAGAAGAACTTTCTACTATTCTCGGTGTGCATATTTTCAGTGCACATTACTGTATAACGCGATGCGTGTTTTGCATTGGGTCGGATTTAACAGCTGGTAAGAGCCACTCTCCGCGCGCTCGCCTCCTGCAAGTCGATTTCCAAGGCGAACATCGTCAACCGTCCCCAATACAGCTTTCAACTGTTTTTTGCACTGCAAAGGAACACTGTAGAAGCTTTTCCCAAGTGTATTTCCCTTTGTCCTTCCTTTTTGGCGCTTACCGGTAGAGGATCTGCAGACAGACAAACCCTACCTCACTCACTGCATTCGTGTCTGCGGCTATTAACATAAGTATGTATATATATGGGTCGGTTAGCTTACGATTGGTTTCGACTCTTCTGTTGACCTTCAGACAAACTCGACTAACCGCTCGGAGAGCACATGGGTGCGAACTTACCTTACATTAGCCTGCAATCATTTGTCACTCATTCTACAATATCGCAAAGTTCAGGCTTTATTAAACGCAAAGCACTTGCACCGTGCCGACGCCTTAACTCCTTTTCCACTCAACAAACCCTCAGTCCCAGTCACCAGGCCTGCCTCTCTGCCTGACCCCTGCCAACCTCATTCACCTCAGCCGCCCCGGCCCCTTCTTCAACCCTCATCCATGGCTTCCATATTTCCCCTTCCCTTCCAGCACGCCACAGCACAAGAACCTCACGGCCCCGCGGCCTCAACCACCGCCCCCGCCTCCCGCGCGATCCGTGTGAAGACGCTCTCCAGGGTCGCACTGGACACAGCCCAATCCACCAAACCCAGCCGCAGCCGCTGTTGCTCGTCCAGGAGCCTCGGACGCTCTCGCCGCAGCTGCTGCGGCTGTGTTAGCTCGCGTGGTAGCGCACCCTCCTCTTGCTCGCCCACCGTCCGGGAACTTGGGCAATCCGTGCGTTGCCCTGTTGGCGTGGTGATCCCCACCTCCTGCCCTGACGCCAACTCCGGTTGCTTCCTGAGGCTAGGGCGCTTCCTCGTCACCTGAGTAGCCCCGAGCAGGTTCTTTAATGTTGCAGCGTTGTTGGAGGTCAGCATTGCGGCCTCCATGATGCGAAAGAGTGCCGCCAGGCCCACTGCTTGTCGCGGTACCTCATAACTGTGATAGCCGTTGAGGCAGTACACCTGCCAGAGTGCCGAAGTACAGGGGTACGACGGTATCAGTGTTGCTGTGTTGGCAAAACATATGCATAATTCATCGTGGAAATTCCTGAATTTGGTAAACAAGACTTGCTTGCTTCTTTCTGTCGTCCAGTCCATGGTTCTTATCTGGGCCTTATGCGCCTAGTTCGTAACAACATACTCACGGTCCTTGCATTAGTTGCCTTCAGGACACCGACCTTACGATTATGCCCGAGAGCTGCGAACACAGGTTGTGTACCCGTGGCGTTTGGTTTCCGGCAAGAAGGTGCGTAATCAAGTATTCGCATTACGCGATCACCTTTTCTTGATCGACTACGCTTTCCAGTCTAAAGACTTTGTTATATTGCATGCATTGCCCGCCCAGCTATATTTGTGCTAAAACATACACGATAACTTCAGCGGCTACGAAGATACCTATGAACGACGGTTGGCCTTGCCCCCCGTCTAATAACTTGTTATATTGTATGCATTGCCCGCCCAGCTACGTTTGTGCTAAAACATACACGGTAACTTTAGCGGCTACGAAGATACCTATGAAACGAAGATACCTATGAACGACGGTTGGCCTTGCCCCCCGCAAAACCGCAAAACATATGAAAACGACACGTCATCATTTAGTACAGAATGATTAGCAATCAATATGGACACTGCTGAACGTTTACTACTTCCGGTGCCCACCATCCGCTTTTGCCTTCCCCGCCTCTCAACCTCACCTGCTTAGCTTCGGGGCTGATGTGGGTTCTCACAAACCACTTAGCTTCCTCATCGGCAGCGGGCGACACGGTGAGGCTGCGGGCGGCACGACACCGCGCACAAGGCGTGAAAGTTAGCATGGACATGAGGATGAGGACAGGTGTCTTCATACGCCAGCAGCCTACATCGCACCCCTCCCCTGCAAACGCTACGTCCTCGACATGGCCCAAACAAATCACTGGGACGCGGACGTTTAATTACATACAGGAATTACAGGTCCCTTGCCTCCTCTCTAAGCAACTCCCCTCCCCCCCGCGCAGACAGCTCGTCAGTTGCATCGTCAGTGTATCATTATATTCTTTCCCCCCCCCCGCACAGACGGAAGCCGGGCGCCCTCTGTCCCACCCTCCCGCCCCGCCCCCCGCCCCACCTGAGCATCAGGTACGAGCTGTAGCGCTGCAGCAGCTGCTGCGGCGTGCCGATGCAGCGCAGCCTGCCGCCCACCACCACCCCCAGCCGGTCGCACAGCGCCTCCGCCTCCTCCATGCTGTGCGTGGTCAGCACCACGGCGCAGCGGGACTTGGCGCGGAGGACCGCCTGGGGGCGGTACGGCAGCAGTGGGGGAGAGGGAGGCGGTACGGCAGCAGGGGGGAGAGGGAGGCGGTACGGCAGCAGGGGGGAGAGGGAGGCGGTACGGCAGCAGGGGGAGAGGGAGGCGGTACGGCAGCAGGGGGGAGAGGGAGGCGGTACGGCAGCAGGGGGGAGAGGGAGGCGGTACGGCAGCAGGGGGGAGAGGGAGGCGGTACGGCAGCAGGGGGGAGAGGGAGGCGGTACGGCAGCAGGGGGGAGAGGGAGGCGGTACGGCAGCAGGGGGGAGAGGGAGGCGGTACGGCAGCAGGGGGGAGAGGGAGGCGGTACGGCAGCAGGGGGGAGAGGGATGTGGTAGGGAGAGGGAGGTGGCAGGGAGCGGTGTATGGAGAGCATCAGGCAGGCAGGAGTCCCCATGAGAGGGCTGGGCTTCCTTCTTGATCCCACAGGGTGTATGTAGCCAAAGCAGGACTGCCATCGCTCCAGACAATGCAGCACTACATCGCACTGCCTTTTCGTTTATCGTTTATCGCTATGTCACCATCTCTAACGCTGATGTGCCAGCTCCGCACGGCATGTGTACGACATGTACGACATATGTCGTATGCATGTAGGCTGTCGTCGTGGCGCTACCCCGCCCTGCTACACACCTTCCAGAGCAGCCGCCGGGACGCGGGGTCGAGTCCCGTTGAGGGCTCATCCAGGTACAGCACACGCGGGGAGCCCACCTGCCAGCAGTGCGGGTATGTAGTGCGCAGGAAACGGCGCGTTACTTACTTTTCATACAAAAACACACAGTTCACAGCACCCGCGATGACCCGCTGTGACCCATGGGTCACCCCTCTGCCCCTCTTCTCCATTGCCAGATGGCCACCACGCACCCACCAGCGCGCACACGACGCTCAGCCGCCGCTGCATCCCGCCGCTGTAGCCGCCCGCCGCCCGGTCGGCCACCGCCGCCAGACCCGCCTCCGCCAGACCCGACTGCACCGCTGCCTCCAGCGCTGAGCCGCCCAGACCCTGCGAATGTCGCCAGCAGACGTGCGCGGTTGATAAGCAACAATCGAGAGCGAGCGTGGCAGGTTGTGTAGGGCAGTGGGGGTTGCCTAGCGGCCCCTGCTGGTCACGTCCCCCTCCCCAGTCGTAGTCCCCAGTCGTAGTCCCATCATACGCACCTTGATGCGCCCAAACAGCCGCACGTGCTCCCGGCCCGTCAGCGAGGGCCACAGCACGTCGTGCTGCGGGCAGATGCCCACTAGCCGCGCCACCCGCACCGGCTCGGACGCCAGATCAAGGCCGCACACGTGTACGGTTCCGGAGCTGGGTTCCATGATGCCTGGGTGGGGCCGGGGGGTGGAAAGGGTGCGAGAGGGTGGGGGGAGGACGATCAGGATGACATGGAAACCGCACCCGCTTTGGATCCTACCGTATCCCTTGCTCTCCCCTAGTCCTCACCGCCCTTCCTGCATTCCCCTTCCACACTTCTATTTATTCGTACCCCGCCCCACACCCCCTTCGGCATACGCAGCCTTCGCTACCTGCACCCCCTCCACACGCGCCCCCTCCACCCGCCCCTTCCCTCAGCCCTTCAGCCCTGCGCCATCCATCTCCTCTTAACCCCTTCCCTGCAGCACCCCGGCCGCATTTTCCTCGAGATGCGAATTTTACCGTAAACGGTTTTGGGGGACTTTAATGTCCCCGTATTTGTAACTATGCAACTCGCAGCCCTGCGCTTACCCTGCAGCACCCCAACCCAGCTTACCCTGCATGATCCGCAGCGTGGTGGTCTTGCCCGCCCCGTTGGGCCCCAGCAGCCCCAGCGTCTCCCGCGAGCCCACCGCCAGGGACAGCCCGCACACGGCGGTGTGGGGCCGGCCACCGGGGCCCTGCGGCGCAAGGGAGGAGGCGGGGGTGCATAGGCATGGGTGGGAATGTGTGGGGGTAGGGAGTAAAAAGAGGAAATTGGGTGGATGGGCGAGGGGGGGGTGAGAGCATGCAGCAGGTGCCGCTGCGCACGCGCGCGCAACGCACTGCCCCAGGGGACCTGATGTGCTCTCTGCTCCACACACACCCCTGCTGGCGTACCGGTAACACCCCTTGGCTGCTAGGCCATCACAGCAGCAGCAGCAGGAGGACCTCCCACACCTCACCTGGCCCGGGAAGACCTTGCACACGTTCCGAAGCAGCAGCGCCGGCGGCTGCTGCCCCTCCTCCTCGCTCCAGGCTCCCTCCTCCTCCTCCTCTTCACCCTCGCAAGCCTCTGAGATGCGGCCCAAGGCACCCTCCGGCATCACGTCTGATGAGACACTGCTGCGGCGGAGGCCTCCGTTGCCCCCGCTGCTGCTGCCGCCCCGCCGCCCTGCCGCCGCTGCTGCTGCTGCCACTGCTGCGGGTTGCTCCACAAAGCGAGCCCAGAGCTTCTCCACACGCACACGCTCCTGTCGTACATCCTCCCCCTCGACTAGCGTCGTCGGCGTCGGCGACGCATCCTCTTCTCCTGCTGCTACCCCTTCCTCCTCTCCCCCGCCGCCCCTACCTGTAGCCCCAGTCGCCGCAGCAGGCGCCATTTCCAGCCGCAGCTCCCTCCCTCCCGCAGCCCCGCTGCCGCCAGCCACATCCGCCGCAACCCCCCCTGCCGCCCCGACTGCTGCACCGCTGCCGCCTCCGTTACCGCGGCCCCTGCTGCTGTCTTGCACTGCCTGCATCCACGTGTTCTGCTGCCCCTGCTGCCCCTGCGCCTGCTGCCCCTGCCGCGTCTGCCGCCAGCGCTGCAAGCGTCTGCGCGCTGCCTGGGGGCTGAACCAGGCCCAGCCGCGCGGGTCGTCAGGGCCCAGGCGGTATCCCAGGAAGAAGAAGGGGTGCGCGCGAACCCCCAGGTCGTCCGGGCCGAACACCTGGGGGGCCGGGCAGGGGGTCCCACCGTGGGTCGTAGTCGGGTGCACTAAGGCATGAGTGGCTCCTCGCTCCCCGCCTCACCCCCACCCCATTCCGCTACCAGCAGTACCAAGCCCCACCCCCACCTGGCCTCAGTACTACCCACGCTAACCCCTCCCAGCAATACCTGCCCCCCGTACCTCCCCCGTCCCCGCCCCTCCCCGCCCCTACCTGCCCCCAGTACCAGGCCCACATGGCGCCCCTCCCCGCCCCTACCTGCCCCCAGTACCAGGCCCACATGGCGCACCTCCCCGCCCCTACCTGCCCCCAGTACCAGGCCCACATGGCGCACCACACCGCCCCTACCTGCCCCCAGTACCAGGCCCACATGGCGCACCACACCGCCCCTACCTGCCCCCAGTACCAGGCCCACATGGCGCACCTCCCCGCCCCTACCTGCCCCCAGTACCAGGCCCACATGGCGCACCACACCGCCCCTACCTGCCCCCAGTACCAGGCCCACATGGCGCACCACACCGCCCCTACCTGCCCCCAGTACCAGGCCCACATGGCGCACCACACCGCCCCTACCTGCCCCCAGTACCAGGCCCACATGGCGCACCACACCGCCCCTACCTGCCCCCAGTACCAGGCCCACATGGCGCACCACACCGCCCCTACCTGCCCCCAGTACCAGGCCCACATGGCGCACCACACCGCCCCTACCTGCCCCCAGTACCAGGCCCACATGGCGCACCACACCGCCCCTACCTGCCCCCAGTACCAGGCCCACATGGCGCACCACACCGCCCCTACCTGCCCCCAGTACCAGGCCCACATGGCGCACCTCCCCGCCCCTACCTGCCCCCAGTACCAGGCCCACATGGCGCCCCTCCCCGCCCCTACCTGCCCCCAGTACCAGGCCCACATGGCGCCCCTCCCCGCCCCTACCTGCCCCCAGTACCAGGCCCACATGGCGCACCTCCCCGCCCCTACCTGCCCCCAGTACCAGGCCCACATGGCGCCCCTCCCCGCC